AATGGACAAAAAGCATCATGGTGGTCATCCGTTTGCAGGTTATTATCTCCCGTACCCGGACACAAACTACGAGGGTCTCGTGTCGACTATTTCTGATGACCCGCCCATATTGAACTGGGTATATGTTGACGGAAAGACTTACGAAGTCAAATACGGTCTACGGGTTGACGCTCAGCCCAACATCACGGGACCCTTTGATTGTACCAGGCAGGATAGGAGAATGACTTTACAAGGTTGGGAAGGTTTTGTGGCCGTGGAAGAAGAACCTCATGTCTGGGCGATATATTTTGACCGTGATGATGACGGGCTCAAGTCCGAGGTCTTGAACCGTAGTACACGAGTGTTGGAGATTGAATTATGGAGGAAAGAAAAGAGATTGTTGAAGAAGAAGGATCCAGTGATCTGATCCGAAGACAATAACAACAAGAACAACATCAAGACCAAAAAACGGGCGCAAGGCAAAGGCAGCCGAACTCGAAAAAAAAGAGCTTGAGGGATAGCAGCTCACTGAGCGAAGATACGAGCTCGATATGTATCCATCTCCTAGGAGTAAGACAAAGTGACCCTGTCAGAGGAGCCTCACTGGGTTGAGAGTTGGTATCAATGACTGATTAATAATCTATAATGTACAGAGTAAACCTGGTCTTCCCATGGGAGTGCAGGATCTACTTGCGCCGCAAGAGCCTCTGTCTGGTGAATGGCGTGTGAGAGTGCAGGCGGAACGTTGTCAGTTGAGCTCGGTGACGGTGATGTGGGACGACGCAGCGGTGATATCAAAGAGCCATCACGGATCAAGCTACTAGACTGTTGCGCATGATCTCGTGGAGAAGACGACCGCATCATCATCTCGACCTGGCCCATGAGGCGATCGTTGTCTTTGACCTGAGAAGTGATGGTACATGATATGATGAGGATTTGGTTTTTTAATTTGGGTGTCACATTGTTCAGAACGTGAAGGAAGAGTTGTGTGCGTACCTGAGTGATTTGACCACTCCCTCGATCTATTTACACTGGCGACGGTGAAGCATATCTACTGACGCTGAAAACGACACGGAGTACTTCGCGCGCTCGCTCTGTGAATCACTCAGAATCAGCAATGCAGAAACGGGAATCTAGGTCACGCCACGCCCGTCATGGTCCCCAAAGAATACCGAAAAGGTGGTCAGATCTCGGCTACACTGTGAAACGATGGCTGGTGGTGTTTCACACTGCGAATTGACCCCCTACAATGGCCTTGCGACGGGCGAAATGTTCCATCCTCTACAGCCTTGCGGGGTCATCTGGACATCAGCAGACACACTCGATCCTCGGTATTGTAATACTGTAGAAGCAACCTACTATACGTCCTGGATCTTGGGTACTGTCAATGAAAACAAGGGATAGTAGGCTTCGTGCAACGGATACTGCGCTTATGAAGCGATGCTCCAGACCGAACCACCACACCCCCCCCGTCTCCGCTTTACAATGTATCTTCACTTCCCCTGGAATGTTTAGGAACTCTGCAGAGACCACCGAGTAAGAGATACCAAAGGACACGAACATAAAAGAAGCACAAATCTCTCTCCAGAGAGTCTCAATCTTCCATTCTTCCATTCAACAACAACACAACAACATAATCACCCAAACCAGAAGCCTTCGAGTCGTCTGGAACGTGCCGAAGAAAAATCAATAATTAATCATATCCTTTTGATATTCCTCAACAGCCACCATCATATCAGCTGAAGCCAACTACTCTAATCGCAACCTCCTCATACGCACACACGGACAAACCCTTCACACTCAGATTCAACACTCAACAACCCCACCATCAACATGTCTGCTGCCACGTAAGCGAGAGACCTTTCATCATCTTCCCGAGGTATGAGTATCGTATGATTGACCATGACACTCTGTGTACAGTCCCGCATACGGCAAAAACGCCGACACTGGCTACTCGAGCGGTAGCGACGACGGACAAGCCGCGGGCAAGCGAAAAGCGTTGGCCACGACCAACGGAGCCACAACGACAGCACTACCTCTTCCACCCACGTCAGACTCTCTCAGCCAACCTGCAGGTATGTGTTGTGTGCGAAGCTTTTTCCTGTCTTCCTGTCTTCCTTTGTGTGTGTGTGTGTGTGTGTGTGTGTGTGTGTGTGTGTTTGAGGCCAGTTTACTGACCCTTTTTTTTCCTTCTGGCTATTGTAGGTAGCCTCCTCAAAGGCGCGACGGACGAGAACGGAAACCTCAAGCCTGCCGCATTGATGCTTGGTCTCAAACTTGACCTCGAGGCCGAAGTTCATCTCACAGCCAGGGTTCGCGGTGATATCACGATAGGCTTGTACTGATCGAGTTGAAGGAGAACTGGCTGGGAATGTTGGACAATATGGATAATTTCGGCAGACCATGTGGCAAGTTACTCCGTTGTACGGGGAGCATGTACATGTACATCTTCAATCTGGGTCCTGTTTGAGGCTGCTGGTTCAGTTCCTTCAGGGAAGCCACCATCATTGGGGCTGATGAAGGGACGGAACAATTGTCTGGTTTGAAGTTTGGGGCAACGTTGGTTGTCGGAAGTCGGAAACTGAAAGGCCGAGGAGTCCATCAATGTCATTGTCAACATGCAGGGGAGAGAGTGGCAGACCATGATGACGATCCTATTTGTTACCGTGTACTGAGCCCTTGAATTATCAGAAAGGATCCTTGTCCTTGAATATGTGAACGTGTTGTTGCGATGATCTATTGAGAGTGCTGTCGTCTGGCCGAGGTAGCCGCGTCATGACATTGTGTCTGTCGTGGGTTTCAATCGGCCTATTGGAGGGTTTCGTTGTTGCTTTCATCTGTCTATGTGGCGATGTGCTCAAGCAGAACGGGATCATGGCCTATGTATCTCATATCTTGTAAGGGAAGGCAGCGACAGCAGTGCCGTGTTCGAAAGATCCGTCCCGGATGGCGCATCGTTTCTCACCAGAAATAACGACCGAGCCAGTGAAATCCATGCTGGCGATAACCGTCGTCATTCCATCCCAATGGCATGGATGACAGTCTACATATCTCCAGTGTGGGAGAATATTATCCGACGATGAGGTCGATATCAGGGGTCAGATACAAATGGCACATCAGTTCTTACTAGAACGTACAGCCAGTGATATACTTGTGGGCGATGAACGTTGTCTGCCGAGCCTCCGAAGCCTGGTTCAGGCAGCTCTATCTGTTCCTTTTTCTCCAGACGCCAAAAGATATATGGAGCGATGTAGTGACTGCCATCGCTTTGGGGCGGGATTGTTCCAGTAGTTCGTATGGCAGTGGCTTTGACGGGATCACCCTCATTGCGTTCCACGAACCAGAAGCGGGATCCGGAGTAGGATATGGAAACCCAACGACATCCAACAGCCGTGACAGCGGCAAGGTTAAGAGCAAGAACTTCCACCGGATGCACCGACACCGGCCAGGAGTTTTCGCCAAAGTCACCACCAACGCCACTACCTTTCCGTATTGATAGCATGGTGATGTAGCCTCCACAAGCAACGGCGTCACTCGTGCTTTTGTCGACGATCACATCGTAGAGTTTGCTGTCATGGTCCAGAAGTGATCGCACTCTCGGCATTGACAGAAGGTCGACTGCTGTCCAGCGCATGTGGCTCTGTCCTGGTTCGACTGGCATTTCATTCGAATTACCACGGCCTTGTCTGGCAGCCAACAGCTCTTCTTCTCGGCGTCTCCCAATATTGACGGCTTCAACAGAGAAGTCTACGTTGTGAACCTGCTTGGGACAACTGACATAGTCCCTCAGTCGCCAGGACAGGTCAGAAGTCCCACAGCCAATATGTAGAATAGCAGCAGATTTTTCAGGGTCTACATTGTCGCGAATGAACGGATCCAGAATACCGGTCGTGTCGTCGACTCCAAGAAGCCATTCGAACGGGGTTTGTCTGGCGAGGAAGCGATTCTCCCAGTACGTCTGTGAAGAGAAATCCGACGGAGCCATTAGGTTGAAAATTATGAGGTTTGTATGTTTGTCGTTTCGGCGTTTCTAGGCAAAGTCAACATCCTCTTGAATGTGTGATGGTCGGTGAGTAAATATGTCCAGAAAAGTCTTACATTGCCAGACTCTGGGCTCCAGCTAAAGGCAATGAACCCCGCGTCATATGACAACGCAGCAGCAAAACGATTTGATAGTGATATGTAATGGTGCGACGCAGCAACGGTGGGTGATCACGGCAGTTGAAATGGCCCATGATCCTCAAGGTCGATCTGTACTGAACATCTGCAATCCCCGTGCTACTTGGAGGAAGAAAGGTCAAGAATATCGACGTATGGGATTTGCAGTACTCTGGCGTATATGCCCCGAACTGTGGCTTAGACTTACGGGCACCTTCAGATATTCAATTTAGGCGCCTTTTCTTCTTCCACTTAAGCTTAAATGTGGCTTGCAGGCTACGAGTTGGGCCCCTTTAGCCTCGTTTTTCGCCCTTATCACTCTTATCTCGCGTATCTAAGCGCCCGGAACTCTGGGGGGTACCCTGCCCTACGTACCCCTAACCAGGGTGTTTTCAATCGACTTAGCGCCGCGCTCTCATCGATTGTAGTCGTCCAATCCGAAGAGAAGAACCAACAAAAGAGACAACGGTGATCTTGTTATCCTTCCGGGAACTCTACCATGATATACTCGAGGCTCCAGATTGATTGCTGTCCAATGGCGACATTCGATATCGTGCCGTCCGCGACATGAAACACCAAATGTATCGTATCTCTCGTAGCACGAACCCAAGAAAACCTCGCTAAAGACCAATCCTTCGCATTCAGAAAGAACATCACTAACAGTAACGAAACTGACTCCCCAAGCAAAGGAGTCATGCAAAGACCATTGCCAAAGAGAATATCGCTCATCTCTCACACTCTGTCCGCGTTGTCTACGGATAGACAGCCAATGAACATATGCTTAAGATTCGAATACCGCTGGCCTGGAGAAGATATAAATGTTGTCGTGTTTCCATGCTGGGAGCGAGATGCATCCCTAGTCCCTCTACCTACGTGAAGCATTAATCTGTTCATTTCTCATTCTGCACGCAGGTCGTGTATTTTATCTCTGTTGCGATTTCTTCGGTTCTTCTGCTGTACATTCATTCGACTTGGCACATCATTGCTTTTTACTTGAACAGGACTTCAAGAACCCATTGACCAGAACAAGTCTCCAGCATACCGAGCCATCAGCCATGCAATTCGCCCTCGTATATATCATCGCTATTACACTACCGTACCTTTCGGTCCTCGCTCAGAGACATCATGGCGGCGGCGATGGCGGCGGCGGTGGCGGCGGAGGTGATCGGACTGGAGGTGGCGGCGGAGGAGGAGGAAGTGGTGGTGGCAGTGGCAGCAGCGGAGTCGCAACAACATTCATTACAATGACTGCAACATCAACCATTACCGCAGTCACATCGACAGAAACAGTATCTGGCAGCGCGAATGGGGCTGCTACCGTCGACGACACATCGTGCCCGATTTTCAATGTCACTGCAAACATCAAGGCCAATGATGGAACTGCAAACTGCGTAGGAGACAAGGGAGCGCTCATTCCGTCAGTCAAGAAAGCCAAGTCAGTTGATTGCGTATACTGACATATCTGCATAGTTGCGACTGTCCCCCAAACTTGAACATATTCACCCCATTCCTATCCATGGTGATACAAGCTGGCTCCGTATTCCCAGCCGGTGAGTCTGTCACTTGTCTGTATCCATCGACGTGCTGACCCTTATCACAGGCAGTTCGATAGCAAACCAGCTCACCCGGTTGGACACGTGTACTGTGGCGCTGCAGAACTTCAGAGGAGGTCTTGGGAGTGGTAACGGCTGTCCCATTGTAGCCACAAAATGGAAAGAGTTGCGGACAGTGTTACAGTCTGGAGGATAAGAAGAGAAAACAACCCACCTCGTGTAACGAGATACTTGATCAGAGCAATAACATGGCGTTGGAGGTTGCGCTGGGACTCTTTTGACTGATTTACGATCTTTTGGAGGCGCTTAGAGCAGTACAGTTGATAACAATGAAAACAACCCTGTTGAAGTTCGATGCCTGACTCTCAGGCAGCCCTGCAGTGACCCTAGCAAGAATAGGTGGCTTTCATTCGCGGGTGGTCTCGTCTGCCCTTGAGGTTGCTGCCAGAGGCATCGAGAGGCGCATGCCACACAAAATACCCCGCTTGGGAGCCAAGGGCTGCTCAACTGCACTCAAATCTAAGTTCTTTGACCTTGTGGCAGACAAGGGGATGACCATCTCCTGCGTTACACACCTTCAACCCTTGAGTCGAGACTTCAACCATGGACGGGGAATGGACATTGATTGAAACCAAAGGTAGGACGCTGCTTTTGTTCCGTGGACAAGAATACTGATCAAGTTTTAAAAGCGGCAACTAACCATGTGGACACTTCTAGTCAAGCGTAAAGGGAGCCTCGATTATGCCCTGGACCACGACTATGTCGTTGTCAATACGGCGCGCGTACCAACAACTCGTACGCCAAAAAATACCACCGAACGCCCCTCTGCCTTGTGCACGACGCAGACCCCCGCGACTAAATTCCTCGAGTTAAAAGAGTTCCCACGTAAGCGTAGCCGGGAAAATACAAAAATGTTTCGCGACAGAGAGCAGAAAAACAAGCGAGCAGTAATGATCCTGGACAATTATCAATTGCTCTGCAAGTATGCAGAGGCCAATGGCAAAGTCAGTCGAATTTCCATCAATGCCCATGCAGATACTCGGTTGATTGACACAGCGGACAGACGGTAGCACAGACCCGAATGTACTTTCGGAAGGTGGCTTGTGGCCTCGACGCTGAGCCAATCATAGAGAACTGGCTCAATGATGACGATAAAGCCTGATGAGCTGCAAGAGGCGCTCACGGCCAGATTGAGATTTTCCTTGTTTGCCAGTAGTCACATCTACCAGAATGAGAGAGCCAGTATGAACATGAAATATGGAAAGCTGGCCTGATCACATGACAAGGCTGCGTTGGGGAAAGGCGGTGAGATTCTGCCGGACCAAAAAAATAATTCCATCCGCACTCAGTTTTGCCCAAGGCGAAGAAGACGCATCGCTCCCCGTGTAGACTTGTCTTGTGGGCAGCACTACACGGTCAAGATGTCTTTGGAGGAGAAGTTGTCGAAGATCAAATCGCCAAATCTTCAGAGTCAACAACATGTCAGTCTAAAATTCCGAGCATCAAAGAGATTCTAATTGGCGCAGACTGCGGTAGTCCTTTCGTCCATCGAAGAAACACTGTCGGAGCAGAAAACCAAATTTACACCCACAGCATACTTTGCTGCCCTTCTTGCACTCTTGAAGCAGTCTTCCACAGGAGTTTCTCCAGACAGCAACAATGAGATCCTTACTTCTGCCGTCTACCTCCTCGACCTGGTAACGTCCTACGTTTCGGCGAGTCTCCTGCGAACACAGTTCAATACGATCATATCCCTCCTTGCACCTTTATTAAGCGCCACTACTGCGAATGCACCGCTCCTCCGATCGGCAATCGGGTGCCTGGAGTCTCTTCTGGTGGCACAAGATTCAGCTGCTTGGAAGTTACCACAAACTGAGGCAAGCCCACGACAGGCTGTGCTAATCCTCCTCACACTAGCGATCGATCCACGACCGAAGATCAGAAAGCGAGCTGGGGAAGCATTAACGAAAGTATTGAAAAATCCTCCTCCAGGACCAGCAATCGATCATCCAGCTGCAGAACTGTGCGCTGTCGCCGCACAAAACAATCTGAAGAATGCGGTGGACTCGGCGCATCAAGCCAAACGCCAAAAGGGCAGGCCGGATGACAGCAATGAACCCGCCGTCATCCATGCGCTGCAACTTACTAAGTTGATCGCCGTGGCTTCTGGTGGGTGGCCAAGTAAGAAAATCGAGTCTCTGTGCGAGTTATTGCTGGCGATTTCTCGCTCGAGAAACGACTTCTTGGTTATGAGCGCCTTTGAAGTATTCGAGGTCATTTTTGATGGTATGCAGGATGAAGTTTCATCGTCCAAGTTGCCACGCCTATTGGATGCTATTATCGAATTAAAGCCGGCCCAGAACGACTCACAATTAACCCCCCCGTGGATAGCTATCGTATCTCGCGGCTACGGCACAGCTGCGGCGGTCGATCCCGAGGATACCTTTGCTAAACTACCTGAAATTTTGGATATGATCGCTGCTTTCTTGACAAGCCCTGCTCACAACATTAGGATATCCGCATCGGAATGTTTGATCTCTTTCTTCGCCAACTGTGTGCCTGACACTGCGATCTCGGAGCCATCGATATTCGACGAAAAGTTGTTCGAGCAAATTTCTCAGAAAGCCCTTGGATTGTTGTCTATCAGATATCAAAGTGCGTGGATGGAAGTTTTCACTGCACTGGCGGCACTTTTTGATGCTCTCCGATGGCGTGGTGACCCATACCTCCTTCCCATTGTCAAGGCAGTTGGCGAACTGAGAAGTAACGAAGGTTTTCAAGGCAAAAAAGAGGCCGATGAGGTTCTCGGCCATGCCATCAGGAACCTCGGTCCTGGTGCTGTCCTGACCATTCTTCCACACAATTTGATCAAGCCCAAGCCGGGTCAGACTGGTCGAGCTTGGCTCCTTCCCCTGCTCCGAGACCACGTGTCCAACACGTACCTTTCCCACTTCAGATCAGAGCTGGTTCCACTAAGTGAAGCGATGTACCAACGGATAATCGATCATGGAAGCGCCGAAAAGACAGTAGATATCAAGATATTCGAAACAGTTGTGCAACAAATCTGGGCGACCTTACCAGGCTATTGCGATCTGCCATTGGATCTACAAACCGCCGTAGATCAGCCATTCGCCGAAATGGTCTCTAATCTGCTATATCAGCAAACGGACCTACGAGTCGATCTGTGCAGAGGGTTGCAAAATCTGGTCGAGTCGAACCAAGCCCTGTTAGCATCAGATCTATCTGATGACATCTTACTTCTGGAACGGCGGATGTCCCGATCCGATGCGGCCAAAAACATTCAACATCTCGCCTCCCTTGCTAACAACCTTCTTGCCGTCCTTTTCAACGTATATAGCCAGACACTCCCTCAATCCCGCACATACATCTTGCAATGTATAAACGCCTACCTCAGCGTCACTCCGGAGAAGGATCTTATCGACACATTCGAACGTGTGTCAAAAATGCTCGAAGATGCACTCCCCAAGCCGGATCAGCCGCCTCCCAAGAAAGAACCCAACCAGCCATCGACTAACAAGTTACCGCCAACATGCCACACTCTTCTCGATCTCATCATTGCACTGTCCGTCCACCTCCCTCGTTCAACGTTCGCAGCACTCTTCTCTATATCGGCAAACATTCTTACGAACCCTGCCATCCTGAAATCCGACCCTCAACTCATCAAGAAGGCTTACAAGCTAATCCCACGCCTCTCGACCTCAGAAACCGGCGCCGATGCTTTGACAACGCGTAGCGCAGAACTTCAAGCTCTCATCCTACGAACCTCTGAATCAACTCCTGTACCTGCGCGTAGGGACCGAATTATGGCTATCCAAACCCTTACATCTTTCCTTCCCCTTTCGGATTTACACTTCATACCCAGCATTCTAAGTGAAGTTGTTCTCGCGTGCAAGGACTCTAATGAAAGAGCTCGGACGGCAGGTTTCGATCTCCTGATCGCAGTTACCGATAAGATCTCCGACCCGGCGAACCCATCGGGAACAGTCATACGAAACAGCCTTGTTCAACATATGCCAGATGATTCTCCTGATGCTCCAGCCACGTTGGAAGAGGTGTTCACCATGGTGAGCGCAGGCCTAGCGGGTGTTGCACCACACATGGTTGCTGCAAGTGTTATTGCTTTGAGTAGACTCTTATGGGAGTACCATGCCAAGTTGGGAGATCAGACGAAAGAAGAGCTTGTCGATACAGTGACGATGTTTCTACAAAGCAACAACCGGGAAATCGTGCGTGCCGTGCTGGGGTTCGTCAAGGTCATGGTTGTTTTGTTACCTGTGACGATGCTTGAGCCCCGGATGCGAACCATAGTCCCCGGACTAATGGTCTGGAGTAAAGAGAACAAGGGGAGGTTGAGAGCGAAGGTCAAAGGAATTCTGGATCGCTGTATGAGACGCTTCGACTCAATCAAAGTTGAGAGTTGGGTCGGCGGCGACGATAGAAAAATGGTAGTCAACATCCGAAAGCGGCGCGAGCGTGCACGAAAGAAGAACAAGCAGGGTGATGATGAGGGAGGGGATGCAGAAGCCAACGAAGGACGGGAGAGATATGACAATGAATTTGATGAAGCTGTCTACGGATCCGATGATGATGACTCTGAGATCGAGGGCGGCGATGACGATGATCAGAGCGATGATGACGACGATACGATGGCCGGCGTGTCATTCAAGCAGGCAAAGGGCAAATCGCGGTCCCAGCAATTTATAAGACAGGATGATGAGGATGACGAACCTTTGGACTTGCTCGATCCAAAGAGTATGGCGAACATCTCGAGCAAGAAGCTTGGTCGATTGCGAGATAGTCAGACTGGCTCAAGAAAGACGAAGGCCAAGTTTAACGAGGACGGCAAGCTTGTACTCGGAGGAGGCAATGACGATGATGACGACATCGACATGACCAACACAGATGGCCAGGGTCAAGACACTTCTATCAATGCTTACCTTGATGCTGTTTCTGGTGCAGACGCAATACGCCGAGGACAGAAGGGAAGACTGAAGGTTAAGAGCGGCATGCAGAAGAAGGCGAAGCAAGAGACCAGGGAAAGAGATAGTGCCATGGACCTCGATGTCGACGAAGCACGAGAAGTGGCTAGGCAGATTATGCAAGGCTCTGGAAGCCCTCGAAGCCCAGGGGTAAAAGGTGCCAGGAGTGATCCAAAGCAGCAGCGACGAGGACTGGGCGTGGAGAAGAGCAGGGGACCGATGCAGAGACAAAAGTTCCGAGGGCGCCGGGGGGTCGGGAAGAGAGGAAGAGGACATGGTAGATAGACAAGTACAATTGCAATGCTAGATCCGGTGTAGACATTGGAGTCATCAAATCATCCTCTATCATGCTCGTATGGGTGTCTAGAAATTGGTCAGCAGTTCTTTTTATTCATATTGGTGGGAGTAGGAGCACAACAGCTGATTGGCTGGTGGCCACGCGTCCGAGATTGGAAACACCGATTGGGATCAGGGGGGTTAAGGAGGACGTTGGCAGCCCTTGACCTCATCCTCGAAGTCTTTTTCGACTTCTTCTATCTCCCTTTTCCATCTCGAATACTATCTCTGGAGTATGGGTATCAATGTGAGCCTCCTGTGCTCAGATTCGATTTTTTAAAATCGAATCACGAATCATTTTCGCCGCCACCCACACAAATGCTCACCATGCAACCCTTAAAAACCGCGTCGGCATCTACTATTGAATGAACACACGACAGCGGACTGATAATTACTCTGTATCTTTCACTGAAGAATCAAACTCTTGCTCTCTCTAATTGATACAGACACTTGTTGTGAACTATTCGGACGCAGCGTATTTCCTGGTCCTGGACCGGTATCAAGCCCGGCCAAATTTTGCATCAAGTACAGAAGCAAGAATGATACAATTGTAAGACCAAATGCAGCCATCTCCTTGCTTCGATTGCTTCCGGAGCACTGGACCAATATGCTGCACAAAAGAGCCAACACATACCGACGTCTTTATGGCATGAAGCACGCAGACCTTGATTGACCACCTTGCCTGCAGAAATCAATTTGGAGTCATCACATTCACAATAGAAATCCCTTGTTGTCGGAAAGATGCATCATCATCAAACGCCTGTGAAAACACAAAACAACCTAATGGCATGCCGGTACTAATGAAATGGCACCATGAGAATCAGTGCTCGCTTGCTGGAAATATCTTTCATTTTCGTCCAAAGGAAAAAATTTGGTCTCCTCGAATAATGAATCAACGGCTGTAACTCTGAGCTCGACCCATGGTTCGAGTAGCGTCGAGACGACGTCTCTCGGACCTTCTTCCAGCGTTGATGACGAATGCCTCGTTTTGATAGCTCGCCGATCGAGTCATGTGTGCCATGACCGCGGGCGGCGGTGTGGCGGAAGGTGCTTGCGGTAGGTCGGGGATATTCCTGAAATGTCTTCTCAGGCTCATTGCGGCGGGGATCTGCATGGACACCGGACCCATTTGCGTCCGCTTGTACTGGATTTCATTGATGATTCTCTTGCAGTACATCCACCGCATGAGAGTGAAATCGGGCCTTACCGTGGCAAGCTGTTGACCGTTTCGGAAATGGTCATGAACCATGTGCGATAGCATGTTGTTCCAGGCGAGCGCCGGGTCGTCGTCCGGCAACTGGTAATACTTGTTGTCGCAGAGAAAACAGGATGCGAATGTGGGCAGCTCGTGTCCCCGGAAGTGCGAGAACACGTGCATCTTGAACGGGACTATGTCCGCAAAGACCTCGGAACAGTCGAGTATCTGGAAAGGACAAAGCAAATCCGCATCCTCTTGGTATCGATCCGGCAGTGTCAAGGTCCCGTCCTGAGATGCATCGAGCAGATATCCGTCGCCCAGGATGCTGCTGGCCATGCTTGTGCCCAATGTAGCGTCCGACGAGGAAGCGGAAGACGCCGGACGGGTCAACGGTGGTACCGGATCGCTGCCGCTGGTCGAGGCCACGGATCTCGCATCGTCATGGTCCGCAACCGACACCGCCGAGGGTGATCTGATGGCTGTCTTTCTGGAGGACATGGAGTCCTTGCACGACGGAGTCCCGTCAAGCTTTTTTATTATTTCAACTCTACGATTGCCGATCAATCCGGCGACGTCGCTTTCAAATTGTCATTGGGCTTCGTGGGACTCGGGGCCGGGATAAGACGACACGGGACACGTGGTGTGGCCATTTACTGCTTGCATGTCAACCCCGACACCCTCAAACGAAACATATCGAAGAAAAGGGGACAACACACAGGTCACAAAAGTCGCTTGGTGAAGTGGCAAAGAATCTCGAATCTCACTGTCTGGCGAATTTTTGGATATCTCGGAATGATAAGGGCAGATTTTCGGCGAAGCTGAAGGTGCGGGGTTTTTTGGTTCCGGTTGATCGATTTCCTCTCGCTCTGTTTCTTTCTCCGACAAGCCCGAAGGGCGAACAGAGGCAAAATATGTGGGAAAGTCTTTGCGATGGGTGCAAAAGATTGATACTCGCCCCAGGTTGTCCGTGATGCAAATGCGCGCAGGTGACGGCAAAAGAGTCGACAACTTGCAACTCAAAGGGCCTAGAGCCTCGCAATGGGAATGGTTCAAGCTGCGACGATGCAGTACAGACTCCCCCGCCGAGAAGCATATGCACCTGTCAGATGCTGCCAGCACATCCAGCCTGCATAACCGATGGCCGGCATTGATTGGTGCATGAACTCGTGTCGTGCTCGCGAGAAGCAACGGACTGGACATGTGTTTGTTAACCTCCCACGGGTCAGGAAACAAAAAAGCAATGATATTGTGTCATGCAGAAAGGATGCAGTCGTGTCACTCAGCCCATTATCAAATGTGCATCTCTGTTGAGTACGCCCACCCCCCGAAAGGTTGACATGTGAGACAGGCGGGTGATGCAGAGCCAAAGAGTCGCACCCTCCGCGGCCATGCCTCTATATCCAAAACAACCCTAGTCAGCATGCAGTGTGTAACCAGGACAGTGTTTGGATTTACGATTGTTCTATACCAAAAGTGCAACGCGATGACTGATTGACGAATAACAAGTCTCTTAAGTCAAAAACACCCCGGTGCGGTCGTCTGCCTTTAACATGACCTGACTTACTTCAGCCCACACCCTGTCACCGAACTCGATACCCTGTTGACTCGAGAGCAACGGGCCGTCGTCGTACACGCAGTCGTCCTTCCACATGCGTCCGTGACCTTGATCGCTTACCGACAATGCCGTCGTGTATGAGTTGGCACCCTGTTCGGCTGTACGCGCGAAGAACCTATGCACGCACCACGTCATGATCCTGATGACTGCGCTGTCCGCTAATTGTCGCCCTAGATCACTTTTGCACAAGCCGGGACAGACAGTATTAACTATCACTCTTGGCTGCTGTCCATTGGGGCTCCCGAGGGCGGTTGAAGCTGCAAGATGTCGCGTGGCGTACTCGAGGATGAGTTTGGACCGCTCGTACTGTGCACTCGCACCCGCAAGTCCCGGTGGGAAATGTTTTGGGCTGTTTAGCTCTTCGAGAGGTGTTTTGCTTGAGAAGAAGTCTGACATCTTGCTTGGGCTCATGAGGTGGACCGAGCCAGACGAGACAAAAGTCAAATGTGGTTTGATCTTGCTGCTGCGTGGACTTCCGTCGGTCGCGGTATCGGAGGTTGTCCCAGAGGAGAGGAGCAGAGGTAAGAGGAGCAGGCCGAGGAGGAACGTGCTGAGAGCGTTCACTTGTATGGTGTCTTCCCACCCGTCCGAACCGGAGGAGTATTCGCTCGTCATCACACCTGCGTTCAGGATGGCGCCGTCGATCGAATGAAAGCGAGCGCGCAAAGTGTCCATGAAAGATTTGACGCCTGAAAAAGAGGACATGTCGAGTCTTAGGGGAATGATCTCCGTGGCGGGCGAAGCCGAACTACTACTGGTAGCCGCGGCCTCAGATGCCGAAGCGAGAGAGGCTTCGATCTCGCGCTTCGCTGCTTGACCTTTGGCGTCGGTACGCGCGGTTATGATCAATCGGGACACGTGGAGCGCGGCTAGCTTCTGAGCGGCTTCGAGGCCTAAGCCAGACGTTGCGCCAGTGATGAGGAGCGTGAGGCCCGCAAAGGACTCAGTCGAGGGTTTGGGAGGGTTGTGCTTTTGGTCGAGTATACGTTTGAGGAAAGACATTCTCGACTCGTTGATATTTGATGGATCGTGTTTGATGGAGGCAACACGAGCGATTGAGATACTCTGCCACCGACTTCATGTCATGTCTTTATATTCATATATTCCGCAAACTTGCCTACATACTACGTGGTATTTACCGCTACGTATGTGCTCTCACAAGTTGATTATCAATCATCAAACTATCTGGCCTGTTGTTGCGAGATCAAGGAGATTCCGTGGGGGTCTCGCCGTTGCCTGAGCCTATTGTCTGTCAAATGTCTTCTGAAAGACAACGCCACCATCCAAAGAGGGAGGGCTAGAGGCTCTGTTCGAACATCGCGAAGCGTTTAGTAGCATGGTCGACAGCGATATTGACGAAAAGAGACGCGGAGAGACTGTTTTTCCGGGCTTCGGATCCGGGGAATCTTGGCTTCCGAAACCAGGCGTTCGGCTACAAAAGCAAAAAGCCATTCCGTGCTCGGGACGCGGCAGAAGGACAACCTATTACACCTCGTGCTCCTATGCTCCGACCGTGAGTCTACAGTGGTTGAAAGGGACACGGAACGACTTTGGGTGATCAGACCGTGGCAAAATTCCCCCACGGGATATATATTCGTCAGTCTTTCCGCAGAGTCCGCTTTCATACCCACGTCGTCCTCCTCGCCGTGACATGCCAGCGCCTATGTACAAAGTACTAGTACGTACCTTGGTACGAGTCTGCGAAGATCGCCAAGGTTCCGCGAGGGGTGGGAAATGCTTGGGTTGAGATCGGTTTCGAGCCAACCACGATACGATTCATTCTCACGTTCCTCGTCTATCAGGATTGATTGAACAACAATGCTTGTCTTAAGCCAAGAACACAAGAAATGATCCCGCGCGGCGTCCACGAGGCATCATCACGAGCGGAAACCTTGGCAGCTTTGGAAAGGCGGAACAGAACCAGGAGTTACCCATGTTCTGGAATCAGGCGAGGCATGATCTGGCATGAAATGGTCCTAGGATCAAGTTTGGACAACGGCGCGACTTGATCATTCACCACAGGATTGTAGACTCGACATTAACGTGCTTCGTCGACATTTCGACCGAAGACCAACACGCTTGCTGTCATGCGATAGGACGTTTTGGCTACCATGCCGTCGAGCCCATTTTCTGCATGCCGAGCGATTTCGCCCAGACACAGCTATTGCTCACTGCCACGCATGGCTGATGTCAAGGATGCTCCGCGCCGAACTCCAGTGTCACCTTGAGGGCACTGAGCATCCACAAATCTGGCGCCGGCATGGGAAGCACATGGCGAGAGAAGAGCTCACCATTAGCTCTCGAGTCCAACGCTCCAAACCTTCTGTCATGGCCTTCGATCGAAAGGATCAAGGGGCTGTGTAGGCGGAATGTCTTGGCTCTCATGGCATACCAGCTCCCCGGCCGAGGTGCTTCTTCCCGTAAGTAAGGTGATGTTCTTCAAGGTCGTATCCAGTCTTTGAAGGTGACCCGGTGACACTTGACTTTGTCTTATCCTGACTGGATGGGCCTGACAGGGTTGGTATTTCAAGACGGCAAGGGTAGGGTCGCGTATGGATATCCAGATGTCTTGACTGGAACTTGGCGATAAAGTTACATGAGCCCTCGACGAGACCCATCATTCTGTTGTGTCCATTTTGAAAATCTCGTGCTCATAACGGGTGATAAAAGACAAGACGTTTCCTTCTTGTCCTTTCCAGTTCTACTTACCACCACCCGTTCACCCCTAGGTTAGCTTTCGCAGACAGATCATAGAGTCCACCACCAAGATGGTGCTTCAACAATTCGATTACATATTCGCTCTGGGCACCATCTTTGCCTTCCTAGATGCTTGGAACATTGGTGCAAACGATGTCGCCAACTCCTTTGCGACATCGGTCTCGTCCCGATCCATCACGTACCTCCAAGCCATGGCCATTGCCTCGGTGATGGAGTTTGCTGGAAGGTACGGACATCAAGCTCATAGGAGCAGACTTTCGAGAATAAAGGCCAAACCAGGTGTTAATGTTGGTACAGTGTCGCCGTCGGTGCCCGTGTTGCAGATACCATCCGAACAAAGATCGTCGACCCGGACCTATTCGACGACAATCCTGCGATGCTGATGTTGGGTATGATGTGTGCTGTCATCGGCTCATCTATCTACCTGACGATTGCGACCAAGCTTGGCCTGCCCGTTTCAACCACTCATGTAAGCTCCCCTACTGCTACGCTGGTCGTCGACCAGTCGTCGGCCTATATCTCCCTCACCCCATGAATCTCCGGGTGCATGATAGCCCGCATTTTGAAACCTTGGGAAACTAATCACCGTGTCACTTGATCACAGTCAATCATGGGCGGTGTCATTGGTATGGGCATTGCGTCTGTCGGTGCGAGTCAAGTCACTTGGTGGGGAGGAGATGTCAACTCGGGCGTCGTGTCGGTCTTTCTGGCTTGGATCATCGCACCATTCTGCGCCGGAGGCTTCTCGTCCATCATATTCTTGGTCACTAAATACGGTGTCATGATCCGTCGCAATCCATTGATGAAGGCACTCGTTTCAATACCCATCTACTTTGGCATTACCTCGGCCCTCATCACCAGTAAGTAGTGCTCGCGGGGTGCCCGCCGTGGGAGACTTTGGACAATTCTTCTGACAACAACAACAACCAACTACAGTGCTCATCGTCTGGAAGGGTGGTTCTGCTCGTATAGACATCACCGGCTCGGAAACCATCGGGATCATCTTTGGCGTTGGTGCCGCCGTCGCTCTCTTGGTCGCCGTCTTCTTCTGTCCTTGGCTCTACAGGGTTCTGCTCAGGGGCGACTGGGAATTAAAGTACTATCATATCCCACTGGGGCCTCTTCTCCTGTGGCGTCCGGAACCTACCCCACCACCCGAGGACTATCAAGTCACGAAGGATTACTACTATGGCCATAAGACTATGGAAGAGCTCAAAGCAGAACGCGAAGCACACGGCGCCGGCGCCGGTGCGGCAAGGCTCGGCGACGAAGAGAATCATGGAGCCCACCTTTCCGAGAAGACCCATCCGGTCACCGACGACAGTACCAGATCCGATAGTGATTCTGGACGCGCCGGACAAGCTGCAATGGCGATGAAGAAGAAGGATCCCAGGAACCCCGACAAGTTCGAAATCATCGGGCCCCGACCACAGGGCGGCAACTTCTCTCCGGCTGTCCTGTTCTGGCAATTCAAGCGCGTCTTCTTCCGTGGCGTAGAGCAAGACATCATCTCCCAGCAGAGCAAGGCCAACCTGTTGAGCGGCGACATCGAAAAGACCCACGCCTACGTGTCCCACTACGACAACAAGGCCGAGTACTTGTATTCGTTCCTGCAGGTCTTGACGGCGTCGGCGGCTTCATTCGTCCACGGAGCCAACGACGTCTCCAACGCCATCGGCCCTTACACTTCCATCTACCACATCTGGAGAACCAACGAGTTGGGAAGCAAAGTCCCCGTGCCCTATTGGATCTTGGTGTTTGGCGGCGCGGCCATCGTCATCGGTCTGTGGACCTACGGCTACAACATCATGCGCAACCTGGGTAACCGCATCACACTACACTCTCCGTCGCGTGGCTTTTCGATGGAACTCGGTGCTGCGGTCACGGTGATCATGGCGACCCGGCTGAGTAAGTGTTTGCTTTTCGTCGTCATATTCTCTTTCTCACCTCGCCTCCCTCCTTCTCCATCTCCTCCTCTTCTTCTGCTTGCTTGGTCATTTCCACAAAATGTCAGCGCTGATTTCCTTGTTCGTGTTCAACAGAACTTCCCGTCTCCACTACACAATGTATCACCGGAGCCACGGTCGGTGTCGGTCTCTGTACAGGCACTTGGAGAACTATCAATTGGCGTATGGTTCTCTGGATCTACGGCGGTTGGATCATTACAGTACGTAACTCTTCTCTTCCTGAGAAAAATGGTGTTTGATGTTCTTGTGGAAAGATCTCATCACTTTTGCTGACACATTTCGCTCTCTTTTTTTGCATTCTAGTTACCCTGCACCGGTATCATCTCGGGATGTCTGATGGGCATAATCATCAACGCTCCTCGATGGGGATTCAACTACTCCACTTGAAACACGACGTTGGGCCGTTTTGGTATACTAGTACTCTGATGGTAATGTGCTGGAGTTTATTTCATCGCACCCGAGGTAGATACCATCATGAGCGTGTTGACGCACAAGAGAATCGTTATTTTCGCTGTTAGATCGGAAGAACTCCGTAGGTAGGGGATGATGATGTCCGGCGATGTAATTGAAAAGTGTTTCTGACTCAGCGGCGCTTATATCTCTGGTTTCTTTCTCAAGCTTATGATTCTCTCATCTCGTGTACCATAAGCATGTTTCCTTGTCCAGGACGAGGGTGTGGTTATTGAAGCAATGGATGCCATCAACATCAAGACGAGGGGGATTCTGTTAAGGATAGGAAGCCGGTGTGTATGTGTGGCAATTGCCCTGGTAAAGTCCTCGCACACTGGCCGGTACTTCAACCTTTGCTCCGTGATTTGTACGACACATCCCTTGTGTAGTCCATGATTGGATCTGATGGTGGAAGCATCTTTTAAACCCACCCACGGAGCATTGCATCATGCGGAGGGTCTTGAGTGTGGAGGGGGGCCGGAGAGAGAGGAGGCTGGCTGTATGTGGAGAAAAGCCACCAGTCCCCAGCATTGACTTGTCCTCGTACCACTTGAAAGTGACCCCGAGAAAGCATCCTTTGCGGAATTGATTCCAGGAAGTCGTAAGTCCTCAAGAATGCAAACTTAGAGAGGGATTCCGGCACTGCTTCTGAATCCTACAACTACAAACAACCTTGTGCGCGCCGCAAATCATTCCTCGTGTTTGATCAATATGGCCACAGCAACGACGACAACCCTTTCGACGCAGCTGGACGACACACTTCCTCCATTTCCGGAGAGTCTCAACCATGCACCAATTGCCGAAATCTCATCCCGAAAGCTCCTGGCCAAAGACCCCGAAACCACGACGGCCGTCTGGAAAGCGTGCCAGACGTATGGATTCTTCTACCTCGACATGACCGACTCGGATCCAGGCTCCAAACTCGTCATGGACGCCGAACAGCTCTACGGTCTCAGCAAGAAGACGTTCGCCCTCCCGTTTGAGGAGAAGGACAAGTACGATTTCCGCAGGAGGAAAGCCCTGTTCGGGTACAAACCTTCAGGGAGCGTCAAGAAGACGGACGCGAGCCAGAGGCCCGACACGACCGAGTTTTTCAACGTCGGCAAAGATTGTCTCTTTGACGTCGCACCGAGCAACCCTTACCCGGAGGTGATTCAGGACGCGAGACCCTTACTGCGAGATTTCTGCAAAGGTGCCCACGAGATGGCCATGGACATCTTGCGCACGCTGGCCCGCGCGGCCGGCGAGGACGACGAAGAGATCTTTGTGAATCTCAACCGGTTCGAGGAGTCGTCGGGGGACCACGTCCGCCTCACGCTGAAGCGCCCGTCTGACGAGTCCAAATCAGAGATTGGGCTAGCCTCCCACACCGACTTCGGAAGCGTCACCATTCTCTTCAACTGGCTCGGTGGTCTCCAGATCGAGTCGCGGACGCCCGGGCGAATCGGGGAGTGGGAGTACGTCAAACCGATGCCGGGAAAGGCGATCATCAACCTCGGGGATGCCATGGTTTCGTTCTCGAACGGTGCTCTGAAAAGCGCAAAACACCGCGTGGTCGAGTCTCCCGGTCCCCAAGCCGGGATGGAGAGGGTGAGCATCGTGTACTTTGTTCGGCCGACACATCACAGTCTGATGAAACCCGTGGGAAAATTCGACGGTGAAGGCGCCAGCAGGATCAGAGTGGGTGGGAAGTTTGCCGACAATATCGTCGATGAGAAGGTATACACGGCCAAAGAATGGCTCGAGGAGAGGTACGTGCAATTGTCACATTCGAAGGAATGATTTTTGTTATTTTGTCGTTGTTGTTGTGCTGTAATGTGCCTCGAGAGCCAAAATGTCGAGATACTCTTTACGCCTTACCATCACCCGCAATGAATGATCCAGTTCTCAACACTCTGCTTCGTAAGGTCTGGTATTGATCGTGTGAGGGAAGATGACTTCAACTGAAAATTGAGGTCCAGCTGAGGATGCGGTCTGAAGGACGGGGTAGTCAATGGGCAATTATGAATGCAAGCAATTGATTCTTGTGGTTTCTCCTGGGATCCTATAATGATCTATGACCACATCTATAATGGCAAACCTGTCAATTGGTGTTTCGAACTCATCTCCCACATGATACGAACCCGTACCCAGCGGGAGAAATACTTCTCTGGCGCTTCTCGTAAGACCGCGTAGGGAGGTAATGTGTTTTCACCTGCCTTCGACGCAACGAACGTGGCTACCATGCTTAGAGACCTCATAGGTGTTTCACAAGAAACTCAAAGTCTCTGCCGGTATTAAAACAGCATAGGAAATGTGCTTGTTGAACGGTGGAAGGTCGCAGTAACGAAGCCCTTTGGCCCCTACTCAGGCAGATTGCCGGGCAAATGTTCCCGCGATTCCGAGACTCCGCAACAACCGAAGTCACTGACTTCAGGGGCAGATTTCATCTTACCATTTACTCCATACTGCGTACTAATCAAGTCAATCAAAAGATTCACAGGCTCATCTGCTTCGCTTCATCTGCTTCGACTGAGGGGATATGTCCATCTGTCAATCAACAATCATGATTCAGTCCGAGACCCGACGCCTCAATCCTGACTCTTCCTCAGCCCGCGTTCCCTCCGGAGCCGCAGCAGTTCTTGACATGGACTTTCCCAGTATTCATCACTTACCAACTGTGGCTTGAAAGCTGAAACCAAAGTTTCCCCCTTTGACAAGATTTCCATCCGCCTTTCATCTCAGCCTCGTGGCTACTTGAAACAGACCGATCCAACAGGCATTCCACTTCGCAACTTCACTAGTGCCCCGTATTCATCGCTTTCTTCGGACTTTTGACCCTACTAGCTACGATACCAATGTTGTATCTTTGCAACCCAAGATATTAACGGCCGAGAGCCTAATCCTTAGTCCTTTGCCCAGACTCTGAGATGGAACAACCCAGTATCTTGGACAGCAAATGTCGCCTTGTTCCGATCCACTATTGTTCGAACTCCTCACCCATGACGCCACATATTATTGCATAGATTGGGTCGAAATGTCCAGATGTGCCACATCTATGCTATGTATTATCGCCGTTCTTCGAGGGATCTCGGAATCAGGCGAACAGCAAGTCTTTATTGGGGCCGCGGCTTGGCCCTTTGTGCAAAGAGGGCCACACCCGCATACCACTCTATACCTGCAATTTCAGACATGTCTACGGAGGGGGGGTTCGAAAGATATGATGATGATGATGGCGGTCGTGGTGAGATTCTCCGAGGTTGGTATATGTTATTCTTCGTGCCCATACTCCCTCTCTTCTTCGTCGACTGTTGTTCACTAGGTACAGCTTTCTTTGTTCCCTTTCCCCTTACCACATTCCCTTTTCTGAATCGAGGTCGGTGACCTCTTGTCGTTCGTTCTTTATTTCCAAGTGCGATTGTATCGTGCACATCCCATTCTTTGTCCCACTTCCTCCCTTTATAACATTCAGTCACTCGTTTCCGGAACTCTCTGTCCCTCCACCACCCTCGAGTCCGACACTACTCCTACGTGCTTTTTCACAGCATAGCAAAAGCAAAAATGTCTGCTCTTTTCACAGCTGGCCTGATTGCGGCCTTGGCTGCATCCCCAGTCTCGGCATTCTGGCGACTACCATGCAAATCTCCGATCGTTGTCGAACGGGCCGATCCCATAGTCAGCCCTGGCAAGGTGGCTTCCCATCTTCACACCATCATGGGAGGAAATGCGTTCGACTTCACCATGGACGACAACACGACTCGTACCTCCACTTGCTCATCATGTACCGTCATCGGGGACGACAGCAACTACTGGACCCCGACTTTATTCTTCCAGCACCAGAACGGCACCTTTGAAAGCGTCAACCAGGTCGGAGGCGCAACCGTGTACTATCTTCAACGACAAGGTGATGGCGAGACCCTGAAAGCCTTCCCGCCTGGATTCCGCATGCTCGCCGGAGACCCGTACAAACGCAGCGGCGGAGACGACTTTGCTTCACAGGCGATCAGCTACAACTGTCTCAACTACAACGGTCCGGCCAAGCCAGAGACCGGCATGTTCCCAAACTACAATTGCCCAGACGGTCTACGTGCTCAAGTCTTCTTTCCGTCGTGCTGGAACGGCAAGGACCTCGACACCCCGGACCACAAATCTCACATGTCGTACCCGGCCAACTCGTACAACTCTGGCGCGTGCCCTCCGGACTTCCCGGTCCATCTGATTTCTATCTTCTACGAGGTGATCTGGGACACTGGCAAGTTCGCCGACCAGTGGTACGGAGACAGCCAGCCTTTCGTCTGGTCCATGGGTGATCCCACGGGTTACGGCGGCCACGGAGACTTCATCATGGGCTGGGATCCCGCTCTCCTCCAACGTGCCGTCGACACCTGCACCGCCGACAGCGGTCGCGTGGAGGACTGCCCCGAATTCAAACTGATCCCCGACACCCAGGCCGAGGGTTGCCGGATCGAACCGAAAGTCGACGAGTCAGTCAGTGGCTTGTTGGATGCCTTGCCCGGTTGCAACGCCGTCCAACAGGGGCCCGGACCGGCCAAACAACAAACCGACTGCGGTGCTCCTACGACCATAGGTGCCGGGTCCAACGCGAGCTTCTTCACCGACCTCACCGGCAAAGGATGGTCTTACACGGGTTGCGGCACCGACAACTACTACACCCGCATCCTCACGGGTGCCAGTGAGTCCAACGATCAAATGACCAATGAAGCTTGCGTCGCCTTTTGTGACAGTAAAGGTTTCTCGGTTGCAGGTACCGAATACTCGAAAGAGTGCTATTGTAAGTCTTTTGTTTTCTTCTCATCAGCAAGCACAGAAATACATTGCTAACTTTGTGTGTTTTGTATAGGTGGCGATTCTATCCCTACTAGTGGAATGCCCGTCCCTGGCGTCGTCGGCAATTGTCAGATGAAGTGTTCAGGTGACGAAAGCGAATTCTGTGGTGGTTCAGCCCTCATCTCGCTTTATCAGAAATGTACTGGCAGTGATTGCGTCAACACTGGTGGTGGTGGTGGTGGTGGTGGCAGCGGTTCTGGCGGTGCCTCTGCTCCAGCTTCGTCTACTGCGTCGTCTCCAGCTTCGAGCTCACCTGCCGCTGCTCCATCATCATCGTCAACCGCATCCTCATCTCAGGCTATTGTACAACCCACCACTCTCGCGACAACTGCAGTGGTCCAACCAGTCTCTACTGCGGCATCTTCGGTAATTAAAAGAACCATTTTGTTTGATGATCTGGCATTTTGACTACTATGATACACCATACACCACACATCCTACATCAGACCACATGCTACAACTTTGGCCACCAGCCTCCATCTGATAAGCGCCATGTCAGGTGAAGCCGTCGGTGCAGAATGGATACAATTTGACAGCATCTTCTATGTATATGAGCCGTCATGTCCAGGAAATCAATCACCCACCCAAACTACACCCACTCACGCACACACACACACTCACTCACTCACTCAGTCGTTCACTCCAGTCCGCCCAGTTTCCAACACAATATACACTTTGTCCTTTTGATTCCACTCTCCGCTCTCCAACCCACCCACAAGACACGTTCGCACATTCAGTCTTTTTTGTCATGCACACATATCCCCCCTTGATCGCCCCCTAACAAATTCAAGGACAAAAACTAACGGCATCATCTCTCTGTTTTACTATTAGCTCTCCAAATCTTCTTCGACTTCTTCATCTTCATCTCCGACCACAACCACAAACGTTACCAGCACGGCGACACCGACATCATCGTCAACACCACCAGCCTCTTCGAACCCATCATGGTCATACTCGGGATGTTTCACAGACACCGTGACTCCGCGATCACTCCCACAGTGGTCGAATTTCAACGGCCCCGACATGACAAACGATGCGTGCATTTCTTTCTGCGACAAGTCGGGTTTTCCCGTGGCGGGCACCGAATACGCAGGTCAATGTTTCTGTGGTGCCGCCGACGTCACTTCCGGTCTTGAGCAATTGTCAGGAGACAAGTGTAGCATGGCATGCACTGGTGACGGAGAACAAATTTGTGGTGGACCCGGAGCTTTGAGTGTCTGGACCAAGAAATCAACCACGAAAAGAGCCAGTTCAGTTATCAAGAAGAGACACGCTCATGCTCATGTTGGTGCTCATCTGAAAACCCACCAATTCTGAAGGGATATCTCTTGGAGTGCTTTTCCCCCCATGCTACCCGTCGTGTGTGTGTGTACATCAAGCTGTTGGGGACCTAGGGTTGGTATTCGTTCTTTGTATTCATATATAGGTGAGGGTCTTACGAGGGAGATACTGGAATTCAGGGGGGACAGGGGTTGGACTTTTTTGATTTGGTATCTTTTATCTTTTCTTGCTTGTTGTTTCTTCTTACACCTTCACTTCTCGCGCGGACATACACTGTACGTTGTTCTCTAACAAAGGCGGTACTTTGGGATGGCCACAAGGATCGTCTCACACACATGCAAAAGAATCATTCCATCTCTCTCGTCCGTATGATTTTTTTACTTTTTCCCCCTTTTCGCGCGTGCTCTCCGTACATGCTAGGTGTTCAGCTGGTTCCGACAACATGCAACCTACCTAGACTTGCTCGATAAATCGATCGTGTGTGTGTACATACGTCGTCGTCGTCATCATCGTCATCCTCCTCCTCCTTCTGCACCAAACTCTTGAGCCGCTTGCGGCAGACCCTACAGCAAGAAAATCATTGTTCAATAACACCGAACAACTAAGATCTTTTTGGCCTTTCACAGATCTATACCACCCATGTCTTTGTGTTGCCAAACCCAGTAGTATTCTGAGATGATAACCAGACAATGCGCATGAACAAGACAAAACCAAAAATAATGCAAAGTTGAGAATTTCCTGTTCGATTTTACTTCCACTCGCTATGTAATGCTACATTGGGGAATACAGAAGGACCCAAAGGTAAAAGCGCGAGTAATAGTGGTGATCAATAACTTTACAAGGTCTCGTCCTGTCGCCCTTTCGACAAGACAATTAGGGTCTTCTCCCACTTTTACGTCCTCAGCCCGAGCAAGAGACCGGCACCCTTGCCACTTCCACCTTCGCCTTCTCCACCGCCGGGAAGGTAGGTCACGTTGGGATTCGTCGCCAGCGTTTGTGCAATGTCTTTGCTGGCTTCGATTCTTCGGATCTGGATTAAACCGTCGCCTGCCTTGGCCACCGCCTTGCTGATAATGTCTGCAGACTCGGCTTCTCCCTCCGCGCGGATGACGTTGGCTTGTCGCTCTTGTTCGGCCTTCTCGACGATGAATCGTGCTCTTTCGGCGTCTTGTTGTGCGATTTGTTTCTGTTCGACGGCGCGGGTGAACTCTCGACCAAAGGTCATGTGGGTAATGGACACATCCTCAAGCGCGATGTTGAACTCCTGCGCTCTCCGCAACAAGTCGTTTCGGATTCGATTTGAGACTGCTTCTCTTTGTGTGATGAGTTCGGCGGCATCGAATTGCGCCACGATGGCTTTGAGGACTTCGTTTCCAATGGATGGGAGGACTCTTTCATCGTAATCTTGACCGAGTGACTAACGGACAACGGTCAGCTCGATATGAAAACATAAGGAATTAGAAAATGTCACTTGCCTGATAAATCTTGGGTAGTCTCTGCACCTCGGGTCTATGCAGCACTCTCAGGGTCAAACTGACCATTTGCAGATCCTTGCTTCCGGTCGTTGTGCTGATGTTTCTCGGTTTCGTTCGCACATCGTAGATGATGGCCTTTTGCAGCCACGGTATCAGAAAGTGTGTGCCTTCATTGACGACTTTCTCCTGTACACCCGACAATCTGTCGAAGATGACTGCTCTTGTTCCACCTTTAACATCGTAAATCGCAGCCTGGCCGAAAGATGCCGCAATGAAGACTGGGACAGCCCACCGAGAGATGGCGTTCAGGATGTTTGGTGCCGACATGACGTCTTGTTAGAGGGACGGGAAACAGGGGAGATGGGACAACGACGATGAAGGGATCGCTGGTTGCAAGTCGCCGTCTAGGTAGGAAGCTTGTAGTCGTAATGGACTTTTTGACGCATCTGCTTCCGTAATGCAGCTTTGGAGTAGCCGCCAAGCTGCGTAGGAAGAGTATCGTGATGCGCCGTATTCTCTCTACAACGGATCATTTAGCTCTATGCGCAAGATCGGCTGCGAACCAATGGGAGAAGACGAAATTCATCGTCTCATTATGTCAGCAGCCAAGTCTGCAATCGCAGCTCCGGCAAGCTCCTGCGATCAATGATTTCTTTGACGGCTCTCAGTCTAGGTATACATCTTCAACCTCAAACGACTAAAATTCGGTCAAGATGCGTCCGTCTCCTCGTCTCATGATGCAGGCCACCAAGGCTCTGCGTTCAGCTGGCCACCCAGACCCAAAGAACGGAGTGTAGGTGATAGTCCCCATCATCCCGAATTCGCATCGATTGCAATCAACTAACAACTCTGGGTACATAGATATATGGGATGGTGGGGTGACTTGGGTACGAACCTCTTCCTATGACGATACTACACCTCTTCTCTCCTGGCCGAAGCAGAACGCAGTCCGCGCCATGCGAAGCTCAGCGGTGGAACATCATTGCAAGAGAATGCAGAGCTAATATATCATACCGTATAGGTTCACCAAAGCAAAAGGGAATCGTCACCTATGCCATGTCGCCGAACAAGCAAGACCCCATGGCCGGCGCCTACAAGAATGCCGTCTTCAACACCTATCGCCGAACATACCACCAGATCCTGTACTGGCTTCCTCCTATGGTTCTAGGATATGTGCTTATGGAGTGGGCTACCGAGAGGTAAATTCTGGTGAAATTGGACCTCTACGAGCAGAAGCTGACGCGACATGCAGAAACGAGTACCTGAACTCAAAGCCCGGACGTATGGAAGCCGAAGAGTAGATAGGCAAACAAGGGAGTCTTTGAATGATATTGTACATAAGCGAGATCAGTGGATTCGAATACAGGAATTTTCAAGATCATTGTCTTTCATGGCGCCAGTCTCCGAGTTTCCAACCATGCAATAGTATTCGTGCCAACGAGCTACCACATTGCCCGTGCAAGAATTGTCTTCTGCAAATCTGCAAGGCCGAGTATCAAGACTTGAAATACGACCTCGTCACAACGGAAGCCATGCGAAGCCACACCCAAATGAGACATCGACAAATGTTAGCCTGGTCCGATTCTGGGCATGTCGTGATGCTCGCTGAGACTGCTAAGATAGCGGTTCAATTCTTCAACTCGTTCTTTATGAGTCTTTACACCTTCTCTCTTCAGTCGGTCTTCGAGCTGTGAAGAACTTGTCAGCGATCGTCGAACATAGAATAAACAATAAATACGTACTCTCTTTCGTCTTTGCTCCTCGTGCCTCTTCTCCGCTTCGGTCTTGACAACCTGTCTCTCTTCTTCGTCTCTCGATGCGGCGCCTGGACCGACTTCCTCTCCATCGGGGACGGCTAGGCTGCGTCGATCTTCCTTTGCAAATTGAGCGTCTTCGTCCTCCAGATTCTTCAGCATGACGGATTTGTCGTGGAAAGCATTGTCCTCGCCACCATCAGTAGGCCCTTCTTTTGGCTTACTACTGGACTTTTTTTTCTTCTTCTTGTCGATTTTGGCATCTTTCACTCCCTTCAGTTTGAGCTTACCGGAGCCTGCGAATGCATAGTCGTTGGGTGCCATTGTGGCCGCTAGCCTTACATGGTACGCAGAACAGGAGTCGAGAAACTCGTGGCTGGAGAGAAGATTCAATACTGCGTCTGATTGTGTCTTGGTCCACCGTTTTGGGCGAGACATGAGACCTCATGGTGCATTTTCCCTTACCGCTTTCGAGGCCGTCAACAACTCTAACCTCTTTGTAAATTGGAACTCCCTCCGTTACTGCAGAACGAAACACCTAACAAATCATTCAAGGACCGTGGTCTGTCCTGTAGCCTCATACCTGTTGAGTCAGATTCGACGTTGGATCTGGTTTTCGCTTAATGGAGTTACTTTAGCTTCTCCACTGGCTCCATGCCGGCCACACGCCCTCTCCCAAGGCGAGGATGTGACTTACGACGATGCCAGAACCAGAGAAACAAATATCCTAAGCCAGCTTACGTACTTCGATCGTTGTAAACGATCTTACAACTTTATCTTCAGTCGTCAGAGCCTCATTCAAGCACAGGTTGCGCTCCATCTCGGTCTCCGTTCTACTTCCGAATGCCAGATCTCCAGACATGAAGATTGGCTGCAAGGAGCCTTCAATCTATGCGTTCCCGTGTTTGTCAATGGTTCGAAGCGGGCTTTAATTCGGTTCCCTTTTCCTTATCGGGTAGGAGACGGCACCTTTGGCTCTGGAAATTGCGACGAAAAGGTTCTGTCCATGTTGGCTTACCGACCAGTCCGTGGACACAATGGACGTCGATGCCTATAACAAACTTCGCGAGGAATTCATGCAGGTGTTTGAGAGAGAGGAGAAAGCCGATCAGGTATCAGCATCTAGCGACGAGAATGCTCTGCAACTCTCTTCGATCATGAACGATGGCTGGGCTCGGGGCACATTCTGGTACGTTCGTGCTATGCAAAGCGTTACCGGCCTCTGGTCTGTATTTTGCGACCGGATTCAACCACCTACTGTCGTCAACACTGTGACAACGATGAGTTTTACTTGGTGGCGTATGCATACTGGACAAGAGAGGCCTATAAATTCATGGACGAAAAGGTCAATGATAAGGAACAATATGACAGAAAGCTATGTGAAGCTTTCGGGGTATCACCGCAGCCGCGACAAGATTCAATTCAGAACTGAGTTGAACTGTCCACAAGTTCACTGGTATACGTAGACGCCACATCAGCCATCACAGCGACTATTTGTGCCTGGAAAGTAGGTACTATCACGTCGATCAGGCGTCCCATGTGACATTTGGAACCATCCCGGCACGGAGTACAGAGGACGTAACCTGAAAAAAAATCAAATCTAACCTTCGTTCTGCCCATTTCACAAAAGTCCACCACATATACCATACCCATCCACGATCCTCTTGTGTACTTCTGTAACCCACTCAGGGCGTGGGTCATCATACGAAACCTCGAAGGAACGAAATGTCGGGACTTCTCCCAGCTTCTCCGGGTCTTTTGCCCTACTATCTGCTCTTTGTAAGGAAACATCCGTAGCCTATGCTTGATTCAATCATCGAGCCTCAAATCGTGGGTGGGTTTGGCCAAGCTAATATCGTTCACACATGTACAGACCGCTTCCATGGGTCTGATGCACACAGTCGTGTGCTATGTCAACCCCTTGGGCTCGATGCGACTTTTCTCGGGCCCTTGGGCGTCGCCCACGACATCCGTGTTGGCTCATGTCTACGGCATGCAGAACTTGTACACCGGGTCCATCCGCATCTTTGCCGCCTACAACATCGACACTCCTCCCCTGTACTACCTCGCCATGTTGACGTATGTCGGCACCATCTTTCTCAACGCCACCGAGACATTCATCTGGAAGACGGCAAGGTTCGAGGAGACCAAGTTTGCTTTCCTACCTTCATCGATCGGCCTCGTTTGGCTTTTCACTCAAAAGAACTGGTACCTTTCTTGAGTTGTTACGGCTGCCACCGCCGACCATTCATAATTAAATCACCGTAACAACCCTGACAGAACTCTCTTCCTAGATCTGAACGTCGTTATTTCAATCACAAGCGATGCAAGCCTTGAAAGCGTCTGAATCGAACCTGGGCCAGCTGAAGTGCTACTTTGTTCGATTTTTGGGGATGGGGGTAGTAGATATTCATCAAGGATATCGGTAGATCATACCATCGGTGAATGGAGATTTGGGAGGTTTACCCAGCGAGGCTTCACTAAAAAATGGGTGGTTTTACCAATTCAAGTCACCACGGGGCAGACGACCCACTCTCGAGTGAAGTCCTTCCTGTCTGTACGCTCCCTATTTATATTGCTTCCAGCGATTTTCCTTCCACGATCAGAGTGACACCGCAGAATTGATGTGGCTGCCCAATGAAGATTGTTGGCTCAATTGGTGTCGGTCCTCGCACCCAAGAAATGAAGGACAAAAAAAGTCACGAGTTCAATGCAACAGCCTGACCAAAATCCCCCAAACTGACAATCACAAAAGCAAAAAAAGATAACCAAACCCTTCTTCGGACCTAAGAGTTTCTCTTCCCACCTCACCATCATCAGATGAGGGAAGTTTTTTGTCGATTGAACGAACCATCAATGTTGTGTTGGTCATGATGAAGGCTGGGTTCAGTTGGACCGCAAGATTGCTAGTAGGTTCGTACTTTGTAGACCTCCACGGGTGAATCAAACGTTACACATACTATTATGACAACATCAACTGACAAATTTGCTTCGTCTACTATCATCGGTAACATCTGCGTGAACTTATGACCGACGAAGATAGAAGTGGTGGAGGTGGAGGAAGTAATTAGAAAAGTCCCGATACGGTTCTGTTTCCTCGGTCTCATGACTCATGTCGCATCGCAGTCATCAAGATTTGTCGGCCGTTATTAGTGCAGGTCTCAACAAACATCTGAGCCAGAAAGTCAACTTTCGGGGAATTGTCTTTTCTTCTCATGACACGTCGTTTCAGACTCGGACCAGCACGATGCCAGGAGGAGTTCGCGCATACCTAGCCGCGACTCGGCGTCCCACGCGAGCATACGTGCCAAAACATCACCCGCAGCCGTGCTGGATTTTCCAAGGGTTGCAAGAAGATGTTGATGTGCAACCTTGTCGATACCGTTTAGTGGAAGATTAGGTTTTCCATGAAGCAAGGTCCATCCGACCAGGCCGTAGCTGTAGACGTCAGACTTGCACGACCAGTGTAGTGTTGGATCCGGCGAGAAAGGGTTTGTGTCTCTCGACCTTCGCTTCAGCTCGATGATTTCAGGGGCGAGGAAAACGATTGTCCCTTTCATGTGGTCCTGGGAGTTTGTGCACGTGGTGGCGTGGCCAAAGTCGGCAATGACCACGCGCAGTGGATCGGATCGGACCACCAGAATATTGCCCATTTTCAGGTCTCGGTGAATGATGCCAAGAGAGTGAAGGTATCGGATACCCTGGGCACCCTGGTGGAAGGCTCTCCAACGTACAGAGCGGCTCACTTGCGGTTTTGTCAGTACTTCGAGAATATCAGGAGCCCACGGTTCAAAGAACATGTATATGTCGTTGATCTTTTTGTTTCCCATCGAAGTGTCGTCGCCGTCCGAGTAGATGACGTCGGCCAAGGTGCAGATATGAGGCTTCGGATAGGGTGATTAGTAGACGAACAAACCGAAAAAATTGCTTTCGCTTACGTGTTTTCCCAAGAGCTTCAGGACAGTAATCTCGTCTCTGATTTGATCAAAGGTGTATCGTGTTCTTTGAACCCGTTTCACTGCATAAACATTCCCAGAATCGGTATGAACGCACGCGCTTACAACTCCGTACGCTCCAAAGGCTTGCGGAGTCTGAATCTGGTATCCATGGAACATGAGATGACTGTTTGTGGGGGTAGGGTCGAACGATTCAATCTTTTCCGAAAACCACGTTCCACTTCCCAGGACAATGTTGTCGAGCTTTGCATTGTAAGATGCGGGGTCCACGGATTGAAATTCGATTTTGAAGGTGAGGTTGCCAATCGTCAGGCCCATCTGCATGTTCCCAAGCACTTTTCCTTCCCTAGAAATCTCTTCACCATTGAGAAGCACACCATGTCCGAACATTGGTACGATGGTCAGCACTCGACTGACCTTGTGGTGCCTGATTTTGCCATGACGTCCTCCCACACGGTCTCGCTCACGGTCAGCTGTGATGAGAAAGTCCACTCCAGCATACCCTGATTCTCCGCGGCCAGATCCAATTACCCAACCCTTAGGAAAATTCTCCGGCAGGATGTCAAGATTCAGGCGAAAGTAGCCGGTATAGATTTCTCGTACTTCAGCTTCACGGCCTGAAGTACCACTCTCTTGCGAACATCCGGAAAGGAAACAAGCTCGGTCTGGGCCTCAGAAACATGGATAAACTTCCGACAATGAGGGTTCCAGCAGTTATCCAGTTTGACAAGTGTCGCGATTTCGTGAAATGCTATCTTAGCCTGATGATTGGCAGGCACAAGCCGGGCAAAATCTGAGCTCGCTGGAAGGAGCGACAAGCTATTAGGATGGTTTGTGGCACGGTTGAATTCGTTGGGTTGGAGTGTGGGATCGTGGATAAAGACCTGTCGCTCAGACGTGTCAGAGATATCCTTGAGCAGATCGGTGTCGTCAGTAAGATCTAGCCGAGTAGTGTCTGCAAGCGACAGCTTGTCTACTCCACTAGCTGGTTCCATCATGATTGACACTAGCGATTAGGATTGAACGCATCATGACTAGGACTTAGATTAGGGGGGTCCTCTATTCTTCTTAAGATCAGAGAGGAGGGACTAAACTGCACTCGTGATCTATGTCCTGGACGACATATGAAACTTGGAAACAGTGGTTCGCGATGGAGGATTCACCCTAATGCAAAGGCCGACCTCGAGCCCAAGCATTTTGTAAGAACTGCATGAACTGAGTAGAGAATGATTGGGCCCTCAGTGCAGGCCATGTGCGCTGCTGCCTGATGGTGGCCGCCAGTACGATTGATCATCACGTCTCAGATCGATCCAGACCATGACCGGGGGGGTTTCCCTTTAAAAGAGTTTATACCCAGCTACCCTAAGATAGGCAGTTGGACTGCATAGCGTAAGCAGGCGGGTCGGATCTGCCTAACTAAAAACAAGGCTGTCGCCTCGGCGCTACCCGAAAGTAAAATACCTTAATCACTTGGCAAAATCTGGGGATCGTTTCCCATGCGCCCTGTTCTGGTTTCTCTTTTTTCCCTCTCGAAAACGCAACGATGCATTTCCAATACAGACAAAGATGGCCACACTCAAGCCCGATGTTAACGATCCGGACTATAACGAGAGTATCACACTCAAACTTGACGCACTTAACTCTCAATGGAGAGTCTCATGTGCACTTTCACGGATCTGGGAGCATTGGACTGCCGGGTCATTAAGCCCTCGTTGTAGTCATTACGAGCAGAAAACTCCACCTCCCGACGATCAACTCACCCCTAAGAGCCTATACCTTCGAAACTTCTACCGCAATTATGGTATGGGTGCCGACACCCCGTGGATCGAGACACCGACACCTCCTGAAGAAGCACAAGCGTCGCTCGAAGCAGGCCGGGCGTTGCTTGCAAAGATTGCGCACTTAATGCCAAAACCAAGACGCATAATTATCAAGCAAGGAGTCCAGCATGCTATCAACGAACCCAAAAGGCAATATGGCATCACCAAATCAAGGAAGCCAGCCCGAAAACACACTCCCCACTCCATGGTTACTCGCACAAGATCGCTTTCAACGCGAGGGCATCGATTGTTTGATCTGGAACATCCACCACCGAAAGAAGAAACATGCCAGGAGGGAATTGGAATCATGCAGTCGATTCCTTGATGTGGCAAGCGTGGACACTTTCCCACTGACTAGCCTTAATCGACATACACAACCCAATATGGCACCGTATGCCACTGAACTAAATTCACAGAGCTCCGCCGTCCAGGGTACACCTTTTTTCCTCTGGAGTAATATCCGAGCAGCAGCTCTGGAGGGAACACGCCAATTTCGGGGATAAACTATCGAAACATTAGATGTACAACCGAGGGATTCTTCCGAGGGTCGGATGTGAGATCGAAGTGTTGACATCCATGCTGCTGAATCACAACCTTCTTTGGTGCCTTGGTAGTATTAACCCAACACTCTCAAGACCGACTTGTCGTCGGTCATATACGTGAAGGTTTGATCTACTACGGACCCAAAGAAAACGAGATTTACTGAAAGAGTTGTCGATTAGGACAACACCTTCATGTTGTCAAGCGTGGAGGAATATGTCGCTACTCGCTAGTGCAGTAATTTACTTGCCTGATGTAGGAAGTTAGGAAGTTCAACAGAGGGGGAAGACGATGAAGAAGACCAGGCTATGTAAAACACCGAGGAGAACGCGGGCTATTTCACTAGGTATCTGAGGAAGTGCCCTAATCCATGATCTGACCTGCTCTTCATACAGTAGGCTCTCCCTCTTGCTACCCAATATCATTCCCAGTCTTTTTGACCATAGGAGAAAGGGACTTTGCAGAGATGAGCTTCAAGCTGAAAGGCCTGAGCCATATTCAACGTCCAAGAAGTTAGGGGAGAAACAACCATTTCAAGCGGTTTTGAAAGCATAGGGTGGGTTCATCTATAGGAAGGTACTTGTCGTCGTTTAGCAGGCCGCGTGCAAAACGATGGTCCGAAGTGTCTGCATCTTACTCGCTCTAAACATTTGGAGACTGAAAACGCGGTGCACATTCCTCATTGTATTCCTTTAGCTGCGCCATTTTCGTCTGTGTAAACGACTCCATCTCTGCACCCACCTCGTCTGAGAGGGATTCAGCATTGTCATCATGCAGTCTAAGTGCAGTCCAATATACAACGTCGATGTCGAAACTCTTCTTGATCGCATAGTCAACCCAGAAACGTCCCGATGTTCCACGAGTGACGCATTCGGGCGGAAAGACTTGGCTGCATCATCTTTGATCCGCAATCACATTCGGCTTGTTCCATGGCCTGCAAGACCTGTTCCATCCCTGTGCTCAAAGAGAGGAATGAAATATTGCAGTGAGCCCTTATCGAGCCACGTCTCCGGTCCGGACAAGAGCAGCCACCAGGGCGGATCGTATGTGAACAGGGCTGGCATCGCCTTTGTGAACATGATACCAAAGAAAAGGCTTCACGTGAACACCTACCTACCAGGTATGCAGAGTATACAAAGGTACTTAAAGGGTAATTCTCTAAATGCCTAGTACTACCTAATTGAAGGCTTAGGTAAGGTCAGGGTCACTGGGGTTACGGTTATTCTCGGGTAAAGAGAAAGCCCCCCAGGCTCAAAAATTAACCGATTTGGGCCCGTATCTCGTTTTATCAGAATGCGAAGGTGAAGTTCACCACATTGATCTCATGGTAAATAGATCGTCATTATCTCAAGTCGGCGTTATGGCGCCATCTGCCTCACAGCAAGAAACGGCAGTAGTGTGACAGTCGTTCGATGACGTATCATTGTGTGGTCCTCAATTTCGATGAGTGCGGCATCTCTTGCCACTTGATTATCTTGAGACTCTCATCATCACCACGAGGCGGTCCAAAACAAGGACTCTCCTCTGCTTTTCGATGGGACGATCACAGCCGTCACTTGGCCTTGCCCCTCCGCCTCGGCGTAAGGATGCACGGGCCAAAGCTGCAAGGCTGACGGCACACAAGACCATCCCAGGGCTCTTGGTCGGTAATGCGAGGGCAAGGAAAGGCGTGGAAAGCAGCGAGCTTATCTTGGACGCATCTGCAGTTGATGCAGGAATTAGCTCAAAAGGCACAGAGAGCAGAAAACACCGGCGAGATGCGAGAGAGAAAGTCAAAATTCGTGTGGTTGAGGGGGACACCCTGGTCGTTGCAAGGGCGTTGAGTCAAGCTTCTTCAGGGGGTATTGACGATGGAAAGTCGTCTAGACTTAAGAGTAACGTGGCAGTGCTGAACATGGCTAGTCCCCTGCTGCCCGGAGGAGGGTTTCTCAACGGTGCAACTGCACAAGAAGAAAGCCTCTGCAATCGAACGACGCTGTACCCGGCACTGAAGGACGAATTCTACCGCTTGCCTGAAGTCGGCGCCATATGGACCGAGGATGTATTGGTGTTCCGAGACCACACTGGCAAAGATCTGGGCAAAGGCGATCGATGGTGGGTTGATGTTATAAGTGCAGCCATGCTCCGTTTTCCAGACGTGGAAGGCATTGACAACGACAAGAAATACGCCGGCCAGAAGGATCGCGACACTGCCAGCAGGCAGATCAAGTGCCTCATGGACATTCTACGAGCAAAGGGCGTCGAGAAGTGCGTGCTCGGCGCATGGGGATGTGGTGCATATGGGAATCCCGTTGTCGAGATTGCACGAGCCTTCAACAAAGTTATCCTGGGTGATGGCAGAGACAGCAAAGTGCCCGACTGGGCCAGCTTGAAAGAGATCGTGTTTGCAATCAAAGAAGACAAGCTGGCGTCGGATTTTGCAAAGCATTTTGGCAACGGCCTTGAAGTTGAGAGGCAGGCGCATGGAGGAAATCAGACATCTAAAGAGAGCGATGATGGTGACACGGCCGGGCTCAGAGAACTCGAAGATAAGATCAAGGAGCTTGATTTACGCATCGACCAGTCCAAGAATCCCTCTCTGAAGACAACCCTGGAGAATATCCGTGTTCAGCTGACGAGTCAACTGGAGAGGAAGAGATCGGACAATACCCCAGCGGGAGAGTCGGATGAGGCAACCAGTGAGGACGAGGACGAGGACGACGGAATCTCAGGGACAGATTCGGCATAGGGTCTAGGACTCGTTCGATCTCATGCTCATCAAGGGCAGGCTCGTGGACATTTGAGATACATTGAACAAGTGTCTAACCGTGCCTTAAGTCCCCGCGTTTTAACTCCCCGAATTCTTACATGGTGGCCCTATCTTCTCGGCCAGTTCGTTTAATTTACATCCAACCAGAGGACAAGCTACTCGGTGATGGTCATGTAAGGCACCCTGGACAACTCGAGTGAGATGGAGACTGGGCTTTGCTAGGATATTATATGACATTGAGTATTTATACCAAGATCAATATCCCCGCAAGCAATTCTTCTCGATGTCTTTGACCAGACTAAGTTCTTAGCTTACCCTGGGCTTGCCCATTGATCGTCCGCGACGATTTCAAGGCTCATTGTGGGACTAGTCAGACGGTCGTGGGAGAATCTCCACGACTTCTCCTTATGTGGGAACTTTGGTGTAGCATCACTTCGCGGGGTCACCACATCAAACCTGCCCTTAATGTGGGCGGGGAGAAGACGATGAAAGGAAATACCCCAGACTCATGTACTGTACGATCCGTCGACTCAGTCTCCGTAACTATACTCATTTGCGAAGGCCATCTGGATTGATGATGTGAGGCCGAGAAGAGGAGAGTGGGTCCAGAGTACAACATTTCAGACAACAGAACCGACGTTGCAGACGCCGAAGACGCCTATCGCTGCCAGATCAGACAGTATATTAATCTCGAAATCCTCCTCACCTCCGCTGACTGTTTGACCCTTCTACGATACTGTTTCACTCTGTCAAAGCAAATTACAACTGGAGTAGATATCAAAATGGCCCTAACGACTGTTCTACCCATCGCAGGCGCCTTGCTGTGCGCCTTCTTGTTCTATGCATACGCCTTTGTGGGACGACGAGAGAAAGGTCTTCCTCCTGGTAAGCTGTCCTGTCTTCCATCCCGCTGGAAAGCCTGTAAAAGCCATGCCAGGTATACTGACTGACATTTATCATCGCAGGCCCTCCTACCACAGCCATCATAGGTAACGCCCATCAAATACCCACCAAAGGATCATATCTCAAGTGAGTCAAGACTGTTTCTACACCCGCTATCCGTACCATGTGAAGAGAGGACTCACAGTTTATTGCAATAGGTTCACAGAATGGGCAAAGGTACTCCTCTCTGATATTATGTTGCCGCGATGGAATTGACTCAATTGCCAGACTTACGGCGGAATCTTCTCCCTTAAACTCGGACCTGCAACGGCCGTCGTACTCACTGACCGTCGACTTGTGAAACAACTCATCGACAAGAAGTCCGGCATCTACAGTAACCGCCCTCACAGCTACGTCTCGCATAACCTCATCACAGGTGGCGACCACGTTCTGATCGCACACTATGGCAAAGTATGGCAACGGTACCGCAAAGTCATTCACCAACACTTCATGGAGAGCATCGTGATGAAAGACCATCTTCCTCTGCAACAAGCTGAAGCCAGCCAACTGTTGCATGACTTCCTCATCCAGCCTGACCAGCACATGTGGCACCCAAAGCGATTCACAAATAGCATTGCGTGCGGAACGATCTGGGGTGTACGCAGCCCGACCGTCAACACTGAGCATATGCTGCGCTTGTATAACTTGATGGAGGACTGGTCTGTCGTGATGGAGCCCGGCAATACGCCACCGGTCGACATCTTCCCCGCGTTACATTACGTTCCAGAAGCTGTCTTTGGCAACTGGCGGACCAGAGCCAGTCACGTCGGGAAAGCGATGAACGATTTATACAACGATATGCTCACTGGCCTGGAGAAGAGACGGGAAACCGTAGGACCCAAGTACAGTTTCATGGACAGGGTGCTGGACCAGAAAGATAAGCTCGACCTGACCAGACATCAGTTGTACTTCCTTGGGGGCACCATGATGGAAGGGGCAAGCGACACGTCTTCGAGTATAATACTCGCTGCCATTCAGGCGTTTGTCAAGTGGCCCGAAGTCATGCGCAAGGCACAGAAGGAGATCGACAGCGTCATTGGTGAGGACAGAAGTCCTCTCTGGTCTGACTATGCGAGTTTGCCCTACATTGCAGCAACAGTGAAAGAAGCCATGCGATGGCGACCAGGTATGTCATTATTTGGTCAATACCGTTCATCATCGCTCTCGACAGACTTGCTTGGTTTGCAAACATGTTCCCTGCTAATGAATCGTAGTGGTACCTTTGGCTTTCCCACATGCTGTAGACGAAGGTAAGTCAATGAACCACCCGAACACACCCACACGTGGCTGACTGCGAAACTCAGATGATTGGATCGAGGGCTACAAGATCCCTAAGGGATCCGTGGTCTTTATCAATGCTTGGGGCATGCACCACGATGAAAAGAAGTTCCCTAACCCCGACGTCTTTGATCCGGATCACTACAAGGGAATCACCGCATTGGCGTCGGAGCTAGCTCAATCGTCCAACCCCGATGACAGAGATCATTACGGGTACGGTTCAGGAAGACGTCTTTGTCCTGGAATCCATCTTGCCGAAAGAAACCTGTTCCTCGGCATCGCCAAACTTTTGTGGGCGTTCGAGTTTGGACCCGGGAAAGATGAGGATGGAAACATCGTCGAGCCGGATGTTGACCCTCGAACGGGCTACAGTGAAGGCTTCTTAGTTTGTGCGAAGCCGTATGCGTTGGACGTCAAGGTTCGATCGGAGAAGAGAAAGGAAACCATTCTTCGAGAGTATGAGGAAGCAAAAAGGGATGTTTTTTCTGCCTTTGATAACTAGGGTGCGCAATGACAAAATGCATGAGAGGACGACTCGATAGGACACATATGATCAAAGAATTTGTAAAACAGATTGAATCGCATATACTGTATCATGGAGCGGCACACAAACTGCGACGGAGTGACTAGCTAACTCGAGACAGCCTTGCACCCTCACAGCCTTGCGGAGGTCGAGTGCTTAGTCAACGTCACGTGATGGATATTTCTTGTCTTGGCTCGGACCCGCCCACAATGGCACACAGACTGCGCTAATCTCCAAATCCCAAAAAGTTCACCGGTCTTAAGAACAGAGCGCAGTTTCTTTCATTCTCCCTCAACCACTCACCACAAACCGAAACAACAAAGGCGCAGGATATCGACCTCTTTGCGACCGACAACTTCTCACTCCCAAACACACATACAAGATGGCACCAACACGACCCGTCGCATCCAAGGTAAGACTTCACCGGTGAAACGAAACCGAACCGCTTTGCTGCCCTCCATGTCCCATTCAAGGGTGTGTGGTTGTCCTACCTCTTCTCTGCCGTTTCGCGCGAGATGTTGCAGCGAAAACGCATTGAGGAACCTCACAACCCCTCCCCCCAAGTGAAGACATGAGAAGAGAAAAAGTAAAGGCAGTAGGCTAAGGGTTTTTTGGGATTATAGGCATCTGGCCGAGGTGGCAAGAACGCAAAGAACCAAAAGGTTACCAAGAAGGTATGATTTCAACGTCCATTGCTCACCGGCTGTGTCTCTCATCAGGCAAGATGGGAGGGTGCGCGCGCGAGAGAGACCGTGTGAGAAGGGGTGTGAGTGTGCTGACGTTCATATTCAAAACAGTACACCATCAACTGCAGCCAACCCGTCAGCGACAAGATCTTTGACCTCTCGGCTTTCGAAAAGTTCCTGCACGACCGCATCAAGGTCGAGGGCCGTACCAGCAACCTCGGCGACAACGTCCAGATCTCCCAGATCGGCGATGGCAAGATCGAGGTCGTCACTCACATTCCTTTCTCCGGTCGCTACCTGAAGTACTTGTACGTCTCTTGCCTTCCTTACACCCTACACATCCCTACCAGAGAAGAAAAAAGAAATCGAGAACTAGGCTGATAACAGAAAAACACAATAGGACCAAGAAGTTCCTCAAGAAGCAACAACTCCGTGATTGGCTTCGTGTCGTGTCGACCAGCAACGGTGTCTACGAGTTGAGATTCTTCAACGTCGTCAACGAGGAGGGTGACGAGGATGATGAATAGACTACCAAAGTCACAAGACACATCCAGGGCTACTAGCATTCGGGGGTTCAATCTCATCACGACACAGCATGGATAGAAAAAGGGCATCGGCATGGCATCATTAACTTGATTGGCGTGACATTGCACTACTACCTTATCTAGTCCAGACCAAAAAATAAAGAAAAGGTTCAATAACATGACAAGACAAATCCGATCAGGTTTCTGCCTTTTCATATTCTTTCCCATCATGTCCTCTGGTAGAGATGGATTTGATACCTCATGTTCTCCAACTCCAAGGGGTATTTCAAGGAAGAATTCAATCTGAACCAACGTGAATCATCCGAGACTCGTTTTTTCCACTTACCCTGTGCGACGTCCTGTAAGGCGTGATCGAGAAGCCATTTCATTGGGTACTTCTTGGTCTGACCCTGACCCTGGCCCAATTTGACCTCGGAGTAAGACCCTGGACTGTCGACGACGAGGAACCACGAGCCGGGCTGCATGATGTCGCCAAGCGCCAGCAAGAATGCGGTCGTCCGTGATATCGAGGTCGAAAAGAACTCGTTGAGTGTGAACATGATGGTGCATAGGCGAACAGATCCAAGCATCTCACGTAGCTTCCCTTCCTCGACGGCGAGGATGTCGCATTGAGAAAAGCGGTGGGAGAACAAATCACTCGTGACCAAGGAGGAGGAGGGCCTATCATTGGCGGCCACCTTTGCGCCCTCGCTCGGATAGGTCGAGAGTGAGAGTGGAGGTGGAGGAGTGCACAAGTTGTTTGCTAGCTTGTCAAGACATCCAGACCAGTCTGCAACGTCGATGGCATGTACTTCCAGACCACTCGAGAGGGATTGTCTGGAATAATGCGCTATAGCCGCAGCACATGCAGCCACTTCCGCCCCTCCGCCACCTCCAATGCAAGCGACTTTCGTAGCGCCGCCTTCGGTGTCTCTACGCGGAGTTGCAGTAGTAGTAGCAGCAGCAGTAGTAGTAGACGGATCAGTTCCGCTAGGAGTAGTAGTAATAACCCACACCGGCTGCAAGTCGCGATGTAAGAGAATGTCTGTATATCCGAGTGAGCGGGCAGCACTCCACCTCAGTGCATAAGCATCTAGATATTCTTGCTTGGCGAAGGCGCTCACAAAATCCCGTTGGTAGAGGTGGCCTTTGACCTCTTGAATCACCGTCTTGACATCCTCCACTTGTTGTTGGTCGTGGGGAGGAAAAAACGCCCGACGAAACACGTCCAAAATCATTTGATGTAGCTCTACCGGAAGAGCCGCGGGTTCGGGACGTTTCTGTGCAATGCTGTTGTTGACATGAGCGCGGGAGATATGTGTGGGTTTGGTGCTACTCGAGTCCTTTTTCTTTTTCCCTGAAGGCGGCGCCATTTGCTTTCTCTCGATGACGGAATTTTCAAGAACAAAAGGGACTGGTCAGCGTCTCAAGCCTAATGGCGCAAGTTTGTAACACGGAAGCCCAGGTTCAGTGGTACAAGTAAACGACAAAATCCGAAAAAAAAATTAAGCGCCTGCTTGTCCTCCCAGCAACATGTCATGCCACAAAGAGGCGTAATGCGTGAGTTGTTGCTTCTGCAACAGTAGCCGAAGGCGCTAAAGAACTGACCTGTCGAGCTGATGCCGTGATGTAGATGTGTGCTGATGACCAGGTCGTAATCGTCCCAATCCAAATGGAAATGTTGACTAGCTAAAGCCCGCCTTTGTTGGCTTCGAGACCAGTGACGAGGTTAGCTATCTCCAGCCACACCCAGTCTTTCAGGAAAAGGTTACACCACCAAGGAGAATTTTTCTTATCGGGCGCAACAGGTGTGTGCCTCCTCTTACGGCTGGCCCCTCTTCTCACGAGAAGACGTGCATGCACTAATGCGTGGTTTGCATATGGACGAACCAAAGTCTTCAAGGGCCGCCCAGTGAGAAAGTTGGAGTGAAGCTGTCCTTCTTTTGACGTGAAAGAATTCCCAAGCCCCAAATGGCATTATTGGTCTGGAGGGTCCGCAAAAGTTCAGGTTCCAAGGCGGTCAGTCTACCAAGCTAGCCCGCAATCAATGCCCCGGTCAATGTGAAGGATTCGGGGAAAGGGTGTGTTTGAGATTTGGCGAACAGACAGGGCTCCCCCTAGGGCTGGCAATATCTCTTAGACGATACAACCGAGATTTCGACCAAGAGTTGTCAAGGTAACCAGCAAGAAGCGAGTTTCACCTGATTCTGGTGTTTGGAGGTTCCGGGTATCTCTGGCTTGTTTGAAAATATGAGATTCACAATCGTAAACCAGGAGCGAACAGATCGGCAGCTCACGGCTGTATCCGTGAGTGAAGACCAGATTTCTCTTTGGGCTGAAGCCACAAGCACCTTTCACAAGCAAAATGCGGCCTGGATGTAACCGAAAGCGATTTTGCACTCGGGATCGAATGCCTCGTATTGGTCGCCTGTTGGTTCTTTCAGGCCTGCAGTTCCTGCATAAGCGCAGCTTCGGAGGACCCGCGAAAGCTGCAGATGCCGTCCGCTAAATAGTTCAGCTGCAAGGTCCAGGGACCTCCCGCTCAGTACAGCAAATGGATTGAGACTTCTCACAAGAGAGGCCAGCGATAGACATATGGCTGCGTCGCAGGTCTGCATCCACGTTTTTCTCGCCAAAACCAGTCAGGAATCCGAAGGCACGCGCTGACGAGGAGGTCGCACAAGGTAGTCCAACTGTACTGTAGATAAGAGCACGGCCCGGTGGGTAGACAGGGAAAAGTGGAATTCAGGTGATGGAGATTGGAAGGCCGCCAGGCCAGGATGGTCATCTCCTTGCCCTTTTTTGCCTGCCAACACATCAACCGGCCGTCTCTTGGGTCAGACTATGTTGATTGACAATGTCAATCAGTAACCATGAGTCGCTGGCGCCTCCTTTGGGGGAAAATTGTCCATGGTAACGTGGAGAAAGGCCCCATGCAGGGTTCAGGCGCGGAGGATTGAAGCAGTGTTCAAGGCGCACGTCAAAGCGTAGCCTGGGACTGTACTGTGGCTCTGATGGCAACCTTTAATTGAATTACTCCGGAGGTGTCTCGACGGGTCTGTTGTCGTGGCATTCGTACTCGTAAGGTGGCCTCGCCAGAAATGCAATTGTTCGTCATCGTCGTCTCGCATACGGAGGCGGATGGCACCAGTTCATCGCAAAAGCAGGCATCGTGCCAACTCCAACCATCTGCATGGACCGAAAGAGGATTGGGGCCAATGCCGCAGCAGCCGCTAGGGATACCTAAAGACGTAGCCCCTCACCCGTAGAATGGCGCCTAACCTGGCTGGGCGACCGCCTAAGAAATAAGCTGCAGCTGCATCTCTGGCCTGTGACCTGATCCCTGGAGAATGAGTGCCTGGTGGTTGCCAGGTGCAGTGGAGTCGCCTGCTGCCGGTTCCTCGCACCCTGCACCTGCACTGCGCCCTCTTGCCCGGGGGCTTCCTGGCTTCCTGCACCTCCGTCTTCCTTCAGCTTTTTCCCGTTCAAACCACACACATCCATCTCACCACACTCCCTCCTCTCCACCACCTGCAATCCAGTCCCTCTCAGACCTCACGGCCTTGACAAGCCTTTGGCTCCTGATCGAAGGAAGACGCATTCTCGTCTTTCTTCCAGGTTGCTGTCCACTCCTTCAAAACCACCTTGCTCAATCATTCAGATCAACACCATCAACTCTTTCCGCTTTAGCCGACCTCAAATCCTCGCAGCTTCACCGAGCAAAGAGTCTTGCCCTTAGGTATTGCTCGCTGTGAGCTCTCGACAGATTACACGCTGACACGTCTCCAGACCGTTATACCAGTCCTTCTTTACCAAGACATTGCAGCGCAATCTCGCCCTCCTCAACCTCTAATGGTGGCAGTCGTTTCTTCGCAAAAAGCAGCATAAACAATTCGACTTGATCAGGTGCAGGAACACCTTTCTGAACAATATCTAATGAACCTGCCTGCTGGTCAGAACAAGCGCCGACACTAGTCTTCGGCTGGCTGCTATTGTTGAACTATGACTTCAATTTCACTGCCTCCTGTAGTACCCGGCTTATCGCCATTCGACTCGGCTCCTGAAAGTCCAACTCGCTCTCCTGCCGCGCACAGAAGACGGTCGTCACGCAACCCGAATGCTGCGCCTCTTCCGATCTTTTCCTTCAATCCAGGTGCGGATGAGGCTACCATGAAAGCAGGAGAAATGGGAGGGAGGAATCCGCCCACGGGCGCTACAATGGTGGAAGCCAGCCGACGTCCCTCGCGACCAGCGTTGCCAGAGTTCAAGTTCAATCCTGGAGCCGATTTACCTCCTGAGAGGAGTCCGAGCCCAACTCACCCGGTACTACAAGAGATGGCTATGAATCAACAACGTGCGGTTCGATCTGCTAGACCTGCTCCGTTACCCGCGTTCACCTTCAACCCCAGCGCAAATCCGGCACAGGCATCACCAAGTCCGACGAAATTGAGTCTTGGCGATGTCCAGCCTCCACCACATCGTTCTGGTCATCGAAGAGGCGTCAGCGAGTTCGTGGGTGGTGGAAACAACGGCCCTCAAATGGTCAGTACGAGTCCGGAAAAGTCAGAGTACCGCCCACATCCTCCCGTCACAGGAGCCAGGGGACATGCTCATCGCCGGTCACAAGCCGTGTCCATCTCTGACATTGACACGTCTGAGTTGATCAAGGCAAACGCTTTGTCCAAAGCACGGGCCGGCTCTTCACCAACCACCCCATCCGATTGTGCACTGGCCTTCCCATATCCTCGTGCTGGGCCTTCATCGCGGCAGTCAATGTCAAACATCGTCCGAACTCCACCATCGTCTCCTCGACGTAGAGGCAGTGCACCAGGTGTTCGACCGCGTGTAGGTTTCTCTGATCAGGTGGATGTCATTCCTCGGCCTCTGTCTCTGATCTCGTCTGAAACCGAAGGCAGCAATTCAACAATCCGAGGATGCCACTCACTATCAGGTAGCATCAATTCAATCGCCAGTCCCAGTCCACGCCCAGCGGTGATCATCACCTCCAGCGACCTGTCGAGTTCGCCAGAACGGCCTCAGACTGCCGATGCGCAATCCACTCTGTCGCCCGGTATGACTTCTCAGACAAATCCGATTTCGATGATCAACCTGCCAAAGCGGCCGCTTTCAGCTTCTGGATCGCCTGGAACACTGAGTTGCAGCAGCCCTCCTAGTAAGAAGAAGTATTTCTGGTTCAACCAGTCTACCACGAGCTCTCCGTTGGCCACGCCCCGGGCAGAGCAAAGTGATCCCATGGACGTCTTCACCTCTGATGCGTCTCCTCGACCATCCGTGCTGAGAGCCTTTGCTGATCAAAGTCGGCCCAAAACCTCTGCCGGAGAACCGGGCTCCTCGTCATCGAGAAAGCGGAAATACCATACCTGGACTTCTGGCATATTTTCAAGAAAAACCGACAGCAAACGCTCCGGTAAAGCTAAAGAACAGGAAATACCGCCGGTGCCTGCTTTGGTTAGACGACCAAGCGATCGCCTCAATGACATTTTCGACACCGATGATACGATCGTCCTACGTGAGCCTTCCCCAGTCGCAACGAGAGTTCGTCCTCCGCTTCCGCAACTAGTGCCGGTTCAGGCATCTGCCGCCACCGCCCCTGCAGAACAAGTCACGAGCCCTGTGCTTGATTTGGACGCAGCTTTAGGTCCATTCGGAAGTGAAGAGAAGCTCAGCCCTGGCAAAAGCTTACCTTTAGTTCGCATCGCGAAACTTCACAGCAGCGAGCGTAGAGGTAATGTGGATGCCTTTGGCACTGTTCATAGGAGGACTGAATCAGCACCAATCATGCCAGCTGTCAATCGAACCACCTTTGGCGTTCACCGTATTGGGAGTAACTCGTCTCTCACTGAGGATGTTTTCGACGAAGAGGAAGAGGATAATTTTCTGGCTGGAGAGAACATTGAGTCCCAGGGGAATCGCTCGTCTGCAGATAACCAGAGTGACCCGATGTCAATCGACCCCCTGGATACATCGCCGTCTGCCCGATATACTGCTCCTCCTCTGAAACCAACCGAAGGCCTTGGCTTATCCTTGGGCAAGCAACGCGCTGACGGTGTTGTCATTGCTGATCTCGAGGAAGATGTTGCTCGTGCTGAGGCCAGATCTTCCAACTCTACCATCGAAGCGCCAGTTTTCCCAGATTACGAGGCGACAAAGCCCTCAACTTCCCCAATGGTTCTGGCATATCCGGCACCTCAATCCCACTACGCTTCTTCCACTGAGGGTCGTACAACTTCGGCCTCGATGATCTCTTCTCCAGATGCAGACCATATTTCTTTCGACACCATGGCCCGCCCAAGCCGGGCAATCGGAGAAGCAAGCCCGGACTATGTACTACGAGCTTCCATGGATGATTTGCCTTCTCTGAGTGACAGCCTGTCAAGCGGAGTGCTACCAAGATTTTCGAGTAGTGCCGGTACCCGTTCTTCAACGGAGCAACGTTCTCGCTCCATGATAGATCCATCGACCTCAAGATCGCAAAGTCAACAAGCATGGAAGCGAGCAAGCTTAGCCAGTCTCAATCGCCTGATTCCAAGTTCTTCGAACGGCAGCAAGCTTAAATTCGAGACTGTACCCGATCCGCTAGTCGAGGACGTCAAGGTTCGAAAGAGGAGCAATAGGATCAGTAAATTGGTACATTTTTGGCGATCGAAAGAAAAGCCTGAAAAATGATCTTTTCGGGGACAAACAAGGTTGATCAAGGACAGCAATCCTTACTTACGGCATTACGAACAGAGCTTAGCGAAGTGCTTTTGGGGCTCTCACGACTTGAATGGCATGCATTTTCATGGACACACCTTTTACGACATTTTCACGATAGGGGAGGTCGTTGGCCATGCGCGCTTCGACCGAAATACCTCTTCGACCTTTTTTTCTTTACAAAGAACACTCGTTGAGCAGATTGCGTTCATGTCTTCCGAGGCAAGCACACAATCTTTTACAAACTTCTTGGGCTCGACTGCATTCTTGCGGCAATTGGGCCTGGCTTGGTCATTTTGGTTTTCAAAGATGAGCTGTGTAGAGCGAAAGGCATCCCGGACTACGCATGCGAAAAGATGCTGACAGCAACAAACAACAATGCAAAAGAACAGTCAATGTGTGTGATCAAGATCATTTTACTTTTCACCGAACATGAAGACTTGGCCATGTTCATATGTATGAGCTGAGATACATAAAGCTAGGGTTGAAGGAATGAGCTTGGTGATTTTTGAAAGGGCGGGGATTTGGGAGAATGAAATGAGGGATATTTCGACGGACAGGGTGTTGTCGATCAGAAGCTGGTTATCAGTCCAGTCTGATACTACCAGTAGCTAAGGGAAGACATTTCTTTTGGCTGTAGGCGTTAGACATACATACCTGCATGCCTCATGCCTTGGAGTAGTAGTATTCCTTTGAGGATTGTTTGCCATCGATCAGTCTTTTCGGTCGGATCAAACCGACCGATCAGGGTTGTCGAGGTGACATTCCTTGCCAGGGTTCATGGAGGAACGTTTTATTCGCCCCGAAATTGTTTCGATCGGTGTTCAAGTTGTGTCTCGCTCGGAAAAGGGGGTTTTTCCTCTGCCACCAAGTTTCCATTCTAGTACGGGAGCCTTCGCCTTTTCTGATGTCCGACCGGGGGGGGGGGGACTTCGGAAACGGTAATGGATGAAATGGAACCTCACGAGGCTGTCAATGATTCTTCAGCACCTAATTAGTTCTAGTTCTTTTGGGGGAAAAGGAAACCTTGTCGAGAAGTCTCGCCCTGCGTTTTTCGCATGTATTGTATCAGCGATTGTACGTAGGTAGGTAGAAAAACAAGAGGTGATTCCACATTCCACACTGTCCGCAGTTTCACACCAAGACAACCCTCTGCAGGCATTCCCCTCCGCGCCTCTCCCCCCAAAAGACCAAAAAAACGCCGCTGCCGTGCCCATGCCCCATGCCATCGTCAAAAACAAAAAGGTTGAAGAAGGGAGGGTTGAACGCGGAGCGCCGCGATCGACACCCTCCCCCATTCACCACCCCAATGGTCGGTCTCTAAAGCCTCAGGACAGGATCCGTTCCAATCAAAGTGACACGCACAGAGAGAACCACACTTTTTTTTCCTTCCACCATTCAACAAGAGATCAAGATTTATGTCGAGACAATTCGATTTCAGAGAGAAAAGTAGTAGACTTAGAAGCATCCAAAGACCTTGTGACGACGGCCAGATAGCCGTGTCCATTAATGATCATCGTCAGTCGTCATCATCGTCGTCGTCGTCGTCGTCGTCAAAATACTCGTACTTCCAACGCAAAAGTGTGGCGTCTTATCATTTCTTGAGATGCAGGGTGGTATCTATCCTCGTCGCTGAGCGTCTCGCCTCTGGGACAGACAAGACCCTCGACAACTTACTCAAGCACCGAGGACGCGGGGTGAAATTCGAAGATCAACAGTCAAGTCAAAGCAAGTTCAAACTTTCATCACCGCTTGACGCCAACAGGACCATGACTCGCACTTCCCACTCGACCGCTGGTCTTGCGTACCTTAGTCTTATCCTCACCGCCACTTCGACGAGGAGATTCTCTCAAAGATCGGGTCTTTGAGACGCTCATGGCACCCATACCACTAGCCGCTCTGGGCGTCTTTGGTCGGGAAGCCTTCTCACTCACGGTGCTGAGTTTGAGGTTTTCTTGTTCCTGAGCAAGCTCGTCCCAGATTGCATTGGTGTCTTCAAGTTGGAAGTTGACATCACCATCATCCTCATAGATGTTCATCTCGTCTCCCATGTCGAAGGATTTCGTCACCGTTGTGGTGGTGGTTGTGTATGAGACACTTCGTGACTTGCCCTTGCTTCCCATGGGGCTCTTGCTTTGGCTTCTTCGGGATGCGGCTCTCTGCAGAATCAGCTCTTCTTCGCTGTCCGCTCCATTCACACTGTGCCGGAAAGAACCATCGCTCTCCGATTTGGCACCGTTGACGCGGACGGCGCCCGAGGTAGATCGCGCGTAGGGATGGTTCCTCGAGTCCATACGAGCATATTTTCTTGGTTGGCCAGGTGTCGGTGCGGGCAGATTCTCATCCTGATAAGGTTCCGCCTTTGCGACATCGTTACCATCGATTTCGCCCAGGGCAGACCGTCGTGCGCTTGATCGGTCAGGCGTTGCTTGTTGCATTCCACCACTGGCGATGCGCATAGGTGTCTTGGCTGACATCGTGCGAGGTGTAGAAGGCTTCGCAACTTCCATCTTTACCTTCCATTGGTCCTCCAGATACCACTCTCGGAATTTGCCTTGGTTGAGGTGTAGCCAGTGCTGCTGTGGTCCTACCACCATGCCAGGTCGCATGAATCGCATGAATGCAATGACCTCGTTGGCAGTAAAGCCATGACGATAGATCAGGTACGCTCCAATTAAGCAGCCTGTTCTTCCAAGGCCAGCTTTGCAATGAACAGCGATTGATTTGTTCTTAACAATCATGTCGTGAGCTAGCTTGATGAACTTGCGAACGATGGGAAGCGTTGGACAAGTGCCGTCTTCAAAAATCATGTCAATGTGTTGAATACCGAGAGCAGTAAAGTATGTTGGGCAGTAGAGCTCCGAGTTCAAGCGTACCACGAGACCAACATCCCGCTGCACGAAATGAGTCAGGACGTTCTTGAAAGGTTGTGATATTCTGGCGTCTGGAATTTCTGGTACGCAACTTGGCAGCGTTGCGTAGGCTGGGGATGACGTTGGTATTGGGGCGGTAGGCTCAGACTGAGGTGATGCAAAGGCAACGAATTGCGGTGAGATCCAGTTGAAGTCTCCCATATCTACTCTTTCATATCGTTCGTATCTGTTGACACATTAGCGATCCAGTAGATTATGAAGCTCCAGGAAAAGACAACATACTCTTCTAGATTGAACTCCTTAAGTTGGCACAGATTTTCTTCTTTTGCTTTCCACACACCGTAAACAACGTCCTGAATGTTGAGGATAAAATCGGCTTGGCTGTAGCCTGCGTCTCGGAAGGGCATGTAGGGAGGGTCCGCCTGTGCAATAGGTGCAAGAGCAAGATGAGGAGGCCATGCTTGTATGAGGACCATGTAGCACGCGACCAGACATGCAGCGTTGGCCCGACTCCGTGCGTCTGCTCGACTCCAAAACACCACGGCCTTGTCATTGTTTGCCGGATCTCCTAAGATCTCGTGGAATTGAACGGCGAATCTGTACAAGTGTCCGATGTGCAGCGGACCAAAGTCGGCGTGAAAAGCATTGTAGAGAAGGGTATCATCAATCGTGAAGTAGACTGGTGGAGGTCGCAGAGTGGCGCTGGTTGGACCTGCTTGCGACCTGGACGACGACTTCTTGTGGGGAGATCGCTTGGCTTGAGCAGGATATGGGAAAGGAGTGTTCTCGTTGGGAGCTTGTGTGTAGGATGCTAGGTAGAGGCGATCTGCGCAGAAGTGTGAGATGTTGTGTTGTGGAAGGGGGCATTGCTTTGTTTCATACCTTGGATGTATTCAATAACCTGCCCATAGCTGACCGGATGGGCCATTGTGGGCGCCATCGCTGTTGTTCAAATACACGATGAAGCTGTGGAAGCAAGCTTGGGATGCAAGACCAGGTCTCAGCACGGCGCAACGGATTGTCGACGAAGGGAGGGAGGGCGTTTGTGTGTGTATTGGGAGCTTTGGTCCCTCGGCGAGGCGTCGTCAACAAGCCACAGAAACTGCACTGGCTGCGTCTTTTACGGCTGTAGCATATCGCAAAGAGGATCACACGAAGCAAGACAAGATGATAAGACTGAGGGTAAGTGTGCAGAGAGTAAAGATGAGGAATCGTGGAGAGGCCAAAGGTGGTGGAGGAATGAGTACTGTATTTGAATCGAGAATGCGGGAAACCAACAATCAAAGTCGCCCAAATGTTGTCGATGGCGCCACGTACGTTGCTAAGCAACCACCACACACCACAATTTGCAACTGTATCAGATTCTTGCCTACGACGACCACCGACCACCAACAACCACAGACCAGCCCTTTCGTCACCGATTTGCATCATCAATCCCTCCCCTCGTCCATCGCGATAATAACACAGCCCACTCACGAAAACACCGGTCCCTTGGAGAGCAGTGAATCATCTTTCCTCCTCTTCAACCATGGCAACAGTTGAATTTCCTTGCTCATTGTAAGTGATTTACCAGTCACCAAGAAAATAAATAGTACTAACCCAGGTCTACCAGAGTAATCAACGTCCCCTTCCCGGATCACCGTCTTGCCTCCACTGCCCTTCGCTCTCTCAACGTTGACCAAGAGCCTTCTTCCTCTGTGCAACGAATATATTCTTTGACAGACTCCGAAGGTAACCCTGCGTCTGAGAATGACAGTGGGACCGTTCTTCGTACCGAATACAATGCGACCACCAACCGCATGCTTCGAGTCGCCGTGAATGGCTTCATGGAATCCCTCGCGGTGGTATTACAAGTCATGGAAGAACTAGATGTGGATGTATCTGGAATAAAATCTTCAACTACCTGACAATCATGTGCCAGTCCCAATATATTCGCATCCTGGAATGTACATGAGAGCCCAAACCTCTTTTGATATTGAGCCCGACAATCTTTCGCAACAAGATACTTATGGCATTGGCAGACTGGATCAATCATCTTTTGACAGCAGACCTAAATCCGTGTCGAGGCTTGAAAATGAAGCGCGAATCGGGCACATCAATTCGAGACCTCCACCTTTTGTGGCTCGTGTCCCAGGTGCTGATTTCCAAGGGAGGGTTTTGGTCCATATCCAAGGATTTGCTAACCTTGAGAGCTGCATTACCGCAGGTCAACATGCCAAAATAGTCTGGCAAGAACGTGACACCACGAGGGTGATTGAGCTCAGTCTCCGCATCTACCGGCCGACTGAGAGCTTCTGGGTGGGATGTCGTGCCGAGAACCCAAGTGATGGCCCGATCTCGTTGCATAGCAGTCTCTTCGGGCTCATCAACACCTACAGTGTCCTCGGATGGTCTTTCCCTTATGTACACAAAGAACTCGACGGTGCTGCCTTTTTCAATGATATCATTCGGCTTCGGCGTGGCGGGGCCCGGGACGTCGTCCTCTAAAACGGGGAATTGCATCGTCACCTTTGCAACAGACGACAGACTGTCCGCCGCATCGATTGATAAAAGGCCTGCCTTCTCGCCCCAACCACCGCCACCACCAGTCACCTTGTGAAGCTTTGCCCCCCGGCAGAGTGCTGAAGCGACCAGCGAGAGGACCCCGTCGTCCACCAGCCTTTGTACGGAGGGTGACTCGTCGTCAATGTTAGGAGGTCGAATCAAGGCATAGACGGCCACCGGCCCATGATACGGGTTGGATGCTACAAATTTTGTCACAGCCGACTCGAGTTCTTGAGAGGCAGGAACGGACACTCCGTCGACCTCGATCTTCGCCAGGATATTCCCCATAAATTGAGTGATTTCTCGCTCTCGTGTCAAGGCCTGCAGGGGGATTTGGCCCGAGAAAAACCACATAGGCTCATAGTGCAAGTGCACGGAAAGATGCTGCAGCTTTTCCGTGCTTTGAAGCAGTGGCCTCGTCTCCAAATAGCCAGTAGGGACGCCCCACTGGTCGCAGACCATCGTGTGTTGTTGTCCATTCAGAAACAAGGTGTTCGCAAGGGGCAGAGTCAATGTGCAGTTACTTCTCCACGGTGGCGAGATGGTCCTTGAAGCCTCGGACAGGAAAGCAATTGTGCCTGGATGGTTGGCTTCTGTCTCGCTGGCATCCTGTTCCTTTCCGGACATTCTCCAATTTTGGGAGAAGTCCTCCGTAAGGAGCAGCGCTATGCCTTCTGAGGTCTGTCCAGCTGATTTCGATTTTTTGCTCTGTGGTACTGGGAGAGCATCGACGATGGCAGCGGAAGTTCTGACTGTGCCCATGCGGGCAGTCCCGGAGTGAGGTATGCTCTTGCTATATACATTCTCGAGAAGAGGTCGAAGGAAGACATCGCGGTCCATGAAATGTGCAAGACCCGGCGTGGCCAACAGTACGATTGACCTGTAGTTCGGGTTTCGGTGGCAGTACTTCATGACTTGTCGCAATAAATCCTCGGGTTTCTGAGCAATACGAGGCGTCAGTAAGAGTTTCTTGCTTCTCGAGCATTTATAGTTACGTACCAAAAGTTCAGGAGAGTCTGTCAGCCATGTCATACCCAAAGACCTATTTGCCGCCGTGTCACCACCCTCCGGAACATGGTGTTTTCCCTCGTGCTTTGCCTTTGAGATTTGCTGCGATATTTGCTCTGCTCGACTCGATGAGCTTCGAATCGAGGGACCATTCTTTCCCTGGTGTTTTCCTCCGGCAGTCTGCTTTGGAAGTTGGCCCGCCCAAGGCTTTGCATTCCGTATCGGGGCATCTCGATTCAGTGCATCCTGAGTCAAACGTCTACGGTTTGGCACAAACTTGGTCTCCGCGTTGAGATCGACACTCCTCCTTCGTGGTAAGGAGGCCCGGCTGGACCGATATATATTCCTAACCTCTGTTTGAACAGCGCCCCTTCTCAAGTGAACGAGCCGTACAGCTGGTCCACCGCCAGATGGGAGCATGACGCTGCAGTGCCAGGCAGAAGGAACAGGAACCTGTTCGAAACCGTGATCGGGTTGAAAGCTTGCATCAAGAACAACTCATGCAATCCGGGCAGTCTAGACAGTGGCCCTTTCTGGGACCAGGTTAACAATATAGCTGATCATTGAGATGATGATGATTGAGATTTGAAGTTTTCATAACAGAGTGTAGGGCGTTTTGGTGACAACAATTTATACGTTCTGGTTGCAAGGATGAAGGTGCTTTTCCTGCCGAGTTTAATTTGCCGCGAACCCAATTGCAGCACTTACTCAGCCTCGCCAGTTCACAACCTCGTGTTCATGAAATATCTACCGCTTATTAGCACTTGGTAACAAGTCATTTACTCCACACAAACAGAGCAAAACCTTTTACAACATTGTCTTATCAGAAGGAAGTGTGTAATATACCTGATTTAGTCCTATCTCAGTAGATTTCGCACGAGCACGAGGGTGGTGGTACCGTGTTACCAAGTTTGAACATCTTACTGTCATTGTATCGCGAAATCGTCAATCTGCCTCGATCTATCTGCCTGAATACCTCATCTCCATCTTCCTGGGGTCTTTGTGTTCTGCTAAATATCGTACAGGGTAGTCATGGTAAACATAAATCCAACCGTGGTATCATCTCAGCTACTAATACATTTGTTTCAATTCTTGAGTCAGCCGTTCACCATCCCAGGGGTCCTCCGGCCTACGTGCTACTACAAATCGACCGTGAGGTAGAGATCTCCGCTCTTCGACTTGCTTGGTGTAAGGCGGGCCTTGCTTGAAGGAGATCTTTGAGGAACGGTAAGCTTCGTCAGTCTATCTCCGGAGACCAGCAGCTCATTCAACGATGGACTCATCATCTGTGAAAGTGGCCGTCGCCTGTCGTTCGCGGAAGTGCCTCTGCCCCGGGCAACGCTCGGCCTGACGTTGTTTGGCGTCATGGCAGTCCGTCTTGACTCCGAATAAGACAAGGGTGGTACAGGCCATTCGATAGTATCGTCAGACATATAGCCATCAGACGAAGTTGTATCTGTCTGCATGAAGCTGGCGTCCTCTCGGACAAGCTGATCCCTCTGCGACGTAGGACCCCGGAATCTCATAGGCGGGCTTCGAAGCTGCGCAGGCCTTGCAGGGTTTTCGGCTTGCCTAGAAATGGCGGCAGACCGAGGAATGGAGGGGTATCTCAAGTCTCTTATTGGACTCTCCGGAGCAGAGTATGACTTGGTTATGCTCTCTATGGCAGCTGAGGGCGTTGGCGGGTTTGCTCTCAGCCCAATTTGTCTATTCATCTCTTCTGGAGTGGTGTCCTCATCAATTTCGGTGAAGTTGGAACTAATAGAGCTTTGCCTCTCAATTGGGACGATTACGGCTGGTGCAAGCCGCGAAGACATCATGTACGGTTCCTGAGATAGTCTGGTGGGAGGTGACTTCCACACGTTCCTGGTCGCGTAGGTCGAAGAAGGGGCCAATTTGCGCTCTGGGATCGAGACTGGGGTCGTCATTCTTTGCAGCTCCTCCCCCGAGTTCGCCTCTCTTGACGGCGGAGATCCAAAACTGCGTGGTGGTGATATCAAATTGACGTTCCCGTTGTCATAAGTCGGCGTAAGTGGGATACGCACTGCTTGAGTGGGAGTTCTGCTTCGGTCCTCTGGCACGACTGGTAGCTTTAGTGGCGGCGGAACAGTCCTCTGCCTTTTAACCAGCGGTGGCTTTTCAAGGATAAATGGCTGGTTGTCAACCATGATCGATTCAGACCGCTCAACTCTGGCTTCGGCCTCTTCGTCAAGCAGTGTGGCATCGCTTGAAGGCCTTTGAGAGTACGTCCGACGTTCTTTCATGGCTTCAAGGTTGAGAGGGGCAGGCCAAAGAGCGCGTTTTGGTGCTGTCGGCAAAAGTCGAGATATACTCTGCTGCGAAGTCGCGCTCATTGGAGATTCCAGTCCAGGAAGTTTCGGAGACACTGCGACACCTATGTCTTCAGGCCGGATGCTTCTTCGCCAAAAACTTCGCCGCTTTTCCTCCAATGGCTGCTGTGGGGCATAGAACCGGGCACTTGTCATTGGCACGGTCAAGCTTGAGCTTACATGGCTGAAAGTGGGAGTGGTTTGTGTTGGTGGGCTCTGATAACCTGACGGGGGAGTCGCCTCGACCAGACGGGATCGTCGCTGGCTACGCCGTCTGACACGACGCCTTCGACGCATCCAGCACACAAGCATGAGGAAAGCAAACACAATCAAGGCGATGGCAACGCCCCCAACCGCAATGCCGACGATCTGCCCCGTGCTGAGCACAGGTTTAGATGCCACTCTGTCCGGCGTGTTACTGTTTAAAGGGGTGATCTGGGGAGTGGGGGATGTGGTGGGGGAGGTCTCGAACGAGGAAGGAGAATTGACACTAGAAGAGAGTGTTGAAGAAGCCGGGGAGTTTGTCGTCGCAGGGGGGGAAGCCATGACAATCATGCTGACCTGTTCTGTAGAGGTCGGAGCACTTATAGAAGGCGGAAGAGTCTCCATTGTGGAAGATGACGTTGAGAAAGCTGCCGTTGTCGAAGTTCCACGGAGGGTTGCTGTTATTGTACGGGCTGTCTTTGGCTGTGCTCCCGAGATACCAGCGCATACGTTGTATACCCCGATCTCAAGCTGATCTTGTCCTGTGCAGAACGACACCACGCACTGTAGGCCTGCTTCTCCGATCGTGAGGCTCGATGTGTTGTCTTCGGTGCAAAGAAACGTAAGGTTTGAAGTGGCAGAACAGGTACTTCCTGGGTAGTTGGATCCCACGAAGGATTGTATGCAGGCAACGGCACACTGAGGAACGAGCGAGAGGAGGGATGAAGGTAAACAGGTAGATGTCGACTCTGCCCGAGAACGTAACAAGACGCCATCGGGGACGACTGCGGCCGGAATGAGGGCTGTCCAGGGCGGATAATGCATGTCGGAGGTTTGGTCTTTGTCATCGTTGACGGGTTATCTCGAGGTTGGTTCAACCGTTTGCGGCATGTGGTCTGCAGATGGTGTTTTCATGTTCTGTACGCGAAAGAAAAGCTCACCAGAAGCGAACAGAGATCTCACAGATCAAAATGTTCAGGGCAGCCGGAAACAGATATACGCTTCAAGGGGGGGTCTAGGAACATGGCTGTCGACTGACTTTACCTGGCCCCTCGACGAGGGATGAGATGACATTTTTTTTGTGGCAGAGCAGAGCATCTGCGGCAAGCGATGACGATAGAGGCTTGGAATTAGGACCACAGTATAGCATCTCAGGCGCGCGCGAAACATCGACCTCCGCTTCAATCGTAGGTTGTGTATCCTGAAACTTGCAGCGCAGCATCATGAGGGCGCTAAGGGATGGAAACCCTCAGGCCGTATAGAACCCTGGCACCACACGTGATCCGCCCCGTTCCGCCAATGACAGGTTGATAGCAACTTGTCCGCGAACGGGCGCTTGGGACGAGATTGCTGATATACTGTTGGTAGATGTCATGTTGCTAAGGGGACAGGTCTCGAATCGCATAGCAGGTTGAGAGAGACTCCTATTGACGCGAGGTGTTTTCTGCAAGTTCATCACAGACAGCTTCGTTTCGCTTGATACACGGTCGTGATCTCCTGATAGTGAGATTAGCCCGTGTCATGCAAGGCGTCCCTTAGACCATTGTAGGAAGCTATCAGTACAATTTCCATTCCCCCAGCACAGTTTGTTTCCAACCCCCGAACTCATGGCCTAGATGACGTCCGCCCTCATCTACCTTCGCGATCGGGAGTGTCGCCGGGGTGGTCAAGTTCTCGCACACGTACAATAGTAATTCAAATCTAGCGGTTTCGGAAGGCCGAATTCCGAGCTTGTCTGTTCGTTTCACCTACACCAAGAGAGGTCCTTTTATGAATAGATCGCAATCGCAAACCACTGTCAGGAGATTAAGATCTGGTAGGGCCAAGGCGAGACACGGGGAAGACGGATCAGGGAGAATTCCAAAAGCTCTAGGAAAATAGTAGTGTCTCATTATGCTGCTATCAAGCTGTTTACACATCCAAGCCCACGCGCACCAGTCCGGGTCCTTGTGCGCCGAGTGTCGAACGGAGCTGTATTATCCGTCCAGCAGGAATGAGTCATGGATAAACATATTCCACCTTCCGTTCACATAGCTGCGTGTTCTATTCTCATCTGACCCTGTGGTTGTCGAGTACTCGATCGATCTGGGCGATTCGAGGGGGATGTTTTGATAGCACATTGCAAACGGCTGGTGTACAATATTCGGGGAATCAAAGGCGGGGTGGGATATCAAGCATGGAACACGAGGTGATGTCGCTCCTCGCAAGGTCATAGTTGGTCGTCGGTCGGATGAGGAGTTTACGGTCTCTCGACTTCCGCTTAATACTTGAGAATGATGTACCTGTTGTGGGTGTTAGCTATTGCTGGTCGCAGTAGAATTTCCGGGTATGATGAACTTACAGCGCATGGATGATACCCGGAATGTAACCCAGGATGGTCAACAGGATGTTGATGAAGAAATCAGCATTGCATCCTCTCTCCAGAAAGACACCTAGAGGTGGGAGGATGATGGCAAGGATGATCTTGCAGATGTCGCTAGATGGGATCGGTCAGCTCCTTGCGCGTTCGCACACCGGAAGCAGGCGGACAGAGAGATACTTACGATGCGGTGAAAGGCATGTTGACGGTGTTGAGTGTCTATGTGATGAAAAGAGTAGACGAAGATGAAAGTCGACTGGTGACGGAGTTTGATCTGGATGGGATTGAGTGATTGGGATGAAGAGGAGAGATTGCGCACAGAGACGGATCTGAGCAGGCGGAGGACCTTACATACTCTACTCGTAAAATGAGTTGAGCGAGTTATTATGCTGTGGCTGGGCAGTTCCCGGGCTGGATTATTGATTGACCTGGCTTGCTAGTGGCCCAGTCACCCAGGCTATCAATAGGCGCCTACGGAAGCATATCTTGGCTCCTTCTGGGTATCGTCAGGACGGGCTTACAAGGACGAACTAGGCGTGATTACAGGCGCTGGTCAGGGGCTTCACTAGTTTGCTCTTGCATCCTGCCATGACACAATGCGGATTAATGGCTGCTGTTTCCCTGGCACAATGACGTGCTTATACCTGGTTTTCTCCATTTCTTCTCGCTGCCTCTCCGTCATCGCTGGTGCCATGATCTCCATCTGCCCTTGTCGTGCGCCACACTTCTGCCACACATGAACGAATCAATCTTAGACTTCGGTTTCAAGCCTTTGTGCGTCGTCAGCGCAAGGAATGGCAGAGGGAGGATCACTGTGGCTGGTGCTGTTCATCGCCCTTGATGATTCGTCACGTTCAAGCCACAGTCCGATGCATCCGGCTTGGGGGAACTTTCGAGGGGAACTTTCGATGTGGCGCAGTCATCAATCGTGAGAATATCCGTACGACGATGAACTTTTACGAGTACGACGTCCACGAGGGTGTCTTGTTATTGAAGATCTCAGGAGGAGTGTATCCTTGTTGCGTGATCAGAGAACCTTGTTATCATCTCTCAGCAAACATGATTGCTTTGGCAGAGTCACACTTCGGTCCGACCGATTTATCCGACTTATACGACCTGCGCGTCCGAGGAGAACCTTGATCGGAGACCGCACACTCCTTGACTTGTTGCGCGACCAATATCTTCAATATCATAGTCTTTTCTGCCTTTAGCACCAGGGTGGAGGTTGTTTTCCAACCGGATCCCAAAGATCCAGCCAAAGTCATATCACGTGACCTACCAGGTTGTCCCTCCGACGTTCGTGGCTCGTCCCATTTGACTGCGTGGTAGGTAAAGAATCTAGAACCGGAACGGAGGCTCGGGCTCGATGAATGTGGTACGTTGTATCTAACAACTCACTGATTGGTTTGGATGAGACCACATAAGCAAAATACATTTCCTCTCAGCAAATCGAAGACACTTTGTCACCTTTTCCTCTCACCATCTTCAGCGCGGACTTTTCTTAGCATCCTTTTGCTAATCGATAATCCGGGATTGGAGAATAATAATGCGTCAAGCAGCCGGAAGACAAACTAAGCCGGCAACGGCTCTTTGTCGTTCGATCGTTCTTTTCAATCCCGATCGTGAGGACCATTTTGAACTCGTATTCAGCGTCAAGAGGGTTTGTAAGGTAACTTCGCCGCTGTTCTCGTCTCCTCCGAACAAATGTATACATCTTCAGCCGAATGCACGATGCCAATCGCTTTCGCCATCTAAGGGAAAACCAATCTTCCAACAGCGTCAAAAGCGTCGAATAATATTTTTTGATTCTACAAAGTCTCGTTAAAGCCCATCTGCACCATCACCACTAGCCATGACATCAGCTTCGACGAGCTCGAGACCGCAATTCATCCGGTCCATTTCCTCCAGTTCCACCAAAGACAAACCTCGGCTTTACGTCGCCCTCTACCCACGTGGGGGGTCGTCGACGCTGTCGACCTTCCGCAACAACTTCGACTGCGACTCCTACCACTGGTCCATCATTGTCGGACCCCAGACGGCCGACAGAAAAGACCCGGGCGTACGCTACCACGTCGCCCACGACGCCCACGCAGACCAAGGCGCCAGGAAGTTCTTTTACGAAGAACAAGACATCCCCTCGAACCCGGGGGCCCAAAGCGGCCTGATCCGCGTCACCGTCGCCAAGGTCACGGACGAACGTCGCCTTCAGAGCTTGCTCCGGGACCTCGCGCTTCGGGAGGATGACTCAGCCTTCAACTGCCTCACGTGGGTCCGCGAGGCATTTGTCAAGCTTCTCGACGATGGCAAGTCGGTCAAGAGTTACCTCAAGTCCGAGGACTGGAGTGCCGTCGAGACCTGCGCGAGGAAGTACTGCAAGCGCAAACGAGACGCAGGTCGGTTCCAGGAGAATGCCGACGGCAACGGCGGCGGCGTCCTCAACAGGTTCAATCCTCAAATGATTAGTACGTTCAACTTTTGGGAGAATCGAGAAACGACTCCATGAGTTGTATATCAATCGAGTCATGGTCGAGTTCGAAAAAACACCAAAGCGGCACCAAAGTTGGGCCCTCTCTACAATCCTGCGAGGCAGGAAACGAGACTGAGACCTAAGGCGGGGAAGCTACTTGATATTCCAAATACAGGGTACTGCCACCACTCCAAACGGTACGCGTCCATCCGGAGAAAGAGCATAAACGCGCGCCTTGGATCAGCTAGAACCCTGTCCAGGTTCGGTAATCCGTAGTGCCCGGGTCCAAAAGTCTCAGTCGTTACGGAGTATACTCATTACCTTCGCCAGCCTCGCCCTTCCAAGCTTCACAATGCGGAATCATATCCAGAAGATTTTCGCTGTTCGACCAGTTGACCCCGGTCCTTGGCTTCATTCCTACAACCTTTTGCAAAACTTGCGGACGTGCTAAACAAGACACTAAGGGTTGAAAACAAGGGTTGAAAAAAAAGAAAGGAACAGCCAGGCACGTCCCCACCTCGATCCTACTGGCACGAGACCAACGACCCTCTGGACATTAAAGAGTCAGGACGTCTTTTTCGGGGGCTTTTGAAAAAGCTTGCGCGATATTCTTTCGTGTCTGGAAGGCGACCGAGGGATTCACACCGCCTTGCATGGTTTGACTGAAGAGTTGCTGTCCCTCCATTCTCATCTACTTTCTACCGAGTACCTACCTATCTACCTACTTCCTCAAGGACGCCTCCGTACGGAAGTATGTTTTACGGAGTACTCTGTTCTGTTACTCCAAGATACGGAATACACGGGAGAGTACTTGACCTGAGTCTGACCTTGGAATGGGCCCCTCGACCTTGGGGAAAAGGCTTGCTGCCTATTATCATCGACTGTGCGCCTTACAACAGACTACTCCTACCCGTACTTGGGTAATAGTTACTCCGTAAAATAAAAACACTCAGTAGCCAACTCTACACGATGTAAAATAAATTTATACAGTATGTGCATGTTCGAGTTCTCTTTTTGAAATACTTTTAGCTTGTTCTTTCGTCGTGACAACTCCTCGTAGAGGCGAAGAAGCATTCTTCCAGAGGAAAAAAAAGTGGAAAAAAAGATTTGAAGAGAGTGGGATTCGAACCCACGCGGGAAAATCCCATCAGGATGCGTATGTTAAGACTTAGAAGGCCTTAACCTGACGCCATAACCAACTCGGCCATCTCTCCAGACGTATTTTCTGAGGAAAACTTGGGGCATCAAATCTATAAATGTCAAATCTAGGGGCTCCCTCGACAGATGGATCGGTAACGGGTGAACATCCGAAGTGCTCCGAGATAAACGAGAAGTGTTTTTGTAATAATAATGCCATAGAAAGATGCAACCTCTGATGACTCGCCGAAGTGCAATGACATTGAGCCACCTTGATCTCATCAAAATGACAGCTACACAAAACATTATTCTTCCTCACTTTCTATCTGGCTGCCGTTTACGATTTCATGGCCGAAACCTTTCCATCAGTTTCCCACATCTTTTGAAAGAAAAATTTCTCCTCTGCCGTGCACACTCTCACAGACTTGAAGTCTATCACGAACCAAAAAAAAAGGTGCCTCTTTCACCACTTTTTACGAGGCTAGCAAGTAAAACCTATGGATCCAGAGGTCTGCTCTATGATAAGGAATTGTTCCCGCATATCTTGTGACCTTCGTGTGATTTGCGGTTGCCGGTTCATGGCAGCCAGGCCGAAACGATTGATTGAAACGATTGATTACAACGACATGAGCTCGTAGACTCCAATGGGTATGAGATCGTTTGGCCAAAAGAAGCGCGGCTAGTAACTGAGCGACAGCATATGAGGGTACAGCGCAAGAACGTAAGAGCCAGAGGAGTGCGAGTCTCGAGCAGGTCGTCTTAAAAAATGCGGCCCGGTCTCCGTGAAGCATGCCGAAAGCTCGGGGACAAAGGAGTTCATCTAGAATATGACTTATGCATTGATCAATATCTTGTCTCTCGGACCAAGACTAGCCATATGTATGTGCAATATCCGAATATCCTTGGTCAATATGGACAACATCAATGCTTTGCCTTCTCAGCTGTAATTGGCAAGAATCTAGACCAGACCCGAAGCGTCAAAAGAGCAGTGTCTGGAAATCCACTTGCACTTGATCCCTTGTTTCCCCCGCTTGAAATCCATGATCCTGCCAGCTGATGGGCCCGAAAATGAACAAACTTCCGCGGGCCAACACCCATTACAGCCAGCCCTTCCCTTGTTCCATATAGGGCCCTGATTACCGCCCTGTTGAGCATACCGTTGACGCCGATGCAGTATTGAAACAAAAAGGCAAAGACCAAAGAAAAAGATCCCGAGATTGACCTGTCATCAAGTCCCGTCTAGGGATGAGTGGATTCCTGTCTGTTCGTGTCTTATAACCCACGAAGCATGACGGTACGCTCTCCCTCCAGCTTCGCGGCATTCCTGTCCTTGTCCGCACGTCGAGCGTCTTCGAGACCTTCGCAGTTGTGTGATTCCAGCATGCGGTGTTTCCCACAGAAGCGCTTTTGGCAAAAACCACAGTCTCCGACGATAGGCTGAGCAGGTGCTTTGCATCCGTCTTTGGAGCACCGAGGTCTGTTCGACTTCTTCTTGGTCGGAGTGGCAGTCCCGGACGTGGTGGGAGTCGAGGTACCGGACGCCGATGGCTTTTGTGTGACCATCTCGGTTGTTGCTGGTGCCGATTGTGTGGGGGTAGTGCTTCGAGAGGGAGAGGAGAGTTGGAGTGTAGAGGACTCGTCCAGCTTGAGGTCTGCAACCGTGGTGGATGGTTCGAGAGGTTTGCCGTCGAGCATGAGTTGGCTGTCTGTAGGCAAGTTTGTAGAGGCCGAGAGGAATTCGAGGACGTTGGAGATGGTGTGAACGGGTCGGACATTCAGTTTTATGGCTGCGACGAAACATGTTAGTCATCTGAGGCAATATCTTGCTGATTCTTGCTGATTCTTCATGGGGGGCGAACGTACTCTTGCCACCGTTGATGGTGACCTGAATCGCCATGCTGTCGGCAGGAAGGTCCTTGCTGGAGAGGTTGGAGGTAGAGGAGTTGGAACGAGAGCGAGACATGGTTGTGTTAGGATCGGATGAGGTTGATGAGTCGGTGGGAGAATTGTAGATAAGAAGCTGGTCAAAGAGGTGCTCGTGACTGATGACCGGATCGGAGAAGGAGATAGGAGTGCGGAGTAAGAGAAGAGAAGGAGCGCGCGACAAGTAGTTGTAATGTAGTAGGTGAGAGGGATACAATTGTTTTCTTGAGACGTCGGGAATGTGAATGAATTGTTTGTATGGCAGTTCGAGTCAAGATATGAAAGAGGAGAGACTTGGAGACGATGGTCAGAAAGCGCAGGAGAGTGTCATGCGTTGTACTATCGGGGGAGGTCCTATCGAGGGAGATTGTGACAGGGTGGCTGAGGGCGAATGGATGAGGCGGACAAGGGAAGAAGGGTCATGCAGTAGCATTCGCACTCGTTCCGTACCCAGGGGACAGATGACCGATGACGGGGGATCCAGCTTGCCCGTGTAAGTGGATTTGTGACCCTGCAGATTATTGAGAGTCTCGAGACTGGGCTATTATGAGGACTCCATATTCAGCAGCAGTCTCGGTAAAGGGTTTGTTGGGTTGGCGGCGAATGGGAGAGACTCCACCAAATGGAACACCGTCGTCGATACAAGAAGGCGTAAGAAGGCGTGTGCCTGCGGAACTCCGTACATAGTACGTGCGGATGGTAGTATGAGCAATATAACTCTACTGTACTCCGTAGAATACGGAGTAATGGTCAGTGACCTCTCTTCGTCTCTTTCATAACTCCATACAGGAGCTGAATTAATGATTGTTTTGGCATGCTCCGTGACCTCCGGAACACACGGGCCTGTTTGCCCAGTTTTGAGACCCCGAACAAGTCAATAAGCGACCACTACAAAGGCCAAGAAAGGGCTTGCCGTCCTCGTATGATGTGGTCTCCTTCTTGTTGCATACCAAAATTGACGAGAAGACGGGATGTGATAATTCTTCGATTATCGCAGACCTGCATTCTGTTGTTTGTTTGTCAGTCACCTATGCCACCTGTGCCACCTGCTCTTCCGGTCCGGTTCAGCATCCGGCGATGCAACAACGGCCGTCTGTAACTCAACCATCATCGTCGTCATCATCATCACCACTCCTCCTGGAGTCTGGTCTGAAATCTACGAGTAGCAAACCATGCCCAACGACATCCTTCGTTGATGCCTTACCAGCTATTGTCTTGCTGTCCAGGCCACAATTATTGGCGCCTTGATACGGTTCCGCCGTTAGTTGTTTTGATGGTGCGACGGACACGGAGGTAGAGGCATTACATTTGCCAAACAGTGGTCCAGACCGCTGGGACCGTCGTTTGGCTTTCGCCTTGTCCGTGCTCAACAATGCGGCCTACTAGTGCTTGGGCATGGCCAGCGAAGCCAGCCTTTGCCAACAAACCCAACATCTCCGTCACACGGCTGGCTAAGTGGACCTTGATCTGCCGCCGTCCACCCTTGGGCATCGATCATCAATCTTTTCACCGCGAGATTTCTCCGCAAGTGTAGAGCAATAGTACTCGTGCTGATACAAAAGCATGTCTCTCGACTGATTTATGGGGCAAGTCGGCGCCTCACTGTATCTTTAGTACGCCGTAGCAGCTCCGTCATATCCGCCCTCCTTTGATTGGTTCATCTGGAACCCAGTCGCATTCCTTATCAAGTATAGTGCACGCTAGGAACCCCCTGCCGCTTTTAAAATTCTCCGGAGGGCATGGTGGTGGCTCTGCTGTCCGGTACATATATACAAAAACCCAAAACCCCCCTGGCCATCAGCTCCAGCCACCTCGTACGAGTACTCGTATCGTCGACAAACCTGCCTCAGTCCCGATTGTCGACTCTTCAAAGACCAAAGAAGCGCCTCGAAGAAGAGGGTGACTTCGTGGGAAGAGACGTAGTACTCCGAACCAGTGAGCGTCAAAGTTGAGCGAATTGCAAGCGAGCAGCCATGTCAGAGTGAGGAAGTTTAGCTGCATCTAGTTGATGCATGCAGCCGTAACAGGTATTCTCACTCTCCCCTTTCAGCTTTTCATCGCTCACAGCATCTCTTGGCTGTGCAACATCACCAGCCACCCCCGTCTCGAGATGCGTTCACTTACTTGTCCCTTGTCTTTGTACTGGACAACCCAACCCCACGCTTCCTTTTCAGACCCAAGCTTTAAGGTATAAGCGAAACACACAACTTCTCAGTACAACAAGTGGATTGGATACTACATGGTGTCGGTTGGAAGGAAAGTCGGACGCCGTGGCGGTTGGTGATCGATGATAGACATTGATTGCATATAATTTCTAGATCGGCATTTGAACAAGCACGAGAAGAAGGCAGAATAGCAAGAAGTGCAGGAACTGGCAAACATACAGCAGTGTGCTGTTGGCATTTTGAGACAAGACGAGATGATTGACCTAGAAGAAGACTCTGTATAGACCTTGAAGAAGTTTTTAGAAGTAGAAGTTGAAAATCAGTTCGAGAGTTGACTCGGTAGAACGTAGGCTGAAGGAAATTCTCTCCTTTCAAGCCAGCCTTACGGACACTATTCTTGGGAAAAAAATATGAAGGCATCTTTGTTACTCCGTACAGACCCGGGAATGACCAGAAACCCTGCAGATACACGCATTGCTGATAATAATGTGAAGTATCTTTACCAGGCTTGCATCGAAAGAACAAACAAGATGACGCCAGCATGCAGGGCAGGCCATGAGGGACCTCATCCTCTCAGGCTGACGATATGTTTTGCATCGACTCTGGCAACCTGGACTGTCTTACACGCTACCCGGTACCCAGGAGGTTATGTTCACAGAACTTCGAGATCCCTGTTCGAGTGGTTTCTCGCATAGCCATACTTGTCCTCGATGGGGGACGGGTGCAAATGCACTCTTCATGTGCACCTGCTAGCTTCCAATATCCTTCTTGGGCCACTGTCCTTCGAGTCTTCCTTTTTGTTGGTTGGATGCACCGTGGCGGCGCTCAAACAAGTGTCGTGGTGTCGTGGTTATCCTCTCCAGCGTTACCCGCCCGTCGTCGAATGAATACGAAATTCGCGGTGTTTTAGCCGCCATATACCTCGAGTCAGCCTTTGTTTCCTGAACCGAGGCTTGCGGCCCACTCAGGTCAAAGCGTGTAGTGTCAGGAAAGAGAGGAAGCAGCACTGCTGTCCCCAGTTACACATCCAGTCCATGAATATCGTAATCGTCGTATGAGCATTGCGTAAATCATATGAGTTGGGTGTCGATTCCGCTGTTTGAGGAGATTTGTGATCTGGTATTGAGATGCTACGTAGCCGTATCGCTACGCACTCATTGGTAATTCCAGCTCCTCACGATCCATCAGCCCTCTTCTCGCCAGCATCGGGGTCCAGATAATCGTCTTTCTCCGCAGCTTCGTACTCCCCTATTAAGCCCATGACCACTTCTTTGGCCTCGTCGAACTCCCCCAGCCCTTCGGCAAACGGCGCTTCCTTTTTATACTGCTCGAGATAGGCGTTGCGCTTCCTCATCTTGTCGTACTGTACGACGATGCGTCGGAACAGTGTCGAGACGCTGGTGTGATTTGCGAGCATAAGCCCCGAAACACGATGGGTGTTTTGCAAATACGGTGATTTCTTGGTCAGAGCGACTTGAATCGAGGCCGGACCCCAGGGGATGAAGTTTGCCATGCGTCGCTCGCGAATCCGCAACAGAGACTTGTGCACGTCCGTGGGGTCTGCTTCACCCTGAATGATGTTGAGAATGGACATGTAGCAGGACGACTTGGACGGGTTGATGGACACCATTCGATTTTTGGGCTGGAGCAGACGACGCATGACGTCGAGGACGGTAGTTTTTCGCACAGTTGCCGCAGCTTCCGCATTGTCGCCAGTAAAAGGGGTGTATGCGGTCATGAGGAAGTGACAACGCGGCGTGGGGATGAGCGAGGCAATGATGCCCACGAGGTCGTTGTGCATGTAGCCGGGATATCTCAGCGTGGTGGTTGAGGCCGACATGACGGTCGAGACTAGTTGGTTCGTCTGCTGAAACGAGGGTTCTGGCACGTGTAGTCTTTCGGATGCTATCCTTGACAACGCGCCATTGTCCAGCACCACCACTGAGTCGGCATTCTGGGTCAGGCGGCGCATCGTGAGTAGACTATTGTAAGGGTTGACAACGACATCGCCAATGGCCGTGTCTGGGAAGACCGAGTACGTCTGAATGATCTTCTTGGGGAATCGATCGTTCATGCGTTCCAGCAGATATGAACCCAAGCCCGAACCAGTGCCACCAGCAATGGAATGAAGCAGCATGAAACCCTCGAGCGAGTCGCTCCCATCGGCCTCTCGGTCAATCATGTCAAATATCTCTTCTTGTACTCTCTCGCCCGCCGCGTAGCCCGCCGCCCAGTTGTTGCCTGCGCCCATGCCATGTTCGCCCACGAAGAAATTCTCCGGGTTGTAAATGTTCTTGTAAGGCCCTTGCTGGATGCTGTTGATGACGCGGGGTTCCAGGTCTATGAGGATCGCACGAGGGATATATCGAGTGTCGTCGCTCTGGTAGAAGAAGACGTCCTTGCGGTCACCGCCCTCGGTCGCAAACTCTTCGAGGTTCCCATCGCGGCTGATACCGTGTTCTTGACATAGTTGCTGCCAAAACCTCGACCCTATCGCATTTCCACACTGACCGGCCTGGATGGTGATTATCTCTCGAGGCATGTTTGCACACAGTGATGATAAAACGGTAGACACCCAAAAAACAACAGTACTTTACTGTACTGCGTAACACGGCGCGTTGATTGACCCTTCAACGCGTCTCGGTGGGGGGAAGTTGGGGGTTTTGGGGCTGTTGTGCAATGAAAATCCCAAAACGGACAGAAATCACCTGCATTAGGAATCTGGGTCACGCAGGCCTTTGGGGGCCAATGGGGGTTAGTGATTGCTGGTGTAACCTGAACAGCTACACGAGGCATGGGATGTGAGAGCTTGTGAGATATAAAACACCTGTGACAGACGTAGAATGTCTGTAGCGAGTCACACACTACATCACACCGTATTTGCCGGGGTATCGAGGCTAAAGCGAATATGGCGAGGACCCAAGATGTTGGTCACCCTCCATACACTCAAGAAGAAAAGGGTTAGTTACGAGGACGAGTTATTCAGCGAGTCAATCGTCGATATGTCAGGTCGCATTACCATCACTGGCGACGATTTTACATTCCTCTCTTCCGAGATTCCTCGCCCCTGATGACAACCACCTAGGAATGAAGATGACGTGTCAGAAATGGTGAGGAAAATTTGAAAGAACTTCTCAGGTCATGGAAGCCTTCGTAAGTGTGATTTCTTGAGGACTCATGCCTGCTGGGCTTCGGGTCTAGGGCGTCTCCATGCCTTTCAATCACTTCCAAGTCGTATTTTCAACATTCGCAGACCGCCTGGCAGCACACTCTCCCGCCATGGATTCTCAACATGGAGTGCCCGCCTCCTTCCAGCGCAGTTGCATCATCCCGATCGCCTTGCTCTTATTCATTAAGATAGCCCTGAACTGCTGACAGGGGTCATTAGTACTCCAGCTGAGCAGAGAGGGTACTTCGTGCATCCAGCCATGCGTGAAATCACGATCGCCGGGAAGCTGCTGCGTATCTCCGACCCTTTGGAGACTGATCACCCCTTTCACGGACAAGTTCGTTTGGAAGCACATCTGGCCACGGGAAGTTGACACAGTCCGACCGGTGGCATGCAGAAAATACCGATCAATCTTTGTTGGGACTGTGAATATCAAGCAAGTTGCCTAAATGAAGCACAAATCACTGGAGTCAACAGGTATCGCCATAGGGACATACATACCTAGTTGATCAAACATTCACCACCACTGAGTGAAGGTCTGGTGAGTGAAGCTCTAGCGAGTGAAGCTCTGGCTGTAGCCTTGGCATATATGACTCTATCTTGTTCCTCTACCACGAAAAGAAGAAGATCCTCATTCTCCTTCTAACCGCAGACAGCTTTGACTCACCATACAGTCTCATTGCAGCCGCTTCCATGGCTCTCGAAGAGGACGGGAAATATGGCCTGGCTGATCCAGCCAGCCTTGAGAAAATTGATAAGCTGTTCGCTTGTGGTGTCGGTGATATTATCAATTTGCCTCAGATCGTCGTGGTCGGAGATCAATCGTCTGGGAAGAGCAGTGTCTTGGAAGGATTGATCAGAAAACCACTACCTCGAGACAGCGGCCTCTGTACTAGGTTCGCAACGCAGATCATCTTCAAACGATCCCTCAAGGACATGATCTCGGTGTCGATCATCCCTGGCGTGGATGCCACTGAAGAGCACAAGACAAGTCTTCAAACTTGGTCTCGACGAGAGCTGGATGTGCTTGATCCCGAGGCGTTTAAGTTGATCATGGATGAGGTAAGCGGTTTCTAAGATGGACGATTGTAGATCTGACCGGACTGGCAGGTTCACGAGGCGATGGGTGTCTCACCTCGACAAGACGACTCTCCAAGCAAAGGCTCGACCTTCTCCCGTGATGTACTGCGACTCGAAATCTGTGGGCCGACCCAGGAGCACCTGAGTGTCATTGATGTTCCGGGGATCTTCAAAAATACCACTCCGGGAGTCACTACAAAGAACGACATTGCGCTCGTCCGTGGCATGGTCCAAGGCTACATGGAAAACCCTCGATCGGTAATGCTAACCGTCATTCCATCCAATGTCGACGTAGCAACTCAGGAGATTCTCGAGATGGCGGTCGACGTTGACCCTGATGGGAAACGCACTCTGGGTGTGCTCACCAAACCTGATTTGGTCGACCACGGCGCTGAGTCAAGAGTTATTGATCTGCTGGAAGGCCGAGCCCACCCTTTGAAGCTCGGCTGGCACGTCGTGCGCAATCCGGGTCAAATACAGTTGGCTGACGAGTCGCTTGACCGTGGCAGTATCGAACAAGGGTTCTTCTCATTCTCTCCATACTGGAAAGACGTCGATCTGGACAAGAAGGGCATAAACGCCTTGCGAGTGCGGATTCAGGCCATTCTCAACGACCTTGTGCGGCAGGAGTTTCCCAAGGTAAGTAGAATTGTCTTCTTTGGAATGATCTCTCTGACCATATTCTTAGGTCAAGCAAGAGATGTTGCGGAAGCTTACTTCTGCCAAAGACAAGCTCGGCCAGTTGGGAGTGGAGAGGGAAACCAGAGAAAAACAATTACTCTATCTGATAGATCTGTCTTCGCGATTCCAGCGCAAAGTGTCCTTGTCCGTCGACGCCAAGTACGGCAGTGATGAACTCTTCGACAACATGGATCTCCGGTTAGCTACTCTAATCAGCACTCGGAATGAGCAATTCTCCCATGACATGAGCTACGGTGGCCATGAATATCAATTCTGGATATCGGAGGCCACTGGCAAGATGGCGGACCTCGAGGAAGGAGATGATACTGGAGATTCGGAAGTTTCCACCCCAAGCAACTCGGCATCCTCCAGCAGCTCGGCATCCTCCAGCAACTCGAATTCTTACAGTGGGATGACATTCAGCATTCGAAAACTAATAGAGTGTGAAGATATCGAAGAGTTTCTTCGTCCCCAGGATGAACTCGACGGCGCAAGTACGACGGGGATCACCCAATGGCTCGAGGAAGTTTACCGAAGCTCACGGGGTTTCGAATTGGGGACCTTCGACTCTGCGATTCTGTCGACAGCGATGAAGGTCCAATCGAGAAAATGGACACCCATCGCCCTCGGTTACATCAGTGATGTTGTGACAATGGTCCACCGTTTCATTGACCGGGTTCTCGATGTTATCTGCCCCGACAAATCGCTCAAGTCTGAAATGCTCTCGGTCTTATGGGATAGTCTTGTCGAACGCTACACGGAAGCCATTGAGCATGTCCAATTTCTCCTGAGGGTTGAGCTGGAAGGCACTCCAATGACAATGAATCACTATTTCAACGACAATCTTCAGAACCGGTAACCCATTTTGATCGTTTGGTGGAATTCTGCTGACCAGTTTCTAGCCGTCGGAAGAGAATGCAAGCTCGGATGTCTGACTTCGCAATTCACACCAACAAGTATGGCAAGGTGGTTCGGCTTGGGGACACGAAAAATACCCATCTGATGAGTAATGCCGAACATGTCGTCGAAGACATTCATGATATTCTGTACTCGTACTACAAGGTAGCGAGGAAACGCTTTGTCGATAGTGTCTGCATGCAGGCCGCTGACCATTTCCTCGTCAACGGGCCCACGACGCCTTTAGCTCTCTTCTCTCCCACCTTCGTGAGCAGTTTGAGTGCCGAGCAGCTAGAGAGCATTGCGGGTGAAGATCAAGGAACTCGGAGAATGAGGTTTCACCTGAAGAAGGATATCGCTAGTTTGGAAGAGGCACGGAAGATTCTGAAATAAAGCCGCTGGTGAAGAACGAATATGGTTTCTTTTCACCCCATGGCTACAACGCCATGTCATTGACAGGCTGGTTTTCTTTTTGGTGCCGACAGGAGAACAGCATCTGAAGCATGCTTGGTTTCACGAGTGAACCTGTTTCCTTTCAAGTAGGACTAAACTTCATAGCTTTGACGGAGCGAGGCATTTGCTGGAGATTTGGCATGCTTTCCTCGATAAGGTAGCCGTGCAATGTTCCATCGTGACTTTAGCAAGAAGTGACCATGTAGAGCGGTGTCTACACGAGTCATCTTTTGCACGAGAGATTACAAGTTCCAAGGTCATTCGAACAGGAGAGTGAAGTACCTTGATGTCTTGGTCTATTGAAATCATGCTTGGCCCAAGTATATTATTGTACGCGTAGAAGGCAGTGAACTTGTTTTGTTAACCACACCAGGCGTTGCAGCACTTGAATTCCTCCCGGTAACCCACAGCCGTGCCACTGTACATCTTCGGATCAACACTTGCGACTGCGTGAAGCCGCGGGCGATGCTGAGCAGCCATGGTTTCACCTGAAGTTTTGCGGAGCACATTTCGACGCCGATACGACTTCGGCATGAAATTGTGGCGTTTCTCAAAAGCTGGAAGAATAAAGCGTTATACGACAGCCTCTTTTCCAAACGACCACGTGGGTGAAGAGCGTTACTGCTGCAATCTTCTCTGGCTTAGGGTACATGTTGTCGTCAAGCATGGCGTTGCTAATCACCAAAGAGGAAGCATCAAATCAAGGACAAGCATTTGAACTTTCTCGACCTCGATCGACTAAGCGAACATGTTTATCAGGCGGCCACTGAGCGAAGGAATCCACCTGGACAGGCATTTGGGAGATGAAGCACAGGCCCCAAGCCTTTAGGGATTGCGCCACGATTGCAGAAGGCTTCGGATGCTTGTATAGCCGAAACGCCTCCCCGGGCCTCTGCGCCTTCTAGCCTTCTATGGGCATCAGTTCTTTCTTTTTGGTGTGCGGCCAGAGTGGCTTTTCTTTTCTATTCGGCACGTTTCATGTCCGACAAATGGTCGAAAACGGTCACGCTCAACGAGTGATAGATGGACACCTCCTTCGGCTCCTGATGAGGCCCCCTAACAGATGTCGCAACGTCGCTTCTGCCTATAGTCCATGACCATTCTCGTTACTCCCGTACTCCCCTAGTACGCTGTTGCTTCCCGCCTTTCCGATCAAATCTCACTCACCGGTATTTGACACTGGTTACGGCCGCCTGAAGTGCGCTGCCTTGAATTAAATGCTCGGACTTAAATATTTCTCATCTATTTGTTTGTATATATCATATTGAGTTTGTGTGCGTACGCGTGTGTTGTGTGCCTTTCCATCTAGATGGACGTGATGGAGATTTCGTCCATTTGATCTTGCTGAATATGGCTTTTGTGACAAACGTACCTTGACACAAAGTGCTCGGTCTCGCTCGGATTTGATGGCAGCACACTCTTTTTGACTAGGACGCGCGGCCAAACGACCAACTTCTTTAATCATACATCCCACAGAAACTGGAAGGAAATCAGTTTGCCCCTCCTCGAAGGTGTTCTTGCGCACCATGACACAAGGAAGAAGCCTCAGAACTGAGGCAGACACGCCGTTGTTGAGAAAGGACATTGGTCCTGGAGACGAAACGAGAACGGGCTACGGCTCCAATGGCCATAGGGAAGAAACCAAGCATCAATTCCCACAAGGTATGTGCTTGCTGAGCTGGGTTTCAATCCCATAATTTCCTGTACCCTGACAGAAAATGCAGCAAGTTGGACATGGGCAAAGCCTTACAAAACCTCGCAGAGGCTGCCTCAAACCATCGCCCATCGCGGCTACAAGGCGAAGTACCCCGAGAATACCATGAGATCTTTCCGGGGCGCCGTCGAGGTCGGGACACACGCGATTGAAACGGACATTCACCTGACAAAGGACGGAGTTGTGGTTCTGTCACATGTATGAAGACCACCACTAATCGGCCTGCTCATCCGACGAGACCTGACTGACCTTTTGTTTTTTTTGTAAAGGATCCTGACCTGAAGCGATGCTTTGGACAAAAGGAGAAGATTATAGATTGCGACTGGGATTATCTCTCCAATCTTCGTACCATACAAGAGCCACATGAGCCGATGCCGCGACTTGTCGATTTGCTCGAGTACGTCGCCCAACCTGGTCTGGAGCACGTCTGGCTCCTCTTCGACATCAAGATCGACAACGATGGGGACGATGTAATGCGATTGATCGCGCATACGCTGGCGTCCGTCAATCCCGGCGGACGACCGTGGGAGGAGCGAGTGCTGATGGGTATTTGGGTTCCGAAATATCTCTCACTCTGTACCAAATATGTGCCCGACTTCCCGGTCGCACACATCGGCTTTTCAACGGCGATGGCTCGGGAGTATCTCAAAGTGCCCAACGTGGGCTTCAACATGCTCCTCTACTCACTTTTGGGTCCGGTCGGCTCTCGCTTCATGCGCGACGTGCGCAAACAGAAGAGGCAACTGTTTGTCTGGACCGTCAACGAATCCAACCTGATGACTTGGTGTATCCAGCGCAACGTCGACGGCGTCGTCACGGATAATCCGGAATTGTTCAAGCAGATATGCGACGACTGGGATGAGGAGACAAAAAAGAAGGCAAGGCCGACGATCATGCAATGGCTAAGAACAATCTGGGTCTGGATATTGATCACCCTCTTTTCGGGTGCTTTCAGACGAAAATTCCCGGAAACGGTAGAGACTTATATCCAAGAGCACGATTTGAGGGCCAAGGCGACATTGACAATTGACCAGTTATAGGTCTATATGTCTTTATGTCTATGACGATAAAAAGGCCTGAATCTCAGCTAGCTCGAGCAAACAATGATGATGAACATGAGAGGACGTTGTGAAGACCTTTTACCTTCAAAGCAGAATATCCGGATAGAAAAAACGAAAAAGATCAGTGAGAAAAAAGAAAGCCAGGATCAACACCGGGGTTTTTGATAGCGTGGGAGGAGGAAGAAATGGTTTTCTTGTGCCCGCCATGCACAAAAGGCACCTTCTTGGGTAACGTAGGCGGCTTGCCCGTTGCCTCTTCTATCAGTTATGGGTAGATACGCGGGGAGGACCACTCTAGAGTAGTCGATATTGTCCTGATAGATTCCCCAAAGAGTTAACTACAAGAAATGAAAACAAATTCCGACCATTCCCAACTTGAAATGCTCAAGTCACCATTACCATTACTGTTGTCTATGCGAGTACATGTAGCTTTTTATAGTTCTGTCTTAAAGAAGCGACTCTTCGTGAGGAACTTCACTGCTCACTGCTTCACTGCTTCACTGTGTGAATTGGGACTAGTGATCGTCGACAGCACTGCCTACGATCACGTACTTTCTCGCGCAGCGCTTTTTCTGCACCAAGTTTCTAATCTTTTGTGTTTGTTATAATCCATCAACGAGGCCCTAATACGTTGTTATGAGATTCTGATAAAGTGTACTTATACGTGCGAAGCGTAAGTTACCCTACTGCCAGTAAAATGCTTTTAAGGGGCTCTCGGGCCGGCCATCGGCGCCGTTTCCGTGAGAAGTTAGTCTCAGAAAACGGACATATCATATATGAGGCGAGGAGATTTTTGTTCAACAATTGCCTTACAATTGGGTCTCGAACAACTCCCGATGGTGTAGTGAGTTATTACCAAAAACTCCTGACTCATAAACAACATCGACTAACCTCTGCAGGTTGGCTATCACGTTCGACTGTAATTGTGCAAAATTTGTCATCAAATTTCAATATATCGAAAGGTCACCGGCTCGATTCCGGTTCGGGAGAATTTTTTTCTTGTTTTTTGGTCTAGATTCAATTTTCTTAGTTACTGAGTCTTAAGAAATTAACTTATAAATACTCCGTACAAAAATTACTTTTCAAAAGAATTTGTGATAATGAGAAGTAGAAATCATTTAGAACAAGTGAACACAATACTAAAGCTTGAAGTGAAATACTCCAGAAAAGTGAATACCATTCAAAAAAGTGAATATCAACCCAGGAAGTGAATGTGATTTAGAAGAATGAATGTTTGTCAATATGCTCCCATCTCAAACGAGATAATTTGTTTGTAACGACTAAGATGTCTTCAAATGTCTGCATGGTCTGAATGCAGAAGACACCTATAGTCATCTAAGTACACTTCTAAACCCCTTGTTCTGAATGGCTTCGTGTAGCAATGTCCAGCAAATTAAGAGGACATTCCATTTCGATAGGCTGTTCACTACAGATTATGCGATCTCTCCGATGATTTCGTCGCCAAGTGCAATGCATGATGGCGTGTAGCAGTCAAGGTAAGCGTTTCCGTCCGAGCTGGACTTCTTCTGGTCGTGTTCAGCGGATATGATAGAACTTCGCGGGCCATTTTGAACTCGTGCAGCTTCCGGTGTCACTGTCCACCCTCCTCCAAAAGCCTGTCCATTCCGAGTGCACTTGTCTTCAAAACAAGCTATCAGTAGAGACGTGTAGACCTACAGTATTCTGCATCTCGGATCACGCCCAACAGGCGCTGCCACAATTTTGAGAGTGGTAGAACAAAGGCGATCGAGGTCGAAATGAAAGATTTAGCGATACCGAAATCGGGCTTTGGCCTGTGGGCTTTTAAGATTCAGATGAGTCTCTGGGACTCGGTACCGTCTTTGAAACTGAAGTAAGCTGAATGATATCTTAAAATTGCATGGCAGCATCAACGTTGTTGCTAACCAGGAACTGTCGGCTCTAGGAAACTTGCAGGGAAAGTACGGAGGCATGCATAGCAAGTCAGGCGAATCTTGGCGCGAATGCTCGCTATAGCTGCGCCCGAAGAAGACTTGCAGTTTTCTCCAGGCCATCCTAATCAGCGACTTTATCAACCTACAACAGTAGAATTTCATCCCAACACTTCCTAAATCGTCATCGCAGACATTACCCATCCGACCAGAGTATTTGCTATCGTACAGACCGCTGGTTCCTCCTAGTTCTCACAGACTGTTGCCATTCTTACTCTGAGCTCAATTCATTCGCAATGGACGGGTACGGCGACTCTTTAATATGTACAGACACAGCTCAACTGACGGTTTATATGTAGACTCACAGCAGCAGAGCAGAGAGAATTGAACTCTCGGATGGAGAGGAAGCAGATGAAGGAATTCATGACTGTAATCTACTCCCCGACTTTTTGTCCTTTGGGATTTGCATGGAAGCCAGAGGCTGACTCTTGTATGCGTATCACAGATGTACTCCAAATTGGTGCAAAGATGCTTCGACCACTGCGTCAATGATTTCACCACCAAATCTCTCATCTCCCGGGAAGAGTCCTGCGTCATGAAATGCGTCGACAAATACATGAGAAGCAACGAGCGAATAGGCGAGCGGTTCCAAGAGCAGAATGCGGCAATGATGCAGGCTGGAAACTTGGGAGGCAGATGAGAATCTCACTGCTTGCAACTCGGTTGAAGCGGACGTAATTGTACAATACGAAGACCAAAAAAGAGCTCCTGATCCCTGGGCTGATTTGGCCGGACTTGGATGGGATAAGGTCAGGGCTGTGGCGTTTTTTCTACTCGGTCGATACCTCTCCAGCGTTTATGGAATGCATACTCCCTACTCCGTAGTAGGTTGGGCATGATTGACTACCTACCTGGCTTCTGTGTAGGTGGTCCTCAGTACAAATACATCAGCCACGTTGAGTTCGAAGCCACTGCATTCGCGGAAACAATTGATCGAAGAGCTCGACTTTGTAGACATGGGTTGGCAAGCAATTTGGCAGGAAGACCATTCGCCTACCTTCAGGCAATGTATGTACCAGTCAGTCGGTGCTCTGTACTCGGGCCGATGAGGCTGTTGCAGGGGCAGGTGAGCAAGGTAGCTTGGCGTAAAAACGAAGTGCTTGCAAAACATGAGCGCTGCAGTTCTCGTCCTCCATCTTTGCTTTCTCATGCTCATAGCCTACCACGAGCATCGTTCAATTCAACCTTGTGATCTTCTCTTCTCATGAATGAAAGTGCCACTAATGTTCACTACTTGCTCGTATGCAAAGTCAATGGTCTCCATCACTGCCCCCAGTGACTGCACTTTGCAGACAATGGTCAATTGCTCAAAGCGTCATTGTCTTTGGTGGATCACCACCCAATCCGATGGGTGGCTCTTTGTTCACTTTGTGCTAGTGGTGAGCCCACATGCGCAGATAGTGAATAACAGCTTGACTGCCATGTCACTGTCCAATACAGTTTAGTCAATTGATCTATTCATTGACTGCTTAGGGAAGTTAACGTACTCATCACTGACCTAGTGACTGCTTGCCTGCTATGTCTATAAATATGGGTTGATAGACAGGTCTTTCTGTTGACTTTCCAGGATATTTTTATTCCTTTGGCTTTGCTGGCGTCGATCGTTGGCATCGCTCCAGTTTTGTATATCTATATTTGACACCCTCTTGCCTCTTTGTCCAGAGACCCTCTACTTGCAATTTCGAAGCTCAGATACGGCAGCAAGGATGGCCGAAGCCGCTGTTACTGAAGTCCCATGCTTCTGGCACTTGATCGAGCCAGGCAGACCGGGATGTAACTACGAGGGTGACCTCTAAGCACTCGGAAGCCGCATACACAATGTCCACGGAGTCAACGACCAACATGGCTGCGAATACTGCGGCTTTCCCACGACGTAGAGCTGGTTGTCCGGAACCACGTCTGCCCATCGGCAGACTACAAGCTCTTTCCCCCGGCAAGAACGCCAAAGGGTTACATGGCGCTGGCCCGGCACCACCGGGTACTGTACTAATGGGGACATCGATGGGCATACACAATCCCAAGGTCCCAATTCTGGCATTAAAGCTCGGCCCCAAACAAAAAGAAAAGCCAAAAGACAGGAGACGAGGAGGGGCGACATAGTGGCAGAAGACAAAGGCGAAGAGGAAGCCCAAATCCTAGGAGACAGCTTGGAGGTAGGGGGAAAACAGCAAGATTCTGAATACCGCTATCCCGACTGTCAGGAAGTCATTACACCTTCGACGATGAGTAATATCCTGTAACATCTGGTTCCAAGGATCATCGAAGCGTTCTCGACCCGAATCCTCTAGAATGGCGAAGGAAAGTGTCCAGCTTGTCCGGCAGCCAGAAGGTTGCTATGCTCATCAAATGATAGACTCGTTGCAACTCACCGATATCTATCAAGAAGAGCAATCGCATCAAATGAAGATTTCGTTGATATCCCGTGCAGGCGACAACTCAAACCTGCAACACGCTTTCATGAGTTGCGTTTCAGAGGATGCAATAGGAAGGATCGAAAGTGCCTCCACCGCGTACGAACCATGGGAGCTCGCAGGTCAAACTTTCCGCATGAGAAATCTCTGCTCTGATAAGGCGTCCGTTTTTGAAGAAACGGTGTTTGTAACATTCAAGGAAAAACGGCGGCATGCCACAGGCGCAGGAGCTTTGCCACACGCCTTCGCTATTGAATCTTCACCTCGAGGCTCATGGCGCAGCAACACTATCAAAATGGTATTGCGGGGATGTCACGATGGCTGCGATCAGCATTGCAATAGCATTAAACTCAATATAATTTTGGTTTTCGAAAAGACAAATTGAAGGAATGAACACAATAAATACTGTTTCACCTGCAAGTCGACTGTGGGGAGTTATCATCATGCATCTTTATGGTGCAGCGAATAGTACAAACTGCTGGCGGGGTAGATAAGGTACTCGCAATTGGCAGCCTTGCTCGTATGGTTTTTCCGCAACTGGCGAATTTCTCCGGGCCCGGGATGATTCTGGACGGGGAGGAAAGGCTACAAGACTGTGCCACGGCATATTTAGCTAAAAGAGGGAGAAAATGGTGGTGATGGTCAGAGGTAACGAGCAATCGTTGCGGTGCGAATTCTCCCGATAAGCTCGAAAGAGCTCGAGCACCAAGACAGGCGCGGGGCTGTCGAAGCTGTACAGTACAGTATGATAGTGGCTTCAACCCTCCCGGAACATGCACACTTCGGACTTTGTTCGTGACTCTGGAAAAATGATTTGCCAGGCACCGCTAGTAGAAGACCCTACGAGTATCTTGGTACTGATTGATTGATTGATTGACTTGCACCACAGAACGTTCTCCCCCACCTCAAGAGGCCCTCCCTCAATCACGAAAACGTGTCCCCGTAAACAACAACCCCACTTCGGCAACAGATTCTGAATGACATATTGCCGTCTTGCTCATTTCTTGTAATCGTTGCTTCATTTTCTCCTCTTCCTGTAAAACTTCCTAGAATCTCATCAGTCAAAAGTCCTTTACAGTCAAACAGCTCAAAAATGTCTGCCAGTACCGTTGGAAAGGTATGTGATATCGAGACGCCCACCAAGATAACCGTCATACTGACAAGAGTTTCTATATCAGACCATTACTTGCAAGGTGCGGAACCGGGAAACCCCCCCATTGTCCAGCGCGGACAAAACCATTTTGACTCTTTCTGTATAGGCTGCCGTTGCCTGGGATGCCGGCAAGGACCTTACCATCGAGGATATCGAAGTAGCACCGCCAAAGGCCCACGAGGTGCGAATCCAGATATACTATACTGGTGTCTGCCATACCGGTACGCAAAACAAACACTGGTCCTCAAAAAGGTGGAGAATGAAACAAACTGAATAAACCTTGTCACTCAGATGCATACACACTCTCGGGCAAGGACCCTGAAGGTGCCTTTCCCATCGTCCTCGGACACGAGGGTGCGGGTGTCGTCGAGTCAGTCGGCGAGGGTGTGACCAACGTCAAGCCCGGCGACACGGTCGTTGCTCTCTAGTACGTTGAAAAAAAAGACCAGAACCCCTCTCCCCCGCCTGCGGAACCGACAACCATCTGACTCTTGGGGGTTAGCACACCTGAATGCAAAGAGTGCAAGTTCTGCAAATCCGGCAAGACCAACTTGTGCGGCAAGATTCGAGCCACCCAAGGACGAGGTGTCATGCCCGACGGCACATCCAGATTCAAGTGCAAGGGCAAGGACCTCCTGCACTTTATGGGAACCTCGACCTTCTCCCAATACACCGTCGTGGCCGACATCTCGGTGGTCGCCATCACCGACAAGGCCCCCATGGACCGGACGTGCCTGTTGGGCTGCGGTATCACCACCGGTTACGGTGCTGCCGTCATCACCGCCAAGGTCGAGAAGGGATCCAACATCGCCGTCTTCGGAGCGGGCTGCGTCGGTCTCTCCGTCATCCAGGGTGCCGTTAAGAACGGTGCCGGCAAGATCATCGTCGTCGACGTCAACGACAAGAAGGAAGAATGGGCCCACAAATTCGGTGCCACCGACTTTGTCAACCCAACCAAGCTGAACGGCCAGACGATCCAAGAGAAGCTGATCGAGATGACCGACGGTGGCTGCGACTACACCTTTGACTGTACCGGTAACGTTGGTGTCATGAGAGCTGCTCTCGAGGTAGGTTCAAAGTGTTTTTTTTCATTCTTGTGGTGGCCCCATTTTCTGACCGAGATTGCGACAGGCTTGCCACAAGGGTTGGGGTGAATCGATCATCATTGGTGTCGGTAAGTGCTTCTATCACAGATCATGGTGGTCATGTCCATGTTACTGACTCTAGCTCAAAGCTCCCGCTGGTGCCGAGATTTCCACCAGACCATTCCAACTCGTCACTGGTCGTGTCTGGAGAGGTTGTGCTTTCGGCGGTGTCAAGGGCCGAACTCAACTTCCAGGTCTGGTTCAAGACTATATGGACGGCAAGCTCAAAGGTAAAACCCCCAACTAACTCGCCTTTGTTGGTGTGAACATTCAGATTCTGACCTGCCGTAGTTTCGGAATTCATCACACACAGACAGCCCCTCTCCAAGATCAACGAAGCATTCCACGACATGCATGCCGGCGACTGCATTCGCTGCGTCGTGGACATGAGGGCCGATTAGCTACGCTCGGTATGTACAAAATGGACGCCCCAAGCTTTTGTCTACATACTAGTATCTGGTTCCAGTCCGCTAACTTTTTCAATCTACAATAGGGCCCCCCTGCATCTCCGAGACTATGAAGCAAAAAAAAAGACCAGTTACTTCCACGCACACTCGGTAACAAATATTTTGACGAGGGTTTAAGGAAACTGATCAAAGGTACTTCGATGGAGGAAAAAATGGGGCGTTTCACGATTCAGGCCGCCATTGTAAACTTTGTTGTTGACGATCACAGACGGAAGGGAGGAGAATGCGCCCCCGAGGAAGATGTCCATATAGGCGGTCGTTGAGAGAGGTGAGGCGCAGAAAAAGTCACCACTGAAACATAAAAATACTCCAAACCTGACTCTTTCTTGTCCTGTACATCGGTCGATGTGGAATCGTTCGGTCGCATACCCAGTCAGCTGTCGTTTAGTCTCTCTCTCTCTCTTTTGTCCTTTTCCCCGTAATGGATTGTACTCGCTGGTGATTGATTGCTCTGACCCTGGCACATGTAACAGGCGGATTCGTGTTACATCCACCAAATGGCTCTGATGACATCCGTAGCTCCGAGGGAGGGGTTTGAGTAACTGTACTCATCGATCATACGGAGTACGATCAGGGATCTACGATGACTAACTGTAACTTGTTACTACAGAGTAGTCAGTAATGATGAATTCACAGTTTATGCCGAAGCTGACATGATGCATGATGGAAAGTTTTTATGCATGAAATCCTGACCCTGTGGGCTTATCACGTACCATCTTTACTTATTGTAGGTTTATTCACACCTCGTTTACATTACCTGTCATATCTCTCACAACTACCCGTCCTATGAGGCTAATAGTCCCAATTTCCCATCTATGAGTCTTGTCTTCGTCTCTACTTTGTCGATCGAATTGATTGAATTTATCCGGTTCTCTACGGCACAGTAGGGGATTTCTTGTGACTAACGGGTCGACCTCGACCTGTTTCTGCCGTTCTCTTATCTGACTACCAGTACTACTTCCCCCCCCCGGTAAAGTGGTCTCGGTCTCGGGAGCTTCCGACCCCAAGGAAGAAAGGGACCAAACACAATCTCTAGATACCTACCTAGATATGTAAACGGTCCGTTCACGTTGCAACGTGTCCATGGGCTCACCAGTCTAGTTAGTTACCAAAGGTTGTTGATTGCCTAGTGAGCTTCGGGAGAAGGAGTCTTATTATCCCCAGCCCGTTCAACGCTTTCGTGGTGGCCCGCGCGTGCCCACGCCCACGGGTCTGTCAGCGTTCCTTCTTTTTCTTTGGACCCTTGCTGGCTGCTGGGGAAAAAGTTGCTTCTGTCCTGTTCTGCCCAGCCTTTATTGCTGAAAGGAAGTATTATCTCTCTCTTTTGTACTCGTCGAGTTCACAGTGTTTTGTGACAGAGCTTCGTCAACTTCACATGTCAAGGTCTGGGTAATTTTTGTTTCCTAAGACACTCGGTTGTGGTGTCCCACTGTCCAGGTACCAGTCAAGGCCGGGTACAGGTCAAATCTGGGAGATTCTGCAGCAAACGGTCCTTTGCCTTGTTCTGACTTGACCGCGGAAGGTATACAACAAAAATGGCTTCTAAATTCCCGAGCAATTATCTTTTTGCTCGGGGTTGACTTGGGAGTAGAGGGGTTGGAAGTTAGTGCACCATCAAACCAAGTACTTTGGTCAACCAAAGGTACCTGCAGTAGGACTTGCCAGTACTGGCATTCCAACTGTTCAGTGGTTCCCTAGCATAAAAGTGAGGGAAAAAGGGCCATGGAAGGGTACAAAGAAGTCACTTCGGCGATCGAAGGTCGTCTTTTCGTTTCCACCAAAAAACATCACGAGGCCAGTAAGAACAATGATGTCTACTTCCAATCGAGACCTCAGGCAATTCCTACAGTCGACTCGTGGCTGTCACCTTTCACCAGCAGGATCGTCCTCCCTAGCAACAAGAGCAAATCGATCGACGTCGAGGATGGAGAGCAGCAGCAGCCGCCGTCGCAAAGCCTCTCTAGCCGGGTCAGACACCACCATCACCACCTTGGTAGATCATCGTCGCGCGCTTCTGGTGCCGCCGTCAAAAGTCGTCTACCAAAGATCAAAGACCAGGGAGCCGCTGACCAGTTGGTTATGACGCGCGCCCCTGCCGCCACCGCCGCCGGGTTCACATTGTCTCTTGAGCTCGCTGAGCCAATCTTGTACCTGGAAGGATTCGACTATCCGCACAATTCCGAACACCGTTCCGCCGTCCTCAGAGGAGTGATGAACCTGACCGTCCTGAAACCGACGACCCTGAACGCTTTGAAGTTGAATTTTCGGGGAGAAACAGAAACCATCTGGCCTGAATCATGGCGCGTTCGGAAACTGCACAAGGTATTTCGAGAGGAGGTGGTGCAACAGACGTGGAATTTCTTACAGACGGATGATGCAGGAGTAATGGGAGGAGCCGACGACATCAACAACAACATGACGACCACTTCCGCATATCGCAGTCACGCGAGACAAACCAACACGCAGCGAAGGTTCGAACCTGGGCAATACACTTTTCCATTCGAAAGACCCCTTGAAAGTTGGCTTCCCGAGACGATAGACCTACCGTTGGGAAAGGTGTCTTATACACTGACTGCTCTTGCTACGGCCACCACCGAGACAGAAGGAGGAGGTGTTGGTGGAGGACACTACTCTTCGAGCGCGAATACGGCGACCCTGACACAACTCGTCACACTCGTACGCATCCCTTGCGTGTGTTCTTTGGAACTCTCGGAACCCTATGAGGTTCGAGGGCTCTTGCACGGCCTACACTACAATTTCGCCCTGGCTGCCAAATCTTGTCGAGTAGGGGGCCAATTACCCCTGACCATCAACATCTCATCCCCCAATGATCGATCGTGGCAGAGCATCAATATTTCTCTCGTCGAGGACGTGCAGTATCAGACGCGCAACGGACTGGCGTACCGAGAACAGTCACGCACAAAGGCCTTGTTGTACACGAACCGAGCGAAGCGAGACCCCCTTCACCAGCGCGCCTTTAGACGCATCAGTGCCGCGGGAGAAAAAATGGCCCCTTCTTACGCCAGTAGTGTGGTGATTGAAAAGGAGAAGGATGCTGATGATGTGTTGTGGTGTCGTCGTCTGTCGTCGTCTCCTCAACATCTTGAGTTTGTTAACAACAACAACAACAACAACAATGACGGTCGTGGTGGTGCTGGTGATATTGATGGTGGTTCCGACGGAGATTATCAATATTTACATGAAAAGACGACCTTGAAGATACCTTCATGTTCAAAGATTGAGGCAGATACGGCTTACAAATGTTTGTATGTTCGACACTATCTTTTGGTAAGTTTCAATTCCGAGAAGCGAGCAAATGGAACGGGGTGTGTTTTGGGTGTATGCGAGTGTGCGAGTGCTAACCTTTTTACCTTTTTGGTGTTGACAGATAACGATAGCAGCACACGTTCAAGTCAACGAACACGATCGGAAACAATTTCAAATTCGTATTCGAATGCCAATTCAAATCTTGACTTGTAAATTGTGTGACGGTAATGCCACCTTGCCAGAGTATTCGGAAAGTCCACCTGGGACCATGACACCACCTCCACCTCCACCATCGGTTGTCGGGGGCAGTGACGGTGGTGGCCAAGAAGGGGAAACGACGACAACAACCACCACCACCACCACCACCATGATGATGCAGCCACCATCGTCACCTCCACCGCCTGTAGATTTGTGTCGATGTGTCAGTGCTTCGAGGTCGTCTCGACAGTCACAGGACGGTTGACGTGGGTCGAGGTAGTCGACTGCGATGACTCGGCGCGTGAACATGTCAATCAATCAATCAGTCATGGTGTACCCTGGCAAGCCCGACGATATATATACGACTTTGAAAATATAGACAGGCATCCGAATAAAACAAACATCACGTCATTACTCGACCTTGTCAATTGAGATGGATGGAATGGATATGGAAACGTCAACGCACCGAGATTTTGAATAGCCAGTCTGTCTCAGAACTAGTAAAGAGCCAGAGTAAGAGTCAATATAAAAAGTGAAAAAACGGTATCTGATAGTTGAACTCGTTCCTCGTTCCTTGGGAAAATTGCAGGACAAGTCTTTTTAATGTCGAATACATTTCGGGGTGTAATCAATAAAATGCGGACTGTGCTAATTGCCAACTATGGGATATAAGGATGAAAATCTCATTCGAGTACTGGCTGGCTCTGGGTTTGGACGCTACCTATTTTTACTCCTGGGACGTTTTCCCTCCGCCTTGAAAAAGAAAGCCGCAACAAGACAACCGCCGGCCTTCCCCATTGCTAGCAATCTGGACCGAGACCACCCGGTACGTACATACAGGTCGGAAGGGATGCAAGTGGACCCCCCAAAACTACTCCTCGACCCACGTTCTACCCGTGCAAAGCTTCTCAAAGCTCAATCAAACTCTCCTCCACCGCGACGGGTTTAGGTTGGTGTTGAGGTAAGGATTGTTGTGGGTAGCCAGGAGTATGTTGCGGTACCGAAGGGAATTGATCTTGACTGTAGCCAGTTTGATATGCCGGGTACGACTGTGGGTTGGATTGCTGTGTTGGAGGAGGGTATTGTTGTTGTTGTTGTTGTTGTTGTTGTTGTTGTGGTTGTGGCGGCGGAAGCTGTTGATATGTCTGGGTAGGTGGGGGAAGAGGTTGGGATTGGGTTTGAGGTGTTGATGGTACTGCCTGTTGCTGTTGTTGGTAGGCTGGCAGAGCTTGAGAGGCGTACTGTGGTTGAGGAGTAGGAGCATCTGCCCCCTGAGAATAAGGGGTAGGTGTATGCTGAGGATCGGGAGGTGGCAACTGAGGGTACGCGGATGGAGGAGGAGCTTGTGAAGGCTGAGAGGAGTATTGTTGTTGGTGATACATTTGCGGAGACGGTGGTTGATTGAGCTGTCCACCTTGCTGCTGCTGCTGCAGCACCGAATTTTGATATGAATACGATGAGACTGAGGCGTCCTGCTTTGCGCTCGAATATGAATACGAGCGTTGTGGTTCGGGCATTGGTGGTTGTGAAGGTGCTCCATAAGGTTCAGCGGATGGTGCATTGCTAAAGTAATAGTTCTCCGCCCCCCCTGGCGCAGTGCTCATAGATGGCGGAGGACCTGAAGCGATTGATGGGTACATTCCAGAAGCTTGAGGTATGCCTGGTGAGGCCATGCCGTAACCTGGATATCCCGGATTCCGCTGGTTATAGGTATTGTTCAGTCGATCCTCGAGCATTCTATCGTAGTAGCGAACAACAGTCGACAGTTTGGCATGAAGATCAAGCAAAGCATCATTCTTCGACATTGTCTCGCCCAACGTTCTGGCCAGTTTGGGTCGAAGCTTGCCGATGCTTTCATACAATTCTTGAATCTGTGGTTCTCGTAGTATTGTGCCCGGTGGTTGATGTTGTAGACGGTCGACAAGCGTGGAGAATAGGTTGATGTTCTCCGCTTCCACGATTGATAGCTCATAGTCATTCTTCGGCATGATGAATGGTTGTGTAGAAGTTGCACCATCGGCTGCAGATTTCTTAATCGAGGCCGCATGCTTCTTGGCCTGTTCTTCGGCCTCCTTCAGAGACAAGGCTATGGCAGCCTTCAGATCAGGGTCGTCCTCTTCCTCGGCTGCTGCCGCACCGTTCGTCTTTGGAGGCTCCTTCTTTCGTTCCTGTGACTGCGGCACGTAGCCTGAGCTTGATATTCCCTTGGCCTCCTCCAGACTCATTTCCAAAGCTCTTTTCAGATCCTCATCAAAGCTGCTAGCCTCTACCCTGGCACTTCGTGGTTGCATGGCGCTAGGTTTGGGTGCGAAAGACACTCGGCGATCGGAGCCACCGGACTTCCTGGTCAGTTTGTCGTAGCATCCGTCGTCGACGCGCACAGGCTGCATGATGCCCAGGTGTGGTAAAGGAATCGACTTGGAGGAACACTGCTGATCGAAGACATTGCCGCAATTCCTGCAATGGTGCTTGCGATTCGTAAAGGTGAAAGCTGTACGACATCGCATGCAGACATCACTGTCGGCCCATTCGGGAGGGGCGCTGCTGTCCACCATAGTACTTGCAATCTCAACCTTTGGTGGAAATGCGAATCCTTCTCTTTGGAGGGTCTTGTAGACTTCGTTGATATACGAGAGATCGTATCGAGCTTGGGTGGCAATGGCCCAAGTCTGTATCAGTTCGAGGATCTTGCCTTTGACGTCGTCGTTTACAGCTGCAGGTCCGTAGGCTTTGAGCAACGAGACAAGATTGTCCATAAACTCGCGGGATGCGATTTCCGTCAGGAAGTGAGATCCTCCATTCTTCACGCACGTGTCTGTGAGTTTCAAGGCTGAAAGCTGAACATTGGGATTCCTGTTGCCTATCCGTCGCTTCAACGATCGCATAGCCTCTTTAGGCTGCACTGTTTTGGATCGGATCAAATCGGAGATTTCGAGACTTGTAGCGATGTCTTCGAGACTACTTGAAGTAGCTTTTTCAATTTGCTCGTCGAGGGCAGACGTGCCAGAGGAGAACCATCCAGCCATGGTTGTAGGTGGGTGGCCACGGGCCGTTAGGGAGGATAGGACAGAATGGGGCAATTTATGAGGAACGTTGCAGTGAGAGAGTAGCCAGAATGATGGTGAAAAGGACAAGAAGGCCTTGTAGAAGTGCTCTGATCGTCGAATGCAAAGAATGGAGTGTGAAGAAGTTGAATGTAGTTTGCACTGTCCAGCCTACCATGAGCACCTGAAGGTTGCTGCGATGACATCTGAAACTGCGGGTGTGGGCTCTCCGCGGAACCCTAATCGTCTGGCACCTAATTGATTAGGCGTGATAGGCTTACAAAGAGCCGCTTAGCAGCCTAAAGGAGCCACGTACGGAGGTGCTTACAATGGGCGGCAAACTCCAGTGACGCGCTGCGGGCGACCCAGACTCGGCCTGTTCTTACTGCTTCGTTCGTACCCGTCGTTGCCGTCATACTGTGATATTCTGGGGTGGCGCATGCTTCAGCACAACTCACTCACCCATAGGCATAGTAGTCGGTTTGCTCAGCACATGGAACCTGGTCGACCTCTTCTATGTATTCCTACTCACACTACCTGACTGAATATCGCATTCCTCCCATCCATACCCTGTCTATCCTCTTGCTTGCTTCATAGCAGCACGTCCTTGACTGTCTAGTCCTCTTTGACACTCATTGTGTAGCGCTACGACCGCCATCCTCCGATCGTCTCCAGTTGAGACCACAAAGCGACGTTGCTTTGCTGGGCTTTATCTTCAGAACCAGTCGCGCAATGATACTGCGGTGATACACTCACACCAGCGCCATGGCGGCGTATGCGTCTCCCTCATCGTTTGGGAGTCAGGCCACTGCACCGTCTGCGGACTCAATATCCACCCGGTCGAGTTGGTCGGACACCAGGAATACAACACCTGGTTCTGCCTCTGAAAGAGTCTTCGCACACATTAAAGATATCATTCACGACGCGACAACTGGTATCGAACCCGATGGTTCGCTCGCCCACTACCTGAGTGAGGTTGAAACCTGTATTGCGACAGCAAAGAGTTCGGTCGACTTTCGGCGGCCTGACGTTGCGTACAAGAACTACCTTCGCGCATACGAGATTGCCGTCGAACGTATACCAACCCACAAGGATTATGGAATCTGGGATAATAACTCCTCTTGGAGTTCGAAATACAAGGCAGGTTTACGAAGGATCAACGAACTATCGAATCAAATGGCACAAGTGAGAGGTGTCATTGAAGAGAACAACCGACGCCATGGTACACAGCAGCGGTCGGTTTCGAGGAAGCCGGTCTACTCTACGGGCTTTGGGGTGCCTTCGACGGCCTCTTCTGCCTCCTCTGGCAGGACAAACGGCTCCGAGGTGTGGCAAACAGACTCTCGCCCGTCAGCTGAACTTCCAGATGCATTGCGCATCAATCGGGCACGGCCATCAAGCAAACCGCCGAAGCCAGAAAGTCTTCAAGGACGACCGCTGAGCGAACAACCTAATGACTTGAGCCAGCGCTTTGCTCGTTTGAGAGGGCCAGGAAGCTCTAAGGAGGTTGGTCCTATTCTGACCATGCCGAACCCGAGTGATTTTCAATCAGCTGCCGGCAACGCTCCTCGACCGCAGTCTTATGCACCTTACGCAACTTCGAAAGTTAACGGTGCTTCCAGTCATCGATTGAACGGACCTCGTGATATGCCAGGACCTGGTAACGGACCCTCGCTTCCTCCCAAAGTGCCACTGACCACCAACATGGTCATGCCGAAGCCCCCGAGCCCGACGTATAGCCCAATAACGACAACTTCTATTGCTTCTCATGCTAACAGTAGCCGTTTGCCAACTGAAAGTGGCCGTCCTCCACATGAGAGGAAACAAACTTACTACAATCAATCGCAAAATTCATCTACGAATTCTCTGCACATACAGAGAACCCGCGACGAGATCCTGTCTCCCTACAGGCCGACCACTCCGAATGGGATCAATTCAGCTATCGTCGCAAAGAGTAGTTCTAGCGAAATTCCTCACAGACCCTCGATAGATGCACAAACTCTGCTCGAGTATATGAAGAAATATAATGTTCTCGTCGTTGATATCCGAGAAAGGGTGCTTTTTGATGACGGACATATCATGTCGAGCTCGATCATATGCATCGAGCCCATCTCTCTCAAAGAAGGTGTTTCAGCAGAGGAACTCGAGGATCGGCTTGTTCTCGCTCCGGACGTGGAACAAACCCATTTCTCTAGAAGAAATGAATTCGATATCGTCGTCTATTATGATCAAGATACAAGCGATATCTCATACTTGAAAGGGCCACCATCAATGACAAGAGCTCCTGCGCTGCGAGCACTCTACGACACACTTTATGAGTTTAATGACACGAAGCCACTGAAGGACGGACGTCCACCAGCTTTATTAGCAGGTGGTCTTGATGCATGGGTCGATTTTGTGGGAGCTCAATCATTAGCACGTTCTAAAACTGCCGCCATGCTCGGCACAATTCAACGAAGACGAGCCGTTGGTCCTGGCCGACCCATTGCTCGACAACGTCTGGTGTCGGCCAATTCCCGCTACGAAGTGCGTAATAGGCGTCTTCGTGACCACAAATTCCTTGATGAGAGTGAACAAGAAGCGTGGCGGCAGCAAGCCCTACAGGAGGAGGTCATGCCAGCCGAGAAAACAAGAGCCGCGAGTGACGATGAAGATGCCACCGTTGACGAAGAACTGCCACCTCCGTCTCCGTTTGTGCCTGACTACGAGACATTCCTCCGTCGTTTCCCGTCAATACGGCAGCAGGAGTCAATGATAATGCCAGCACGGCGACCGTTAGCGTCGCATCCAGCTCCGTACCTTCCTCATGCCGTTGCGCCTGTACCTCAAGTGCCGACAAGGCCACCTCCAGCCATACCACGACCAAGTTACTCGGGGCAAGCCGACATCAATGCTCCCCAGCCTGCGCTTGCGAGAGTCACTTCTGCAAGCCGGCCTCCTCTCTACTCGTCAGCAACCTCTATCAGAGCCAAGCGTCTGCCAAAGACTGGACTGACCAATTTCGGCGTCACTTGCTATATGAATTCGACTCTACAGTGCTTGTCTGCTACCATTCCATTATCGGCCTTTTTCAACGACAGGATGTATGAAGCGTATGTCCAGCGGAACTGGAAAGGCAGTAACGGTATAATGCCCAAACTCTACGCGAATTTGGTCCAAGCTGTATGGCAAGGAGATAACGAAGTCATCAAGCCGTCCACGTTCAGAAACTTCTGTGGTCGGATGAACCGTGAATGGGTAATCGATCGACAACAAGATGCCAAAGAATTCTTCGACTTTATAGTCGACTGCCTCCACGAAGACCTGAATGTAAATTGGGAGCGCACACCACTCCGTCCACTGACTACGGCTGAAGAGATGCAACGTGAACGTATGGAAATTGCACGTGCCAGTCCGATTGAGTGGAAGCGGTATGAGCACCGGGACCACAGCTTTTTGTCGTCACTATTTGCTGGTCAGCACGCCTCCCGCCTCAGATGCTTGACGTGCAAACGAACCTCAACCACATACGAAGCATTCTACAGTATCAGCATCGAGATTCCTCGCTCCGGTACAGGGCATATATACGACTGCATGAACAGCTACTGTAGAGAAGAGAAGTTATCAGAGCTTTGGCGCTGTCCATATTGCAAATGTGAACGAGAAGCGACCAAGCAGATAATCCTCACCCGCCTTCCGCAATTCCTTGTCATTCACTTCAAGCGCTTTGCAGCGAGTAAGCATGAAAAGGCCAAGAAAATTCACACGCCCATCGAATTCCCGCTCCATGGACTAAGTATGGATGACTTTGTCATTCCGCGTCCGCCGAGTGTTCCGGATGCAGAAGGACAGATTGACATGGCGACCACCCCGCCGTACAGTTATGATGCATATGGCGTGCTGCGGCATCTCGGAAATAGCGGCGACGGCGGTCACTATATCAGCATTGTCAAAGATCAAGGTCGGGGCTGTTGGCGTAAATTTGATGATGAGCGGCACGTTGACCTGGACCCAAACAAGCTCTCTGCCCGGGATCGTTTGCAGAATTCGGAGGCTTATATTGTGTTTTATCAGCGGGCACAAGCGAGATAGGGTCTCGATGATAGCCTGGATTGGGACATTGACGGACTTGACACCTATGACGACTACCTTCCCGTCGATGATGAATCGCCTCTGTGCGGTGATGACCAAACGCGGCCAACAAGGTCACTTGGCTAGACCTACCTAGGTATGCATTGTCTTTTGCGATCCTATTACCATGATGAGCGAATAATGGGATTTGGGTATTTGCGCTTTGAGCCTGTCTGTATCTCTCATAGCAATTCATAGGACATCGTGAATATCAAGCCACGTCGAAGTTTCGTTTACGTTCTGATCTGCAATGATTGTAAGGAAGTACTTCTGAGAATACTTGCGATTGTATATAATCGTGCAAATCTCTCCTTGTCTCTCTATCCAACATATTCATGACTTGGGTGGCTTGAAACGAAGTGCGTTTCTTCGTTCCAAGAGTAAAAATACCTACTCTCGTCTGCTAAATGCGAATGCTAATGGTAGACGGCTTGCTCGATGGTTATTTTGTTTTCTCCTCGATCGAGCGAGTGAGTGGTCAACGACGTGTGATGACTGGTAACTGAAAAAGAAAGAAAGGAGACAAAAGAAAATCATCATTCGATCAATCCAGCAGCCACAGTGTCTCCGTTCGACCTCAGGACGACCCTCGAGGGGGCTTCCAACGGCACGGCGTCGTCGAGCCGCACGAGCACCCTCGCGACGGTGCCGGGCTGGACGATCTTGGGCCTCTTCTTGACCACGGCGCCCGAGGCCTTGTCCAGGGTGGCGACGAGTTGGGAGATGCGGCCGGGGACGTGGAGCCGCCCCTTGTGCACGTCGACGGCCATGGGCGTGAGGTGGTCGAAGGCCAGGACCTTCGCCGTGAACTCTCGGACGTTGCGGATCGGCGAGGACGACGCGCTGCACAGCACGTCGCCCGTCTTGAGGTGGACCGGGTCGATGTCGGTGAGGTTGAGGACGACGTTCTGGCCCGCGACGGCCCAGTCTCGAGGCTCGCCGTCGTCGTCGACCTGCAGACTGCGGACCTGGGCCTTTTCGCCGCTGGGCATCACCAAGACCTGCTCGCCGGTCTGCACCGTGCCGGATTCCAGGCGACCCGAGACGGACAAGGGGTTCTGCACGCCGCCCCGAAAGACATCGCCGATGGTCATCCTCAGCGGCTTGTCTAGCGCGTGCGTCGCCGGTTCCGACTTGTCGAGCTCCTCGACCAGCGTCGGGCCCTGGTGGTACCACGACGATCGAGGGTCGGAGGAGCGGCGGAGGATGTTGCCCCCCTCGAGGCCCGAGCAGGGGACGAAGGAAATGTTTTTGGGTTGGAACCCCGTGCTGGTCAGGAACCCGGACATTTGTTGCCGGATCTCCTCGAACCGAGCCTGCGACCAGTCGGCCACGTCCATCTTGTTGACGGCCACGATGATGCGCTGGACGCCTATCGACCGGACGAGGAGGGCATGTTCTTTGGTCTGGCCTCGCAAGCCGGATTCGAAGTTGCCCGTCGACGCGTCGATGACGAGCACCGCAAAGTCCGCCTGGCTGGCGCCGGCGATCATGTTGGGCACGAAGTCGCGGTGCCCGGGGGCGTCGAGGATGGTGAAGCTGGTCTTTTCCGTCTCGAACTTGTTGGTGGCGATGTCGATGGTGACGCCGCGTGCCCTCTCCTCGGTGCCCTGGTCGAGGACCCAGGCGAAGGCGAACGATCCTTTGCCGATGGTCTCGGCTTCTTTGCGGTACTTGTCCATCGTCCGCTGGTCGACGGCTTTCAGGTCGAACAAGAGTCGTCCCATGAGCGTGCTCTTGCCGGCGTCAACGTGGCCTACACGGGGATGGAGTCAGATACACCCAGACACTCCAGAGGGGAGGGCGATACTCACCGATGACGACAAAGTTGGCGGCATTTTTCCGTTTGATCTTTTTGAACTCGGATATGACATCGATGTTTTTGCTCTTGACTTTGGGTGTTTCTTGTAATGAGAGTGATTGAACACCGCTGGCTATAGATGTCTTGGGTTTGGGTGTTTCTTTGACTTTGGGTTTGGGTGTCGTTGTAGTTGTAGTTGTAGTTGATGCTGTTGCTCAAGACGCGACCTTGTCAGCTTGTGCACCGTTGAGAGATGATAACAGCAATGTCAACTCCGACCTTTTGCATTTTGAGCCCTCGATATGACATCGTCTGGACTCGGCTCTGCAAAGGCGGCAAACCGAGAAGGATCAGGGGAAGGAAAAACAAGATTGTGCGGGACTTGTGGACGTGTATCGAAATCGTGGCTGGTCATGATGCTGGCGAAAGCCGATGGTTTTGCGCGGACCGCCGGTTGCGCCACAATCAAAACCTCAGGCTCCCTTTCTTGCTCTGTCAATGTTTCCAGGGTAGAGGCTTTGTCAGCATCTTGCATCTGCAGATCATCTGTCATGGTTTGATCTTCGCAGGGTTCTTTTGTGCGAATGGTCGAGGGCATTTGTTGATTCGATTGGCTATTGATGTGAAGACTCTGGAGACGTGCCGCATAGTCATTTTCCGAAGATGGTGCAGGTGTATTGTTGGAAGAAGAGCGCTCGTTTTCCTTTTGTCTGCGTTTGGCAGCCAGAGCAGCTAGCTTTGAAGGTTTCCCGCTTCCAGATGAGCCGCCCAAGAGTCCACCACGAGGGTACACCGGCTCGATGAGGATTACAGCCTTGCGGCACTCGGGAACGCGAAGCCAAGGACAATCCTTGAAGAACTCTGCGGCAGAGAAAGGTTCCGAGCACACAGTAGGGCTTGTAAGCTCTTGTTGGCCATCAGCACCGAACCCGCAGCTCAAGCATTCATGGCCATCACGATCCGAATCAAGTCTCGCACGTAGAGTAGTCGAATCAACGGAAAAGATAGGCTTACTCTTGTTCTCAGTGGCTGTCTTCTTTGATGGAGTGGCTGCAGATTTGTGTTTGCCTTTATCGCAAGTTAGCAGAAGTTATGCCACTGAATGCTTCGAAGATTCTTACTGGTGAGGTAGGCTACGGATTTGTTGATGTCGTAGTAGTAATTCCAAAGAGCATCCTGAATCTCGCTGTCCGCCAGTTTGAAGGCTGACCCAAGACTTTCGCGGACCTTGATCGTGCCCAGCCGCATTTGCTCCTTGTCTTCTGGTGAAAGTTCATTGTCGCCGCCCTCGTCGTAGTTTTCGTCGTATTCGTCGTAATCGTCATAATCGTCATCGTCGAGAGCCAGGCTCTTGACTCGTCGGTTGCTCATGCTGAATGGACAGCAGTGTACAAAGAGAAGATTGTGGACTCCTCGACCAGCGCCAGGATCCTGTTTCTAGCCCAAGATCTGACCGGGCTGAACAAGGATGGACCTTCGTCGTCGATGCGGAGGGGCACAGTGATGTGGCGGTGATGATTTGGCTGGCGTAATGTGAGCAACTCTCAGATGTCACTTCATCCCTGAAGGTACAATCAGAGTGTAAGATTCGAGACTGAAAGAAAACTCAGAGACGAATCGAATAAATTTTATCGTTGGTATTTATCGTTGGTCGAACCTCGAGATCATGATAGTTTGGAGGTACTCATACTCGGCAAAGTTACCATGTGTAGTTCACATACAGTTTCTAGTACCGTAGAACCTCCGACCTACAAAAATACAGCACGTGATCATCAGGCTGGCGAAAAGGGCTGCACTCACTCCCTAAGGCTCTGTATTTTGGTTCAACCATAAATTCTGACGATAGGGAGAAAGACTCGGTAGGGATGAGACAATACAGAACTCTGGTAAACTAGAGTTAACAATATGAAAGCACAATGTTTGGGATTGATTGAAGAATGTCGATTGGGGGATCGAATTCCATGTGCCCCTAGAATGGACCATTGGAGCCATATGATCTGGCTAAACATCGATAAGAACACTCCTACACTACTTGGTACCGCGGAATGGCACAGCTACCGAAGCTTACCGCCACACCGGCCTTGTCATTGCAATAATCATCAAATGCCATCCATCACCAATTCGTTATGGCTCTTTCTGAAGGGATCCAGGACAGTAAAGGTTGCATACTAAACACACCGGTCTCCCTCGAGAAGTATACTGTTCAGGGAAACATCGAAACGATTACTGCGGAGTTGTTCATCGATCCATCACAAGTCAGACCACGCGGCATGAAAACTCGCTGGCAAGATCGCACTGAATCCGGAGGAGGCCGTACGGGCAAGTTGAAAGAACCTTTTCACTTTCTTTCCTGGATGCTTCATCTTACCCCAGGAATAGCTTTTGAGGCGTTGGCGAGCATGATCGTAGAATTTATAACTAATTGGTACAAGGGAACTATATCTCGATTTGTCAAAACGGGGTTTGAGGGAGGTCATCTTACATGCTGTTCTTCCCCTTCTTGACCTCGTAGAGATCATACGTCGCAGTATCGAGACTGGCCATAGGGATCGACTTGCAGGCCAAATCAAGGACGTAATACGTCATGGCAGATTGTTGTGGAACCAGCTGACGGAGGAAGAAATCGCCATCAATATCTACCTCAAAGAAGGCGAGATATTGATAGACAGTATCTGCTGGGTTGAACCGAGGGTTAATGTGACAGCTGAAAACAACCCGCCTTGGGCCCTAGATGAAACGCATGTATGCAAGCACACACTGAAGATTGGTCGAACCTGCAGCTTCACGACTTGCGGTATGTAAGGAATGTACGCTGTCATTGGTGTAGAAAACGTTGGTGTATTCTCTGCATGTACAAGGGTAGTTTGCAGATGAACAGAGAAAGCGTGTAGCAGAAAGCAAAGTACTTGTACCTGTAGTATTGTTGTCGCTATGCAGCTGCTTTCTTTGGTTCGCGTTGTGAAAAGTAAGCACAAATTTCCACACTGGGAACCGCACAGAGAAAGAGGGTCGCAGGAAGTCACACATGGCGATGAATGAAAATCCGTCGCAAGGCAACATCAGTAAAGGCACAAAGATAGAATTGAATATGTAGTGGGTAGAGATTTGTAGTTCTTTGACGTTGGTAGAGATAGTCAGTTGTCTACAAATGGAATAGCCTCATTCCTGGTGGGTATGTATGAAGCAGCTGCGGAGAATGACGCTGATTCTGCACATTATTGGATTCGCCCTCATCACTAACCGCCGTTCCAAGCGAGACAACGACTATCAGACAATCGGATCGTCGACATCCTCAAGACTGCATCCTTCCGCGGCAACTATACCTCAATTCGACGCGTTATGTGATTCCGTGGTCCATACCAGCCTTTTTGCCAGCATGTATTGCTCAGCGAAGTTATTATCGCGAGCATAGTTTCGACAATATCCTCCTGAACCCCAGTCGTGTATATACCCATGTCGACGTCTATTATGCACGCACCCCTCGGTGGCCAGGGTGCGTCGCCCTCGAACAGATCAACTCTGACCCAGCAGCTCGAGCAGATTGAGGGAGACATCACACCCCGGTCAGCGAGAACGTCCTACAAAGGCTCACCCAAGCCGCGTTCCTTCTCCGACGCGGCAAAACCAATTCTCTCACCTTCACCCGCTTTCCGAGAACCTCACCGACGAGTTTCCAAGGATGACTCGGTCATCATTGCTGGTCCCTCCACACCTTCAAAGTCTTCGATGCAGCCCCGGGGGCTGAGCCTGCACATGCCTGCAAAAGATGGATCCGGTGACAGTCCTGGCCCAAATATACCTCGCGTACCTCTGTCGCCAAAGCTAGATTCCTCCCAGATATATGGTTCGCCATCGTCCATGCTTCCCAGGAGATCTAGAGGGTTGGATTACACAAGAGCATGCACAAGTCTACATCAGACCACCCTGGCCGAATCATCACCCGACGCTTCTCCGAATGTCGGCCGGGGAATTCAAATCCCTCCAAGGAGAAGTTTGGCAAGCAACGTGCTGGATTCACCCAGCAATCAGAACGGCTTGTGGTCGTTGACACATGAGAGGACAAACTTGTCCAGTTCTGTCAGTAGTATTAATATGTTTGGGTCGGATTCAGAGTCGGACAGTGACTCCAACTCAGACGATATGGCCATCGATCGCGATATCGATGATGCCATCCTCAATACTCCTGCAGCGTCAAGATTAAATGCGGGGGCCATGCTGGGAGTGGTGAATAGCCCGGGGCTAGAGTGGATGAACAATCCTCAACCATCTCCGGCACAAGCAAGTCTGATGAATTTCCAGCCATATTTGATGAGCTTTAGGAGGGCGCGCACCCGAAAGGGTAAAAGTCAACACAGTTCAAGCAGTGTAAGCATGAACAGCTCCAAGCAATCACCAGGACCACTATCGCCAAGTGTGTTGAAGAGCGTGGAGAATTCAGGCGGCAGTTACTTTGGCATGGGGCTGACCAAACAGCAAATCCAGTCTCGTCGTGAAAGTCTAAGTTTGGGCACCAACGACCTTCATTTATCTGACAGCGAAGACAATAGTTCCAGCAAGCCCAACAAAAACAGCGGCGGCCAGTCGCAGTCAGATATGGACGGACTTGATGGCCCAAGAGGTGTCATCAGGCGCGCAGTTACTCGAAGAAGCAATCTGCTCCCCAAACCCAAAGGCTTCGCCCGCATCCGCGCGCAGCTCTTGGAAGAGTCTGAACCGACCAAAACAGAACTCCGGCGCGAGGCAGAAGTCATCCGTCAAGTGCATGAAAATGACCCGACAGTGTCAGCGGTCACCTCGCCAACCATTCCCACCAGCAATACGTTCGCGGCTGAACCGGTGCAGGACTCTATCGAAGACATGGCGATGGAGCCCACGCCTTCTCTTGCGCCAGATAGCTTCAGTCGACAAGCGGAGCGAAATTCAGGAGGGGTACACTTCTGGAACGGGTTCGAAGGCAATGGGCGGTTTAGGACACCACCTCCAGGCCTGACACCTCGTGAAAGCTCGTCCGCAGTCAGTGACGAGGCTATGGACACACCAGGCTCTGTTTTTGCAGACAACCTGGCACTCAAACATTTCAATCGCTCGAGATCAAGATCGATTACCCCGCTTGCTGCCAACCCACCTACAGCTGGTGAAGTGGCACGCCGCGTGAACAACAAACGCCGTCGTGAAGAAGACTTTGACCCGTCGTACACCAAACGCCGCGCCGTATCGCCTGGTATGAGTGTTCAAAGCAGTCCTGTCCTTCCGCAGAGTCCCGTGTTTTCGAACGACAAGGCCTGGTCAAAGTTGCCCGCGAAGACCAATGGACATGGGGCCGGAGATCGCAGCAACAGCGCAGGAAGTATTAATGGTGCCAAAAAAGTCGGTTTGCAGGGAATGACTGAGACAAATGAGGGTATGATGAGTATGAGTATTGATTAAACTACATCGCCTCCCTAGGTTTGTATGTTTGATTGTCGTCGGTTTGTTTGTTTGGTTCTTGTGCTGGTACGGTTAGTAAGCGCGGCGTTCGGGCATACTGCAGGCAGGGGTCGCTTTCTGTCACAATCCTCAGAGCATATGCGATTGTTCTACGAAGCCAGTGACTATGTCGAGGCTACGATATGTATCTACGTAGGTAATGACTTCAATTTGATGCTACTATTTTTGAGATGCTATTATGAGATGAATAGGAAAGCAGGTCTCTGAACGCCGAGACAAGCTACCTCGCACCGGTGCTGGCTCGAGAACTCGGGACGCGAGGAGCATGAGCATCCTGTAGATATGAATACTCGGAAGGCATGTAACAGGAAATAGTTGGAGGCGTCGTAGGGATCATAATTTGCGAGGTAGCTTGTACGTGCTGTACTCGTATTCCTCTATCCCTGCAGTATTAATCTGACCCCCCCACACCAGGCTGCGGCGTAGATCGTCCCATGCTGTTCTCCCCTCTCTAAATGACAACAACCGCACCAACAACACAAGATTCACCCACCCATTCATTCAGTCATTCAGTTGTGCTTACCAGGTGGCCCAGAAACCATGGGCTCAACCGTCGATATCGCCTCGTCGTTCATCGAGGGTGCGCCTCCCTCCGAGCTCGCCGATGTTGTCAAGGACATCAAGGCACTCACCTCGGACGATGAGCCAGACCTGATTGCCAAACTGAAACCCGCATTTCAAAAATACAATGAAGAACAGCTGGTCGCTGTCAAGTTGCCTGGAGCGAGTGACTATGTATGTGTTTCAATCCAACCCTCCTCCCGTCTCTTTGATACGCTGTCCCGTCTCGGCGCGCATGATTACAATCAGCTTGGGGGAGATACAAGTGCAGGTGGCACATATATGAATCACCATTCCAGGACTAGTTGCTGCTGTTGCTGACGACAATTTGATGCCGACTTTTCAGGTCTTGGTGTCCAGCTACAACAAAATCTCCTCCAGTCCTCCACGATACTACGACTCGGCTTCCTCTACGTCCTTTGAATTTGACCACACGACCGCCAAAGCCAGCTCCCCTCAGTCCTACACGCACGAGACCCAGCATTCCACCTTGGTGCAGTCCATCCTCAAGTCCCTCTCGGCACACTTCTCCGAGCACTACCCGCCCACGTCGTCCGCCGCGTTCACCGCCTGCGCCACGCCGGACGACAGTCAGATTGCGGTCCTGATATCCAGCACGAAATCCAGCCCCAAGAACTTCATCAGCGGCCAGTGGCGGAGTCGGTTCCTCTTCGACCCGGCCTCCTCTTCGCTGAGCGGCAGCATACGGGTCAATGTGCACTACTACGAGGACGGCAACGTGGCGCTCACGACGAAAAAGGAGATTGACGGTGTCGATGTGGGCGGGAGTGACGGCGGCAGTGTCGTGAGGAAGATCGCCGCCATCGAGAAACAGTACCAAGAGGAAGTGAACAGGACGATCGTGGGGATGAACGAGAGCAGCTTTAAAAACTTGAGACGGCAATTGCCCGTGACGAGGCAAAAGGTCGAATGGGAAAAGATCCGTGGTTATGGCCTCGGTAGTGATTTGAGAGGGGAGGCGAAGCGGTGAAAGATCTACTTGATGGAGTTTCTTGAAGAACACATGCAGAGGGTCCTGGACGAGTACCCTTCGGCAAGAACGAAGAGATGGAGGTGCTACGATTCTGGGAGAATGGGAATACACATCTCGTCGGAAGGAAATACCATCGAATTGCTTACAAATGCCTGAACATATGTTGCAGTCTCTCTGGGCTGGGATATCAGCGCGGAAACTATTTGACGAGCGAAATGTTAGGAAAGACAAGGTATGGTCAGAGTCCTTGGGGTCTTTGTATGGAGCACATCTCAGCCAGGCATAAGCTTGCGTAACCAGATGCTCGTTTGGTAAGTAGCCAATTGGTACGAATTACGGCAGTCTCTTTCCTTCTCTCGTTGCCTTGGCCACCTCACTCTGCGTCGTGTCCTCCGCATACCGTTTATAGGCATCAATATACTGTTCCCTGTCGCTCAAGGTGTCCAGCACGCTCTCTCGTTCCTGTACAGCCTTTGCCCAGGTCCTCCACCGTGTCCAGATAGCTTCATCCTCCCCACCCTGTCCTTCTTCTGGGATACCGACGCCTCCCTCCTTGTATACGTCGAATAAGAACAACCTGCACAGCCAAGGCGCGAGCATGATGTCGACCATGCTAAATTGTTGTCCCAGGAAGAAGGGTCCAGACGAAGAACACTCTTTGACAAACGTCTTGATCCCATTCAGGAATTCCTGTCGCGCTTCGTCAAGCGTATATGGTTTCTTGTCCGTGTGTTGCATGAACTTGTAAAAGGCCGGGACGATCTTGGAACCGATATGGTCGATCCAGATTCTACATCGGGCGCGCTCGTATGCGTCTCGAGGGAGTAACGAGGGTCCGTTGGTCTCGGAAGAGTTGTACACTTCGTCCAGATATTCGCAGATCACTACGCTCTCGTAGAGTGGTTTTTGATGCTGGCCCCCAGTTTTCTCGACGGGGACGGCGAGCGTGGGGACCAGCCCGCGTGGGTTCAATGCAAGGAACTGAGGTTCCTTTTTGTACGGATTGATTTCGAAGTATTGGTGCGCGATGCGCTTCTCGTGCAACGTGATCCACGACCGTTGCACAAAGGGGCAGAACCAGCCGCCGTACAGGATCAGAGGGTGCGGCGAGGAGTGGGAGGCGGCGAATTTGGCGGCGCGCCCGGACGTGTGAGGGTGGAGGGATGTGTCTATGGTCGACATTCTGAAGGAGATTATATGAAATGAGGTGAACAGAGTTAAAAGGCCACAACAGGACCTTTTTTCATTTTGTACGCGATATTACTATGGAGGGAGGCAGGACGCAGTATGACGTTGAGGCTGCGATTCCCCGCAAAAGTGCGTCGCGATACACGCGATATACCTCCGTACAGAGTGCATCAGTAAACAACCAGGTAACTCCGTGGGTAGTCGCAACCACCATTACATTCACATGCAATGAGATAGAGCACCCAGTTGAGTCGGCTTGCATCTCTACATTACCTCAGGCTTGGACACAATGCAGGTCTCACTAGAGAGCATCATAAATGACGACCGTTGGGTCTACAATGTACGACTTGTGGTGCACACGGCGGGACCCGCGGGCCCATCAATGAATCACTGGTCCATCTATCTTCTCCTCGTCAACGGCGGTTCAGTCAGGCTGAACATGGCGGCTTACCCACACCCTGACTACACTGATGGCGTCGTAGAGTGGACGATGCACTCATACGTTATGCCGCGCTCTGCGATCACGTACTAGGATTACTCGATCAGGGGACACCTTCGAGTGTTGGACATTGCACAACAACTTTATTCCTCGTTGAGACATCGATATCTTCTGACCCCCGAGGGATTTGGGTGCCGGTATTGGGTGTGAGTTTGTCTGTCCTTTCTCATCCTCTCACTGCTCGGAAGGCTACGGGTTACTGACTTGAAATATCAAAAAAAAAACAGATGGGTTATGATCAGTGATTGGGCCTTCAACCACTGGATCCAAGGCGATGCCGATATCGAGCTTTGGCCAGACCTCCAATACAGCTACTATGTGGGATTTCCACCAACACTGTTACCGATGATAGAGGGGACGTTCTATTGCTCAAGAGAAGGGTGTTTCTGATAGGAAGAGAAAGACGATGTTCCGGATAGAATACTCTGATTCAGCTCGACACCACCGTATACTGTTCAGAGACCATTGGTATTGGTGAGGCTGAAGGAGAGTATCCACGCAAGGCTGCATCATCATGTGGCTTTAAGATGAGGAGTTTTTGGGTGGCGCACGGATAGTTTCAGGCATGACTGAGGCAGAAAAAAGGGGAACGAGAATGCTTCAAGGAATGGAAAGTGAAGGTAATAGCTGGCTTGATGCTGGAATAATCTGGTATTGTGTAGAAAGGAGAGCAAAGGCCAGGCTGTTCAGAAAGGGGCTTCTTGGCATTGAAAGAAGCAGCCAAAGGATTCTCTCCGTAATAATCGGTCTCCATACTGAGTGGCGGCATCACGCTGAAAGGCCAAAAAGGACAGCGTATCGATAACTCGCGCTGCGCCGCCCCAAATAAATATTTCTGTCCATTTGAATCATCCATCATCCTCCCTCCTCGACATCACCACCTTTTTTCTACTTCTTACCACCCTCTACTTTCCTTTGCAAACAAGAGCCTGCCCAATATGGCTCGACGTGGCTCAGGATCCTCTTCCGCTTTCCAGTGGACAACCATATTCTACCTCCTCCTCATTTTCATTTGTCCTTTAGCTTTGATCGGTTCAGTACACGCCCAGGATCAGACTCCCTTGAACGACTCGGACGCCAACTATGGCACCGTCATCGGTATCGATCTGGGTACCACCTACTCCTGCGTCGGTGTGATGCAGCACGGAAAAGTCGAAATCATTGTAAACGACCAAGGAAACCGAATCACTCCCTCATACGTCGCCTTTACCGATGAAGAGCGGTTAGTAGGAGACGCGGCGAAGAACCAATACGCCGCCAACCCTACGAGAACAGTCTTTGACATCAAGTGAGTCCCCAACCGACTGATCTGCTTCGTTTTGCCAAATATTTCGAGACTTTCTGACTAACACTTTTTTCGCCAGACGTTTAATCGGCCGCAAGTTCCAAGACAAGGATGTCCAACGAGACGCGAAGCACTTCCCCTTCAAGGTCGTCAACAAGGATGACAAGCCCATGGTCACCGTCGAGGTCGCCGGCAGCCCGAAGACCTTCACCCCCGAGGAAATTTCCGCCATGGTTTTGGGCAAGATGAAGGAAGTCGCCGAAGCATACTTGGGAAAGAAAGTTACCCACGCCGTCGTCACGGTGCCGGCGTACTTCAACGACAATCAGAGACAAGCCACCAAGGACGCCGGTACGATCGCTGGTCTGACGGTTCTCCGTGTGGTCAACGAACCTACAGCTGCCGCCATTGCCTACGGCCTTGACAAGAAGGGAAAGGAGAGCCAGATCATCGTCTACGATCTTGGTGGTGGTACTTTCGATGTCTCTCTTCTCTCCATCGAAGACGGCGTTTTCGAGGTCTTGGCCACTGCCGGAGATACACATCTCGGTGGTGAAGATTTTGATCAGAGAGTCATTGACTATTTCGTCAAACTCTACAATAAAAAGAACGACGTCGACATCCGGAAGGACCTCAAGACAATGGGTAAGCTGAAGCGCGAGGTCGAAAGAGCCAAGCGAACCCTGTCTTCTCAAATGTCCACCCGCATCGAAATTGAGGCCTTCCACAACGGAAACGACTTCTCCGAGACCTTGACTCGGGCCAAATTCGAAGAACTCAACATGGATTTGTTCAAGAAGACTCTGAAGCCAGTTGAGCAGGTCTTGAAGGATGCCAAGGTCAAGAAGGGCGAGATTGACGACATCGTCCTGATTGGCGGTTCTACTCGTATCCCCAAGGTTCAGTCCATGATCGAGGAATACTTTGGTGGCAAGAAGGCCAGCAAGGGTATCAACCCTGACGAAGCTGTCGCCTACGGTGCCGCTGTCCAGGGTGGTGTCCTCTCCGGTGAAGCCGGCACTGACGACATCGTTCTCATGGATGTCAACCCGTTGACTCTTGGTATTGAGACCACCGGCGGTGTCATGACCAAATTGATTCCTCGCAACACCGTCGTCCCTACCAAGAAATCTCAGATCTTCAGTACGGCTGCCGACAACCAACCGGTTGTCCTGATCCAGGTGTTCGAAGGTGAACGATCTCTCACCAAGGACAACAACCTTTTGGGCAAATTCGAACTCACAGGTATCCCCCCGGCTCCTCGTGGTGTACCGCAGATTGAAGTGTCTTTCGAGCTGGACGCAAACGGAATCCTCAAGGTCTCGGCCGGCGACAAGGGTACGGGCAAGTCGGAGTCCATCACCATCACGAACGACAAGGGACGTCTGTCACAGGAAGAAATTGACCGAATGGTTCAAGAGGCCGAGCAATTCGCCGAAGAGGACAAGCTGGTCCGGGAGAAGATCGAGGCTCGCAACAAGCTCGAGAACTACGCGGTCTCACTGAAGAACCAAGCCAACGACGACGAAGGTCTCGGCGGCAAGATCGACGACGACGAAAAGGAGACACTCTTGGAGGCGGTCAAGGAGACGCAAGAGTGGCTGAGCGAGAACGCCGAGACGGCCGAGAAGGACGACTTTGACGAGCAATATGAAAAGCTGTCCCAGGTCGCGTACCCAATCTCGAGCAAGTTGTACGGCAGCGGCGGCGCAGGAGGAATGCCAGACTATGGAGATGATGACGATGATATGGGCCATGATGAATTGTGAGCTCTCGCTCTCTCTTTTGGGGAATCTTCGTCTTAGGCTGGGTCTGGCATGATTTCTTTTTTTTTATTATCGCGGAAAAGAGATACCTTGAAAAGACAAATTTGTAGCAGCATTTTAGAGATACGGGGGCGGCAAGGCGTTTCTTCTTTTCTTGTTTTGTTTGTCATGCCTAATGTGATTTTTTACAATCGTCTTTGCTTTTGCCCTGGCCCCGTCGTATTCGAAACCCCCTTTGGGTGGGCAAAGGACTTGGGATGCCATCTAGATACCACTACGGAGTGACACAAAAAATGGCAGGTGTCTGATTTTGCTTCTCTCGCTGTCTCGGATTTCGTTCTTGACCTACGGAAAATGTCTCGATTGTTATTTGGTCTGTACTGTATGGGAAGTACTCTGATCAGGTCCAAAAGACGGGGAGAGACGTTTCTGGACTCAAAAAAGTTGGGTACGTGAGAATTAACACGTTTATTGTGTTGAGTGTTTCAACTTTCTGGATGTTTATACATATACATATTGTATACAAACAACAGCATCCCTTTTGGTACACGAAACACCGGACATGGCTACGACTCAGTAATCGAAATTTTGAAAGACAAAAGATTTGTCCGGCATCCAACCCTGGACGACCTTTCTCATGGCCGGGGCGGTACAAATGTACCAGTCGTCCACGCCGCCGGCGGCACGTCTCAAATCTTCCCGACCGAGTCTCCTCTTGTGGACGGTGACGCCGGTCGCGACGAGTTTGTCCGTCGTCCCCGCCGGGTCCGTTTCCGCCTCCGAGGTACCCGTCACGAACAACTCCATCGCGCCGCTCAGCCGCGGGTACGTCTGTAGAATGTCCAGTGCCAGGTTCACATCTTTGAGGCCGAGGCTCCACCACACCTCGAGCCGCGAAGACGCGATGATCTCTTCAGTAATGTCCCCCATCTGGCCCAGAAGTGGAGTGATGCCTATCCCTGCCGCGACGAAGCCGACGCGACGCTTTTTTTGGTCACCATCGTCTCCCCAGTCGAATACAAAATCCCCGCCGAACCCACGGACGCCGGCTTCACACGTGCCCGGGCGTTGGTGTTCGAGCCACTTCGTCACGCTTCCCACCGAGCGAGCCGTGATTTCGAATTCCTCCCCGTGGGCACCCAGGGTGCCGGGGACGCTGGAGACGGTGAACGTGCGGATGAAGTCGTCGTTCAGACTCGTCGGGTCGTCGTCGCGCATGTGGCTGTAACCCATGTCCAGTTCGGACGAGAGGTCCAGCGTGACGTACTGTCCCGGCTTCCACGGCCCGAAAACGCCAGGGTCGTCCAGGGCGAAACGGTAGCGAGTGATGGTGGGTGTGAGACGGGTCTTGGCCACGAGGGAGGCGTTCGCCGGCGGGGAAGATCCCGCCTCGACGTTCGTGGTAGGGTCGTTGTGCTCGGACAACAAGTACCGCACGCGCGGATTGTAGGGTGACAGGCCCTGAGTGGCGTCGTTGGAGGGTGTGCCTCGGAAGGAAAGGCCGGTCTGGACAAGCCTTGCGGCCGTGACGTTCAGACGCACGGCGAGCGTCGACTTGGCCAGAACGTTGGACGCCTCGGCGCCGACGAGAGTGGTTGTTTCGCCTGTGACGTAGAGTACGTCGCCCGTCGAGAAGTCGGGGAAGACCAGACCCGCGCGAGGCGTGGTTTCGAGATTGCCGAGCGTCTGGTAGAGGTTGTTGCCTGAGTATTCGGGCCAGATGATGGAGCTGGGAGAGGAGGGGGACGAGGGTTGCTCGACTCGCACAAATCCAGGTGGGCCGCCACGGTGGTTGCAGTCCATGTCTTCGTGTTCGTGCGAGGTGGCGAGGAAGAAGAGATCGGATTTTGCGATGATGGCGAGGGCGGCGTCGGTGAGATGGGCAGATGTAGATAGCAGTTTCGGCGTCGGGGTCGCGGATGTGATGATTTTCTTGTTGAGGTATTTCGGGCAGTTGGCCAGTGCCATGGTGATTTTGGTCACCAGTTGGGCCTCTCCTGCTTTGCCGGTTGAAGGGTCCTGGACGGAGTCGTCTGGAGAGGTAGAAGTATTGAGCGCACCGGCTATTAGGTGGCCTGCTAGCTTGACACGGCCTCGTTCTTCAAGATTAATGGTCATCGCACTGATGAGACGACTGGTACCTTCCTCCCGCAGAACTTCGCCGTCGGATTTGCCTTGGTATAGGGCCTGGACGACGGGGTCGAACGATGCATCAACGGCTGTGCGGATGCCTAGGATACTTTGACCGATTGCTTGTGCGATGGGCGGCTCGCCCGTTCCCCAGATGGTACACCATGGGTTGTCGTCACTGTCAAGGGTGCCCACCGCCAGGAGTGGGTAGCGGGCAACTTGGTTTGCCGCACGGGGGTAGAGAAATGGAGATGTCGGGTTGTCATTATATTCGACTCCTGTCCGTTTGTGAATGGCCTTTTCACCCTCGTGCCAGTCAGAGGGCTGGAAGAAGGCCATCGTTTTGCGAAGTCCCTCGATGGCCTTGAGTTTCTGACTTGGCCGAGATGAGGAGCGTGCCGGTCGCTGAGCGCGACGGTGCTTCCTTTCCGCGACGAATTCTACCATTTTATTTTCAATTCGAGATGTTGGGATCATAGAATAAACAAGAGCTTACCTCTGATCAAGTTCTCGAGTTCGACTTGTGCCGCCGTAGGAATATATATACACCGTCGTCAGAAAAGAATCGTCATAACTGAGGTATATTGCTTCAAGCCTGATCACCAGAACAGTCGATCATCACCAGAGAAGTCGAGTGACAAACCCCGAGAACTAATACCCGCCATTTGAGTCGATAGTGAAAGCAAAGACCGGGGGGATGTCGAACGTTGTCCCGTGTCAGCATCTCTGAAAAGCGGCAACTCCAACTCTGGGCGTTCTACCAAATGTTTGAAGCGGCAAGGAACGAGTGCTTCGTCTGGCAGGTTTTGGTTTCCTGATGCAGACACACCATGGCGGATAGACTTCTGTTTGCGGAAGGTCATAGAAGACGAAATACTCCGCAGTGCATCGGCCGATGATCTAAGCAATGATCCCACGGCGCACTCCGTACTCGGTAGACTCTGGGCGATTCCAGTTACATGGGGAAGGGTGAATGGGATTCAGCAGACCCCGAAGAGCCATCGTCATGAGTCGCAAGCAGAGTGGTGTGTAATATGCCCACAGATGGCACAGAGGACATTATGTTCGTCCCTCTGGACTTAACATTGTTATAAGTCCATCATGATCGGACGTTGATAATGATTGTGGTAGCCTCGAGTGAGAAGTCTTCAGCCTCGTCGGCTAGAAGATTGCCCGGCGTCCTTACCTACAGCAGGCACTTTTAGGGATTATCGAAGGGACTCGATCCATGCTCAGGGTATGAACATATAAAGCAGCATTTCCCTTTCACCGCACTCGGGATGCATGTGAAGTGGCCAAGTCAAGCTCGGCTCCTGATTCGGAATACATGCCGACGCTCGCCGTTGAGGCTGTCGCACTACCTGGTAATCTTTTGGCCGACGACTAGCCCACGAGGCTCTCGAGGCTGTTCGTCGCAACAACATAGAAATTGATGCTTTGACTCATGTGAAACAAATCACCAACATCGCTAACAAGATCCGAATAACCTGAACATACTGACAACTTGTACTGCAGCCGAAAAGGATCAGATATATCATATCGGGCCGATATCATGATAGCAACGAAACCTCGGATACTCTTCTTCAATCCAGTAAGACACGCGGTAGCCGCATATGAGGCGTTGTGTCGGGTCGCACAATGTGAAGTGGTGACTAGTAAGTCGCGGAAGGAATTCTTTGGGGATGTTCGCAACAAATATCACAATGTGGAAGCGATTTATAGGACTTCTGCAAGCGGTGCGGTGAGTAGGATTTGCCCTCGTCGTTGAATCATTCTAACCCAGAGAAGGTCGCCGGGAATTTCGACAAGGAGTTCATTGATCAACTCCCACCAACGTTAAAGTTCATCTGCCACAATGGAGCAGGATATGATCAAATTGATGTGGATGCATGTGCAATACGGAACATCACCGTCACCTATGCACCTGACCCTGTGACCAATGCTACTGCAGACCTCGCCATATTCTTGCTCCTTGGAGCACTGAGACAATTAAACCCGGCCATCAATAGCATTCACAAGGGTAACTTCAAAAGGGGAGTTGACTTTGGACATGACCCTCAGGGGAAGACATTGGGTATCCTTGGAATGGGCCGTGTCGGCAAGGCAGTCGTGCAAAGGGCTCGACCTTTCGGCATGAATGCAATTTACCACAATCGGAGAGAACTTCCAACTGATCAGGCTGATGGAGCAATATACGTCTCCTTCGACCAGTTGCTGTCCGACAGCGACGTTATTTCCGTCCACGTGCCACTGACCAAAGGTACAACACATCTTATCGGCAAAGAGCAGATCGCAAAGATGAGACCTGGTGTTGTCATTGTCAACACCGCTCGAGGTGCAATTATCGACGAGGCCGCTATGGCGGAAGCGCTGGACGCCGGAAAGGTTGCAGCAGTTGGTCTGGATGTGTACGAAAGGGAGCCCCAAGTCGATGAAAGACTGTTGAAGAATGAGCGTGCTCTGCTGATTCCACATCTCGGCACACATACAACAGAGACCTTGGCCAAAATGGAGACGCTGGCGATGGAGAACGCCCGTCGTGGTGTTCTAGGGGAAGAGCTTTTGACCATAGTCCCAGAGCAACTGCCACCAAGATAGATTCGCACATCGCAGAATGTTGCTTAGATCAGAGTCACAGAATGCCTCTTTTCTGCCAGACTTCCTCTAGCTCAACGAGGAATGAAAGTTCCTCTCCGGAATATATCGCCTGGTATCTGTGTTGCAGGTCTTGTCGTATCACAGCGACATCTTCGGGTGAATCGACAGCATAGCCAAAAACAAGAGCCGGCCACGAGCCGAGATAGCACTTTGACCAGTCTTCTTTGATCCGAGGGCATTGCATTATCTGCAGTGCCCTGCTCAACTGCCACGACTTTCCGGAGGGTGTCAGATGATGGTTTATAGGGTCAGAGACTGCAGTAGACTTGGAAACCCAGTCTAGAAGAAGGGATACCGAAAGTATGTGCAAGCTAGTAGAATGCTCATAGAACGACCGAGTTTCTTGTATATGAATTCCTGTCCCATCAGCTTCGCTACCCTCGTCGACGCAGCAACCTTCCTCAGGGAGTGATGTTTCCCATTGTTCCATCTCTTCGTGCAGTCGATGTAGTACACGATCTTCCGGCCGAGACGGAGTCTTGCACAGTTGAACTACTTCGATGATAAGTTTCTGGAGTCCCAAGGGGAAACCAATCACTGGGCTGTTATCTGCAGGCGAAGCATCGGGAAATGTCAACGACCGCAAAAGTTTCTCTGCTTTTGTTGCGAAGTCCAGGTCAGGCTCAAAGTCGATCACGAATGGATGTCGAACAGTCTGACGGAACATTTGGTAGAGGACAGACTCCCAGAGAATGCGGTGGATTGGTCGTGCCAGTGGAGATGATTTTGAGTTGCGGCAGCGAAGATTGATTAGCTGGATGGCGCCGTTCACATGTTTCGGGATATCCTTGTATGTGCCCTTGTCGAAAACCTGATGATCAAGTCATTAACCCCACAACTTCTTACAGATTCAACCTGGATTACACTCACCCCATGAATGTAGAGAAAGTTGATAGTCGTCATTATAGCATCATTGTAATGATCACGGCTCCAATCGATATTGCTGAGCGCTCGATTGATCCGAGACATTGCGCGAGAGTAATATGCAAAACCGGCTTGATGTAGTTGCACATTTCCAGTTGCAACGTGGAGTCGCGCAGCGCCACAGGCCACACTAATATCTTTCAGGCCGTCAAATTCAAGCAACATATGGACTATTTCCGGGATGTATGACGAATGGAATCCAGAATGTGCAGAAGACAAGAGCGACAACGGTAGAAAGTCTAGGAAGAAATTCCGCATGCAATCAACCTCGAGATCCGATTTGAATTTGATCGAATTAAACAGATCCGTGTTGATACTAAGCTCGCGGCAAAGAGTGGACGCCGGTTGTCTGGTCTTTGACAACGGATTTGTTGCTGACAGTGGCGCCTCATGAGAAGAGGTAGTACCTGGAGTGCTCGGTGGCGACGCTGATACTCTCAATGCCCGTGTGTACCGACGGTCTCGGAGCTCTTCTTTGCCCGGCCACGAACAAATTCTGTTAGATTTGATACATTTCTGGCAACGAGGTCTTTCTTCACCACATTTCTTGCGTCTACCCCTGCCTTTGACCCTGTTTAGCACGCAGTGATACGACCAGCACTTTTGTTCAATTGGTGACGCGACTTACATGTCAAGCAGCCTGTCTTGGTACGCAACATAGCGCTATGCCCGGCCATGGCGATACCAAAGCAAAGGCTGGGAATAAGTAGACAGTCTTCAGCCTCAACATGCCGAGCCACGGACCTACGGCGATCTATCAGGCCGAGTTATTCTTAATGGGCATTGATAGGAATGCATCTGTTGATGATATGTGTAGGCGGAGTAGTCCCAAAAGCTCCCTCTGTTTAATTTGATGTCAACTTCTAGCAAGAGCTATTGGAGGCGAGCATCACGTGCGGCTTGGCGTTTCTTGTTTCCTGGAGGCATCGAAGGATTCATCAAGGATTTCAAGGCTTTGTTACTCAGTATCCTGAATGACATGAAAGACAAAAAAAAGAAAGAAGGCAAAGCAAAAAAGAATGAGAGGAGTGGGATTCGAACCCACGCGGGCAATAAATCCCATGAGAAGGCACAAGACCAGATAGACTGAATGTTCAGTCCAAGTATTTCACTTGAGTCCCACGCCATAACCAACTAGGTAAAGATGTTAGAGGATGAAATGATTGAAAGTTGATTAGATAGTTACATACCTCGGCCATCCTCCCAAAATTCAAGGTGGAATTTGATGGAAATTTTCCCTATTTTAAATTATGACTTCAATTTCTTGGCAGGGCGACGATTCCGCCTGAAGTACTCTGTTTTGGCTTTCGGTAGACGAAGAGTGGGGACAGCTCCTCTTTCTCTTTTCCGGACCACACTTACTCCGTACACCGTTGCTTTTAAGGAGAGAAGTCAACGCTTTAAAGACTTCTGGTCTCCTCCCTCGTCGTTCTGTCTGGCGCATATTGAGACTCAATTTTGCTGTTACGTCGGGAGTGATGTCTAACATGGTACAAGTCAACGACCCAGCGCCTTTGAAGGACTCACGGGATGTTTGCACAATGGAGGATGCTGTAGACAATTGGGGGACAGGGTCGTTGACATTCCAAGTCGTCATGTATACACATCTCAAACTGCAAACGCGGATTCTCTGTTTGTTTGAGTGTTTTCCTGTTGCATAACTGAGCACAATATCGTCGGAGATCCTATCCTATGCGCCAGTTGTCTCTCTTTTGAGGCGTTTTTGAATGCGACATTTTTCGACATTTCGAAGCTGGAGTCTACCTGAAATAAATGGCACATGAATGAATGGACAAAAGAAGAGAGAATATGGGTGAGTGCTTTGGTATGAATTGAGGGAGTCGCGACAGTGACCATCAACCTCAAACACAATGCATCAGGCTGACCAGGATCGAGGAGTAAATCAAGGCTGGTAGCACTCGTATAGCTGCATGTGACAGATTTTTGGCGTCAAGCCACCGATCTCGTATGATCGAAGTCACCGCCAATCTGACATCCATTTATCTGGGACCCGGGACACCCTTGCACCCCCTGCCCGTCCTTATTACCCTCTCATGCTCTCGCCCCTCGTCGGGCCCTACCTCTCAGGCTCTCACTCACTCTGCCATTCTCTCTGTAGTCAAACATAATGATCCCAGGGAAACGATCCACTCTTCAACCAGTTCTCCACACCTTCTTGGTGACTTGATACTCATGGACGATGGAGACTGAGGATATAGACTTTCAGAATTCCATGTCACCAGGAAGATGCCTTGGTACTGGACCATTCGACCATGTCTTCGCCATTGACGACGACAACATCTTAAAAGTTATCCTGGAGATGGAGGAGACAGAATACCATACTGAAGAGGCCCGTGAGAGGCTTCAGCTCGAAAGGACCATCTACGAAAGACTCGGAAAACATGACCGAATCTGCGAGTTCAGGTACGCCTTCGAGGGTGGACACGTCGTGGAGAGGCTGAAGATCAACCTGAGCGGACGGCTGTTCATGTTTGCCAGTGTGGGAAAACCGCCTCCTTTGAAGCAGACACTGAAGTGGTCGATCCAAGCTGCTGAAGCATGTGCCTACATCCACGGAAAGGGTGTCATCAAGTCCAACCTGAGCACCCGAAATCTCTTCATGGACAAGAACGAAAACATCAAGCTCCATGACTTCACCAGCTCGTCCATCGATGGCTCTGTCCCTCGGGAAAGGTCCGATAAGGGGTTTGGGCGCCCCGGCACCGATGCCACCAAGCCAGATATACAAGACAATCTATTTGCTCTAGGAGGCATCATGTACCAAATCAGCACGGGCAACGAACCTTCCTGGAACAGTACCCACTCGGCTGCCCACCACTTTCGGGAGTTGTCCAGGGTTGCCATCGCCTCTGTCATCACCAAGTGCTGGCTTGGACAGTACCATTCAGCCGCAGAAGTTGTGAAGGAATTGAGGGAAATATACGCCAAAGAGATCGGCTCGCCCATGCCGACTGAACGATCTTACGTTACAGGTACCGGTACCCCTCCAACCGGCTGATTAGCATCATCATCATCATCATCATCATCATCACAAGGAGGATTTCTGATGTTTATAAGCGCGGTGGAAGCGTCTGGTTTTGAAATGATATACCGGTAAAATTCATCAAATCGGCACTTTGCTTTGATGCTGCATTATGACAGTATTTTTTGGAGCGGTCTGAAACTGCAGTCGGAGAGGGCGGGACTTTTGTCAAATTGAAGGAGGAAAACTAAGGGAGACAGCACTCTCCCAAAGTGACTTTGCCGTGACCCGCTTTGGTTTCCACATATGCCATATAAAATCCGATCTGACCCAGACCCGAGATGTTCGGGAACTGAGGCTGAGGGGGCGTGGGAGATAGATGGATGAATGAATGGTGGGCTCATGCTAAGGGTAACATGCAGTCTAGGAGTTCCCACCGTTGGGTTGTGACACATGTTCATGCGAAAACGAATGGGAAGCTGGAAGCAAGGTCATGGATTTGGTGTTGATGCCATTAATGACGAAACTGCTGGTCGAGCACCACATTTCCCGGGAGAAGAAATGCATGCATGAAGGTGGACGATTTTGGAGCTGGCAACTCGATGCACGCTGCAAGCTACCCTATTTTCTTCATAGTCGATGCCGCCAGTACGGAGTAGTGTCCAAGGATTTGGTGATCCAAGTTTCATTTGTGTACCCTGTCACATCCTTTCCAACCCCCTCAAGCACTGTCCCCTGTTGAGGCCCAACACCAACCGTTTTTGTCGAATCGTGACGTCTCAACCTCGAACATCCCTTACTCCGTACTCCGGACACCATCACATCCCAAGATCAAGTTGGCCGGATCTGGGAAGAAAGTGGTGTCAGTAAGAAGCTGGAACAGGTGAACCTGGGTAGTGGTGGGCTCTAGGCCTTTCTCGCTCACAGTGTGCCTCGTAGACTGATAGGACCGGCATGGCGATGGTGGATGGGACTCGACGGCATGGACGGCTCCCATCCGGAGTCCGAAGCCAACAAAAGGGAGTCCTACTAATAATAAAATCTAGTCACATTGGGCTTGGGGACTCGGGTGGGCGGCAGCGTACAGTTCCAACACGACAACGAGCAGGGAAAATAGCCCCTGGACGAAATAGGAGTCCTCTGTAGAAAGAGAACAGAAAATAGACCTCGTACCAATACAGACTCTCGGTTTTGTTTAGTATAGAGTAACATCAGATTTTGAGTGTGTTTACGACAAGCTCAACCGCAGCCATGAGCTCTTCATCTTGCTCTGATCTAGCGACAAGCTGCACATGACAAGGAGCACCATCCACAGCTTGAGCATCATCTAAGGAGGAATAAGTAAGCTCGAAAGTGTATTGGGTTTAGCAACCCCAAGGGTAGTAACTCACATTCGGGCACGTTTGGGTCAGGCTTGTCGAGGGTTTGATCGGCCTTTAGATACGGAATGACACATGCAGGATACTGCACAAACCGAGTATCAGTAAACCAATCCCAGCCTGACTAGAAGAAGCAAAACAACTTACCGCGACAAGATTCCACATCACAGTGTACGGAGGGTACTTGAACGTGTCGTGAGGTACCGCGGTCTTGTGAGCCCCGGGGGCCAGCACGACATCCAGCTTATTCTCCATAAAGACCTTGAGCCAGTCCCGGCGGAACTCAGACATCTTGATGTTCATCTTGAAAAGTTCGTCCAAGGTCTTGTCTTTACGACCTTCTGGTGGCGGCGTGTACATGTCGGCGACAGATGTGACCAGCGGCTCCCCCGACGCCAGTATGTGTTTGAAGCCAGTGCACTCATTGTCAATGTCAAACATGCTAAATGACAGCTCCGTCGCTTCCTTGAACGAAGGGAACTTTTCAAGCATGACGATCTTGTGGCCGGCGTGTTTGAGCTTGTCTGACGCTGACTTCATCGCCCGTAACATGGGAGGCGTGATCTGCCAGGTGGGACATTCCAAGACAACACCGATCGTGAGAGACTTGACCTTTGGGACTGGGTGCCAGGGCATCGCCAGTGCCGTATAGTCAAAGTCCCATGGCTTTGACTGAATGACGGTCTCCATGAAGAGCCGCAGGTCGCGAGGGCTTTGTGCCAGCGGTCCGGCGACGGGTATGATGCCTGTGAGACCATCTGCTGCTGGACTTACTTGTCCTCCAAAAGGAATTCGATTCACTGATGGCTTGAAGCCGTAGGTCCCACAACAGATAGCAGGAATTCGGATTGATCCCGCGATATCAGTACCAACACCCAAGAGTGACCCGCGCATTGCCACAAGTGCCCCTTCTCCGCCACTGCTACCACCGGCATTCAGCTTGAGTTTGTGCGGATTCTGCCGAGGGTCAACTGTCTGATCTGGGGATTCTTTGAGAACCAACACCTACGAGCGTTCGTCCGAAGACATTATTCTCCGAGTCCGCTGTCTACAAAACCAGTGTCAGTCAGGATACTGAATGGTGTTTCGTGTCTAGGTGTGACGACGTTCATCTAGAAGAGAACCCTCTTCTTCGTGAGGAGGCCCCGGTTCGTGAAACAGGTCTACTCTGTGTGTCCACTCACCATCAACGTCTGAGGAATGTTGGTCTTTACGTACAAGACTGCACCATTCGCCAAAAGAATGTCCACGAGGGGTGAATTGGTATCCGCCGCCGGCCGCTCGATGAAAGACACATAACCGATTGTTGCATGGATGCCTTCGAGGTTGAACGAGTCCTACGGAGAGTAAGTCGGCTGTTGATGGCATTCTTCCCGTGAAGGTCGAGTACTTTTAGAGATATGGGCATGCCGTGAAGCGGACCCACTGGCTTTTCCTCCTTTGCCAAGTACTCATCAAGATATTTTGCTCTCTCCAGAGCTTTATCAAAGAACATTTCAGTCAAACAATTTGTCTGCGAAGCTGATTTAGCGGAGTTTCATGTCTCTCGCGGTGATTCCACGGACCACTTGATGCGCTACAGCAGCTCTTTTGCAGAATGCGAGCGTTACTTCGAAGGCAGACAGTTCCGTAGCAGCCATCTTTGCAATCAAGTCGACGGCATCATACTTTTCTGTGATCTCGAGTTCTTTCGAGGTCAACAGACCACATTTGGAAGGTACGTCCAGAACACTAATGTCAGCATCGGGGCTGACGGAGTCCAATATGGCTTGAGGAAGACGCCATTCTTGAGGCAGCTGTTTGGCCACGTCGGCACGCTTCTTCGCGACGAGCTCTTTCCAGTCCCGTACCATAGTGTCGAATATGTCTACAAAAGATGGGAGCAGAACTCTTCCTCGTCACGGGCGCAAGTTCTAGACTTTATATCGGATCAACTCCACCTCCACCCTGGGACGAGAAACGCCATGCCTTATGGTGTGGGTTTTGGAATTGTCAGCTTCCTCTTGTCAATGTCCTGAATAGTGTCGTCTGGGCGTCACTGCTGTCGCTTAATTTGGCGGATATGAGTACTCCGTACCTCGCGTCTTATCCTCGCAGTCCATGTCCACGAATCATTCATGGTTATCGGAATCGTTCCGTCGAATTCCTCCACCATTGCCTCGGCTAGCTGTAGCCTAGAGAGAAGGAAAGGCCCCATTGCAAACGGAATTGCGCGACGTACAATCAAGCCTGTGCAGTGGCTGCAAAGTCCCACAGCACGATAGTCAACTGGCGAATGAGACACTGTAACGCCGTGAAGCTCCTGGGATCAACGGGAAAGGAGCCACTAGGCCGGGTTAACTCTCTTACCATTTCCAGCGATCTTCGAGTCAGTTACTTTATCTCACGCGTGGTACGAGGGCAATGAGGTCCTTTTCAGTATTAGGGTTTGCGTCACGTCCAGCAGGCTTTGAGAATACCGCCCGGACAGACCGGCTTGAGGCCGGGGGGTCGGCCCAGATGCTTATCTCCTCTCAAGCTTCCCCGACCATGCCATACCATACTCGTACCATGCATGCTATGCTATCTCGCACTATCGTGACCGTTGGGTGGCGACGGCTACACAGATTCGGAGACGCGATGGCCGGCATGCAAGCCCCCTGCTGCGGTCATCTGCGCTCCTTTGTGAAGACATGTTAAATAGACTGGCAAGTTCCTCTTTGACCATCGTCGTTTCCTTCCTCGAGAGCGATTGAGCATCCGCCCCGTACTCGCACTGCTCGTCACCATGACGGCTCATAATCTTCCAGTGGACTCGGTCCCGGGTACTGTGCACCTCGTGGATTTGGAACATACTATGCACACACGCCACGCGGGTGGCACGGGAGATGTTGTTCTCGTCCCTACCCCCTCAGATGACCCGGACGATCCCCTCAACTGGTCCCCGAGGCGAAAGCTCCTTTCGACAATATCTGTGAACGTGTACGTGCCTGATCCATCCATGAGGTTTACTTATTAGCTGAGTGTGTGTCGCTGACATGTGTGTAACAGCTACACTCTGTTCGTGGGCATCTCGGGCTCGGTGGTCTATTCGGTCATTGTCCCTCTGTCCAAAGCTTCTGGAGTATCCATCAGCACCCTCAATCAAGGCACAGGTGAGGAAGCACAGACGGAACACAGCCGGCGGTCTGCTAGAGATGCTAACGCGACCATCTATCAGGTTACTTGTTTCTACTCTGTGGATGGGGATTGCTGTTCTGGCAGCCATTCGCCCTGCGCTATGGCAAGAGACTGACATACCTCATCTCTATCACCGGTTGTATTGGATGTTCTATGTGGGGGTGAGTCCACAGTTCGCGGTTCCCATGATTTCTTGTCCTTGGTCTACCGACGGAAAGAATCAGATGCTGATATGACGAACCACCTAAAGACCATACGCTCGAAGCAACGGCGCCTGGATCGCCAAGAATATCGTCAATGGTTTCTTTGCTGCTCCTATCGAAGCACTGCCCGAGATATCAGTTACGGATGTGGTATGTACACGCACACTCCACCAGTCATCCGTGGCCTTCGCCATCTAAGCATCCTGCCGAGGTGGCCTTTGTGCTAACCACATAAATAGTACTTTACTCATGAACGAGGAACATACATGGGTATCTACGCGCTCTTCCTCGCCGGCAGCAACTACTTTGCTCCAGTCATCTGCGGCTTCATCGCAGACGGCATGGACTGGAAATGGGTCTTTTACTTCCCCGCCATCTTCCTCGCGTGCGCATTGGTCTTTTGCTTCTTCTTCATGGAGGAGACCAACTATCGCCGCTCGACCGTCGGTATCGTGGAGGAGTTGGGCTCCAGTGGCACTCAGACACCTGTGCTCACTGACCCCAAGGACGAAAAGACCGTGGTCGATGGTAAGAACGACGCCACATCGACTGGCGACGCCGACGTGGCTAGCGTCGAAAAGGGGACGTTCAGGCACGGAAGAAGTCATAAGACGTTTATGCAGAAGTTGTCCCTCTGGCAGACATCGCCTGGACAGGATATGTTGGGCCGCGCCATCCAGTCATTGAAATACCTCAGTTGGCCGGTCATTTTTTATGCGGGATTCAGCTATGGAAGTTACTTGATCTGGTTCAACGTACTCAACGCTACAGCAAGCTTGATCCTTTCCGCACCCCCTTACAACTTCCGAGCGTCCATGGTCGGCTTGAGTTATGTTTCGACTTGTATCGGCGTCCTCTTTGGATCCTACGTGACGGGCCGCCTTTCGGACTGGCTCACGCTCAAACTCGCGCGACGCAACAAGGGCATCATGGAACCCGAGCAGCGGCTGTGGCCATTTGCGCTGTGCATCGTGTTAGTCCCCGCCACCCTCATCCTGTGGGGCGTCGGTGCTGCCCACCACGTCCACTGGAGCGGCCTGGTCATCGCAATGGGGGGGCTTGCGGCGTGCAACGTCTTCGGAATCACTTTGAGCGTCAACTACCTTATCGACACGTACCATGACATCAGCGGCGATGCAATGACCACCGTCATCATTGTGAGGAACACGATGAGTTTCGCTATCGGCTATGGCATCACGCCGTGGGTGGAGCATCTCGGCTTGCAGAACTGTTTCATCAGTGCTGCGTTCGTGGGCATGGCCGCGAGTAGTGTGTTTCTTGTGATGATCGTTTGGGGTAAGAGGTTCAGAGAGAAAAGTCGAGTGGAGTATTGGACCTTGGTCGAGGAGTTGATGAACAAGGGGGCTGCGACTGTGTGATGAGGATCAATGATGTCTTGGTTTGTGATCCCAATATCGAAAAGGACCCAGACGACGTGAAGGCAAAGCGTGGACAGAAGGAGGGGAATACATAGGAGTAGATTGGAAGCAGCTTGGAAGTCTCTTGCAATCGGACAAGCAGTGTAGGACTGAATGCCCTCACTCCATGACTGTTCTAGTCTTTCTCTAAGCCCACCAGTGGCTTGAACCAATGGTAAACCCTGATGTGATACCGGGCGAAAAAAGCAGTAATCGGTGTTGCCAATGTCCGACGACATCAGCGTCTCGTTCCACGATAACAATATGTTCTGTTCAACGTGCCGTGGATTTCCAAACATTCAAGCTGTATCGGTAAAGTCCGAAGATATCACCATACTGGAAGCACACTGGGACCTCATTCACGGCGGGTAGCCGCCGCACGATATGCCGAGTTGCGAGGGCAACCGAGTGGTCCATCCCCTCGATACAGCGTTACCGGTGCGTGCCACAACACTAACTGCTGCTGGGTTGGCTTGTCTCCCCTCACAAGACTCCGGTCATTTCCCGAGATGTAGGGAGTCCTGAAGCATGGCATCCACGAGAGGTTTGGTCATTCGAACTCTGATGCCGTTCTTTTGGGTCTAGACGCGACGTGAATCCTTGCGCCCAATAATAGCAGGTGTCGTTTCGTCTGACCATCGACCATGTGGTTGTGCGGCCTGTCAGTGGGGACCAATGCCGGACCGCATACAGTAGAAGGGCTTAACATCCTCTCAAGATCATGACGCACGTAGTACAGTGCGACATCGAAAAGGAGCATCGATCGGGCTCTGATAAATTCACGGGACGATAGAAGTCGTGATGCTCCCGTCTGTAGGGGTTACGGTGACCTATCATGTTACAGCTTGTTTGGATCGCCCTTTCGTCTTTCCATATGCTCCGGACTCGATTCTCCGCCGCTCGAGAGCCTCCTTGTACGGAGGTGCTGTGGGTGGCTGGACAGGGTCCAAACTCGTGTGGCCTTCCGGCAGTTTATACGTGGCATCTGCATCCCAAGCTGAGAGATCACCACAAGCGAGGAATGGCGCGATCCACCTCTGTGGGTCGCTCTCTTCGTCTTCGAAAGACAACTCGACAACGCCATCACCGCGAAGTCGTCTGGTTTGTTTGTCCGAGGGCGTGTATTGGGTGGTGCTTGGCTGGGGAATCTTCAGGGCATCACCAAGTTCCGGAGTCCAGTCTTTGATCGGACGGTATCCCTCGCAGACCACGAATGCCTCAATACTGCTTGCCCTGCTGGACCGCGGTTTGGCGATATGGACCCGCTCAAAGACGAGTTTGAGCTGAGCGAAGATGATGTCGACATTTCTACCCCGGAAAATCTTCGCAACGAATTTGCCTCCAGGTCGGAGAACCTTCATCGCCAGAGCCAGGGCCGAATACAGCAGCTGTGACTGAACGTAGATGTCAAGGTCGTGAAGACCGGTCACATCGGGTGCCCCGTCGCTGATTACCAGGTCGACACGGTGAGTCTCGTTGTGCTCGTCGAAATCGGGGTCGATGGCTTTGAGGAGCAGAGGCACCGTTGAGGGGTGGGTGATGTCTGCCTTGAGCTGGACAATGCCGTCTAGCGGAGCCATAGGCTGAAGGTCAATGGCAACTATTTTGACATTTTGACGTGGTTTGAGCTCGGACGTCGCTCGCTCTAGGTTCAAAGTATTCGTGGTCTTTGCCAGATCTTCGACGGTGGTCTCTGATGAGTCTGCCACTGCGTGATTGCGAAATTGGTCCATCTTCTCAACCCACGCTCGACGACCAAAGCTCTCACCCTTTATGAGTATGCGGGAGAGGACCTGACTCCAACTGCCTGGGGCAGCGCATAAATCGACCACCCTTGTACATTTTGAAGGATCCGCGTATGAAAACAAATCAAACTGCTCGTCGATTTGGATGAGCTTGAAGGCCGACCTGGCACGCCAGTTTTGTTCTTTGGCAAGACGATAGTAGGCATCTCTCTTGTCTTTGGACGACTTCCCCATTGCGTCAACGACCGATCGCGTGGTTCTCTACTCGTAGAGTGTAGAGGAAAAAAGTCGCTGGAAGCCAAAATTGGTTTAGTGGTCCACCGTTTCTACCAATATATATACGTTCCCGCAACCGCGACAAAGGTGCAAACTTGGCCAAGACAGTACGGCGAAGTATTCACGAGCTGAAATGAAGTATCGCGCTCAAGGCCACTCTGGACTCGGGGGTTGTTTGAACTTGTGTGTACGGTATAACGAACACTTTTGCGCCAACTCCTTTCCTGCTGCCATCTCTCCTCTGGCAAGTTCTCTCAAAAATGGCTCCCAGCATGTCGCTACACAGCGTCATTGCCGTTCTAATTCTTTCCACCGACACATCACCCGACTCGTCGAGATTGTTCGCCAAATATTACAATGCTCCGCATACCTCTGCCACACACCCGACTCCTCCCCAACCGTATGCATCGTTAAAAGAGCAGAAAGCCTTTGAAAAAGGGCTGCTGGAGAAGACGGCGAAGCAGACATCAGACGTGATACTTTACGACAACAAGGTGGTGGTGTTCAAGATGGAGAGCGATGTGATGCTGTATGTGGTTGGAATTTCAGAAGAGAACGAGATCTTGTTATACAATGTTGTTCTGGCGTTGAGAGATACGCTCAGCATCCTTCTCAAGTATGCGGCTTACTCCAAGTATGCCCTACAGCACCACGGCTAACATAAGGTACCAGAAACTCTACAGACAAGCGGACAATCATGGAGAACTATGATCTGGTAACTCTTGCCATTGATGAGATTATCGACGATGGCATCGTCCTGGAGACAGACCCAGTCATGGTCGCGTCCAGAGTGAGCAAGGCACCTGCTCAGGATGCTCCGAATATGAAAAACATCGACCTCAGCGAACAAGGGATACAGAACCTGTGGGAATTTGGCAAGAAGCAAGGCATGGAATTTGTCCGGAGAAACTTATAGTTGGCTTTTGTGGATATGCTGAGCGGATTTTATCTCCATGGAGGGCGTTGGGCGTCCAGCAAGATCGGCTGCAACCTTGGCATGGGCTGTTATGATGCGCAAGACAGACTTATGAATATGATCAAGGGGAAATGAGTGGCATTTACATGCAAGAGAGTGACCCGGCAATACTTTGCACAAGTCCTGAGTGGCAGACCACTGGCCAGTGATTGTTTGGGCTCAGCCTTGTGCGGTGAGGGAGGCAGCCTTGCGGTGATTCATTTGCCGACGTCATTGGCATTTCAAATGCACTTCTCCAAAAATACTCGAACTCACATACACATTTCCGCTGTGACTGCTACATTTTCCCCCTTCGCTTAGTCCTTTGATCTGGTCATCTTCTTGTCTTAATTTCCAAGGGCATTTCTCGTTATTTCTGATCCATTTGTCCACCATGAAGCAGCGTTTCTCGTCTCTAGACGTCAAGGTACGCAAGGGCCATATCGAAACACCCCGCTGCGCCCGACTGACTGTCGCATGCGCACTTCTAGGTCATAGCAAGCGAACTTGCTGCATCTTTAGACAGCCTTCGAGTCTCAAATATCTACGATCTTTCTAGTCGAATCTTCCTATTCAAATTTGCGAAACCTGGCAAGCGAGAACAACTGCTGGTAGACTGCGGGTTTCGATGCCATCTCACATCCTTCTCGCGGACTGCGGCGACCACTCCATCGGACTTTGTCAAAAGGTTGCGGAAACATCTAAAGAGCAGACGAGTGACGGGCGTTGCGCAAATCGGGACAGATCGAGTCATTGAGATCAGCTTTAGTGATGGGCAATATCGAATGTTCCTGGAGTTTTTCGCCGCTGGCAACATCATCGTCACGGATGCCGAGCTGAATGTCCTGGCATTGCAAAGACAGGTAAGCGAGGGCAATGAAGATGTTGATGTCAAGCTAGGTGGGAAGTATACTTTGGAGCCAAAGCAGAATTACCACGGGATACCTCCAGTCACACCTGAAAGAGTGAAAGAATCTTTGGCAAAAGCTGCGGAGAGAATGAGGATTGCCAACGAAGTGGGAGGGAAAAAGGCAAAGAGAGCAAGAGGAGGGAATGACCTGAGAAAAGCATTAACGGCTGGATTCCCTGAGTTCCCACCTCATTTGCTGGAGCATGTATTCAAAGAGCTCGGTATAGACGCTGGCTTAAAGGTGGAAGATGTCTTGGAGAGGCCCGAGATCTTGGAGCAAATTCTCAAAGCTCTCGAACGCGCCAAGGAAATTTTCGACACATTTGATGCCGGTCAATCCAAAGGGTATATTGTCGCAAAAACAAAGTCCTCCGATGTTGGCAAATTGGAAGGGCAAGTTCCAAGTCGAGAAAACCTTCTGTACGACGATTTTCATCCTTTTCGACCACTTCAGTTCGAGGGGAAGCCCGGAATCGTCATTCTTGAATTCGAAGGTTTCAATCGTACAGTCGATGAATTCTTCTCCTCAATAGAATCTCAAAAGCTGGAGTCTCGATTAACAGAACATGAGGAGACTGCCAAAAAGAAGTTGCAATATGCAAAGACCGAACACGAGAAACGGATAGGAGCACTTCAACAACAACAGGAACTCCACGTTCGAAAAGCCCAGACCATCGAAGCGAACACTCATCGTGTGGAAGAAGCCTGTGCAGCGGTTAACGGCCTGATCGGGCAGGGAATGGATTGGGTCGATATCGGGAAACTGATAGAAAATGAACAGAAGCGGGGCAATGTAGTCGCACAAATGATCAGGCTACCCTTAAAGCTTGAGGAGAACACTGTAACGCTGCTACTCAATGAGCCCGGATTCAATGAAGAGGAGGAGAGTGATGAAGAGGATAGGACTGATGATGAGGAAGACTCCGATGAAGAAGCCACCGAGGCCACGAACAAGGCTACTTCTGACAAACGACTTTCAATAGACATTGACCTTGGCCTTTCACCTTGGGCCAATGCAAGACAATACTACGATCAGAAGAAGACGGCAGCCGTCAAAGAGAAGAAGACCATCGAGTCGTCCGCCAAGGCCCTTCAATCTGCGGAGAAGAAGATCGAACGGGACCTCAAGAAGGGTCTCAAACAGGAGACTGCTACCCTCAGGGTTGCTCGTAAGCAGTTCTGGTTTGAGAAATTCTGGTTCTTCATTTCCAGTGACGGATACCTCGTGATTGGCGGAAAGGATGCCCAACAGAATGAACTGCTATACAGAAGATATCTGAAGAAAGGTGACATCTATGTCCATGCTGATCTTCAGGGTGCATCCAGTGTCATTGTCAAAAACAACCCCAAAACACCTGACGCGCCGATTCCCCCTTCTACGCTCTCCCAGGCAGGCTCTTTGACAGTCTGTACAAGCAGTGCCTGGGATTCTAAAGCTGTAATGGGTGCATGGTGGGTGAACTCTGATCAAGTAAGCAAGACCGCTCCGACTGGTGAGTATCTGACAACCGGCGGCTTCATGATTAGAGGGCGAAAGAACCTCCTACCGCCAAGTCAACTTCTGTTGGGATTCGGGCTGATGTGGCTGATCAGCGAGGAGAGTCGGGGCAATCATGGGAAGCATCGGTTGGAGAGAAGTGAGAGCATGCTATCAGGTGAAGCTGAGGCTTTGGCTGCTGATGCTCAGGGATTGACTCTAGAGGATGATCACGATGACGGTGAAGATGATGATTCTGATGACACGGATGAGGACGCGGTCCCTGATCTTGAGGATGCCGCTGGAAAAGGAGAGGACGAAGCGAAACAGGATTCCCAGGCTGTTGATGGCGTTGATGAAGGGGTCAACGCCGAAGACCATGGGTCCGTGGCTGGGTCCGAGCCAGATGAACAACGAAGCAACCCATTGCAGATGAACAACAGTGACAATCGTTCGCCAGATTCCATGCACGGGGCCAAGGCAGATCCAGAAGTGAAAATTGAAGTCGATGACGGTGACCAGGGAGAAATTGATCCCAATGAAGAAGACCCAGAAGACAATTCAGAAGATGCTCATTCTCCCCAGGCCCATGGGCCCACGTCTTCGCAGGCTCAGCCAACACCGAAGCAGAAGCCACTATCCCGAGGCAAACGTAGCAAAGCCAAAAGAGCTCAAAAGAAGTATGCCGAACAAGATGAGGAAGACCGCGAGCTGGCCATGCAGCTTCTTGGTTCCAATCGCGGCCAAGATCGGAAGAAAGCTGCTGAGGAAGAGAAAGCTGCTCGCGAGGCGAAAGCTCAGGCAGACAGGGAACGACGGAAAGCACAGCATGCCAAAGCCGCAGAACGAGAACGGCTGCGGTATGAGAGGCTCGAAAAGGCAGCCGCTCAGGGAGGCATGAATCTGGATGAAGACGATGAGTTGAGCAAAGAACAAATGGAGCAGGAGCGGCGGGAGCTACTGGACATTGACCGACTCGTGCCGTTTCCTCAACCGGGCGATGAACTCATCGCAGCGATTCCAGTAGTAGCACCTTGGACGGCCATGCCCAGGTACAAATACAAGATCAAATTACAGCCTGGGAGTCTGAAGAAAGGGAAAGCTGTTCGAGAGATTCTGGGGTTCTGGTCGACGTTGGATAAAAAGGGCCCTAAAGTGGTGGACGAGGCCAGCAAAGACAAAGAGCGTGTCTGGCGACGAGAGTTGGATCTGATGAAGGATTTGAGAGTCGAAGAAGTCGTTGGATATGTCCCCGTCAAAGGATGCAGAATCGTTCAAGGTGGTGGGATCGGAGGCGGCCTTGGGGGAGGCAATGCCGGGTCAAAGGGTAAAGGTAGTGCCGGAGGGAGAGGAAAAGGCGGCGGAGGGAAGAAGGGGAGATGAGAGACATACAACCCCAGAAAATAGATGAACTAGACGATATTGGACAGGTGGATGGACTCTTGAACATGGAAGAGATGAGCCCCCATCTCTGACATTATGCCCGAGCATTATCCTAATTGTATCTTCGTTGACTATAGATTTGACGCTCAAAGCCACATCTACTCTTCTACTCGTTCCCGTACAGCCTTGCAATATTCCGCGAGGCTGCACCACGTGATCAGCATAAAATTTCCTCCAAAACGGCGACTCCAGAAAGACTTGTTCACTACATCTCACTCGAAAACATGTTGCCTTGACTTTCGACTCGTCGAATCGACTTCCAATCAGGGTGCATATTAGTTCGCCTCAGAATGTGCATATTCTACCAACATGCTAAGATGATATACAGTTAAGAAACTGTCCTCAGCTTGGCTCAAGATTCCATCATGGTCGACTCCTTGATCATCTCTCCTTCGCTCTCTAGGCATCCACACAGCAGAACTGCCTGTCAGAGGAAAATTTGGTCATTAATTCGAAAGCAGCCTGGTTGAATATTTCGATCTAGGGCTCTTCTATGTTCAGACGACTTGTCACTTCAACTCTCCACTCTAGCCGCATTCCATCTTCAACTACCATGTCTCCTTCCACCATGGACACCATTATATCGAATAGGGTACACCTATCCACTCTGCCCTATACAAACTGCACCACGCGCATCGTTTCTCTTCTGGACGTCCCCATTCCCGAGAACTCCACGGACGACGAATACCGAGACGTCTACCATCGCTATACGCATGACACGTCGGTGCCCAATAGCCGTATGCTCCGTGACGCCATTCAATCCATCAAACACGGCATATCACCGCCTGTGGCATTTCCAACCGAAACCGTCTACGGGCTAGGTGCCGATGCGACGAATGAGCCCGCCATATCTGGTATTTTCGCCGCCAAAGGTCGACCGAGCGACAATCCCCTGATCGTGCACGTTTCGAGCGTCCCTCACCTCGAACGTCTTACCGGCGAACAGCTTCCAGAGATCTACAAATCTCTCGTCAAGAAATTCTGGCCAGGCCCATTGACTATCTTGCTTCCTGTGCCTAGAAACGGTGTCTTTGCCCGAAACGTCCATCCCGCTCAGAGCACGATTGGGTTCCGAATTCCGTCGTCCAAGTTCGCCCGCTTCTTTATCGCTGCGACGGACAGACCTATCGCAGGACCGTCGGCAAACTCCTCCGGAAAACCCTCCCCAACGACTGCGCGACACGTGCTAGACGATCTACGCGGCAAGATCAATTTCATCCTCGACGGCGGCCCGTGCGACGTCGGTGTCGAAAGTACCGTTGTCGACGGCCTGCATGATCCGCCTCTGATACTGAGACCGGGAGGAGTGTCGCTCTCTGACCTGATTGCGCATGGTCGTGAGGATGGAAATAGCTTCGCACACACCGCCATTGGATACAGGAGGCACGAAGGTCGCTCGGCATCATCCGGTTTAGCTACACCAGCGTCAGGGTCGGGCTCCGAGGCCATAAGTTACGTTGAAGACGTGACCGGTGCACCTCGCGCTCCGGGGATGAAGTATCGGCACTACGCTCCAAACGGACGCTTGATTCTGTTCTCTGAGAATACTGTCGCCGAGGGCGGGGTCGAGTCGAAAATGCTTGAGATTCTCGAATCTGCACCTACGCCACACGGGAATGACAATCGTGGTGGTAACGTCAACGTAGGCATTATTTCATGTCACTGGCCCGCCTTTGCTGGATTATCCGCATCCCCAGTTCAAGAAGGCAACCCAACACCACCAGCGCTCTCTGGTTCAGTGTTTGAGAACAGCACATCGGTCGCAAAGTACACGAAACGAACAGACGGGGATGTAACGCTGTACAACGTTCATATTGGGCCGGACATTACAGACCTAGGACACTCGCTGTTTGGAGTGCTAAGGTTGTTCGACGAGCTTGGGTGTTCTTTCATCTTGGCCGAGACTGTTCGGCGCGCAGATGAAGGTCAAGGTGTGTCAGAGCAGGATAATAGACCAAATCCAAAGACCCGAGATATTGAGGACGCGGTCATCGATCGCATGGAAAAGGCTGCGGCAGAAAGAGTCGATTGAGTCAGAATTTTGGATTGATTCGTCATATCCCATCCCGGTTTAGAGATCATTACGCAGAAGATACAACTCTTTAAGTCTCGCTACTCTAGGAATCTGCCATGCGTGGTTCAGTTATACAAAACCCCGTTCTTGAATTTCACAATGCTCTGTGACAACACTGGAAGACGAGTCATGACGAACCTCTTCTCACTTGAGATGAGATGAAAGCTTAATCATTGTCATCATCTTTTCATGGAGAAGCCGGAATGTGGTCTGGACCTTTAAAGGATTTCCTAGATCGGTTGAGCTTTGACACGTTCTCGGGGTTTTGATTCATCTGCAACCAATTGCCGCTTAGGGACAGAGATATGTTTGTAGATTTCATTTCTATCCCTATACGTTAATGAAATTCGATAGGCCCTGTCAGACTCTCGACTCAATCGCTTTTAGCCGTGCTATTTAATTTTAGATAGTTTATCTTGCTATTGATCGAGTTAGGCGAGAACATTGTTCCAGAACTCTTCTTTGCCCGCATGGACCACCAGCTCCCCGTAGAAATCTGAAAATTCCCATGTTGCAGAGTGGGAGCTAATGACGCCCTGACCAGCAAGCAATCCGACGTCTTGCACGAACCCCAAACCGTATATTCAATACCAGGAAAGCAAATCGAGGCTTATTGATCCAATGTTGTGTTGAATCGCAGGAACCATGGAATACAAAAGCCTGGCAGTGGCCATGATCTTTGCAAGGTCAATCTCTATCTTCGAGTTTCTCACTGGAACTAGCTGCCTCGTTGTCCCGTTGTGCACGAGCCTACTATATTTCCAAAATGTTGTCCAACATCTTCCTCGCTTGTGTCCTGACCACAACAGTGCTGGGTTGTGCAGACCATTCCAATCACCTTCTGCATCCTCATGCGCGACGAGACCTTCCAATCCAAGAGATCGACCCTGGTAGAGATCATAACGACTGGACGTATGAAGTTTCATCAGATTGGGGATACATCAATCCCAGTAAGTCCACAAACGTCTCTAGACAAAGAGCGAGTCTAGTGTACTGATTGTCGGGGTTTGAACAGAATACTCTCTTTGCCAGAATGGCACTCAGCAAGCTCCCATCGGTCTGAGCACTGCTCAGGGTTTCTCCCAGGTCCACAAGCTAACCTTTGGCAACTATGCTCAAAACGTGTCTGGGAATTACTTCAACTGGGGATACGGCCCGGCCTTTACACCCCACTATGACAAACAGTCGGTGAGCAGTCTTCCCAACATCACTTTCGACGGGGTCACTGGCTACATGGTCGGGTGGCACACTCACGCTCCGGGCGAGCATCCGGTCGACGGGAGACGAGGCAGGGCCGAGATCCATTTCGTGCACGCGGACGCGGAGGGCAACTATGTCGGTGTCCTGGCCATGCGCATCAATCCTTCCGGGAATACCGACTCCAAGTTTGTCGCCCAATGGCCAGGGTTCATCGGCTTCAACGAGACCAGACAATTGACCAACGTCAGACAAGACTTCGACCAGGCCATGAGTGAGGTTGGTCACTTTGAAAACTTCTGGACCTACATGGGTGGCTTGACCGTTCCTCCGTGCAAGGAGGGCATCCGCTTCTTCATGGCCGAGCAAATACTGAACGTCAGCAACACGCAGATGCAGAGCATCCTGGGCATGTCGGCCTACTCGACTCGCATTGAGCAACCGATTTGGTTACAGGGTGTCAACCAGTGATTGATTGCAAGACGAAGCTGAGAGAGCCGCCGCATGGGGAACGTATGTGCATGTGCATTAGAGATTTTTGAATAAATAGTCAAGATACACAAGACTGAAACCGAATCTCCGTATCCATCCTACAGTAGATGCTGATTAGATAAGCGAGACTCAGCCTGATCGGTGATTGGTGACACCACGAGGCTGATGACTTTTCGGCTATTTTACTTGTAACAAACAAACGTCATTACAAGCATCGATCTCCATCATTGAGATCCTGCTGAATTCCCTTCAAATCGAGCACAACCTCTTCTCCCTTCCCTTCGCATGCAGAAATGAGTGAAGACGACTTGTCGACAGCCCAGAGTGCGGCCCTCTTCGACATTCTGACACACTACAACACTTATGCCGAAATCAGGGAATTCAGAAATCCGGGGAGTCTCGCTCAATATGGTCCCCCGTTCAACCATGACACGGAGAAGCCGTCTACTTCACCCGCTCTGCAGGCCTTGGTGTCCAAATACCTGTTGAACCTACCAGGGCTAAACAATCTACCAGAGAAATGGTGGAAGGTTCAATGCCACACAATCATCGAGAACATCGAGAAGGCGAATCTCAGTGAGAGTTACGACAAGGGCGTCATTGGCAGTCGAAAGACTGTAGCCACGGCCATCTCTGCCCTCATCGAGTATCCCGTACGAGGCACCTTTGGTGGATTACCCGAGAGAACCGACCGAGACGACAACTATGATACCAGCAAGGCCGAAGATCTTTCGCGGGCTTTCCGCGATTTCATGAACGACGCAGTCTACGGCAATGTCCTAGACGAAATGGTCTCCAAGACGGCACAGACAGATCGACTCGAGGATCATCCACCACTGACAAAAGCCGTGCACGAGTTTGTGCTTGTCAAGTAAGTAAATCCCCCTACCTAGGTACTTTTTCTCGTTGTCAGCCGTCTTCAACGGTTGACTTTTCCACGCACACACTTTTCTCTCCGCGCAAAATATAAAACGGGGCCTCTTCTTTCTTTCGCTGACATTTGTTGTTGAGTCCAGTCTCGCTTCATTCATGCATTACACTCTGATCCTGTCACCCAAGGGTCAGTACCTACTCAAGTTGATCGACAACGCCAACAAACTGGTGCCCTACCTCGTCATCAAGCAGACATTGAAGATCGGGAACGTAGCGACCATGATCAACGCCATGGTCAGAGTCGGATTGGCCAAGATGAGTGTGGCCAGTGTCACCAACTGGATCGGTCTGACTTCCAACTCTGACGAAGGGATGAATCTCATGCAAACGTGCGAGACCGACACCTTGTCCCCTTGTGCCTTGATTGACCCCTCCGAGACTGATTAGATTGATAGGATCATCTCTACCGTCCTTAACTGGGACATTAGGGACCTCGAGTCCCGGGCGGCCAAACTCGAAAGGGAACGAGCGAAACTCGGGAAAGAACAGTTGCACACCCTCAAAGCCTACACCACGAAACCCCAACACGAGCAAGATCGGATACGCAAACAGAGCCAAACCCAATCCGTCTCCATCGTCACCGCCATCCTCCGGGACAGCAAATGTTCGTCCACCGACCTCACCGAGTACCACCACTCCCAGGCCCTGGAGTACCTGTCCATCCACCTGTCGGTGCGCGACCGGAAACAACTGATCCAGGTCCTCTGCAAGTCCAACAACCCGGACCACCTGACCACCTCGGTCCGAGAGGTGGTCGACGCCTACGAGCCCGTCATCCGGCGGATGCACAAGGCCGTCGACCTTTCGGGTACCGTCAACGACTTTGAGTACTTTCTGAGGGACCTGATCAAGCTCGCCCGCATCCACACCGACGGCAAGTCCGGACACCACCACTCCGCCGCCGCCGCCGTCCCGACCGTGGGCGACTTTGTCCGGTTGTTGCGCAAACACCAGCGGTCCACCCACGTCTTCATGCACCAGTGCTGCAAGAACGACAGGGAACTGACGAGTTGGTACCTCGACTGGGCCAAACAGGCGGCCTCGCGGTTCCGACGCGACGCCTCGCCGGATTTCCACCCCGCCCACCCCGGGTTCACGGCCAAAGGACCGGGTGGTCTGACCCCCGACCTCCACCGCCTGTTTGGATCTCTCGACAAGCCGACACAGGACCGCATCGTCCCCATCCTGGACTCGCATTCCGTCCATCTCGAAAGGATGCACGCACAATCAACCGCCCGTCTACAAAACGTGATTCGGTCCCAACCTTCCCGCTCACCGGCGATGGCAAAAATCTTTGCCGGCAACAACTACAACAACAACGACAACGACGTTCAGCACGCCTCGAGCACGCCTCCTTCCCGGTCGAGTAGTCCCCCGCTCGAACGTCCGCGGAGTGTCCCTCCTCCCGAGTCACCTTCCGAGACCACCAAGAAATCCCCCTCGGCGCCGGAGGTGTCGTCGTCGTCGTCTTCGCCCGGTCCCGGTTCGTTCCTCGCCCGCTGGCAGGCTCTCCTGGACGCCACGCCCATCACTCCCCTCACTCAGTCCGGCCCTCCAAAAGCCGCGAGCAGTCCCGAAGTCGTCCAGGCGAGTGCGACGGACGTCGACGGGTCTCGATTGGTCAATTTCGGGACCCGAGTGGCCAGGGGGGCCAAGATCAACGTCGACAAGGACAGGTCCTCTGCGACCTCGGAAGAGGCGCTCCAACGGCAGAGACAGTACAAGGTCATAATCGACGCCATGGGTCAGGATTTTCGGACCCTCTTGGCCGAAAGGTCCAGGTATTGGTGAGGAAACAGCCTTTTGTGTTCAACACGGTCCTCACGAGCACTACCAAGATCTCACCTGGACCTGTACCGGGTTCGACACACACACACACACACAAGGGATGACCAACCTACCCAAAAGACAAATGTGAACCCCCGTTCGGTTAATACAATCGTAACGTCCTATCGATTCGTTCGTTACCCGACATACGTACGTACGTACGTTTCGGTCATTGAAAAGTCGTCGAGTTGGGTGGACGATTAAATGATTGACGTGATCGGAGTATCAACCTTGACACCGAACAGACATTGCCCGGAGACGACTTACAACGACGACCATGACCACCACAGCCTATACCATAGTCAAATCAAACAGAGAGGGGAATATTGGATATCACCAAAGAGGTTCCCCATCACCAACATCATACCTATCTACCACACATGACCATATATGGGGAGAGAGAGAGAGAGAGATGTACGACAATTAGTAGCCAGGAACAATGGATGGGATTTCGTGAGACCTTGTAAAAGTTATCTCTCATTGAAAATCATGACGATCAACAATTGGGCACAAGGAGGAAGAGAGAGGGAGAGAGAGGGAGAGAGAGAGAGAAGTTTACTGATTTCGTACATCTACCACTGGGAAAATTCGGTCATGTACTGTGCACACATTCAAACCAACTCAACGTTGACCAGTCAATCATGCTGTGACACAACCCGACACTTACTCCTTAACTCCAGAGTCCCTACCGATCCGCGTAGAAATAAACATTCTGTCTCCTCACTCAAAAAGTTCAGAAGGAAATGAAAAACCTTCATTGCCCAATTCTTGTCTGGAAAAACCAATCACATCTTCATAACTTTGCGCTTATCCCAGGTATTCAACTTCTAAGATATCCCCCATATCGGATTGAACGCCATCCAAATGCTTCGTCTGTCTCAATGGACCATGGGGTATTGCGACCCTCGAACCTGAATTGTTTATCGTCCCATCATACACACTCGATGCAATGCAATCATTTTTCCATCGCCCTCTTTCGCAAAATGTCACGCAATCAGATATTGTATCGTGTATCGTGTCTCGTGCCAATTTCAACGCCGAAAAAATGCTCATCAATCCCAAAAAAATAACTTGGAGCTTTCATCGTCCTCGCATCTGAAGAAGTCTCAACCTCCTCTCTTCATCTTGGAGGGAACTCACATTCCGGTGTGGAGCGAGTGGCCGTGGTCCATTGGAAGATAAATCCGGCGGGCTTGATGCCAGACTCCCGGGGATCCTCGGAGACGCTCGAATATGTGCTGTTGGAGGCTCTGCAAGTGCCGGCGGACTAGGCTCGCGTACTGCAGCGCCATAAGTCGGAAGACACGGCGAACCCTCGTAGGGTGTTCGTGGAGCTGGGGCCTTGACGGCCGTCGCATACGAGGGCACCCTGGCCAGGTTTTCCATGTGGTCGTATTGGGGGAATGGTGTGCGGGAGCCGGAAGGTTGTTGTCCCTCATCTTCTTCAGATGTTCTCCGTGACATCAGATTGCTTCCTGGTTGACTTGGATCGACAGAGTAGAGTCCGTTGTGAGATGATGGCTCGTGAGGACTCACACGAGGCGGGGCGCCTGGCGTCGAGGAATGACTTAAAAAGTAATCGTCGATGGATTGAGGAGCATTTGAATCTCCTCTCGAACGTCCAGCCCCTCCTGGAGCTTCATTATCGTCGTCATTTGTGCGCCCTGCATCTGCGAAGCGCAGATCTTGAAGCCTATTCTCAAGTGCTATCGGCGAGACAAAATTGCCATTTGCGACGCCGGCCAAACTAGCAAGGTTCTCTGATGAAGCATGTCGACTATGCAAATAAGGTGTGCCCGGACTTGACAGCGCCATGCCTGGAGTACGATAGCCGTCAACATCCGAGTATAATGCGTCTAGGGTGTGTTGTCCATATACAGGAGGCGCCGAATGGGCCAGATCGTTCGCGATGGCTGCTCGCCCAGCCTGAGGTGACTGGTCGACGAGATCGTTGTTTTCGTTTATCGGTAGACTAGGTGAAATATAAAAGGAGACGGGCAGGTTTGCTCGGAGTTCAGAAATGTGGCCGTCGGGGTTGTGCAACTGCACATTAAATTTGACCTTGTGTCGAACTTTGATGCCTTTGACGTTGCAGTCTTGTAAGCACTGGTTGAGGGTTTTTGGGAGTTCTAGATAGCGAGAGAACTGATATCCTTCTGCCACTTCGTCGATGACCTGTTCGTCCTTTTCAGGATTAACCTTATAGATATCCGAGACAATTGTCCGGTCGACTTTGGTGACACCGTTGTTGAGGGATGATACCCCCCATTCGGGATCCACCACGAATTCATGCTCCTCCCTCACTTGCGTCGAGATATTCCCTATCACTAAACCTTTGAGAAGAGAAATCAGTTTGAAGTCGACCTGGACAAAAGAGCCGAAAGCCACCGCCTTGTTGGGTATGCTGATCGAGTATTCGATTTTGTTTGGCCAGATATTCTCCACGCTCTACAAGGACACACAAATCGGTAAGTCAGGGTCCGAGAAACGGGGCCGGATGTGAGGACGGAACATACCATAGCATGAGCCAGCTCCAGGGCATTGGCATCGAGAGTCCTGACAATCCTGAGAGGTTTCCGGACGACAATATCCCTGCCTCTCTTTCTTTTGATCTCGGCCTTGAGCCGGTATATGATCCAAGCATCTTTCATTCCTTCGACGCTCTCGGGTAGGGCGCCCTCGAGAATGCAAGAGAAGGGCCACTCGTAATTGTCCGAAGGTAGGATCTCGGTTTTGCCTTTGCCTGGATCTCGGAAGGACCAATTTTTCTCGTAGAAAGTTTTCTCGCGGTAGGCAGTACGTCGACCGGACATGGAGGAGGTACTACTAGTTTGCCATCTAATCAGCAAATCATTAGTTGGCAAGTGCCTAGGAGGGTGGTCGATTGGGCCGAGCACGATCCGGGGAGGTGACTTACGACATGTGCAGGATGCCACTCAGAGTCAGGTCAACATGCGAAATGTTCATGGGCTCGGTAAGACACAGAACAACCGTGCCAGACAACTGGGCGCTGGCGGCCTCATCCTCGCTCCCTCGGAAAACAATGTAGTCATTGTCGAGGCGGATATCGAAGTATTTCACACTGCTGCTCGTTCCGGAATGGGACGCATGTGAACTGAGAAACTTAAGAGCCATGGCTGGCGACCGGGACACTGGGTTATTGACCAGGTGTCGATCGGCGTGCTTATTGGAGGAAGATCGGGTGGTATGATTGCTCAATGGGTAAGACAGGAAAGGCTCATGGTGGGCGGGAGAGCATTCAGGTGAATGCCTGCGGTGACGAGCGCGGAAGGGCCTGGTTTGGTGATTGTTCTAAGTAAACAAAATATAATGTCAGAAGAGAATGTCGACGGAGGTCAAATGAAGGTGAAAAGCATATGACAGAATAACAAGATGCAATGAGGAATTTTCCACTGCCATGTGGGTTGATGGATGCAGTAGTACTCCGTAAGTCGTCGTGATTGCGACCATGAGAAAAAGATACGGATAAGAGCAATGAGCAATGAGCACAGAGATACGCAGGAGGCAAGTGGCAGTTGGCAGAGACAAGGATAAGCCTGAGCTTAGAGCCTAGTGGGTGCCTAAGATTTTTTGGGGCGGGTAAGAAAAGTTGCGAATGAGATCAGACGGGGCCACACCGGAAGCCACCAGGAGCCACCAGGACCCTAATCAGTAGGGACCATAGGGGGCTGCAGCCTCTGTATGGATCCTCCCTAAACACTGGCACGTACCGTTATCAGTCCAGGATCCACCAACGTCGCCTGTCGCCCTTGTGAGCCTGATGAGATGGGATTGTTCGATACGGGCAAAGACGAGGAACTGGTAGATGCCGAGACGGAGCTTTGTATCCGTACTCGAGCAGAATCGTGTACGGGCAATGAGGTGCTGCTGATGGTTGTTGCTCTTGTCCTCGTACTATTGCCGTCAGCATATCTTTGGGGGAATGGACTGTGCTCTACCGACAACAATAGTGCTGGTGTTTGAGACTCTTGTTGGGCTTCCTCTCGCTGTGTTTCTACTTCTGTTTCTGTTTCTGTTTCTGCTTCTGGCGTCGGGGTGTCACGGGCGTTCGGTGATGGATCTGGATATGAATATGCCGGAGGGCTTGCCGACTCTTCAGTATTGGGACGAGTGACAATGCCTGCTCTACCACGAGTACTCGCAGCACTAAGGATCCTTCTCCTCCTGCTGCGCTGTTCCTGCGCCTGATCAAGCACCTGATGTTGTTGTTGATGTTTCTGATGCTGCTGCGATTCTTCTTGTTCTTGCCCTTGACCTTCCTCCACCTGCACCAATTCCCTTGTTCTACTGCTCGATTTGACCCGGTTTTTGATTTTGGCCGTGGCTTTCAATGGTGTCAGTGGTCCGAGTCCCGGCCCTGGCAGGTCTCGTAAAATCGATCTTCGTGACCCAAGCGTCATATTATTGACACCACAAGATTGCCTTTTGCGTCCTGCGTACTCGTATCTTTCCACGTTTTCTCTTCTCTTTGCGCTCGCGTGGCCGTCTTAAGCGATGGACACAGGCTCCGAGGCAATCAGATGGTCGATTCGTTAGGGTAGTCAGACTGGGAAATATGCCGGAGGAAGCTGCAATGTTGCTGTCGTCATGAGAGCAACCCATACGTTCCAGGTGCCCGGATTGATGTTCAGCGTTATTCGGAGACTCTCGACCTCATATCCATAATCCTGCCGTGGGTAAACTCGTCCTCGTGCTCGTAGGAATGGTGTTGGCCGTGCTCGCCGTTGTTTGAAAAGAGAGTAAGCAACAGTTCTAGAATCGGAATTCCTTCCTACGGATATTCAGGTCGAAGTTCGAAAGTTGTGTCCTCGTGGAGTAATTATGTACTACATACTACTTACTCCCCCAACCTTCTCCGTAATACTTGCCTAATGCCCTAAACACTGTTTCCGCTACGGAAGCCGGGATATGTTTGAAAACATTCCATTATCCCATCATGCCCCTCGTTCTTTTGGGGTCTGAGAGGCCTGACTCTAGGTCATGAACCTGGTTTTCCGTCCCAAGCTGATGTCCCGCCTCGTCCACGTTTTACTTACAAAGCCACTTTCTCATCCTGACATGGACGCACAGTCAGAGATCTCACTTGATTTGGGATGCATCTTGTCTCTTGTCTCCCCCGTCAGCCCTCGTACTCGTACTCCGTACAAGTACTCCATACTCGTATCGACAACTCTATAACCCTGACTTCTTACATACCCCCAGCCGCATCTCCTTTCCTTTTTGCTTCCAAATCATCTCTCCATTGGTTCCATCTCAAATTCAACCCTCCAAATGCACAAGTCCCCTGCAGAGTCAAGCGAGCGACAGCACAAGGGATGGCGCACATGTGGCGCCCCCTTCATCCTACTCTAAACAGCTCGAGCCCTCAGCTCTCGCGATGATGCAACCCTGACCTCTGTGCACTCTATTACCCGGACTGATGGCAACCGTTTGCCCGAGCCGACAGATCCGTTGGGGGCCCTTTTTACTACCATCCAAGCACCCCCATCGGGCCATCCGAGGTTCAATACTGGACTGTGCACACAACCCTCGCCAGTCGATGCAAACAAGGCTTAATTACCTAAGGTAGGTCCTCCGTAAGTACTTTACCTATTGTAGGTACCTATTTTCTATGCTGGTACAAGTCAGTACTCGACGACCGGACATGATCCATCATCATCACCACCGTGGTAATTCCAATCAACATGACATCACAAAGACCATGCCCTCCCATAGAACAGAAAATTTCTGATCCTGATACGGAGGGTCATGCTAGCATTGCAACTTATCAGGAACCTCCTTCATTTACATGGCACCATTTGGTCGAACCGCCGCAGTGCTCTTGTAATCCGGCGGCTCTCGACTCCGTACTCGACCACGATGGAAACATTGAGGGTTCAAAGAGTCGCTCCACTTTCGTCACAGATTGCGCTGCAGCGTCTCCTGTTATCTATGTAAATAGTTGATCTACCACTGACCCGCTCTATCTCGCCGCATTTCTCAGCCGTACCACAGTGTCCAGGAACATCCCTGCGATTCGCTGCAAGTAAATCTTCGTCGGATTCTCGACACGGATGGAGTGGGTACTTTCCACTACACTCATCTATGTTATGTACCGACAGAAAATTTCCAGTTGCGATGCCGCCTCCAGTCGCTCGTCTAAAACCGCGTGGCGATAAGGATAGAGCCTGGAATTGACCACCTGTCCGAGTCCCGCTTAGAATCTGAGGCCGATCTCGCTACTCGGCAAAGCTGCGGCCCATGAATGGGTCAAGAAGACAATTTCGCCTGAGATAAGCATCGGACTCTACTACACCGAAGTCAAAGCGTTTTTTTGGCTGTTCATGTTTTGGGCTTCTCCGATAGGTTGATTTGGCTGCTGTTGGCATTCTCACGAGGTCGATCCCAGGTTCGAACGTGTCCTAGCGATGAAGTCAGCCTCGATTTTCACATGCCATGCTGCATGACTCGACAAGTAGAAGATTTGATCACATGTGGATGGGTACGTACCTTCCGAACAGGATGTGATGATGCAGTCCTGTTCAAATGCTAGCCCACTGAGAGGATGCTCGTCTATCTTCTTTGACTGTTTTCAATCGTTAGCATACGCTAGGTGCCACTTTTTCTATCCCAACGTACCATGACAGGAGGCAAGACGGCAGTTCGCGCTCTTGCGTCAACTGCATGATTGAGGAATTCTGATTCATCAACGATGTCTTCTTTAAAACTTCCGGTACGGTTGGAATCTGATCGAATTCGATTGACCACGCTCGTGCTCTCTGTTCGTTGCCGAAGCAATGAGACTGACTGTACGGAGATGCTGCCTCTCGGTCGAGCCGTCACCTGTATTGCAGCGTCAGTCTGTCCTGGATTAGAAGTCAAATCAGTTGTTGTTCGGCTTACCCCCTTAGGGCGATGGAGCATTCCAACGCTAAAGTCCCAGAGCAAGAGCTTGCAGTCGTCTCCCACACTCCCGAAACGATAAGTTCGTTCATCGCATCGCCAGGGGTCAAAGGCGACTGCGGTGACCCAGGAATCATGACCATGGCATCGCGCAATGATCTGTCGTTCATCCAGGGACCAAATAGTCACCAGATCATCTTGACCACCAGTGAGCACATATTTCCCGTCTGGTGACCAGCATACACATGTGAAGGCGCCATAATAGGATGAGTATATGTCGGTGAGTCTTTGGAAAATCAGTACGGTAAAGGGTTTTGACGAACTTCATGCACATACCTTTCCTGAAGATAGTCGATTATCCGGAGGAACCCGTCGTCTCCTACCACGGCCAGATGCTTGCTGTCGGGCGAGAATGCAAAATCCATGATGGCCTGGTTCGAAATCTTCCAGCATGCCACAGGATTGGTCCTCTGATTCTGGGAATTGACACTCTTCGTGATGACCAGGGTCGATTGATCCTCGTCCGGAATACTGATGCCTTCATCTACCAGTTCTTCCGAGACATAAGGAGCGTCTTCCTTCTCCTTGTCATAAACTACTAGCATCCCGTCCACATGGGCAGCAAGGAAGTGATTCTCCGACCCCGGTATCCATTTGATCTTGGCCACAGCAGAATTATTGATGACGCCGTTCTTGTTGATTCGGGCATATTTCTGGGACATGGGTTCGTACCAGATGATATCACTCGCCGAGGATCCCATGATAACATCCAGATGAGTCGAGTGTTTGGTCAACGCATTCACGTCGTGACATAACATGTGAGCTTTGGTGAAGAGAATCTTAGTCATGGGATCTTGCTTCGAACTTGAGGAGAGGTCCAGCCATTGGAAGGCTCGATTGATATTTGCAAAACAAAATGTTCCGCCCTGGTCTCGCTCTACCAGCTTCTTCGCCAGAGATTCGTGTGGGATGACACGGGAGACGAAAGAAGAATTGCTCTTGATGATATTGTTTTTGGGTTTCCGTCGCTTCAGATTGTCACCCCTGCTGATAACCGGAGACAGTGCGGCATTGCCCTCGCCAAAGACCTTGACGCTTGATTTGTTACTGCCGTTCGCTGACGCTGCCGGGTTACTTATGTCGCTGGTCGTGTCAAGAGAGGATCTTGGCTCCTTCTCGAAATCCTTGAACTCCCTGGCTTCTTTGGCTTCTTTAGCTTCTTTGGCCTCTTTGGCCTCTTTCGCTTCTCTAGACTCTTTGGACTCCTTGGACTCTTTCGAAGTATTCAATCCCAGAGACCTCCATCTCAACAGACTGCTAGTGGCAGTCGTCGTTCGGTATAAATCGGTGTTGATCTGTTTGGGATTCAGCGAAACGAGAGACAGCTTCACGCCGCTCGTTGGTGGGTTTAGGCCGGTACTGAGGGGATTTGGGTTGATGATGGGAACTTCTGAAGGATGCGGAGGCGGTGTCGCCAGTTGTAGGTCGTCACGTAGAATGTATCGACCTGATAGCAGAGTTAGTACGTAAGGCGGGACAGAGGCGCAGCGGGGAACAGCAACCTTCGCCAGCTTGAAATGTATACTCTGGTCCTTCGCGGTGATGAATAGTATTTGCAGTCTCGAGAGTGGTGGCTATCAAGTTACTATTCGTAGGATATCTAGGTGGAGGAGGGATAGCACTGTGGTCGCAAGATCAGTGGGATGTAAGTTGAGGAACGGATAAGTGCCCGACGTACAACATATCGCCTATCGAAGAGGGTGCGCCAATCCACCGACGACAAGGTCAGTCGCAGACGACAGAACACCAGTGTGATATAGGCTAAGGCCAGGGAGTACGATGCGCAGCTGGAGATACTAGCAAGTTGCGAGTGTGAATACAGGTACATTGGAGTTTTGGGTCGACAATGCTTGGAAATCAGTGTGAGTGGTGCGGGAGGAGAAGGGCGCACCGATATCCGGGGGGCTTAAGAGGTCGCCTCTGTCACCTGTGCGGTGTTGTGCGGGGGTGTGAAATAGCACCACTTTATACGCCTTGGTGGTGCTACTCCAACGTCCTTAAGCGAAGCCAGCGTCTCAACCGCAATTCAGCCGAGAAAACGGTGCTCAAAACAGCCACTGCCATCATGACCGTCGCATATCGTTGTTCGGATTGTAGTTCTTATGGCCGTTTGATGAGGTTCCGTTTGGAGATTTTGGATGCAGACAGCTAGCGAGATCTGGAGGGGCGGTCGCTGATAACCCGGCCGTGCTAAAAAGTGTCGGTATGGGCTAGCATCGCACCTGTGACCTCTGCGATATAATCCGTACGTTCGTGAGGGCCCCGAGCTACCTCAGATATCCTCAGGCCACTTCAACCTCGCCAGTTCTTCTCTTAGGACCGTGGCGAGTCCCTGGCTGACGGCCTCAAGGTCTGTACGGACCTGCTCATGTTCATGTTCAGCGTCGGCTTCAGCGTGTTCTTGGTCCAGCTCTTCCACAGCATCGCCATTCGTAGTGTGGTCTTGCTCTTCATCACCTGCCTTTGATGATGTTGTCTTCTGCTTCTTCGGTTCCGGTCCGGTCACTGCCAGTAGGATATGGTCCGCAATAGGTGTAACCACTGAAATCGCGCCCATGTTCTGCGCTTCAAAGACAAGCACATCCTCTGAAGCCACGGTATAGGCTGCGGTCATGGTTGTAGATTGAGTCCGTATATCCTTGATCGAAGGAGTTGTATTCCGGTATGCATATGCAAGAATCGAGCCGTTCAGAGCGGAAACCATTAGCGACGAAACATGGTCACTCCATGACAACGCATCTTTGAGAAGTGCTGATAAGCGTTCAGAGTCCAAGAGACAAACTTGGCTCATGATTGCGCCTGGAGGAAAAGATGGCAGAGTATATCTGGACTGACAAGAGACCCTGCAGCTGACTCTGAGCTGCCCAATGTCTTCGTACGAGGATTCTAAGCCCGCAGTCTGCATGATACGCAGTGGCTGTTAGCTTACTTTGGTACTGTATAGACAATTGAAATGACATGTGCCAAGGTGTGATCGAACTGCTCGCTCGCGCCACACCCCATGCGCGAACCGAGTGAGCGACTATCCTCGCCTCACTGTGACGCTACTAAATACTTGATCTTCTCGCGGCCTGAATCGACCTTTAGTTCAGATTGTAACCTAGTAGAATATGCACCCTTGTTCGCCATGCGTTTGGCCCTTCAAGGTGTAATGTGTCGCCGAAACCCCTGGTGGCTGGAAGTGACGCCTGTAAGAGGTAGAGGGGGAGTGCCTAGAAAGCCTAAGCGAGCCTCCCTACTTACGACTGCCTACCTTAGCTTAGGTGTGAGGTTGGGGACTAAAGTCATTTGCAAACTTGGACATGTAGTACAACGCCAACGCATGAAACGCACATACGGTGATGACCTGTCCAGACCATAAAAGACCTATGCGACTATTCCGTTCAATTAATTTTGTTGTATGCTCACTATAAGGCGTTATGGTTAGGGGTTTCGTGAATATAGATAAAACATTGTAGGCGCATAGGGGCTACAACGCCTATTAAGCATATTGACCTAGTACCCAGACATAGGTACAGTATCTTGTACCCATATAATTATGCATACAATTAAGGTGCTTGGGCGCATCAGGCTCAGTTGAGGTAGCTAGGAGGTACCTAATTCTGGTGTCTATAAGTGGTGGCGGCGTACTTGGAGTGCCTAAGGCATCTAGTCCTAGGGAGCAGTACCGCGTGCGTTGGCGTTCCACCATATTCTGCTGCATTTGCTGTTTATCCCGAAACAGGGTTAGTTCTATCAAGTCACTCTTCCACCTCTCAAGAGAATCACTCAATGAAAAATGCCAGCAAACCTCTTCTCCGCAGATCTCGGCTTCCATGCGATTGTTGCCTCGACATCCGGATGTCGAAACTTCTGCGTCCAGTGACCCTGCGGCAAAGCTAGGCCCTCGATGAACTTGACATCGTATCGGACCAATGTGCAAACTAGAAAGATCTTACATAAAACCGAGGCAAAATGGCGACCGGGACAAGCGTGTCTCCCCATCCCAAACAGCATGTTCTCTGGACTGGCTTCCGCGAACGTATTTTCGATGTCGGCTGGGTTGTGGCCTTCACGCAGACGCGCGTATCGGAACGGATCCCACATTTTCGCATTGGGAATAATGTCGTTGTCCATGTGGCGTCCATGCGCGATCACGCCTATCGAAGTGCCCTTGGGAATGAAGGTGCCGTCACTAAGGGTGGTGTCTCGGACTGCGTATCGTTCCATTTTCACTGCATTCAACGATTAGTTTGATCTGTTCAACACTCCCGGCAAGAAAGATACTGGAGTAGACACACCTGCACTCATAGGCGTCTGGCGAGATGACTCCCGGATGAAGCTGTCCAGCTTGAGAAGCCGATCTAGGTTGTCCTTGCTCCATCCGGCACTGTGTCCTCTTTGAGGACCCATAACCTCCGCAATTTCTTCCCGCAGCTCTTCATGGATCTCGGTGTGTCGGCACAAGTCGAACACGCACTCCGTGATGGTGTACGCGGGCGCATGAATGGCATTCACATTGATGTGGACCAATCTATGCATTAGGATTTCCGGATCTCTCTTTTCGGGTGGAGTCATGTCCAAAAGCCATTGAACTGATAATGCACCAAACGTCAGCAATTGCAAAGTCTTCTAATCTAGTTTTGGAATCCAGACAACGCTTACTTGTATCATTAGGTCTGTCGACCTTGTCCTGCCCATCGGGCGTAATCATCAACGCGAGCCGCTGTCTGATCAGAGGCAAAAGGTATTTGTTCGCCACTGCTTGTTGTCGCTTACGTTCCGTCATGAAGTACATCATGATGGTCTTTACAAATTCCGGATAGTTGCGAATCTTCAAGGCGGTATCAAAGACTGCCGGGGCAATGTCGTTGGAAAACTGGAGATACTCTTCGTTCCTGCAGAGCGGCTCGCCCACCAGCATGCGGTTTGTAATGCGAGTGACGATCTTGCACACCAAAGTCCACACTTTCAACTCCCTCCATCCAGCGTTGTTCCCAACTTCCATGTCGAAGGCGTGTCCAGATTCTTCGATAAGTGCGGGCAAATGGAATGTCAAAGCCTGCCTCATTTTGCCTCGAACCACGTTGAAATGGTAGCTGTCCCCTTCAATGGCTTTGTGGAAGTTGTGCCGGATCTGGAAAATAATGATCGCTGCTGCTGGCTGGCTGAGTTGGCTGTCGGGAAGCTTGCGAATCTCCTCCAGGAACTGAGGAGCTGCGATGAAGTACACCTGTCGTGGTGTTCGCAGGAGAAAGTGCTTGCCTTGTTTCGAGTACTGGAGGCCGCGCCGCGTCAGCTCTCTTCAGGACATCCAGCACATGCCCTCAATTCGACTCACATGGTAATACCCCTTCATGATGGCACCCAGGCTGTCGTCGAGAAACGCCTGCACATCATCAGAGTCTCCAGCCTTACCGCCAGGCTTGTCGCTGATCCGGAGGAATTCTACATTGGGCAGTCGCTCCTTCTTGAAAAAGTACTGGGAGATACCATAGACGAGCGTGCCTGCGAAGAGGACTACGAGCAATGCAAGTGATAGCTCCATAGCTTCCAGCCGGAACAATCGAAAGACCAAACTGTCTCTGTTTACAAATGCCTGGTTTACAGACGGTGTCGATTAAGCTGTCGGAAAGAAGCTGGTGCTGGATCGACCGTGAACCATTAAGAGTGCTGGCAAGTAATTAATCAGGCCTTGTCGACGAACCCGCTACAATGGCATCTCACATTTCGAACCAACAGCTCTGCCATTCTTCCAGGCCGGACCTCTCGCACACTGAGCTCGGGCCTAAGGCAAACGATCTGATGGTGGCAGTCTTGTATCGGGCTAAGTATACACCTCCGAGAATGCCGAAGCTAAGTACCAGCCCGTGTTAGGAACTCCAGCAACGAGGTCGCCTGGGCCGTCATTCCTCGACGGCAAATATGTTCTCGATCACGTTTCTACAAGTTACAAGCTGTAGAATCTCTCGAATACGAATGGCCGTACAACCACTAAGTCATGAAATGTATCTGAGGCAGACCCATAGGCCACTACGATAATAGCTCTCCGAAGTCGATGTCACAGGCAAGCTCATCAAAATCAGGAACGAAATCACCAAAGCCCTCAAATCCCATCGACGGTTTCAATGCGGGTCCCACCACGGACGACTGTAGCGGGCTTCGACAGTCTGTCCATTCCCTCTGCAAGTCCATCCACCTGTCCCGGGTCGCAGCCTTGTGGTGGCTCAGGGGTGCTGGTGGAAAAGACGAGAAGTTAGAACTCGGCCAGGCCGATATAGTAGAAGTCCAGATATTTTGATTCTGTGCCTCTCTAGCGCGTGCTGCATCTGCCAGAAGTCCTCTCAATGCATTTGCTTTAGCACAATTGCGGACTGACGCTGGCCACTGGTCGAGCAAGCCATCGACGGCACGCCAGGCGCGGTTGGTTGCTGGGCTGGACGGCCGTATGGTGAGGTTCCTAACCACAAAGGCTGCAATAGACCATTGAAAGTAGGTGGCACTCAACCAACGCCACCGCCCTGCACTGGCATTGGTTTGAAGGCCCCGAGATAATTCCAGCACGTGGACTGCGAGCAGGAACAGATGGTCCTGAGCATCAGGAAGCAAGACCTCGCCGGTCCGGTTGCGGTCTGGTGAGATATGCATGAGAATTCGTCGTTTAGCGAGCACCATAGCAATTACATTGGCAGCGTATTCGGCAACCGCAGCCTCCTTGCCGTCACCCTGAAAATACTTGTTGCGAATGACTTCTCGCGAGGAGTACAACTGTTGCTCAGCCTCTTCTGCTCTGAACTTACACCCTGAAGAAGCCCGAGCACGCTCAAACTTGATGAGATGGAACGTGCGCGTCACCTCGTACTGCATCAAGCAGAAGCTAGCCTCGGTGAATCCTGTCCGCTCTTCCTGCGGCCCTGTGTGTTGGGCATCGAGTTCATCGTCGTCAACATTGAGTGGCATCCGCGTATCAGCCCCGATACCAAATGGGAAGTAATCTAGACCCGAGTCGTCCGGATGATCAACAAGATTGACCAGCTGCCACCACGTCCGCCTGCGCAGTTCCGCCTCGAGACATGACAGACCTGACGCAGCACTATCGCGGTTGAGCCCGAGTCGAACTGCTAGGAAGGTGACCATGCCACTTAGTGCACTGAACCGCGGATCTTCGACGCATCTGAGGTAGTACAGGAACAACAGGAGAGCCTGGATGATGCTGAGGTCTTGAGCCTCCAGGAACTTGGCTGCCATTAGGGCTTGCTCAGTGAGTGAAGCACAATGTTGTGTCACCGAATGCTTGTCCGTGTCGAAATTGGCCACAACATCAGCATCGGACATCGAAGTCACAGCCATGAGGCAGAGGGCTTGGATCAAAGCTTTGGAAGAGGCATTGATGGTATAAGCGTGTTCATCGCGCGTCAAGATAAGAGTCTGCATTGTCTTCTTGTGAAGAATTTTGAGGATCGGATCCACATTTTCGACATACTTTTTCCAACAAGTCTGTCGTTGTGCAAGGGACAGCAAAGGTACATTGGTTATAGTGCTGGCCCCTTGAAATGGAAAAGACATGATTGGTGTTTCTTCGACCGGCTCTCGTCGAGCTCGGTCTTGGATGGGAGAGCTGGCTTTCGCATTTGCCGGCGGTTTGATAAAGACTTGACTTGCGCACTCTTGCTCGATTTTCTTCCAATAGCCAGCGTCGCTGGCGTCGCAGTCGATCAAGGTCTGCTGCGGTGCAAAGGTCCCCGACGCCGAGGTGGGCGACAGTTTCCATGACTTTTCCATGGTATCTCGTGGTTCATGATATGGTATGTCGTCACTCTGACCTGAGACGATGCGCTCAAGAAGCGACATCAGGTTTGTCGGCTGCTGGAGTCGGCTGCTCGTAGGCAAGGCACTTGTTCTATCGTCCACAGTGTCCTCTTCTTGGTCCCCTGGTCTGGTGATGTTGAAGGTGGCATTGTCATTATGGTTGTCACTATCATCCCCGAGATGGATTTCGGGCGATTGCTTTTTGAGCAACGCTTCCAGCTTGTCAATCCGTTCCTTGAGAACGTCGTTTTGCTTGGAATTTGAGCGGGCCTGGGCCTTCTTGGGTCTTCGCACAGTACGGACTTGCGGCGGATATGAACACATTATCCCGGCCACGGTGCAGTTGCGGCACGGTAAGACTTTGTCGCATTTGACCTTGCGATCCCGACATGTCCAGCACGCCGTCTTGTACCATGGACTCTGGTTGAACATCATTGGGGCAGCCATCGTGGTTGGCACAGACATTGGTGGCCAGCGCTGTGAAGCACCACTACTCTTACATAAACTAACTTTAACGACGCGACAGAATCACTGGTCACAGAAGTGAACAGCAAGCAGATCGGTTGATAGGAGGAGCTGAGGTTGTGATATCTTGTTCAAGAGATATTTGGTTACAGATGAAGTGCCACCAAGACGCACCCAAAGATAAGGTCTAACAATCACCACAACGACTTGTCGACGGCTTATCATCTGCTGATGTTTCGGTAGCGTGGAATACCAGCCGCCTGGTCCTGAAGACAGCGAATTGCAAAACCCTGGACTATCGGGTCTGTGCGCCAATCAATCGAGTCATCCCCAGTCGACCTGATCTCTGGCGTTCAGGCATCTTCGAGGCTGCCCCCTCCCTCCCCAGGAAGACAACTGTGTACCGGGGTAGTTCAGGGCCAAAGGACCAAACGCTGCGAAGACTCGATGCAAGGCACACAGAACGGGATTTATGTTACATCATTCGCCGCAAAATCCTCCTGATTGCATGCTGCATACTAAAGCGCCTAGGCCTGCCAGCCTGCTATCATCGCTTCGATGCCCTTGATTGCGCAACACGGGCGCCGCGGAGTTTACACTAAAACAAGGTCGATGCAAACTGTATCTTCTGTGATGCTTGATGTCAGAAGAGTCTCCTACCATCTGAATATCTCTCAAGGGCAATACCATTTGCCGGAGGTGCTGGTAAGCAATCTAGGGCTTTTCTGTGGAAATGGCCAGAGCGTCAGTGATACAGATCCAAGCCCAGCATGTTGTCACACGATCAACACTTTCCACGGCAAGTGTGAGACAGCCTTCTAACCTTGAATAATGGTAGAACAAACTCCCTGGTTGTTCTGGATTCTGTTTGGCCCGGGCGACTCGCCCCTCACACCCAGAGCCGACAACGCCGACAACACCGACACCAACTTCTTCTCCACAGAAAGAAGGCTGACTCCACGTAACGACACCAGCAGCAGCACTGTTTGAGACCAGAGCACCGTCAGCCGCCGGCGAGGGTGACCCGCAATGGAAACATCGACTCTCTCGCGGACCTTACCACGGACAGCGCTTGAACGATGCTGGATGAGGCTTCTCGCCACCGAAGCAGCTGGATGCCGAAGGTAGTGTCCGAGGGTTTCCCTCATGCCATGGCTGATTCCACGGCCCGTAGCACAGAAGACAAAGCTGGGGGCGAAACCTCGAAACCTCCCTATACAGCTCAAGGGACCTTCTAGCCATTCCATAACACTGTGTCGGTCGCTGCAGGACAATCCTGACGCAGGCAATATCTCATCACCTTGCGTGTGGTTGACCAAGGCCAACTGCCCATCATGTATCCGGCATTTCAGTCAAGCGACAAACCCTTCGAACGGTATCCAGCCCGCCGCAGTGCCGTCCATAGCACAAAGGCCATGGTAGCATGCACGCAGCCTCTCGCGGCGCAAGCAGGGCAAAAGATTCTCGCATTGGGAGGCAACGCTGCAGTAAGGAATGTCGCTCTTTTCTTGGTCGAAAGCATACTGACTCGTTCAGGACGCGGCGGTTGCAGTTGGTATGTCTGAAGCGAAGTGCCAGTGATCCCAACATATACTGACTGTCGAGTCTTTAGCTGCGGCACTGAACGTGACTGAACCGTCATCAACCGGGCTGGGAGGCGACGCTTTCTGCCTCTTTTACAACGCCAAGTCGAAGACGGTGCATGCCCTCAACGCCTCTGGTCGAAGCGCAAAGAACACCACTTTAGAGTCGGTGCGACAGGAATTGGGTCAATCCAAAGGCAAAGTCCCGTTTGGAAGCCCGCTCGCGGTCACCGTCCCAGGAGCAGCCGCCGGCTGGGTAGACGCGGTCGAGAAATTTGGGAGCGGGAAGCTGACACTAGAACAAATCCTTCTGCCGGCTATCGAGTTGAGCGAGCAGGGATTTCCGGTCAGCGAGATCTCAGCATCGATGGTAAGATGAGCACGCTACATTTTGGATTGCCCGTCATGCTAATGTGACACCTACAGTGGAAGAACGGGGAGGCCAAACTCAAGGCAGCCTCTCCCTATGGCGTGGATCTCTTGCAGTCTGATGGTACGGCACCCAAATTAGGCCATATCTTCCGCAATCCAAATCTGGCAGAGACCTTGCGGATTTTGGCTGCCGAGGGCAAAAAGGGAATCTACACAGGCCGTATAGCAAAGGCAATCGTCGATGTTTTGCAAGTCAAAGGCGCGCACATGGAACTGTCCGATCTTGATGACTACTTGAACCAAGCACAGTCGGAGACCGTGCCAATATCCCTCCAGTTCAGAGGACAGGGTATCGCGTCTCGCGGTCAAGATCATTTTGTAGAGCTGTGGGAACACCCTCCCAATGGACAGGGTGTTGTGGCACTAATGGCGCTCGGTATCTTTGAAGAACTCGAACGGACCAAGCAAATTCCCACCTTCACCAAAGAAGACCACAACTCAACCGAATATATTCACGCCTTGGCCGAGTGTCTTCGCATCGCATTCGCCGACGTGAATTGGTGGGTGACCGATCCTGAACAGAGCCCCGTCAAACCCGTGGAGCTGGTATCGCGCCCGTATCTTGCGGAGCGCGCGAAGCTGTTCAACAAGGACAATGCGGGCCACCATGCTAAAGGACAGCCGTTTGGTGGCGTCAGTCCAGCTCAGAACCGCAGCGACACCGTTGTATTTGCCGTGGTCGACGCAGATGGCAACGGAATGAGTATCGTGAATTCCAATTTCATGGAATTCGGGTCCGGCATAGTCCCTGAGGGTTGCGGATTCGCACTGCAGAACCGTGGCGCAGGTTTCCATCTCGGACCAGACAATCACCCTAATGTGTATCGCGGCGGGAAGAGGCCATACCACACCATCATCCCGTGCCTAGCGACGCAGGGCCCCAGTCGAGATTTGCATTCGGTCTTTGGCGTCATGGGTGGGCTCATGCAGCCCCAGGGCCACGTCCAAGTACTGCTGAATCAGGAGGTGTTTGGCATGAATCCGCAGGAGGCCGTCGACGCGCCTAGGATCTGTATCGAAAACCCTATGCCGCCGAAATTAGATAGCATCGGGTCGTTATTTCTCGAGGAGGGAATCGACGATAGTGTCGCAGAGGCTTTGAGGCAGAAGGGACACGATGTGACAATTCTCGAGGGCTGGTCGAGGAATCGCTTCGGTCGAGGTCAGGCGATCAGGGTGAGGGTCGATGAGTCAGGGCAGAGGGTATTGACTGGCGGCAGTGATGGGAGAGGAGATGGTCAGGCTGTGCCTGCTTGAACTTGTTCTCATGGCCAAATCTGATATTTCTGAGACCATCAATCAGCTGTTTAGTGACCTGCTCGATGTGCATATCTGTACTAAAAGTCACACTTCAAGCCACAGTTCACTTGCCAAAAAAAAGCTGACAGGACGACCAAGGAAGTTCATGAGCTCGCCAGCGATGGATCATCCGATTCGACGCAGAGCGAGTACAGATACCACAGAACATCGGACAAATGTCAACAAAATGTCAACGCTCTCATTGAACATCTGTTCCTATCATTATACAACAAAATGGCTAAATGATTCCAGGATCGGACCTGGATTTTAATTTCCCGCATGATCAATCCTCGTCAGTCCCAGGTTATCATTGATCGATCGGTCAGTGATGGCAAAAAGGTACGCGTCACCGTCCTCGCTTGCTTCATGGGTGACCCACGACCACGCGGGAACGATGAAAACGTCCTTGTCCTTCCAGTCAACTGCCAAAGTGCCAGTTGGGGCTTCAATATGCGTCCTTCCTTCACCCTGCTTAACCACATATATAAACGAGGTGGTTTCGCGAGCAGGACGAACCGCCTTGCCTGCTTTGACGCGCTCAGCCTGAGCGGCAATTGTCTTGCCAAAAGGGCTTCCGTTGGTGAGATAGTGGTATCTGGCATGGTCGACGTCTTGAGCGTCCAGCGCTTGTTGACTCTTGTTCCATTTGAACTGGAAGGGGGAGTCCTCGACAATTCTGCAATTGACGAAGATGAGTATATGAGACCACTCGGGAAGATAGGCCTTCAGGGAAACAGAACGTACAGATCTGGCACCGTCTTGGTTTGATACGGCTCGAGGAAGTTGGTGCGCCCGTAAATCTGGAGCGGGATGTCGAGGCAATCGACCCAGATTGTGGGCGATGGGCCGTCATTGCCGTGGTAGTGCCACTGCCACGAAGGTGTGAGCACCAGGTCTCCGTGCTCGAGGTACATCTTGTGCCCGGCGACAGAGGTGAATCCCTTGTCGCTTTCTTGGATGAAACGGACGGCATATGCGATGTGGCGGTGTGCCGGGGCTGTTTCGCCGGGCAGAACCATCTGCAGACCGGCGTACAGCGTGTCGGTAGTATAGGGCGAAGGGCCGGTGACGGGACCTGTACGACATACAAGAATGGCTGTCAGCTTTCGACCTCCCTCAGGCACCGCCAGGGCGATGGATTCTCGACGAGCCAGGACGCCGGCCACGTACCAAACCCGGGGTTGACCATCATCAGGGCTCTTCGTTCTTGCATCTCTTCCGGGACCAGATCGGCCGAGTCGAGCATGAGTTGCCTCATTTCTGTCCACCGCCACAGTGTCGGAAGAGCGCGAGGATTGGGGACCAATTTCGAAATCTTGTCGTTCACGGTCCACATTGGGTATGAGTTTTGTTCCTGGCACCTGCCCATGACTTGGGTGGTGGCTTGCTCGACGGCTTCATCGAGAGTCGAAGGAGCCTTGAGCTGCCCCTTTCCCTCGCTCTGAGGAGGTACAGTCTCCGTCTGGGATGCCATGCTGTCACAGGGGGGTGATATGTGGACGTGGATGCACTGTTCAGGCAGGATGAGACGGATGATATTGAATGCCTAGCAACAGCACGAACGTGGCTCCTCTCTTCCTCGTTTGTACCATTAAATGTCCTTGACCTAACTTTGATACCATCGGGTACATGTGATCTCCTGGGCTATTCCCGACCGCCCAGGATCTCGATCTCGACACAGAGGTGATGGCGGCCTCGGTGCGCTCGGCCAGGTCGGGCTTCCGAGTCAACCTACCATGGGGGTGCATGGTTTCCCGAGTACTCAGAGCCCTGGATAATTCTGACGACTCTACCTAGCCCCCAGACCAATGCTAGGTGCAAATGGGTATGGACCATCCAGTGCTGACCCTTTTCCCCTGCTCGACTTTGGTGTTTGAAGCACCAGTGACCCGCCCGCTCAGGTCGATCCGCCGTGATATCTCGCTCAAATGGGCCATGCAAGATGGGAGTCGTGATAACCTTCGTGTCACAATTCTTGCTGTCTGAGAAGGGCCCCCATCGGATTCGACGTGAGTCAAGAGCCCAGATTCCCCCGGTGTCCACCCATCTTCCAATTTCTGGCTCGTACGGACTCACCAAGAATCATCGAGTCACCCAACCCACCACCACTCCAAGATGCCACCTCACATCGTCAGCACGCTCAACCGGCCAGGCAGTCGCCAGTTTGGCCCTTACTCGGAACTCTCAGTCGTGCCGATCCCGTCGGTCGATCCTACAGCGTACCTGCTCCAGACGGCCGGCCAAGTTGGAGGACCGCCACCAGCGGCGGCGGCGGCGGCGGAAGGAGGCCCGTTCCCGACGAGCTTCCGTGAACAAGCGGTGAACGCATTCGCCAATGTCGCCGCCGTCCTGGCCCTGAAGGGAGCCACGCCGCGGGACGTCACCAAGATCACCATCTTCGTACCGAACCTTGACACGGCGAAGCGTGACCTCTTGCCCGGCGTGATTACTGACTTCCTCCTCCGCGGGGGCAGTCGCACCGGCCACGACGAGCAGACCGTGCACCAGCCGCCAAGTTCGCTGATTGGGGTGGCAGCCTTGGCCTCGCCCGAGTTCTTGATCGAAGTCGAGGCATCTGCGGTGGTGGCAGCTCCTGGTTCGCGTCAAGGCTGAAAGAAGCAGTCCGTCGCGTTACTGGCGTTTGAGGATTTTGAACAACTACGATCATTACCACATGTGTGTGAGAGAGAGGAAGAGGAAGAAGAACAAAGAGAGCAAAATTGGTTTTGGCCGTCGGGCGGTGTCCCAAGAGCAGCAGTCTTGCGCCCCATGTCAATTGATGCAAGGAGTAGCCATTCGACTGATATTGGTTTTTAATTTTTTGGAAATTTGTGGTCTCGTCATGATACATGTGCCCTATTCTTCCTAGACGAGTCCTCCATTATACATGCGGTGCTCACAATTTTGAGGTGCTGAATCTTTCGGGTCTGTAGGCCTCCAAGAGTTGCACCGGCTGCCCAAGGACTTCGGTCGCAATCAAGCGGCCCATCAGTGGCGCCATGGTGATTCCACTCATCATCACCGCAACGTAGATGGTTTTTCGCGGGTCGCAGAAGCCCGTGACGGGCTGGCTGTCTTTCGGGATGGGAACGTGGCCAACGGTCACCTTGTCGAGCTCGATCCCGGCCAGCGCGGGGACGACCTGGACAGTTCTTGCGAGCAGCGCGCGTCCGTATGCCTCGCCCGTGTCGTGGCCGTCTGCACCAGGGGCATAGTCGAGTGCCGTCACGATTCGTCCATCGGGGTTCTGTCGGATCGAGCCCGAGGGCCCGTTCAAGACGCGGTTCAGAGTAGGGGGCATCGGTTTGCTGTACGCCAGCGTCCCGGATTGAAGGCGGAGCGGCACACGCGCCCCTAGGTGCCTTGTCAGGTCCGGGCTGCCCGCGCCGGCTGCAACGACTACGCTGTCCGCGTCGATGGCTTCATGGCCGCCTTCGACCACAGCTGCCCCGGAATTGGCGACCGAGATCCCGGTGACCTCCAGCGGTGTTCGAAACGTGACGCCCAGGTCCTTTGCCCGACGGAGCAGGATTTCAAAGGTCTTGTGAAGGTCGATAGCGCCCCAATCCGACAGGAAGTTCCCAGCTCCAAAGGCCCCGGGGACTGCGCCCGGGACAAGACGACCAACATCGTCCTCGGTGAGACGCTGGACCTTGGACCCCCAGCGTTCAAGCCTGGCCGTCTGAGCGGCCAATTCTTCCGCCTTCGGCCCCGGTGCCGCCCAGTTGACCACCCCTCCCCATTGGGTCGGCAGTGGTTCGTCAATCTGGGCTTCAAGAGCATGCCACTCCCCAGCTGCGAGCCCGTACAGCTTGCTGAATTCTTCCGAGGCGTACGGTAGCGACGCGATGATCATGGCGAAGGCGCCTTGCGTGCAGCCAGCCCCCGGCTCTTGCTTGTCGAGCACTGTTACCTGCGCTCCGCCCAGGGCCAGCTGGTAGGCGATCGACACGCCTAGGATCCCTGCGCCGACGACGACAACATGTTTCCGGGTTCCACGGCCACGCCCGCGGCCTTCTGCGCCGGCCACCCAAGTGCTCGACTGGCGCGGCATTGACGTGTCTGGTCGAAAGACAAGATTCAATCAGGTCTCTTCGAACGTGCAAGTTGTCGATCCAGCCAGACAAGTCGAGCCCGGTGCGGTATTCATGTGGTATGTTCTCTTAGGGTAGGAGTGTAGCACAGCGTCGATACTGCGCACGAGGCATAGTGCTGCTGCCAGGTACATTATCCGCCCAATGCATAGCGCAGAGATCTGCAGCCTTTCGCAGGCGTGGTGCATTGGCATGCGGATCATGGTCAACCCAACCAACAAAGACCGAGAAGTCCGATGGCGGGTGATGGCGGGTCTGATAAAGACACCCCCAGCCCAATGAGTCAATCAATCGGCGGCTATATTCAAGGGAGGGGCACGGCACCAGTTTAGTGGGCATTGGCGGCGCCGCGACAAGGGCGAATTACCGCCCCGTGGAGAGGAACACATCACCATCCGGTTTTGGTTCCGGCCTCGATCACAGCTTGATAACGTATTGTATATCCGGCTCGACCGAGCCAATCGCGAGACCGTGGTCAAATGTGAAAAGGCGCGTTCATCGTCTGGCCTGAACGACACGTCTCGCAGGAAAGCGCTGTCTACTCCAGAAGTCCTAGAGAGGATGCCTCTGGTGGCCGTGCTTGGATCTGGCATTATCGGCTTGAAAGCCACAGAAGCCCTTGTCGAAGCAGGCTACAATGTCGTCGTGGTTTCCAAAGACTTGCCCGGTGACCCTGTGGCCGCGTCCTGGGCCAGCCCAAGGTAACGCGAGCACCGCCCCCCACCTCCCCCCCGCTGCCTTCATGCGCCCCGGCTGCGGCTGACCACTCCCATATAGTGCCGGCGCTGTGATATACCCAACCTACACGGCCAAGTCGACGACCAGAGAATTCGAGACTGCCACGTTCGGGCACTACTGGAGTCTTGCCCACACGGATCCCTCGAGCGGTGCTCAGGTCATCCCGGTGACAGAGTACTTTGCAGAGCCGTACGACCCGGACTCGCAGGCCTGGTACACGAAGGTGAAACCGTACTACCGCCACTCGGCACCGGAGGAGCTGCCTCTGGGAATAAAGGACGCCGTGACGGTGGCGACGGTCGCCGTCAGCCCGCTGATATACCTCCCGTATCTCCGGCGAAATCTTGAGGCGCGCGGCACCAAGTTCTCACGGCTGACGGCCAAGAGTCTCGACCAAGTCCTCCGTCTGACCGGGGCCGCCGTCGTGGTCAACGCCTCGGGCCACGGGGCCAAGGAGCTCTGCAACGACGCGGCGTGCACCCCGGTCCGCGGGCAGGCCATGTGGCTGCGCGACAGGCCGCGCGGGTGGAACAAGGTCCTGCTGTGTCAGGACGGAGGTTACACCTACGTAGTGCCGCGCCTGGGGACCGGCGGCTGCCTCCTGGGCGGCGTGCGGCAGGAAGGCGATGAAGGGGACGCTGCAGATCCGGCCCTGCGACGCGACATCTTGCAGCGGGTCAACCATCTCTCGGGCGGCGCGTTCAAGGACGTCAATCTCGAAACCGACGTGGATGATGTTGTGGCATGGCGGCCTGGCCGGGACGGTGGCCATCGCCTGGAGATTCAAGGACCCGACGTGGTCCACGCTTATGGCTTTGACGGCGTGGGGTTTGCCGTCTCTTTCGGCGTTGGGAGGAGGGTGGTCGAGCTTGTCAAACAATTGACTGGGGGTGAGAGGGCAAGGCTGTAGGGGGGTTTTTTGGTTTGGGGGGCAAGGCTCCTCCTCCTACCACTGAGGATACGTAGTTATGAAAGTGCGTGCTTGATGTACACAAGGACATGAGCCATCGTACATCAGATCTGTTTGCCTGCGTATCGTCGGACTTTTTGATGCTTCCGCTCTGTCACTCGATCCAGATACAGGGGCGGCCTCTTCACACATAGAGTGCAGTTGTAACGAGCTTGTCAGCTACCAGAACCCTTTCACGACGTTCATGGGATCGCCACAATGGACATCTTCACGCACAAGATCGAACATGTTTCTTGGGATGCCATCAATTTCTTTCTGGTAACTGAAATAGAAGCTACATCACCTCACTGCTACATGACTGTAATTAGACACAAGCCCCCACCCCCCTTGTTGTTGCTGTTATTGTTGTTGTTGTCACAATCCATAGTCACATTAGAAGAGCAACGTCACCCTTGGCAAAAAGACGTCAGTTGCCGTCAGACGGCTTTGATCGGGCTGGCGTTGTCAGTTTGATGAACAACAGCACCGGAACCCACAAGCACTTCGAGAGAAATCCGCGGTCCATCATATACGCGGCGGCCCCAGGCAAACCATAGGATTGCCGACAAAATCAGCACCATTCCGGCAATAGGTGAGGCATAGTTCCTGTGTGAAATGTCAGTTTAGCTAGCATAATCCGAAGAGTCTTGAACGTGGATTACGTACATGTTTTCCGCGGTCACCGGGATGCTGGTTGGCAGCGACACGGCCACGAAGAGGAGGCCGTATAGTGTCAGACCGAGAACATTGACGATCCAGCCCCAACGATAAGGCAGCCTCCAAGGTCCGTAGGTGAGGTTCAGCGTCTTACGACGGATGAGGTGGAGGAAGATTGGAGTCCCGTAGCTCAAGACCTGAAGGGTGAAGACGCCACTCAAAAAGCCAAAGAAGGCGGTGCTGTTGCCGATGTAGATGACTGCGAGCATAGCTTGGATCGTTGCGGCCGTCATGATAGCTCCCACAGGAGTGTTCCAACGGGGGCTGATCTTCTCAAGGGCATGGCCGAATGGGAAAGCTCCATCTCGCGACTGAGCCATGATGATTCGACTGAGGCCACCCATGCAGTCGGTCGCGGAGATTATGGCGACTATGACGATGAGACAGGCAATACCGTTGGCGGCGTGGATGTTCCCGTGGGTCGAATTGTAGATGATCTGTGCGAGCGGACTCAAGTGGACGACGCTGCCCTGGAGCAGCTCTTCCGGATCCCCCATGCAGAACGCCAGCACAAGGACAAAGGGCAGTCCAATTGTCGCTGAGGCCAAGACACCCCAGAACAGGGCTCGAGAGACATCTGTTTGCGGCTTGGAGGTTTCCTCGGAATATCGAACCGGCATATCCAGAGTCGAGAATCCTGCGGAAGTTGGAAGGACACCGATCAAGAATGCAGCGGCATTCGTCGGCCACCCAGTAAAGTTCTCCAGATCGACAAAGACAGTCCTGGCAGAGTTCTTGTGGTCGGTAGTGGCTAGCAGGATGATGATCACGATGAAAAAGCCGCAAACGTGGGTGACGGTGCCTGTGGGGCAAACTTGTCAGCACTGACGAAGCTGTGGTGGAGCGCAAAGAGGACGTACCAAGAAGTGAAAGATGGTGCAGAGCGCGGGGTATGAAGACGTTGATTGTGAGTGCAAATGCAATAATCGCCAGAATGATCTGCCCGGTCAGCCAAGTCTGGGTAGTTCTGGTGCAGGGCAGCAAGTCTCACCATGTAGGTCTGCCACCGTTGAGGAGTGTAGCTCTCGTGGGCGAGACTGACGCAGGCTTGCAGCGACAGTGCCCCAGCGAAAAGAGCACTCAGGGATGACAAGATATTCATCAATAAAAGCACCCAGGCACTGAACCAACCCATCACGGTCTTCCACTCCTTGGGCGCCATTGCCACCACCCAGTGGTATTGTCCTGCTGCAGTGGGCCATATGCTGGCGAACTCGGCCATGGAGGACGCGATACACACTGCGGCGACGGCATTCAGGACAAAGCCCCAGACCAAAGCTGGGGGCCCTCCACCAATGACCACCTGGAATAATGAAGCGGCAATTGCTTCCCACTACTGATCCGTCAACATTCTGTGTGTCGGGGGTGAGATGGATGGTACCTACGCCTGCCGTGCCAGCCAGAAAGAAAGCCCAGAGAGAGAGAAAGGTGAATCGCTTGTGCATCGTCCCTTCTGTAGGCTGTGGTGCAGCGCCGTCCCCTGACACGCTAGAGACACTTCCCTCGTTGGGATGGGCGGTCTTGCTGGCGGTCATTGCTTCGACAGGCTCTGCCATGTCGAACATGATGTGGTGTTTTGCTTTGAGTGCAGCGTGATGCCGATTTGTTTATTGTGAATGCTCGAGGATGGTGAGGTTGACCAGAGACGTAGGGAAGTGGAGTGACTCCATAACTTAAGTATAGGTCATACTCGAGGATTCGTTCCTGGGGCTGGTGCTGGCACTGTGTTCCCTCCGCCTAGTCCGCTGGGGAGGTCGTTGTCTCTGTGTAGATAAGAGAAGAGGTTAACGGGCTCGGGGCATGCAGAAGCTCTTGTGCACCGAGTGGAGCGGTGGGTGGTTATCGTGGGCTCTTTGACACTTCTGGAGTACCAATGAGCGGATCCTGATTGGCCCATACAACGCAACATGGCGGTTCGGTGTTCTCGGGTCCTTCTCTAGCGCAAAACTGCGGTTCGGTATGTGATCCTGGTCTAGACAGGGCTGCTAGGATAATGGCACCGATACACCTATCGACTGCAAGAGACTAGGGCTGGTGTGTCTATTGATCAGATCTCTCGTATCTCTTGGAAAGGCGGAAAGAAGTCGAAGGTGAAGCAAGCTGCCAAGAGGCCGATGACTCAGAACGGGGACAAGATGGTAATACGAGTCGGTAAGACACAGGCGTTGTAAAGATGGGAAAGTCGATCATAATTGTAGGAGGAGGTGCTTTTGGTATTGCGACAGCATGGCAGTTGTCTCAAGAACTGGGTACAAGATCGAAGTACTCCTCGATACGCGTCCTCGATAGGTTTCTCCCTCCATCGCCCATCGCTGCGTCTACGGACATCAACAGGATAATTCGCACCGAATATGCAGACCCCGTGTACATGCAACTGGCGGTGCAAGCCCTCCAAGCCTGGACCGACCCTGAAGCCCTCTTCCGAAAGCATTTTCATCGCTCAGGATGGCTGCTCTGCGGCAGTGGCGATGACGTCGGCTTTGTCGAGCAGAGCGAGGAAAATGCCAAACTGAAAGGCGTTCATGGCGCCAAGTTTATGGTTCCAGACGAGGTCCAGTCTAAGTGGCCTGTGGTGAAGGGTCCGATGAAAGATTGGAGGATTCTGTCTGATCCAGCAGCTGGATGGGCGGCTTCTTCCAAGGTCCTGGTTGAGATGGCCCAACAGAGCGCTGGCTGCGGCGTTGGATTCATTTCCGGAAATGCAGGCCACGTCCGAGAGCTCCTGTACGACGCATACAACGCTTGTATTGGCGTGCGCACAGTGGATGGTACAACATACGAGGCGGACCAAGTGCTGCTGACAACTGGCGCCAGGACGGCATGTTTGATCGACATGGAGGGTCAGCTTAGTGCTTTGGGTCACACCGTTTGCTACATCCAGCTTGCGCGCGAGGAGGCAGACCGGTACAGGCACATCCCTATCATTGCGGATATAGGAGAAGGTACAACTCGACTGCATTAGACATTGCAAACGTGTGTAAAACGCTGACTGGGTACCGAATCTAGCTGCTGTTTTCGCTCCAGACGAGAACAATGTCATCAAGATTGCGTCCTCGATTTTCGTCACAAACTTCAAGTATTCTCCAGTCTCGGGGGTATCACTGCCTGGAGACTTGGTGGAACGTACAGTGCCTGCAGTGTTGCAAAATCGGCTGAGAGGCTGGCTTCGACAAGTGCTGCCGGAGCTGGCAGACAGGCCGTGGTCGGATTCCAAACTTTGCTGGTATTTTCGTATCATCTTCTGAGGAAGGCACGAAGACACTAATAGCATGCACAGGGATACTGACACGCCGACTCACGACTTCCTGATTTCAAGCCATCCACGGCACAAAGGTCTCTTCGTGGCGACCGGGGGCTCTGGTCATGCTTTCAAATTTGTACCAATCATTGGGCGGTATATCTCGCAGCTCCTTGATGGAGCGGTGCCTGAGAACCTGGAGAAGCAATGGAAATGGGGCTCTTCGACGGCTACGAGTCGTGAAACAGGCGGCAAACCTATGTTTCCGACACCTGCTCTGGAGCTTGGAGATCTTCTCGGTTAGCAGCCTGTTACTGCGAAAATATAGACCAAAGTCAATATACCTTCTAGATCTCGCTCCAGCTCGCCTCCGTTTCGTCAAAGCTGTCGTGGCTAATCAGACTGGGCCAGACCTAACAAACGTCCTGTGCCAAGTGTATCGGGAACAATGCGTAAGTGCGAGATAACCACCAAGGTCGGCCTCGTTGGCTCGCTCGGAGGATATTTCGATCACCCATAACTCGGTGCCGTCGGTGTTGTCGGGGCTTGCCTCGGCCTCGACCGTGGCAAGGGTGTCCAGCCTTGCGCGAATCGTGGGAAGACGAACCTGTCATTGCGGATATCGTCGATCATTGTGCTCGTGTGAGAATAGGGACAATTAAAACATTGAGCCGAACGAAGGAAGACACCCGGCCGTCGTGACATAAACAGGTCGCATACGCTACTCGTGTTGATAGATGGCGATCAGGTTAAAGTGAAGAATCACATAGATCCGAAAAAGTGACTGAGGAAAGATGGGTCACGATCTCAAGGTCCTCATCATTGGCGCAGGTGCGTGTCCACCCGACAGGGAATCAACATGACAACTAATCTCTCTGGCACCAGGCGTATCAGGCTTGTCGCTCGCGCAAGGACTAAAGAAGGTAAATTCATGGTGGCACAGCCTTACCACCGGATTGTCTGGCACCTCTCCTGTGGCCTCAGCTAAGACGATGCTCGACAGGCAGGTATTGACTATGAGATCTTTGAGAGACATGACTCTGAAGTTCGGCACCGAGATTGGGGTATCACGGTCCACTGGGCCGTAGAATTCATGCAGCTCTATCCAGATGATATGGAAGAGAAACTGAGAAGTGCCCAAGTCGTTGTTCGCAAGAACACTGGGCTTCAGGAGCACGTCGAATTCCATGACGGTGAGACCGGAAGGGTTTTCAAGCACATTCCCTTGGGAGCCGCCAAACGCTACAGCCAGAAGAAAGTCCGGCAGGTCCTTCTCGAAGGCATTCGAGTCCAGGTAGATTTCCACTTGGTGGGTCCCTTCGTGTAATACGACATTTCTGACAGAATGGGCAGTACAACAAAGAGCTAACATCGTTCAATGAGTTGGAAAACGGCATCGAAGCCGTGTTTGCAGATGGAACCACCGCGAGAGGATCAATCCTTGTTGCTTGTGATGGCGCCCGTTCTTCCACCAGGCGGTTTCTTTTTGACAACCAGGATGATGCGGTGTGGAAGCAAATTCCTGGTTTGATCCTCAACAATTACTGGATGCAATATCCTCGGGAACAAGCTCTGGCCGTGAGAAGTGGGCTCAGTGAATTCATGGACATTGCCGTCCATCCAAACGGCTCATACTATGGTCTGATTCGTAAGTAGTTGCCAATTGGGACCTCAGACCCTTTCGATACTCACACCAAACACAGCTCTCGACATCGACGACGAAAAACCCCCCGAGGAATGGAAGTTCCAGGTCTTCATGTCGTTCGCATCAAACCTGTCAGTCGAAGAGGACTCGCCCCGGAAACGCTTCGAATTGGTCAAAGAAAAAGGCAAATCATTTGCTGAACCTTTCAAATCCGCCATCGAGTTCATGCCTGAGGGTACGATCATCACCTGCGACCGCTATGGCACTTGGGAAACTAAACCCTGGAACACACATGGCGGTCGGACTCTGATTTGCGGTGATGCCGCCCACTCGATGACACCACGTAAGTCGCGCATGTGCTCTCAGATGTCTAGATGTCAGAATCAATAACAAGGTACTAGATCGTGCCCAAGGGGCTAATCACGCCTTGCAAGACGTGTTGAACCTTACCCGCGCCTTGGTCGACTACAGGGACGGGAGGGTGAGCCTGCAGGAATTCACGGATGAGTATGTTCGGGAAGTTGTCGACCGAGGCTCCAACGAAGTGCGAATGTCGTTGAAACAAGGCCTGGCAGCGCACGACTGGGCCAATAACAAAGATATGCCTATTGTCAGGATTGGATCAACGCCTTTGCACATCAAGAACTCGGTGGTGCCATTGCCGACACAGGATCCCAACAGTCTTTGAGTGTTGGCTGCGAGTCCATAGAGTAGGGTGTTGTAATTCAAAGTGATGCGCAAAGTATCAATCTACGTGTATATCCAGGTAAAAAGGATAGTTCTGACAAGAAAGGAAAACGATCATGTAGGTCCTCTCTGTACAGAGTGTAGGTGGCACGTTTATGTCGGCGAGTGTCAAAGAACTGCGGGATCTGCCTCGGCTAACCTGCCTCAGATTTTCCTCCAATATCATTTCGCTTCCTCCGCTGCCTTTATTTGTCCTCGCGATCCTCCTGCGTATCACCACGATGGTGGAATGTCCCTGCCTGGCCTTGGGCTGGCGGAGCCGGAGGAACTGTCCACAGTCGAAACAACTCAATACGAACTAACAAAGGAAGGTGAGTGGCGGTTCGAGGTCGCCGTGGGCAAGGACATCACGTCTCCTGCGCGCTTCTATAACCGTGGTGGTTAGCTGTGGTCTGCGACTGCTGCACTCTTCGGTATCGATCTTGTTCTCGGATACACCCATACCACCACGAAATCCAGACCTGGACCTGGCCTTTAGTCGCATAGGAGCAGGTATTATCGTTCGGTTTCGAGCAACGTTTGGGTCCACTGGGCCCGTAGTCCCTTAATTATCATGAGCGCTAGGCACGGACGGAGTAGATTGCGCCACCAGAATTGAGGTCAGGGTTGAATGGTGCACAGGCAAAGACATCGAAAAGATTGTCTGGGGAAGACCATTGTACAGACAAAAGTAATATTTACTCGACTATTACCTCTGATATTGCGTCTCCAATTACGGTTGACCCGCCTAGGTCAACCTCCGCTGCTTCTGCTCAGATTCTACGAAGTACCTACTCAAGGACCTTTCTCCTCTACAAGACGAGCACTGTTGGACAAAACAGAGCCAATTTTCCAGAAGTTACCAGTGGGATATCCAAAGTTGGTATACAGCCCTGTACCTAATGTATGAATATGTAACATTCGCTTCCTTATATTGCACCTTCAAATGAAACGCTATGCAATAGACGAAGAAATTCCATCACCATCTACCACCTCCTGGTTGCGGCAATGGTGGCCGCGTCTGCTGCCTGGCCTTGTCAAATTCTCGAACGATGATCTCACATCTCACCTCTCTGCAGAGCTGTTTTCGTCTGTCTGAAGGCACTTTCTCAGCAAACATCAGTCCACTCGCTCTCTCGACCGCCTCCAACGGAACCTCAAAGTCCTTCAGACTTTTGGTGTTGGGGATCTCGGCGTTTGGCAGCACAAATGCCCCCAATGCCACTCTACCAGTCGGATCATTGGCAGCTTCTTCGCCAAAGATGATCTTGTAGAAGTGAGTCGGCACCGCCACGTTGGGAGGATTGCCAATCATTTCATACGACACCCTCCATTTTCCGTCTTTTTCATCCCTTTTAGGTAGATACAGTGGTCCCGTCACTACTCGTACGCTGGGATATCTCTTGGTCAAATTTCGGCAGAATTCCTCAAAGTGCGCCCAGTAGTCTCGATTGAACCCCTCGCCGACTTGCGGACACATGTTGCTCAAAACAAAGGTGCTATCCATTGCCGGTTGCGACCATTTCGCATCGGCTGCGGGCACCTGGTGACCTCGGTCGTAGCCACTTCGTGCATAATCCGTCAATTTCGCCCGAAACATCGGAGGGACTGAAAGGTCCTCGTAGAAGACGCTGTTTCTGCGGGAGCCATTGTTCAGGAGTAACGATTGTGCTGTGAAATGCTCCGCAACCCAGTGTGGATTTCGTGTGAACCGGTTGAAGGAGGACAGGTGTGAGGGCGTCGAGAGAGTGTCTGCAATCGGGCCAGGGAAGCCATACCGAAGTATTCCAGCTGGATCGACAGGGGACACTACAGCTGGGAGGGCAGATTGCGTCGGTGCAATCACAGGGACTGGATTGGGTACCGCAACTGGTGCTGGCGGAGCAGGGACTGGGACGATGGGTTTCGGAGCAGCATCTTTTACTGGAGCAGTAGGTAATGGAACGGGTGTGCTTTTCGACGGTCGGGAGAAGATCAGAGCGCTGAGTGACGCGCCAGCCGCCGCAGACGTCGCAGCGACTATGGCGAGAGTCGTTTTCGACATGCCAGTCACGGGTATAGAGAGGTCAAAGGAGGTTTGCTCTGCGCGTGTGTTGAAGTTCGACAACCTCAAACATTTCTCCAAGTCCAGCGTGTTAGCAGCCGCCAATCGGAAGGGTCATATCTAGGAGGCAGCATAAGGCTGCAGCAGGCTGCGCTAGGCAGCCCTCACCAGCCTATAAGGGCGAGATCATTAGGTCCCTTAGCATTCCTTAGGTAATATGATGGCATTTTGACTCGTCCGTGCAGGGCATGTTTTAAGGTCCTCGTATGGCCTTATGGAGTGTGCATCGCTCCTTACAAACTCGTTGGCCAGGGTCTGTCTATCTCTCCTCGACCTCATATCTCCCATCTGGGTCCTTATACCTACCTGATGTCATAGCCTCGATTAATATCAACACCATAACGACTTACAAGCACATGCGCTACATACCGTCTCATACGCCTCATTGATTCCTCCGGTGGCGTCTCACCGACCGAGTTCAGCGGCTGAACAATCAGTCGCCCATGTTCTTCACCATGGCCATCGACAATGATACTCGAGGGTGGATTATGGCATGTATCAGTGGTGTCGGTATGACTTCTTTTTCGCTTGAGGCATCCAAGGTATTCTAACCTTTCGCAGCATGTGTATTGGGGGCATCTGTGATATGCATCGATACCATTCTCCGCCTCATCCCAGGCTGGCACGACTTCTCCATTTCTGAGAGTGACCAATTTCTGTCAGCATCACTCAGTCTGAGTTTTGGAGTCATGGTGCGTAGCCCGAAAGCAAACCTGGGAATTCTCGCAGCTAACCCTGTGCTTAGTTATTTTCCGCCTTATATTCCATGCTACCGCAGTCAAAGACCTACCTCAAGGATGCCGGCTACTCACCCAGGACCGCCTCGTTCATACTGATCGGACTCTTCCTAGCAGGTGTTATCGGTATTCGAGTCCTGTCACGCATCATCCATCAGTTCATCCCTTCCCACGTTGTGGACTGCGATCACACCCACGACGAAGAGGAGGCTTTTCCAAAGGATCGTGAAGAGATGGAAGATCATTCACATGGTCATGAGCATACAAACGGCGTTCCTGTATCAAAGTGCCGCCCGCAGACTGCGGATGATGAAAACACCCCGCTACTTTTGCGCTCCGACAGCTTCAGCCCCAAAAAGCGCCTCCCTGAAACGCAAGAAACTGTTGGCGACGCAGCTTGTAGACAATCCTTTGTCACCGCACCGAGCAGTCGAAGGCCTTCGTTCATGCCTAAGACGCTGACCCGGACCTTCTCGAAATATGTGACTGGTTGGAAGGAGAACTGCGACGAGATGGGACCATGTATGGGTTTCTCAGACCCTTGTGGACAGGACTGCTTCAAAGTTGTGCACAGGAGAGGATCAATTCTCCCAGGCCACGGACCATTCACTCGAGCCCCAACCTGGCGCACCACAGTTAACGACGTACGGGTTGCACCACTCGCAGAGGAGGACGAGAGATCTTCCGCAAACGGCTCAACTCTACCCCAAGTCAACTCTCATACACAAAGACTCCACGTGGGACGGTCACGATCATCCACCCACCATTTCCACCACATTGACCATGGACACCAAGAAGAGGGTCTTCGCCGCCCTTCGCACCACTCTCACCACTCCCATCATTCTCATCAGTCCAGTTCGGCCGTCGGCCAGGAGCATCATCATCATGTGCCGACAAATGCATTCATGTCCATTGGTTTACAGACCTCGGTAGCTATAGCTTTACATAAGGCGCCGGAAGGGTTCATTACCTATGCGACCAATCATGCCAATCCTCAGCTGGGATTTGCTGTGTTCATGGCTCTCTTCATACACAACATCACCGAAGGGTATGCCATGTCTCTTCCCTTATACCTTGCCCTTGACTCTCGATTCAAAGCCATCGTCTGGTCATCCTTCCTGGGAGGTGCATCCCAGCCATTAGGAGCGGGCATTGCGGCCCTCTGGTTCAAAGTGGCCAACCGGACAAGCATGGGAGCACCCACCGAAGGGGTATATGGCGGCATGTTTGCGGTCACTGCAGGGGTCATGACCAGCGTAGCCCTTTCGCTCTTTTCCGAAAGTCTTTCGCTTTCTCACAACAAGGGCACTTGCATTGCTTTTGCATTTTTGGGAATGGGAATTTTGGGCTTCAGTTTTGCATTGACAGCGAGCTAGTTTTGATGGGGTGCATGGAAAACAAAAGGTTTATTGTTATTGTTATAGCGACGCAGCGATGAGCGATGAATATAGAGTTATATATTATTATTGGATACGGAGTACCTCATTTTGCACTTGGTAACATATTGTGTCACTCGACGTCGTTGCCACCTTCAACGATCTGTAGTCGCTTTAGTTTTGGTTTGATGCAGAAGGACTGCCAGTGAAGGTCCATCTGATCAAAATTTGTGCAAGTTCCTCAACTGTAGCGCTCACATGGGGATCAAGATTCATTCAAGATTCATTCAAGACTCATCCCCCGAGAGAGAGAGGGGCGCTCTGTCGACTGGAAAGCAGGGGATTGCCAATTCATATTGTCTTTTTTTTCTTTTTGGAAAACCGAAAAAAAAAGTCTCTTGATTTTATTAATAACCACCACGACTTTGAGCTTTGGCAAACTTGTGTAGGAAAGGAAATTCTGACTTGCACGAGAGTCGACGAGACAAAGACCCAAAAAAAGACCCAAAAAGACCCAAAAAGACCTGGAGAGGCACCTTGTTTGCGTGGTACAGTTTTTGTGACGTCCCACTGTTCAATGACCGAGAAAGAGTACTAAATGGGTACTGAGGTGACTATCCAGGTACCTACCAAAGGTACTTTGAAGGACTATACGGAGTATGTAACTTGTACTTTGGTGTCTTGTAATCTACTGTAGGTACCTATTGTATTATACTAATAAGGTGGAGGGAGCCCTTACTAGAGGTGGGTACTAGAACAACGGCTGCCTACCAGGTAAAGTATTTACTACTGCAGAGGCACCCAATGCTTCTCTGGCGGCGGCCACCTGGCTATGCATGTGTATGCTTACTGAGCTAATGGTATTACTCCATACCAAGGGGGTATACCATAGTAATAAGGGTTCCAGAATTCTCAGGCTACCTCTTGTTGAATCTCCACATTCTTCAGCCTGTTGCAAAAAGAAAAAAAAAACAAGTAACATCTCACCCAATGTTCTTCATTCACAACCTACAATGTAGTCTGTACAATGTTTTCTATCTCTCTCTCTCTCTCTCTTTCAGAAAGATGAGATCAGGATTACATCCCGAGTGGCATGATATCGTAATGTACGACTACATGAGACAAGAGTAAGGTGAGTACAAGGACTGCCATCCTTTACCGCCAAACCCCCCCGGTCGGATACATGCATATCTTGTACTTTCCTCCTCCCCGTACTAAACAGAAATTCCGCCTCGTTGCCTTGCCTTCGCCTTGCCGGTTTGACTCAGAGGGCCAGTCGCTGGCGAGTGTGGCCTTTTTGCAGCCTGCATGCATTTTTCATTCCTTCTGCAGGCACCAAGAAGGAGTTGCCCCTCTATTGAGTCTACTGAAAAAGGGTGTCGCTCCGGGCGCCTACTTCACTCATCCTTCGTCTACCTGGCCTCTTCTCACTTTACAATACACTACGACCACCCAAAGTTCCCTCCTCTTCCTGGATCTTCGGACCTTACAAACTCACCTACCTAAAGGCTAAGGTTGACTCGGACACCCAATGGTGCATTGACGAGCAGGCAACAGGCCCCCACTAGCGAGCAACCTAGTCGGTATCCGTCGATTCAACTAGGCCTACCTTTCTCTCACTTCAAAAGGTATATAGAGGGAGCCTTTGGACGTTCTGCGCCTCGCCTCTTGATACCATGAAACGTCTACCACATAGAACAAACCGTCTATCGTTTTTCAGAGACGACCACATCATGGCATTCGCTCGAGAAGCCGGACTGAACGTGGGGCGACCACGATCCCCCGTGGGCGGCCAGGGAAGGAGGGCGCCCGAGGCGGTGTCGATCAACAAGACCGAAAAGGGCAAAGAGAAAGGAAACGCCGGCGAAGACGAAGGACCCAAAGAGCCAGAGGTGCCTCAGGGTAGCATCACCCAGGCCAAGAACCTCTACTCCAAAAGGGACAACGACGGCAAATACCAATGGGTGACTGAAGAGCCAGACGACGCCGTCGACGCCGCCGAGAACAGCGAGACCGCCCGCTACGCTTTTCTCGTGCGGAACAAGAAAAGCTACGACAGTCGGAAGAAGTACGACATCGACTCCATCATCGTCCAGTCCCCGTGGTTGAAGAAGTCACTGGGCGTGATGTTCGAAGACTACCCGGGCATCACGACCAATCTGGAGCGGCTCGTCTTTCGGGCTCCGTTGCACCCGTTCGTCCACCGTTGGGATAAGCTGCTCGCGTTGCTGGAGCAGGACGACTTTGAGGACCCCATCGCCAAAGAACACCTCCGGCTTTTTCACGACGTCGTGTATGAGGAGCTCAAGAACGCCATCGCGGCAAAGCTCGACCTGGTCAAGAACGGGGTCATCACCTTTGAGTACCTCTGGACCATCTTCGAGCCGCAGACTCTGGTCTACAGCGTCAGAGACAACAAGGAGTGTGTCTTCAAGCTCAACTCGTCCCACACGGCTGTCGACCAGCGCGCCGGCTTGCAGTATCTGTCCCTCGACGTCTGGTCCTGCGACTGGGACGGCACCAAGTTTGGTCGGAACAGCACCGAGCTCAAGAACTACGAGTTCTCTGGGACGACCCCGATCAGTTCTCTGGCGGCCTTTCCCCTTGAATTCCACCCGTCCAAGAAGCAGCTGAAGTTGTCCTTGATCGCGCGGGGAAAGCTCTTCGAACGGTTCGCAGGCTACCACTATCAGGCGTACCGGGGCGTCGCTCTGGGGTACGGTCGTTGCGGCATGATCCGACACAACATCGAATCCCGGGTCATCATCGACTGCGAGGCCCATAATCGATTTCTGCCCAACTATGCCACCTACCTCGACTCGTTGCCCCAAACCAGGCGGGTTTCGAGTGGCACAACATCGAGCGGGACCGGGTCCGACGACGACTATGACGAATTCTCGTGCGACGATACACCACCGATCTTCCTCGGGACGACTCCCAGCTCCGGTGAACTCGATGACGCAGGCATCATGAAGCAGAAGCATCGGCCTTTGACCACACAAGAGCTGCTCCTCACTGTGCCGTACGTCAAAGGGTATGCTATCAAGAACAAGAAGTGGTTGTGGTTCTACGTGGACCAGATTGAGCCAATCAAGTTCGCCGACAATGCGTTCTCTTCGCTCGTGCTCCCATCGGAGCAAAAGTCGCTGATTCGCGCCTTTGTGGAATCCCAAGTGAAGTACAAGAACGATTTTGACGATGTCATCGCCGGCAAAGGTCGGGGAATGATCATGCTCTTGGCGGGCCCGCCGGGCGTGGGAAAGACTCTGACGAGCGAGAGTGTGGCCGAGGACATGCGTGTGCCATTGTACTGCATGAGTGCTGGGGACCTGGGTTTGGACCCGTCGGGTATTGAAGGTATGTGTACTCGTTTCCGCTGTGCCTTTCTGTCGTGCCTCGAATACTCACGTGCTGTGTGTGGTGTTGCAGAATCCCTGAACCTCGTGCTGGACATGGTCAGCAAGTGGAATGCCGTGTTGCTGCTCGACGAAGCAGATGTCTTCCTCGAAGCACGCAGTTCCAATGACCTTGAGAGAAACAAGATGGTCTCCATCTTCCTGCGTGTTTTGGTGAGTAGCCCCGGAAACTCCTCTGCACCGTGATGATCGTCAACACCCTCTCGTCACAATCACTGGGTGACATGCTGACACAAAAGTGACACCAGGAATATTACGAGGGAGTTTTGTTCTTGACCACCAACCGAATCCGCAATATCGACGCCGCTTTCCACTCTCGGATCCACGTCACCATCAACTACCCCAATCTTTCCATTGATTCCCGTCGGCATGTGTGGCAGACGTTCCTCGGAAAAGACAGCAGCGTGACTGAGAAAGACATTGATCGTCTAGCTTCGGTGGACCTGAACGGCCGACAAATCAAAAACATGCTGAAGACGGCACAGATGCTTGCACGAAGCCAGGAACAAGGAAATGGCGAACGTGGAAAGGTGGGCATGAATCACATCGAGACGGTGCTCGCCATTGAACGAGGCACATCCTGGGAGTGATTGGTGGGGGCAACTCACGGAGTACATTTAGGCCGACATACGTGCATGCATGCATGCATGCAAATGCAAGAGTTGTGATGGCCGCAGAAGAGGCCGGGCTGTGGATGGAAAAGAAGCAATGGGGCTGGGGTGAGGGAAGTGCAGGATGGGACTTTCTTAGAGTTAGTTGCCTGAGGTCATTTTGCCCGTCTTTGCGGCGTCCGGCTCTGCTTTTGGCGTGATGAGTATTCCGTAGCTGGGCCGTACAAGAATTCCGTACGACGACGAGGCCATGAACAATACAATCACCCAATAGATCGTATCACGAAATTGTTCTCTTTGAGGTAACCGTGCAATAATTCCACTTGCAACCCATAGCTGCGGATAAGAAATCCTTCTCTCGCCCTCCCACAAATAGCTGTTGTCCCAGGGTTGGCGCAGCAGCCAAGACCGAGGCGATGACTGAGAGATAGAGAGCGAGAGGGAGGGAGGTTGGACCCCAGAGGCGGCCCCGGTAAGCCGGCAGCCCGGGTGGCGTTTTTTGACGAAGTACCCAATTCTTGTATCCGTACAGACTTGCCTGTACTGTACTAGACGGCTCTTTAACCGAGAGTCTTTTTGGCCCGTTAAGCCCACAAGAGCTTGGAAGATGGTGGCAGGGTGTCTCGCAGCCGCATCGAATGATATTTTGTTGTCCGTCAGGTACGGACTACGGGTATGTACGAGTGCCTGATTGACGTGCGTTCGGACTGCGCGGGCAAGACTTTGGCGGACTTCTTCTTCTTCTTCCGTACAGTGATGATGAGCACATTATTGACGCTTGCAGATGCTCCCCCTCGTGGTTCAAAGGCAGTCGGTCGTACAAACTAAGTATATCCATACGGGCGCAGAGAAGTCTGTGCATTGGAAGATCCCTCGTGGGATCGTTTTTTTAAGGTGTTGGCCAATGCGGTGTCACATTCGCTGTCATGAGCCTCTTGCGATGTGCATGATGGTCAACTGCATTGTCCGTCGAGAATTACCAGACGTTAGCTGAGGGACTCGAACAAGGTACGGACAAGAGGTCGGTCATACTTTCCAGGTTTTGGGCCCTTCCATGGATTGTCGGAAAGAAAGAACAAAAAGTCGTTGGCTGGGTTTCAAACATGACCAACCAAGCAGCCTGCTCGGTGACGGCGGGTGCTCAATGAGTATGTAAAGTACTCCGTAAGTCCCGCGGGGATCCTTGTCGCGTGGGCCTCTGTACGGCTCACTGTACTCGTACTCATTGTGCCCTTGAGTACCTAGGTAAGGGTCTTTCTTTGGGCTCGTAGGCTCACTTGGGGCGACTTTTGCAGGGGCCTCACAGGCTGTACAGCGGGCAGGCATTTGGGCTTCTAACCAGTCAACAGCACCAACAGTGACGAGATGCGGGGGAGGCCAAGCTTAAAGAATAAGCTTAAGCCCGGTTGAGATTGGGCCGATGCTATTTACAACCACCACTAAAGGACGGAGTAGACATGACAACTCGCCAGGCTGGGAAAAGCTTCCCTGGCCTCGTCTCCTGGTAACCCGTCATCAACACCCCTACTGCTTTCCCACACTTCACATCCGGCAATCCTGCTGGGGACATCACTTCCATCGGCCTCTCACAGTCAGCCGAAAGCTTCCTGAACCTGCATCCTGGCCATGCATGTCGCAAATCCTGCATTCACTTTTGCCGCCCCCTCCCAGCATCAGCCTCTTCCACTCCACATCCTGCTGCCGTACGGACGGATGTTGAAGCGAGAATCAGCTGAGGCGAAAATCACACTTTCAAGAAAAGAGAAGCCCTAAGCCTGCCTTGCATAGCTAGCCAAACCTGGTCTAGCCCGGTCAACTCCTCACCAACCTCATCCAGTTCGCCGCAGGAAAGTAACATATGTCTCAGCGCGGATTGCAGACCGGGCAGATATACACGACCAACCTCGTGAGCTTTCATCCGGGATGTACAGGATGAGCTATGCGGAGTATGTTGATCTATAAAGTCTGCATGGTAAGTCGTCCGCCATTGTGTCTCTTTCTCTTCTTCCTTTTCCTCCATCCCATCCAGAAAGAATCCAGAGACAGCCAGCTTTTGAGAAAGGAGCACCACCCACCCAACAGCCCTCCCCAAAACCCTCGTTTTCCTAGGGAACATCTCTCTACCTCTCTGACTCTCGCTACCTCATCATCGTCATCGTCAAGCATATTGCCCTTCGTTGATTGATTGGTTCCCTCTGCCCACCCTCGTTGCCCACTCACTACACACGGACTCCGTACGCAAACCGCAAACATGAAGTCCTTCGCTACTACTGCTCTTCTCATCGCTGGTGCCAGTGCCGCCGCTTTGCCTGGGGCCCCAGGCAACTCAGCTGGCGCCGGTGGCTCATGGGGTGACTGGACCTCGGCGAGCTGTGTCCCCAGCACCACCACCGAGTACTCGACTGCGTGGAGCACGGCCTGGTCGACGGCCTGGTCAACGGCTTGGTCGACTGCCTATTCCACCGTGACAACTGTCCAGGTCAGCACTGCCACTGTCCCGGTCACTCAGTTCTCGACCGTGACCGTGCCCACCACCGTCGTCAAGACTGTCCCAACTACTGTCCCGGTCACTGTCCCAGTCACCCAGTTCTCAACCGTGACTGTGCCAACTACTGTCGTCAAGACCGTGCCAACCACCGTTCCAGTTACCGTTCCGGTCACTCAATTCTCAACTGTGACTGTGCCCACGACCGTCCAGGTCAGTGTTCCAGTCACAGTCCCAGTCACTCAATTCTCGACTGTCACGGTGCCAACGACCGTCGTCAAGCCGACAACCCTCTACAACACCGTGACGACCGTCAGTGTCAGCGTCAGCACCGCGACCGTCCCCACGACCGTCGTCTCGACTGTCGTCAAGCCAGTCCCAACGACAGTCACTGTGCCCACCACGGTTCAGGTCCCAACCACCATCCCCACCACAGTCTACACCACCGTCTACTCGACTGTGACTCCTGCAGCTGAGACACAAGTCGTCACCGTGACTGCCTCTTGCAGCCAAGGTTGGGGTGACTGGACGAGCAAGAGATAGATCTGAAGTGGTGTTTCTCTCAGCCGTGCCGTCCTTCGCTTGTCTATCTATCGAGGGACGCCGGAGCCACTTTTGACGAAAATCTTTGCCAGTCTTTGAAAACTTTTTATGAGCATGATGATTTATCATCTCACGACGCACGCATCAACGACGTATGACTCATCTCATCACCACCACGAAACCATCATACCGGAATGGGAAATTATCAGCAGCATAACTTATTGTTTGTTCTCTTTTTGTTTTACTCCGTATGCGTGTGGAATCACTACTCAACTCGAGACCATAATGGGATGGAGGTTGTCTGTTTGCTTCCATCACCATCACCACGGCCACGGCCACGTACCAACGCAACGTCATCGTCACCAAACATCAACCGAAACTCAAGGGCGTTCTTTACCGGAAGGACACGAAAAGCATACGTCGGGTTGGGATGGGTGGGGAAAGAGAAAGAATATGCTAAGCTGGTCGAAATGAATTTTTATGACCATCATGATGATGATGAGAAGATGGAAAACCTCATTCTTAGGAGGTAGTCAGCCTCCCTCAGGCCATTTGTTTTTTCTTGGTTGCGTTCAGTACTACCTACTCCGTATTGAGCAAGAGCACCACTATTCAGTAATTCAGTTCTACCGCCTGTTTGGTATACGCAGATACATATATACGGAGTATAATTAATCTTCTCACGAGGGGCTTGTTCATTCTTGTGCACATGGGAGGAGTACCAGTAAGGGCCGTAAGAATGAGCTTGTGAACAGGGGAAGAAGGTCTACTGAGCTGCTGAATTCCTCTGGTACTGCCTGTTCCAAGTCGCCACTGGAGAACTCTACTCGTACTTGTCACGCGTGCTCTCTCTCTCTCTCTCTCTCTATGTCCGTTCACATTCCTTGGGTTTCGTTTCCGAGTAGCAGGGGCACTTTGGTACCTTGTGTATTGCGGCCCCCAATTCCTTTCCTTGCTTTTTGTTTTTGGCATTTTGCCCGCCTACCTCTTTCTTCCGTCCTTACTTGCTCATTCCTCTGTTGCGAGCAATTTGGATGTGTTGTACACCTCCGTACTCTCTGCTAAGTTCCCACGTATCCCGTAGAACTCGAAAGGCGCAGTTTCTTACCGAGTAGAGTCGGTCACTACAAGGATCGACAATTCATGACAAGACAACTTATCACACCGCTCCCTCTTGTGGGACACCAGGTAGCTGTACTTTGTGCAGAATCAAGATTTTGGTTGGTACAATAAGTTGAAGCGAGATCTTTTAGAAAATCCGGTATTAAGAATCCATGCATCTTTTTTTTGGTCTTCTTTCTTTCTTCCGACGAATCGAATTTTGAAGAGGATGAACGATCCATTAAACCCCCCTGCAGTGTTCGTGAGAGAGTGCATTTGTTTTCCTTGTGACCTTGTCCTAGACCCAGGGCCCGTACGAGCCTCTACCTAGAGCCCTGCGGGATTCATACCACTCGTAGCTACTCCGTAGTAGGGGGATACGAGATACATCCACTTCCCACCCGGCGAGTCGATCAGCTTTGCCCAACGTACGAGTACAAGGCAACATCAATCCAATTCACGTACGAGTATTTCCAACCCTGTTTGCCTTTGTCTCCCCCGGATGATTCATCCCCCGCCCCCAAAGGGCAAGTTTACCTCGTTTTTTGGTCCTTGAAGTCATGAGTGGCGAAATGCAACCAAACCAAAAAAGGAACACAAATGTCTTGGACGATCTCTGTTTCAGGTGTGTCCATCTTGAAGGTACGATGGTGTGAGGACGGAGTATGCCTCCGAATGAGACCCAAACCACACGAAGCAGGTATTGACGTAGATCATAAAGAATCAAGGAACGAGTGATCGTCCTTGCTTTCTGGTCTATATTTAGCCATGCAAACATCAACCAAAGGCGGTCCAGGCCCCTATCGACACAGAACTCGTTCGAAGTGACGGTGATCGTCAAAAGGCCCCTGTGAAAATGATGACATTGGCTCATCCCTCGGCCGTTTGAGCAATCCTCAAGAACCATGGAAATAAAGGCATGAATGGATGAGGACGAACGAACAACGCAGAGAAGGTACGGCGTAGTACGAGTACAGACGCACCCGGCGTTATGTCTAGACACTGTCACGATTGCCCAAAGGACACTAGCTACTCATCCCTACACCAAGACGTATCATGATATATCATTGCTTGCTTACAAAAGACCTTCACACAGAAACATGACGCTGTGGATAACGGAGTGTTCGTAGAAGACCACCAACCAGGAAACATTCTCATGCATTGGAAGTCATCTCGTCGGGCCCAAACCTCAACAAGCGAGACTCCCTTCTGCCTTCCATACCCGAACACAAATCCCTCGCCGGACCAAGGAGCATCTCTTTACCGTTCTCTAGGCTTCTGACATCACAGATCCAGCCCTTTTGTTTCAACCAAGCTCCCTGTTCTCCTTCCCAGAGATGTTTCCGCACCGCCGCCGCCGTGATGCGTCTCACGCGTAGGGCCTTGACACTGACGCCGCGGTCTTCCTTCTGTTCGTCGTGGGCACTGATCCAACACCTGGCCATCAGAGCGCGGGCGATTTCGGCCCCGCCTTCCATCCCGGTCATGATGTTCCCGCCCAAGAACCACGGGTTTTCAGCCCGGTCGAAAGAGTGCAACAGCAACGTGAGCGGCAGAGCTCCCGTCAGTCGTACGAGCTGATGTTGCACGTACGGCTGTAGGTCTGACAACGCTACCCCGTGGGGTGAGTAGATGACAGATATCGCCTTTGGGCGTGCGGGGGTGATGATGGGTGACGAAGCGAACGGCATGGACGAGGTGGAGCTGGAAAGGGACTTTTGGTGGTGGCGGGGCTGCGCCATCGATCTGCGATGATGTTGGGAGACGGGCGTAGGCGGAGGCATTCCTGATGACGGATTGGGGGAGTTTGGTACCGACGTGTTTACAAGTGTCGTACCGGGGGAGTGTGGAGGCGTCGGGAACTTGTTCAAGCTGAGAGGCGGCCTGTCGAGTTCAAACTGGAAAGGGATATCCAACAGACGAGCCCGGTCAGGCACGGTCACGGTCTGTCGTACAATGTCTTCGGCGCCGGACGTAGGCGTGATCTGGACGAGAGTGTCTTCCGAGGCAGGGAGGAACTCTGACGAGGCCGTGTTGGAGGACCTTGACAGGCGCGGCCGATGCTGAAACCGTTGACTGGAACGGTGTGCGTCCCGTGGCTGGTCAAAGGACGCGGGCTTGACACTGAGAGGAGATAATGGCTGGGCTGGAGTTGATGGCGGGAGGGTCATTGGACTCAACGGCATGTGGAAGTATTTCGTCACCTTGGGCAAGTCCATGGTCGCGATGGGTGCGAGAGATTTCGTCCGCGTAGGTGGTTGGTACGTGATGCCAAAAGCATTGTGTAGACCAGTCATGTAGTTTTTGGCGGGGACGAAGGAGATGTTGACCTCTCCTGGAAATCCTTCCGCGCCGAGAGGCGGTATCGACAGTCGAAACGACCGACCGAATTTGACCTTGGGGTCATACTTGAGCAAGCCATGGACCTTGTGAGGGTCGAAATGGGCCCAGCTTTTGATGACCTTGGCCGCCGCGGGTTCGGCGGCGATCACGGTCCTCGCTTCTGGCCGAAGCTGAAGCAGTGTTTCCTTGTGACAGTGGTCCGTCTTCTTCTGCGACACAACGACCACATCAGGTTCCTCGATCTCGGACAGGTGCCGTATCGCGCTGGGAACTGTATGTTCTGTTCTCGCGAACCATGGCGCGGTGACGATAGAAGGACCCTTTAGCCACGGATCTATCAAAACACTGAACGCACCTCCTGCGAAGGTCAGCTCGGCGGGTGAAGGGTTCGCCTCTGGGGAGAAGAGGAGCAGGAACGTCGAGTCGGCATTGAGATGTTTGACCGTGACCGACATGGGAGCATGAAGGTTTCGGGTTGTCCTGTATTGCACGAAGTACGGAGTACTGGGGCAGCTTTTTGCAGGCGAATCTACAAAAGCCTCATGTTGAACATGTCGAGCGGGCTTAGGGAACACAGCAAAAGGTGCTGAAAGCCTCCAAAAGACGCAATATCAGGGGCCGCAGACATGGAGAAGATGGTGTTACTCTCCCCCCGCCTGTGCCGTAGTGCGCAGAGTACACACAAGTCAATGGAGAGAGTGTACTCGGTACGAGTCTGGAGAGAGCTTCATCTCGTCTAAATATCAAGCACCGGCAAAGTGCCTTTGGTGACGTTACCACACAAATTTCAATGGCCAAGTTTAGGCGAAATTGACCCTGTCTGGACACGAGAAACAGCCCACTCCACATTCGGGATACGAGGTAAGGGTAGACCCGGTACTTCTGACGGAACAAATGGCAGTCTTAGCCGTACATACAACTTTTACCAGCTTGCTCTTGGGGGTCAGCCAATAGCGAGACTGCTAAAGTGACTGCTATGAGCCTCTCAGATAGTTTATGGCGGCTGGAGCCCTCGTGGCAACTGCAGTTGATTCAAGGTTCAAAAAGAGGCCAGGCGTACGTCGCCATTCCTTGCGTTTCGCCCAAGACCCCTTTATATCTCGTTCGTTCATTTTTCCGCCCCGGCACAGTCGAAGATCATTTTCCCGTCCGTGGAAGCCTCTCGCAGGCAAAATTCGTTTCGACAGGCCAATCTGAAAAGCTTGCTCATGTCACTCGAACCTTTGGATCGGACCCCTTTCCGCGCAGGCCTCCTCTACTCGAGAGGCCGTGCTTTATAATTTCGAGGCTTTGCAGTATGCAAAGCCCACCCTGACCTACGATGCCGAAGAAATTGACCCACAGCGCCTATGAGGTGGGGTGGATCTGCCCGATGCTCTTGGAGCAGATCCCGGCGTTGCAGATGTTGGACGAGGAACATGAACGGCTGGCTCAACCTGCGGGAGATCACAATGTGTATACACACGTTGGGAAGCATCCATGGCCACAACGTTGTCATTGCGGGGCTTCCCGACAATGACAACCCCTCTGCTGCCGTCCTGCTCACCTAGATGAAAATGACGCTCCCCAGACTCAAGTTTGGGCTTTTGGTTGGTATTGGGGGAGGTGTCCCCGCGAAGACTGACGACGCAATGATCAGGCTTGGGGACGTGGAGGTCAGCAGACAAAATGACCTTAACTCGGGCGTGGTGCAGTACGACCGCGGAAAGGCCAAAACTGCACATTTCGAGGGATTTCAAGCAAGCTGCACGTCAAAGGCCAGAGTATTTTGGCATCGACACGGACCAGTGTGCGCACCTCGGCTTGGGCAGATCTCGACTAATGTGGGTTACAGGACCCAACCAGTGCATGTTAATGGCTCAACAGGCGAGAACGTGGTAGCAACTCCGGGATAGCTGCCTCGGACGGTTTCCGAGAGTGAAAGGCTGAGACCTTGGTTCAATGCTTGGATCGTTCTCTAGCATCACGGAGCGAGGATGCATCAGCAGCAACGATTCTACAAAGTATGCCGAAATGATAAAGTTCTTGGGGTAGTGATATAGATACATAACGCGAAACGACTGGCGTATGTCGCGGTAGTAGGCGAAAGGACGTCGAAGTGTGGGCGCATGCGAATGTGTTAGTCAGCAAGGCTGAGGCATGCGACTGATGGCCGTCATGCGACAAACGCAGCCAGACAACCTGAACACAACATCGCTCATCCTCATACTCGACCAACACATGGCCACAACCACCTTCTCTAATTCATATATGTACCTCGTGCCACGCTGAATCATGGCTCCGGAAGGTCTGTGTCCTCGGTCACGGCGGCCTCTTCAAGGAATGATACCTGGACGTCATTGATCGTGACGGGACCACCAGCCAAAAGCAATGCGGAGAGATTCCTCGACCTCCCTCGACCTCCCTCCTCGATTTCATCCCCTGTGCCCGAATCCAAGCCGGCACTCTCCCCAAGATACCTTGGCTGTCGCGTGAGGCCTGTCGCCTGACAGTGAATCCCGGAAACCCTGGACGAGATCGTCGTCCTTCCCCCGTCGTTACACCGCCCTCTTAAATTCGACTCCGCTTCCTGTTGCCTGCAACGTAGATGCTTGGGACGCTGAGATCTGGGTTCGTTATCGCCATGACGAGCACTTCTTCAGCACGGGACAAGTGTACTTTCATAAACATCGGTCGGAAGATGCCGTCTCTTGCAGAAATAAGGTCATGAATACGGTCGGATTCGGTATCAAGGACCGTCCCCCCCAGATTCGCCCTGTTCTAACCAGAACCCCTCTACAAGACAATAAAGATGTAAACAAGAGTTGGTGGCTCAGAAAGGTACGGGATGATCCTTCTAAGGGCTAATGCACGGCGTGCCAGATGGTGTTCTTAGACAACAAGCGGTGCTATGCCGTCGAGTTGTGCGTTTTAATGGGGTGTTATTGCACAAGATGTTGTGAGTTTTGTGTAGGGCGAGCTTCGAGCCGCCAAACGACGACGTTTACGACCTTGCGACAATATGTGTATATACCCAAGTAGTGATTCAGTTGTAGTATCATAACTTCTTTTTTTTTCTTGTGTTTTGATACTCCATGGCCTTCTCCCTTCCCATGAGTGTAGGCGCTGGGTGAACCAGGGCATCAAGGTCCAGGCCAAACTTATCAGCAGCTACAATGGTCGAGGGAGGAGCTGGCCTGCTGATATGCGCCTTGCTGGATGCAAAGGACGGCGCTCCCTCATCTTTTCATGATGGCGACTTGACAGACTACAACTTGTTGGGGAACAATGGCGCATTCCTGCCGCCCCTGAACAAGCTCAACATCTCCTCTCCCATCCAGATTTTTCTCGACGTCGCGATGCCCTTTTCGACATCCGCCACCCGCCCGGCCTGGACCAACAGTCCCTTCCCGTTGGCCTCCATGCCCTGGCTCATGAGGTACACGACGGCCTCGGCGATCTCGGCCGGGTCGTTGATGGGCACGCCGACCTCGCGCATCCTCTTCGCCCAGTCGCGAAGAGATTCACCGGGTTGTCGACCCGAGATGATGTCCGTGAGCGTGATGCCCGGTGCGACGACCGAGACGGCGATCCCCAACGTGGCCGTGTCGTTCTTGAGTGCCCTCATCAAACCCACGATGCCTGTGGAACGAGTGACGACCGCGTGTCAGTTCGAGGCTGTCTCTTTGAGTGGGCTAGAGACAGAAGGGGCACAAGGGAGAGAGAGATTGAAGAGGTCGAGGTAGACGGAGAGGCAACTCACCATGCTTCGCGGCACTGTAAAGTGGCGCACCCGCACTCGCAAGGTATCCCGCCAGGCTGGCCGTCATGACTATACTCCCTCCCTTTGGCTTACCAGAGGGTTTGGGTTTTCGGATGTAATGGATGGCCAGCTTCGCCGTGTCGTTGGCGGCGTGCATGTCGATGTCCACGGTGCGACGGTCGGGTTCTTTGAGCAACCCGTCCGCGTCCATTTCGTCCTTGAAGAACTGGTCCTTGTACTCCGCCACGCCGGCGTTGACGAACACGGCGTCGATGGACCCGAATTTCTGGCGGCCTGCTTCGAATGCCCCTCGCTGAGACTTCCACGACGTGATGTCGCATTGCTGGTACAGAAACCGAGGCGACGACGTTAGTGACTTGGGTGCCGACGCGTGTGGTCGGGCCCGGTCGAGGACAATCACGTTGTTGCCGAGTTCATGTAGAAGGATGGCGGTCTGTAGACCGATCCCGGAAGAGCCGCCGGTAATCAGGACCGTGCTGTTCCTTGGGCCGGAGAGGGATTTGCGGGATATGCTGAATGCTTCGGTGGCCATGGTTGTGATGGTGGCTTTGTTCCCTTCGTCTTCTTAAGGAGTGATGTTGTTGTCGGCTGGTCACATACAGCACGAAGTGTTACTTCAAGGGGCAAGGATCATGGGCATTCGGCCAAGGTACGACAAGTACCTTGTGGTGGCGAGTCAGGGAGCGAGGTAAAATACATCTGCTGTACCGATCCACATCCCCCCCGCAATCCATATCAAGGTCAAAGCCTCGGTCCGCGAGGCTGTGGGCACCTCTCACCATTTTTTTACTTGGTCAACTCCGCACATACCAAGAGCTCTCAGGAGACCGACACAGATCAAGTGGATGTAGCACCACATGGCCCTTGTCAATGTATCCTCCCCATTGAGGTGTCTAATAGTGATTGATTCATTGTGCTTGTGCAGTATGTATGTACAGTGCTCTGTCCCCCAAATATGCACCTCGTCAAAGACCCGCATCGACATGCCCACTTTGGCATCACAGCTGAAAATTCATGTTGACCACCACTTTCGCGAGGACTTCCATTCTTCACATTTTCGACCTACGCCCCCTTCGCCAATGTATCTGATGAAACCGTGAACCTCAGCTCGCTCGCATGGCTACTTGTTCTCAAGACACTACAAGCATGGCGGTGTTTGCTTTGTCACACAGCCCAGCTGGTCCGGAGTGGTTATGCGCCAAACAGATGGTAGGAAACTGACAAAGACCTGCAGCGTGGCTCGACATCGCCAGAGACTAGACTCACTACGAAAGGCACTCGAGGAAGAACTCGAGTTGCCATTCGAACAATGCGAAAGATGTGGCTTGCTGAAAGTCAAGACTGAAATGTAACCGCGGACGATGCTTACACCTCCAAGAACAGCGCGACAGTCTTCACAGCCTACTCGAGATGTATATAATGGTGCAAGAGGACCGACTTGCAACCATGACTTGTCAATCAATACTCATTCAAACTCCTCAGTTGCTCCTTTGTCCGCACCCTCGTATTCCCACCTGACTTTGAGCCTCTCCGCCGCTCTGCCAGCACCCGATCCAGTCATCATGGCCTGTAAATTGCCAGATACACTCACAGCACTCCCGGTCGGTCTGAGAGAAAACACCATCATCGATGCCTACTTTGCCGGGAAGGGCACCAGTGGACCAAAACCCGACATTGAGGGTATGGGATTGTCGGTCAACGACGACAGATATCTCAATTTCACCATCAAGACGATGCAGGATCAAATGTCTGCGCTCGCCAGTTGCCTTACTGACACATTGATGGTGAACGCAAGATCATGGCTCTTTCTCGAGGTATTACTCAACCAATGTCGCGCACACGACTCTTGTCTTGTCACTTCACTCCATCGTGTTGTCTCCCTTGTGCTTGCTGACACACTCAAAACAACAGAACTTTGAATGGTTCTTCGGTCGATACCCGGAGCTGACCAAGGACGAACAGAAAGCTATCGAAAAGGTGCTCAAGCAGGAGATAGATTATGTAACCCAGTTGCCCCCGAGTGAGCAATTCATCACACCTTGGGACTACCAAACCAAGATCTTTCCTCGCAACGGGCTGAAACCGCGCTACCAATTGCCGGCGTTGCCTGCACAGGCAGATGCCAGGGCACGTTTCGTTCATCACCTGCGTGTCAACATGCTGGGCATGTTAATGTGGGAGGGCGGCCGAGGCGCTGACTTCAAAGCATGGTTGGACGGTGGCGCTCAAGGTGGATTGCCTCGGACTGCTCTGCTCAAGTAAGTGGCTCTCCAGAATGCGATGCCCCGTCTTGAGATAATAGTGTGTTTATGTGTGCACTAACAATCGCTCTGCTCTTATAGTTGCTGGGAACTGGTGTTCTACTCCGCGATCCAAAGTGGTTTCGTAGACCCGAAGGTCTTGAAACCCATGTACACGGACGGTGCTGCTTTCAAAGCTGCCTTTCCTGGTATTTCCGACTCTGGATCAGCTTTGTTGAAGACATTCGAGGCGATACTGTCACCACGTCTTGATGCGTCCAAAGATACTCCAGACCTGAGAGCTGGAGATATCATCATTTCCAACTGGGGTGGGAAAGCAAACCATGTCTTTGCCCTGGTCAGTCAAGAAAAACCCGTTACAAAAATGAGGGTGAGATTACCTTCTCTTTTCACTTTGTGTCTGCACTTACACAGTTGATCTTGTCGCTGACATACGTCACCTCATACAGGCCATCCAACTCTGGGGAAACAGTGGAGCGGGTATCACGTTTTATACCAAATTTGGGGACTTCTTGCAAAGGGCAGGTGCCTCAGCTCAGGCCGAAGACCGCTCATACTTTGTCTTGAGGCTTGATGCTTGATAGGACATGCTGTTATCTTGGTGGCGCGAAGGAGTGAAGAGCAGACTAGATCTTTTGCTGGTGAGATGGGATATCAGCCGGTGACTTTCATTGAGATAATCAAGAGGACAGCGAGGGCTGAGATAGATTTCCTTTTACATTAAGAATGGGCCATGAAAACATCTCGATCACAGTAATTCTGAAACAAGCCACGACTGGTCTACGCAGACGAAGCGAAGAAAGAGTCCGGGCGCGGTATCCTTGCATGTAATGCTGATGCTGGAGTTCGTCTCATGCTGGTCGCTGACTAAGAAATTGTCTTGGCTCTTACCAGTGTTTTTACTCGGCTGCTGATGATTTGAATTCAACTACTCGATCTCTTTCATCGACTCTCAACCACAGCCAAAGTCCTCGTAGGAGTGAGATATCTTTACCTATGTTGATCAGCATTTCCGTAACCTTCTCTTTGCAGGGGAATCAGTGAATGCAATCCAAATCAGTAACATAGCCTGGAAAGTGACCAGGTAGCCTGACTCGTGCGACAAAGGCATCGCCTTCTTTGTCGTCTGATGGTGGGTCAGATTCAGAGCATTCCTCGAGTCTTCCTGCTCTATAGATAGATTCTTTCCTGGTTTTTCGCCCATCTCGCAGCCGCTCACGCTGGCTTGATGGACCCAAGGAGTCGCGAGTTTGGAACCGCTCCCGTCCAGCCAGGTGAGCCACCTCCCGACACGGACAGTAATGCAACTCGTAAGCGAAGGAAGGCCGTCCTTGCTTGCGATCCGTGTAGGTTGCGGCATCTCAAGTGCGATGCTCTGTATCCTGTTTGTCGGCAATGTCTACGAAGACAGTCTTCAAACTTGTCATGCACATACCAGTCTCCCTCACTGGAGATTCTGAGACAAAAAGAGTACATCGCTACTTTGCAAAACCGGATTGAAGAGCTAGAGCGTGGGAACCGCCAACTCAACGGTCTGCTAACCTCTCCAGAGACCGGGAACAAGAGCCACGAGCCACGAGCCACTGCTACGCTAGGAAGTACTGAGCATGAGTTCGCCACCCAGCAAACAGACATGGCGACATGGGATCCACTGCAGCCACAACATCAGGGAGAGTCCAGCCCAGTGGATGCTATGGGTGCTAATTCGACAGTACAACCTGATGGCCAAGCACACGATAGCCGATACTATGGCAGCTCTTCTGCCGTGTCGTTCATGCAGCAGGTCTACGAAACCATCCCGAATGGCAATTCCTCAAATGCGCCGGATGGCTCAGTGAATCATCCGCCACTGCATCATCCGGATGCGAGAGGCTCGAGGTTCTGGACCTTAAAAGAACAAGGATTGTCGCCTCTATTCCCTCGGTCCCTGATGGACACCGCGTTGAATTCTTACTGGAATAGAGTCTATCCATTGTATCCTTTCATTCACAAGCCGACATTTATACAGTCCTACGAGCAATTATGGGACCTCGGAAGCGAACCAAACACTCCCGAAGCTGGACTCGGAGGCTCCGCAGAATACGGTCCCCGCAGCATCGTCTTCCATTGCGCGCTGAATGTCATGCTGGCTCTGGCGACGCAATTCATGGATATGCCACTGGACGATCGCCGCAGGCTGGAAGAGGCGTTTGCGAACAAGGCAAAAGACCTATGCCGACTTGACCTATTCGACGATGGGTCTTTGGCAGTCATTCAGACTCTCCTGATTATGACCCAGTATCTTCAATGCACGCCTCACCCCAACCGATGCTGGAACTGCATCGGGATAACCTGTAGGCTGGCTCAAAGCCTCGGACTACACATCGAGACCCCCCAAGTAGAGAAATTGACAGGGCCGTTTGCATTGGAGATGCGCCGTCGTGTATGGTATGGCTGTGTCACCCTGGACGCAGTTGTGAGCATGACGCTTGGACGGCCTCTGATGCTTGCTAATCCTGGCAATGTCCCTCTTCCTCAGGCCGTAGATGACTACTACCTAGAGCGACCAAACGGTCAGCCGTCCGGTTGGCTCTCAACCATGGCATTCTTCGCGGAATCTGTTAAGCTATATCTCATGCTGGGACAGATAGTGTCGCAAATCTACGCTCCGACTCCTGGGCCTTTGCGGTCGTCGCAAGCTTCGGGAAAACCGGCCAGTTTCACCAATTTCGGGGACTTTGCCTTCATTCAGAGAATGGACACCGACATCGCCGCTTTCGAAGCCAACATGCCACATTATCTCCACTGGGATCGAAGACACAGACTGGCGCCGGGGCCATTTGATGCCCACATCTTCAAGATGCAAGCGTCGGTGCTGTACGCTCGGTATTTGCATCTCCGCATCTTACTGTACCGTCCCATGTTCATCCAATATTGTCAACACGTATGTTCACAGGCGGAAGAGGATGAGAGGGACTCGAGGTTTCACGCAAAAGCCACCGAAGTGTCACTCATCCTCGCTCGTGGACTGTCAAAGACGTGCGTCGAGAACTCGATCGGCCTGGTCGAGCAAGTACATGCTCGCTCGACGACCACGGCGACAGGAGCCTGGTGGTACAACTTGTACTATGCGCGGACGGCGGGGCTCGTTGTGCTGATGGCAATGGCCTGTGATCCGATCATAGATGTTGTCGGCTGGTCGAAGTTGACCGAGAGCTGGAACAAATGCAAGGCTGCTCTTTCTGCCCTTCTGGTCTTCAGTCCAGCTGCAGTACGGTGTCTCAGGGGCTTGGAAAAGTTACACGAGCATATTATAGGCTCCAAACAGGGACAAAGACTGGCGCATGAAGAGCCGCTGCCGGGTAGGGATGCAGATGAAGATCCTCTTCATGATGCATGGAGCCGAAATCGTGAGGACGGTCCTCAATCTCACCTCCCAGATCACGACCTTGAGCCTGGCGCTGCTGCGAGCTTTCTGGATGATCTCGGCAGCTTGGAATGGCCGAATGAAATGGAGGCGAGCATGCTCGAAGGAATTTTCTCCTTTGATCTATTCGAATGAATCTGACCTTCAAGTATACGACACATCGCCAGCTCAAGGGAATAGTCGACAACCTCTCTCTTGAAATAAGGCCGAGTTTTCAGCGACGATGCCGAATACCACCATCAAGCTTGCAGTAAAAGATTGTTCCGACTCAAGTGTACCTCGGTAGCTGGGACTTCTGGGCTGGCAAAGTTACACTACGAAGCGGCTGAGACTTTCAAAGGAACAATTTCGACCTGCTTGAGCACTTCGATGTTCGAGCCGACCACGAAATATGCTGTGCATCCGGCATGGAAAGAATGAGGTCGTATTGGAAATCGCCTGTGCGACGCAGTATGTACAAGTACAAGTGCGGATGTACTCCGTAGTTTCGAAAGCGGTGCCAGCACAACGTGCTGTGCTCGTGGACTTCGGTTACCCACCTTTTCCAAGGAATTGTCCGTGGTCCAAACATGCCTCGTGGAACGTGGTACAAAAACCACCAGGGACAGAAAACGGTCTGCGGATGTTTTCTTGTTCTTCAGCTCATGCGTGGCGTAGGCAGGAAAGGTACTCGTACTTCCAGTGGAGTCAGGCTTTCTGTTCGCGAGCTCGCTCCTGTGATCGGCTCTTGAGGTGGAAATCTGGAGGAGGTTTGGAGTGTCCACATGCTGAGCTTACTTCATGAGAGGAGCTTGATATTCAGATTTGTACAACAATAACCGGAGCAGCAGCATCCACCGTCGTCATGGTCGTAACGAGTACGAGACTCCATCCGCCACACTTGTCGGTGGCGGCGCGGAAGACCCTTCGATGTGCGATGGTAGGACGAGGGATGACGATTTGCTGCGCTTACCCAAATACCTACTTATTCTTATGATGAGATAGTTGCTTACTGCTTTATAACTGGTCTCACCAACTAATTAGTACTATGCTCAACACTAGAAAGAGTGGTTCTCAACGAGGCTTTCGTAGCTGTTCCAGGGCTTTCTCTCGGTGATGCCCAACTAAAGGGTGAGCTTAGTCAAGGCTCCGGCTAAAGCGGCCTTTTGTCTCATTGTCTACGGAGCAGGATCACGCGGTACAGTGCGTGGCTTGCTGCTACTGAGAAATGGCTTCTTCGATTCTCGAGTCATGTACAAGACACTTCCGTACTTTTTTAGGTACCAATGCGGTTCCTGATGTGAAAAAGCCACCGCTTACAGTTGTGAGGAACGGTTCAGGGAGGGTCCACCAAGCCCAACAACGAGTCCGAACTGACGGGGGGGAGGGGATTACGGATAACGCCCGTTCTTCTTGTCGGTCTCGGGCGAGGAGAATCTTGAACAAAAAGATCTTCTAGAAAGCTCAAATGTGCACCTCGACTCTTTTTTAACAACTTCTGGCTCACGTTGTTGTGTAACCATGTGCCACATCTTGACAGGGGCATCGAGGCAATCTCACCGGTGCCTTGCATGTGCCTGTACTCTTAACCGTGTGTAACCCTCTCCTCTTCTCCCTCGTCTCTTTCTTATCTGTCCCTCGACAAAGGGCCAAGAAAGACCAGCCTGACGCCTGACATCTGTCAAGGCATCGGTTGGCGTCCAGTAGCTTTGTCCTAAGTATCCCAGTTGTACGTAAAAGGATGTCCGATGAAAATGTCGGGAGTGACTTGCTCTGTACTCAAGTGGCCAAATGAGTTCTCCCATTTGACGTCGTGATTCTCTTCTCCCGCTTTCCACTCTTTTCGTTTCTGGCCAGGTGAGTGGTCAGCTAATTCTACGAGGTTTTGTGTCTTGACTAGGATTAAGGAACTAAACTCATCGTAGCACTAATCGATACCTTTTTCTTTTCTGGTTTCAGCTCGAACCATGCTTTTGAGGCTTTGGGCTACTTCAACTTCGGCCCCCTTTGCCGGGGCGGGGATTGTGGGTAGTAGAGGAGGAGGAAGGCAAAAAGTAGCTGTTGTTTAGCCCAAAACTGACCTCGAGTCACTACTTGACTCCGGACATCAATCTATCAATTCTGATGCATGTCGTCAGTCCGAGACCAGCAACGATCGTCACACTGCAGATAGACAATCCCCCCTCCCGAATCATTCATTCCAACAAGTCACGTCTCGACGGTTCCTTTTTTGGCTCGTTACTTGTTCCAAGGTTTTCAAAGCCCGCCCGCAATCCTCTCAGTCAGGCAAGGAGCGACACACACACAACACACATTCCTGGCGTTCGCCCTTTCAAACCCGCCCACTCAACCCCTTCCCACCCATCCCTTTGTGTGACTTGATGGTGAGTGCAGCCGCGTTTCTCCAGGACATGTCCGTCACTCGTGAACCGGGCTGACTGAGACCGGAAGCACCTACTCGTCGTGCTTACAGTAAGTAGTGCGTGGAACATGCTTGCAGAAGGCGGACCACACCAACGGGCTAACGACCCTCTACTGGTTTATGTCAATTTAGTGTCAGATCGATGATCTTGTGTGTCCATCTAACCCTGCCTCTTGTACCTGGTGCGGCTGTCCCCCCTCTTCCCCATCCTGATGCCATGCCCGAACATGTGGGAGACACAAGGAAAGAAGAGACAAGACGGACACGAGTATAGTTACCTGAAGTTATGTCAAGTATGGGCAAGTTGCTCGTTTCCCCCATATAACACTCTCACGCGCACAACCCTTTGGATCAAAGATCATCCACCACCACCCATCATCGTCTTTGAGCCAACCTCCTCTCTTTCCCAATTCCCCATTCTCCAGTCCAATCCTTTTTTTTTCGGTTTCTCTTCACTTTGGTGATTGCTGGGTTCGATTGACACTGTTCCCTTAACTCGGTAAAGTTGTTGCGTCAATCGGTGCAAATCTTAGATCTACACACGGATGATATAGTAGCATCGCCACCAACAACGACAACAAACGTCGAACTTCGAACCATGTTCTCCTCCCTACCTTCGTGGCTAGATTGGTATCGCAAACCGTCCTACCGGGACCCAGTCGTCTTCTCGGCGTCCATCAGGGCAGATCTCGAAAATGGCCTCACTTCTAGACCGGGTTCCATCAGCTCCCAATCCGACTCCGCCATACCTTCCAACTTGACATTGGATCGTGTTCTCAACAACGATACATGTACGTTAAAAACGGTGTACCTATGTCGTATACAACCTGCCATAATGAGATCTGCGAAACAGCGTGGCTAATCATTGGTCACAGGCAGTCCGTTGTCACTCTACGATTTCTACATGTACCTGAAGCATATTGAACTCTCGCCGGAGAATTTAGAATTTTATATCTGGTAAGTCCATTCCATCCTCGTTCACCAGGCGAGTAGCCTGCATTCCAACAACAACAACAACAACAACAACAACTTCTCTCTACTAGCACTTTCCTTGGCTACAGTCTCTCTCCCTCCTCAAGCCTACATTCCAGCCAGCTTTCTCTCTTTTCAAGTCTGCGCTCTACCTATTCCACATACTCACTCTTTTTTTTCGATCGTCATAGGTTCAAAGACTACGAAGCACGTTACAACGCGAGTTCTCAAAGTACCTCCCCGACACAAGAGACACCTTTACTCGTTTCTTCCAAAGATGAGAAATCTTCTGGCGGCGGCGGCGGTGCTGGAGGACCATATGTCCCCGAGGGGTTTGGAACTACATCGCCGCCACCTGGAGGTGAAAACGACCTGACAACGACGACCACTCGGCTCCCAGATCTAGGTATGTTTTACATCTTTTTTTCTCTCTCTTCCCCCTTTGGATGATGAGTCGACCATAATGTCCTCAGTACCCAGTACCCATGCATGACCCATTACCCATGTCGCTACCGTCCAACCACGTCCATACTCCCATTCCCCATCACTTTCAAACATGGATGAATAAAATAGACCTGCGTGTTTGTGTATGTGTTTGTGTCATCTGTGACTGACCTCTGTTGGGTTTTGTGTGTGTGAATTATAGCATTCCAAACCTACATCCAAGACCTGGTGACGTCTCAAGAGTCCAAACGCTGCCGGCCCTTTTGGGACCGCAACAATTCCGACAAGACGCTCGTCCATCATTCCGGGTCCGGTTACAGTCGGCGCGAGGAACTCTCTCACATTGTCTCTCGGTACCTCACCCCGGACTCCCCTCGGGAACTCAACATCCCACCTGCGATGCGGAAACAGGTCGTGTCCTCGATCTCCCGGGGGGACTTTTCCCCCGACCCCCTCCGACCCGTCGCCGACCACGTCTACTACCTCCTCCGCAACTGTTCCCACCGCAACTTTATCCGGCTGGGCGTCAAGAACGGCACCTTTGAGACCCTGTGCATGGTCACCATCGTCGGGGTCCTCTTCACGGGCTTGGGTCTGTTGACCATGCTGCTCGTGGCCTTTGCGTCCCCCTCCATCCACCACTCCTCGCGGTGGCGGGGGTTGGCCTCCGCCCCGTTTTGGATCATCGGGTTTTCGTTCCTCTTCGCGGGCTGGAGGGGTTCGTGTTTCTTGTTGCTGCTGTTCTCCCGCCGGCAGGAGTTGCCCTGGGAACGCCAGTCCGACGACGGCAGCGTCAGGACGTCGACCAGTTCCCGTTGGAGCCTGGTCAAGTTTGCGAAGAAGATGATGATCTTTGAACGGAAGATCCGGGTCAAGGACCGTGGCCTGAGAGACCTACAGAGAAAAATCGTCATCCAATCCGTCGTCGCCTCGGTCGTCGCCACGGCCGTCCTCGAGGTCGTCTTCCTCGTCTTGCCCATTTGGAAATGAATGACCACTTCGCCGTCCGAGTACAACTACTGATGGACGACGACCTCAACGGTCCCGATCAACAACAGCAACGAATCGTACGCGGAACCATGACAAGACAGAGAGAGAAGAATTCTTTCAAAACATGACCAGAAGCAGTGATACCATTGTAACAACAATATATATTTCCATAATTTTATTTGCAGTACTGCAGTACACTTGGATATTTTTCTAACATGTACGTCATTTAATGAATGCATGCATCACAATTCATCTTTCTCCGTCCAGACCAAACCCCCCAGGAAAACCCTGAAACGCAAAAGCTTAGGATGCTTGATAAACTCTGAAAGCACCGAACTCCCAATACGCATTCTGGTAAGCGCTGCCAGGTTGGTTGCTCACGTAATCCACGCACGTACCAGGACACTTTGACTGCTCAGTATAATACTTTGGTTGGCCCGCCCAGTCACCACAGAGATCGATGTTGGCGATAATACTTTGGTTTCGGAAATGACTCCCAATGTCGCAGTCTGTACTTGGGAAATCGGCCAGTGCCTGGGGCCAAGTGGAGGGATCTGGTGTGACACTAGTTGAATTGGACGGTGACGTGGTGATGTCGTTTGGAACATTGTCACGGTCAAAGAACCACACTCGGATGCCAGCATCCCTGAGTTCCATTGCGTAGATACCTCCACCATTGTTGTTGAATTCCTCTCCGAATGTCGCCTTGGATCCTTGAACACCACAGCCACTATCTCCGTCGGTCGAGTTCAGGCAGTTTGTGCTCATCGAGTGGCCGATCTCCTTTCGTTTGACATTCATCTTACAATCCTTGGTGGTGTGAAGGGTGACTTGATTCCCGTCCGGTGCAAGATTGGTCGCTTCCGCCACATCAATTTCGCCATTCGTCGGCCAGTTGGAAGGATCCGTCAGCCACAACGCTGGCCAGGTCGAGCAACCATAAGGTGAGTGTTTGACATCGAAAATGAACAGTCCATCGTTGTAGGTGTTCTTCGACGTCACCCGCACTGATTTACGGCCAGTAGTCGTGTCAGTGTCGGAGAGGTCGACTCGGAGGATGGCAGATGTGGCGGTTGCGTAGGTAAGGTTCAAGGCGACAGACCCTGGACCATCGACGTAACTGATAAGACAGGAGAACATTAGTACACGCAGCGTAAGAGACTTCCAACGCGACGAGTTCGAGCCACACTCACTGTACAAATCCCGCTGCAGGGTCGTAACCGGTAAAATAGTCAAAGTTGTCGAAGAAATTTGTCCCCGAAAACGTATCGACCAAATTGTATTGGAGTTTGGAGTAGTTGGGATAACGATTCTCTCGAGTGACCACCACCGCAACGACAATGACTATGACGATGACGATGATCGAGACGATGGCCAGAATAATCCAGCATTTTCGAGACCAGTTCTTCGGGTTCCGTCTCGAGGTCGACATGCCTCTGTCATAGAATCCCGACGACGTTTGTTCCGTGGCCGCCGTCTTGGAAGGATAGTAGGAAGATCTCGATGGTGTATCGGGCGGCTGCATATATGGTGGAGGTTGATTCTGGGAATATCCAAATCCTGATTGAGACCCATGGCCAGCATAGGGGTCCCCCGAATGGGCAGCGGCAGAAGACATGATTGCAAAACGATATTGATCTTCAGCCAGCTGGACAAAAGGCGACCAAGACAAGGAACTTCAAGAGCAAAAATTCAACAGAAGGACGAGGTGTGTGTGTGTGTCGATGTTGAGTCTCTCCAGAAAAGAAGCGGCTAGAAGTTATTACATAGAAGAGAGAACTTGGGACGTTTTCCTCATCAAAGAAAGGGAAAGGTTGACGACGACGCGCGATACGAGTACACGGATCAAGTCTCGAAAAAAGAAGTGGAAATCATCCTCGACCTACATCAATCTGGGAATCTCTAACGGAGGCGAATGCAAGAGCCTGGTGTTTTATTGACAAGCGAAGCAGGCACTGGCGACTCACGTCCCTCCAAACCTCATGCAATTGCGAGTCGCAGATTGGTTTGCGGGTGGATTAAGGACGCGTAAGATACGGAGTAGTTGAGACAAGAAAAGGAGGATCGATGAGGAGATTTTCGCCCATGGACTTGACTATAAATAGAAGTGCAGACATGTGATCTTTGATCTTATCTCTGAAATCTTATCTCCAACCTTTTCGTATCCGTATCGGACAATCCCCTAATATCTAATCACAAATCTCTCATCAGCATCAATGACAAGCCCCAAGATGCTCTTGGAAGGTACAGACTGCAGACGGAGGCTTCACTCCCAAACCAGCCATGTACAAGATAATGCCAGAATTGATTGTTTTCTTCTTCTGGGTTTTGTGTTTGTCGGCGCGACACCATTGCTTGCAGATCACAATTTACTGGCACCCTCCACTCCCGCAAACCATTTTCTCGTGTTCTCCCCAAACAGTTCCCCGCGAGGTCTCTCGTGCTTCGCGTCGGTGTCGATGCAACCGGTGTACAACACGACCAGGCCCTGAAACTCGGGGTTCGTGAGGTAGACGGGACTCCCGCATTCCCCGCAGAAATACCGACTCAGCTCGTTGCCACTTTTGGTGTTGCCGTCCTTGTGACATTTGATCTTGTCTTGGCCAGACAGAAAGGTCAACTGGGACTTGAGTACTCGAAGGTTGTTCGCAAAGGCTGAGCCTGTAGTTTTTTGACAATTGCTACAGTGACAGAGGACGGTGCCGCGAGGTGAGCCGGTGACTGTGTACTTGACCGCCTGACAAAGACAAGAGCCCGTGATTGTCGTCGGGGGCGGTGACGGTTTTTTGTTACTAGACATGGCGGGCTATGTGTTTCTTGGGAATGGTTTTTCCGGACGGAGCTCGTGGGATGTGATGACTGCTGTCCCTGTTGCTTTTGTGTCCTGAGATTGAAATTGTCCCCTTTGGATGCTGAAGATTCACATTGACCCTTTGCTGTCTTGAAGGCTTAATTCCTCGACGTCAATCAGAAACCTGCGGGGTTAAGAATGTTACTTTTAACCTCGGCCCGGGTGTTTGACGGCGAAGCTTTTCTCCGGTTCCCGGGGGTCGTTGCTTGGTACAGACCACAGGTTTCTACTCGCAGCTCACACACAATATGTCGCACGAAACATCACCACGGACCTTCGTAGATGAAGTTCTTGCCGATGTCAGCAATTTCCTCACGCGAGCCACAGGTCCTTTCCATTGGACAGATTGAGGCTCCCCAAAACTTCGTCTCTTCTGCCGTGGAAACTCGCCCATAGAGAACTGCCATTTCACATTTGCACCCGGCGGTGGCTTGGTAGTGGATTTCACTCTCTTCGTCTTCTTAGTGTTGGCCGTTCAATGGCATCGACATATACATGCAGGTGAACGTCCATTTTTTCATCAAAGCGGACGTGCAAAATGGCTTTCAGTTTGAGGAACGACCATGCCTTGATTCTCCGCTGTTCGTGCCGGAATGCTCTCACCCACTCAATGGGGCACGAGTCCGAAATCGACAGGTTACTCTAACTCCGCCTTTGATGGCTACTTACTAGCCATTCTCCTTGCACAATGACCTCTGCATTGCTTTCCGCCGTCATTCTATCGTACTCTTGCGCTATCCATGGAGCGGACGAATTCCCGAAGGCGCAAGGCTGTCCCTCCCGTCGTCGAAAGCATCGGCAACAACTCTTCTGAGCAGGAAGTTATACCACCACAACCGAAATCAGCTTCTGTGGGCTCTAGTATCTGGGACGTTTCACGCCGACCATGGACCTGTCGTCCTGCTTATATGATCGTCATCCTGCTGATTTTTGCCATCACCGGGATATTGCTCGTTGGCCGACTTCAACCTATTCTTCAATTTGTTAGCACTACTGGATATCTAAGACAGCATAATGACGCGCCAGTAACCGTGCCAGGAGACCTACGAGTCATCCTTCATCCTGAGGAGCACGTCAGCCGTCCACCTACGACACTGGTGTACAATTGGACAATCACAAAAGGTCACCGGTGGCCAGATGGTGTAAGCAAGGAGGTATACCTCATCAATGATCGATTCCCTGGCGAAACCATTGAAGCTAGACCCGGCGATCGTATCGTTGTCAACGTTGTCAACCAACTCAGTCATGAAGGTCTCGCCCTCCACTGGCATGGGTTGAGAATGGTGGGTGCCAATGATATGGATGGAGCAGTCGGCCTGACCCAGAATCCAATACCAGCAGGCGGAAGTTTCCGGTACGAATTTTCCATCGGTGAAGAAGAGTTCGGGACTTTTTGGTACCACGGCCACGAGAAAACTCAGCGAGATGATGGATTGTATGGCGGACTTGTGGTTCACCGCCCCTTTGAGCAGCGCGACGAGCAAAACCACTATGGTTATGATGAGGACATTTTACTCATGGTAGGCGATTGGTACCATCGTCCAAGCCAAGATGTCTTGAGCTGGTACATGAATTCGAGATCATTTGGAAACGAACCTGTACCGGATTCTCTTCTGGTGAACGGCATCGGCAATTTCAACTGCGAAATGGCAGTACCGGCAAGGCCGTTGCAGTGTCTTGCCCCGGACGAGCGGTCTCAAATTCCTTTACTGCCGCTCATGAATGGCAAACGCACTCGCCTGCGTCTTGTCAACACGGGATCCTTAGCTGGATTCTCGATACAAATAGCAGGTGCTAGTTTGCTGCCATTTCAAGTTGACGGTGGAAACGAAGTGATAATGACAGAAGCCCACGGCATTGGCATCGTCTATCCTGGGGAGCGAGTCGATGCAATATTGCAAACTCGATCTTTGGATTCGCAATCCTTTATCGAGATTAAAATGGATGACGAAAACTTCAAATACCCAAACCCGGCACTCGAGCTTAGGCAGATCTTCCCCGTTCAGATTATGTCCGACACCAACATTGATGTGCGGTCGTCTCTATCTGTTGTGGATTACTACAACCTACAGGCAGCCAAAGCAAGTGCAAACACGCGAGTTGCTTTCTCAGAAACTCCTCTCAAATTTGTCATTTACACGACTACGCTGAAGTTGGCAAAGCACCACAACATTCCTATGGGATTCATCAACCACACGAGCTGGTCACCGCAATTATCTGGTCCATTGATATCCATCTCGCGTTCTCAATACGACCAGAATCAGCTTTCGCCTCATATTCCACTGTTTAGTAAAGACAAAGACGAAGGCACAGGCCACAATGAGTCTGATGGTTGGGTGGAAGTCGTCATCAATAACCTGGACGATGGCGGTCACCCCTTTCACTTGCATGGATATTCATTCTATATCGTGTCCGTCTTCCCTCGACCACCAGAATGGACAAATAAGAAGCCCCCTTTTACGCCGGGAGGCTCTAGCATGTACAACTTCAATCCATTCGCGACAGCACCGCAAGATTCGCCTGGTGGTGAGTACAACTTAGTGGATCCGGTCATGAAAGACACCGTGTTCGTGCCTCAAAGGGGCTATGCAGTCATACGTTTCCAAGCCGACAATAAAGGCATATGGATGCTGCACTGTCATGTGGGTTGGCATCTGGGAAGTGGAATGGCTATGAGCTGGGACATCTCGTAGTCTATCTCACATGAGCCGTCGTCCTGCATGCCGCATCTCCTGAAAATTTACACTCTGCGTTCTAGCGCTGACCGAGGATCTGTAAGTCGAAGTTCAGATATACCATGGCAAAATACATACAGCAAAGCAATTTCGAGACCGACTTCATTAGATTTGCGACAGTCGATCCCTCTCAATGGAGTGGAACAGAAACCCTGAATCCTGAACCCTGCGTCCATCTCCGTCAATCACACCTACAAGCGAATAATTATTGACACCGTCACAACGTGCACCGACTAGTCAAGCTAGGTCGACTACTACATTGCAAATCTTTCCTTGAAACAAATCGCAACACCTTCGTATCCTGCAAGATATCATACTATACCTGCACAATTTAAGTTGCATGCTGCTGAGGAGTACTACGGCATGAAACCCGTACCCAGATCATTGGGTGCTAATCCAGAACGACGAGGTTAGTCGAACTTCGCAACACAACCTCAGCTACTCTTTCAGAGGATGGCGACCACGTGCTCAAAGCTCTACATTTCGTTATTATTCGGATCTCCTTGATTGGTTGCACCTTGCTGTCGAACCAATGCGAGAGGAATGGGGTTAATGCTTAGCTGGACCCCATCCGACGAGAACCGGGTGATTATATAGGATTTTGTTTCGCCTCCGATTGAACAGACCACAACCGAAGAGCAGATACTGTCAACAATACCGCCAGCCACCATGATCAAAAGAGCTCTTGTTCTTTTGGCCACAGGCCTATTGGTCACTATGGCTAGAGCGGACTCGTTAGCAAGCATCGATCACCTTGTGCTTTTTATGCAAGAGAACCGGGCTTTTGACCATGTGTGTTCTGGTCAAAACAGAGATTGATGCGAATTATCAGCTGACGAAGACAGTATTTTGGCACTATGGCTGGCGTCCGTGGGTTTTCAGACCCAAATGTTCAGGTCAATCCGAACGGAAAATCGGTGTGGTATCAGTACGTCAGTGTAGACAACACCGCGAAGATACTACTGACATGTCCATAGACATGTCAACAGCAGCTTGACGAATGATACCGACTACCTCTTGCCGTGGTACCTCAACTACCTCGGCGGTCACTGGTTAAATGCCACGCAGTGCATGGATGCTGGCTCGAATGGATACGAAGAGAACCATCTCGCATACAACTTTGGGTTGAACGACCATTGGGCTTTGAACAACACACCCTGGAGCTGGGGTTACTACAAACGAAGCGATTTACCCGTTCAATTCGCCCTCGCAGAAGGCTGGACAGTTGGTGACATGTACCAAGAAAGTGTTATCGCTTCGACCAACCCCAACCGCGTCACCTGGGTCAGTGGATCAATCAATGTTCCAGGGTCTCCTCAAAAAGCAGACCAAGGTGGCGTTTATATTGATAACCACGAAGTGCCTGGTTGCGAGTCACCAGGTCTCAACTGTTACCCTTTGTCCTGGACAACCTGCCCAGAGGTATATCAAAAGCAGGGCGTGACGTGGCAGGTCTTCCAGGACTCTGACAATTTCGATGACAACCCACTGGCATGGTTCAAACAATTTCAAGAAGCCAAAAATGGCACCGTCCTGCAAGAACGAGGCATGTCCTACCTCGGCCTACAGGACTTTTATGACCGAGCGGCCAACGGCACTCTGCCCATGGTTTCCTACATTATTGGCCCGACTGAACTGTCAGAACATCCTCCTTACTCTCCTCACGACGGAGCCTGGCTCCAACAGCAGGTGGTGGATGCTGTGACAAAAGGTAAACACTGGAACAGCACCGCTTTGATCATCAGCTACGACGAAACAGGTGGCTGGGGCGATCATGTTTCCCCTTACCACTCTCCCAACGGAACTGCGGGAGAATGGCTCGAAGATCCGTACGGACTCTTCGGGTACACCTTCTCCGGTCCCGGATTCCGCCTGCCGTTCTACATCATCTCTCCCTGGACCCGAGGCGGGCACGTCTTTACGGAAAAAGCCGACCACAATTCTCAAATCATGTTTGTGGAGAAATGGTTGGCCGCAAAGGGTTACGATGCAGTGACTGACCAAATCCCGGCGTGGCGTCGAGCACACATGTCCGACTTGACCGCCGCGTTTGACTTTTCTTCGCCAGACACTTCCATCCCCTCGATCCCCTCGGCCCCTGCTCCCCATTTGGACAAGAATGGCATCTGGGACGGAGCGTCTTATTGCGAAGCTCAATACGCTGTCCAGCGTCCACCTGTCCCTTACGCGAACCAAACCGAAGACAAATCGCTCATCTCAGAAAGGGGGTTCAAGGCAGTCCGCGGGTACCTCACGGAAGGGCGGTTCTTGACCTTTGAGGCCTCTGGTTACGCATTGGCGAACACGGGCGAGCAAGCAATGACGATCTCGACCACAAAGGCCACAACTTCCCACTCGGACATGGCGCAGCGTTGGGTCATTCACGAGACGGCCACAGACAGTCGCCTCTTCACCATCAGCAGTGCCGTGGACGGGAGATATATCGGCCCTCAGATGAAGCTGGTGATGGCCAAGAATGATGCGCTCGCGCACAACATTACCTACCTCGGTGGTGGGAAGGGGTACAACCTGGTCAACAGCAACGGAAAATACATCACCATTGACAAGAATGGAAATGTTGTGATGGCCATGTCTGGAGGACAACAGGGATTCTCAATCTATAGTGTAACTTAGAACAACAATATCCCTGAATGGCCAGGTTGAAATAATGAATAACTCCTTGGTGTATTACTCCCAGGTATTTTGGGCCATCAATGATTTTTCCACATTATCCTCGTCATCTACAAACTGTGTCAATTTATATGATTTCTTTCCCCGTCGCTCATTCATTCTCAACGGCCGTGACGTGGCATCTTCAAGTTCTCCCCCAGGGCATGCTCAGGTACAGCAACGGGATGTGTTGCTGAGACCCGTGCGTGTCCGTCTCCCCGAACCCTCCGGACACGGCCGGCCTCGCGATGGTCGCCTTGTAGGCCATGGCCTGGTCGAAGAACAGCGAAGCCGTGACGTGGTCGTCGGGCACCGAGTACAGGCCCGCGACGGTCTCCCTCGACAGTTTCCCCGAGGCCTTGACCTTCTCGTAGACCCCCTTGTCGTCGAACATGACGTCGAACGTCAGTTCGTACGGCCCCGAGTTCTTGCTCCGCAGCACCGAGGCGACGTCTCCCAGGTAGCAGGTCCCTTCGGCCGGTTCAGGCGTGAGCCAGTATTTCTTGTCCGATTCGGGTTTTTTGACCTTGGCAGCGCCGGCTGATTTGGCCTCGACGATGGGTTTGGGTGGACCTAGACTCGTCATTAGCATTGGAGGAATCAAAGAAGCCATGTGACTTTGAAACAAAGTGAGTCATGTCAAACATTGTATCGCGAGTTTGCATGATTGATGGTCAGGATCAAGACACACAGAAAAAAAAAGGCAAAAACTTACGTGGTGTATGAACATGAGTGTTGTCCCCTTCCGCCGTCACGACGGTTATCGGGAACAGGTCGACCGGGTCGACCTTGTGCATGATGTGGTAGACGCAGAATTCGGGGCAAGGGCCCATTGGGATCTCGCAGGGCGTAAAGGGCCACGCAAAGTTGCCCGCCGTGGCGAGTTGCCCCGCGTAGGGGGCGTGCGTGAAGCCAAACTTGGCCATGGTGGCGACCTGGTCGGCCTGGTCTTGCGTGGCGGCGCGGGCCTGCCCGGCGATGAAGATTTCCTTGCTGCCGCGGGCGTGGTCGGGCTCCAGGGGGCCCATGACCCCGTTGACGCCGTACCGGTGGATCTTGAGGTCGTAGTCGTACCCAAACGCCTCGATCCTCTCGCGGACGTGTGTCTCGATGAATTCGATCCACGAGTCGAGCTGCTGGATCAGGATCGGGTCACGCACCGCGCCCAAGAAGATGGTGTGGTACCCGTTCACCCTCGCCCCCTCGAGCTTGACCGTGTACTCGCCCTCGGGCTCGGGGACGAACCGGGCGTCGGCGACTCGGACCGACCGGCCGTCGTCCAATTGTTCGTAGGTCGTGCGGTCGAGGTGAAGGGCCCCGCCGGGGCCGTGGAGGATGTCCGGCCGGGTCTTTTCGTAGAGGAAGTGAGACGCGACCGACAAGGTCGTACATTTGGATTTCGGGTCGAGAGGGTGGATGTCGAACGAATCCCGCCGGATGACGGCCAGGGCCTCTCGAGACTTCGGGATCGAGCACTGGGCGCCGCACTCCATGATCTTGCCCATGGAGTACGCGACCCCGAGGTCTTCGAAGCCCCGGAACAGGCAGAACGCCGCGTAAGGGGCCGGGTCGTACGCCCTCCCTCCGATGACGATGTCAAAGTCGGGGGTCTCCTTCATGGCCTTCAGGTACGGCTCGAGGCCCATCTGCGCGACGATGCGCGTGCTGCTGTCGATGTCGTGCTCGGTCAGGTCGGGCACCCCGCCGCCGCAGGGGCTGATCTCCCCGGCCTTGAACTTCCGGTGGATGAGGTCCTTGGGGATCTCCGAGTAGATCTTGATGATCTTCAACGGCCGGTACCCGTTCTTCTTCACGGCCTCGGTGATGATCTCGGCCGCCTTGTCGACGTGCGCGTTCTCACCGTCGCCTCCGATCGATCCGATCAACGAAGGGACGTTGTAGAGGTGTGCGGCTTTTGCAAACAGCTCCAAATCCTTCGCAAGTCGGCTGTAGGGAACGTTGGGAAGTCCCAGCGCCAGACGTCCAGGTCCGCTGTCGGTCGAACCTCCATCTGCGATGATGGCGTCACAGCCAGCTTCGACCGTGTCCCAGAAGATTTCTTCGTTGAACCCCTGGCCCAACTGGCCGATGGGGGTGAAGATTTTGAGCTCGTCTTTGAGCTGGGCTGACGGAGACATGGTTCCTTACAAACACAAAAGATCCTATGGCTCTGATAGTCTGTTGATTATTCTGGTCTGGATTGTTAATGTGCCCGTCCTAATGGAATTAATCTCAAAGGGCAGCCAGCTCAGGTAGAACTGAAGGGCGGTCCAGGCCCCAGCATGTGTTATAAATATGAAAAGGGCCACATTCTATGGCAGTACGAGTACTCCTGTAACAGGGAGTACCTCGAGACATTTTTCCGATATCCGCTCGACTTCCTATTCTCGCGTTTGCCGCGAATAGGGATCGTCAAATGCTGCAAAGTAGATAGCGGTCATCGGGGTAGTTTTTGTGGGGGAGGACACCTTTCATGTTCAGAGAATACCAACCGAGGCCGGATGGCAAGGCTTCCGTGGAAACTCCTTGTGGTGGTAAGCGATAATGAACACGCCTAGCGTTTTGATGGACAATTTGTGTGTGTGTATGTGCAAGTGTCGCCCACAGAGAAGAAGGCTGAGTTAACGACGGAGTACGGGGGGGGGTAAGAATCCCGGTCAAAAGTACTCTGTAGCCCACAACAATACTACCTACTCGCTTCGCGCTCGTCCATTTGAGGTCGAGACGCATCTGGTGGCTTGTCGCAATAGAATGCCGAGTCGGCATGCAGTCCTTTCCAGGTGTGGGTGATGTTCAAATGACAGGAGAGGACGGAGTAACAAGATCTGGCGAAAGGTAGCCCCTTTGTACTAATGCCTCGGGGGCATTGCGAATTCGGAATCCACAAGCCTGGAGATGTTTTCAGCCTCGGCCGGGGTCGCCAACAAGCTTCATGTCTCGCACCACAGCTTTAATTGTTCGACATGGAAAATTGAAGTGGTCATAAGGGGACCAGAATCCCAGTGTCTTCGGTCAATCAATCATGCGATGTTTTTGATCGTGCAATTCTTTCGCCGCTTCTCTTTTGGCTGGCATCTGACAAGCAACTTGGAATGATGGACCTGACCACACCAAAGGGCAATGAGCGTGTTATGCGACTATCCCAAGAGACGTCCAGAGTAGACCAGTGTTATTGATATCATAACGAGGCTGACATCTTCACGTGGCATGGACCAGTCACTGGACTGGTTCTTTTTTTGCCTAAGACAATCCTCATGCTATAGATCACTTTGGGAGTTTGTGCCTAACAGCTCTGAATCTATGATACATACACCGACATACACCGGCCTACACTCGATGAATACAACACCAGGTCAAGACACAATCAAGGATATCATCTCGCTATGCCCGAATATGGCATCTGCCAGGGACACTCGCGGCTTTCGAAATCTCGAGAGAAAATGAAGCCAAATATCAATGATTGCTGGAGCATGTACAATTGATAGTCATGATCCCAAACTAACCAACATCTCTTGATGGTCCACATCGGGCTTATCTGAGTCATGTACACATCCTTGATTCTGTCTACTAATCATCACCAACACGGCCCCGACACAAATTGTACTTCACGAACCAATATCCACTCAATAAACCACTTCTCTTGACACTCAGATGGACGTCCTCAGATCAAGTCGAAAACCTGAAATCGGGATGCTCAGTACCAAGCTCTTCAAACGTCTTGTTCCTGTTCGCGATACTGTCAGGATCATTCTTCCTGGCCTCCTTCAACTTGTTTTGCCTGGTGAACCACCACATGTTGAAGATGCAGGCTGGGATCATAACGATGACGACTACCATGACGATAATGTTGCCCTTGCGGTAAGGCGGCTTCGTGTCAAACCCTTGCAATCCGCCTAGAGCACCAGCCTGGGCGAACATGGCAAGGAAAGCACCGGCGGTCGCTCGGTTTGTCCACTTTCTAGTGTTGAACGCAAGCCACACTTGGATCAAGCTGGCGTTGGCGTACTGGGTCGCCGCAATGAAGCACAATCCGACATACCGGCCGGCGATGTTGTGCGGAATGGCCGCGAGCATGATGTACCCGGTCAGGGACAGGCACGCCGCGCCCAAGACAAAGAGACCTCGTTTCTGCGTCTTGTCCGCCAGGTATCCGATACCGATGGTACCGACGAACGCACAGGCGTAGATGGGGACCGTCATGAGCTGCGATCGCACCGCGGTGTAACCCAGATCGTGGATCACGGCGGGCAAGAAGCTCGCGAGGCACGCGAGGCCGATCTGACAGCCGATGTACATGACGACGTAACCCCAAAATGCCGGGTCTTGGAAAGTTTGGATGAACTCCTTCCACTTGAACTTGGCGTTGGGGGTGTTGTTCGCCCTCCAGGTGCGGATCACAAGCAGCCTCTTCTCCTCGGCCGTGAATCCCCATCTGACCCTCTCCGGGACAGTGGGTAAGAGAAAGACGCAGAGGACGCCGAAGAAGACAGTAATCGACCCTTCAATGATCAAGATCCATTGCCAGGCGTAGTATGGATCGGCATTGCCGATGTCTTTGACGATGCCGTACGCGATGAGTCCATTGAAGGCGCCGGCTAGCGTCGACATACTGAAGTAGATAGCACCTCGTGACGCCAGGTCTTCCGGCCCGTACCACATGGAGAGGTAGAGTGAGGCGGCGTGAATGTATCCTTCGCCACAGCCGATCAAGATTCGAATTCCAACAGCCGCCTGCCATGTCTTGACGACCGACAACAGCATCGTCATTGCTCCCCAGAACATGACGCCTCCGCCGACGACAATCGGAGGGGAGAGTTTTCTCAGTTGAACGGATGCGACGAATTGCGTGATGACATAGCCAATGTAGAACAGGGACACCACTTGTGCCCATTGGTGGCCCGTGACGCCAATGTACTTTTGCATTCCTGCGGTCTGCACGTTGCCGATCTAGACATTGGTACATGTTAGTGGATGGACGACCAAGAACAGCCCTGTTGCTCTGATGGACGAATATGAAGGAGAGGAAATGAACGGGAACAGAGACGTGGTACAATGTCCAATGTGTCAGAAAGTTGTATGCTTGGACTCACATCCGACTTGTCCATGGACCCAAGTAACATGACGACAGTGAGTATGGGCAAAATCCACATATCCAACTTCAACTTCAGACGCTTCATGAGCTTCTCGTCCTCGGGACTGACGACAGGTCGACCATTTTCGAATTGCAAAGGTTTCCCATCGGGACCAACGGGTCCGTTGGCGGCAAAGGAGCCCGCACTTCCCTCAATATGTACTGCTGCCTCTGAGATGGCTGCTTCTTTTGCACTGCTGGCATCTTGGATGTCCAACGACATGACCCGATCGACTGTCCCTGCCATGATGTTTGACTGACTCAGAATAGGGCAGCTCCTGGGATCAACCAAAATGGCACGAGGAAGAGAGAACGAGAGAGAGAGAAGCCAGGAAATGGAGCGGGAGCTGTAAGATGATTAAATAAACGAAAGGAAAGTTCGTGTGAGAATGCAAAAACGCCCTTGTTACGAGAGGTCGACTAGTGGATGTCCCTTTAGCACCCCCGGGAGACTTGGTTAGTCTTGATCCAGGCCTGTTCTGGGGTTCCCCGGATGGCTTTATGGAGGAGGCACTTTCGCTGGTTCCTCCTCGTCTTTGATCCTCTGATTGGGTCCCAGGTTTGCGGACTCGCAAACATCCATGCAGCCTGATGGTGTGGGTTTAAAGCTCCACAGCGGGATCGCAATGGAATTGTCTGTTCGTGCTGTACAACAGACTGGTGGACTCGCGTACAATCAGTTTAAATTCGCATCGACTGCAGTACTCGTAGGGCGGTGCCCACCACGGCAAGTGTCAACTCGCCTGCAAATCTGTGCGGTCAATCTTTTCGCCGTTGTATTTGGAAATTATCAGTCGACTTCGGCAAAATAGAACGATCGTTGAACCGCATGATTGTGGCAAACAGCCTTTCCCACGGAGCGTCCAGTTGCACCACGAGGGTTGAGAACCGAATGAGTACAGCTGGGAAAGGTGCTAGCTGTGTGGACGATTCTCTGGCCTAGTCATCTTTGAAGGCTCCGAGCCTCAGGGCGGGCATTTGGGGCTCATGGCAGCCTGAAAGTGTCTTCGCCTCCGACGACTAGCGATGGTGCATCTTTTCAACAAGCGAGATGTCGGCTCTTCGCAAGTCGGGGATTGTACCGGTCACTAAATCGGTACAAGAAGACGCCGTTCCTTGAGTATTTAGAGCCCAGACTGCTCGTATCTTTTGCACGAAGGTGTTTTCGACCGCGATCAACACGATGATCGATCCCAGTGAGAGTTTTTCTGCCTTATTTGGCCTTCACTTCCAGGGGGGTTAGTACTGGTCAAAATGCAGTACTCAACACGATGTACACCTGGTCCTTTCAACTGGCCCTAGCACAGCACCAAAGCCAATATGGTCATAAGTGATACAATCGCAGGCATGGTAACTGCGTACTCATCTAAAGAGAAGGAAATGAATTAACATGAAACGAGATCTTTGTTTTGGACTCCCCACCTGATCGGAACGGATACCATTGATATTAATTTGCAACGTCCCCGAGCAGCCTTCGACGTCGATGGAGAGGAGGTGAAGGCGAGAATTGAGGGGGAAACAAACGAAATCACAAGCAGGCAGGGCCAATGGATGTGAATGAGGCGTACGAAGCTGTGGTTGAGGTTACACTGCCAGGGCGTCAGTTGCAACCTTTGCGGCAGTACCAAAGAAAGCAGCCCCATGACATTTGACGTTTAGGGGTCAGCCAGGCATCAAGACTCATAGCCGCAATCGTTGTGACTCGTTAGTTGGTTCATTCAGGTTCTCTTTTCCCTTTTGAAGAATTTAACAAATCTCTTGCAACATGTTACACACGAACACAGGGGGGTATGAAGACATGACTTTATCGCAGATGGGCCATATTGACACAGTCGAGGCGGAAGAACATTCTCAGACCAGTCCTGCTAGGCCAGGCCAAGCCTGTTGCGCCTGATTTTTGGTGGTGGAGGCGCGTTTGGCCTATCTCTGCGACTTTACAAGCATACCCCCTGTGTGTTCAGAGCATCTGTCGAGACCAAACTCGTATTCGAGGCGGTCAGCACCATCCATTGCCAAACGGTGAGACTTTGGGCTCTTCCTGGCCGGGTATTGCCTTGGTAGGCTGCCGCCTAGTAGCTGGACTTCTTAAAGGACCAGATATCCTCATAGCCGTAATGCAATCCATCCATCCTAGTTGCGCCAGACCCATTTTGTTACTCACTGGAACATGGATACCAAGATGCCTCCACGACCAGCCGTGTGCACACAGTATCAGATTCGACACTCGTGTGGCCACTCGGTCAACAGCAACTTCGTCAGATGCGCAAAGCATGCAGCCCAAGAGGACACAAAATGCGCCAGCGGTGTCTGGGAGTATAAAGGAAAGGGAAAATCCGGCCGCAAATGCAGGAAATGTCTAATAAGTGGTTAAGTTACGGCGAAGCGATCCTGAGTTGAGCTCGACTTAGTCAGGGTCGTCCCAAGGCTGACCGTTGCTAGAAGTATCCACGAGACCCAGCTCCAGTTTTCGCATGTCTTCCTCCTTCATGGCATCCCAGCGTTTCGAACCACCATTGTCGACCGGTGCCTTGCAGGCATTCTCGAAATCAATGAGTCGGACACCAAGTTTCGTGATGATGATGTTGTATTTGTTGGGATCACCATGGATAATCCCCAAGCCATGTAGTTCTCGCAAAGCTGCCTTGCACTCTTCCAGATCACCCAATGCAGGTGGCCTTCCAGATACCTCTTCTAGCAAAAATCCTACAATTCTTCTCTCCGCGCCTTCAAAAACATACCCCAATAATTGCGGACCAAGCTTGGACTTCAGTCTCGCTAGATCATGGTAGACGCTGAGCTCGGTCTTAATATATCGCAATTCGAATCCGAATCTTGCAATTTTGAGATAGCAAAAGGAAGAGCCGTTATGAACATACTGGACTGCATCGTTTTTTCTTTTGATGACACGAAGGTCGAAGATGTTAAAGAGTGGATAAGATTTGAGGATGTGCTCATGGGAGAGGGCATGGGCCTTGAAATTGTCCCACAGACAGTGAATCTGGGCATCGCCATGACGGTCATCATTGATGGTCTTGTAGAGCGTCAAGGTCGTCCAATTGTCATCTCCCCATCCTTTCAGTTTCCCCAGATCTCGAATGAGCTCGTATTCTGCAGTTCTCGACTCCTCGGGTAAGATGGTAATGTCCGTGACATGAACGTAGATGGCTCTCTTCACATTGTTCTCACTTCGTTGAATTCTGTACAGTGCATCCTCAGGACCAGGATCGAGGCTCAAGAGAGTGTCTCGCGAAGTCATTCAGAACGATGGTGCAGGATGGCTGGTTTGGCAGTACCTTCAAGGCGACAACTTTTTCAATCAGAACATCATTCATGAACAGATGAGCCTATGTTAGGTGAGATTAACTCCATAGGGATGCAGGGAGATGAAAGAAACCAGTATTGAATAGATTGAGAATCAAGGGGCAGGTGGCTGAGTAAACAGGGATATCAAGGGGTTCTCAAACTCCTACAAACTCGCCAAGATACTAAACACCTGAGTACTTAGTATATCGATTCCTCTCGATAAGGAAAGTGTCGCGGAGGTTCGACAGGATCCCGCATTGGCATCGCAATGGTCTTTATCTGACTCAAAGGATAGATATATTGTGACAGTACCTGATGCGTACTGTCGGCTGTACCCCGTTGAGACTGTCATTCGGGAATCGTTGCCATTTCTACGATACGTGACGAGCCTCGTGACCGGCAAGCGGAAAAGAAGAAAGGAAAAGCCGCAATGGCTATAGAACAACAGCATGTTGTTCAATTATTTGTGTTATTGCCGTCTTTGAGGAGTGGAAATAATAGACGGAATCTATCAACTGAAAAGCAAGTACAAGACAATGACCTTTCACCCGAGGCAACCGTGTGACAAGCCTTCCCCAGGGAACCATTCGCTAACATACTCAAGAAAAGAAAAGAAAGTTCTGCGTCGATACACAAGAGACTGCAGATCTGCTAGCATATAACTCTCTCAATGCCCTCAAAGTCACTATCTGGAGCTTCACCGTGTCCGTAGTGTCCTAAGCCATGATGAAACGCTCACTGAAGTCAACCGGATGTTCTGATTCGTCTGGGTGGAAGCTCAAAGCTTTGTCGAGCCAGCTCTTCATGTTCTCCTCGAATAGTATCATCACATTGTAGTCGCTTTTGGTAGATCCTCCCTTGACTGGGGAATTGTGTTAGGTTCGTTGAATTTTAACAAAGTAAAAGGGAAAAATGTGAACTTACTGATGCCATGGACAGAGACCTGGTTCTCTCTTCCATCGACGCCACCATTCTCACGAGTGCAAACCATAGAGCCAGATCGACCGTACCAAGCACTTATACTGATAGACACTTGATATGTCTGTTCTTCTTCTCCAGTCGGTGCGAACTGCTCCAGTGTGCCGAAGCTGACAGTTCTCTGACTGACTGCAAGGAATTTCAGGTTGGGTGTAGTGGTCGCGTCGAACTTCTGTGATTATAGAGTCAGCCTCGAAAGACATCATAGCAGGTTGTACGCACGTATTTTTGGTAGATGTCAGCTTGAACCTTTGAGGGTTGTCGCAAGAAAAACGCCTTCCAGCTGGTCTGGAGCTTCGACATGTCGTTACTGAGATTGTATCCCACTGACCACCACAAATCCTTTGTGCCTAACTTTCCTCGATCCTCTGGAGTAACGAAATGCATCTGGTTCCAGTTGATCACCTGCTTTTCCTCATCGTCTTCGGTTTTTTCTACGATGCGGAAGATGGCGAGATCCCACGGACGGTGAATCGCGATGAGTTGGAGGTTGAGCTTCACGTGTCTAGAGTAGTCATCCGCTTGGTAGAAGTCAGTATTATGTGTGACTACCAATTTCAAACGTACCGTCCTCCTTATCAACCATGCGAGCTTGCAGTGCGATGACTGGGTGTTTCTCCATTTCAGTAAATGCTCGGGCTTTCTCATCGAAATCTTGCTGGATACTGGGCCATGTTGCGAAGTGTGCACAAGTAATAACGACATCTACTCCATCCCGACGCAGCCGAAAGCCAGATAGTCGCCTAGCAAGCTCGCGTGCATTCTTTGGAAATTCCAAGCATACGGCTGCCAAACCAGGTTTCATCATAGTCTTCAGTTGCTGTTGAGGCATAAGTCAGCTCCTTGCGATGCGGGTTAGGGTGATTCCTTTGAGTCTCACCTTCAGTCCACCCTCGTGCTTGCGAATCTCTCTGATGTCTGGTCCGTCTTCCTCAATAATACCCCCACCTTCGAGCTCATAGAAGAGAGATAGTTGTCCCGCTCCGTGCTTGAACGCCGTCACTCCCGAGTAATACCGAAGCTGAGGAGGCGATTCACTGTCGGGTGTCGTCCAGGGGACAGGCTTTTGCGGAGTTGTATCCATAGCGCGATGATCGACCCAGCCGAGCGAAAGCCAAGTGTGAAAGGACGACTCACTTTCCTCGGTGCAAGCTGGCTTGTGTGGAGGTGGATTATGTACTTGGGTATCTTGATAGTAGGGCTCGGACGTTTGTGTCAGAGTTGGAAGATTTGAGGGTGAGGGTGGCTGCGATGAAATAGAAGTAGTTTCTGCGGCCATGACTGCTAGCAGTTTGATGGCAAATAAAACTGGGCTTGCGTTTCTTTATCCCAGTGAAAAGGGTATGAGTCGTACCACTGCATCTGTTTGAATGAAACCGTCACATTCAATCCCTTTCTCGGCATGCTTTGAGGCAGATTGAGGACTAAGGAAAGGTGTGAAAAAAAGGAATCTGGTAGTGATGGTTTGCTCAGATGTTGAACTACTTATATACACAAGCTTTGGTCGTCATGTTTGCAAGTCGCGACTTGGCAAAATTATTGCCACCTCGTTCGCTTTGCTGCCCACAGTGAATGGTGAAAGTCCTTGCCTGGATGTCGTCAAATCCTAGTGAGTATCTGTTTCTGTAGCTACTTACCCACTGTGAATAGCAGTGACCAGAATGAATACGAACGGAGTTGCCTTTTTCCGAAACAGAAGCGCCTGTCCAACCATTTCTTGAAAGAGAAGATATACGAAAGCTCACTGATTGCATGGATCATTTCAGTGACCTCGAGATATCCGACAGCATTCCAGGGGAACAGCCACATGCATGAGATAAGGTCACACGAATATCGCATGGAGAGGATAAGTTAGATTGGCGAGGTGGATGACTTTAGTGCAGCATCGGCCACAGGGATGAATCTGTACTAGTAATGATCGAATATTATACAGATTTATGGATGTTTTGCCCTTCTTTTGCCACATTCGAGAAGCTCTTGAGTTGCGGTCTTGCGGCATTTGTTTGTGTTAAAACCCACCTGGTCATCATTCGGACCTTGTTGAGTCAGCCAAAATCATCTCGGACGCGGTGTCCACGTTAGGCTTGTGAGCGTACTCGTCTAGATATCGGCTTGACATCGCAGGATGGGAAACAAGAGCATGAAGGCCATTGGGAGAGACCAGACCCCTTGCAAGTGCGTCATTGACCCTGGAATGTGTCGTGATCGGACCTTCTTGAACTCGGTGTCATTGGTGAGAGATTTAATCAAGAAAGGGAATCTTTTCGATGAGAGATTGATGTAGTTTGTCAAGCGAGGTTGCAGGCCTTGAACTGATGGAGGTTGAGTCTTCTGGTACTCATGCACAAGGGGTCGTGGCCGTAGGAGCTGAAGTGGGGGCCAAATACGTCGCTAGTCTCAGGTAGGAAAGTGGTCTTGATTTGCACGATTCGGTCGGTCTTCTGAGCCCCGAAATTATTGTAGTAGTAGGCAATGTGATGCTTATTTACCTTACTTAGACGTAGTACGAGTTATCTCGAGGTCGAGACGTCCAGAAGTGCCCAAAAGTGGCTCTGTGCCGTAATTTTCTGTTTTGTGATCCTCAGTATTGTGTCGATCCACAGTCCCTTCATACGGCGAAAGAACTCGCTTCAAAGAACAACGGTCATTCGAGGAGTTCCATCTGCAAGGCTACCTCACACACACACACACACACACACACACACACACACACAGACTTAAGCTCAATCAAGACGACCTTAGGAAACTACGTTGTTGAGTGGAAACATTGTGTACTGTATCACCTGGTGACACGCCACAACAAACGAGAGCCTAGAGAGGATGATCCCGGTCGATGACCCCTGTCCAAGATGCTGTCTACCGATCTCCAGACCAGAAACATCCATCCAATCATCAATGTCATCACCATAAAAGTCGTGAGTGACAATGATGATAACGAGGAAGATGACTGGAGAGTCGGCTTCGTTCAGTTGCCTCCCACTATTACACTACATGCATTGCCACCGTTGCATGCTGCACTCTCACTCGCTCCGTCCAACGCCTTGAATCACCCGGAGACGGTCTGGTCGCTTTTCCCACCCCATCGACCAGCGTCTCCACTCTCTTACACGATCACCGACTTTTCTCGAGCTTCTAAGCCTTCTCGCTCAACGAGTACAATATCCTGGTCTGCTTTTATTGGAACCTCTGCCAACCATCGGCCAGACTGTTCTGTTTATCATTGAATCCATAACAAGCTACCTGCCTGTGGTCGGGGCTCCTCTTATCCGCCTTCACTGTCCGTTTCTCCTGAGGATCTCCCAGTGTTGTAACAGTGGCAAACTCTCCCCGCCAGCTCCAGTCAATCGGAAAGGCTGCTGTCCAGTGAAGTCATCATGCAATAGCAACGGTAAATGACTACTCGTACCTCATTCACGTCAACAGCTACACGGATAATCCTGACGCCAGCTGTCACTCTGTACAACCACAGATCCGGGTAGGACCATTCCCCCCCAGACGTTGCCATCTTCTACATATATGCTTCCCCCTCCACCTGCCAGACCCTGTCGCTTCTACGATACCTCAATCCTCATCAGGCAGTTCCTGCGTCATATTTATTTCCCCTTCTGTGTCTCTGTGTCGAGACACCCCGAGCTTTTCTTCCTTTTATCCTCACCACAACTCAATCATTGAAGTACACACTCGGGGGTGAACTATGGAGAAGACCACAGATTTCCGAATTGGCTCTACGAGTTCAGAGTCGCCGGACCAACTTGCACTCCACGGCGACGAGAATGAGATCAACATCAACAAAATCGAGGCAAGTCTAGCCCGTTCCTTGCTATGCACATGTTCGCGTATTCGATCGGACCTACTAACTGTTTATCTATGTCCGCCCAGGTTCGTCAAGGCTCTCGCATCAATGAAGCCACCGACATGTACGGCGACATCGCGACGGCCGAAGAATACGGCTACGTCTCTCGCGGTCTGAAGTCACGGCACATCCAATTCATCGCTCTCGGCGGCACCATCGGTACTGGCCTGTTCCTCGGTATCGGCAAAGCCTTTACCCACGCGGGACCTCTTTCTGTCCTCCTCGGCTACACCTTCACTGGTCTCGCCGTCTTCGCGATGATGATGTCTCTAGGCGAGATGGCGACGTGGCTACCACTCCCCGGCGCAATCCCTCAGTTCTGCGCGAGGTACGTCGACGACGCCATGGGTTTCGCCGTGGGTTGGAACAATTGGTACAACTGCGCCATCACCTTGTGCGCAGAAATCTCGGCCGCCTCGACCGTCATTCAATACTGGCATGGAGCACAGGACATTAACGTGGCGGCGTGGATCAGCATCACCATCGTCTTGGTTCTCCTACTCAACATCTTCGCCGTCTCGGTATATGGCGAGGCCGAATTCATCTTCGCCTCGATCAAGATCGTCACCATCATTGGGCTGTTGATCCTCGCGCTCATCATAGACGTCGGCGGCGTGCCCGGCCAACACCGTCTAGGTTTCCAGTACTGGCACAACCCGGGCGCCATGAAGCCCTACATCGCCGGGGGCAACACCGGCCGCTTCTTGGGTCTGTGGTCGACGCTCGTCAACGCCGCCTTTTCGTACGGCGGCGTGGAAATGGTGGCGGTCGCGGCTGGCGAGGCCGAAGACCCGCGGCGCAACATCCCCAAAGCGGTCCGCCGCGTCTTCTGGCGTATCCTGTTCTTCTACGTCCTGGGGACGCTGGCCATTGGAGTTTTGGTCCCTTACAACGACGACCGGCTCCTGGCGGCCATCAAGAACGGGTCCGCGGGCGCCGCGGCCTCGCCCTGGGTCATCGCCATCGTGCGGGCGCACATCAAGGCCCTACCGTCCATCATCAACGCCGTCATCCTGACCTCTGCGTCCTCGTCGGCCAACGCGTTTCTGTACACGGGCTCGCGGTACCTGTACGCGCTCGCGCAGAACCGGCAAGCCCCGAGGTTCTTGTTGAGATGCACCAAGCAGGGCGTGCCCCTGTGGTGCGTCCTCGTCACCTGCTCGTTCGCCCTCTTGACGTACATGTCGTGCTCTTCCGGCTCGGCCACGGTGTTCCAGTGGTTCCAGAACCTCGTCACCATCACCACACTCTTCACCTGGGTCAGTATCAATGTCGCCTACCTCCGTTTCCACGCCGCCCTGCAGGCGCAGGGCATCGACCGCGACACCTTGGTGTTCAAAGCCCCCTATCAGCCCTACCTGAGTTGGGCCGCCTTGGTGTTTTTCGGTCTCATCATCCTCTTCAACGGTTTCGACTCCATCGCCGGCAAGTGGGACTACCAAACCTTCATCACCGATTACGTCGGTGTCCCCATCTACTTTGGGCTCTACCTGTTTTGGAAGATCCTGAAACGATCACGTTTCGTCGATCCCGCCGAGGCCGATTTACGTACGGGAAAAGCCGCCCTCGACGCCGTCGTCTGGCCCGAGAGACGACCCAGAAATTGGTTGGAGAGAGTTTGGTTCTGGATTGCCTAACACGGAGTATCACTTAACCGTCCTTTGAATATGTATCCAGTGGGTCCACCGTATCCTATATCCTCCCTAAAATAGATGCCTCCTCCGTAGAGAAAACCAAATGGAAATGACCCACGAGATGCCGGAGTACATCGTACACCCATTGTACCAAGTTGTGCGGATACGTGGGACCACAGGTACTATCATACATAGCCAGGTGTTCACGAATTCGATGGAATTTGCCTTCTTCTCATCTACTCCTAATGGCTTCTTTTATGAAACCGTGCCATAATACCCCACTGACCACCGTTATGTGTCTGACTCGATCGTAAGAATGGATCTAGTAGTAGGACAACCAACCCTCTACAGAGCAAATCTGGACCAACAACAAGAGATATATTTTTAAAAGTGCATTTCACTTCTATTTACTTTTCGCCAATGGTCTAATCAGGGTATATACACTACACAAACAGCTGTCAAGCTGGTTTTTTGGCTACAGTTGTCATCTCATAACACAGACCGAACTTTCTGACACCCCGGTCTCACGCAGCAGCAGGATCGCTCCGATGGTAATCTTGATCATTGACCACGTCTTCCAATCCAGTCTTATCGTCCCACTGATGCTCGATCGACCAAGCTATCTCACGGGCCTTTTGGACACAATCGTTCACCCCGACCGCTCCTTGCCACCAGGGCCCCGCAACCTTGAGTCGTCCCTGGAAATCCCTGGCGAGAGCTTCGTGGATCGTCTTCATGCGGCCGTGATAACCGACCGTGTACTGAGGGATGCAGTCGCGATTCAAGCGCGCCTTTGCGACCTCGGGGACTTCATTGATGCCAAGATGCCGTTTGAGTAGACTTTGGGCCATTTCGACGGCCTCACCTTCGCCCGGAAGTTCATCTGGCTTCCAGCCTGACCACCAGTGGCCGCCCATCATGACTGTGATTTTGGTGCCGGGGGCAGTGTCTTGACCCTGACCATGCTCCTGCTCAAAATCTTTCAGCAATTGCTCAACATGACTACGTGGTTTCTCAACGCTATTGTCCGTTTTGTTGTCGACGTTGCTTCTCTTGGTCTTGGTTTCTGCGCCTGTGGAGTCACCGCCATTGTTCTGTTGAGCCTGTTCCAACTCCAATGATTCGATCATATACCTCAGCTTCTCTTCTCGAGCTTCGCGCGAGTTGCCAGAAGTTTCAGAACTGAAAATGACGCCGAGAGCACGCTCTGGGTTCTGTTCGTAAGGCACCGAACGTGGGATCAGATATCCAAACCCTGCATGTGAGGGTGGGATCAAACTTGGGTTGCTGTAGTAAAGATTCACAACCATGACGCTCACGGCGCTTTTGCTGTCCGTGCAAGCTGAAGAGACACTGCCGTCGGTCTCTTTTAGGGAATCCCGTATGGTGTTTGGCCCAAGAGTGGACACCACGTAATCGTACTTGGTGTCCACTAAGCCTTGAGGCTGACGAGAACATTCTACCTGCAAATATTTTTCGTCTCTATTGAACTGGACACGTTTCACATGTGAAGATGTCAGCATCTTGACATTGGGATTCTGTGCCAAGGCAGATTCTAGCGAGGTGGTAAGTTCACCCAGCCCTCGTTTGAATGTGTATACACTTGATCTTCTCAATAGAGACTTCAAGGCCTCGCGTTTTGGCTCGAACTCGCCAGACTGTTCATGTTGTTCCATCATGAAATACCTAGCCATCCTGCCAGGGATCAGCATCTCGCGTCCGAGTCCTTGAAGTACCATCTGCACCAGAACTCCGAGTTCGTTTCGCGGCTCATCACCTTCCAGATACCACGCACTGGACAGTAAGGTACGAGCGCTTAGCTGATACAAATCGCCGGCGTAGATACCATGGAAGAAGGCTGAGGCTATGTTGTCTGCGATGTTCTTACCGAATCTTCGTGTCAGAAAACGACCCACGGACTCGTCTTCAAGAATAGAACTTCGGGGTGAAACAAAGGTTTCCCCCAAGAGGCCAGACACAACTCCCTCATGTATTGGTTCGGACCACAGCGACCACAGCCGTTGAATCCCATCCCATATGCCTGGAACAGGGCCGGGCATCAGCACAAGGTGATCGGGATAGTATATGAATCTGTTCAACGCAGCGGGACTTCGTTTCGAAATGGCAATTACTTGCTGCGAAAGGCCGAGGTCTAATAGCTGGAAGAGAACTGATCAGCTGGCGAACTCCCGAGGCGCATTGAAGATCAAGTACCAAGTCAACCGTGGCCCTTCCAGAACCTGTTAAAGCTGGTCGTAAAGTCCTGGGTCCCCACTCGAAGAGCACCTCCCCATCTTTCACCTCGACTTGCTCTGAGTTAACCCACCCACCAAGTCCATCATTTCTTTCGTAGATTGTGATTTTCGCATCTGGTATGCGCTTGGTCAAATTCCAAGCGGTCGTGAGGCCGGTCACGCCACCACCAAGTATAGCAATGTTTCTGGCGTTCGGGTTTGGAGTTTCTCGAATCGGAGGGTCTGGATCAATGGAACGCGAGCGCGAGGTAGGTGTAAAATGGCGAAGAGAATGGCTATGCCTTGATCGAGGCCATCTTGGACGGATCACTGCATGTCTGTACACTGCATTGTGCACACCCAAGCTCATCTCAAGGGCGCAACACCGCGCGGTGCATGCGGGACAGGTCTCGAAGATAGGAAATTAAGAGCTTGATAAATAGGAAGATCGACTCGAAAGAGTCAGTAGAAACGATTGTCCATGGACTTGAACTGAGTACGGAGTAGCTGTACTGTAATTATCGCCCTGCGGAGAAGTCGTTGCATTTTCGTGGCCGCCGTCGGGAAAATGTTCTTCCGAGAGAAGAGATTCCAGGCATTACAGGACTCGTAGGTAATGATGATACCAATAGTACTCATACGAGGTCCCTCGCAATCATTTTCATGACACCATAATGATGGTAATATTTGGACACTGTCGCTCGCTAGTTCACAGCAGACGAAGTTGATTCTGGCTTTTTACCGGTACATGGGGTCAAAGTCTTGCACTCTGGTTTGCGGTCACTGTACGGAGCATACGGCTCCCGTGGTTATGGTCATGAACGGGTCTTGCAGGTATTGGATAGAATATATGTAAGGCATAGACGATATGTACAGTATTCGGCTCCACCATTTACCTACCTGAGGACCTCAGTTAATTCGCCATCATCTGTGTCACCGTACATAGCCCAAAACATCATCCCATTCATTCCTTGCTGTTTTGCATACTCTCTTTTCAGTCCAATACTGTCTGGGTCATCGTAGGAGATGATCTGTGGATCGTTCGTGGTGTTGTTATCGTCAGTATAGATATAAGGGGTCTGGGTCGCGTCGTCGAATCCGTATACCCATCCCGGGCCAGCGCGATAGCTGCCATCGGGTTGTTGTTGGACGACATCCTGAGATTTGAGGTTCCTCCATTTCCAGAATCCGGAATTTTTATTGGGGTCCTCATTGCTATCTCCGGATGATTTGTCAGAAACTGGACTGTATAGTCCTGTGGCTTCTGGGTTGCTTCCCTGTAATTCGATCATTCAGTCAGCGAGCAAGTCCTTCCTAAATGGAAAGGTGAATATCCAGATAAACTCACTTCCGAGAGGAGGTAGCCGTAGCCGTAGAATGGGACACCTGGGAGACCAAAGTCAGCCGAACTAATCTGCAAATGTGGGAAGGAAGGAGTGAGGCTCTTTGCCTTCAGGGCGTACCATAGACAAGTTTACTCATTGGGAATCCTGCATCATGCCATGTTTTGACGCCATCATCGCCGAATCTCTGGTCTTGAGGCACATCGCCGTTGCGGACCAAGGCCGCGTTTGAACCGGCAGTATCGTCGCCATTCCACAGATCGTAAGCCATGAGGTAAAGCCTATCAAAGAGAGGCACAAAAGGATGCATGTCGACGGGGACTAGTGTGCCATCTGTCCCATCAGGTTTTTTAAACACATACATGGGTACTGCCGCAGACAATTCGGTTGAGGGCATTGCTGCTCGCAGAGCTGTGAGCATCTGGAGGTACCCATCGGCGTCGGTAACAAGTCGAGGTTGTGCTGGTTCGGGCGCGTCGTGTAAATTACCGACAAATTCCCAGTCTGTCTCCCAAAAAGGGGTGGTGTTAGCTCGATGTTATTGAACGAGAAAAGCAAAGGGTAAATGGTGCCATGTTACCGATATCGACCCCTGAAATGCCATACTCAGACACAACGGCCTCTACTGATTGCACAAAGGCGCTGATAGATTGGTTGCTCTGGACAATGTCGGAGTAATACATCCCTCCCCGCCCCCATCCTCCGATACTCAAGACCAATTTGACGCCATGCGAATGTGCTTGCACACTCAAGTAACGAAGGAGGTCTGTGTTGTCTATACTGATGGAGTAGTTGTTGTTTACACCATTTGTATTGGCAAACGCGAAACATAGGTGGGTCAGGTACTTCCATGGTATATTTCTTGGTGGGAAGATGTCGGTGTTTCCTGCGCCGTAGTATGCAGTTACGGTGTGGTCTGGCCAATCGTCTGGGTTTGGTGTAGGGCTTGAGGAGTGCGAGCTGGTCGAGAGCGTTGTGGAAGTGCCGATGGAAGTTGTGAAAGTGGATACATTTGATGTTGAAGACGGGCTGGCGCTGGTAGTGAGCGAGGTCCATATATTGCTGGAGGTTGGATTAGGGCCACCGGAGGAGATTTCAACTGAAGACGGCCAAAACCAGCCTGAACCGGAGCCAGATTGACCAGATTGACCAGATTGACCAGATTGACCAGATTGACCAGGTTGACCAGGTTGACCAGGTTGACCAGATTGACCAGCTTGACCAGATTGACCAGATTGACCAGCTTGACCAGCTGATCCTTGAGCCCCATCCACGTCAACCTCATCCCAAGGCTTCCACCACGGAGGAGGTCCCGATCCCCACGGTGGACTGGAGGCACCCTGAGCCTGTGAGCCGGAGTCGGATCCGTCATCGCTAGGACTTCCTGCAGCAAGCCACCCTTGCACGCCAGGCCAATCAGTTGGCACTGGGACATATCGAGTAAAAATCGAGGTCCGTACCACCGTAGAGACTGTCGGAACAGTAACTGTCACAACAGACGGTGGGCCATCGAAGACACAAAGATCAACATCGTCGCCACGTCGTTGCAGCTCGACCTTGGCGTGAGGGTGACCTCGACCGGTTACGGACAGGAGGGACAAGAGGAAGAAGGATAACATCTTCTCGTTACGTGCATGGGTCCGAAAGGAGGACGATGCCCGCTGGAGGCCTCACCTGTTTATAATGCTATCGATAAACCAGATACAACATCTTCCTGGTGGAAATTGTTTCCCATGGCGTACCGTCTGTGCATTCTTTGGCGGTGCTGAAGTCGAGTCACAGGGGTTTGTGCAACAGTTTAACGGAGGAGGTAATTCGCCGGTGATCAAAAGCTTCGAATAATCACTTACATTTTCCAAGGTCAATATATTTGCATGGTCGAGCAGAATGTCAGATTATGGGAATTGGCCCAATTAGATATCCTCAGCAAATTTGTTCTGAGCAAGGTTAGGACCTGGCAGGCGACGTTTGCAAAGGCTGGCCTAGAGCCCATGTTATTCTGACAATCCTCGGCAGAAGCCCAAGGGTTCTACGACTGAACAGGCCTGGCGTCGAGAGAGGAAAAGAAAAGAGTTAAGGATCGCAAGCCGAAAGGAGTTTAGGATGTGCCCCCGGAAATTGTCAAAGGTTTGACTCGCGAGGCAGCAATCGATGGAAATCGCTGACAGATGTCATGATATGTTTCTGGTGTAGAAGAGGAAACCCCTGAAGAAGCGGCAACTAAAATGTCCAATGACGCTTAGGTAAGCATAGTGTAGTATCCAGGTCCATATATTTAGAAGGTCTGCCGAGGATCACGAGGCTCTCTTGACAAGGCCGGTGCTTGCATATTCCTAGCCGCGTGAAAATACTTGCAGTACAACACCGCACCTTCTACTCTGGTCAGTTGTACAATATGTGTGTGAGAACGCTAAAGTTCCTCAGGCATACCTGTGTAGTTTAGTGCCTCTTACCCTGGACTTCCTGCATGAACTGTGTGTCACGATGCTACTAAAACTTGCATGCATCACTGAGTGTCTTTTATCCTGGTCATCTGCACGTGATAACGCTAAAGGTCGCTTGTCTGCAGGCGACAGTCAGGGTGTTTTAACCATGTTGCATCTAGATTTTGGATTTTTTTGCGCTGTTGTCTTTCGCCTGTCTTGCAACAACGCCAAAGTTCGCTTGGTTCTAGATACTATTTATAGCTACTCCGCATGTGTCAAGCTTTCGACCGACGGTCGATCTTCCGGTTTCCCCACTATGACCCAAATATTCAATCTCGGCACAAGTCCATAGCCGCTGAGGAAGCCGATCACGATGCATTATCACAATTTCAGGGTGGCTGGATGTTACGATTGAGCTTGTGAATGTCGTCGCGAAGAAAAGTCACCTTCTGCCGATGCCTCTACGTGGTCAAGCCACGTGAGATGTGTGCTCACACCCCTGGCCCATGACTGAGGAGAAACCCGTATGTAGGTCACTGTAAACTCCACGATTTTCCATTGGGAATTCACTTGGCACTTACATTATAAATTCCTCACATCGCCTCCGGAAGAACTTTCGTGATCGCCTGCGACTTGTATCCTTGACACTCAATAAAGACACAAACATGTGTATATACTATCTTTGTAATGAGAAGCCCGACGCAAGATAGACCACTCGGCCCGGTTACAAGTCCTTACCCGGCACAGAAAGAGGCTCTATTTTGGCAGTAGGCTGAGAGTTTCCCGGATCGTGGCTCCAACAGCGAACTCCAGATCAAGGTCAGTCAAAAACTACGAAATGCAAGCCAGCACGCCATTAGGATTGAATTATGACGAGATTGAGTATGGTAACGACCCCTTTCGTCGCCGCGATATCAAGTCGTGCATGCTAACCTCGAATCACAGTGTTGATTTACCCCCTTCAAGTGAGAAACTCGTCTTGAGAATGTCCAGGGCGTTACAGGAACGCTTTGTCGTCCACCACAATGGATGAACCACTGAACTACTGGAGCTAACCGCTCATGTATCTTGGATCAGCTGCGGAAGTTGCAAGTGGCGTTGAAAATTATGCTCATACACGCATAGAAACCACTCGGCGACATTACCTATGGCTACGGCACCCACGATCCTGACACTTCTTTCTGTCACATCAAAGCCAAAGGACCCACAGTTGTGATTGAGGTAGCTCATTCGCAGAGAAGCGAGGACTTGATAGAACCCGCAGAGGAGTATCTTTTAGGTTCTGGACATGGAATCCGGGTCATGGTTGGATTCGATCTTGTGTACTACCGTAAAAACAAGATGGCGACCTTCATGTCTGTCGGACCAAAGGGGAAGGCTCGGAGAATGCTAGAGTCTGGTGTGTCGAATATACGGTAAAGAAGAAATCAGGAGCAATAAAATTTAATGCCATACTGACTTGGGGTCTCATTCTTGACAACTCGAAATCCATTCGAACTACTCTGACGTATTCGAGCTGCATGATGCGTTCGCTCCTCGGTTCATCTATTGCCATTATTCGAGCGTCTAAACGTCGCCTGGAGGCAGGGATAATGTTTGCTTTTGTTATCGGCACACGGTGATTTGCTGATAGCTCGCCCGTCCCAATCGTTCAAAATAGTGTAGCCTTGGTGAGACAATCGCCGAATGACGATCACCGACGATCCGCGAGTTGGATGTAGGTCGCCGAAGCCGCCATTAAATGCAGCGCAATAGCCGAAAAAGAGGTTTGCTTGTTCGGTTTGTCACATACAGAAAATGTGTCAGAACATCTCTCTCGCGGAGAAGCCAGCATGATGAATTTTTCGTTGGATTCCATCCAAGAGCATGGCAATAGTCGCGGAGTTGTTTCTTACCCGTTCACGTCGAGTCGGTCGTGGAAGATTCGGTGGTAAGTGCTTGTACTTCTGGTCCATCGTAACCCAACTTCCTCAAGTCGCGAAGCAACTCCCCTTCCTTGCCGATCTTCATGATTTGATCGAGTGACAGTTTTTCGCCCGTTGCCCGTTTCTCCTTCAGCTCGCGCACAGCCTTCAGCTTCTTCAGTTGATTTCGGATCTTCTTCTGTGGATCTGATTCTTGAGAAGCCGGTTCATTCTCTTGTAACTTAGATGGATCTCGCCAATTCTGTTTGATTCGGTCTGCTTCTGTATCCGCTATGTTCGTCTTCTGCATGGCTGCAGCCAAAACATCCGCGGCTCCCTCCTTCCCTTCGCCCTTTCTGCGGGCAGCCTCTCTTCGTTTTGCGTTCTTGCTTTTGGCCGTGCCTTGATCATTTGCAGAGGCAACGGGATCGGCTCCAGGAACTCCGCCTGGGCCTCTATTCTTCCATGCCTCGGCGCTCCGATTTTTGTAGGTCTCTATGTCTTCTGGTGGCCGATAGCCTGGTCGCACTTTGATCTCTTTCCTGGTGGACCCGTCCGCGCGCTTGGAGGAAGGAATGTACGAGCCACCATCAGCCGAGGTCTCGATGCCGGCCTTGCTAGGTTTGGACATCTCGCGATACGCCCCTTGCGAATTCTTTCAGCGTGACGGGTTATCTGCCGTGGCCACCGGTATCAGGGTTGTATCACCATATTGGGAAATTTCCGTCCGTGAAGCGAGATCCTGCCCGTGCGGCAAAATAATGTGACAACTGGTGCAGGCTGACAAGAGTCAGGAAGATAGTCACAGGTAAATGAGTCCAGCCCGCGGAAGAATTGTAGTCGCAGCCGAAGTTCAACCGCAGTCTTCATACGAGCAGTCTTCATACGAGCGTGATATTTGACGTAACAAACACATCCAACCCAGCAATTCCTTGATGAGTCTAACTTAGATGGCATAATTCAATCCGGACGGGGAGTACCAAGAGTCTCTACTCTTCCTCAAAGCCTCTGCACCTATCTCTGCAGTCCTTCTATGGCGAACTGGAGGCTTATGTTCTTTGGTGTTGTGATTGGCTGAAGCCTCAACTAGAACAGCGGGAGAATCCTTCCATTCTCGTATTAGCTTCCCCTGGTCGAGCTTTGGAGCTGCAACTTTGTGAACATTCATTGATCACACAGACACCTGTGAACGTCTTGCACTGTCACAAACCAAATATCTGATCCTCTGCGCCGGATCTGACGTATTCAAGATGTCGTTTGGGGTAAGTTTTCTATCGCTGGACATGCTCAGAAACGTTTCTGACAATCTTAGGCACGCCTTTCATCGGGCTTTTTCAAGTACGGCCGTTTCGAATCCCATGTGTCTGCATACTGACCGCTGCAGTGGCATCTTCCGGAGAAATGCCTTCTTCCTCACGACCGTCTTCGCCGGCGCATTCGCGTTCGAGCTGTAAGCTTCCTTGCCGACCGTTGGTGGATGACGGATATTGGCTCACAATTCTGCAGTGCATTCGAGGGTGGAACAAACGCAATGTGGGACAGCTGGAACAAAGGGGTATGTTCAAGAATCAAGCATGGACATTCTTGGTCGAAGCTAACCAGTCATCAACAGCGACAATGGAAAGACATCAAGCATAAATACATGACCGCAGAAGAGGACGAGGACGAATAATTCGATAACTCGGAGCTCGGGGACGACCAAGAGTTGAAAGAGAATAGAGACCAGAACACAGCTTGGGTCATCGCGATGGCGGTCATTGCGACAAGCATTGTACATAAGAAGCTATGAAAATACCAAAATCAAGCGTGCTTGAAGAATACCCTTTGAGGGATATGGGCTAGCCCACCTCAACGACAGAGATGGAGAATGTTGATCTCGCGGCATCCTCTATGTCTATCATTGCTGAGCCCCTTTGCTGTGTTGCTTCAGATCCTAGGGAGTGTGATCATCTCATCGGCTATGCAGAGACCAGTGCCACAAAATTTTATGTGATGCTCGGATGATGGTAGCAGAAGCCTATGCAGCTGCAGACTCGGTGCCTGATAATCTTCATCACCACGTTGGGCCTACATGAGGGTCCGTGGGCTGATCTGTAGAACGTTTGCTATATTGATTCAAGTTGTGCTCGATGAAGGTCATGCATGCGCTCTACGAAACTCATGTTAATGAAAGGACTTTTACTCTAGAACTCTACCCGACCCGCTCGTGGACGCAGTAGATAATGCTTTCTTACGACGCATCATGCATGTTCGCGATACTGGGTGGTGTCGGCCTTGTGTCATCGAAATCATATGTTTGGGAGTTGGCGTTGAGCTTCTCCGAGCGGCGTGGCGACGGAGAACGTAGAATAAATGCGAGAAGAATCCATATATTTGGAGGAGCAAGGAAAGACACAACTGCCTTACCAACCCTAGGTTGATAGCGCAGGCAGTCTCTACCTGAAGACATGCGACTGTTCCCATTCATTTTTTCCATCAAAGATTCCCCATCTCCTTGTCGTGTTGCACAGAGGTCCCATTCGCAGGCATTGCCAACATTGGCCTTCTGTGACGTTGGCGGCTCTTCAATGAAACGCAGCCTCGCTGGCACAGAACGACTCGATCTCAAGCGGTGTTGCCTACAGCCTAACGAACATACTCAAGTTGTGTCTTCCCATCGACCGAGTCTTCAAGAGTCCTACCCTTGACAATTTTTCTCCTCTGCGATCTCGAGTCGAGTAGAGTCCAAATGCGGACTGCAGACGCCCTTGCATAATCTACCATGAGTTCACCGCCGTCCAACCTGGATCGACAACTCCGCCAGGCTCTTTGTGACCACCCTCGACGATATGGTTATCGATATTCGGCCACTGCGCGAAATAGCTTGCTAGAAGGCCTCTTCCGCTGCTTGACAAATGATCGAGAGGACTACCTGCACCAGTTGTTCCCCAATGGCTTTCCCCTCTCATACAAGTTACAAGATGCGCAAGGGGTGCAGGAGAATGTTGAGTACACTGCTGCTGCTAGGGGACATCCCTGTGGCCATATCTTCAAAGCAGGGGAAGCCAGCTATCACTGCAGCACATGTACCGATGATAGCACGGCCGTTCTCTGCGCTAGATGTTTCGTTTCCAGCGACCATGAAGGCCATCAGTACATAATTCAAATGAGCCCCGGTAACACTGGATGCTGCGATTGTGGTGATGATGAAGCCTGGAAGACACCTATACAGTGTGCCATTCACACGGCAAAGATCGACTGGGCGACTACGGACGACGTTGTTTCTCCCCTACCACAAGATTTGCAAGATTCAATCCGCGTGACGGTGAGCAGAGCACTTGACTTCTTCTGCGACGTTATATCTTGTTCACCAGAAAATCTTCGCATGCCTAAGACAACAGAGACTGTCGCGCAAGACGAGGTGCGGAGTCGACTGCAATCTGAGCATTATGTTAGTGGCGACGAGGTCGAAGCCAACCCAGAATTCTGTCTCATTATCTGGAACGACGAGAAGCACACGGTCCGCGAAGTACAATCTCAAGTCGCAAGAGCATGCCGGCAGCGTGAGTCGTGGGGTCTGGTGAAAGCGGAGGAAACCAATGATATCGGGAGAAGTGTGGTCAAATTCTCTCGCAACTTGAGTGAGCTGACCAGGATGGCCAAGATCATTGAAGAAATCAAGGTCACCGTTACAATCCGATCGGCAAGAGATACTTTTCGAGAACAGATGTGTGGTACTATAATTGACTGGTTGGCTGATGTTGTCGGCTGCAGTGTTGGTGGAGACAGTCATATCCTTCGCCGCATTGTATGTGAAGAGATGCTTCAGATCTGGCGCGTTGGCAGCGAAGCCTGGAATGCCAAGGTTGGGAAAGAGGACCTGGACGATCACGGCGAAGAGGATGACCGGGATTTCCGACGTCGAGCCAGAGTGATCCCCTTCGACCCTATCCAATTTGCGATGCAGAGAATTGTGGCAGAGGGAGACGACATGCTGACTGACGAAGACAATGAACCCATGGACCCCGATGATGACGACGATGACGACGACGATGAGGATGATGAACTAGGCGACGTTGAGGGTGGCCGAGAGGCGACCGATCTTATACTCAGCGCAATAGCGTTCGAAGATGCAGAAGATACCCACTCTATAGTCGAGAACTCTGGCGATGCTGATGCCACTGATGACCCTGACGAAATGGATACTGACGGCGACGGTGATTTCCTTGACGTCGCAGAAAGGATGGACACCGACCCGGCCTCGCCGGCCCCAGCAATTGTTCCCGCCCAAAACACAACGGGTCCCGAGAATACTCTCCATCTAGGGGGAGCAGATTCACCAACCAGAGCGGATGCCAATGCCAATTATCTCAACGTTCCTAGAACACCAGCTGCATCGGCGCGTCCATCTTCATCTCAATCTCCTCCACCAGACCACTGGCAACTGTCCAGATCTGGCCAGTCAGCATCAGGTGCAAGTCTTCCCGTCTACGAGGATTTGACCAAGAACATCCGGGTGGATTCCATGATACTATTCGACTTGCGGCTGTGGAAACTCGCGAGGTCTAATATGAGAGACTTGTTTATCAGTACCTTGGTCAACATACCACAATTCAAGCGCATACTTGGCTTGCGATTCTCCGGGCTGTACACGACGCTCGCACAACTCTATCTTGTTGCAGATCGGGAACCAGATCATTCAATCATAAACCTCTCGTTGCAACTGTTGACCACGCCCTCAATTACCGAAGAAGTCATTGACAGAGGCAACTTCTTGACCAATCTCATGGCAATTCTTTACACCTTCTTGACCACGAGACAAGTCGGGTTTCCCAAAGACCTGGATCCTGGTGCGACACTGGGATTCGATGCGGGATCAGTGGCAAATCGCCGCTTGTATCACTTCTTTTCCGACTTGAAGTACTTTCTGGCTTCGCCCTTCGTGCAAGCCAAGGCTCGGGGTGAGCGTGAATACCTCTGCCAGTTTCTTGATTTGGCGAAGCTCTCACAAGGGATCTGCCCCAATGTTCGTGCTGTTGGGGAACACGTAGAATACGAGACCGATGCATGGATCAGTGCATCGTTGCTAACTCGAGACATCAACAAATTATGTCGACAATTTTCCGAGGCTTACTATGTGGCCAAGGGCAGCGATCCCGTAGCCATTCGTGCCACTTGCGATGCAATCAAACATGCAGCAGGCATTGCAGTCATTAACTCAGTTGGTCTCGAACGAAGACGATTTGATCAGGCCGAGATTAGAGATCCAGTCAAGTTTCACAACATCGGTCCTTTCGGAGATTCTACGATCTTCAGCGTCGTTGACTTCGTGGTTGAAAGAGGGTCACTCAGCTTCCATCACCCACTTCACTACACTCTGTCGTGGCTTTTGGAATGTGGCAAATACAACAAGAGCTCGATCGAAGCTCTTCGTGAGGCTGCACAAGCGTTCCTCTCGCATCTTCACGATACGCTGGGTGCTCGGGACAATACTGTCAAGCAAGCTCTTGTTTCCGTGGACGATGCATTGCTAGCTATGTTTGACTATCCTCTCCGTGTTTGCGCTTGGCTTGCACAAATGAAGGCAAATTTATGGGTCAGGAATGGCATGAGTTTGCGACATCAAATGATGCAGTACAAAAGTGTTGCACACCGCGACGTTGGCCACCACCGAGACATCTTCTTATTGCAATCGGCACTGGTAACATGTGATCCAAGTCGAGTACTTGCCTCCATTGTCGACCGATTTGGGCTGGCTGACTGGATGAAGTATGGCTTCGTTTCTTCCGAGATTTGCGATGATGGACAGATGTTGGATCTGGCAGAAGATTTCACGTATCTATTGATCAATCTTCTGTCAGATCGAGATGCATTGATCGCGGATCGAGACAATGTTGAATCTCAGCTTCTGGCAGTTCGAAAGGATCTTGCACATACGCTTTGTTTCAAGCCCTTGTCATACTCGGACTTGTGTGCTCGCCTAACGGAGCGCGCTCAGGACCATGAAAAGCTACAAGACGTACTCAGGCAAATGACTCGATATCGTCCACCAGAAGGTCTGCACGATTCTGGTTTATTTGAATTGAAAGAAGAGTATCTCCTGGAGCTTGATCCCTACAACTCACATTTTTCGAAGAATCAGAGAGATGAGGCAGAGAACATCTACAAGAAATGGATGGCGAAGAAGTTGAAGAAATCTCCAGATGATATTGTTTTGGAACCCAAATTGCATCCAATTCCTTGTGAGGCGTATATCAACCTCTGTGAAGTTGTGCATACAACAGTCTTTGCCGATGTCATGCACAAAGCTCTCTTTTATGTCGCACAAGGACACAAGGGCAAGAACGGAGTCACAGCAACTCGAGTCGAGGCATTCCTTCAGATTGTGCTACAATTGGCGCTAATTGCCACGCTTGAGGACAAGGTGTCCGAGGAAAGTAATATGCCATCTTTCATTGGTAATGCAATTGACATGCACTTGGCTTCACATGATGCACCTCACTCTACCATTCTTGATCAATTGCACAAAGTCTGGCTGATGGAAGAATTTACTTCGTGTCGAAGCAAAATCCGATATATCTTGAGAGTCTTCAATCAGAAGCGCCCGCGGCAATTCAGTCGGGTTACGGAGCATCTCGACTTCCCTTCCGGCAGGTTTGATACTTCTTCTCCCGCCAATGCTGAGAGCGAGATTGAAGCGAAGAAGAGAATGGCTATGGAACGCAAAGCTAGAGTCATGGCACAATTCCAGCAGCAACAACAAAACTTCATGGACAAACAAGGTGTGATTGACTGGGGAGATGATTACCTGGATCCTCCTGACGAGGAACTACCGAAGTCGACAGAGACGCGTCACTGGAAATATCCGTCAGGTTTGTGCATACAATGTCGTGAGGAATCCACCGACTCGCGGATGTATGGCACGTTTGCCATGATCACCAATGCGCATCTTCTCCGACAGACAGATACAAGCGACGAGGATTTTGTAGGAGAATTGTTCGCCATTCCCGACAATCTGGATCGGTCGATTGAGCATATTCGTCCTTTTGGCGTCGCTGGATCCAATCATGAGCAACTACGACGTCTCAACGCAGAGGGCGAAGAGATCACGGTCGATTTCCAAGGTCTTGGGAAAGGCTGGCCGAAAGATCATACGATGAATGGACCGGTATCTACAAGTTGCGGCCACATCATGCATTATGCCTGTTTCGAGAATTATTATCAATCTGTCACTCGAAGACATTCACAGCAAGTTGCTCGCAATCACCCCGAAAGAATAGCACTCAAGGAGTTTGTTTGCCCATTGTGCAAAGCCCTTGCCAATTCTTTCTTGCCCATCGTGTGGAAGCACAGCGAACAGTCATACCCTGGAAGTTTGGGTATTTCGCAGGATTTCGATCATTTCATGGACAATGAAGTATCCAAGCTCACCCCGAGCTCGGTTCCCATGGACAATAGCACATTCGATTCTCTCGCCGCGACAATGTACTCCGAGACTCTGGACACGCTTTCAAACAGTTCGTTGACGCCGGCAATCACCATGTGGCAAGCAGGGGATCTGACACTCAGCCCCACCAGTCCGGCTTGGGCGGACAATCCAGAATTGGCTGGCTTTGCAGAACTCGCTGGTATATATGGCCGTCTAAGAGAATCGCTCACTATTACGGCCCGGACCAATCGTGTTCTTGGTCCGAGCGGAAGCTCATCTGTTAACCAGTTTCATGTCCTGGTCAACACGCTTGCAAATACGATTGCATCTGTGGAGATTGGCCATCGAGGACGCGAGGCTGAATTCGGTACGCCTCTATTGACCAGCGTTCCCCAGCAAACCCTGAGCCACTTGCAAACTCTCTGCTCTACTTTACGAGCTTACAACGCCACCGGGGCATTGACAATTCGTACTTCGACGGAGTCTCAGTTTCGGGGACTGTGCGATCATATTGAGCGGCAACTAGCCGGTGCTGTTTCGGGGCACGAGACACAGACTGGGGATCCAGAACCAGCTCAGCCTCTTCTGCGGACGGATGCTTTCCAATTCCTAGTTCAGGCTGCCATGGTTGTCTGTCCGCTCCGACGACTTGAGGTTCGCCATTTTTTGCAGCTCGCCCTCACAATCGAACTCATCAGGGTGGCAATGGCGTTCATGCTCGATTCCCAGGGATTTGTCCGAGCCAGCAAAAAGTTGGTCCAAGATCAGATTCGACACGGCGTTCCACTTCAAGCAGATTCTGACGAAGTCCAGAGCGTGGAAAGCTTCATGACGTGGGTATATGTCCAGCTCCAGGATGAAGCGGTTCAGGCGGAGGATGTCAGGCCTTATGGCAGTAATCTGCACCGTATGTCCAGAGACGAATGCAAGGCAATGTACCGAATTTTCCAAGTGTACGCTCTGGCCTTTATGCGAAAGTCGGCTCTCTTCTTCCATGCCGGACATGGCATTGACTTTCCGACCACAGTCGGTTCAGAAGCCAATCTGCCCGAACTCGATCGTTTGATCCACTTCTTCCAGTTGCCCAAACTTCAAGAGATGCTCAGATCTTTCGACCAGTTCTCTGTACATGGAACTCTGAAAATCCGAGCTCGTTCATGGATCGCCGATTGGTTGAAGTCCGAAGCCGACATGGTGCCAGCGGGGCAACAGGCCAGGCCTGGACCTTTTCTCCTTAAACTCCTTCACCCAGCACCGTTTGAACTCATCGGGCTGCCCAAGTACTTTGATACTCTGATGGAAGAGTCTTATCGGCGAAAGTGTCCCACGACGGGCAAAGAGGTTGCAGATCCTGCTTTGTGCCTCTTTTGCGGCGAAATATTTTGTTCGCAGACAGTGTGTTGCCTGACGCCCGAGCTTCGTGGTGGGTGCAATGCACATCTCGACAAATGCTCGAGCCCTGTTGGTATGTTCCTTTTCGTTCGAAAGTGTAACATTGCGCTATTACATGTCGCCGTCGATCCGAGGATACTGGATCTTGAGCGAGAAAGAATTGGGCGAGGTACACAACATACATTGCCCTCTGGATCTCTCACCTTGAGCCACGGCTCTTTTTTCCCTGCGCCTTACCTGACGAAACATGGAGAGACGGATCCAGGGTTGAGGTCCAAACACCAGTTGATACTCAGTCAGAAACGTTACGACAAACTCTTGAGGGATTCCTGGTTGCTGACGAATGGAAGTATTTGGAGTGCCATTGCCCGAAGGTTGGAGAGTGAGGTGAATGCAGGGGGATGGGAGACACTGTGAATCTTAATCCAAAGATCATGACGACCGTCCGCACATAGATATCATAAACTATGAAGGAGGCAGATATGTAGATCAGATTCATTATAGTGAATACGACTTAGTACTCGATACACGGATACGAGCTGAAGAGTTTACCAGGCCACAAAATGTCAGAAGCAAAGCTACCTGGGTACCCGGAGTTCCTTCATTTAAAGCCCGCATTTGTACAGAGGATATCTTTGGCAAAGTTCACGATAATCACGGCGGTTAGGTACAATACTAGTGAGCAAGTGATTCATTGGTGTATGTATGGAGTACCGCGCACGGTAGTTGACGAGGAGGATATTGATCCATAATATTATTAGTGGTCGAGAGGTCGAAAAAGTGTTCAGTCAACCGGCCCAGCTAGCCCGGCGCTTAAACCCCTGTCTTATCACAGCCTCAAGTGATGTTGGTGTTTCAAGGGTCTCCCTCGTTTCACTTTGTGCTCTTCGTCGGGCAGTTCAAGGTACACCTTCCCTCGCCAAGCATGATACCAATCCAATCTTGTTGGTCACACTGTGTGATGCATTAAAGCTTTGTCCTTCGGAAAGTGACCATTGTCGATCATGCGATGGAGGAGGAGGGGTTGGTTGGACGAGCATGTCCAGGAATACGACGAGTATGAGTAGCCGCCCAAGGACACGGTCACTCGAATGGTCACTCGAATCATATAGTCACTTACCTACTTCTATGATACGACTGACTATGTGATGAAGATGGCTTGCACATTTTTGTTTTCTTCTCCCGTAGGAATTTCTATCCTCTACTTCTTCCGGCCCCCCCTCACATCAACGGAATACTTCACGATAATTACTACAAACTAGGTTGCCGTTTGAGCGCTGTTTGGGACTTTGGGCCTAGCCTCGGCGGGGCTAACTTACCAACCCAAGCAAGGGCTCTCTCTGTGTCTCTCTAGTCAACAACTAGATTCGAGGACGAAAGGCCAACCTCACCGGATACCCAAGTCCACCGGGCGAGAGAGAGCTTTTTCGCAACGACCGCGGTTTTCTCCCAAAAGGGGTGGCCATGGCCGAGATTTTCCCCAATCAATTTCTTTTGTCGAGTTACGACCGATGGCTCGTGACCATCCTTCTCCTGTTGTCGACCTCGTCAAAGGGTGGTGTTTGGGCACAAAATGGCGACGGAGGAGGAGCGTCAGGTGTCGAACCGGGTGATATCGGCGGTGGATCACCCGGCACGGGGAGTGAGAATGCAGGCGCACAAGGATCTGATACGGGCTCGGTGAAGTTGAGCGTAGGGGCGACTGTTGCTATTGCCGTGGTGGTTAGTCTTGTTGTCATTTTAGGTGGTAAGTATTCCGCTTACCAGTTGGGATACTCTTTTTGACTGACATATTCCCCCCCGGGTATAACAGGAACGACCGCTATACTCTTCTTCCTGGCTAAAAAGAGACAATGGAAGATCAAAGAGGGTTTAAGGAAATCCGCTACAAAAGTCAAGAGTGCCGTCAAGGCTGTCACTACACCAATGACACCGAAAAGAATGACATTTGGTGGTAAGAGTCCGGTTGAAAATCAAAGAAGAAGAATAGGAGGAGGAGGAGGAGGACATACCGAACGGACGACGGTGGCGGCAACCAACCCAAAAAAGGGATTGGGTATAAGAGCGGCAGCATCAGCAATGGATGATGGAATACACAGAGACAAGGATCGAGATTTGGAAAAGGGGGTGGCTACGGTTGTAGCTGCTACACAGGTCACCACCACTGCTCCAGCAACACGTGTTGTCCGTGATGATGGTAATGGAAGTGGCAGTGATCACGAAGGAGACACCGAGAGTCAGAATTCGAAGAATAAGATTATTACAGGGACTCAACAAGGGGAGAGGAAAAGTCGAAAGGAAAAACCAAGACCGCCAAAGGTCGAGATTCCAACGAGTTCTTTCGAGATTGATAGTCCCAAAACCCCAATTTGGAAGAAGGTATTTGGACGATGAAGGCGCTGTATCACGATGATGGGGACATTGTATGTTAGCAACGGGAAACGAGGGCTACCACAGTGTATCCTTGTTGATATGATGTCTATGATGATGGACCCTTGAGGACCCTCTGACAGTGGTGCCGTTATTGCTCTTTATTTGACCGAGCCATGATACGCAAGGGAGCGATGAGAAACAACACACCCGGACACAGAGTAAAATTCCGAAATTAAAACATACGGGACCTATAGCTTGGTATCATTCGGCCTCTTTGATTTCGGGGCTTGATCACGACCGTTGGTGTGGGTGTTTGAGTCCAAGTCCGATTCTACCTCGTCGAGGACAAAATACCACTTGATCCCGAGCATGTTTGTCCACCCGTCACCACATAACCCATGATCCGCCACTTTTTTCAGTATGCGATCGAATTTTGCCCTTCCCTTGACTTGGATCGTCACGCTCTCCAAACCTTCTCTCTTGTTCGGATCTGCAGGTAGGAATTCAAGTCGAGAATTCGTAAAGATCAATTCATCATTTTGACGAGGAATGCCAAACATTTCGTGCCATTGACGTGCGGCGTCGGATGGGTCTTTGTCGCCAGAGGACAATCTCAATGTCGCCCCGATCAACTTTAAATGGGAATTCCTTCTCATGGCAGAAGAGTAGGTCGGGTAAGCCGACATTGGTCCACATGTATGCCACGGACTGAATTCCGACAGAGGGTCAGGGTTTTCGGGACTTGTGGCGTGAGAGTCGAGTTCCGGCATGATCCCACCTGGGATACCCCTGGGGTGATATTGAATACACACACTTTCGATTTCTTCTTCGGTTTCACGTTTGACCCCGGTGTTGGTTTGGGTGGTATTGATGTCGTCGGTGGTGGTGGTACCGGGACTCTCGAATTCAGGTACAGTTCCAGAGTTATAGTGACTGAAAATGACCCTTCCCAAGCTGCGAGATTCAATGTACCGTCTCCTGGCGATGGCGTCAACAGTTTGCATTATCAACATGTATCCGGCGGCATCGGTGTTTAATTTTGCCAATTGTCGGCCGGCTGGGGTGTGAAGGCCAGCTTTGATAGGGGAGCAAACTTCGATCACATCTCCTCCTATTGAAACTACACCAAACCCGGTACATACCATGGTCAGTATCGAGAAAGGCATCATCATATGAATCCAGGCGTATGCATACGCACCTAATATATTCTCAATTCCCCAACGTGATACTTGTGGGTCGACATATACGACCTCGGTGTCGAGAATGGTGGTCTGTATCAATCACCATTTCAGTCAACACAGAGTTCGGGAGAGGTGAATTGAGATGATTTACGGAGGATCTTACCAGGAGATATCTAGCCCGTTTCATGTCTTGAGCAATGAAGGCGATTTGACGAAGTCGGGTTGGAGATGTCGTTGGGACATTCATGCTGGCGGCGACAATAGAGTACTATATTCCGTACTGGCAAAAGTATTCGGTATGATTGACGGTAGGTATACACAGACGATGATGATGCTCTTCGAATTGCCGCAATGTGTTTATAGTATGTCATTTAAAGTGTCGAAAGTGAGACAGACGGTGGTTGATGGTTGTCATGTCATTGTACAGTATCTCGGCTAAGATATGGTTATAGTGCGGAGACAGGCGAGAGGGGGGTACTTTACCTAGGTACCTTAGGTAGTGTAGGTGTTATATTGCATGGCAAGGAACATATCAGGAACGTATACTACTTGAATCATCTTTGTGAACTACATCTTCATCTCTGTAATAATATATGCCTTGGTATCCCCAAGTAAAGAATGTTATGTAAAATCCTCTGTTCCCTTCATTGATATTTCCCAACATCACTTTATCGGTATGTGCAAAACTTCCAACTGTGCAGTACCATGCCCAAGTACCTCGCAATAAGGAGAGCGTAACTTCAATCATGACCAATAAATTCAGTCGTTCTGGTGAGCTCACAAAAGGAGACCAGAAGCACCGACCAAAGCCAAGCCGAGACCCAAAGCACTGGCGAGTTGATTTCTTGACGAGGTTGCTGCACTGCCGGTGTACGACTTGACAGTCACTGAGGAGGAATTGGGGGAAGTTCCATCGTCGGTGAGGGCAGAACCTGCGTTCGAACAAACCTCGCCAACGTCAGAAGGCACTGTTGGGAACCGGTCGACCGCATCTAGAATCGCCACGGCCATTCCGCCCGTCAGATGACTTTGAACGTGACAGTGCAACAACCAGGCTCCAGGGGTGTTGGCCTGGTACCTGAGTACCATCCACGCCGGCCCTTCTGCTTCTGTGGTTGTGTAACCGTCAGCGTATGGTGGATTGTCGAAATTGAACTGCATCCCAGCTGACTGCGCCTGGGCGACAGTGGTGTAGTTGAAATCACCAGTGCCCGCGCCAATCACAAAGAACTTGTTGGCGTGCTTATGAATGGGATGCGGTTCGGCCAATGGACCAGCCACCTTGATGATAAGGTCTACCCAATCGTTATAGTTTGTTCTCAGTATGAGGTCGCTTTGGGGGATATCGGCAGGCGACTCGTACAGTAGTGGCGGAGTTTCGTCGTCTCGACTTTGGTTGTACGCGTCTACTCCATTCAGAGACCAAGCCCATGACAACGCTTCTTGTGGGTCTTTCATTATGTCGAGAACAAATGTAGTGTCTGCCGTACTCGAGACCGTTGCGGCAGGGTAAGGGTAAGCAATAGCCCTGTTCAGGGCCGTGATTGTGGTCGTGTTCTGGCCACCATAGTTCATAAGAGCCTCGGCAGAGGCTGCAGGACCTGAGCCTCCTTGATAGGACAGAATGCCGTACCCTGAGATGACCTGATTCAAGCCACTGTTTGCGACGCGGATGGTATAGTCTGCCGGGGTTTGATCGAGCTTGACCATCACCGAAATTCTGTCTCCATTGTCGAGTTCAATCTGATCCACGGCTTGTGGCTCAACGTAGTTACCATTGACTTCATAGACATACATCTTATGACTGTCTATCGTAATCTTGAAGAGTGCTGTTCCACTGGGGCTGATAAAGGCCAACGACGCCCATTCATCACTGGCATCGACAGTGTATGTGAAGTTTTTGCCCGTGTATGGTGTGCATTCAGAATATGCACCCGCGGGAAGAGCGGCCAAATTGCGGTTGTAGTTGCCTTGAACCAGAACGTTATTGGGCGGAATGCAGCCTTTGGCAGTCAATGAGCTTCCGTTGAGAGCAACTGATGCTTGCGGAGCCTTGTCGGCATTGAGGGTAGCCACAGGTAAACAATACACGGACCCCATACCGTTGAGGACGAAAGAGTCTGTGCAGGAGTAATCGATATTGGCGGTCTTTTCAATCTCAAAAAATTCGTTAAACGTATAGCGATTCCAGTCCGATGTAAGGATCGTCTCGACTTTAGCCTCTGCAGCCATCATCTTTTCAATATCGGTAGAGCTGTTGCTGATCAGGGAGAACGGCCTGGTCTCAGTCTCGTTGGGAGAGATAATGATTGCACCGTATAGGCCATCCATCATTTGGCCCTTGTAGTGACTGTGATAAAAGTAGACCCCAGACTCCTCAGCTGTCCATTGATAGTTGTGACTGGAGCCTGGTTTGATCGAGTATTGGGAGACACCTGGGACCCCGTCCGACCACGGGGTACCTAGCTGCCGAATACCGTGGAAGTGAACACCCGTGACATTGGGCATGTTGTTCACCACGGTAAAGTCGACGCACTCTCCAACATTGAGTCTCAGGGGAGGGCCAGGGAAAGAGCCATTGGTCAAGATCGCCTCTCTAGAGAGGACATTCGACGGGTCGGTTGGTCCCCATGTCACTTCGATCAGGAAGGGTTTGCACGCCGAGGCTGTCGAGCAGATGGAAGAATTGGAGGACGTGGACGAGTGTGAAGATGCAGCGATGCTGGCTGGTGCGGCCAGCAAAGCCGCGAAGCTTCCTATTCTCATCGTCAGAGCAAATATTCAGCCACGAGTCCAGGAGGATAAATTAAAGAAAGCGGTTCGAAAACAAGCCAAACAATGCAAACAACCTCTGTGCTGCGTGCGAAAATGGTCAAGCTTGGGTCCCGAATGCAGAGTAATAAATGAAAGCAAGCGAATGTATAATAGCTCAAATCAAACGAATGACCTTTGTGCTGCGTACGAAGATGGTGAAAGAGTGGAAAGATGAAGATAGATTTCAGAAATCTACATCCTTTTTCAAGGACAGTCAATTGAGCCAGGAATAGTTTAGTCGAATAAACATAATTAGTTCAGGTTGACGGCGGTCCTTGCCAGCTTCTGCCGCAAAACAATACGTTTTCGAGGTCATTATCGTCCCAGGACGGGACATCTGTTGGACGCAGGATGAGACATTCGTCCCCAGAGCTTGCCGACAATCCGATGGAAAGGGGCTGTTGGTTGAAAGCAGGAGAAAGCTTTTAGTGGGGAGAAAATTGATAAAGGATATTCTCACCCCACCAACCACAACATTGATCACCAAGGGCGCCAATGGCAAGGGCTGTAGCAGGTGTAGCTATCGATGTTGGCCCGTTGACCAGCTCGGGGACTGTCAGAAAGCCGATGGGCGGGAGATGCAATCATTCAACCCAGTGCTGACGCGTCACTGGCGGACGACGTTCACGAGTCTCTTTTGGCCCACAGGGGCTATTTCTGGAACACATAAACGACGTCGAGAAAGCATGTCGCCGAACCTGGCAATTTACGCAAAGTTCATTGAAACCAGGAGAGGAAATGAGGTTTGTCATGTTGTTGTTGTTGTTTGTATTGTTGTGTAGATAGAAAGAGTGAGACGAACATCATGTGCATTGAATATGGAGCAACGAGAACATCTTAAGAAAGATTGCCGAGGGCTCAACAACATCCCTGTTTTTTGATCCAATTCTCATCCTAGAGAACAAGCGTAACATTGCGTGATTCGACAAGGACAGCGACGGATGTGACAAGCTTTGCGTTATTGTCTATCCCGAAAGCTTGAACAATGCTTGAACAATGATCGGAGCTATATGATTGTAAGGATCAGATCAACATCCGCAATATCCAGTACTCTGGATGTTTCAGAACCTCTTCTCCCGTAAACTTGAGACCGAAGTATACCTACCGATATCTCCGAAGCGAACGAGCAATCGCAGTAAACTTCTGCATCCTTCACACGCCGAATTACAATTTTGGTTTTCCTTTCGACTTGGCTGTAGTCGACGTCAGCATCACGATTCTCGTTCTCTCACTCTCATAGAAAACACAAATAAATCCCAAACACTCACCATTCAATTCTGCATTCTTCTCAGCAAATCTCTTCTTATGCGCGTTCTCGGTGATCCGTTCAGCCAAGGCATCAAGCGCATCATAAAGAGCCATCAATCGATCCCTTCGCAAAGGTATGTTCTGCAACCGTTTCATTTCCATCATACTCTTCCCGTCATTTACTTCCAATTGACCCTCTAGGAACTCGAGCACTTTTTGGTGGAAGTTTTCCTTGGGCAAGATGCGATTGACCATCCCGTACTTCTCCAGTTCCTCGACGGTCAACTTGCGTCCGAACATGAGGAAATCATTCGCCCGATGGACGCCCATAGAATGTGCGAATGCGGTGGCCGAGCCGAACTCAGGGACCAACCCCAAAGCACTGAACGGGACTTGTAGGTACGCTCCCTCGGCGGCGAGAACAATGTCGGCCTGTCCTTCGAACCAAGCCGCCCCACCACCGACAGCGGGTCCGTTGAGTGCTAATACGAGGACCTTTTTGTGATCTACCATGGAGCGGACGAGTTCGAGTGCTTCGATGAGAAGATGTGAGCAGGGGGGAGAAGGTGCACGTGGTTAATGACTGATAAGCGACTTACCATTCGCGAAGCCGGCAACTGTTGCGACTTTCTTCTCTGCTGGATTGGCGTATTCGGGGTCCTTCCGTGAGATAGTGGCTTAATGGTAAGATGCATGGTCAGTGAAACTGCCCATTCATGATGTGGCATTCTCGGCGCCGGAAACAACCGTTCCTGGTGAATAGGTTTTATGGTTGCACACCTTTAACATCAGCCCCAGATGAAAAGAATCTTCCTTCGCCCGTAATGACAGTAAACACGGTCTCCGGATGTTCATTTAACTCTCTAAGCGCAGAGATCACATCGATTAACAACCTGCCTCCGAAAGCATTGAGTGATTTTGGTCGATTCAACTGGTATCTCTTCGTCAGTCTTCCTCCTGGATGGGTGCGCTGTGGCGGCTGCATCTGAGAATTACCTTGATTATCCCAACCTTGCCTTTGATCTCAAAGATGATGTCGGTATACTTGTACTTGCCTGTTGACGCCATCCTCGATGATGATGGTACCAAGGGCGACGACGACTTTAGAACCTTGTCAGGTAGAGAATAATCTTCGGCGGGATCGAATTGCACTCCAAAATGTCGCAAGAACGAAGACAAAAATGAAAAACTGCGGAAGGGCTTGTTGACCATATAACAGAAAGCCAAGAAGCGAGTTGTTGGACGACCTCGGTTGCTGCTGCGCTGATCGGGTCGGTGTATGTTGTGCGTGTACGGACAGCGAGTCGACGACCTCGTCGGGAAGAGTGTAGTCTTCAAGTGGATCGAATTGCGCTCCCAAGTGTCGTAGAAACGACGACAGAAAGGAGACCCAGATTGAATGATAATCAATCATGGACACGAAGTATCGAATCGGGGGCCCTGAGTATCAGATAATTAATTACCTAGGTACTCCGTAGTTGTTCCCGACAAATCCACCGTGCCCGCCTTTTGAAGTTGTAGTAAGCCGAGGCATCAGACCACGAGTTCTCAGCCTCGCCAGCGCAAGGCTGTGATCACATGGCATCGCCATAAGGCTGCAAGGCTAGTATACGAGCCTATGAGGCTGTGAGTACTCGATAAATCGCAACCACCTGAGGCTACCCAAGTACTCACGAGTGAGCCTTTTATCAGTCCAAATCTTTCAGACCACACACGCCAGGTAATCTAAGGTCAGCACATTCATCCTATCATCCCTCAATTCTCCTCCCATGCATGATGTTCTCATAGCATGGGTTGACCCTCATCACAGCACGTGATAAGGCTACATGGTCACGTGGTAAGGCTGCACGACATGTTCGGGGGAGTTTCCCCGCAATGTAGTTGGTTTTGTTCCTGTGGACTTTTTTATTCCAGTCCGTCCGATCGATCATCCATCGCGTCGCATTTGCAGCCCTTACTTGATCCCACAACCAGAGTACTTTCTGCTACACACTTCTGCTACACGACAGTACCATTCTTATCGCGAATCCTCAAATCTCATCACCTCTCCTCGCAGACACCACAACCGTCCGGCAACAATGTCAGAACCAATCCCCGAATCAATACCAACGTCGGCCGACCCTCGCTCCCGTCGACCTGTCAAACGAGCCCGCGGCACCAACACGGCACTCGCCGCGCAAGCCCACGAGGTCGAGACACTCTTCCTCGATCCAGAGCGACCGGTACACATCCCTGCGGTGTCGAGCGAAACAAAACGTGCAGTCGCCGCTCCACCAGAAATTGTGGCTAATGTCCAAGGTTCTTCTGCCGGCGCTGGCTCAGGCGAGTTTCACGTGTACAAAGCGAGTCGGCGGCGCGAGTACGAACGTCTGCGGGTGATGGACGAAGAGGCCAAGAAGGAAGAGGAGGACGAGGCGTGGGCGAAGCAGGAACGAGAACGACGCGAAAAGGACGAGGAGAAGACCAGAAGGAACCGCGAGAAGAGGATGAAGAAGAAGGGAAAGAAGGGAAATGGGGGAGCCGAAGACAAAGGCAAAGACGGGACGAGTAACAAACAGGGTGGAAGCGTCGACGGAGATCAGACGACGAATGGTGTCAAGAGAAAAGTTGGTGGTGGTGGTGGTGGACTGCAGATACCGAGAAGAGGGAGTCGGGACGATGACCAGGGAAGTGACTTTGGAGTCGCGGAGTTGGCCAAAGAAGTCGGCATCACCATTCATGACGACGACTGACGAGCGAACGAGGGGGCTCCGAGACCTGCAACGATTTTCTCCACTGTACAACATGCACATTCAACGCAGTACTTCAAACATCACACTGTATCATCATCAATCGAGCCACCAAATACTGTACACCAACAAGAGATACCCAATGATCACGCTCAAATCGAGACACATATCCTTCCTTTCGTTTACTTCTTACATATTCATGACATGCTTTCTTGTTCCTCTGTCGCCTACTTATAGAATACTTATTCGTTTCAGGCCTTCTTGTTCCTCTGGCTGATGGCAGCATCAACACCACTAACCCAGCGCACAAAAAGCTGCAACGTGCCCGGAAGCAGGTGGTACAGCGGTATACATTTTGCATAAAGCGGCATCCTGATCACACCTCCGTCGCCACGCTCGATGGTCCGAATGATTTCCTTGGCCACCTCCTGGGCCGTAAGCACGGGGCCGAAAAAGTGCGCGTAGAAGGGTAGGGACGTGATATCGGCAAAGAGCTGCGTGTCGAGTTGTCCAGTTTCGACTAGGAGGGTCTTGACCCTCGCAAACACGTCGGGATCGGGATGCGTGCGGAGTTCGTGGCACAGGGTCTGGTGGAGGGAGGACGCCGCCGCTTTGGAAGCACTGTAATCCGCCAGTGAGGCCGGCGAGAGGTGTGCCAGGACAGAGGAGACGGTGACGACGTGCGCGCCCGTCTTTGAAGAGATCAGACGTGGCAAGACGGCCGAGAGGAGGTTGAAATGCGAGACGGCGTTGATGGACAACGTTCTGCTCGCTTGGTTCGGTGAGAGTGTAGAGTTTTGACCATTGGGTTTGGACTTGGACGACGATGTCGATGCCGGTAGTAACGGTAGACCAGCGATGGTCGACGCCGCGTTGTTGACTAGGATCGTTGGTTCACCGAGCTTGTTGTCTCTTTGTCAGTTCTTTTGCTCTGCCACTGCACGCATAGAAATACTGTGGTACTTTCACGCAGTCAAGGGGGGCTTTGGATAAGAAGCGAAAAGGGGAAGCGAAAGGACCGGGAAAAACACACCTCTTTTATAACCTTCTCAACGGCCCTCTCGACCTTTCTCGCGTCGCTGACGTCCACCACCTCCCAAACCAAATCCCACCGCTCCATGGTCTCTTTTGCTTGCTCGTCCGGTCCTTTGGTGTCCAGCACGGCGACGCTCACGCCCTTGCGGAGGAGCATCTCGGCCATCGCCCTCCCCAACCCGCTCGCCCCTCCCGTGATGACGACGACCTCGCTCTCCCACGCGACCTTTCTGTGCCGGCCGTACGTGACGCGCTGGTTCGCCCAGGCCGCGACCTCGACGGCCACCAAGAACGCCGTGTACCAGAGGGTGTAGTGGGCGATGGGTTCTCGGTGTTTGTGCAGGGCCGCGATGCACAGGTAAAAGATGAAGCTGACGTAAGGATGGAAGACCGAGTTGGCCAGGATCAAAAACAACAGGTCCAGAGTGATGACTCGGTACCACGGTTCCGTTTCCGACCGTGGAAGGTTGAAGCGAGGCGACCTCGACCTCGGCCTTGACCTCGATGACGCCGACGGCGACGACGTCGATGCCGGAGACGATGACGATGACACCATTGTTGGTTGTGCCCTTTTGGGCCCGCTCGGAAGAGAAAATAGTACCGTACTCCGTATGTGCTCGATTGGCCCTCAATTCCCTTTTCTCTTTGCTTTTGATCTTGTCGGAGCTATTAACTGCTGGTGCTGTCGGACTGTCGTGCGTACAAAGTGTTGCGACCCCCTTGCTACGTTTTGTCGATAAGTCGCCGCAGAACGCCCACGAATACGTTCCACTGTAGGTCAACAACAAAAGTTACTTAGGCACCCGATCATTGTACACAATACTCTGTGTTTAGCGACAAAAATCCCTATCGGTCCGTATGTATGGCCAGATTTCGAAATGGTGAAATGGTGAAGGTGTCGTTGATATCAGGGGTCTCCACCGCCAATGAGCGTGTTTCAAATCTGTGACGGGGATGAAACAAGCCACAACAAAATGACCGAACGGAAAAGGGAATGGAGAAAATCACGCGATGATCTCTTCCTTCCTCTATCATAGTCAGTCGTATCCGTACTACAGATCGATCTACAGCGACGTTATTGAGCGCAAGGAAATTGTCCAAGTATCATCTCAATTTTCATAGGGCTTATCATTGAGCTCGACAACGTCATTCGAGCATTAATAGCTATCCAGTTTCGCTTTCAAGACGGGGTATCGAGCAGAAAACTACTCGAGGTAGTCAAAAGATACAAGGCCGCCACCCGTCTTTTTGGTCTCTCCTCGACGACCTACGCAATGAAATGCGTCTGCTAAAAATACTTGCAGAAGGATGCACCTTCCAGAGTACTCGCAGTACCACTACCAATAACACTATTCTCTCCAGAGTCTGCTCAATCAATCTCTCCCGGCAATTCCCCAAGCAGTCCCTCTTCATCACCTTTCCCTGCTTCGTAGGGTGTGCCACTGCTGAGGTATGGCAATTCAGTGCTTGTTCCGTGACCCAACATACCCTCACCACTCCATTCGTATTCATCTTCGATGTTGAACTCTGCTCCTTGTCGAGCGCATCCATTACCGCCTTTCGCAATGATGTCGAGATCTTGCAGTTGCCGCGGGTCGAATCTGAAGCGGGGTTTACCAGGAATAGCCATAATATTAAGATCCTCGTCTCTGGGACGCTGGGTTCGGTCCATGTCGGGAAACAATGTGTTTGGGACTCGAAGTTCAGAGCTTTTGTGGTCTTCTCTGTAACCATCATTTCGACAACTAGGCCCAGCTTCCGTCACCTCCTCGATATCAGATTTATCTTGGATAGTAATTTCGTAGAGAGGTATGCCGATCGCTAGATCGTTCCGGAGCTGAGGAGACGTAGATCCTTGACCACTTCCCGTAACATGCATGGACTCTCGTTGCATCTCTGCTAGCGTATATTCATCTGGATCAGTTTCCGTGGGAGCAAATTGCTTTTCGAAAAAGGCTAGTCGTCGAGCTCGAAGAGCATGCTGATCTGGGGTTCCATTGTCATCACATGGTCTCTTTGTAGAGGGGAATTTGTCCACATCTTGACTTCGACTAGTATGGGTTGACACTGTTGCACCATTGCCTTGAGGAGCACTATCCGAAGATCCCGGCTTGAGATGCACACTTTCTGGAGAAGATTGGCCAGTCTCCAATGAAGAGGTATCACGAATCTGAGTGTTGAGTTGGCTTGACTGGTTGTGGACCGGCATCAAAGGTAGAGGTTCTGTTTCCTGGCTGGAGTAGGTGACTTTGATTTGCTCTGCAAAAGTCTTCAATGCAAACTCTGCTCGTTTTGAAAGAGGCCATGGCCGGTGAGCACAGTATGAACGCAGCAAATGATTTCTCTCTTCGAGTTCCTTCCACGTCATACTTGGGCTGTAGGGAAACGCAGCGTCAAGGGAGAAGTAGGCATGAGGACCGCTAGGTTTTCTCAAATATCGCCAGGTTCCTTTCACAATTCGGGCATCGCGACTTCGAAGCCATCTACCACCACTCGTTCTCGTATCCCAGGGAATGAATTGTCCAACAGGTTGATCTTGTTTTGGGTTAGGATCGATCTGGACACTGGGGTCATCATCTTGTTCATTACATGGCACTGAAGGGCATGGATCAAGGTCTAGGGAGGCTCTCCGGGCATTATCAGTAGTAATAGGGATGAAAATCGAGGGGTCACTTAAGGGCCAGGGTGGTCTCTCAGCTATTGATTTGTCAATATGGTTGTTGTATGGTTTCTCAGAGTAAGGTGAGGGTCGTTTGGGGTCGAAGGGACATTGTACATCCAGCTCTTGCAGCGAAGGCCTTGAAAATCCGCGGAATGTACCATCCTTTATCTTGTTGTCTCTCCAGTGAAGCCACCGTCCGTCTTGAGTGTCAATATCCCAAGCTACCAGGTTTCCCCAAGCATCTCGTCCATTGGCTAGTAGGACATCGCCTATTGGGACAGGGACGTACCCCGACTTTGTCGGCATTTCCTTGTCCTCTGTTTTTTGAGAGTTTTCTGATTCCGATCGAGCAGAAACCGCGGGTTTCACTTTGCGTGCTGATGGCCAATCATCGGCATCACTTTCGCTGTCACTATCCAGAGTTGGGAACCTGCGCCTCCAAGGTTGCCGTCGCTTGAGTTGGGCCTGGGATGATAAAGTCGAAGTCAGTTTCGTGCTTGACGATCGACGTTGGCCCTCGGGAGAGGGAGGGGACTGGGCTGTCCCCGGAACAGAGATCCCTAACATACCATCAGTGTGAGAAGCGAGATCATCTTTGTCCTTCTGCTCTAACAACGTCTTTTCTTTTTCGTCGAGATCTTGTTTCATCTGTCGCAGTTGCTTCTGCCGATGGAACTCCTGATCTTTCCTCAAGGTGAAAACGCGGTCTGTCACAGGTTCGAGAAAAGTTTCGGAGGGTATCTGTTCTCCGGCACCAACTCTCTCAAGGAGATTCCAAGCCCGTCGGAATTCGTCTCTGATCGAGACAAGGCCATTATGTCCAACAGTTCGCGCGACGTTGTGCTCAATTTCGAATGGATCCTCGATGGCGAGGAGGTAGCGCAAGCGAACACTCTTGTTCTTGCCCTCTACCCACTTGGCCTCCGTCCAGCCCTTCTGAGCCTTGGGTAAGATTCCACCTGGCTGTCTGATGGAGATGACATCTCGAGTCCAGAAAAAGCCCTCACGTGTTGCATAGTATCGGAAGAATCCACGAAGCAGCTGCGACGAACTCTCCTTGTTCTTGTTGGTGTTCGCCTCCTGCAAGTGTTTGAGGTCTCCAGGCTTCGAGAGGAATCTGATGTCGAATCCATCAAAGAGCTCAATCTTTCTGTCCGGGTACCAACTATCCTCGGTCTTGGCCAGGTATTGCAGATTCGGAATGACTGGAGGCGAGGCGACGTTCATCAAATAATGAAGCACCATCAATATGTATCCATAACTAGACAACGTACCACGATATGGAGTATTGATGTCTCTTGCCTTTGCCCAGATCTTGACGAAGGTTCCAACATCTCCTACGCGGCTATCCAAGCTCTGATACGTCCAAAGCAGATGCGAGTTGTGCACAGCGACGAAGTTGGTAAAGTTGACATCGCATTGTATACCACAGTCGCCGACGAACTCCAGGTTTGGATTTGTGCGCTTTGCCGGCTTTTGCGAAGATGCATCTTCCACCTTCAGATCCCTCAGGGCTTCACCGATCGAATTTACATCTGCAAGGGCTGATTCTTCCACTTCTGAGGTCTTGACAGTGTCAGGTAAAACAGTCTGGTTCATCTTCTCTGCGGGAACGTCTTTCTGAGGAATTTGATCTTGTGAAGCTTCTCCTGCTTCATTCGCTTCGGCAAGGCTCGATTCGGGCTCGGGTTGGAATGATGACTTTTCCCATGTTGCGCGGTATTCACGAAGGTTGTGAAGCAGCTCAGGAGATGGACGTTCACATACTCGCAGGATTGGCACGCGAGTATTAGTGAGTAACCTTGCTCCATAGGCTCTGTCAAGAAAGGCCTTTTCCAACACACGGCGAACCTCGACATTGAAAAGACATTCTTCATCCTCGGAGTCCTCACATGCATCGACATCAGCAGGAGCCTTTAGAGTAGCCACATCTTTTCCATTGTCTTCCCGACTTGGTAAGGCCAGAAGTAGATCCATGTCGCAGTTGGCCAAAGCAAATCCGTTCGCAAGACTGCCATAGCATTTCAATCTGATCTGGCCCGCATCAAGTTCAGGATACTTCGCACCCAAAGAATCTTTCGCTACCATTTCGAGATCACACCGGAATTTTTCTTTGACCCCGTATTCCTCTGGAGTAAGTCGATGTTGCTTGTGGGCATTATGGGCAACGATCCTTAGGTAGTCCGATTGCTTCATCAAGACATGGCGCATATGACGTTGCTGTTCCGCTGTTCCATAGAAGAGATCAGAATGTGGATGATATAGATTGGGTTGACGTGGATGGGGCTGTCCATAACCAGAGTACTGGATCATGGTAGATGGCACTGTTGGTGGCATGTTTGTATGATAGCCGTAACGGCCTCCACGACCCCGGGAATTACCTCTAGCAAGATCCTGATATTCTCTTGCTGTACCACGGCGCGCATTAGTCGAGGGATGCGTCTGTAATTGCGGTGGTTGAGTTTCAGAAAAAGGAATGTCGGATCGGAGGGGAGCTGCTGAATTGGATCCCAAAGGCGGGAAATCCTCGACGGCGGGCGGAAGTTGAGATGATGTCTGATGGTTTATGAAGGAAGACTGATTCATCTGGGAGGAGTGATAGCCACGGTGGTTCCTGCCTTGACCTCGCCTGCCCCAGTTGCCACGTCCTCCTCGGCCTCTTTGCGGTGGTTGGTGAGCCATGTTCTGAAGTTGACCCCAGACATGGTCGTCGAAGCCAGAATTCTGGTCGGTGGGTTTCATGGTTATTCACCAAGTGAGATCAGGTCAGAAAGACCGCGATGTGCTGAAAGAGTTGAATGGATGTTTGTTGTTGGCATGTGGTGATGTGCCTGGAAATTCACGACAAGCAAGAGGGGAAAAGAGGGTGGGCACATGAACATATAAGTAAGGAAAAGGGACTGTGAATGCAGAGACAATAGGCAGCGCTTGTCATGCTTGATGAGTTTTTTGGATGAGGACCTGATGGGATGATGGTTTTGGTGGATATGAGAGATCGATTGCCTGGTTGTTGGTTGTTCGTTGTTGGTCGTGGTTTCGGCAAAACTACCAGAGGTAGGACGCGGATGTTAGTTATTAGTGTTAATAATGTGAATCGAGGAAGGAAGTTTGTTGATCCGGTTCCGATGATATTGTCTTGGCGCTGACCTCATTTCGGGCTTAGTGGCTCTATCAACCGTCACATACAAGTCGCGAGTACGGATTCAGAATACCTATTCGTATCCAGGTCCATGTTCATGTAAACCTCAACTACAACTTCTTGCTGTAGTTGAAGATTCTTCTTCCTTACCTCTCATTGTACCAACACCCACTTGTTATCCTGCATATTTCCTACCCTCTGTATCGACCTCAACCCTACCCATATCCTTTGCCGGCCTACCTCAAGCCAACAGACAGTTCGATGCTCTCATAGCAGAATGAACGTAGGTTCCGCCCCCGCAGGTGGACCTGCGCAACAGCCTCTCGAGAATCGCCCTGTGGTGAAACGTAAGAAGCCTCAATCCGATCCTTTTTTCAAGGGTCCAAAGAGGAATCCTGCCTTCAAGCCTCAGCTCAACAGTCATCCGACGCCTCCTTTGAATGGCCACCTTCCGTCCAAGTCGCAATCCCTACAACCCTTGACCCCAGCAAGTCAGCGCGATATCTCTCTTGCGAAAAGTTCGATACCAGACAATGAGCGCTACAGCGGCTTTACCGACCCGCGCGTCACTGCCGAGGGCATACCTTACAAAGATTACAGACTAGTGACAACAAAGAAAGATCTTTTAGCTGGTCTGAGGTACCACATACTACAATTAGCTGGAGACAAAGTTGTCGACATTCGCAATGAGTCGGAGTTTCCAAAGCCTGCTCGATTGCATCGACGCGATCCTAGAGCTCCGCCTCCCGGACATCAACACCAGCACAAAGAAGAGGATCAGGGACAACCGGAGCCAAAGGATGGCCTTAATGCCGCCGAACGAGAGGAGTTGACAAGAAGGAAAGAGATCCGACAGAAGGAACGCGAGGCGAATCTCGCCCAGATTGCGCCGTCGCAGAATGCCGCAAACAAGAGAATGAACGCGTTCAAGAAGAAGACCCAACAAGTGTTTAGGCCTGACTTTTCTGCCGAAGACAAGCGCCGAATTCAAACAAACTATGAGGAGAAATTGCCCTGGCATCTAGAAGACTTTGACAGCAAACATTGTCTGATCGGTAGCCACCAGATGGGAGCGATGAGCTCCAACGCAGCGTTTGTCTTCGAACCTGGGGTCGACCCTTCATCAGGACGAGTTCGACTGATTCCAATCGAGAAAGTCTATCAGTTCAAGCCAAAGCGAGAATTGGCGCAGCAAATGACCATTGAAGAAGTCGAGGCTGCCATGAAGAAACGAGGTTCCGATCCAGAATGGTTGATTCGTCAACGAGAAGCCCGTGTCGCCGAAGCGTCCAGAGACCTGGCTGCAAAGCGTTCCAAAGGTGTCTTCACGGGCGCCCAGACTCAAAACATAGCAGGCCGAACTGGTGAAGAAGCTGACCTGGACTATGAAGATGACTTTGCCGACGACGAAGAAGGCGATCTTTTTGTTGACAAGGACGAAGATGAAAAGCTTGCCGAGAAGCGTATCAAAGAGGATCAGCTCCAAGCAAATTTCCTCGACTTCAAAGATTTGAAAGAGTATGATGAGGCGGAAGAACGAGAAAAGCGCGAAGCCGAAGCTCGTAAGCGCAACTTCAAAGAATTACGTAAAGCCCTCGAACGACGCGAGCACAATTACAATCATGGAACCGATTCTGAGTACGAGTCTTCCGTAAGTCTTCATTCTTTGTCTCTGTGGACTTCACTGACAAGCATTATCAGACCGACTCTGAAGAAGAACGCGAGCGTCTTGAGCGCGAACGTATCGCCAATATCAAAAAAGAAGATGAGGACGGTAAGAAGTCTGCCGTTCCTAGCCCAGGCGGCACTCCATCAGGGCGAAGGGAAAAGAAAGGCACGGGCAGCGATCGTGAGAGAGCTCGCGGCCTCAAACGTCCTGGAAGCCCTAATCTCTCCGAAGCCAGCGGCACCGATGCCTCGACTCGCAAGAAGAAACTAAAGTCCAAGCATCTGTCATCCAGCCAACCCACTCCCAGTGTGTCGAGACCCATGTCTCCCGCCAATGTGCCTGGTCAAGTCCGGAAACGAACTGGCGCTGGTTCGGACACTGAAGCCGGCATGAGTGACCGCGATGGTGGGGTAATGTCCGATGCCAGCCGTACTCGAAAGATCAAGTTGAAGATGAGCGCTAGTCCGCCTGCGACGAGCCCATCGAGCCGGGCTGTGAGTCCTGCGCCAGGCATCGCTGGCGGTGCACCAAGTCCGACGTCAGCACCTACAGCCTTTCCAAGTGTTCAGGACATTAAGAATGCAATCCCGTCACATGGGATCACTATCAAGGATCTCATGAAGATTGTGGCGCATCCAAAAGAACGACGAGGTGAATTCGTCAACCTGGTCAAGGAAGTTGCCAAGATGGATAAGGAGAGGAACGTGCTGGTGCTGAAATAGACACTCCTAAGTCGGGAAAGCATGTCTGGCTGATATCGGCATGGCACAAACTGTCGAGGTGTATGAAGGGAGACCTTTCACAAACTTCGGCAATTCACTCAAGGCTGTAAGTGTTATGGATTTACCTGAGGCCTACAATAGGTAGGCCGGTGGCCACTGAGCAGTCTGGTCATTAGCAAATGTATGAGATAAAACAACAATATCATTTTAAAGCGCCTTGACACGTCACCACCTGGTGTCGATTTCTGTGATCGGAAAGCTCTGCATGCCTCGACTCGCGGGGGTTTATGGTGCACTAACGGAGGTATTATCTAAAGAGTATGGTCTCAGCTTAGACTTCTGAAGCCATATGGATAGTTAAACTTGATACTTCTAGACAGATCTTCTTTGTAATCATAAACTTCCTCTTTGGTTTACAATTACAGGATCAATATCAGTTGTTGATGAAGTCGACTGAGCGCGAAAGGCGGCGGGTCACTTCGTCCAAATATAGTAAGATTCTTTGGTGGCGAGCTAAAGCGGCTTCACTTAACGCATCAATCCAGACGCGTCTTCTACGCGACATTCGAATCGTGACTCTACACAAATCACCAAAACCAAATACCACTACCTCATAACATGGACAGTGAGAGCAATGATCGATTGGAGGGAACGTGGATATGTACCAGACTCCGATGATGAGGATGAGGACATTGAGAATGTTCAGATGGTCCCTCGTTGCAGCAACATCCAAGAAGTCGTCGACAATGGATCTCCTCTCCCGAGCGGATCAGCTCGCCCGCCTCATAAGCCCACGCAACTTCAGCACAACGATGGAAACAGTGTGCTTGATGAGATTTCCACTACTGGCAAGACTGTTGTTCCACCTGAACCGCAGGATCCAGCCAAGAGTTCGATCTCACCAATCCATCGGGCTCAAAGTTTCCCCCCGGCAATAACCATCGCTGGAATCTCCTCACAATCAACTGCCACTCTTCTCGAAGCCGAGCTACAAAAGGGGCTTCGAACCGTGCACCATGTGCTGTCGAGTGCAAACGATGGGCTGGTAGTCGATGATAACGACAGCGATAGTCCTCTTTCATCGCCGCCTGACTCTCCACAGAGTGTGCATGGCCTTGACCCCCCTGTCCCTGGCTCTGCAAATATTCCTGATAATAGACGGACTGACGCTGCTCTGCACGACGATTTGGTCCGACATTTGATTGGACGCTCCCTCAGAACTCGAAATCCGATTCAGCTACACCCATACGCACTCGAGGATGCCAGATACCGCCAGAGTTTGAAGGAAAGGGGGCTAAGACCTGTTCGGGCCCCAAAGTCTGGCCTGAAACTTCAGCATGGACCCGAAGAGGAGTCCCAGGATGCGGAAACATGCGAAAGCTGCCAGACCCAAGCGCTGGATCAAGATCCTCAGTCCACCAGCCAGGTCCGAACGACTAGTGATGAGGAATCTCAAAGTCCTATACGTGCCACTCGGACTCGCCCGACTGTTTTTGATCCGCCATTAGACGATGATTTACCCGAGCTATCAGACCTTTTGAGTGGCACCATTCCTCATGCCGTGTCCAAAACGGCGAGGTTTCCGAAGAATACGAAGCGACGAGGCGTTTCGGCAACGATGATTTCAAATGACGACTTTCAAATTTATGATCTTCCAGGAGACGAAGGTAGCGCAGGAACTAGGGCTACAATGAAGAGGAGGAGCTTACTCGTTCCTCCGTCCCCACCCCAATCACGAGGAACATTGTCTTCAGAAGACAGTCTTGATTCCCTCGACCACTTATCATTGCCAGGCAGCACCACGCCGCGACCTCTTCCGACTCCGTTGCTATCATCCGACAGAAACGCTAGGAAGAAATTGATTGAGCCACTCAGTTCAGATTCGGAGATATCCATTGAAAGTGGCGGAGTTGAAGACCTTGGTAGTTCTTCTGAAAGCTCCGTGGGTAATCCACAAGGTATACAAGGAATACGCCGCAAAATCAAAGGTGTATTACCGGCTTCTTGGCTGAAGTTAGACATTAATAAGCAGCAGCGCGGTCACGAGGGAGATAGAAGACACGGACGGTCGCCGATTAAGGCCAATCTAGAGAAGGGGGTTGCGCAACGAGTCTCAAGAACCGCGCGGCCCAACAGACTAAACAGCCATATTGAGTCAAGAACCGAGTTTCCGGCCCTTTTTGCCGAGAGTGATTCAGATGAGCCTGCTTCAAGTGGCGTCAATGAGGCGACGTATGATGCTTCAATAGATCTCGCTGATGATGTGGTCGAAGACAACACAGTTGATGCTATGCTTGCTCCTAAAGCCCGAAAGACAATATCAATCCGCAGTGAGCCCCGAAGAAGAGGCGACACGCGGGCAAAAGCACAATTGACGCGTGATGGCAGAAGGCGTGGTGCCGATGCAGATACTCGTCAACAGGTGAATTGGACAGCGAAAAGACTTGAATTGAAGCGAAATTCACGTTCTGCGAAAAGAGTGAAGAAGAAGCACGGAAAGCCACAGATGACCATTTTAGAAGCCCCTGGCTTCAAAGAGAAGGAGGTGCCACGGTTTCTGAAAATTGCTGGAAGACGTAAAGCAAGATTTGTTGAGCGCCTGGCACAGGAGCCAGCTCGGAAGTTCTTCCAACTGTCGACGATTCAGGATACTATAGACGTCAACAGAGAGTTGGAACTATGGAAAAGTCGGCAAAATATGGGGGGTGGTGCTGACTTTGATAACACAGACCGTGCTCTTCATTCTCAACCACGCTGTGACAATAAGGAGGATCCTGCAATCACCTTCAATCAGCCGACCTCGGAACTCGACTCTCTAAAACAAGCTACCAAAGATACTCTTCAACGGATAAATCGAAATCATCAATTCGATCCCTCACGATCAACGAACACCATGGATCGACAGGCCCTGTCTACTACGATCCGTGGCTTCTTTATGGCTCAACCTGGACAGCGGAAGAAAATCCTTCCTGGGTCGTTGCAGCCTTCGATCGAAAAATTTCGATCGTCTTCTAGAAAACATACAACCATGGTTCGCGCCCCAAAACCCGCAAAAGAGCAAACGGTCCTGTCGGCAGTCCGCGGTACCTTGGGCAATGACGTTCCTTCTGCGAAACGCTATCAGCGGAAGACAAAGCCCATCAGGTATTCTATCTCAACCCTCTCTTGTTGGACGAAGAACACTAACAAAGAACAGGAGACTAAGTGACACAAGACGCCATAGCCTTCAGGATAGTTTGTGCTACGATGGCAATATCGCTGAAAGTGACAATCATCTGAGCTCGAGGTCTAGCAGTGCTCAAAGCCTCAGTGTACCCGCCCTTCATTCTCTCTCTCCAATATGCAATGACCTTCAGAGACCTCCAAAATCCATTCTCCAACATGGCATGCTCTCCACTGCGATGGAGTTTCTGAAGAATACCTTGGTTTCCTCTACACTAACATCAATGACCGTCCTTACTGGCCTGTTTGAAGCCAGGGTCGCACACACATCAATCAGGACACCAATATCCGAGCATGCTGTTCCATGTAATTCCTGGTCACAAGCTACCCAGGACGTCACCCGTCAAGCTTTTGTGGAAATTCTGTCAATCATCAACAGCGATACCAGCCAGGACGCGTACATCACTATGTTGCGAAGCGCTACTCGATCATTGCAGACTATGGTCACGTACGTTAACGAGAGCCTCTACTTCGACAATCAGATTCAGCTAAAGAGCTTCGTCCAATATATGGCAGAGAATCTGGAGACGGTCTCGCATTCAATCAGTTCATACGTGACGGTGGATTCGACCTCGAACTCTTTTGAGCTGCTTCATATGCTCAACAACTTGATGCTTCTGGCATATCAAGCTTCCAGGGTCGCGATGATTGATGCGGATATCAGCACGAAAAGATGTACCGATACTCTTCATAAACTGGCCACACAAGCCTTTGTACTGGCATTTCGAAAAGAATACCTCAGAAAAATCTGTCGAGCTGTGAGCAATAATCTTGAAGATAAGCCCGCTGTAAGCGCAGCTCTTGTGGAGATATCGGCTTCTGAAATCGAGACTATAGCCATAATCCACAAGCTCGGCTGCAGCTACGCGTGTCTCTCTCAATTAAACGGAGTCCTTTCAGGCCATCAGATCTATACCTCATTCAAACAGCCGGATGAGGCTCTTGCTTACATCATTATGTCCCTCGCATCTTTCTGCACTATTCTTGGAAAGACTGAGGTAGAAAAATACGATCGGCAAAGAGGTTCTTCTTTGGCGTCACTAGGACTTATAGCATTGTCAAATGCAGTGAATGCATTCATCCCCTTCTCCTTGGATGAGCAACACAAGAGACGGAAAGATCGAAGATACACTGCTATGCTTCAGCGCTTTGGGATCACGGCTTTCCAGTGGTGTCTTTATCTAGTACGCATCTTGGACACTAATGATGTGAACAATCTTTTAAGGAAGATGTTCAAACACTATTCCAACAAGACGAACAATATGCTCGACTTCTTCGGCCACACTCGTTCTGGGGCACCACCATTTCTCGACAATCAGCTCCCTGTTTCGGATTTGGTTCCTGAGCCCCATGACACAGATTATGACCTGTTCTTGAAACTCGTCGCCTTCAACCTCGGTTCCATTCCGGATAGCGATCATGATGACACTGGAATGGAAGCAAAACACGCTATGCGCAAACTATCGCTGATATTCAGTCTCTTGCCGAATACGGGTCCTGATGTTGAAGATGATAAGCCATTGCATACTGTGGATTATCACTCCATGGCCAATCGCTATCTCTTATTCGTAACCTTGTACCACTACTCCCCTACAGGACTGAAACCTGAGCTTTCACAAATTCGGGGACTTGTCAAGTTCGGCAAAGCTCATTCTGCTGTGTGTGGTATCGTTCTGGACTGCTGGCTCAGAATTGTCAAATCCATTGTCTCACAGCCAGCGTACACATTAGAGCTACGGCAACTTGGATCGTGGATTCAGGACATGATCGTTCAAATCCATGAAAAGATTGAGCTGCTCCCGGTCAGCTCTACCCAGTTTGACAATATCGAGAAACATCTGCGAAATCAAGATAGCGCTAATCAACAGCTACGCAAGCTCGCTGGAGTGTATGCCGACGCCATCGACCTCTGCTCTACTGAAAGTCAAGCAACCGATCTAATCCAAGGCGATCGATTGGATGACTTGATCGAAATGTGCAATCCTTCCTTGGAGCTTGACGACGACACAGTCGCAGCTATCTTCCGTGTCCTTATACCTTACATCAAGAAATGCCACAATGACCTCAGCCCGGTACTGGAAGTTCAACAACAGATACGAAGAATTCTCGTTGCACAGCTTCACCGAGCAGAACCCCTGAAAGACACATTGCTGGCCTCATTGGTTGACTTATGGTTCGCCATTGCCTACTGTAAGGTTGTATCGGGTAGCGAAGATTGGGATACCTATCTTTCCAATTGGGGAGCCTATTCCTTTCCAAGGCTTGCAAGTAACGCACCGGGCACCCATTGCCACATCCTTTTCGTGAGTAAGGTTGTTGCTGACGAGGAATACCTGAAAACGAATATGTTTGATATCCTTGAAATCTGGTTGTCTTCCATTCTGAAGCCAATAGGTGAGATGAAGTTTGAGCACATTGTGACAAACAAACTACTGCAGCATGCTCCACGCGTGCTTGAATTGGCTGCTCTGTTTCCGGAGAGAATGATCGGGATACAAACTTCAGTTCTCAGCTTCGATGATTTCATCCAACAACGCCCATCCATCCTGAAACACGTTATCCGTCAAATCTACCTTGTTGGGCGGACCCGAATCCCCGCGGCAGAGTCCTCCAAGGATCAGTTGCTGCGACTACTACGCACCATTTCTAGAGCCATGAACAATACTTGGGAAAGGACCCCACACGGAGAAAGAACAGCGTTAGCTGCTTTTATGCATGGACTTATCTTCGAGCTTAATGCGTCTCCATTTCCAGAGTTCAATTGCGACTTCTCTTACATTTCGTATGCTCCAACCGCTGAAGACAAAGCTATCCAGCTCGAAGGCCTGTTTATTCGCAGCGCGGCACAGCCTGGTCGTGTCAACTATGAACTTGCCGTCCAGGTTCTTGGGAGCGTCTGCCAGTTGGCGTCCTCGAGGGAGAAGGACGAAATAGGCGATCGTCTGGGCACGACATTCTCCGCAGGTGACTTCAATTACATCGATGATGATGGGCAGTTTCGCTTGGATATTGATGCTCAGCTAGTCTTCATGAAGGCCGTCTTTCCTGTCTGGCTTGAGCTTACTTGGACCCAAGTCGTCGAGCATAATCATTCTGTGGTCAAACTCCTATGTATTGTTGCCTTCAGCGTTCTCGATAGCCTGGAAACGCGAATCGATCTTGAAGACCAGACTCGAATGGAACAATTTGCTGAAGTGTGTGTGGGCATGCTTGTGGCTGTTGGAAAAGCATTACAGGGCGTCCCTCACGACCTGGCTGGGAATCCTAGGAAAGTGGACTTGCTCGCTGATCTCATATCTCTTTGTGCGAGGTGCTGCAACCGATGGGCTTATCTGCACCTCCTCTTTCCAGGCTCTGAACGACTGAGCGCTCTGCAAATTCATGTGCAGGCGTATGGGCTCTACACTCACAGCTATGCTTGTTCCGCCGTTGGGATGAAATGCCGACATTCCTGGGTCCAGAAGATCAATTTCGTCCTTGCGGAACCTGATTTTCTTGACCAGGAAGAGATTGTTATGATCAGAGATTATGCGGTCAAGGAACTGGGCAGACTAAGCCGTGCTGGAGAGGAGGATCTATCAATGGACATCGCTGTGTCCAGGTTGCAGGTGGAATATGCAGGGGAGGAGATGGCTGAGGCGTTGGACTTGTTAGGCGTGGACGATGATTGGGAGGTGACCACATCATTAGAGTAAGAAGCGGGCCGCAAAGCTCACGCAATGACTTTCGGCATAATGCATTCGATCATTCGGACTCACTAAAATTGAAGAAACAGCCCTTGATTGTAACGATGTATTGCAGAACTGGATAGATGACTGCATGAAGAATACAATTCGTAGACGAGCACGAGTCGTCCGTAGTGACAATGAGACGAGGCTGTGATGCAGCCTTGCAGCCTTATGTTATCGATAACGTGACGAGGGGGTTGCTGGGCAACAAGTGGAGTCTGCTATATTGTACACTTTGCCGACACCTCAAGTCTCGCTTTGACCATACCCTCATTCCTCAGTCCAGCTGCGGAGCATTCCAGTCTCTCGTTGATATCTCTAGAGACGAACCTCAACATTCCAACTCTGAAAGATGGGTGTCGAGCCTCCGTTCATTTACGACCGACCGAGCACCTACACATTCGGAGGGCCAACCCAGCGTGCGTTCGATCCCAAAGCTGCCACTCGAGCATCATGGGCACCGAAGCCAGCGAAACCAAAGCAAGATGGGCCTTTAATTGATTTCAACAAACATCCTGATACTGTATGTCTAGACTACGGGATTTGTTTCATCTACCATCTATGAGTACAATCAAATTGATACATTTGCAGTTCGTGGCTATTCCATACGGGAACCTCAACGCCAAACCCATGCCTCCCAATACTGAACGACGAGTCACCAGGGGTCGTCAAACCCTACTGCTTATGCGAATCTGTAGCCTGTTGGGGGCTCTGGGAATCCTCTTCTGTGTCATCGCCATCAACAAAGTCGCGTCCACGATTGGCTGGATCATTCGAGTTGCCCCTGCGGTCGCCATCCTACACACTCTCTATGGAATATATCACCTTTTCAAAGCCGCCGCCGGTAGAACTCCTGGCTCGACCGCAAGCTACATGGTATTTGCAGGCGTGCTCGACACTGGCTTGATCCCATTCTTCGTCTTTTCGGCGTGGCTGGCACACGCAGACTACGCGGAGAATAAATACGGCTGGAGCACATTGTTCAAGGATTCGGACATCTCATACAAAATCATCTATGCTCTCTTCTTGCTATCATGTATTGAAGGCGGCCTCATGGCGGTATCTCTGTTTTTGGACATTTACTTGGGGGTAAAGTTCCGCCAGATCGCCAGGCTTCCTCCTGATCTCAATCCTCTTGAGCCAAACTTTACTTCGCGACACAAACGGAACAAGTCCGAGGGTATCACCGAGAAGAACATGAGAAATTCTGAACTGGCTTCCAGACGAGTATCTCAAGGGACAGGCTTCAAACGGATTCCGTTTGTGCATACCCGTACCGATTCGGCAGACAGCGTCACGTTGTATGGTAGCGAAGCTGCACGCAACTCCAGGGTTGGGTTGAGAAAGGAGATTGACGACAACGAAAAGGATCCCTGGCATTGGTCAAGAACATCCTCTCCTACACGACCCGGCTCTGCAGTCAACCCGTCACCCAATTCACGTGTCGCCGGTGCCGGTCTGGAATACCGTCCGGAGCGCTCTTCAGGACTGGCCCAACCAACAGCAACAACAGGCCGCCCAGCTTCCTGGCTTTCATATCTCGACTATGAAGGTGTGCCTAGCCTCATGAGTGATGAAGCCAATGATGAACTCGACCACGAAGTTCGGCCTGTTTCTCCAGTCTCTGCTCTCTCGATGCATGATGCCTCTCATGGAACCATGAACAATGAGCGAGAGAATCGGTACCAGCCATCTGGTCGTGACAGCCAACAACCTCAGTCGTATCCGGCACACAACGGCAGCCAGGTTTTCACGCAATACGACAATGCCAGCCAAAGTAATATAAACCATCGGCTGCTGCAAGCACAGTCTCCACCACAACCAAAGCGAAGTCGTGAACCACTTGCAATGAACCCTCCATCGCCGGTCAGAGGGCAATTCGCCAATGAGAATGTGTACTCGACGCCATTGCGTCAGGTCCAATCTTCAGACTACTATCATGCTCCTCGGGGCGTTCTTTCTGACGCAGATGTCAACAGCAGTCAGAATCGAGGCAATGGAATGTCGCCCCGACCAGCAAGCTTCATGGGGAGTGCTTCCAAGGCTCGTTTCTACGGAGACCTCAAATCACCCGGCGGTTCGGTATCATCCCAAGGCTACCACAGTGACCAGAAAATAAACACCAACGCAGGTGCTCTCCGAGAAGTCGAGGACCTCTATGGACGCACCAAGACCATGCAGACGGAAAGTGACTATAGTGCCAATTTCGACGTTTATGACAGCGATGATGATGATGGAAAACTTTCGGCCAACATCGGTGGTGGTCATGCGCCAGTACAGGGTCAGCAGTGGAACGGCGCTCGACAGATTTCCAATTCCACAGGGTACGACTTGGCTGGTGGGTATGCTGGACTCGGGTCCGAGTTTGGCGCGGGCATGGGCCGCCGACGTGATGTGAGTGGCAAAGTAGCAGAAGAAGGTCGTGCTTCACCGCCGAAGAAGACACAAAACAATACCAAAAACGGAGCCGCAGGCTGGGAGAGGTTCAAAGGGTTGTAATTGTGTCGAGACGGATGATCATCGACGGGACACACGCCATGGAAGCACGCACTTTACGCCTGGGATCGAGAAATTGAAGGGCGGGCATAATAGTATGACTGGGGACAATGGGAATGGGAACGGAGTTCTTCTGGATCATGGGACTATGGGAAAGGGAAAGAGGAAATGTTATTTGTGCTTGGATCATATCGACGCCAAAATGTTTGCCTCGGGAAAATGACAAAGAGACTACTGCATCAGAAATACCCCTTGGGATTGGCCGACAGTCGAATTTGAGATCAGATGATGATGGCACTTTGGATCGTGTAGGTGCAATAGGAGTTGGTCGATTGGTAAAGTAAAGGAATGCAAAAAAAGTCGTTTGAGAGAATGCGGGAGTAATTTGCTCTTCCCTCTGTTCTGCAAGCAAATACCACAGGGCATCAGTATCAGTACTCGTACTCGTAGGGACCTTGAGTGTCCACTGGTCCTCGAGTAGACAGAGTACATGATACGCGATACGTGGTATTCTTAAGTACGTACTGTATGTCCTGGTGCTGACAGAGATGTTGTGTAAAAATACATCACTCCCAACAACAACAACATGGGATCACCTCGGAGACAAAGAACAAGAACGTGATAACAACGAGATGACGACGAGACAAAATGTAACATCACAGTGGGATACTGTCTACCATCTACTGTATTAGTGTCTGTATACTATAAAATGAATGACCTTCGGCAGGACCCGGTCTCTCGCATCTTCCAGATCAAAGACACTCGTTAGGTTTTTACTCGTACAACCGACTCATTACACTCTTGAAATGGGGTCTCTTGCCATCACTGACGTGTTGTACGTATCTTCCCCCGACAAGACGAACCCCGACCACCTTCATTGTAAAGTGAGTGAGAGAGAGAGGGCCTTCTTTTTTTCAAATCAACTCCCGCCTCCCACAAAAAGAGTCCACACACCAGGGTTCCCACTCGCGACGGCACCACTCGCGTCCGGGGCACCGTCGGGGTTCACGTCGTCGTAGGCAAACGCGTAACCCTTGCCGTCCAGTTCCACGGAGTGGACGGCCTGGGAGTACCGGTTGGTCGGGCTGGTGGTGTAATAATCACCGGCGGGCAGGCCGGGCTGGACGTCCCCGCCGGCCAACAACAGCGTCGTGCGTTGCAACGCCGCGCACATCCTCGGGACGACGGCGAGCGTCACGTCGTTGTCGCCGTCTTGCTGCCCAAACACCCCCTGGCACCCGAAGATGTCGAGGGCGCTGGGTTGGGGGATCGATCGTGACGCACCCTGGCAGACCAACGACCCGGACGCCGTGGAACACGGGACGTCCCCGACGGCGGCGTTTTGTGAATGGATCGTCAGCGTCTCGGAGGCGTACTGCGACCACACGCTCTGGACATAGGGGGCGTAGTAATCACTGAACGCGTCGCCGTGAACGGCAATGTACTTGCCGGGAGAGTTGGCGCGGAGAGGCGAACCTCCAGACTGAGCGTACTGACAGAGTTGGTCCCAAGGTTGGCCGTCCTGTGAGGCGCGAGGCGTCAAGTCGTTGCAGACCGTCGACACGGCTCCCTGGGCCACGCCGCTCACGGTCTGCGTGCCGCTGCCGTCGGTGGTGGTGAGTTGCATCCCAACGGGCATGCCTATAAAATCGACGAAAGTCATGTCCGCGTACAGTCCACCGGCCTGGGTGTAGGTCATTTCGGCAAAGCCCCAGAATATTCCCGCCGAGGGGTCGGTAGGGTTCTGCGGGTCCGGGCTGACCAACGTGACACCCCCGGAGGCCGTTTCCAAGGTATAGAATCCGAGGTTACCAGCGGCGAAGTACACGCGGCCGGAGATGAAATAGTCCGGGAGTGTGAGGCTGGTGGTCTGCCCTTGGTTGCCGAGAGGGATGGCAATGTCCTCGGTGATGGCCTGTGGAACGGTCGTCGAGCTGGATGTAGGGTAGTACCATTGCCCTGACGGGGTGAGGATGATGACCCGGTTTGAGGTGTCGAGAGCTGTAATGTACACGTTCGTGCCGGAGCCGTAGTTGTTCACCAGGTCCAGACGAAGGCCGGCGGCGGCTTCTGGCTGTGGAGGTCCGTGGAATGTGGCATTGGGATTAGTACCGTTGAGTGTGTTGAACGGGGTGAGTTTGATGTCGTTGACACCGCCTGGAGACACCACCACAGGGCCGGATTGCCGTTTGACGACCGGTGCTCCAAAAGCCGTTGAGGCGAACAAGTTGGCGCAGGCAAGGAAATAGCATAATACATTGGGTATGGAAGTGAGATGCATATTGCTTGAATATCACAAAAGGATATTGTACAACACTTGAGACAAGACTACAGACAACAGATAAGACAAAAAATGAAGGACTGAGGGTCAGAAAAAGGCTGCAAAAGGAGTGACTTGGTGAGTTTGCCTGAGGAACTCGTTCAGGTCGATGGGATAGCCATTCTTATATATCTCGGATGCATCCTCACCTAAATCTACCAAGATGAGAGGTATATACCCTGCTTGGACGGCAACGACATATCCGTACAGCCGAGTCGAGTTGCTTTCGAGAGGTGTTGAAGCTTCCTCGATCACGGCCTTGAAATTACTTGGGCCTTCATGTGGGCGCTAGAGCAGAACTTGACCCGCGTTCTTTTCCGAGGACAGGCTACAGTCCGTGGTAGGTAGGGTTGAGGTAAGTTCGAGACGAACGGGTGTGAGCGGATCAATGTCCAAAGAAGGGCAATGCGTCAAATCAGATATTCTGATGCTACCGCTGGCGGGACCTGGAGGTGCGTCGTAGAGGTCCCAGTGTCCGGATCGGGTCAGGTACATACCTGTGAGCAGATATGCGGCAAGACTATCCGTGGTCGTCAAAGAGCGGGATGGTTCAAGGTGTCGTAAATATGCTGAGACTCGCCTCGTTTAGATGATCGAAAAGAGCGTCATGCCCGGTCGTATTGTACATTTTGTGCATATTTGCATGGAGGCGAAGCAAGATGCAATTTCGAATGCAGAGACAGTGAGGTTGCAGGGTGACATTGAACAAGTGAAAAGAGGTCGAAACCGATGGCCAACTGAGATGTTCCAGGCAAAAGTAGTGACTCCGTAAGTGTCTGCGATGCAACGCGTGGAATACAACGTACAAGGAGTCAAGGGGGTTGGAAGTGGAAGGTCGGGACGGACTAGCCAGTCGATGAGCGCTAATCTGGAAGTCACCGATCTCAAAGCCTCGTCTCGTCTTGCATGATCGTTAGTATATCAAAGCCAAGAAACACTTACTTCCCATGTGCTCTCTTCGATCATGCAAATGCACTCCGTATGTGTGGCTGGCATGAATCTGATGCTCAAGACGATCAGATCAAGAGTGATGTACTCGTACAATGCTAGTGGAGATCATGTGCAACTCGTTTTCGTCCTGTCGATCGACAAGAAGCTGTGGGGTCCGATGAGTCGCTGTACAATAAAAGTATGGTCTAGGGAAGACATCGAGGCCACTACCGAATCCGTACCCAGTGCTCCGTACCTACTTACGTGTTCTTTGTGGTCTCAAAAATCTTCATAGGTGGCAGGGCTATCCGTAGTCACTCCTCTGATCGTCCTTGACAAGATTGCGTTTTGGAGGAATTGGCCAAGATCCGGGGTTGAGGTGGTGTCGTGTCAGGGGTACAGGTAGGAGAAGGTTACATTTTTCGAAACGAGGGAATTTCCCACTATTATCTCCGTGAATATCGCTGTTTCGCGCGCGGCGACATCAGGAGAAGTACGGATAATGAAGTTGTTGTTACCGTCCCTGATATTCCGTCGATTGATTGATCAAGGTCATAGGGTGTAGTACTGTAGTCAGGAGGACCCGGAGATGCTGAGGCCTTTGCACCAATGGCAAGATGAACAGGACGGGGTAATCGATGAACTTAGGAGGCATTGGGGATGAGAAATACGGCGATCGTTCTCTATCACACCTGACGGCATTATCAATAGGTTCGTTGCAATTATTGACAAGGCTGGAATATATTGATACGGAATGCGTATGTGAACAAGAAGGTACAGATTCCGGCCCGTAGTTCTGCCGTTCCGCCCGAGGCACTTCATATCATGTCATTCATCCATTCTACAACCCTACACAAAAATCACCTCACTTGCCAATACACTCATAACAGCATTCCTTTTGTGTTTATACTGCTCTATAGTAGCGCTGTAAGTCTACAGTAGGAGCAGAAGATACAACAACAACAACTCCATCGTCAGTCATCATATCAAACGCAGCTTGAACCTCACATAACAACGACAATGTCATCCAAACGAGCTCTTACCACCCTCTCAAATTCTCTCAAAAAACACCTCTCCTGCCCCCTCGGCGTAGCTTCAATCTCGTCCTCATCCACACATGTTCACCCCCAGCCGGTGTCCCCCGCCGCAAGACCACCATCCCGGGTAACCTCAGCCATGCCTATGCGCCAACCACGTCGACATTTCACCACCACCCTCGCCCGACGAAAAGAGGACCCCTCGTCTACCTCAAAGATATACAGCATGGCCGACATCCAGAGCCTCACGGAATCTCCCGACCCTCACCGGATCTTGATCGACGTACGTGAACCGGCCGAGTTGAAATCTACAGGCAAGATCCCGGGGAGTTACAACCTACCCATCTCGGCATCGGACGCTTATTTCCTCCCGGCCGAAGAATTCGAGGAGAGGTTCGGGTTTCAGAAGCCGGGCAAGGAAGACGAAGTGATTTTCTACTGCAAGGCCGGCGTGAGGGGGAAGGCGGCGGCGCAGTTGGCGAGGCAGGCCGGGTTCGGTGGCAAGATTGGAGAGTTTCCGGGCAGTTGGCTCGAGTGGGATGCAAAAGGGGGGAAAGTTGAACGGGAGACGTGAAAAAGTTGACTTCGCCTCGATGAAACATAATAATCGAATATTGCAATGTCAAAATATAAAAAATTAATGCAATGCTGAAAATGCCAAAAGTGTTGTCGTGATGTTGGATGCTGGTGAAAGGAGTGGGACGATTTACGACGACGAGGATGAGTATCCCCCACCCTACCGACTTGACGGGAAGAAGGTCGCACTAGTTCGGTAAATGAGTTGCCCTGGATTGAACGAAGCACTACCCAATGTTCGGGGAGGATTCAAGGTCATTTGTGGTGAGCTAGCGTTCCAGAGGATATGTGTAGACGTTGAATGGGACGGTCCAGATTACAAGGTATTTCCATGCTATCTCATATCGTAGCTGACCGTATCCCTACGAAGTATCAGTGCTGTGTGTTCACCTGCTCTATATTTCGCAAAGGGTATGAGACCACATTACACGATGTTTTAATATCGTGACGGTCCAGCATCGACGTCCAGCTCAGGGAGTAGTGTCATATCGATATCCATGTCCACATCCTCTCGGTCCTGATAAAGAGCGGACGAAGGTCCCAATTCCAGCCCTTCAATTTCGCCAGCCAACTTGCTGGGGGGGCTGGTGGCCGGCAATTCGTTCTCTTGCTCGTGCAGGTTCTGATCGTCGCCATCCTCGTTGGGGCTTTCCTCACCGAATATATCCCTCCTTCGTTTCTCTCTTAGCCACCGGTCGACTTTCTCCTCGGTACTGTTCACGGCTCTCATCAGAGTCTTGAGATTGAGACACGACACCTGCGCAGCTTCTTCGTGGAACGCTCGAACTTCCTCGCCCGCCCTGTCTATTTCCTCGATGGAGAGATAACGGGGATAGAGGGCGCCGGGTCTGAGCAGGTTCAGACCGTACTCTGTTTCCTCCTCGGAACTGACGGCTCTCCGCGACTGAAGAGAGGCTTGGACTTCTCTGATTCGAGTTTCCAAATGAGATTGTGCACGCTGATGATGATCATGTTCAAGCGTCGTGGTTCCCACCGGCGGCACATCATGCAGAGGAAACATATCTAGAATATCTTTATCCAAAGCACTTTCTTGGCCCAGTCCTTGCGATTTCGATTGCGACGATGCATTGTCTATCCACGTTCGTTGGTACCAGTCCATGTACTGGTCGAGTTGCTTCTCGGTCATGCTAAAAACCTCTCTATCGGTGACATTAATCTCCGTCCCTGGTTTGAGACCGTCAGGTTCTTGCATCTCGTCCAGTGCCTGTTCGTAATGAGTCTTCGATTCGAGCCAAGCCGACCACTTCATTCGAAGTGTCGTGGGATCGTTGGGGCGCTTAGGGTAGCATTTGACCGTGGCGCTGTCGAAAGGAAATAAAAGCTTCGTAGCGACGACCAACAGCGAAATCAGCTGTGCCTCGGGGTACGACGTTACATGGCGTCGCATCTTCTCGGATACTGTCGTGTCAGGATATGAAAAGGTGTATTTCGTCATGAGGTTCAAACGGCGAGCCATGCCGTACACTTCGATCGGGAGCGCCAACAACCGGACATAACTGAAGAGAAAGAGATTGACGTTCAGAGGCGGTAGAATCATCCCAAAGGTCGAATTGAACATCTCAGCTCGACGATAAATTGCAATCTGGAGGCCATCGACTTCAAGGAGTCGAGTCGTATCGAGGGAAAGATGGTACTCTGAAGGTAAGCGATCCTTCATATCTTGTGGCACATGTCTGATGGCGCGGATGAAGGTGATTTCTTCAAGTTGAATCCATCTTGTCACGGTCAGCATGTCGTCGTGATGGCCGAGTCAGTGTGGAAGGAGTTAACCTACCTCAACGTGGTAGCCAGGCTCACTGGTCTCTGCAAGATGATGATGCCAAGGTAGTTGAGAGCAATTGTATCGATCAGCAGTGGACTCGGTACTTTTGTTTTACGCTTCTGGGCGTCCGTGGCTCCTCTTGAGTTGTCCGGTTCTGTGTCCGTATCATCTGTCACAGGATCGTTTTCTCCCTCTGTCTCAGTGAGAGTATCAGACCGCATAGGGTCTTGTAGACGGCGATCCAATTTTGAAAGCCACAATGTCCACAGTTCACGAACCACCGTCTAGCACACAGGGATATCAGCACAAATCATTCAAAGAGGAACAAGATAAAAAGGTCTGGTCACCGCATACCCATAATTCGTCCGGCAAGCCTTTCTGGTGGACGAGAGTGTGACACTGTTTCCACAAGATGAATTGCCAGCACTGAAGGAACAATTGATACGCCTTTGCTCCTCGAAGGACTATTGTAGTGAGTTAGAAAAATATGATTCCCCCGAGCTCAACACATAACTTGCCTCTGGAAAACTTCTGCTTTTCCTTGACTTCTTTCTTCCTTACGACTCTGCCTCTGTTCGCAAAATCCGCTTCATCCTCGTCGACAACATGCCCTCTGGCTTGTTCATGGCCTTGAGCGCAGTAGGTTCTTCCATCTTCGTCGACGTAAAATTCTGTCGAGCCGCAAAACAGACATTGATTATCGTCATCCATTTTGTCGTGAGAATGATATGCTGAAGCGGCCGTACATGATGGGCGACGATAGAAATAAAACCCTGGCTAAGCAGTACGAGCGCAATTAATCGAGAGTGATTGAGCAGTATGGAAAATCCAGAGAAGGCACTTGACTCCGTGTGTGGTGATACTTGAACAGTGAGAATACGAGATCGAAGTTGAAGGCCCGTGAATATTTTTATTGTCCGGCGCCAATCAAAAACTCGGGATTCACAATTTCCCAAGATTGACATGGACCAATTCCAATGATAACACAATCAGATACAAAATACGGAATAAGTGGTTTAATTGCTTGCATTTGTCTAACTACCAAGAATTCGAAATGCAATGCTTGGAGGCTATTGAATTCGTGACTGATGGAAAATTGCTTTTTCAGGCCGAAGTCACAGATCTATAGTCCATACCAACTTTCGGCAAGGTCTGGATAACGTTGCCAGCTAGATGGTCGTAATAGAGACTGCCCTGACACCTATCGTGTTCTCATAAGCGAAATCATCGTCATGCACCCTAACAAGTAGGTCGTAGACACGAGAAGATGTCGCGAGTCTGTCGTGGGCTTCAACCAATTTATTTGGGAGCCTCCTTGGCATCCATGGCGCATTCCTCGCCCATGGCAGTCAAGACAATGACATCTGGAATAAATCAGTATCGACAATCGCACACAACGGATGATCGCATTGCTTACTGGTGTCCTTCTCATCGGTGCGGAAAAGCTTCTCGATCTTGTCACCAACTTCACCTTCTGGCATCTTGACATCATCCTTGGTAGACCCATCATCGGACATAAGGGACAAGAAACCATCATCAGTGATATCGAGCTGTTTTCGCGTTAGCCCACTCTTGCTCCTGTTTCCTTGCCAGATGTAGAAGCTTCTCTTACCAACTGGTATTCACGACGAGTGACATTGGGAACCTCCATGTTGTGGGTGGAAGGAGAGAGATCTTCCAACTTCTTGCCGGTGAAGATATCGAGAGCGACCAAGTGAACCTTTGCGTGACCGTGCTTTCCAGTCTTGGAGGTGGACATGTCGACGATCTTGCATGGGCGACCCTTGATGACAACGAAACCGTTCTTTCTCAAGGCGGAACATTGCATAGGGTAGGTGGCCGAGGCACCGGCATCGGCAGACTCGAAGGTGTGTTCATGCTGTGGAAAAGAAATGTCAGATCATGTTTTCTTGGTGATGGTTTGGCGCCGCCCTGGAAGCATCCTCAGGCGCAGGAACAAACTGCGCCAATGCTGGACAAAGAGGGGAAATGACGAGCGCCAACTCACCTGCGCGTCGTCGGCCATTTTGAAGATAGAAGGATGCTATCGAGATGAAAGAAAGGAATACGGCGGTGAGAATACGGGACAAGATAACAGGAGGGCGACAAATTTCGAGAGAAAGAGAAAGGGAGAGAGGATGAAGTACACAGGCCAGAACCCAAGGAAAATATCAAAGTGCAACTGTAAGTGGGATCGAGGCAAGAAACGGCGGGGGGCAAAATCCCGCTAATCGGATAAGACCAGCCCCGCTAGCCACATTGGGACACATGGCTTGGCGCGGTCACTGGACTCGCGAACAGGTGGCCTACTGTACGGGAGTACTGCATCGCGACGACAAGCTTCAACAGAACCGCGCAGGTTGACAAGTCGTGGTACAACCTCTCATCATGATAACGCAGTAGGACTCCTCTTTGCCCCGGACCTTGGACGACGAGATGTGGCTCGATCGACTGACTACAGGTTCCGGCACTCCCAGCGGCTCTATCACTCCCTCCAGACCGTATTCTCCCTCTCCGCGCAAGAACTCCCACCTCGGTCCTCTCCAACGCAGTGGTCTCGGGCTCTCCACAAACAGATCCAATTCGTCACTTGACTTGAGTGCCAACACATCTTCTTCGTCACTGGCACTGCCTCCAAGACCAACAAATGGCTCAACATTACGGTTCGAGCAGAAGCCGCCGCCAGATGTGGCCGACCCCGTGAAGGTTTTGCGCGGGATACTAGGACAGACGGGAGACAAAGGGGATGCGGTCCCATCCAGCAAGGCAGGCCCTTCTGGGATAAGTACAATTGACTTTGGAGGTCTGAGTCTGCAAGAATTCGTCGATCAAGAGACCCTCCCACAAATCCGAGCCACAGATCATACAATAGACATCTCGGCCAAGCAAAACAGACAGAAATATAAAGATTTCCATGCGTCTATAGCAGAATGTGATGAAGTGCTCAAGACAGTCGAAACGTACTTGACCAACTTCAAGGCAGAATTAGGCCAAGTATCTGCGGAAATCGAAAATCTCCAGGCTCGTTCTATTCAGTTGAATGCTAAGCTTGACAATCGTCGTAACGTGGAACGACTTCTCGGTCCTGCAGTCGAAGATGTCAGCCTGTCACCCTATACCGTGAGGGCCATCGCCGAGGGCCCCATTGACGAAACCTTCCTGAAAGCACTCAACGAGATAGAAGCTCGATCTGCCATCGTCGCGGCCAAGGAGAAGAAGTCGGAACAGGTCAAAGCTCTCCAAGACCTCAAACCGATATTGGACGACCTTAAAGCCAAAGCGATCGAACGAATACGAGACTACATAGTTGGTCAGATCAAAGCTCTCAGATCACCCAACATCAATGCCCAAGTCATCCAACAACAAACGTTCCTGAGGTATAAAGACCTATACGCCTTTCTCTCTCGTGCACACCCTACACTGGCCGAAGAGATTGCGCAAGCATATGTCAACACCATGAGATGGTACTATAGCAGCAACTTCACCCGGTATCAACAAGCACTCACGTCCCTCCAACTGCACACATTCGATCAGTATGACCTCCTCGGGTCCGAACCTGCTCCTGCACGACGAGCTGTCCTCAGTGCCTCAAGCAAGGGTGGTCATGCACAACACGACGCGTTTGGGCTAGGCCGGCGGGAAGATGTGCTCAAATCGAAGAACGACACGGCATTACCAGCGTACCTCGTCGAGGACAGCAAGTCCACGCATTACCTTGAAACGCCCTTTCGCAACTTCAATCAAGCTCTCACCGACAACGTGTCGGCCGAATACTCGGTGGTCACCGAGCTGTTCTCGACGAGCACATTCCAGCAGCTATCGCGTCGGGTATCGGAGATCTTCGAACCGACATTCACCATGGGTCATAACCTCACCAAACAACTTGTCGAAGACACCAACGACTGTCTCGGGATTTTACTGTGCGTGCGACTCAATCAGCATTTCGCATTCGAATTACAGCGACGGAAGATCCCCGTCGCCGATTCGTACATCAACTACACCAACATCCTCCTCTGGCCTCGGTTCCAAAAGGTTATGGACCTCCATCTCGAGTCCCTCAAAAGGGTTTCTCTACCGTCCACCCGGGGAGGCGCCAGTGCAGCGTTCTCGCTTGTCGGTGGCGGTGGCGGCGGGTCAGACGCGTCCAAGTCGTCACTCGCTCCGCACGCCATCACCCAACGCTTCGGCCAATTCTTGCATGGTATTCTCACGCTCAGCGCCGAGGCTGGGGACGACGAACCCGTCGCCAACAGTCTGGGTCGGTTACGGTCAGAGTACGAGACGCTCATGGGGAGATTGGCCAAGGGCGCAGGCGACACGAACAAACGGTCGAGGTACTTGTACAACAATTACAGTCTTGTCTTGACCATCATCAGCGACACCAAGGGAAAATTGGCCGATGAACAAAAGGAACACTATGGTGGGTTGGTGAGGGATATGAAAGGGAGGTAGATTGAATACCTTTTTTTTGTCCAAAGGAGAGAGACCTAGGACTCTTAGGTTGATATAGGTAGCCTGTACGGATAATGATGATGTTAAATCATATCATTCTTGACAAAAGTCATTGATTTGGTACCGAGTTATACGCTACGGAGTACATTTTCTACGTTCCGTTTTGTATTTCACACAAAAGCCATCTCGTCGATAACTTTGCATAGTACAAAGTAGCATAGTATATCATCGTCACACACACACACACACACCCAGATGAATGCTTTTGTCCCATATTTGCCATGACCGCGTATCTTTGTATGACTGTAAGCTGTAGGGATCACAAGAGTTTGAGAGGTGGTTGAACCGGGGCCGAGAAACGGTTCAAATGGCTTGAGAAGTGGTTGGAAGAAGCTGAGAAGTGAATGAAACGGCCGGAGAAGCGGTCGGAATAAGCTGAGAAATGGATGAAATGGCAACCTGCATCGACTTGGGACTATCTACTCCGTATACCGACGAGGAAAAGGGAAAAAGGCTTACCGACAACCTCCTCCTTTTGTGTACTTCCTTCGACTCGAGTACTTACTCCGTGTCAGCCACTCCTGTTTACAGCCCTGTCTGCTCCGTAGAGCGCTCAAATTTTTCACTCCCGGGGCCTATTTTACAAGGCGCTATGTTTGAGGCAAACCACGACGCCTAGCATTCAACTCCCCCAAGGTCGCCTCGCATGCCGCGACGAGAAATGTCTCAACTAAACGGAGGGAATTTTCACTCCTTTTTACCATGTAATAGTAGATAGAGGACACACCCTCATGGTCATCGAGGCGAGACTCGACAGTACATCATATTGGACCCCTGACAATCGAATTACCCATTAGAGGTTGCACCCCGTTCAACAGTTGTTTCTTCTTTGCCCATCTCCTGAAAAGACTACTTCTACTCACAAGATCAAATTCTGGGTTAACGACAACGACGACAATTATGATGGACCGTTTTGAAACCACAACAAGAACGAAATATGTGATACACGTCATCTTTAAAGGCCACTGCAGACTTGAAACCATACACGTCGGGGGCTATAGGAAAGCATCATGCGTTGTTACTTCTCACTCTGACTGACTTTGGACTGGCTCAATGGTCGATCAATACACTCGAATCCATATTGAATCTGATTGATGCTGTCTGTAGGTAGTAAGGGAATTGAACTCAAAACCAATATAGCGATGATTACGATCACGACTACCCTCAGCACCATTATGGTGTACATGACTACGAAAAGACAAGAAAAGGAAAAAAAAGAGTTCGAAAAAAGAAATTGTGCTTTCATTGCCTTGTACTTATTTCATTTGATCCTTTTGTGTCGGAAGAAAACATTACCGTTGGTAACCCGACACTTGAGTTCGGCTTCGTCAATGATGGTGTTTCGGTGGAAACATCACTCTCCTGCTTCCCCTGTGCGTGAATCACCCATCTCCTCAGACTCGAGGTATTGATTGTCGACCTGTCAGTTCATTGCGGACAACCCGGAATACCGCGATCTGAAACACCTTTGGTGCCACTACCACCACCACTCAACACGATCGCGGAGTCGGAAGTGGTCGACCGAAACAGTGGGCAGGGGAGGGGGAGAAGGGCGCACCCGGATGAGGGAGGAGGAGGAGAAGGGGCGGACGAAGCACCCAATGGGGAGAAGGAAGAGCGAGGAAGTGACTCGTCTCCTAATCACCCATGGGTTCGTCCTTCTCGTTGTCGTTGTCTTCGTCCTCATCCTTGACATCGTCCTCAACACCCTTTGCGGCCTCTCCTTCTGAAGTAAAGAGTGCCGGAATCTCCTCGTCGCTCATGCTTTGCGTGTCGATGGGTCCGTCTCCTTCTCTTTATCTCTGTAGTGCTGACGAGACCATCTTCCGAGAGGAAGGATCCATACGCCGTCGGTGGAGGCCATCTCTCGAACATGAACGCGTCCCGTCGAGGTGATGATGAAGGCAGCCAAAGGCGAAACGTGAGGAAGAAGAAGCCAGGCCCCCAATGGGCAGGGGAAGAGAGGGGGACCCCCGATGGAAGAGGAGGAGGAGCAGGACAAACCCCCCAAAATGGAGCAGCAGCAGCAGCAGCAGCAGCAGAAGGACCCCAATGGGGAGGAGGAGGGAGGGACAGGAACAAAACGAGGCGAAATGTGCCCACATCGATGTCCTCGACCCCCTAGCCGATCTCCATGTCATGGTCCTCTCTTTCTCTACACCACCAGGAGACCTGTCTTTCTCTCTCTCGCTCCATGCTTCCCGCCGGCACCCTTGAGGTCGATGCCCATTGGTAGAACCTTTCATAACGGCCGATGGACACGGTCTGTGCTTGAAAGACTTTGTCAGAGGAAAGACCGTTTTGCGCAAAGATGTTCAGACTTACAGTGGCAAAGGGCGTTCACGCCAGGGTAAGACTTGTCGACATGTTGGTATCTTCCCGAACGGGAAGACAACCGGAAGGGCGTCGGCGACTCTGATTCTTCGATCCGACATAGTTTCCCACTCTGTTCCTTCGTCGCGTAACTCTCCCCGGCTTCCGTTTCTGCTCGAGAAAAGGAAGACCACGAATGTCGGAGGGGAAAGGAGGCGACAGAGTCACAACCGTGGACCGATTGAGAGATCACCAGCGGTGGGGGACGACCGCGGGAGAAGAGGCGGAGGAGGAGGAACCGTGGGTCGATGGGCATGGCCGGCGTCGGTGGTGTAGGGGGAGGCAGTGGAGGCCCCGTCCAGCGTCCCAATATCATTGCCATCACGGATGACACGAATGGTCACCCAGGCCCCCTTCAGCTGGAACTTGGCAGACCGACCCGAGACTAGATGTAACATCTTGAGTACATCTGTCGGGCCTGTCGCATCGCCGAGGGGCAGCCACACACCGCCAGGGAGGTACTCGAACATGAACGCGTCCCAACGAGAGAGTGTGGGACACTCGATTCCCTCATGACGTCGCTGGCAAGGTCGCCAGCAGGGCCATAGACAAACCGGACGCGCCAATAAAGGACAAGCCTCCATCGACGCAATCGCATTCGTCCCCAGAAATGGGAGGAACGGAGTTCTCACCTCGTCGTTCTGACGATCCGAGACCCAGGCAGCAGGCAGGCGACCACACCGCAATGAGGCGGTATTCGCCGTCACCCACGGCGCCAGCTCTTCTCTGAACAATACCCTTCTTGTCGACAAGATATCCTCGAAGGATTTTGGTTTTTATATATATATATATATCCCATACAGAGATATATTTGTTTCGACAACATCACCACAACCACATCAATACGTCATCATTGTGCGTGCGGGCGTATTGTCTGTGTGTGTGTGCATGTGTCGAACGTGGCCCATTCTGAGAAGGTGCCGAGTATGATTCTTTGTCGGAACCAAAAGAATATGGACCGAAGGAAGGGCCCATGGTTTTCCGCACAGCAGCCTTGACAGAAGCTCTTCGTGATTTCCCCTGAACTGCCTGGAACATGCGGAGGGCCAGGCACACCTTTTCAATGCCAGCCCCGGCAAGGGGAGAGAGAAGTATCCATGTCCTGAAGCGGTGAACCAACCGCCTCTCCTCCAAAGCGCCAGGAACTCTCTCAATCTCGACATTTGCTCTCAATGAAGAGACGAGGAACAGAAAGACGGGAGGAGCGGATGTCGAGCAAGGCCGAGAACAAGTTGCTGATGTTGCTGCTGTTGTTGTCGCTGCTTCGGCTGTAGCGTGACCGAGACAGGGGGGAAGAATGAAAGAGAGGGGAGGCGGGGAACAGAGTGGCGACCTCAAGACGCCATTCGAAACACAAGGTGCGTCTAGGTCGAAGTACGACCGCACCAACCCCGTGCCGCATGACGGCGCGCACCTCAATTCTCCTCTTCTTCTCCTTCTGATGGGTTCTTCGCCCCCCAAGCTCAGGCAAGGACAGGGCAACAACCATCGGCGCGTCTGCCCAAGGGACAAGGCCGCTCCTCGTTGAAGAAATGGGAGAAATTTCGCAAGCGCAGACACAAACACAAGGTTCGGTTACAGTGTATTTGCGCCAACCTTGCCCGAGAACAACAACAACAACAACAACACAAGGTGGTGATGTTTTGCGAGTTGTCGTTGTTGTTGTTTCCCCGCGGAGTGTGCTGGCCATGTCCCCTTTCTTTGGTTGAAATCATATATATATTTTTTACATTCATTTGTCATGAATGTATTGTTGGTTGTGGTACAGGTGTTTTGAGTGTGTACCGAATATCACAAGATAATAAATGTCATGAACTCCTTCAGGAGGGTTGTACGGAGTATGACATTTGAGGACAGTGTGCACATGTATTGGGATGCTGTCTGTGCATCATGTTGTTGTTGTTGTTTGTGCTGCTGTCCTTGAGTATTGTGATGTGATGTGATATGTTGTGTGAGGTGAGTTGTGGAAGTGGTCGTGTTGCGTGTTGTTGTCGTGTAAAGAGAGTTCTTTGGTATGTGGTGACTCCCCCCCCTTTCCCCCTCCATCGATGCAATGATATACAAAAGTATCTCATCACATCGACGAAGAGAGAAGGGGTTCCTTGTACTGTTGCTGTTGTTCTGTTGAGTGTTGTTCTGCTCTGTTGTGATGAGAAGGAAAGAAAAACCCCAAAAAACCAAAAGATCGCGACGGATATTTATATGTCGACGATGACACCAATTAATCGTTTAGTGACTACGAAAGTCGCTGCTCTAGCACACCAGATGAATCAACTGCCTCACTCACTCGTCCCGCCAAGCGGTAGGTCTGGTGAACAACCAATACAGAGTAAGAGAACGTGAAGTACCCGGGAGTTGTACAGTCGTAACCGTCACTTACCGACCTCGATCATTAACGCGTCTTTGCTCACACACACTCACTCACACTCGTGTGTGTGTGTGTGTGTGTGTGTGTGTGTGTGTGTGTGAGAGAGAGAGTGAGAGAGAGAACGTGATTGGGGAAGAAGAAAAAGTAACCAAGCAGAATAGGCGACCATCACACCATAAACAATACGTACAATGGCTCACAATGGTCAACAAGGCAATATGCAACAGAGTAACAAAGCAGGTAAACAAAAGCACATACACAATAATAGAACAAAAGGGGGGAAAGACGTGAGAACCCTCGCAAAGTGAATCGTGAGGAATGGTGCATACTAGAAGGACACGCACACAACTCGTGACAACTCACATGTGCTCACCCCTAACGATTCATCACAGTTCAATCAGGATCTGGGAAAGGAAAAGCAACTACATAGGCGTCACTCTTACTCACAATGGCACACGCTCACACACACACACACACACACACACACACACACACACACACAAAGCCCCGAGTCTGGATCAGAATAGCAAACAGAAAACACAACACATACCAATGAGGACAAAGGGGAGGGGGGCAAGAAAGAGATCGACGAATCTGACAGGTTGGTCGATCTTGACCTTTGAAAGGGTACTCATGGAATTTCAAGCAACACACCTAGACACCAAGGCATTCTTGACCACTTAGTCCGTCATCTTTTGCTCTACCTTCCCAAAGGAGCCTCGTCCCTTCCGATGTCGACCTCAACCAACTCGTAACTTGACACCATTCATTCTTTCCCGTTCTTTCTCACCGCGAGTCTCTTCCTCCGAAACAAAAGCAGCTCGAGTCTTTCTCACACGCCACTGCCACTCCCACAAAACAGGCAAGAAACTCCACAGATCAAAGTCCGGCCACAAGACATCCAAAAAGACGATCTGGGTGTCTTGCGTACACTGCCACAACATGAAATCACTCAACCTGAGGACCCCACTCGTCCGGACGAGCAAGTCTATAGGCGGGTCGTCGGCAGTGTACATGTGGGAATTGAGTGTTTCGGCAGTGATCAGCTCGGGGGAAGGGTACGTTGTCGAAGACTGAGTCTGATGCTCACCAGACGACGGCGACTGTGGTTTGGTTTCGGGGGAAAGCGAAGTGAACTCGGGTGGTGGTGAACTGGTCGTGGTGGCGTTGTCGTCCTGATGTAACGTTGTCGAGGTAGATACGGACGACGTGTCGAGTTCGTGTTCGTGATCCTGATCGGAATGCGAGTACGAGGATAACGAAGTCGTGCTCGAACTGGATGACGGCGATTGTGATTGCGACTGTAACCCTCGCATATGTGGCGGTTGGAGGTATGAAGAGGACTTTGCCTGCTCCGAGATGATTTTCTGGTGTTGGCGGTCTTGTTGTCGTTGCTGCTGTGTCCGTATCGTACTGGCTATTCTCTCTTCCCTGAAAGGACTTCTTGCCACTTCCGGTTCCGGCGGTAGAGGTATCGAGTATTCTTCGACGGTATCCCGGATCGCCGTCGTGATTTCTTCTCTGCTCGTGTAGGGGAAGCAAATGTTCAACACGCATCCGCGATTGTGGGACGTCAGCTCGACCGCTCGATCCACCGCCTCGAGAACATCAGGCTTGATCAGTTCCCTCTGTCCGAGGACCCGTATCCGGGCACTGTACCGGTCGAGCAGCTCCCCGTGCTGCACGAGTTGTTTCAATTTGATCTTGGCCATGTCCATGAGTGCGTCGACCTCGTACTTTGTCCGCTTGAAGTTCTCGATGCTGAAGGCGTAGATGGTGACGTGGGTGACGCCCGACTTGTAACAGACCTCCAAAATCTTGGCCAGAGCCTCGAACCCCAGATTGTGCCCTTCGACCGTCTCTATCATGTGGGTTTTGGCGTACCGCCTGTTCCCGTCCATCACAAAGGCCACATGTTTCGGCATCGGCCCTTGACGCAGGGCGCCTATGAGCAGTTCCCGGAGTTGGTTCAGGGCCCACTCTGCGGGAGGCGAAGACATGAGCCACCGGCGAAGGTGGGACATGTGTCTGGAGGTCATTATGTCGTCGTTTTGAGTCGGGTCGAAGGTCTCTTCGGACAGAGAGGGCAGGCAGAGAGGGTGTGCCCAAGAAAAGGGCGAGGCCCGTACGAGGAGGATCCTAGGTATAGAGAAAGAGTGGCATAGAGAACTCGAGAATGGACAGGAGGACACGGTCGAGAGCAATCAACAAAGAATGTAAGGATCCAGCTGAAGAGTACTCTGCAGGCAACAATCTATTGTAGGTTAATACCTAAAGTCAGTACTTGTACATACTCGGCAGCACACGCAATGGTCGTGGCTCCGAGCTCTGGGCACGCCTTCAAGCCTTACGGGGACGAGAAGGTGCCGCTTTTAAGACAGGACAGAGAAGGCTTCCCTGCCAAGGTTTGGGAATTATTATTACTGATGCCGCTCTTGTTCAGCCTGATCCCACCGGCCGTGGGGGCCGGGATTTAGGCTGGACGCCAGAGCCACTGGGGGCTTTACGGGGGGGAAGGGGGGGGAAACTGATAATATCCCAAGCCTGATCTGCGGGATACTGTACTGTGGGCAGCTTCACGAGCAGCCTGTGCCTCTACAAGCCAATCTTTCATTCTTATCCATGGTACGGAATTAATTATTCTCGCGCAAAGCAAAGACGTCGTAGGTAGAGCCGCTCCTAAAACCCACCGACACCACGGACTCGCTGCACGGCGCCAATGAAGCCTCTGGCCCAGGCAAACTTGCCGGGGTCGACGCCGATGGCTCCTTCGGCCTGCCGCCCAGTTTGGGGATCCTTCCAGCACCCAGAATCAGGCCCGTCCTTTTCGACCTTGCCGTAGACGTGAGTATTCTCATTCTGCCTCAACCCTTCCATCCACTTGCCCACGATCAACGCGCTGTCACACATGACGTTGATCTCTTGACTGTGGTACCAGCTCTGCGTGTCCTGGTTGCCGTTCCCTTGGATGGCGATGTGCCCGTCCACGAGCATGATCTTGATGTGACAGGACCGCTTCTTGAACTTGTTGTGGATCGGGTGGACCTGGTCCTTGGCCACGTAGGCGTGGATGTCCAGGTTCTGGTGGTACTGCTGTTCGAGCTCCTCGTAGAAGCCGTGCGCGATCATCTCGTTGTGACCATTCTGACCCGGCAGCAACTCACCCGCGTCATTGTACCCGAGACAGTACCAGTACTCCACGTGCACACCGCGACGACACGCCTTGACGATTTCCGGGATAAGATCTTCGGCGTTCAAGTTTGGGGTTTGGATGAAGACGGACCGCTCGGCGTGGCGGAGGGCCGACGCAAACGCTTCGTCTTGCGGAGTATGCAACGAGCCCTTGCCCGGCTTGCCACACGGCTCCCTGCACACCATGGCCATGGGGACGGGGTCGTGCCTGGGAAGGGGAATAAAAGGCGTCATGGCATCGGCGGGGGAGATGTCTGGCGCGCTGGCCTTGGTGTCCTTTTGGATGGTCGTGTTCAGGAGGCGAGTGACGGCATCTATGCGCCGTTCACCCTGCCGAGGATGCATGCTAGCTGTGGCACGCAGGACTTCCGATTTTATGTCTGGGTCGTAGTGAGGATCACTGGATGTATGCATTGGCATCCTTGTCTGTGATCCATCCTCGGCCAGGTCGCGCAGATTCTCATGGCCGTGGGGCATTGTCTCCGTCCTGTCATCACGTTAGTCTGCGCGCATCAAAGTCTGCAGGTGTCGTGTCTCACGGATGATAGACTTCTTTCAAATTCCCACTTTGGTCAAACAAGGTAGCATAAGAGTCCGAGTCGAATGTGGGGGTGGGTTGTCCTGAAGCAGGTCTGTCCAGGCGAGGGAGGGGAGGACGCATGGCGTTGTGCCAGGATATGAGGGCCATGTCGTAGAATGAATCCACAATTGGCCCTTCCCACTGAGACATCATCTCCAGATTGTCATTGTCCTGGATGTTGTTGCTCTGGATGATGGCGATCCTTCGGTCTGCAATCATGAACTTGCAGTGGAAAGTCCCAAAGACAGGTTGGTGGTAATTGATGACCTCGAGGTCGATGTTGGGTATGTCGTTTGGATGCGGTAGACGAATGGGCCCATTAGGATCGGCATACGTCTTGGGTTCTACCACGAGGTGGTTGTGGATAAACTGTGCTTTGTCAGTTGCAGGGAAAAGGATCTGGCTGCTCTTGGACAACTCGCCTGTTTGGGACTACCTCGGTCGTATATGATCTTGACGACCATTCGTTTGTTCAACGCGACGGCTTTGCGGTTGAGCTCCTTGATTGAGTTGGTGATCAACATGGTAGGCTCGGAATGCATCCAGAAATTGGTGGCGAGGAAGACCTCCTCCTCTGCTCGGGCGATGACATTGGACATGTGCCGACAGATGTCTGGTATCGGTGCTATGATGGTGAGTGGGCACACACCGGTACTGCCCATCAGCGAGGGCGAGCACACTCCGGCGAGTGGATTCTTCTCCAGTGTACACAAGACATCGTGGAAGATCTGGTGCTCGCCTCAGTATGAAAAGTCACCAAAAAGGAGAGCTTAACTTGGGTAGATGATGCTTACTCGTAGAAACAATTTGGACGGCTCTGCCGTTCCCCACCTACCACAAGCGAGCGCCTGGTTGAGGTCTTCCTCCGTCTCATCGTCCAGTGCCACCTTCTTGGTCACCTTTTCGTCTTCAATGTCGTGATGAAAGAGCTGTTCAGCGGCCTCGTGAGCGGACAGAGTTGGATTCTTGGCCAACTCGGCGCTAACTGACACGCCGCTTTGACATAGTCTCAAGATGTTCTTCGGGATCATGTCGCCTAACGCTGGAAATTGACAGCAGCCAGAATGGGGAGTTTTGAGCTTAATGTGGTACTACTAGACTTTGTGAGAAACTGTTATATGGCTGCTCCGAAATCGGATTGCCTAATGTAGCCCCTTCGATCGAAGGCTCGAGATGGACTTGGGGGAATGATGATTTGAATAAGAAGAGAATAAGATGAGAAGAAATGCCTATTAAATTCTACATTGGGGCTACAAAAGCGACATCGCGCACTCACCACCATCCAAAGCCAGCCAAGGAAGAGGGACAGAAACCTGCGAGGTCGCGGCAACGTCGTAAGCCTGTGATGTCACACACTCAAAAAGACAATAGTTGGAGCATGTGGAGACGGGACAAGCACGCCCAGACGAATGCTTGGTTGAGCTTGGCCAAACTCTAAGCCTCGATACCTATCTCGGTCTAGCTGAATCCCTTTGTTCGTATCTCTTCGACATACTGTACGGGACAATTGAGGGCAAGGCCAAATGACGACGCCTCAGCCAGTTACTCAACTGCCAAACCGCCCCTGGAAGCCCGCCAAATCACTGTCGGCCACTCGCAGAATCACTGTACGTCCACCAGATATTGGCTTGCTCCGAGAACGAGACAGAAGGACAGGGAAGAGTGGCGTTGCAATGCATTGGTATTGGTGTCTATGGAGAGGAGTCTGGGGAAGGAGATCTATGAAAAGTGCCATAGCTCTAAGATGGAAAGGTGACCCGCACACATACAAATGTGCTTTGGCCTGGCGAATCGTGTTGACTTGTGCGAAACCGACGTTGGGGGACTTTTTCTTGGGGGTGCAAAGCGGGTGACGTACTTTGTTTGCATCTAGACAACTGTCCCTCATAAGTATCTACACCTATACATTTTAAACATACAGGTACACTTATGGAATAAAGGTACTCAAAAAGAAAAGGGAAATTGTTCCACTTGCTCAAGAAGAGAGTCATTCTTATAACCTCGCTAAATCTGCACAAAGAAAAACCCCATCCTGCTCTGTAAGAGTACACTCAATCCCAATCATCTGTCGGATACTCGAGCACTCTCCTGCTCACCTGCTCGACCACCTTGAGGAAGTAGAACATCGGGAAGCTTGATCCCTACACCACCTTTAGGGCCAACTTCTTTCTCCTTCTTGGGTTGAGGGCTGCCTCGACCACCGTTGTTGTTATCGGTCTTTTCCTCTTCTTCTTGTAATTGAACTTCCAATCGCTTCAACTTCTCTCCTCGTAGGATCTTCATAATTTCTTCCTTGTCCAGTGTCTCAAACTCGAGAAGAGCATCTTTCAAAGCCTCCAATTCCTTTCTCTTGTCCTTGACAATTTTGTCTGCCCTTTGTCTTCCACCCTCCACAATCTCACGGACTTCACGCTCAATCTCTTGCTTCGTCTCGCTCGATAGGTTGTTGTAATCCGAATGGAGATCGACGTTGCCAAGCTTGGGTGAGTATCCAAATTGAGTAACGAGGTGATAGGCAACACGTGTCGCTTGTTGAACATCTGATGCAATGCCACTTGAAACCTTGTTCGGACCATAGACCAACTCCTCGGCTGCTCGTCCGCCCATCGACACGTCGATATCGCTAAGATATTGGTCGTACGCATAGCTCACAGCATCCATTTCGGGAAGCTGGTGGGTCACGCCGAGAGCATGTCCGCGAGGGACGATGGTCATCTTGTAGAGTTCCTTGCTTCCAGGTGTGAAAAGGGCTACCAGCGCATGGCCGGCTTCATGATATGCCGTCATCACCTTGTCCTTTTCCCGGATATGTCTGGACTTGTTCTCGGCACCTAACAAGATCTTGTCTCTGGCCCACTCAAAATTCTGAGCATTGACCTTTTTGTATTTCATTCGAGAGGCATGCACAGCAGCTTGATTACACAGATTCTCGAGTTCGGCACCAGACATTCCACTGGTTGCACGACCGAGGCTGGTGGCATCAACATCTGCGGCAATGGGCATATTCCTCATGTGGTGCTTCAAGATCTCGATGCGGCCTCTTACATCTGGCAGGGGAACGGTAACGTGGCGATCGAAACGACCAGGTCGAGTCAGTGCTTTGTCGAGAGATTCCGGATAGTTTGTAGCAGCAATAAGGATGACGCCGGTACTAGGACTGAAACCGTCCAGTTCGGTAAGCAACTGGTTGAGTGTCTGTTTGGCATACGCCGGGTCCCGGGCGTTCCTTTTTCCTCCAACAGCATCAAGTTCGTCGATGAAGATGATAGCAGGAGCCTTGTTCCGTGCTTGAGAGAAGAGGTCTCGAACACGTTTCGCCCCCACACCAACGTAGAGTTCGTCAAATTCGGACCCAGACATGTAGAACACAGGAACTCCAGCTTCACCAGCGACCGCACGGGCAAGCATGGTTTTGCCAGTACCGGGAGGACCAACCAGTAGGACACCTTTAGGAAGTTTGCCACCTAGTCGATTGAACTTGTCGGGGTTCTTCAAAAATTCCACCAATTCTTGTAATTCCTCCTTCGCCTCGTCGCATCCATGAACGTCATTGAAACGGACAGTCTGGTGTTGGGGCTGGACCTCATTGTTCTGCCCGACCCGCGTTCGGAAACTGCCAGTAAACTCGACGACCATAGTGAGAATAACCAAAAGGAAATAACCGGCAAGACCAACCCAGAGGAATGTCCTGACCCATTTGAGAATAGTGGCGCCCCATGATTCCTCCACGACAACATAAAGAGGTGCCTCTTTCGCGCCGGTGCCAGACTTGTTACCAGGCATGACCATTTGTCCACCATAGTTCTGTCCTGCAACAGCATGGCCGACCGCTTGTAGTTTCTCAGGGCTTAGTCCACCACCTTGTGCCATTGCCCCGGCGGGAACATTCGCTCCAGGAGCAGGCACAGAGCCAGTCATTTGCAGAGCCTTGAGATATGAAGCATCTGCCGCGGGACTTGAGGCATAACGACCGGACTGATATCTTTCAATGACGATCTTGGGCATATTTGCCCGTAGCAATGCCGAGTAGAAAGCCGTCTGCGCCGAGGCACTTGTGGGGTTATTGTTGGCAGTTCGTTCAGCGTGGGCGAGCATGTTTTGGTTGGCGGGTTGGAACGACATGGAAAATTGTCTAGCTGAAGGCACGAAACTAGTTCCTCCCCTGCGTGGAGGGCCGAATAAGAGAGATGTCGGCGTCAACTTCGTGCGGCTGGTATGCATCGATCGCGTGCGAGTTGTCGGAGTCGGAACTCGTGGCGTATTTGTCGAGAGAGATCGTCGAAGGACTGAAAGAGGGGTCTGGAATGGCATTGTGGGCGCGCGAAGATTTTGTGACATTATAGGGAGTAATCGATGAGCATTGATAAGTAGCGGGGCTGACCGCAAGCTGTTTGTCGGCACCGCAGCCATGAAATCAGGAAGAATTTGTTTCGTAGACGAGTGTAATTCCCGCGCGACCGGGACGTTTCCTTCAGCTCGTCGTTTCGTGAGGCGATGGCGCCGAAGAGTGGCCAACGGAGATGTAAAGAGTGAAGGCAGGATATCTGGGCCGAGTGCGGACAGGCTCTGAAAGGTCACAATAGTTAGCATTGAACAACGGGCAAATGGGCAAATGTGATGTACTCACAGGAAGTTGAGACAGCGGAGCCTGTAAGGCCATGTTGAGGGTAAGGAAAGCGGCGGGTGCCGCAAGAAAAGTAGAAGACTAACAGTGAGGCAGAAATGAAAGAAGGCTGCGATACAAGAAAGACAGGATGGGATTAAATGGCCTCGCGATTGCCACGCTGCGAGGTTTAGGATGTTGTCGGGATGAGCGAGCGCAGGCGGAAGGTCGACGACGAGTAGATGATGTGATTCCATCCTCTTCGTTGGTCCCGCTTCCGCACCTTGAACTTCTCGCCACACACGATCGGATCACGGGATGGGCACGTGATGCAGAGAAGGCAACCTCTTCAAGCATAGTCATCGTATCAAGCAACATAGAACGCGATACGAGTATGAGCACTCCGTACCTAGATCTATCTACCTAGGTAGGTTCCTACACAAACACCAGCACTCTGAGATATTTCGTAACTCAATATAGAATGCTATTAAACACATGCAATATAGACGTGCAGTTTACCCACAACTCGGCGCTAATGCACATATCCTCGCCCAGCCTCAATGCTATTCATATATGAATACAGATTCAGTATGCTGTCATGAACATTCATAAACATGATCCCTTGCCCGCACTAAATAACCCCTCTTCATTACTCAAGGCCCAATGAAGTATTTAGAAGCCTCAATAACATCAGCATCTCCATTCGCAAAATCCCAACCAACGATACGACTGTCTTGTGAGCAACAGACAATGCGTCGGGCATCAAATTGTAATTTGAACACTCGGGACACAGAAGATGGTAGGTGTTCTGGGTGCTGTCCATGGGCTACAGGTGGTCCGGGTGCCACTTGTTGCTGTTGATTAGGTGCTGGTGCTTGCTGCACAGCAGGTGGGAGTTGTACCAGTGCTGCTGGGTTTGGTTGGTTCTGGTTGCTCGCCACGCTCTGCGGGGCTTGACTTTGAGAACCCGTAGTCTGGCCGTGTGAGGTTTGCACTGCTTGGTTCAGCGCTTGCTGGACAGCCTGCGACATCGCTGCCTGGGTGTGTGCAACAACAGCGTTGGCAATAGTTTGTGGCGTTCCACTGATACTCGCACTTGCAGCAAAGTTGGAATTGAGGTTTATCCCGTTCTGAGGGCCAGTGATGGGTGGGTTTAGTAGTCTCCCCACGCCCATAACGTTGGACAAACCTGCGCCAAGACTAGCAAAAGATGTGCCGACGGCCTGTTGTACGATTTGTGACGCTGACATGACTCCTGGATGAGCAGGTCCGCCAGGCCCGAGGTTGCCCGTCGCCTGAAAAGGATTCGTTGCAGGTTGACCAGTCGGATCTGCGGCATTATCTGCGACGACAGCCCGAGCAACTCTCCGCATCCTTATAGTGGTTGGTGATGTGTGAGAGAACGGATGCTGGAACAGCTGCTTGCCAATCACCCAGTGACCTTCGGCATTCTTTCTCCAGATGATGATCGTTTGATCATAGCTGCCAGACACAATCCGTCCCCATTTACTGCCGCCTCCTCCAGGCGGCAGTTTAGATCCAAAAGCGAGACGGGAACTGCCGTGATCACCGTGCCTGACTTCTCGAAGAAAATTTCTGTCATCGATCACCTTGCCACTGGCCAGGTCAGCAAGAAACTGTCGTTCGGCTGCTCTTGCTTGGCTATCATTGTCGTCATCGCTTCCAGGCAAGTCCCCAAATCCAGCTTGAATGGTGCGCACCAAGTTATGGTGGCCCTTCAACTCTGCAACCTCTGCGCCAGTAGTCGGGTCGTATATGCGAACGGTGTTGTCACTACTACCACTCACGATACGCTTCCCGTCGAATTGGACACATGCGATACCCTTCTGATGCCCTTGTAAAGTCCGCAACACTCTGCCATTCTTGGCGTTCCACACCTTGATCAACCTATCACCAGATGCAGAAACGATCAGGTCTCCGATGATCTGGATGGCGTTGACTGCAGCGTTGTGACCTTCTAGGGTCAATAGAAGCATGTACGGTTTCAAGGCTCGGATTGTACCGTTGGCCATTCTGGCCTCCAAAAGCGAAGGCTCCATGTCGGTCGTGTTGACAATGTACGAAGGCACCCGTGCTGTACCTGTACGCTCCACTTTGGGGTAGTCCTCGTCTGTGGCAGTGAGGGCCTGTCGATTCCATATCTTGATTCGTCGATCTTTAGAACATGTCACCAGATATCGTTTGTCGAATCTGAGGTTAAGCACAGATTCCTCATGGGCGGATGGGATTTCATGAATCTTTTGCCCGGTAGAGAAGCGCCATATCACCACACTTGCATCACTGCTACCAGAGATGATCACGTCTTGATCTTCGGTGGGGTCGAACTGAAGACAAAGGACGGATTGAGAGTGACCAACTAGAGGCTTTCCCCGTAGCCGTCTGGTCTCGAGATCCCATACACGCAATGTTTTGTCTCGACTGCCGCTGACCAACCATTTACCGAAGAATTGGATGGTGTAGACACATTCGGTGTGCGCTTCGTTCGGGTGGTCGGGATGGGGGAGCTCAAACGTTGTGTATAGGCCTCTAGTCCAATTGTGTTCCAGCTTCTGCCGTTGCATATACAAATGCAGCCAATTCAATCTGTCCCTTCCACCGGAGTCAGTTACAGTCAAGCTGGACTTGGCGGGAGGATCGGGATTGTCGATAGCTTTGTTATCTTCGTCCTTGGTATTCGTTGGCTCCGGTTTATAATCCATCTCATCCTCTGACTCCGAACTCGATCTTTTATTTGGTCGTTGAGGAGAATTCTGAATGCTATTCGGGGCATCTTGCATCTCTTGATCGTCGGGTTCTGATCTGGTGTCTGTGTCTGCCTCCACCATCCCATGCTGTTCACGCCAGGAAGATACATCCGCCGACACCTTACGTGGCCTTGATTCAAGCCAATCTGAGGTGGCGCGCTTCTTAAGCAAGGGTTGGCCATGAGTCTGTCCGCGCGCTCTTTTGAATTCATGTCTGACGAGCGAATTGTGTGCATGTTCGAAAGCATCGACTTCCTTCTTATCGTATAGCCATCCCTGATTCTTGTACAGAGCTAGCCAGAGCATGGGGTCCATGACACGAGCTCTCCAAGTCCGCGACGCGAGGGAGGCGGTCAACAAGGTGTTGGCATCTAGGTATGAGAATATGGAGCCAGTGATTTCCGCCGGCAGCTTTTCCACTGGGTCCATGTGCAGCAGGGGAGTCAAACGATCAACGACCGCAGCAATATTCGACGTCCGAAGAGTACGCAGCACTTCGTATGCAATCTCTGCTCGAGACTCTTCGTTTTGAGCCATCACCCATTCTTGAAATCGAGCAGCCATGGCCGCAAAATTGTTCCGCCCGTTCTCATCTTGACTCATGGTGTCTTCGGAAAAGCCTTCGTCTAGGCGGAAGGGTGTTGTTGTGGAGCTAGAGGGATAGCCTGATTGTAAAGGATCGATGTCTGCATTATCGTAGGGATCCATTATGAGAGAGCAAGAGGTCAGGATTCAGGGTGTGCTGAAGAGCGACGAGGTATCGAAAAGTTTGTGGCGAGAATAGGAATGTAATGCAAGGGCGGAAAGGATGCAGATGGCGTTATTCAGTTTGGGAAATAACCAGATTAGATCGCAGGTGTATCTGTAGGTGTAGGTTGTAGTCTGGTGAGTGGCACAACAACAACAACAACAACACACGAAGTGAAGTTATGTTATAAGAACTGCATGATGGATCATATGCACACTCGAAGAAATAGGCAAGAAAGTGTCAAATTCTTGTGTAACAGAACAAGGGGGGAATACGAGGTTTACGAGGCAGAAGCCTGTCTGGTGGTGGTGGAGGATGATGATGATGATGTCGAGTGTATGGAACTCAAGGTTGTGTTGGAGACAGATGCAGTTTGCCTTGTTTTGATTGATGCCGCCACAAGCCACAAGCCACTAAGCGACTACTTGTACTAATGAATTTCCTCGGATCCGTCCGATCGGCCACGATTACACGATGACACCATTTTCATCGTCGAATCCTTGTCCTTATTTTACCGTACAGTTGCTCGGTATTCGTAGGGCTGCTTTGTGTACAAGTAATTGCAAACAACAGAGGTGTATGTTGATACATGGACGCCTGGTCGATATCAAATGTCCGTCCCATACAGAGTACAAATATACAGCAGCCTTATGACCTCCCAAACACCGTCTTTCACATGGAAAACCCTCATCCGAGGGCCTTAATCTCGATGGTTTCATAAATAACCTCGGTGTTTGGCTTCGAATAGACCGCTTGCAGCCCCCGACGAATGTACTCTCCCGAAGTCATGGGCTGGAACTTTGCGGGATTATCTGGAGTCACGTATTTGTCCAGCGCCTTGATCACTGCGTCTTGATTCGCTAATGTAGCAAAGTCAGTGGCACGTCTCAACGAAAGTGTTGTTTGGCAGGTGTCTTAGTCTTACCACCCAAGAAAAAGGGTACCGAGTAACGAGTGCGTCGCGAAGTATTCAGCACTCGATGCATGGTCGACATGAACAGCCCGTTGGTGAGCATCGCCATGGTGTCACCGATATTTACTACGAACGTCCCTGGGATCGGTTTGGCCTGGATCCACTGGCCAGTGTTTGACAAGACTTCGAGAGAGGGTATGTTGTCCTGCAACAGGAGTGTGAGAATCTCGTAGTCTGTGTGAGGCCGAATTGCAGAGGGCTCCTCTGATCCCTCGATCGTGCCTGGATAATGCGCCAGCTTGAGAATCGAATATGGCCGAGTCGCAAGATAGTCAAATGCATGTTCGTCGAGGCCCAGACCCAAAGCAAACATTCTCAGCAAGCGTCTGCTTAGTTTCAACACTTCCGACATGAACGACTTGACCATGCGCCTATGCCCGGGTAGACGCTCCTCGGAAGGCCACCAGTTATCGCCATTATTGGTGACGTCTGCGGCATCAGGATCGGTTGACGGCTCGTAACCATAATTGATGCTTTCATTTAGTTCTTTCAGCGTCAGCTGACGTCTGGACGACAGGAAACCTCACTCACTTGCTCCCGAAGGCTGATTCGGGTTGAGCTTGATTGGATAGTAGCCATAATAATGATCGTGTTTCTCCGTATCCAACTCCATCTTCTCCTCGAGGGTCAATTCATGACAGAACCGTCTTGCCTCATCGAAGATAGACTCAATCAAGGGGTTGGAGACTCCATGGTTAGTTATATAGAAAAACCCTGTCCTTTCAGCAGCAGCACATATCTTCTTTGCAACAGCCCTGCGGCACTCCACGTCAGGATGAATTGTGTCCTCAATATCAATCACAGGAAGTTCCGTCGTAGCCTCATTGCTCGTGGGAGACAGAACCTTGCGCCAACCTAGCCCAGTTCTGATCTCCTGGTGGCCGTCCGACGTGGTTCGTAGGATATCAGTCATAGTTCCACTTGCAAAGGAATGTCAGTCCCACACCGGGAAGGGTTCGCAAGGAGGCCATAATATATCAATCAGACTGCCCTGGTGATGCTGCCCGGACAAGTCCGTAGTCAACTGTTGTCTAAGTATATATGGTGCTCAACTCCGGTACTTGGCAGTTGATGTAGGCTCTGGCCAGGGAATCTAGACCACAGGTAGACGCAATTACAAGTATCGTGTGTTGTGGTTGTGGCAGGCCATTCCCTGCGAACTACAGGCTAGGACTCGCGGAGATGCTGGGGCTAGCCTTGTCGGCCGCGATAAACCGTCATACTTCAATCCGCAGCCTTATGCCCCGCATTTTTACGCCCTTCGGGTCAATTGCACGAGCAATGATGAAACCAAAGGCCCTTCAAACAGCTTTGAAATAGATTATTGTATCGATGATGCAAACATCGTGCTCGCTATCATTCCACCCTTTGAGATACACCAAAAGCAGTTGAACTCGTGATGGACCATGTCGACCAACACTGGGAACACTTCTCAGCTGGTCCAAGTCCACATACGATGTCATTGTCAACTAGTTTCCTTTCCCTTGGACATACCATACGCCGCGTTTCCTCTAAAGTCTTCACTCTGTCATTGTGATTCGTGTAGGCATTCAACGGGGCTGCTGTTTGCAACATGGGCAGTAATACCATTGCCTGTACCTGAGATCTTGGCCAGTGGTCATCTTGTCAGATATGACTCTTCGTCGACTTGCCAGAGGTGGTTTTGCAAGCGATGCGGTGCCAGTGCCATCAACATCGACAAAGGAACCAGGGTCGAGGAGTGGGAAGTCGCCACTGGCTTGCTACACCTCATGGATGGTAAAGGTTTGGATGGCAGACTGAATCGAGTACAACTGTGGGTGGACGATGTGAAAGGTGATGGTGGAGCTGTTGGATGGATCAACCACGGCCGACTGGTGGGCATGGACAGACATTGGAAAGGGAGGGAAAGCGGGCTTGTCGAGGACAAAGCTGTTCAGGACATATCAGCTGATAGCCGGAATTTGTCCAAAGAATCGCCGAGTCAACAGCTCACTGCAGCCTGTCACTGCCGAAATATCATGCTTTTGATCTCGAGACCAGGCGATGAGGCACTGACATCAGATAATGGGAAATTCGAAGCTGGCCTTGACGCATGCACTTCGTGCCGGACTGTCTCGGGTTTCGAAGTCACCAGCTGGCTCACCGTACCAAGGCATCTCATCAGAAGCGAGACCACTGATCTGGACAACCTGCTCGAAAAAAGTTCTAAACTTGGCCACTACAAAACGTCTGCAAATGTGAGTCGATATTTTTGTGCGGCATGTGGCGCCACCATCTTTTACTACAAGCATGGCCTCGACACGATCGACATCGGCACAGGACTTTTGAACCCACCAAATGAGAGAACGGTGCGTGTTGAGAACTGGCTGGCGTGGGAGAAATATCCAAAGGGCGTTGCGTATCAGGAAGACGCCGTTGACAAGGCGTTCATCACAAAGCTGGCAGAAGGCATGCAGCCGAACGGTCCCAGCAGCGTGGAATAGGGCCTCGATAGGTGGCGAGGACAGCGACCATGGTAGTGACACAACTCAGAGTCTTGTTGGATCAATGACAATTTTGTCGGCCGTTGATTATCAGGAGCCAATCTGTCCGTGTGTACCTTGAAATATCACAGCATAGGATGCTCAGACAAATTGAGATCCGAGAGAGCACGAGGGAGATTGACTCATCACGTGGTGGCTCTCTCCCACGTGACTCCGCGACTAGCGCCGGACGCCAATTTTCACGCACTCCATCACCGGAGACACCATTTTGGATCAAGAAATCATTTTGTTGAACGGCCTTCGGCCTTGGTCCTGTCCGCAAGTGTGTACGGACTATTATGTACGGAGTACGAAGAACGGCCTAGATACGATACTTGTGAACCATAGACACATACCCAGGTACCTATCTAGGTAGTCAGACAGAATATACGATACATACCCGAACACAAGATGTGTTTGCGGAGTGAGGATGATGTAGAAAATGGACGTTCCAATGGCGTACTAAGAAAACCACTAAAAGGCTCAGCGTATAGTGGCCTTGCCAGCAGGGGTAGTTGACTCGTTATGGCTTGAGGGGACACAGTAGGGCTATTCCGTGAGAAATTCGTGTTCATAAAAACCTTTTCCACAAGGGTCCAAAGGACATCGTTGCTCTGGGGCCGACGGCGCTACGTGCTCAATGCCTTTCGTGCATTGTACGGAATTGTGCCCACCGCCACCGCCGCAGCCGCCGCTAACATGGACTCGGAGGCCGCAAAATGGGTTTTCGTTGTCCTGGTACTGATTAATGTGCAACGACATCGCGTGTGCATCGGCTTAAGAGGAGATTTGCAACCCCTGAACCCATGCATACTGAACACTGTATAAACCCTAGACTCGGCTTTAGAGAAGGCGCGAAGGGAGCGAAGTCAGACGAACGATCCAAACGGAGATTTGAACGCAAGCCATTTTACGGAGTATTTGGGAACCACATATAGTGAGGAGGGGTCGTTTGTTTACTTTTGTCGATTATAAGAAAAATCGACGGAGAAATAATGTCGAGTGTTGATCTGCATGAGAACCGTGCGTTTGGAGGAGAGACTACAAGGCATCTCGGTATAGCAACAGGTATCAGTATGTACGAGAAGCAAGTAGTAAAAGAATAAGCAACGGACAAGGAATACAGTGGCAGTGGCTATGCTGATTGCTGATGCCGGTGCCCCTCCTGAAGGTATCCGTGCAAAACACGGAGTATCAGCAAAACGGCACAGGGAAAAGGGCCATAAAGGGGGGCCGAACTCCGATCGAGAAGAAGTTCCAGGGGTGCGAGTACGGACAACGATGAGACAGACCGAGAGATAAGGTACAAGTACCAGTACGAGTACTCCGTACATAGAGAAGAGGGAGAGAGAGATGAGGACCGAGGGGCAAACCACAAACACACACTCATCACACTGCCCACTGCGCCCACTGCCATTACTGAACTGTACAATTTAACGGAGTTGCTGTACGGTACAGACGAAGCCAACTCGTATCGGGTGCCGCCCACTAGTCGATCATGGGCCCCGGTCTTGTTAGCTGCGGCTGGATGGGAGGGAAAAGAATGAGCAATAAATAGAAATCCTGGGCGAGGGACCGTCAACAGTGGCTTGCGGCTTGGTTGGCAATAAAATCGTGTCCTCTTATTCCGTATACCGAGTTGGCAAAAAAGATCTTGGACTTCCCCTTTTCTTCTCAGTACAAACACACAACTTCTCACTCTCGGATTCTCTTTCGTCTCTTGTATAGACAAAAGTTTCTTGCTTCTCACCGCGGCCGTATACCTACTACACACCGCTCCTCTCACACGTCTTCCCCCCCCTTCGAACCCTTCTCAGTATAAACAAGACAGTGAATGTCCAAGAGAAATTCCACCATGGTTGCCAACGGATCTGCTACTCCCTCATACCTCCTGACCGGCAAGGTCGCTCTGGTCACTGGCTCAGGTACGTTGCCTCTGTTGTGTTGCCCAACAGCACAGACGGGCGCCCTTCGCGTTCTCCCCCCTGACTGCTCTGCCCCTCACCGCATTTTCTGGCCCTGCAAAAAGGTCGGGGTGTGACCAACCAAAGCACACGACACAAGCACTGCAAAACAGAAGACGGAGGCAAAGATAAGAGCATAATGAGCATAGGCATGAGAAAGAGAGAAGAGAAAGAAAGAAAAAGAAAAGGGGTTGACACAAGACAAACGAGGACCAGAAGGACTGACATGCCTTCTTACTTCTAGGACGAGGCATGGGCCGTGAGACCGCTCTCGAGCTCGCCCGCCGTGGTGCCGACGTGGTGGTCAACTACGCCAACAGCTCCGAGGCGGCCGACAAGCTCGTCGCCGAGATCAAGGCCATGGGCCGCGACTCGATCGCCGTCAAGGCCAACGTCTCGGACGTGTCGCAGATTGTCAACATGTTCGCCGAGGCCAAGAAGCACTTTGGCAAGCTCAACATCGTCGTGTCCAACTCGGGCGTGGTGTCCTTCGGCCACCTCAAGGACGTGACCGAGGAGGAGTTTGACCGCGTCTTCAACGTCAACACCCGAGGCCAGTTCTTCGTGGCCCGCGAGGCCTACAAGAACCTCGAGCCCGGCGGCCGCATCATCCTCATGGGCAGCATCACGGGCCAGGCCAAGGGTGTCCCCAAGCACGCCGTCTACTCGGGCTCCAAGGGCGCCATCGAGACCTTCGTGCGCTGCATGGCCATCGACTGCGGCGACAAGAAGATCACCGTCAACGCCGTCGCCCCCGGCGGCATCAAGACCGACATGTACCACGCCGTGTGCAAGGAGTACATCCCCAACGGCGAGAACCTCAACGACGAGCAGGTCGACGAGTACGCCGCCACCTGGTCCCCCATGAACCGCGTCGGCATGCCCATCGACGTCGCCAGAGTCACCGCCTTCCTGGCCTCCCAGGACGGTGAGTGGGTCAATGGAAAGGTCATTGGTATCGACGGTGCTGCTTGTGTAAGTTTTTGATCTTTTCACCCTTCTTCCACGACTCTTTTGCAGTCGAGAATCAGAACCAAAATTGCTAACCGTCGGTCGCGTACCACGTGTAGATGTAAAATGTCGTCCCTGACAAGCACCTCCGGACTCCCGAACCCGAACAGACAACATTGAAGAGAGAAAGAAAAGAGAGATGAGAGAGCAAGTTCACAATCCCCCTTACCCTTTGAAGGACCCTATATAGACCTGGAGTCACCACAACCTCTATTTTCCTTGTTGCGTCAAGGTTGTGGAGAGGCGTGACAGAAGACCCAGACCGTAATCGATTACTTGACCAACCTCTTTCTTGGATGGATGGATTTCACGCGTTTACTCGTATAGCGGGGGGAGTAGGGTTTGGAAAGATTCATTCTTCACATAAAAAAGCGCAAATGAGAAAATGATTCTTTTTCCTCTCACCTACACCTTCACTTTTTATTTTGTGATTGCACATCTTTTGATCTGGTCAAATCCAGAGGCCTAGTAGTTTCGTCTGCTACATACGGTCCCTGCCCGCCTGAGTCTTATATTCCGCTATAGTAAGGCCCCATTGTATCCAAGTACAGCAACTATCGTCCCATGGCCCTGGCCACAAGCTTGTCGTCCAAAGCGTACGGTTCGCCGTCTTCGCCAAACACGACATCCTCGGCCAGGTAGACCAGAATGCCTCTACTGCGCCGCTCCGCATCTTGCAGCCGGTACAACAACCGTCCGAAGGCGTCCGACTTGTGGGAAGAGTGCAGCAACAGATTATTCTCCGACGCCCAGTCTTCCACGAGACTCTTGAAGGTGACTTCCTCGTCTATGCCCGCGGCGACCGTCGGTGTCGCTGCGACCGCCGGACGGGTGGCAGGTGGTGGGGGCTTGGGCCGCCGCGACCCGAGGAGGGGTTTCCACGTCGCCCAACTGTCGGCGTCGACTTTGGTCTTGACCAGAGACTTGAGCTCCGGGAAACGTTCGAGGTCGAGATCATCAGACGACAAGAGCGTCCACCAGTCAAAGAGCCACGTGTGCATGTCTGGTGCTGAGGACTTTTTGGACTTGCGCGAGGCGGAACCGTTGGCACCGTTTGAACCGCCCAGACCGAGGGTGGTCGATTCGATCCGTTTAGGGAACCGTTTCACAGCCTCGATCAGTCGCGGAAGGACGACCTCGTGGAGGATCTTGTACGTCATCCAGTCGGGCAATATGGGCGACCAGGATTGGACGAGCGTATATGCCGGGTCTGGATCATACATGTCCCATTCTTTGCCGAGGGCGACGCGTATCCGAGGGTACCAGTGTAGCAACAGCAGACTTTCAAGGTATGTGGTCCGTTTGCGATGTCGGGTCGTGGTGGACTTTTCAATTTCCAGTAGCAGATTTATGGACTGTAGAGATGCGATCAAACGCCGAGGCTCGGTGAGAGGATCCCATTCTGCGAGTTCCCGCCGGAAAGGAGCCTCGAGGCACGAAACTGCCAATTCGGGAAGCGATAATTCAGATATGCCGTCGGCGTATTGTGCTTGAATTGTCTGCAGGCGCGAGATAGAAGCGTCCCAGTCTCGGGCCTCGTTGGAGTCGTCTACAGCCACACGCTCAAATGATGATATGATCTCATTGTAACGATGGATCTCGGTCTCATGGAGGGACAGCGCTGCTCCGAGTTGAGTGTCTTCCAACTCGAGCTGGGTTTCTTGTTCTTTGGTGGAATCCCATGCGTCTGCGAACGCTTGTAACTGTAACTTGATCCGAGACGTCGCCTTTGCGGCTTCGAGTCCAGGGGATGACTCCCGCGTCGGTGTTGAGAATCCTGACAGGGAGGATACAGTCTTTGTCTCCGACCCTGTGGCATCCACAATCACTTGTTTCATTGCTTCGGGGATGTGGAGGCCTCTGGACTCGATTGCGGCCACGGCGTATTTGGCCTTGGGTGGAGCCTTGATGCGTGGTGTGCTCGTCCCGGGAGTCGACGGTTTCGAAGAAGAGGTTTTTGCTCTACTGGGGTCCTTCTTGCGTGGTGGTTCGGCAGTGCCACTTCCTTGACCGAGACCGGCGCGTGTTTGTAGCGACTTGGCCTGGATGGGTGCCGTGATGCCTTGTCCTGACTTTCCCAGACCCTGACCCTCTGCGTAGCCCATCTTCGCCATCATACGAGCGGCGAAGGAGTTCTTTTGTATTCTTCCTCCTGCACCGAACGCGGACGGTCCAGTACCGCCTGATTTCTCTGCCTGTCTCTGCGGAGACATGTCAGGTGGAGGAGGAGCAGGACTCTCTGGCTCCTCTTCAGCGTTATATTCCCCAATATTGAAAGAAGCACGGAAGCCGCCCATTCCAGAACCCATGCCTAGGCCCATCGACGGCCTTTCGTCGTCGAGATCCTCCTCCTCTTCATCTTGCTCCTCTTCCTGAGCATTTGATTGAACAAAGCCCACACCGCGACTGCGCAAAGTTTTCATAGTTCTCCTACGCTTGTTGGGCCTTTCCTCGTCGGTGTCATCGTCGTCGTAGTCGCGAAGGTTGAACGGCTGGTCGTCGTCTGAAGAATCGCTCATTTTGGACATTTCTTGTCGTAAAACTCGTGTTGGTGTGAGTCCTTCAGTCCTCTATTAGCCTCTCGTGAAGGCTCACCACATCAGTTGGGCGATTCAATCAAGATGCGCATGTTCGCTGTAAGCCAAGCAGGGGCGTAGTTCACAGTTTTGCGGTCTTTGTATTGAAAGGCTACCGCCAACGAAGAAATTCAAGATCTACCGAATTGATGCCGGTGTTGGAGTCGATGTCATACACCATGAGAGTGTGGCGTGTTCTGCTTGACCCTAGTGTTCTATTGGGTGAGTACGGTAGATCATAACATAGTATGTACTAATAATCTGTTCCTGCGGTGTCGGAAGCTTCGTACCTGGGAAACTCGGGGCATTGTTAAGGGTGACGTAAAGTGCAGCTTCTCCGACGTAAAAGCATCTTTTGATAAACGGAATCGCGGATACGTTCGACGACCTTCTCTGTTTCGTCTGAATTAGATCAATTGTTCTGTTACTTCTCTTGACACTTTCAAGCCTCAAGAACACACGGAAACATCATGGCTTCCTCTCTCCGCTCCCTCGCTCGTCCATCCACCCTCAGAGCTGTCTCGGCTACGCAACCTCTGCGATGTCTGACAACAGCAAATAAAACCTTTGTCCGCACCAAGGCCACTCTACCTGATCTTTCTTGTAGGCCATATTCTGGAACTCAAACCCATCTACCGTGAACAGATGCTGACACAAAAGTCCAGATGATTATGGAGCCCTTGAACCAGCCATTTCCGGGAAGATCATGGAGCTGCACCACAGCAAGCACCATCAGACCTACGTGAACTCCTACAACGATGCTGCAGACAAGTATGCCGCTGCGGATGCCAATGGCGATATAGCCGCCAAGATTGCTCTCCAGCCGTTGATCAACTTCCACGGTGGTGGCCACCTCAACCACAGCCTATTCTGGGAGAACTTGGCTCCCAAGAACTCCGGCGGTGGTGAACCTCCCTCTGGAGAATTGGCAAAGGCCATCGACACGACATACGGTGGTCTCGAGGACATGAAGAAGACGTTTAACGCAGCCTTGGCCGGTATCCAAGGCAGCGGTTGGGCCTGGTTGGTCAAGGACACACAGACTGGAAATATTTCCATCCAGACATACGCCAACCAAGATCCTGTGGTTGGTCGATACAAGCCCTTGCTGGGTGTCGATGCTTGGGAGCATGCGGTAAGTCGTGGCTCAAGACGGCGGAAAAAGACCACAGCATAACTGACAGTCCACAGTACTACCTCCAGTATCAGAACCGCAAGGCCGAATACTTTAGTGCAATCTGGGATGTGATCAACTGGAAGGCGGCCGAAAAGAGATTCAGTAGCTAAGAAAAATTTCTTGCTCATCTAAAGCATGTACAAAATTGAGATGTATAGCCTCTATGCGGAACAAGCGCGTCTCATGAATATTCACAATTAAAATGTTGATCACAAACATGTTCATTTCCATTTTTATATAGCCCGAATCCAAATGCCTACTACTGAATATGTCGTGTAAACTATCGTTGTCAACAACGTTGATCACGGGGGGCATCGCTCTCTTATTTTCACCTCAACGATAATGCCCTGGCATCCTCAACAGCGACTCTGATCATTTTCTTGATCTCGGCTTTCCAGTTACTCTCTCTCCATCGGTCCCAGTGGCTAAAGTTTTCGTCGGTTTCCAGGTTCAGCGTCTCGTAGCCTTCCTTGATGACCCTTTGAATGGCCGCGGGGGACTGGTGCGTCTTCTTCCCGTGCTGCGCCTGCAAGAGGCCGTGGTAGTGCGACGACACGCTAATCAGCGCCTCTATCGACCTCTTCAGGCGGCCGTCGGTGGTTTGGGTGGTGCTGTTTGGGTCGCAGTATGCCTGCTTGAACTTGGGCAGTAGATCGTACGCTTCGATCAACTTGTAAAAGAGCTCGTCGAAACTCGCGGGGTCCGGGAGGAACCCGTCACCCTTGGTCAGGCAGAAGGCCGCAAGGTTGGCCAGAGGGCCGCACAGCTCTTCCCGAATGCCCCGTAGATGTCGGAGATCGGCCGAGTACTGCGTCAGGAACCGGATCAGGGAGATCAACGAACCCCAGATGTACGCCCAGTGGTGCTGCAGGCGGGTCTTGGTTTGTTCGAGATGCGTCACGACGCGGAGGATGATGCCCAAGGCGAGACTATAGAGGTTGACGTCGAGACGTTTGCGGAGGTTGTGACTCAGCGTGTCAGTGCAGATGTCGAGGATGGCGGTCGCGGGCATTCTGGAAGACGTGACAAGCGGTAAGTGGGGAGCTCGTTGGCGGCAGAGACGGATCGTGACTTTCGAATCGGACGAACATATCTTCTTGACAAGCAAGGAATCTTCGACTATTATTCGGAGCGAGAGTAGACTCAACACTGCGTAGGTCGACTGTCGGGCGCCGCGGTAGGCGTGGTGTGAGATGTACGATGTCGATGAGAGGAATGTGGACAAGGGTGTTTCTTTGCTGTCTTTGGTCGTGGGGGCCAGGTTGAGAAGGTTCGCGGAGAAGAGTGAGTTTGCTTGGACGAAGGAATATAGAGACAAAATGCACGCCGCGTCTTGTTGGGGAAGAGACCCGAACAGGACTTTGGCTTCTTCTTCAGTAGGTGGGAGAGGTTTATTGGCGTCCGACGATAGAGGGCGCAGGCCTACCATTACCAAGGTCGAGTTGAGGTTCCAGGGGACAGGGAGGTCCTCTTGGACTGAGACGTATTGGTTTCGGATGTTTGCGCAGGCGTCGGTAAAATTGTGTACTAACAGCCGGATGGTCTCTTCATTGACAAAGTCCTCTAATCGATTCTGATAGACGTTTTGTGATTCGAATTTATTATAACTGGAGAGGACGCCAACGATGACAAAGGCTTTCAAGCCTGCGGAGGGCGTTGCGTGGACATCGTGAACGTACTGGACATATCAAGCGTGAGCGCCAACCTACTCTCTAAGACAACGCGAATTCGTGCTTACCTTCATCAGTGCAGAGAAGAGGTCTTTGTGCATAAAGTAGGAGACGAGACTAGTGTGGAAACCTCCTGCGACCAATGCAAGTGTCGTCTCTAATGCTTTTGTTCGCAGCGTGTCACTCGTGGATTGGCGGATAATCGACTCTAGGCCATGAACTATATCGGACATGGTCTGGTCGATGGCGTCGAGTCCGGCAAGAACTTCGATGACATCTGTGTTTGGGTTCGGGAATTTCTTGGTGAATACGGCGCATAGAAATGCAGTCAAATTCTTCAGTTGTCAATCTCGATGTCGTCGTTGTTTGCCCGTGCTGAGGGAGGAGAAGTGTAGAGCATACCTCGAGAGCGTTTTCATTACGGCTATCGTCTCTTGAGCAGGCTTCTATGGTGGCTCGTCTGAAGAATGCTTGTGTCTGGGTCTGCCCGCAGTATTAGGACAAGGACGTTCCAATCCAGAGATAAATAGGCCAACTATACTTGCATGTGGAGCAGGTCGAAAGCCGTCATTGGGTCGAGGATGTCGTAGAGTCGCAGCTTGTCAGGCTTGAGAAGGAAGAACTCCCTCCAGAAGCCTTCGGTTGGTATGGATTCATCCCCATCCTCGTTGGCAAGCGCAGTGAATAAATGAAGATAGAGCTGGACGATTTTCGGCTCAAACGAGTCAGGACGAAGCAGCTGGGTCAAAGGGGAGGATTCCATGGTCGGAACGGCAGGCGGCGGCGTATGCTAAAAGAAACATAGTCCGTGTGTAACTGTGGGATTCAGAAGCGTCGTGATGTAGCTAACCTCAGCGTATAGGTATCATGACTCGAGAGGACTTGAAGAGTGATATAGGAAGACGGCAGAAGGAGAGAGTTACCGGGCCAAAAAGAAGGTATCATGTGTTCTTGGCAGTTTTCTCCCGGCCTTACCTGGAATGATTGGTGCTACTAACGACGCACCAGAGGCATTGATGACCTCTTCTCGATGGAATGAAGTCTGTGTATGTCACTGACCAAGGCAAAGGGTAGGGATCTCATACAATGGCATTGTGTTGAGGAGGATGTCGACTATGCACATCAACCTGAGACCGTCGACCGAGTCTCGGCGAGGACTTTATTATTCGAGTGGCTCCGATTGGCCGAATCCCTTCCTTATGATCCCTCGGCTTACCAATTCCGACCTTGTAGAGACTTCCATTCCATTTCCCTGCGGCTCTTTGTTTCTTCTCTAATCCCAACAGTCATTCATTCTCTTGCCACCATCTTGTCCACCATCACCTCCCCAATGCTACAGACAGCATCAATATAAAACTGAATTACAAACTGAGAGTCTCAACAACGATAACCACCTCGCCATGATGTCCGCCAGTCATCTCCTCCCGGCCACGACGTCATCCGCCGCCTTCTTCAGAGCCCTCGCCATCGCCTCAACAGCACGATCATGTACTCATACTCTGCGGACCTTCTCCTCGTGCAACTCACGGCGAGCATCATCGAAAAGGGAGCTATATACTGTTCCCTCGTATCAGCCACACAGTCTTCCTCAAGACTTCCCGATGCCGCCGCGAAACACCAACATCCCCGACACTTCGATAGCTGGACCTGAATCCCAGTTGCTCGACTTCCCTCAGCCCAAAAAGACTCCCGAACAGTCCAAATCTACAGAAGCTGCCAGCATCAGTGTACCTGAGAAAGAGGCGCAAAAGTCGAAGCCTGTCGAAACGCCGAAGACCGAACAGCCCAAGTCGGCGAAGCCTCGGCGGAGCAAACTAAGACCGCGAAAGGCAGCTATGACCATATCACCAGATGCTTTATATCATTTACGAGAGCTGCTTGATCAGCCAAACCCAAAGATGATCCGGGTTGGAGTGAAGAATAGAGGTTGCTCGGGCCTAGCATATCATCTGGAATATGTTGACAAGCCCGCCGCCTTTGACGAAGTGGTGGAGCAAGAAGGCGTCAAGGTTTTGATCGATAGCAAAGCATTGTTCAGCATTATCGGGAGCGAAATGGATTGGAAAGAGGACAAACTCAGCGCCAGATTTGTCTTTACCAACCCCAACATCACAGAACAGTGTGGATGTGGAGAGTCATTCAGCGTTTCATGATACAGTCATAGCCTTGCAGCGTTTAAGCAGGCAGATGATAGATGACGATGGCAGCAATACAGTCGTTGTGGACGTCTATAACCATTCAATGGTGAACTATTCATTTGTTTCCAGATCTTATCGATCCAAGCACGGCGCACTTCCTTCAGTACACGTCTTTCTCGTAATCGATCACTCTAACATCGTCAAATCTTGGACCGTTTTTCTTGATAAATGCTTGGTGGGCAGGATCTTTGGAAACATAGTAATCTCGATCTTCACTTGATGCGAACTCGACTACAAAGCCATGTGTCAGGCCTCCCTGGGGGGAATGATCAGTCAAAGCAGCGACAGCGAGAACAAAAAAGATAACTTGGTATCCGAGGAACTTGACTTACCTGAACACCTTCAGGACTGTTGTCGGCGCCGCCTGATGAAGACACGATATATGGTGTATTTGAGGTTGGATGGATACAAGTGTTTTTCAAGCCCAGCATATCATCACAGAACTGTGATACAGGAGAAGTCAGTGTGGTATTCTATAGCCTCACGGTCCTCTACTTGCTTCAGACAGAGAAACACCTACCTCTTTCTTTTCCGAGTCACTCAAGGAAGACTTGAGTTTGAACAAGACAATATGAATGATGGACATGTTGATGATCTTGTGTGAGTGATTGAGACGAAATGAGAAGAGGTGAGAGTGATTGTCGGGGGCAAGAATCTATATCTAAGGTATCGTTGTAATCACTATACTCCGTACCTAGGAATCTATCTACATGTACTGACACAGGCACGAGTAGAGTAGAGTATGGTTGATCTACTCGTCGTAGGTGAAGATTGTGTAAGCCGGTTCGGTATCAGGCGGTCTGATGACTCGATTTGACATCGAATACGGATATTCGTCCAGTAAATAAACATCTCAGTTCGTTTTCGTTCGTTTAATAAAAAGATGATGATTGCGGGGCATTTTAAGATCTTTCAACCGGGGGATTTTTGATGCCCCTCATGTTCATGTTCATGTTTTATACGGAGTATTCGTGCCTAATATTTTATTTCTCTTAGCGACACCGTTTACGTAGTACCTTTGCTTAGGAACAGCATCATCATATCTATACTTCATCCTTATCTAGCATCTGTATTATATCACGACCTTGTCTTGTTTTTTCCCCCAGTGTACGGCACTTGAGGTTTACACCCTTAAAACTTCCCAGAGCACCAAATCTACATCTTCCACACTTCTGCCTTTCCTCCGTCCGCTTGCCCGAACTCTACAAAAGCTCACTTTGGGATTCAAAGACGCCCAAAAATACTGAACACCCTTTCTTCTTGAATCACCACAAAACAGTATATACGACATCTCAAGGACATCTCCCGCCACCATGGCCACCCATTCCCACGACGGCGGGGCATCGCACTCTCACGCCCACGACGGGGCAGCGGCGACACCCCACGGCCACTCGCACGAGATCCTCGACGGGCCCGGGTCCTACCTTCACCGCGAGATGCCCATCGTCGAGGGGCGCGACTTCTCCGACCGGGCCTTCACCGTCGGCATCGGGGGCCCCGTGGGTTCGGGCAAGACGGCTCTCATGCTCGAGCTCTGCCTGGCCCTGCGCAGCGAGTACAACATCGCCGCCGTGACCAACGACATCTTCACCCGCGAGGACGCCGAGTTCCTCACGAAGCACGGCGCCCTCGCCCCCGAGCGCATCGTCGCCATCGAGACGGGAGGGTGCCCGCACGCCGCCGTGCGGGAGGACATTTCCGCCAACCTCCTCGCCCTGCAAGGGTTGCACGCGAAGTTCGGCACCGACTTGTTGTTGATCGAGTCCGGCGGCGACAACCTCGCGGCCAACTACTCTCGTGAACTGGCCGACTTCATCATCTACGTCATCGACGTCGCGGGGGGGGACAAGGTGCCTCGGAAGGGGGGTCCCGGCATCACGGGCAGTGACCTCCTCGTCATCAACAAGTGCGACCTCGCCGTCGCCGTCGGCGCCGACGTGGACCTGATGGAGCGCGAGGCCAACAAGATCCGCGAGGGCGGGCCCGTCGTGAGGGCCGTCATCAAGAACGGCGTCGGCGTCAAGGAGACGGTCGACATGATCTTGAGTGCGTGGAAGAGCACGACGGGTTACGGTGAGAGTAGGAAACGTTGGGCGGCCAACGGTGGACAGAGGGGCAGCGGTGAGCAGCCCAAAGTGAGTAGGTGAGATGATACGAAAGAAGGACAGAGAAGCAAAATCCTACACCAGTCAACTCAACATTTGAGACGAATAGACCAAAACCCTCGGAAACTATTGCCGTATCAAGGTCCATTGTAAGGTGTGTGTGTATATCATATATATACATATATACGTACATGTACCTGTCTTGGTTCGGTACCCCATGTATATCTGTATATTCATACAGAGGAAGCACGAGCACGGGATCAAGTGGTGGCTCGGTTCAAGGTATGGCAGGGACTGAAAACGTGGTCGGGAAACTTTGACCAGAGAGAGAAACGGAAATTTATGAAACGTGACGCAAAACAACACAAAAGAGAAAGAATTCCATTGGGAGGAACAGGACCAGCGTGGCTTGACATGGCATCTTGAAAGACAGCGGATGATCTTTACGAATTCTTTCGCAAAGAACAAAAAAGGAGACAACAGATCAATCAAAGTGTAGGGAGGTCCATGTAATACCGAAGATACTGAAAGAAGACCTCTCTATATCACTTCTGAAATATCAAGGGATCTTAATTCATCTACGTACCTAAATAGCTGGGTACGTAACACACTCATGCTCCTCGTTTGGCGAATCTGGCCAAAGCAGGCCCCAGTTCAACCTTGTCCTCGATCAATTTGTTCTTCGCCTTCTCGGCGCGCTCCTTCTTCATCTCCTCCAGGCGCATCCTCTTCTCGTCCACGACGTTCTTGCCGCCCTTCTTCCTCAGGTGCCTCCTCAGGGCGCTGTTCCTGCCGCGGCCGCGGTTGCGCTCCTTGAGCCTCGCCAGCGGGTCCTCGGGCGGCGCGTCCAGGTCCTTTTCGCGCCTCCTCTGCTCGGCGCCTCGCCGGTCCAGCGTCCCGATGAAGTCGGGGTCCAGCGCGATGGTCTCGGGTTGGAGTTTGGTGAGGAGGGACTTGACCTCGGTCTCTTGCCGCTGCTTCCGCGTCTCGTAAGGGTTGACCTCGAGGGCGTCGTAGTTGGCCTCGCCGGCGCCCGGGACGACGGCGCTGCTGAAGCCGTCGGCGTGCGAGACGCCGAGGACGTCGTCGAACGGGCAGAAGCGGACGCGCTCGACGCGCCGCCCGTCGTGGCCCCAGTTGAGGTAAGGGGATTGGACCTTGGACGGTTGGTCCGGCGTCGTCGAGGAGGCGGTGAACAGGTCCTTCCAGACCGTCACGCCCGTGCCGCTGCCGATGGCCGCCAGACCTCGGTCGGAGATGTCGATGGTCGTGGCGGGTTGCCTGGTCGTGTACGAGTGCACTTCCTTCAGCGCCCGGAGGTCCCACAGTTTCAGGCGGAGGTCCTGGCCGCCGCAAAGCATGTAGTGGCCGGACCGGTCGACGGCGATGGATCGCACGGGCCCGGCGTTCGACTGCATCTTGACCAGCGGCGTCGTCGAGTTGGGGGACCACAGCGACACAGTGCCATTTTGGTGTCCGACGTGGAGGATGGCGTTGTAGGGGTTCTGGGCCAGTGAGGTGGGTGCACCCTTGCGTGTCGGGTGCTCCGCTACGATCTGCCCGGTCGAGGTATCCGTGTAGCGGAGGAAGCCGCTGTTCTCGATGCCAGCCAGGAGGAAGTGGTAGGGGAGGAATTCGAGGTGTGTGGTCTCGACGTATGTCTTGAGACAGTGGATCTCGACCCCGGCGTGGTCGTAGATGTACGTGTGCTTTTTCTGCGCCACGGCAAAGTATTGATCATTGTGCAACCACTTGGCGTCTCTTATGGTCTCGTTGAGATGTAGTTCGCATCCTGGCTTCCCTGCTCGCCATTCGCACGTGGCCACATGCCCTTTTCGTCCGGCGAGAAGGAGGCTGCGCCCGTTTCGTGTGTAGTCGGCCACGTACGGTCCGAGGTCGAGTTTGAATTCGATGGACTTCTTGGCCTGTTGGATCCCAACGGCGTCGAGTATGTCCTCCTGTCTGACTTTGTACGTTCTCTCGAGCTCTGCCTCGGGCTGCAAGAAACCTTCTTGGTTCTCGTAGAGAATTTCTGCATCTTTTGCGTTCAGCACTGCGCTTCGGTACTTGTTCTCGATCCTTTTGAGATCGGCACGGAGTTTCTTGTCCTTGACCTCGTTCAGACGGACCGGTCGACCTCGTCCATATTTCTTGCGTGCCTCTGCGAGACGTTTCTGGTTCGCCTTGTCCTCCGCAGTCAACGTGCCTGTCGGTGCTCGACTGGTCTTTGTGGGTGGCTGGATATTGTGGATGGTGAGTTGCCCAGCACCGTTTTCTACAAGACTCTCCATGATGCTTCTTGCAGTCCTGTAGAACGGGATTGCAAAGTGGTATGTGAACAAAATGTTTTTCATTCAATACAAAGAGCGAGCCGAATCTTGCGGTCTTTGGTTCCATCTCCGCATCCAAAAATTTCTGTCGGCAAACCTTCTCAATTCGAGAGCGGAGAATCCACGGGCATCGTCTTCCGTACTCGTATTCGTACAGTAACGACGTTTCCTACTATCTCCCTTCAGCCTCGTTACTTACAACAGGTGCAGATTTGGGGGTTCTCTTCTATTGTCTACTCAGATACCTGAATAGGCTACGGGCTTTACTCTTAAGATTGGCTTGCTCATTTGTCTACTTGTACCTGGGAACACGAATGATTATGATTCGGTCCATGTCGAGAGGCCTCAGTCAAGACAGGTTGCCAACGAATTGGACAATCCGGCGCAACGTTGATGGTCGTGGCCCTTGGGAATGTGTCCTCTCAGCAACCAGATGGTACGCTTGTAAGCTGTTTGTGTGGAAAGCATGAGTGCCGCCCCACAAGAACAGACGGAATATACGATAAGTCTCTTCTCCCCATCCTGCGATAATGTCGTCTTTGGCGGCATCGAGTCGCCTTGCCCATTCCAACATTGTCAACTCATAGTCTTTGGTCTCTCGCCTGACGTCCAGGATCTCGAATCCGTGGTACAACAACTCCGCCATGACATCCTGGAGGGTCATGAATGAATGAGTGCCGGTCCACACATAGTCCCTCGAAAATGAACTGACGGCGTACTTTTCTATCGCTGCTGAAGCGTCAAGGTATAGTCGGCCTCCCGGCTTCAGCATACCCCAAGCTGTACGCGCGAAGCGGCGATAGTTGGGGAGGTGTTCAATCACACCGTAAATGACGGCGTGGTCATACGGTTCTTGAGGTCGATGCTCGAGGAAGTCCTGGAGGAAAACTTCACCTGGCAAAGCGTGTTCGTGTATCAAGCCTCGAATATACTGGGCCGAGTCCGGTGCGATGGTGAGTGTGGTGACGTGCACACCCCTCGCACCACAATACTGTGTGACACCACCCCATCCGCCACCGATGTCGAGCAGCCGCATTCCCCTTTTGAGGCCGAGTCCCTCCCACATTGACTCCAACTTATGCTCCGATGCCTCTTCGATCGATTCGTCTGGTCTGTGGAACAGCCCGTGCGAATAGAAGCGATATCGCCTGTCAATGTACGTCAGGTAAAAGTCATCGCCGCGGCTGTAGTGCTTGCTGATCGCTTGGGCGTTCATCGTCGTCGTGGTTCTGATGAAGTCCCAGACGAACTGAATCTTCTGACGCAGTGGAACCTCCTCGCGAAGCCGCGACCGAGCGCCGAACAAGACACCGAGATCACCCTCAACGTCGATATGCCCTTTCACAAAGGCATTGCCGACTCCCAGCTCAGTCATTGGCGTGCGCAGAGAATGCGCCGTCCTGAAGATCACCCGGTACACTGGTTCTCCGTGGCCGACTTGGACGATGGAGCTGTTGGGTAACTGGATTTCCCCGGGGATATCGAGCCCAGCCAGGAGTGGCGCGAGGCCTGTACGTGGCAAGGAACTCACTGCACTGTACGAATTATGCGGTGCCATTGTTGTTGGGGTAGGGAATCTCCAGCCCGTACTCTTATGAGGCATTAGAAGAAAACCGCTCTACTATGCTGTTCAGGAAAGAGGTTCCCCGGTACTAGTATATGGTCAGGAAGTCCAGATGTTCGGCCGAGGTTTGGACACATTATACTCGATATGTGCGGGATCCATAGTAAAGAACTTGGCCATAGTACACTTACTACTGCAAACAGTATATTTAGTTTTCCATGTTGCCTTGTTGTGGTAGTGATCTACCTCAGGCGCCCACTTGTTGACTACAAGATACCTGATATGATACGGAGTTGCGATTCAAGCTGGGTCCAGGCCGATGAAGAAAGACAAAAGACAACGAGACAGCTGTTTACCTGTGTAGGTTTGTCGTGGTTTATTAGCACAAGCCGGTGCTACAAATGGTCTGCTAGACCAGCAGCAACAGAGTCTACTAGTGACCAGATCGGTGCGGAAATGGCAGTGACAAAGGTCCTTCTCAAGAACGGAACTACCTACACGAACGTAATTATACCTTGGCTGCACAGCTCTTGATTTTCTCTATTTGACCAATCTGTGCACGGGACAGAGATGTCGAATATCATTTACCTCGTGGCTTTGAGGTCGAAAGATTCCTATCGTGGTTATCATCTCGGATCTACTCGAGTGGATGCAACCTGCCTCTGCAGCAGCGAATTTCCCCCGCCAAGTGTAATTTTTTTTTGCTCGAAACAATAGAGAACTCGCAGGATCAACAATGAAGAGCAACACCGAAAAAACAGGTTGGGTGATCTTGCAGGACCCTTAGCCCTTGTCAAGCCCCTCACGTCTCGCATCGCCGTCGCCCGACGAGACAGACGGTGTATTTAGTCTCCTGGCGGCGTCCCACCAAGACACTCATCCCACCGAGTCAACCTTGGCGCCGGTGTGTATTGCACCGACGACATGAGGGTGAGTCGTGGCCCCTCCGAGTCGTCGAGCGTGTCGAACAGAGCCCGTACCGAAGAGCGGGATACTCGACGACATGACTGCATCCCCGTCCAGGCGGTTGACGGTTTCTTAACGTTGCCCAAGATTTGGTCTTCTCCTCATCGACTTTGACCCAGGACCATCCTTCACCGCCCGCGAGCAAGCGACCGCAGCATCCATGCCGTGAGAACGTCTTGCATATAATAAAGCTTGAATCAGAGATATGTATGAGCGACCGAGAATCCGAGGGAAGGAGATGCAACCAAAAAGAAATGGAGATATAACCCTCAGCTTGTCTCCCAAGAACAGCTCTTGAGAACGATCAGTGAGTCGCAGGGAAAGCGTGCGTGGGTTAAGCGCCGCCGCAGCGTATGCCTCATGGACCGTTGCGAACCCTTTGTAAGCACATGTACAGTTTCCGCCTCAAGATGGCTCTTTTCTCCTCGCGGATACTACTACGTGCCATTCACGTAGCTTCCTTGAATTGTGTTTCGGTGTGCGCGACTCCACATTGTCCAACCACTTGAGTCCTCCCGCTAGGCTTCCTTCTTGGTCCTACCCACAGGCAACTGCTGGTCCATCAGGGCGAGCGACCACCTTCGAGAATCAATGTTTTTTTACATGCCTAGGCTTTGTGACAACTTAATCAGTTGTTTCGTCACCTCAGGCAAGACCTCCTTCTTATTCCAGGCCATGAGTTGTTCGACCATCGAAAGGAAGGCTTCCAGCTCACTGACGACACAGGCGTGACATGACTTGAGGATGTTCATGTAGTACAATGTGCGATTGTCTTCCATCAAGGCGTAGTGGACCCAGAGTTGTAGCAGCGGTCCGCATGAGGTGATGGAGAAGACGAGTGGTGATTCTCTGCCGCACGGTGGTGGCGGACCACTACTACCTTGCACCGCTTCAATGTACGAGTCGGCGAACCGCTGTAGAGCTTTGATCACGTAGCACGCGGACACGGCAGCTTGATTCTCGGCCTCGAACGGAGTCCTCCCGGTGGAGTGCGCCTTGGTTTCGATGACCAGGGTCGGAAACCAATACCCCATGGGCCCCCTGGACGGATGCGGCCGGAACCCTTCCCTGCCCTCAAGTTCGTCCAGAAAGTTGGTCGCTCGCAAGACGGAAACCCCGTGCTTGGACAGGGCCTCTGCCAGCGTCGACGTCGCGAGGCCCATGGTATAATCTGAGCAAGGCAACTTGACATTACCGGTCTCATCAGTTTGTTGTGCTGTTGCCTCGAATACGGCATCGGAGGGCGAATCTGTATGCTGTCGTTTCCGAGATCGTTGTGAGGTATACTGGAGCTCGTCGTTGGCCTCTTCCACACGCGCGAAGCTGGTTGACAGTGAGTTGCTCAGCGGTTGGGCTTGGGGTTGGAGGATTGGATCCCATCCTAGGATAATCAAGAGGTTAGCACAGCTCCGCAATCATCAAAAAAAGACCTTGATCCTGGACGCTAGACTTGAGAGGGGTCTTGACATACTGCACTGCCCGGAAAAAAGAAACGCTTCTTCTGAGTCCATGGCCTCTAGACCATCGACGATGACTTTGAGGTAATCAACTTCCTGAGTGTTTGTTCGCATATGGATCATCATCTTATGGGTCACACTTTTCGCGATATCGTATAGCTCACTCGCCCTGTTAACCGATACCTGACCATTGAAGATGGCATTCACGCGGAGGTGGATGTTCGCTGGCAGTGCAAGACGTTGGACAAAGATGTTGGCCCTGACCATGGTTGTATAGCGATAAGTTGCGGATGCCACTGTAGATGTGGTCATTATTGTAGATTCTCGTTGTACCTCCGAATCAGTGAATTCGGTTCCTAATCTCTCTGTGTCTCCCTTTACCCTCTGGGTGGAACTACCCAGCTGGCTTTGGAGGTGCTTCAAGTTCTCCTTGGACAGTTTGGGCTTGGGCAAGTTTTGTTGCTGTTGCTTCTTGAGATGATGGTCTGAGTGATGATCTGATAGTCGACTTTTGAGAGGATGCGATATCCCAAGTTTCTCTTCAGACTTTGTAGCTGGTGGGAGTCCAGGCGGTGATTGTTTCCGAGATCGTTGTTGCTGTTGTTTGATTACGGCTTGTTCTTTTGCCCTCTGTGTTCTGGTTACTGGATCAGTGGGAGGAGACGGTGAAATATTTTTCGAGAAACTCGTTGGGTTACTGTCTTCAACTTGTCAGTATAGCCAGTCTGTGCACAAAATGCGAATTACAAAAGGCACACCTTGAGAGCGTCCCTGAAGTCCCTTTTGTACATCATTGGAAGACATTTCGCGAGTCGGCTAGATTTTAATGAGAACGCTCGTCGTGACAACGGTGCTGAGATTATTGTCGGAGGGGTGAGAATGTTTGCGTCGTCAAGTACCAGCAAAGCTGCGATGGCAATTTATGGCTGACACCGTCTTTGATGGATGTCTCGACCTTGAAACAGGTGCACATTTGGGTCCTTTGAGAGCTGGTCACGAGTATTTGAATCTTGGGATGGGTCACCCTTGAATGCCCTTGTTCATTTGAGACCTATGGCATTCCATTGCCCCTGGGTGCTACGATCGATGACACGCCTATGTCATCCCACGATACTGAAGGTGAAAATCGACAGTGCCATGTTTCTGGACCTTTGTTATGTTGCGCCTGGTAATTAGCCAACATTCCACATGTTTCCAAGGCGACATTATAGTGAAAGCAAAGAATGATACTGAAATTGTTTCAAATGTCTCAAATTGCCATTTCCAATCATCTTGACGTCTGTGCTAAATGTGTGGCTCGCAATTGTATGAGAGCTTGAAGCAAAGCAAGACAGGTTTTATACTAAAGGGGTTGGATACGAATACGAACACGGGTACGGGTACGAGTACGATTATACCGAGACAACACTAGCCTTATTGTGACTTTGATTCTCCCCCAGGATGATACAAGGCTTATACTTATCACTGGAACACTCCCCAGTTGTCATTCGCGATAGAGATATCTTTGCGAAAGGTATACGACTGAGTAAGTAATGGCCTAATCGTTATCACTGTGCTTGTTAGTGTCTTGGTGCTCGTCATTCTCAAATATCCCTAAGAATATCTCCTACTTACTTGTATCTTGACGGTCACCATTTGATCCATATTGATACCAAAAAATGACAACTGGGCATTCATGGGCAAGTGTAAGATTTGAGATTTTCTTTGCTTGTTTGTTTCTCTAGACCTTCTTCACAAATGCAAGCATACAAGTCAGTGCCACCGCACACCCGTTAGATATGTCCCGTATGTTACTATCCTCTGACATTGGGCGCAAAAGCCTTTGGAAGCAGATCTGACTGTGGACCCCACTTGAGTGATACATATCCTAGATTCCCCCTAGAGAAGCAGTCTCGCCCTCCCGTCCAACGATACCAGGTCCAGCGCAGGCAGCGCGAGCATGCCTCTTTTGAAGCATTACAACCGCAGTAGTACAGCCAAGGCTGAAGGTCTCTACGACGTACCAATCATGTTGCGGGTTTGTCGACATGGCTCCTCACCCCGATGTACATCTTGATTTGTGCCTTCTTTCCCGCCAAGCTAGTGCCTTCTCCAGTTTGTAGGTTGAGCTGCTCCATCAAACTATCAGTTTGCTGCTCGTTCATGCGGAAAATGTCGTTGATTGTAGTAGGAAAGTTGGGTATCGGAGCACAGGTCAAAGGATTGACGAGAGGAAGGACCTGATCTGAACGCGCACAATAATGGATGTTCTGATTGCGTGCAACGGCGTTTTTATCACTGATGATTTTAGTTATCACTGGCTGGCAATATTCAGCAGGACAAGGATGATAGGTACCTTGCTGTGATTCTGGTGGACAGGTTACCCAATTCTTGATGAACAAGTGCGAAGTTTTCATCAACGCGTGCGAAGTTTTCGTCTATGCGTGCGAATTTTTCGTCTATGCGTGCGAATTTTTCGTCTATGCGTGCGAACTTTTCGTCCATGCGTGCGAAGTTCTCTGTCATTTCTCGCTGCATGTCCTCAAGAAGAGCCAAGAACTTGTCGCCATGCTTGATGAGTGGCAAGTTTGGCAGCTTGTCGATCTCTGTGCCAGCATTGTGGAAGGCCGTACTGAGTAGTCTGAAGTCTGGGGGACCGTCCATCTTGCAGTGATTTTCGTCTTGCTGCAATGCACAAGTTGTCGGTTTAGCAAACTTGGTGTGTTCTCTTCAGTGGAACGAACGGTCTTTTGTACAGCTACGCGTTGGGATATCAACCAGGTAGTACAAACGCGGGCCTGAGGGGCTGGATTCAGGCACAGAATGCCGTAACATGTTTGTTTACAGCCCAGAAGTATTTCACTATTCACGTACCTTCAACCCCCTGCCGATCACGTGGCCATGTTTTTGTAGACATAGGATCATTGTTAGAGGACGTACAGATCATACTTTGAACGGGCTCACTCAATCGCTGATGTAAGCGTACTGAGAGGCTACGCGATGATTCCACATCATAGCCCCTAGGGGCTTGAGTAAATCATGAAGACCTTGTGCAGACAAGTACATACTCTGAACGTTGAGACCACCTTCCAAAGTGGCCAAGGGCGAAGTGCCATTTCAAGAGTCCTCTTTTGCAATGTCGATTCCAAAAGGGTCGTTTTCTGGATCCATGTGACGGACATATTCCATCCATACTGATATCTCCTTTGCTGTTTGCTCCCCATAGATTTTCCTCACAAAGGCAAACATCAAGTCCGAGCCACTGCACACCCCCGAAGACGTCCATATGTTGCCGTCTTCTGTCCACCTGGCCTGCGGAAGCCAGTGGACCTGTGGACGCCATTTGGTGATGATGTCCCACGCTCCTTTGAACAGTGTCGCCTTTTTATCATCAAGCAGGCCGCTCTGCGAGACGATACCCGATCCAGTGCAGACGGTGAGCAAATACTTCAGGCTCGGATAACGTTCGAGGACGAATTTGACTATCGGATCGACGACGGCCGGGTTGGGCTGGCCCGTTCTCGCCGGATCGAAGGACCCCATGCCTCCAGGGACAATGAGGACGTCGAGTTCAGGGGCTGATTTGAAATCATGGGTAGGCTGCAAGGTCTGCCAAGTCGTAAATGGCCCCATCCCCATGTTCGCGGGCCACTCTTTGGGCAAGGTACTCTTCGGAGACATGTTTTCCGCGATGAGCGAGAGACTGATGCCGGGAGAGCGGTTGGACAAATTGTTGAGGATATCAAGTGGCCCACAGACATCAACAAGTTCGAAACCGTCAAAGAGGACCACACCGAACCTTGTGGGTGTGGTGTTGTCCATATCGAATGATGTTTGAGTCATCTGTTCCAACCGTGCAGATGCTTCAGATGTAGTGAGAAGAACAAGCTCAGGGACTTTGGTAGAGAAAAAGTATGGTGCTGTACCTTGATGAAGCATTCTGGAGTTGCAACTACTCAACAGTTTTTATATAAAGAAGCCATCGCGGGACCACGGAGAGAGACCCATGATCATGATTGTTCTGGATGTCATCGAGAAACTTGATCTCTGCATACCATCAATCGACGGAGATGTATAATAATATCAAGGGTAGACACTTACCTCAGCTTCATTTTACACCCGTGAAAACATATTACAACCCATTGACAGGTATCCACCTACATCAACGGCATCAAAAAGGGGTTATTGCTGGTCATTACAAATGTTACCGGCACCTTTCAACTTCCGCGTTCTGAAAGCGCAAACAACACGATGATGTTGATTGGCTCGGCCGAACGCATTGGCAGTTCATCTGCCCTGGACGCAATGCTTCTTAGAGCTGTACGTGTGGAACTTTAGACTGCCACAAATTCATCTTACACGGGTCGCACGCCATGGACGGAGGTTTCGGAAGAACAAGAAAGGCGGAGCGAGCCTGTAGACCTTGCCGCGATCTCAAGGTCAGGTGTCGACCATGTTCGGAGCGGGATGATATATGCCAGAAGTGCAAAAGGTCTGGCGCACGCTGCGTCTTCGAGGAGGTGAAGCGGCGGAGGAAACGAGAATCTGGACCTGATGTCCCCGGCAGTGCGCCAGCCCTTCGCACGAAAGGACGGGGGTTGACCACACAGCTTGACCTCGGTGTTTGTGATGAGAAACAGGGGGGAAAAGCAGATCCGCACTCCTTCTTGCCCTCCCTCGGCCATGATGAGGACTTTTTGGCTAGGGGCATGGACGATTTGTTGGCTACCACTCCCGATTACTCACGCTTCTTCAAGAACGTACACAGCCTTGATCAAGCAGACGTCGTCGGTGCTGCTTCTGAGCCATCCACCACAGTCTCCAACTCTTGCAACGACAACATATCCAACGCTGAAAGGAAAACAATACCTGGTCTGGAACGCTTCTGTTGGAGTGGTGAGCTTGCTCACGATGCCGCTGCTACAGCCCTGTGTACGTACCGGGAAAAGATGACGCGACATTTCCCTTTCGTCCCCATTCCCGGAAATGTGACCGTTCAAGAACTCGCGATAACGTACCCAGCCACTTTACACGCCATCATCGTGGTCACTTCATCTGGTGAGGACGACAAGCAGCTGCAAAAAAGACTTGAGAAGAGCTTCCGGGACCAGATCCTCCGATCGGTGATGATAGACGGCGAGAGGAACACCGATCTACTCCAGGCGTTGATCATCTACCTGGCGTGGTATCACTTCTTTTACATCCCCATGAAGCAGCAATTCTACCAAACTCTTCAAATCGCGATCAGCATCTGTATCGACATGAAATTCGACAGACCTCCAGAAGAAGATGCGGTATCACCGAGGGGCAATGAAAGAGACACTGGCCTCATGAACCAGCCCACTCGTGATGATCATGCTGTAGGGGGATGTCAGTATCACAGCAGGTCCGCAATACGTGCATATGTAGGTTGCTTTTGTCTCTCCACAATCACGTCTTGGATCTGGTGCAAACCGAGTACCTTACAGTGTACCAGCTACTTGATCCAGTGTGCACGGTCTCTCTCGGATAGAGAGCCAGAATACGCAACAGACACCATGATCCTACCCCTTGTTGAAGCCATGGTTCTTGGAAACGAACGTCATCATGCGTACCTTGCTCTCACTTTCGACCATTCAAGTCAATCTAGTTTGGGTCATGTAGAAGCCAGCCTGGCCACACTCCAAGACAAGATCGCCACGCACCGGCCACTGGTGGTCGGAACTTCAGAATATGTTTCAATCGACCTGGTCAGCTCCTGGGCCGTGTCGTTCGGTCACGAAATGAAGTTGCTGAACCCCTGCAATCCTCCTCCTCCAGCCTCGGTCAACGGTGAGGAGCAAAGGATCACTCTGACCCCGAGCCGAAACAGATGTCTGATGATCTGTCTTCAGACGTCGTCCAAAGTCTTTGAGACATTCCTCTCACTGTCTCTCGAGGAATATTCTGGTCTGTCAGTCTTGCAGTGGTGGGCTTTGATCTGCAACACTGCGTATCTCTACCGCTTGTGCTTGGGTATCCCCGAACTCCCCGAGTGGGACGTCAGAGCCGCCCGCGACGCCACCAAACTGGAGATATATCTAGACCTTTTGTGCTACCGATTGGAGCGTGCCACCGGGTCGACACTCGAGGGGCCCATCGGGCGTGACCTCCATGCCCTCCTGTGTCCCATCTTCACCAACGTCAAGCGCAGCTATGAAAGACTGAACAAACTTCCCAGGTCGTCGGGCGCGAATAATAGTAGACGAGACGTTCATGTACATCTTTTTTATCAAGAAGGGCAGGAGAAGAAAGAGAAACCGCCTCATCAGAAAAATTCAGCGACTCACCGAAGCCGTTGTCCGGCGTTTCGGTACATTTCTCAAGCTGAAGAATTGAGTTTCGATCCAGCACATGATGACAACGACGTGAACATACTGGCAGATGGAGAGACCGACTTGGACATGTTTTTGAACTCGTCTCTGTTCGAAGGGATCAACAACACATGGGACGAAGACATGTCGGCATTCCATCTGTGAGACAATTCTATGTGGGCCACTGCGCACAAGATCGTTGGACATGATCTTCGCGGGGGATTCTCGTGTAAACGCAGTCATAGACGCCGCCGAGATGGAACTTTCCGGGAAGCTGCCCAAGTTCACAATGGAGCTGAACCGCATCGTGCTTTAGTCGGGACCATAGATCCGTCTGTGGACCAGGTAGATCACTCTCGTTTCCCCCAGCCGCCGAAGGAGAACTGCGTCTTGAGGAAATCGCAGACGAGTACGACATCCTTTGCAGGTCGGCAAATTGTCAGGCCGTTGGACCTTGTTGTTGTTATTGTTGTTCTGTGTTGTTTTTTCTCATTGTGTGTAGTTTTCAAAGAACAGAAAATGATGCCCATCACTCGTGTTTTTGTCTTTACCGTTGATGTGACACTATCGTAGACAAAGATCAATTGTTTGCTTTGTCTCTTCAAACGCAGCATTATCCGGCAGCAAGGTAAAATACACAATTCACCACCTGCACTGTCACTTCATTTTCCATGTTTATCTTTTATTGTCACTTATTGTCCTGCACTGCCCTGCCGAATCCAAGCGGCTCGACAACTTCACAAAGGGCAGCATCTCGAGTTTTCCAGCCATATAAATATATACCATCTGTCCTCTGGTCCGTCACCACAATGTTTCACTCTTATTCTTCTCCCGAAAAAAGGACCAACACACTCTAGTCCGGTCGCTCGGGTGAGATCACATCGACATGGCTGCCCCTGCCCCTGCTCCTCCTCAACGCAACAACGTCATCATTCCGATGACAATGACGGGTGACGTGGCGGCCGACTTGGAGGAAATCATGGTCCGGTTCGCCGTCATGGACAGCATATGTGAGCATTTACGGTACGACCCTTCCTTCATGGACCCGGGTCACTCCGGCGACACATTTGACAATGTCGATGCCTTGCTTGACGCACTGGAGGTAGACTTTCGCAACTTTCGTGTCCACTACCGTCGAACCATGCCGGATGAACTGCGACCGTTGGTGGCCCTTCTCCGTCCGAAGCCGGCAAGTCTCCGGACGCAAATCGCAGAAAGAAGAGAAGATATCCATGAAGCTTCGAGCCTCGCCTGGGAGCAGTTTTGGTATGACATGGTGAATGCGGATAGTGATGAAGAAGATGAAGAATGAGTAATTGGAAAAAAGTATGAGATGAGCAATCTCCATACAATTTTAACACTGATACCCCCCTTTCTTTCTCCACGCGCGTGTCAAGTGTTAAGAGTGACTTGAGTTGGACATTGTTTGTTGTTAGTATTTACTGTTCTCATCAGGCGAGGCTGAGATCCCCCTAAAGTTCAAACTCCAATCTAGGCAGGCAAAAAAACTTACCTTACCCGCAGCCCCGGAACCGAACAAAGGACATTTTTCTTCGGCTCCTTTTACGCAATGACGCTGATCGTTCATACCCTGTAGTTGCTCGGACGTCAAGATGTCCCAAGGCTATGATGTACTGGGGTGCTTCTTCTCGGTTGAGAGGCCCTCGCTTCTTCCCCACAGTTTGTTAGCCTTGTAAAATGTTTACCTCGGGACCCCCTCACCCCATTTCGACCGTAAGCAGTAAATCCGAACGGAGTATAAAAACAGAGACTTGACAGTTCAGCACGTCTTGGAAAAAGAAAGGTTGAAACTCAATATTGTCAAAGAGCATCAACGATAATCGATAATACAGATCAAGTCGAAGAGCGCAAAACCAAGACAAAAAGCATGGCACAACTCGAGGGCAAGGTCATTGCAATCACCGGCGCGGCTTCCGGTATAGGAGCTGCGACGGCACGATTGGCGGCGGCGAGAGGGGCTTCTCTGTCTCTTTGCGACGTCAACGAAGACGCCCTGAACAAGATCGTGTCAGAGTTAAAAGGCAAAGGGGTCAACGTGATCGGTCAGCGAGTCGACGTTTCCAACTCGGACAGCGTGGACGCCTGGACGGCGGCCACGGTGAAGCACTTCGGCAAGCTGGACGGTGCGGCCAACATCGCCGGGGTCGAGGCCCTCCCGGGCGGTAAGGTCTTTGCGAAGATCGTCGACATCACCAACGAACACTGGGATTTCATCATGGACATCAACCTGAAGGGATTGTTTTATTGTCTGCGCGCCCAGCTGAGGGTCATGGACCGAGGGGCTTCGGTCTTGAACGTGGCCAGCATGGCGGGGTTGATGGGTCGACCGAACATCGCGGCCTACAGTAGCAGCAAGCATGGTGTGGTCGGTTTGACGAGAACAGCCGCAAAGGAGGTTGGCGAGAGAGGGATCCGTGTCAATGCACTAGCACCGTAAGTTTTTGACATCTACCTTTTTCATGTAACCAGGAAATGGAATTAAGGAAGACTCCTGTACCTTGATTGCTGACAACAACGTCCCCCCAAAAAACAGTGGCCCGATCGAAACTCCAATGTTGGACAGGTTGAGAACCGATGGTGGAACGAGCAATCAACCAGTCACAAACACCTACAAGACCTTGCCTCTGCAGAGGCTTGGTACACCGGATGATATGGCCAAGACGATTTGCTTTACCCTGAGCGACGATTCTTCCTTCACGACCGGTGCGACCTTTTCGGCCGACGGCGGTGTGGCATGTTAAGGTTACGTAGAAGGATACATTAAGATGTGGATGGGTTGAGAATGAGACTTGGTATGTATGTAGTTTTTAAGAATCGAGTTATGAGTTTAATGTTTAAAATCGAATGGTGTGTGATCTTTCACCCACGTCGGTATGAGTGAGCACTCTTTTGGATCATCTATATGTGGGCCATTGTCGGAGGAACGTCAAAGTTGGGTGGCTATACTTGGGTCATCAAGTTGCGTGGTAACAGTCATCGCATCCGTAGAATCTGCATTGTTGGTTTCACCGGCGCACACCCTGACAGACACCTCTCACTTACGGATACGAGTTCTCGAGCCGAGAGAGATTCTTGAGGTGGATACATCGGATCCGATCCGATATGAAATGCTTACCACAATACGGAGTAATCGAGCAAACTAGTCGAAAAGTGGTATAACCGAGGATATTCTCAAAAAAAGGTATTGACTGACACCCATTCTGCTTTTCGATTTGCACACTTCTGGGGCTCTCGAAGCAAGGTCTTTTCAAGTATAAGTGTTTGTGAAGCACACAGCCTCGTAGCCTTGTTAAAATTGAACAGCCACAAATACCCCGCTCCAAGGGGGGAGATTCACTCGGGGACCAAATTCCCTCCTGACGACCTTAAGGTACTTTACTTTACCCAAGTCAATCTACAGAGTCCCACGCCTATTGGGGAATGAATCCCTAGAGTTACGGTACTCAGGTACAAAGGACGGAGTAGCTGCCTGATATCTTGTCATACACGACTTGTCCAATTCACTTTTCTACCCACGAGTACTTAATCCTCACTCTGTACGGAAAACAAAACGTCGCCGAGGCTCCTCTCGAATCTCTCCCAACCACCAAGGATCTTCGGGTCTTCGGATTTTGTTGCCCGTGTGGCTATTTGGTAGAAAGCTTTTTGTTTATCGTCACGTCACTTTTTGTAATTCTCTGTGTGTCTACACTCGACAAAGCTCTCCATAGCTCACATTGGCTTTCCTCATCAACTGTTTCATCTCGAGAACCTACCTTGAGCACCCCTCGATCGGTTTTGTTGAGAGATGGACAAAACCCGGAAAGCCGTCACCATCCTCGGAGGAGGGACACAAGGTACAAGGCTGGCGTTCATGGTTGGTCCTTTTCCCGCGCAACACCACCCAAGAGAGCTACCGCCTTTGTACTTACCCGGAGACGTTACGTGGATAGTGGACGAGAAAAGGACGACCGGTTTACCTCGTCGACCAGAATGAGCAACAACTCCTCCGAGCGAGAAAGGGCATCGACGACCTGAGATCCCAGCTACAAAGTCTCTGGGCCACCTCGACACACTGGGGTGAAGTCATCACCACACCTCCAAAGGAACTTGAACAAGCGGCCTCAAAGTCTTGGTTGGTCCTAGAAGTATGTCATCTGTACTTATGGGTCACAGACACCAAGTTTCCATGCGACCGCTCACTCACGTGTGCCTTTTTAGTGCGTCCCCGAATCTCTCAAGCTCAAACGAAGTGTGGTCCAGGAATTGGATCAGATTTCCAGTCCCGAGACCATCGTCGCTTCCAACTCTAGTAGTTACACCATCGAGGAGATTCTAGAGGGTCAAAAGTTGAAGTACGACGATCGTTTTGCGAGTTTGCATTCTTGTATGTACACCACCTTACGTCCATGGATCAAGTTTTGGTTTCTTGCCATGTTTCCAACTACCTCTCGAGACTAACGCATTCGATAGACTGGCCACCAGAAACATCAGGCAAGTCAAGTCCGACCCACCGCACTGGGCTCTACTTGTATCAGCAACTAACTTGAACAACCTCATGAAGCAATCGAAGTTATGGGTTCAAGTCAAACGAGGCCCGAGATCATCACTCGGTTAATGGAAGAGACGAAAAAACACGGATTCTCGCCGTTTCACGTCCGGAAGACATCCACAGGGTACATTTACAACCGGTGAGTAGGACTGTCGTCAGATGTGCTGAGATCTTCTTCTTCCATCGTGGAGTTGAGATGGTTGAGTGTGTTTGCTAACAGTGGACGTGATGTTGCGGGGATGCAGAATATGGGCAGCGATCAAGAGAGAAGCCCTCTTGACCTTGTCAGAAGGTGTGGCGACCCCTGAAGAAATCGATGCCATCTTCAAAGACGTGTTGAAGACCCCCAAAGGACCATGCGAGCAAATGGATGTCGTGGGACTGGACGTGGTTCGTGACATTGAGCAACACTATGCGGACGTGAGAACTGGGATCCCCGAACAACCTCGAACGTACCTCCAAGGAATGATAGACCAAGGCAGGCTCGGGGTGAAGTCGGGTAGTGGATTTTATCACTATGGTGATAAGAAATGAGAGAGAGAGAGAGAGAGAGAGAGAGAGAGAGAGAGAGAGAGAGAGAGAGAGAGAGAGAGAGAGAGAGAGTTAGCGCGCATGTGAGGATTTATTAGAATTCCTGATCTCGTTCACATTATATGTGTATGTCCGTGGGTATAACTCGATCGTTGTATGCGACTCTCGAAGGGATAAGTGCCTCTTGAGTCGAACACATCATCGGTAAAAAATAGATTGTGGACGCAATTGTTGAGACGGAAAACAGACAGAGAGACCTGGTTGTCTCTCTCTCTCTCTCTCTTTCAGTGTCGCTTGTTTCGCTTACATTCCCACCCCCAAAAAATCCCACCGCCCAAGTTCCCAAACGCTCCCAAATCAAATGAGATAATTCATCTTATGTACAATGGATAGAGTAAGGTAGGTGGATTGTTTGGAAACGCCGTTGCCGAGTGATGGTGATCTCTTCCTGTCTCCCTGACCGGAAAAATTGTCCGATTATATCTTCACGGCCTTGGCCTTTCCTTCCAGAGGTTGATAGATGCCGGCCACGGCATCCTCCCTCAGCACGGTGTAGTCGAGAATGACCGACCCGACGGCGAGAGCCAAGCTGATGGCCGAAAAGGAATACATTGCCTTGTACAACCGACAGACCATGACGCCCATGGAAGTCCCCCAGATCTTGACGCTGCACGAGTGAGAGAGGACCATCTTGTTCAACCTCCAGGACAAGACGCCGAACGCGGCCAGCCACAGACTCAGAATGACGAGGTGGACGACGATGTTGACCCGGGCGGAAATGCGAAAGACGCTGTGCCGGAAGACGGCCAAGATCTGGTCGAGGAGAGCGACGCAAGAGACGACGAGGACCTTTTTTTTTCAATTTTCCCGTTAACCTGTTGAAGCAGATTGAATTGATCAAGTAGTCTTCTCCCTTTGATCATCCGCAGAACGTACGGAGACGGTCAGGTCGGACATGTTTGTACTTACAAAAATCAATTCCGTGGGAGCGGACATGTCGTCCATCCTCAAATAATGGACAAAGTACGCCAGAATACCCATGACGACACCGGCCGATACAAAATTGGCGGCACCCAAGACCGGTGTCACCGGGTAAGGGTACAACGACGCCCTTTGGCGATCTTTGTCGGCGACTTGAGTGATGAGAGGCATGACTTGTTGTCGTCGATGTGTCGTTTTGCGCCTGGGCCCTTGAAGTGCGGTGCAGCGGGTGCAGGTGGTGGTGGTGGTGGTTAACAGGAGAAGGTTGCGCAAAAGAAGAAGACAACGGCCGACTCCCTCTTGCCACAGACAAACAGACAGATGATGGAGAGTTACCAAATGCGCCAGAAGACGGTGAAAAGCAGATTGGACGCGGGAACGTCCCGGTATGTATGGAGGAAATCAATTACTGATAACGAGAGTAACGAAGTACCTGGTTAGGTATCTCGATGTGGTCTCTTGATTGATTACTAGGTGTTTCGCCCCAAAAAGCCAGTAAGCACACTAATAACGACAGACGGTACGAAGTACGGAGGGGACGAAGATATTGCCTACAGGATCTACTTGTAAGGAGCTGAACGATCCTAATTAATTTTCTTACAAGGATCGTGTCGACCTAAACCTTGACCGTGTAATGCACAAGGGTTGAGGGCGTGGAAGAGTGCGAGTGTTTGTACGAGTAGCCGCATGATTGTGGCTTTTTCATCTCTTCGTCCCCGTTGTATTGGGTCAGCACGCCTTAAAAATAGACACCGTCGTTATGTAAGGAAGAAAAGAGACTCCACCTCTCGGCGGTGTTTTGTTTGAGGCTGACAAGATGGCGAATGGATGGATGGTCGATCCTCTATTTTAACTAGCTAGCTGTACAACAGACTTTAGCTCTTACAAGAAAAAACGACGGGGGGTGTACTCCGTATCTCCAGGCGAATAGCATCCGTGCAGGGAGGATTCTAATGGCCAGAATCCATGCAAGGGCGGTGAAACTAATTCCATTTTCTGTACTTGGGCTGATGCTGCCCAAAAAGTACAAGGTTACCTTTTGGTGGCTGCTGACTGACAGTTTTTACTAGAAGTACTGTAGGCTTGCATATTGGGGGGCCTTATCAACTAGAGAACGTGTTTGAGCCTCCATAGTACAGTACATACAGTACCATGGAGATCATATGTGGAACCCCCGAGTCGTTCTCGCCAATCTTGATTTGATCGACACCTGCCTCTCTCTCTCGTGGCACTGACTAAAATACTCGTTTACAGTAACTCGTATGGGAGTTGATCATCATCATCAGCAGCAGTAGCAGCAGCAGCAGCAGCACCGCATTTAGTACTCGTACAGTAGTACGGGGAGTACAGTTGGTGTTAGTCCCAAAATTCTTCCATTCTATCTGCCATCCGGCGTTATGGCGGGCGTTGGCGCTACCTATGCTGGTCATTACTAGGTGGCACACCGACCGCGACACGCTTTCCATCCGTTCTGTCCACGACTTTTCTTTTTTGGGGGAAGGATGAACACATGGTCACTTTTTCTCCGTCCCAGAGAAAGGAATGTCTTGGCCCTTTGTTCCCTTTTTTTCCCTCGTTGATGTGTTGTGCTTACCGTAGATATTCCGTACCGAACGTAGTGCCATGCTGCTACAAATGTAATTCCACGAAAGAGTAAAAGTTGTAGCTTGTAGCTAAGAAGTCTCTCGCCAATTCCTCAACGGGGGCCGACAATCATCTTCCGATATGGAAAAACGGACCCACCCTCCGCCTGTACTCCGGGCGTACTTTGGAGACGGGAGTAATAGTGGTAGTAGTACGGATAGTAGTAGGAAATAATAATCACAAATTCTTGAATTGGGGGGCGATGCATCTATGTGGCGGGTCATTTCGAAAATCCTTCCCATTTCCCACTCCCTCCCGACGACGCGGGATTGATTACTTGCAGTCGTTGGTCATGTCAGCATATCGGTGTGATGGAGTTCCATTCAGATCCAAATTCAGAGAGGCGCGGCTGACCGTTCGCCATACGCCAGACCGTGGAGTTTACCAAGGTGGAAATGAGGCTTCGTGCGTTCCTTGCCGGTGAGGAAATAACTTTGCCGTCCGTAAGCAAACCATCCGTCAAAGAACATGTATATATCCCCCCCCCTTTTGTGGTTCGAGCGACATCTCAAAGGTCAGTCAGTCAATCACTTGCCAAACAACGCAAACCACACAATACAAACAAACCAGAACGACACACTTTCATTCATTGAAGTATATCATACCATACCCAACCCCAACCACACACACTTGCAAGCAACAACACAAACTCATTTGATACATCTTGCCTTGATTCTTTCTTCTTTTTTCTTTTCCACCCACCAAACCCACACACTCTCTCCTTCATTCGCATCTTTTTGACGAAATCGACCACCATGCTTCACCTGGCAGCGTACATCATGATGCCGTGGGCAGGCCTTGCCGCGCCGACCCCCGACACCTCCTCTTCCAGTACCGGCTCGTCCGGCTCGACGCACGTCGCCCTCAACACGACCAGCCTGGGACCCGGCGTCGCCATCTCTTCCGACCGGGCGGGTAACCAGGACTTGATCAACTCGCTCCTCCAGGCCCCCACGGCCGTCGACAGACTCAACCTCCTGCCCAACCCGAGCGACCACCTGTACGACTTCAACAACCCCCCGCTCAACTCGGCCATCACCACGGGGAACGGCGGCCACACCGTCAAGGCCGACCGGAAAGACTTCCCCGCCCTCATCGGCAACGGCGTCAGCATGACGCTCGGGTTCATTGGCCCCTGCGGGTTCAACACCCCCCACACCCACCCCAGGTCCGCCGAGATCAACGTCGTCGTCCAGGGTTCCCTGGGCACCGAGTACGTCCTCGAGAACGGCGCCCCCTTTATCCGAAACCGCCTCGACCAGTACCAGATGACCGTCTTCCCTCAAGGCTCTATCCACACGGAGTGGAACCCCGAGTGCAACGACGCCGTCTTCGTGGCCGGCTTCGCCTCCGAGGACCCGGGTGTCCAACAGTCCGCCCAGAGGCTGTACGACCTCGACGACGACCTCCTGGAGGCGGCCTTCGCGTCCGACTTCACCTTCGACGGCCGCGACATTGATCAATTCCGAAACCTCATCCCGGCAAACGTCGCAAACGGCGTCGAATCTTGTCTGGCAAAGTGTGGAATCTCCAAGCGATGATTTCTTGAGTCTTTGGTTTCTTGTTTCTTATTTCTCGTTTTCCCTTTTTTTCTTCTTCAGATAGTCTCTCGTTTTCTTGGGGGTTTTCCGTGGGTCATGGGGTTATGAGAATGCAAGGGCGTAAACACACACATATACCTTGGTACTTACCAAAAGTAGTCAATGTTTAATGTCTACACAACATATCTTGGCAAGGAGTTTTTCGTCTCTTTCTCTCTTGGTGAAGCACCAAAAAGTAGTGGTAATAATCGTAGACTGGTCTTCGACTCCCGACCATTTCAGCACGAAGTTGTGTGAACTTGAGAGATTCAGAAGGGGTTCCGATATTCATCATGGGAAAGAAGAGATGTATGCATATATAAATATATATTCATACTTTGAAGAAATGATATGCACGGTGTGAAAGTTTTGCGAGGAAGAGGTAAGAAAAAATCCAAGTCACATTTAACTTCTGACTCTCACAACACGAAAACTCCATTTTCCGGACTCCGTACCCATACGAGGGTGAGATTTTGAAGACTTTGCGAGGCACCCTTGCACACACCATGTTTCAACTCTTGAAACAAGCAACCTCTTGTCGTGCGGTACGGCGTATCCCATGTCATAGTCCGAGAAAGGATAAATCAGGCAAAGCGCTTAGTGAAACACAACCGGACTGGAAAGACTCCAGCGGTCAATACTCCCCCCAGCCTCGAAGTACTTTATAATCAATTCAACAGTCACAAGAGACAAAAAGAACACTTCAAATGCCAAAAAAGAATGTGCATTGCTCAATAAAGACCTATCTATACCAAAAGGTACAGGCTAAGAAAAAAAGAGGGGGTATCTCAACTCCACAAAAGACTACAATCATCATCAATACTTTCAACCCAACAAGCTGATAACATAAACTTTCCAAACTCGCTCTTGATCGCTTTCAGTACTCAATTTGTGCTCGCTCAAGTCGCTTGCTGAGACCAAACAAGAATTTTGGTATAGCCGGAGGCCGGCACCGTCGTGATTACGGAGACTGTGGCTGGAAAAAAGAAACAATGAAAAATTAAGGTCTCTATGGCAAGGTACCCCGTCAGCCCCAGAATGATCACCTTGTTTCTCAACGCTAACAACCTGATCTCTCATCATCTCACTCACTCATCCCCTTGCTCTTCAACATCGACCGTGGTCGTGGTGGTATCATCAACCTTGTTCAGCGTTCTTGCCATCTTCTGATGATCATCAAACATCTCATCACTGAGCTCACTCAACTGCTTGATCTCTTCGTGGATTCCAGCTAATTGACCGGCGACATTGCGTTTAGGCGCTGTTGAGTTGGATTCGTCGGGTGGGGCAGACGTTTCTTCAGAGGCGACACCAGCAGCAGTATCTTGGGAGGCGACATCTCCTCCTTTCAGACCACTGGCTGAGATTTCACCCGCATAACCGTCAGTATGTTCTTCTGTAGGTGCCGGATCCTCAGGAGTAGCCCATTTGCTTGACTCAAGGCCTTTCTTTGAACCTGTCGGGGTGAGTGGGTTCATTGATTTTCGTCGCGGGCTGCGGCTCTTTCCCCGAGGTTTAGGACTTGGCAAAACGACTTCCTTTTGAGCCTGTTTAAGTCTGTTGATTTCTTGTTGGGCAGCATCAGCCATACCTCGTTGTGTCTCGACCTCAAGCATGGCTCCGTCCAATTCGGCCTGCAGCGACGACATCGACTTCTTCGTATCTTCAAGGTCCGCCTTGACGTTCAGAAGCTCAGTCGCACTGGGCATGTCCTCGGCGCCCTTCTTGACCTCGTTCAACTCAGCATAAAGTTTCTCGATCTTATCGTCATACTCGGCTTGGGTCTCCCGGATCGCTTTCTCGTGCTTATCGCGCAACTCGAACAGGGAAGATTGTGCTTCAACATATTGGTTTCTCAGTTCCTCAAACTGGGCAGGGTCTGGGCGTTCTTCGGCAGACTTCCTTACCGCCTCGAGTTCCTCCTGTGCTGCTGCCAAGGAGGAATCGTGCGATTGGACCGCCGCTGCCATAGCCTGCTGGTATTTTTGTTCAAGCTGCTCGATTTGCTGGCGAGACTGGGTGAGCTGGTCTCTCAATTCGTCAAGCTCAGTGGTGTCCTTTGATGCCTCAGATGCCTGACGGGCAACGTCCAACTCTGCTTGCACTTTTGCAAGTACCGCTTCATGCTCAGATTTTAGAGATTCGACTGCATCCGCGTGGTCCGTCGTGAGCTGCGCGAGGCGGGCACTAGCGGCCGCGTTGGTCTCTTCCAGTTGATCCACTTGAGATTTCCATTGGCTCTCCAGCGTTTTCATGATCTCGTCCATTTGCGTATCATGAACCTCTTTCATTTGCCTCTCCAATTCCTCGTGCTGCGACTTGGTCTTTTCTTGGTCAGCTTCGTTTGACTTGGCATGCTCCTCCATTATTTTGTCAAGAGCCTGTTGATGTTCCTTCTCAAGGGTGGCCTGGACTTCTGCCAGTGCTTTTTCGTGCTCAGAACGCAGTTTCTCGAGCTCTTCTTGGGACTTGGCCTGAAGAGCCTGCTTAGCCTCAGCCAACGCCTGGTCATGGTTGGACTGAAGATTCATGATTTGAGTGGACTTCTCGGCTACTTTCTGTATGGCCATCGACAATTCTTGGTCCATCTTCTCGAGGGCTTCGGCATGCTCTTGATCTTTGGATTTGGTCTCCTCATCCATCGACTGCAAGATACCCTTCAAGCTCTGAATTTGAAAACGAGTGCCTTCTAAATCCGATTGTAGAGCGTTGGCCTGCAGTTCGAGCTGCCGCTTTTCTTCTGAAAGTGAAGCACGGGCTTCCTCAATCGCTTGTTCTTGACTGGCTTTGGCGTTGGCTTCGGTCTCTTTCAGAAGCTCAGCATGGCTGGATCTCAAAGACTCGATGGTCTCAGTATGATGAGACCTAATGTCTGCTTCAAGTGCCTGGAGTTGCTCAGTGTGCTCGGCTTTGCTAGACTCTAAGGCTTCCTGGGCGGATTTGAGCTGTGCCTCCAATTCCTTGATGCTGTTGGCGTGGGACTCGTTAAGAGTACTCGTAGCAACCTCTTGATCCAAAACTCGTCGTCTCTCCAGCTCGGCAAGTTCTTCAGCGTGTTCAGCCTTCACGTTAGATAGTTCGGCTTCGACTGCGTTAAGCTGCTGTTCAAATTGTCGGACACGCTCTACGTGAGTCTTCTCGGTTTCTTCGACTGCTTTCTGATGGCCTTCTTCCGCCGCAGCCTTCACCCGGTCAAGTTCTGCTACATGACCAGCTTCGAGTGTTTCCAGGTCAGCCAAAGAAGCTTTCATTTGTTCTTCTAGCTGTTGAATTCGGGAGGCATGACTCTCCTTAAGAGTCGAGATTTCCTTGTGAGAAGAATGGACTTTTTCCTCCAATTGTTGCATCTCACCTGCATGGTTCACCTTGAGCGCGGCAATCTCCTCTTCGTGTTTCGCCAGTGCCTCAGAACGAGCTTGTTGTAATTCTTCATCGTGGGTAGCCTTCAAACGAGCCACTTCCTCTTTGGCAGTGTTGCTTTCAGTCTCGTGCATTTGGAGAAGCTTCTCATGTTTTTCGAGTGCTTCAACAAGGGCGGTCTTTGCCTCATCCAGTTGGATTTGCAACGATGATATGTTCTTATCGTGATCACCTCGTGTTGAATCAACTTGTTCCAGGGACCTCTCAAGTTCTGCCTGCAAAGCGTCCAATTTGCTTGTATGGTCAGCTTTGACCTGTTGGAGTTCGACCTTGGCTTCGTTGAGCTCTTCAGCCGACTGTCTCATTAGTTCTTCTAATTGTGTCTTGTGCGACTCTTCCGCGTCCTCCAAGCTTTGTTTGGTAGCGTTCAATTGATCCTCAAGCTCTCGGATCTTCTCCAAATGTGTGTTTTGCGCAGCTGCGAGATCATCATCCTTCTGTTGCTCAAGAACTCGCAGCTTTTCTTGCAGTTCGGCTATCATGGCGGATTGAGACTCGGTCTCCTCTTTTTTAGTCTGCTGAGAATCGATCAGTTGCTGTTTCAGAGACTGTATTTCTTCATTGATCTTTGTATCAGATTCCTCTTGTTCGTCAAGTTGTTTCTGTTTCTCAACAGAGGCTGTTTCGGCCTGAGTAAGCCTTTCTTGTAGCGTTTCGAGTTCCTCTCTGTGCTGAGATTTGAGTGCTTTGGTCTTCGTCTCCAACTCTTCTTGCAATCTTGCGATTTTGGTCTTCGCGTTCTCCTTGGCGGCTTGGTGACGGGTCTGCGCAGCTTCGAGTTTCTTCTGCGCCTCCTCAAGCTCAGTGCTTCGACTTGGCGAGAGAGCTGGAGAGGGTACAAATTCGCTTGCGCTCACACTGTCTGATTCAATCTTTCTAGTCTCAAGGTCAAGTTTCAGCTTTTCGATTTGAGCATCCTTCACCAATTTCTCCTCGTTTGTCGCGGCACGGAGTTCTTCAAGTTCTGTTCTCAGATTTTCCAGCTCGCTTTGATTTGAAGACTCTTTGGAGGACCCTGAAGTCCGTAATTCGTCGATTTCCGACCTTAGTTGACTGGCCTCGGCTTCTTTGGCTGCTACCTGACTCGAAAATTTCTCCGTGAGCGCATCCACCTCGGACTGTTGACCAGTGGCTAATTCGTCAATCTTTGCCTTGTGAGCATTTTCCAACTCTCCCAGTTTGCTCTCGTTGAGTGCCTGTAGCTCTTCAATCTTGGCAGCATGCTCCTTCTGAATCGACTCTGCTGCAGCCTGCACGATACGACTCTCTTCTTCTGCACTCTTGCTGAACTCCTCCAGTTTCGCTTTGAGTTCAGAGAGCTGGGCATGGAGAGTGCTGACTTCTTCCTTGCTCTGAGCGAGCTCCGTCTGTAGGGCGGAGGCATCAGGCCCTGCATGTTCACCTTGGCTAGCAGTCTCAGCAATCGGAGTTTTCGCATCATTTTCTGTCGTAACAGAGGCAACTTCCTCAAGTTCGGCGTTAGTGGGGAGACGGCCATGTGCCCGCTCAAACTCTCGTACTTTCGCAAGATCCGACTTGAGCTTGGAGATGGTCGTTGCAGCTTCCTCGGAGATGTTTTGTTTCTCTTCTTCGTCCGCACCGTCCGAGGCCATGGCCGCTTGTAGCATGCTGTTGACAAGTTCAAACTCGCGTATCTGCTGCTCAATCATCACAGAGCGAGTGGACTTTCTTGAACCCAACGCAGGTCGGGTAGGTTTATCTGCCGTGGATGCAACTGCATTTTCCTTATTATGTTCGGCTTCTTCAGCACCCGGCTTGGTGGCAGGAGACGCTGGTATCGTGCTCAGGCGCTTCTTCTCGGCAAGGGCGCCAGCTCCAACGTTTCGCGAGGCTACTGTAGCAAGAGGCCTTGAGCGTGCCGTGGTGCTGGTAGTCGTTCGTGAGGTACTAGGAGTCGTAGGTGCTTTCCTTGTGCCAACCGGGCTCGCAGCACTGGTCCGGGTGGCTGTTGGCTGAAGAGTAGTCCGCCTCGCTGGCGTTGCGCTGACGGTCTTGGACGCCGCAGTCCGTTCGGTACTGGTGTTTGAAGCCAACGACATCCGCTTGGGTCTTGCTGATATACCCTCCTTCCTCTTCTCATCGCCAGAGGCCTTCTCGTCGACAGAGCTGACCGAGATTTTCGTTCCATGGCTTGTCGTGGCGTGAGTGGACGATGTAGATGTACTTGTAGGTCTACGAGCCGTAGATGTAGTCGTGGGACGTGCAGGCGGTTTGCTCAGAGAGCTACCACCGCTCGCTTTGGCTGCAGAAGCAATTGTAGAGGGTCTCGAGGAAGTAGACAGCCTCGGGGCAGAGGGTTTTGTCACTGGTCTGGGAGTTGCATTGGACGACTTGAATTTGGAATCGTCGGCCTTGGAGGAGGCATGTCTGTCCATACTGTACAGACTTGGATTCGACAACAGACCAGTCGTAGAGTAACGCAAGTCAATGCAAAAGAAGAGGGAAAAGCACAAGATATGATTAGAATTATGGAGTACAAAGTACTGTCGACGAAAAAGATGAAATGGACGATACCCAACCTGCAATGCCAACAACGAAGAGGGACCTCTGACCAGTTGGTTAGAGGAAAGACCAAAGAGACCAGGGTTCGGGCACTGATGAAACATGCGATTGGGATGTGCAGATTGGCCGCTGCTTGTGCCAGGCGCGAGTCAGACGCGACTGAGACTCGGCGCTCTAATGCTCCGCTGAAGGGTACCCGGGTCCGGTGGAGCATAGGATGCGCAGATTGCCTGTTCACAAACATCTGTCCTCCCTGCTCATTTCCCCCCGTTCTAACTTCTACTAGAGTCTCACCATTGCTATGGCTGAACGGGGAAGGAGGATTAAACGACAGTGGCAACATGTACCTGGACAGAAACCAAAAAATATCAATGGTTTCCCGCAGCTTAACGGCGACAATATCCAAGCCGGCTTCTTAGATTGGTACTAGACTCACCTCTTCGAGGTCGAGACTGTGATAGAATCTAGTGTCACAATTCGAAGAACGCCACTCTTATGGCGAGCTCAGATGAGATAATCTTTTATACGGGACACTGAATGTCCAACAGAGTAATCCGATTTCCTGCCCAGATGGGTCTAAACATGCTACAGGGGTATCTTTAATCCGTTAATCGTAAAATCTCGTCGTCCGCTCGCCCATTTCAGACTCATAACTGATCCAATAGGTTGATTATTCATCTCAGTCGGGTAAAGAAAGTAACCAGTCCCATTGCCCGTCAGAGAGATCGTACGGTCCCCTCAACATGCTCCATTTAATCCAACGTGCCTGGGCGAAGATCTGGTTTATATTGTACCTACCAAGCTTACCCCGAGGGCCCCCAAAGACAGCGACTATGTCTGCGAACCTCGTTATGGAGGTGTATTTTTGAAGAGCGTCCACCAAGAGCTGGATTTCGGTCGGGTGCCACTTCACTGCTTTTGCTGGAGGTATCTCTGGACCAGATTGGTATTGAATACAGTGCTTGCCGGATGTGGTGTCAACGCGTGTTGGTTGACTTGTTTCACGGTGTCCATATTGCGAAAACTGCTCATCCAGATTCAAATCATCGATGTCGGTGATCTGGTCAACTGGTTTCCTAGACATGCGAGCGGCGTAGGGGCGATGCTTTTCTCTGTTCGCAGCTCGCCGTCGCTCCACCTCAGTCAAGAACTGTTCACGGTCAGCTCTTTGTCTGATCTCTAGCACATCCCGATAGCTCTTTTGATCTTCGAGCGCAACTTCTTTCTGGTACTGAGCTATTATTTGGTCGACGTTCTGTTTGATCTCCAACAGCGTCTTTCGTTTGACGCCAGCGGGAACCTTTGGCTTCCATTGGGCTGCACTCTCCCCTAATAATCTTACGTTTTTCAAGACTTCCATCACTTCCTTAAGAGCGGACGCAGCGAGGGTGCTGTTTTGATATCGTGCGCGAAGAATGTATTTGGCCAATTTCAGGGAGTCAGGGATGAGGTATTCGTAGATATCCCATATCAGGTGTCTGCGTTCGCGTTTGCGCTCTTGATGACGGTCGACAACTGGGGCATGCCTATAACCACTGATGTGCAGACATCGCTGTCTGTAGACTTGAAGATCTTGCTGAACAGTATTCGTAGTACAATCCTCATCGAGGTCGAAATTCTGGCGACTGAGTTCTCTGTACAATTCGACTAGCGATCTCAACGAGCGGGCTACAGCTTTGCCATTCGTGGATCTGAGCTCCGTGTACGCCCGCTCGTCGATTATTTCAGCCGAAGCTACGAGAGCTGCCCGCCAGGGTATTTTGCAGCCAAACATTTCTGCTGCTTCGTCGATGCCACTCATCGCCTTTCGGATGCGCCTTGCCTTGGTATCTTCCTGTTCAGACTCTGCTTGCTGTCTCCTTCGTCTCCCGGCTTCGGTTTCTGGGCGTTGGACTCGTGGTCTCTGTCGAGGTTCTTGAACGTCATGATTAGCTTGGTGTTCTTCTTGATCATCGCTTTCTTCTGGTTCGTTACCGTGATCGTTCTCTCTGTCGTCAGCATCTCCTGGATCTGGAACTCCTTCGTTATTGTTAATGTTGTCATCCTCGTCCACGTCTCGTGGGCCAATTTGTTTCGACACTTTAGGAGGCTGTCGTACTCTAGATGTAGGGGCGTTTAGCTCCTGTTCGCCTCGCCTGGACACTGCAAGGGGTTCCGCGGGGACGAGACGAGCGGTCGCTGGCAGTTCAGGGAGCGCGTATATCTTTGTTCCGGGTTTGGGACTATCACGTTCGTTTTGCGTTGCCGCCACAGCATGTGCGAGCGGGTTGGACATATTGGCCGATTGACTCATGTGCTCTTGCTCGTGTACTGCAGAGGCCGCAGACGCCTTGCGAGCCCCTCGCTTGGCTCGTCTGCCGGAAGACTGGGGAATCTTTCGCTTCACCGGTGTGTTGGGCTCGGCATCCGTAGACGCCGCGTTGTTGCTTTGAGATGGAAAAAGAATTGGGGTATCTGGGCCATCGGACGCAACAAGAGCTTGTGCAAGTACGTCGCCATTGAAGGGAACGTTTGTCGAGGCTTGTTGGTGTGCAGTAGACTTCAACTTTAAAAAGGATGTCCCGATCTTCTGCAGCCTGTTCTTGGTGACGATCTTTCTAGGGGAGTCATCTAAATGAACCATTGCCGTTGATCTTGTGTCCAATTCTCCGCGACCTCTAAATGGCGAAACTGGCAGCTGCTTTCTCTTGTTCAATACCCTCATCCTCACCGGCGGGATGATGAGATTCCTCGCTTCTGGTTCATCGGTCGGCGATTCGGGAAGATCAAAGTCATTCCGCCTCGAGGGGGGCGGTCGGGGAACAAGAGAAGAACGCGCTTTCAGCTTGCCAGAAGATCGTATCGTGGAAGTTCTGCTCTGTGGAGGATTGGCGGGAGTGGATTTCGGCAAGTCTTCAACTTCCCTTCTCTTGGTGGGTGACTCTTCATTTTGGGCTTTCTGCGTTGACTTCCGCTTCCTCTTCGAACTCGGCGTTCGATTGACGTTGCTAGCTTCTGCATTCAAAATGTCAGTGACATCGCGTATTGAGTCCTCTGAGTCTTGTGGTTTCTGTCGGCTTTCAATTGTGTTGATGGTAGAGAGACGAGCCGAGCGACGCATCTTGGATGCTGTGTTATTGTCGCAGTGACATATCGAGGATTCTGAGACAATGATGGGGAACCAAAGGGCAGAAGAAGGCAAGACACATTTCTGTGCGTTTGTTTACCGGGTACATGAAAGTGACAATGGCGCGGGCCGCATTTTAGTTCTGCTGAGGTTCGTGTCACCGGGAGAAAACAATTTACGGTGCTTTGGAATTCTCCAGGCGGGCGCAAGTTATTATGTCATCGTCCAAGCGCACGAGTTCATTGTTGAGCATCTGGCGACATGCCGATTCCACAGCAGCACATCAGCCTCTGAACAAAGAAGTTCATCCTGTACAACTACCGTAATCATTCAGAGGGAGTTTATTGGCAACTTGGATTCATCATGGCGGCATATCCGTCCCTAACCAAACTCCAAGGCATACACAATCACCACTTCGAAGCGCCTACCAAGAGAATTCACGACGGATCCGATGTGGCCAGCTTTCTCACCTCCCTTGCATACAAGGATGTCATGACATTCATATTACAACTCAACCGTGCAGTCATACCGCGGAAAGAAACAGTAGACGGCTCAGTCAAGACTACAACCTGGCCATTGAACGCAGATGGTGTTACGGATTCAGAACCAATCATCCGCCTACGCACGCTGTTGACCAAACTAAGTGATCTGATCGACCAAGTCCCCCCTGATACTGGTCCAAGGAGATTTGGTAACGTCAGTTTCCGGAGGTGGTACAAATTGGTCGAAGACCAGATAGACAATTTGCTTCAGGACTGTTTGCCTCCTGCACTATTGTCAGCTCGCACGGAGATTGGACCATATCTCTTGGGCAGCTTTGGTAGCCCTCAACGTCTAGACTACGGTACTGGACATGAACTCAGCTTTTTGGCGTTTCTTGCCTGTCTCTGGAAGCTCGGTTTCTTCCCTCAAGCCGATCCTGGTGTCGAAGAGAGAAGAATTGTGCTGGGTGTTTTCGAAGGTTATCTTGAACTTATTCGCAAGATCATCAAAACCTATACTCTCGAACCTGCGGGATCACATGGTGTTTGGGGACTTGATGACAATTCATTTCTCCCATACATATTTGGCTCGGCTCAATTAGCACCTGCTGTCTCAGACACTGACGATACTCCGCCTGAAGGTTCTCTGCCTGATGCACCAGAAGCATCTTCCGTGACGAAACAGAACCTAGTCGACAAAGAGAAAGACAAAAACATGTACTTTTCCGCGATTGCTTTCATTTACGAAGTCAAGAAGGGTCCTTTCTGGGAGCACAGCCCAATGTTGTTCGACATCTCAGGTATCAAGGATGGCTGGGGAAAGATCAACAAAGGCATGCTCAAGATGTATAACGCAGAAGTCTTGTCAAAATTTCCTGTTGTCCAGCATTTTCCATTCGGCTCCCTTCTTAGGTGGGAACAGGATCCGGAAGCCCGACCTCCGGCAGTGTCAACACACGCCGCGAGCCAACCTCTTCGCAACCCTACGGACACCCATGCTCCAAGCACGATGAGACCTGCTGGACCTTCCCCGGGTAGTGGCACAGCTGCACCTTGGGCTGGTAGTGCGACAAAGGCACCGCTCGGGTTCGTGAACGGTGTCACCCAAGCACCGTGGGCAAGTCGTGGTCCTCCTCCAACAGTGCCACGCAGTGGTTTTACACCGAGTCAGCGCAAGCCAATGCCGCCTCTCAATGAATTGGTCACTGGCGGCAGAAGGACTCTGGCATCATCTGAAGAGCGAAGAAAGCAAGATAGTACCGATTGAGATTGAAGCCACAAATGGAGACCATTGAATAACAGGTCACCTCGTGGATCCTAGTATCAAGGCGGTCTTGCATCATGTTATGCTTTGCATCGGCAGCGGGTGTGCTGCGCAGTCCACGTATACACGGCTGGGACTGCAAGTATACCGCAGGCCTTGACAAGCTCGAAACTCAATATCGAGAGCAGCTGGCAACAGCAAAATGTGAACGTCCGCCAAAGATACAGTGTCCACTCCCCGGATAAATTGGTAGGCTACCTTTTCCTATTGCTATTGAAATGCAACGATTTGCGACCGGTCACGTTGCCGTACCAGAAGCCAAACACTACTCTGGGAACAACTAGAGCAAAGTACCTTCCCGATTGGACTGGGTGGGAAGCGATACATCATTGACGGAGAATGGCCGCTGGATAAATGTTGATGGATAAAATGGTTACCGGTGGTTAAAATGTTATTGCGTGGATTGCGGAGGACCACATCAAACGTGGGGACATGGATTCGTGGGTGAGTAACTAGGTAGGTAGGTATATACTTACCCTACCTATATATGTCCGGTACCTGCATTCACGAAAAATGCTTGACCAAGGCTTGTGGTCAACTACTTCAGTCAGAGTAATACCCCAATCTTGATCATGAAGAGCTTCACCAACGTCGTCGTGGTCGTCGTTACCGCCGCCTTTGCGGCCACCACCTGCTCAGCATGGAGCTACTCGCCTAACATGACCTCCTCGGCTTCCATATCGGTCAATGCACTTCAAACGTACCAGACCATGATAGGAGGTGGTTGCTCTGGAGCGTTTGGCATCGCCTGTCAACAGTTTGGGTCTGTCGGTCTGTCGCCGTCCAACCAGGACCTCGTCACTCGAATCCTCTTCGACGAGAACATCGGAGGTTTGTCCATCGTCCGCAACGATATTGGTTCGACGCCAGGGACTGTGGCTGGTGACGTTTCGTCCATTTTACCAGTCTGCCCGCCCACACCAGAAGGGCCGTTCAACTACGTCTGGGACGGCAACGACACGTGCCAACTACAACTCACCCAGACGGCGCTCAAGTACAACCCGAACGTGTTTGTTTACGCCGACGCCTGGTCCGCTCCCGGGTGCATGAAGTCGGTCGGGACCGAGGACGACGGTGGGTTCATCTGTGGTGTCCGCGGAGCCAGCAATTGCTCGGCGGATTGGAGACAAGCCTACGCCGATTACCTCGTCCAGTACGTCAAGTACTACGAACAGGAGGGGATCGAAGTTTCTTTACTGGGCGCCTACAACGAACCGGACTTCAACCCCGTGACGTACGCGAGCATGGAATCAGACGGATACCAGGCAAAGGATTTCCTGGAGGTTCTCTACCCGACGGCGAAAGCTGCCTTCCCCAACATCAGTATCGCATGTTGCGACGCCACAGGAGCCAGACAGGAGAGGAATATTTTGTACGAGCTCGAACAAGCTGGAGGGTCCGAGTTCTTTGATATCGCCGTGAGTAGTAAACCGTTTGAAAAACGCACTACATGTCTCCACCGGGACTGACCAAAATTTACCTAGACATGGCACAATTACCAAAGCAATCCAGAACGACCGTTTAATTCTGGTGGTAAACCGAACTTGATGACCGAATGGGCAGATGTATGGTTTCTTTTTTCTTTCCTCGACCCTTCTAATTCCATCGGGATGGCAAATCGCTGATGACAATGCAGGGCACCGGCAATTGGAACTCGTACTGGGACGTGACAGGACAACTTGCGTAAGTACCTGGCTTTTGCCTTTTTGAGTTGATGACTCTTCTCCCGTTTCTGTCCCTCGAGCAAGTCAAACAAACCGACCCTCCCCCAACCAGACCTACACACTGACACGATTACTTACCCACAACAGTGAGGGCTTCCAATGGGCCTTGTACATGCACAACGCCTTTGTCAACTCGGACACCTCGGGCTACACGCACTGGTGGTGCGCCCAGAACACGACGGGGGACAACGCCCTCGTCCGACTCGAGTACGACCATTATTACGTCTCGGCTCGACTGTGGGCGTTTGCATCTTACTTTCGCTTCGCCCGCCCCGGTGCCGTGAGGGTCGAGGCCTCGAGCAGCGCCGAGAACCTGTACGTGAGCGCCTACGTCAACGTCAACGGTACCGTCGCCGTGCCCGTCATCAACGAGGCGCATTTCCCGTACGACGTGACGATCGACCTGGCCGGGATCAACGTTACGATGGCAACGGCGTATCTGACCGACAACGAACATAATGTGACTATGGTGGGACAGATCGGTGTTGTTGGAGGCAAGATGGACGTCACAGTTGAACCGAGGTCTATGAAGACTTTCTTCTTGTCTTGAGAAACTAAAGTCCAGCAGGTATACTGTATATAGCTAAACAAGACACTTCAGGTCCGTAACGTAGGGGTATCTTGATAATGTCCGAGAAAAAAAGAACAATAACTCTCGCCTTAATTCAGACATCAGAATCAGATTCATAACCAACCAACGCCAGAATGGCAATACCTTTCGTCACTTTCGTCACTTTTTTCTGTTCGGGTTCGCCGCTGGTGACAGCATCTTCCTCTCGGTCATCATCACCATCAGCCCGAATTTCTCGTTTCCTTTTCCCGCGAGGTTGCCAGACATCGGTTTCACGCAGAAACGGATCCGTCGCCATTCTCGTATTGTTGGCCAATTGACCTTGCAAGATTTGTTTCTTGTCTTTTTGCTTCGCCAGCATACCACCTTTGCCGGGGCCAGTGCCACCACCAACCCCACCACTCTGAACGTGTTTCGGCCTCGATGGTAAATCCCCGTTGTACCGGGAATGTGTAGACATGAACAAAGGTTTGGACGAACTCGACGCCTCCGCCGCAGTCCAGTCCCCAAACTCGACAAACTTGACACGATCCGCATCCTCTTGCGTCTCGGCAAGGACCTCCATGTCGGAATCCAGACCGAATTTGTCTTTGAGGGCTTCCCCCGTTCGCTCGTCGGCCTGTCTCTTGCGTCGTCCGACTCTAAAATCCGCCCTGAGTTTCCTGTTGAGCGCGTAAGGGTCCTTCCACGTTCGATCGCTCGCCTCACGCAGCTCGGAGATGCGTTCCTGCTGTGCGACGAACGCAGACTTGTCCTCGACCTTTTTCTCCAGTGCCCCGAACGCGCCTTCCTTTTCGAACCTGGCCTTGTCTTCCTCGGACACCCGGCTCTGCTGGAGCTGTCCGAACCTGTCAACGTCGTCCGCTCCTCCCGTGTCTCGTCTCCGCCCTCCCCCCGTGACGATGTACTCTGCGTTCTTGGGGTCGGTGCGGACCTCGAGCCACCCGCCGCACGTTGTATGTTTGAACCGGAACTGCCAGATCGGCGTGCTGTAGTACGCCCCCACCTTTTTCTTCTCGGCGTTGAACCGCACCCCTTGCCCGATGATCTGTTCCGGGACGCACGTCGTGCACCAGATCGCAAAGGGGCATTCGAACCGGACGGTCAGGATCCCCTCGGTCTTGAGTTTGCGGGCCCGGTGGCCCAGAGCGTGGCCCTTGCCCGACGCCTGGTTGAACGACGTGGTGCCTTCGAGGTCCGGAGGGACGTAACGTCCCATGTTGAAGCCCTGCATGTTTGTTTCTTTGTTCCTTCTATTTTGTATCTGGCCGGTACAAGAACAAAACTAGAGGGACGAATAGAGGGAGCAATATAGTAACTCCTAGAGGTAGGGCTAAGAGGACAAGGCACAGGAGAAAGATGTGCAATTGCAAAACGGCCTTTTGTTCACCTGGTCGTTGGATGGAGGTGAGTGCAATTGCAAGATCGTAAGGCCGGAGGCAAGGCCATCGTTGATCTCCAGGTACGATCTGCGTACGAATCCGTAGTCCTTGTACAAACGGTAGGAAGTATGATAGGTTTATGAGGCTGAGAGAGGCTGAGACGACGAATACATGACAAGCCTTCTCCCCGCAGTCCGAACAATTAAAACGGACTGGAAGCAATCAAGCAGGGAAAGTCTGGCGAATACGAGTACGACTTGACACTGGTATGAGCGTGTACTGCCACGAACTGCTGTAGTCAGAAAGCAAGAACAGCTAAGAGAAATCTATCATATATTGAGCACTGTTCTACATAGTACTCGTAATTCTACTCTGATACTGTTGATACACATGCAAAAATGGCTCGGTCTGAGCACAACCGGCAAACCTTCCACCCCTAGAAATGACGCAGTTCCACTCTAAAAAATTCATACAATGTCCCTCGTGTTCGCACGGTGCGCATCCTCGCTCAGACCCAAGGTAATGTTCGTGTCAATGTACGCATACAGAGTGTCAAATGCTCCTGTTGTGTGCCGTCAGAAATGACATGCAGCCCAGCAACCCTAGCACAACTCGTATAAACGTGGTGAGCAGTTCTCACAAAGTGACGGCATCAGGGGCAATCGGTACAAGATCACCGGCGCCCTTGAAGTTCTCCAGTATGGTGGCCTGCTCCGACAGCATGAGACGGTCGGTCTGTTTGCCGATTTCCGCCAACTTCCTCCAGCGAGCAAAGTCGGTGAAGTTGCGCTTGTCTCCCCGTGCGGCCTCTGCGTTCTCCCAGTGGCCCTGGCTGAAGGCGATCAAGGTCGTGATCTTTTGGTTCTTGATGTCGTACACCAGAGACACGATCGTCCCCGTTTCTTCCAGCCAATTGCACTGCCACAGCTCACCCGGCCGGATACATTGGTAGGTACAGGTTTGATAATTGATGCGGCCCTTCATGGGACCTCCGTGGATGGCATAGACGATGCGGTTATCAGAAAAGAACCACATCTCGTACCTCCATTTCTCGGGCCGTTTGGTTTCGGGATTCTCGGCATCGTAATCATATATGAGATGAAGGTTTCGAATGTCTCGGTCGAATGAAGGGTGGAGGGGAGTATTGGTGATGAATTCTGGCAAGGGTGCCATTTTTGTTTTTGTCTGTTCTGTTCTATTGATGTTCTCAGATGGCTTTTGACTGAGTTGTATTATGTGGGATGATGATGATGATGATGATGATGAGAATGAATTCGAAAGACACAGAGAGAAATGATGGTAGAGAGAAGGAAACAGCCTTCAAGTGCTGAGGCCTGGGAGTATATACCTCGTGCACTCAGCTAGGTAAACTGATGGTTTGCACGGGGACAAGGGAATCTGAAACCTCATTTTCACGGTCCATGTACTTTTCTGCCGTTTACCATTGCCGGCCACGATATCCGTAAAATGGGTAATCGTACGACGTACTTAACTTTTGGTAACTGGAGATCTTCACTCCATGTACAGTACGTTGCAGAAGATCCGGATGGCGCCGAAGAAGAAAAGCTCCACCTTCAATAAAACCATCACACATACAATGCAAAACATGTGATGCAGATTTGCAGAACATTGGACCGTGACAGCCGTTGGTGTTGGTGTTTGCTGATGATCAATTTCCCTCCCTGCAGCTGAACAAGATCGGAAACGGCAGATGTGACGTGATTTTCACCAAGATTTTGTCGTCTCCACGGTTCAGCTTCATCAAACATTGCAATGAAATCCCCCAACTCGGTCCGAGTCGCGATCGCTTTCGTCTCCGTGATCGGACGTTCACTCATTTTGCATGGGTATTTGACCTCTGAATGCGTTTGCCAAACAAGGTCTATAAATGTGCGATGTGAGAAGGTGGGTATACTCTGGCAGCAGTGTTCTTGAATCACCGAACAGTGCGACAAACAAAGCTGGGGAGATGTTGTACAGTCCTTCGTTGGCGGAAGTTCACGTGTCCATCCAGGTTGTTCATTCTTGTTAAGAAGTCAATGTTGAGTTGACGTGTGCTTGGTGTTCGAGAGAGACATATGAGAACAAGGGTGTTCCTGGCAGAGACCTCGGTGATACGGCTCGACTCGTCTCATCTGTTGTTAGCACGAACACCCATGTACACGCTACCGATGCCGGTCGAGGCCATACTCGAACCCATGTCACTTTAGCGGGCTTGACTTCACTGTAGGCCTGGAAAACTCGGAGGCCGAAGCTACTCCATATGATTTCACAACGATCAGTGCCCGAACAAATCGCACGGTTGCGTACGGACCTTCAAGGCGTGACAAACAAATTAATTGAATCGACAATGGTTTGAAGCTAAGGAAATTTCTTTGGATTAACTATCAATTTACTAGACTATTTTTTCTTGAATGACTCGATAGAACTCCGATGAACCATGCACACATTAAAATCATGGACTGTTTTCTTCTCTACTGAACTTCAATCAAAGCAGGACCGAACAACGCGGCCTTTGCCACAGCATCGACGTCGGCGAACGGACCGGCGTTGGAAGTGACGGCCGCAATCGTCAAACCGAACATCAAGTTCTCCGAGAACGGGAAGTTGGCCGAGAATGTCACCTTGCCACCGTCGTTCTGGGCTCCCTGGATAGGCACGACGACAGGCACGTTCTGCTGGTTGATGTAGACCAAGCTCAATCCTTGACCGCTCGCGTACTGGCTGTACTGGCCGGTCGCCTGGAAGGAGAATTGCAACTGCTGGTCCTGAGCTTGCACCTTGGGAGTCTCGAGGGTCAGGGCGCCAAAGATCGGCAAGGCGATGGTGTTGGAGTTGGGGCAGGAGCCCGGGACGACAAAGTTCTGGTTGAGGGCGGAAAAGGCGAATTCTCGCGCGGAGGCAGTCAGGAAAGGTGCCTGGCTGGGGAGTTCGCCGAGGATTTCACGGTAGAAGCCGTTCTGCTCTCCTTCCTGGCCGATGACGGCGGCGACACCGCGAATCAGACCAGCGTCGCCGTTCTGGCCAAAGTGGACCTGCACGTCACCCAGGGTTCCGAGAACAACATCGGTGAAGGTGGACGCCAGTGCGATAGCGTCTTGGAAGTTGTCCACGGGCGCATTGTACAAGCAAGGTTGGATCGGGCCGGCGTTGAAGTGAGCGAGAGCACCGTTGGCGTTCAGCGCGTGAAGCTCTTCCTGTGCGACGATGGCCGTGAGTGCTTCGATGATGGTCTCTCGAAGGTTCGCATCTTGGAACTGGTAACCGACAACGTTATTGGTGACATTGGATAGAAGCTCCGTGAAGTAGGCCACCTCGAAGATTTCGTTGAAGGCGATCAACCTCAGAGAGGTGAGATCATCGGCTGCGGGGGCAGATGGAGGAGGAGGGCCATTGGGGAGGAGACCGTGGGCTTGTTGCTCAATCTGCGTCAAAGCTGCTGAGGGGTTCTGGATGTTTGGGAAGCCATTCTGAAGAGGGAACTTGAATGGATTTGACCCTTGACTCGAAGGTGTCGCTGGTGGTGGAGGTGTCCCAGAGGTCTGCTGGGGAGGAGCTGGAGGAGCACCGCCGGTTGAACTGGGCGCCCAGGAACCACCAGATGATGATGGGCCGGCATTGCCTTGGTTCGCCTGGTAATCTTTGAGGTGCTGGGTTCTGTCTCCGTAGAAGACAGAACCTCGCTTCTCGACTGGAACTGCGGAGACGAGCGACGCAAGAGCAAGGGAGCCAACCACGGCGAGAGCCTTGTTGAAATGCATCGTGATTATATGGTATGGTATGCAACTGAGTGAATGTGTATTCAACAAAAACGAAAAAGCTGTTGCTTTGGTTTGTGATAGAAGTGGAAGGAGAGTAATAAGAAGGGTTGTAGTTGAGTAATAACGTGGGCAAGCGGAGCTTGATTAGGTGTATCTGTACGGAGTATGTAAGATCTCGTTTGCTTTTCTGAAAGAGCGTAGCTTGTGTGTTCTGTTTGAGTGAGACCTAGACACAAGCGAACGAGGGTCATTGGATTTTATACACACCGTACCACGTAGAACTCACCGTCGAAGTTAGAATATCGTTTAAGCAACGACCAAGGTCACCGAACCGGGGGCCGTAACGATGCTTAGGCATGAAGCTAAGATTTTGGTTCGATCTGGGGGCTGAGGGAAAGGGAGCAACGTGTAAATTGCTGTGCTGACGGGCTTGTGCACATTGGGTGGATGGCCAACCTATTCTTCGACCAAGATCCGTCCTAAGTTAAGATCTGCTCAGCCTGCTCGACCGGTGGTTTGGCCTCCATCTGGTCTGAGCTGTTGAGAGTAGAGGGTTTTTGTGAATCTGAGGTACTGTATTTGGGTACGAGGTATAGGATGCAACATGGACGGTTGCATACTCGCCAAGTGTCTGTGACACTTAGACTCCGGACAGGTGCACATCATGATCGAACGCGCTTATTGTAAATCTGTCTGCGGAACTCTCCAGTCGACAAATGAAGGGTCATCGGCGGGATTGTTCTACCGGGCATCTCGTCAGGTAGTCAAGGCGTGCTAGGACCAGGTAGCACGATGGTACGGAGTACTCTGCTGGCAAGGCCCTCAGTGCGCAATATGTCTGCCATCTCGATTGGGTCAAGTGCTGATGGAAGAGTGGACATGGAGAAAATAGAGAGATGAGAGCGAGAGTGAGAAAGTGAGCGAGTTTGGGACGGAGAAAGAAATCTCCGGATGACAAAGACCAGTCACTAAATTTAAATAAACGAGCGGCCAGCCAATGATCGCGGCCCATAGACAGATAAGCTCAACAAGGCTTTGGTGCCAAGGAGGCTTATACAATTGTTGCTATTCTTGGAACTGGTTGCTTTGCGCCCTTTTCTTCCTCTGCGGACAGCCTTGCAGCACGCGGACTTCGACAACATTGACGATGTTACACAGAGTATATTCTCTCGGAGGGCGAACTATGAGTTCCCTCCAGGTAGCACAGTGGCAGTCCAAGCGGCCGAAGCTTTGTGACTTTTTCAATTCAAGCGGCATTGATGGTCTGCAAGGCCTTCTCTTTCTCCAGATGGTCTGGTCCGACACTGGCACTATTATGTCGCGCGAACTGACACGATGCGACTATTTTTATGTCCTTGGAAATTTGCAGGGTGTGTAGGTAGGAGAGATGGAGGCAGACTCGCCTTGCTAAAAGGGCTGCTCGTACATGCGGACATAGAATGCTCAGTAAGGGAACAAAAAGATTTACTTGGATGACTCTTTCTGTCAATCTCAGACCTTACTCTTGCTGTTGGAGATGATGGGTTGCACATGGCCATGTATTCTCCCTCGTCAAGATACCTGTAATGGCTGAGTATCATTCGTTTTTTCTTCACCCCCTCACGGACTCTGAACGGGCTGCATCTGCTGATCTTTCGGTTCTATGCGGCCTTTGAACCTCATGTGTGAAGAATAACCGACCCAAGTAGCCGACCCCGCAATCACCTCACCAAAATACCTATGGCGTATGGAGGAGGTACTTGGACATATACTGTTCGGCGATTCCCGTCATAACAATCCCCGATCCCCCGCATCAGCTTCCGTAATCCACGATGTATTTCGTAAGTCGTGGCGGGAAGAAGAAGCTCAGGTCTATCCACGATTGTTTTCGGGATTGTTACACCCTGAAACGAGAAAGGGCTTATCATCACTATCATCATGGCGACTCAGACGACTACTACACATACATCGATTCCAAAATGGACACAAGTCACAGAGACGAAGCATGAGTGTAAGGATGCCCTCGGAAGCAGATCCACCATATAATACTAACCAAGGCATTCTGGCAACAGTGGACTGGGCTGATCTGGTCACTCTTGACCTCAGCAAGTTCGACCAACCTGGTGGAAAACAAGACCTCGCCGCTCAACTTTTCGACGCCGTGAACAGAATAGGTCAGTACTCCGTACATCCCCCACTGTCCCTGTGACACACACACACACAATGTCCAAGCACGTTCGTGAGAACTGATTTCGGAAACCCCCGCACACACCAACAGGATTCTTCTACATCACCAATTTTGGCCTGAGCCAAGACGAGGTCGATCGACAATTCAGTCTGTGCAAGCAAGTCTTTGAACTCCCCATGGACGAGAAACTCAAGTACCGGGCCGACCTCGAGAACGGCGGGTACAACGGCTACAAGCCTCTGGGGACCCGCGAGGTCAAGCCCGGCATCCGCGACAACACGGAGATCTACAACATTCCCAAATTCACCGCTGGGTACACGCGCGACCACCCTCCCGTCATCACGCGACACTGGGCCGAGATCGAAGGCTTCGCGAGACACATCCATTTCGAGATCGTCCGCAAGCTGCTCGTCCTCTTCGCCATCGTCCTCGAATTGCCCGAGGATTTCTTCCTCAAGAACCACCGGTACGACGAGAAGAGTGATTGCCATTTCCGGTACATGAAGTATCACCGTCGGACGCCCGAGCAGAATGCCGAATTGGACAACGTCTGGGTCAAAGGACATACCGACTTTGGTAGTTTGACGTTATTGTTTAGGTGAGTCTCTGGCTTTTGTTCTGCACGAGTGTCTTGTCAAGACGGTGGATTGTCTGACGGGTTGTCCCTAGACAACCCGTCGCCGCGTTACAAGTGCGCACCCCCGAAGGCGAATGGCGATACGTCAAACCTTACCCCGAGAGCATCACCGTCAACATCGCCGACGCCCTCCAATTCCTCACCAACGGGTTCTTGAAGAGCAGCATCCACCGCGTCGTCGCACCGCCGCCGGATCAAGCCGACATCGACCGCCACGGCGTCCTGTATTTTGTCAGACCCGAGGACGACACCGAGCTGGTCCCGATCGAGAGTCCCGTGCTCCGACGACTGGGGTACGACAAGGCTCTCGACCGGGCGACCGTCGGTCTGACGGCGGGTGAGTGGGTGAGGGCGCGGGTGGCGAAGAACGTCAGTCGGCAGGGCAAAGACGACGAGTCCATCATCAAGGGCGTCAAGGCCAAGTATTACGATTGATGCGGAAATTTTATCCAGAATGTACCACTTATGAGTCGAGATGACGATCCGATATCGACCTTCGAAGCGGAAGCATGTAGAATGTTTATGAAATGTTTTCTCATTGCATATACCCAGAGAACAAAGATTCCAAAGTGGTTTCACATTCATACCGATGTAAACCAATCAACGCCGTAAAAGTAGCAGAGTCTCTCAACTCTCACAATCATGTAATATCAAAGGTCAACCCAGCCATACACGGAAGCTTGTACTTTGCAATCTGGAAATGGAAAGTCGTCAAGATAAAGTGTCAACAACCCCTCGACTATTCGAATTCCTTCCTCGTATCATTTCTTTTTACGGTGGTGCTCGGTCTCACCGTACAGTTGTCAGTGCTCAGAGTTGCTGGGAGATACAGTACTGTTGCTGGTGGTCGGTGACGTTTTGGTTCTGAAACTCACTTGGATACCGTGTCTCAGTCTCATGTGTCTCTTGACCGAGTCGGGACGGATAGACGTGTATCCGCACACATGACATTTCTTCATGTCATCTTCGGTGAGAAGGCCATGCTCCCGCTTCTCATGTTGTTTACATCGTCGCTTCTCAGAAAAGGCCACGCCACATCCATCTTGGGAGCATCTGAACGGGGTGTCATGCTTGAGGCGATGTCGGTTTAGGTCACAGCGGCGCCGAAAAGATTCGGAACAGTCAGTACATCGGTACTTTTGAACCGAAGTGTGGGACTTCGGTGAGCAGGGTGTGGGTGAAAACGAAGATTGAGGATTGAAGTCGAATTCGGGAAAGAACCTAGAGACAACGGAGTCGTCCAGGTCAATGTCATTGGTGGGATACAGGACAAAGTCGTCAAAGTTGACATCGTCCAAGTAGTTCATATTGTTTAGAATATCGTAATCAAGGTCAGAGTTGGTCATTGTGGTGGACGTGTTTAGAACGTTGTCGGGGGTGGTAGTGGGCAGTGGCATTGGTCGTATGGTATGCATCGTTGTGGCCGTTTGCCAAAAGGCGAACGGTTGGGCGTGTGATATCGACGAGGTACGTCGATGAAGAGTTTTGAGGATGCAAGGCTCCGACAGAGGTCGACCGACGATGACGGGCCTAGATGATGTTGAGGATGTATGGGCGTTTCTTCCAACGCTGTCTGAATAATGGTGTTCAGGTTGTAGGCAAGTCCAAGGGCCAAAGTGCGCGAATCCGTGCTCGATGGCGAACCAGATGATGCGGCGTAGAATTGTCCGCTGAGAGGAGCATTCCTCCATCAGTTGACCTCTCTACTGCAAACAACGCGGATCGCAGTCGAGCCAACACTTGCTCTCTTTGGCAGTACCGGATTATCTTCTTCGTGTGCAGACGCAACGAAGTCTTGCTAGAACTCAATCTAGCTTCTGAACCAGTGTTCAGACTGGATTTTGATTCTACCATTTGGCGACCAAGCTCATGATGAGATTGTCTTCCAGGGAATGGCAATTGGTGGTTTCGCTCAAGCAGACATTGTACATCATGCTTGGTGAAGAATCGTCTCGTGAATGCGATACCGGGAATGATCCGTCTCGCATACTTCATGTCTACTTTTTGACCGTGATCGTCCTTCGACTCGACCTCTGGGTCGGCATCAGTAAACGGGAGGCCCATCTCCCGTTTACTGATGCCGACCCAGAGGTCGAGTGCAGTGCCGAAGTCTGTAAGCAAAAATTGAGAACGTGGTTCTCCTGCGAAACACAAAATATTCTCCGGTGAAAGGTCTGAAAGAGTTAGCCATTAGCAAAACGCCTAAATAGGCATATCTTCTGACCTTGTTGGACAGTCCACTTGTGAGAGATTGCTAGATATGAATGATCGACTGTCTTAAACACCTGTCTGATGGTCTGCAAACCATTCTTTGGGCAAACTTCCACCCTATCACCGACCTTTTCGAGGGCCTGGCCACCAATGCCTTGTTGCATGCTGATGTGAAGTTGATCTTGGAAGACATTCGGAAGAAAAGGATTCTTTAGTCGAGATGGCATACCGGAAAACTCCTTCTTTGCGTCGATCAACTCTTGCATATCTGCAAGCCTGGCGGCAATGGCCCCTCTAGTGCTTGTTGTGGTGACGCCCCCACGGTGTGCTCTGCGGGCTCGAGCAAAGACGAGGCGTAGGCCAGTGACAGAGGACCACGCCGCGTCGTCTCCATTGGAAACATTGGAAACTGTCTTCAGCAACTTCTCGGCAGTGGCTACACTCGACGAGCCACGGCCGCCGCCTCCGTCGAAGGATAGCAGTTTGATATCACCCTCGTACATGATGATACGAGAACGATGATTTCATCGATTCAATGGCTAGTTGTCTAGGCCGTCGGAATCTGGGGACATCAAGGGCAGAGAAAGCGCGCGACAAAGATGTGGAAACAGATAGAGGGTGGAGTTGGTAACGGAAGTATAGGATGAGGAGTAGGGGGGAGAAAGAAAGAGAGGGTAGAGGAGAGAAGAAGAGACCAGGCACCAAAGACTGGACGATGATGGCTTATGAAGGATGAAGCGTGTGGCCTGTGGCCTACAATCTGCTAAGTAACTAATGCAAGATAATGCGTCTTGATAGGTTGATACTCGCTCCGCCACTGACTCACAGCCAGGGTTGAGTATCAGGCGTTTGACTGACAGAATGATAATCGAAATGTTCCGCAGATCTCGTTCAAATGACATTGCCATATCAAAAGAATTTTTATGCAAGAACAACGAGGCTGAGTCGAGGTCACTCCACATTGCGAAACTCCTCGTTGAATAACGTCTATCATTCTCCGTATTCTCCTTCGACCAAGGTCTTGCTAAGAGTCTTTCTTGATATCATGGCAGCACTCACCTCAGGTAATGTCAATCAGCGCCGCAAGTGATGCCAGGATCCAAATATATTTCTACCCCACAAGGCTGCAGACAAAGGAAATCATCATGTTAGACACTGTCTTTGTTGCCAACAATTCTCCAGCTATGGGTGCATCGGACGATTTCCACCGAGTCTGTTCTGATGCTACATGCATCTAGAATCATATCGATAGGGACGAGTTGTTCTCGTTACCCCAAGATCTAACAAGATGATCGCAAACCACACGAATCCTCTCTTTAGCTCACCCGATGGGTTCGATTGACATTTAGGCACGTTTTCCCCCTATTGATAAAAGCAACGTCTTTTTTGTAAGAGAGTTCCTCCAAAAGCAACTTGAAACAAAGACTTGGCCGAACAGAGCCGAGCAGAGTACTCAATAAGACCTTCCAATAAATCAAAGACCGCAATCTCAAGTCGGTTCAGCCGCCTCCAACCTTGTACGAAACGGCCTCCCTACAACACAACTCAGATCAGGAACATCATTGCTAACATCATTGCTAACATCATTTCTAATATCAAGATGAAGATCACGACTCCGACCATTCTCTTCGCGCTGGCGTTGACCGCCGCCGCCCTTCCGGCTCCAGACGACACTGTCGGCGCAGAAGCCAGTCCAGCCTCCAGCACCTACGCCGCTGCCTATACGCCTTCAACTTATACCGACACAGACGTCAACGCCAATGCCGATAACGACACAGACACTGCAGTTGCAAGTGCGAGTGCCGGCGCCAATGCCACCTCCACCATGTCACTTCCAACCGCATCTGCATCAGCCTCCGCACCTCCTCCTTCGTCCTACGACGACATGTTCAATAACAGAGTCATCGTAGTCGATGACGCAACGTTCCTTCGCGCTCTCGAGTACGCTGCAGTTCATCCGACCGTGATTGGAGATGACAACGACAACGGCAACGACAGCGGCAGCCCCAACGAAAAAAGAGACAATGCTCTGCAACCCAAGGCGGGCAAATTGCCAAAGAACAAGAAACCCGAGATGGTCAGATGGTGCACCCCTCAAATGGACTACTGTACCACCTGGTACGCCCCGTACGGCTACTACGGCAACGGCAACGGCAATGGCAAGAGGGACGTGGAGCGACGCGCTCGCAATGACTGGCCTGACAGTGTCCGAGTGTGGTGTAGTAAACACGACGGACCGTGCGTGCCCATGGGGGAGAGGGAGTTCTGAAAAGTTTTCTCCTGTGGACCAAGAGGATAAAACATACCCATGGCCATTGACAAGTTACAAAAGAGAAGATCAAACGTTCCATCAAGACAGCCTCCTGGAGAAAAGAAAATTGAATCGAATTGTTTCTTCCATAGTAGCCCACCAACTCGGACAGCAACACAAGTGGTTGACGTCTACCTAGGTAAATAGCCATGTTCATCCGGAGCGAGTCAGGATACATACATCCACGCCCCGCCCTTCCAATATTGAATACCGTCCGTACGGGGTATTGAACTAACAATAACAAGTTCTTCATTCCGCATTCGGCATCCTGCACACTCCGTGCCTACTACCCTTGTTGGGCAGCAGGTTTCCCCAAAAGTTTGATGACCGATCTCTTCCGGTTCGCTTCAAGCCAATACGTGAGTTTGGCAAAGTCTTGGAAAGACAGGAAGTCTCTTCCAGCTTCCACACAAAAGCGACCCCAGTTGTTTAGTAATCGTTCCCTGACACGGAGTTTCAGATCCTTGCTCATTTTTCGAACCCAGTATCTCGTACCACAGCTGATGGACTACATAAACTCGAGATCATCGTCGGTCGATTTTTCTTTGCCCTTCCCCTTGTCTGTACTCGATTCGACACCTGCACCATTCGTGACAGGTACACCTCTGTCGTTTTCTCTGTTGCTGTTGCTCAACTTCATCGGCGTGCGTTGAGCTTCGGCCTGAATGTTTTTCAGGTACGCAAGTTCCTTTTCGCTCAACTCGACTTTCCCATCTTTGCCGAGTTGAAACTTGAGGTTCATCTTATCCATGACTTCCTGAGTAGCTCCGTCAAGCGGCGCCATTTCTCGTGCTTGCAACTGCGCCACCAGAGCTTTGTTTTCGGGGTTATCCTCCAGCAGGAATCTGATGCACATGATCGCGTGCTCTTTGATGTATGGATTACATCCTAGCATAGAATCCAGTCAGTCCACTCCCTACTTTACTTGAAGCTTAGCACATACCATCATAGTTCGTGCAACTCATAATTGTGTCAACGCCTCCATACTCTCTGATCTGGTTCTGCACCGTTGGAGACTTCCACACCAAACTTGATAGGACAAGAACAATGAGCTTCTTAAGATTGCGCCATTCAAAGTCGGCAGGCTCCTCGGCAACCTGGGGTGGTGGAGGAGATTTTGACATTGGTGGTGAAGGATCTGCGTCTGTGCTGGCCGCGTCTTGCGCTTTTTGCGTCACGGGATCCACGTCGTATGGCCGCTCGACGGCGACGGGTCCTGACGTTTGCGAAACCGACTCGGTCCCAATTTGTTTTGGACCATTTGGTGTTGCACTATTACTGGGCGGTGGCATTGTCTTGGTCAAGGGAACTTTGGCAATGCTATTATCAAGTTCCTTGATCAGAGTGACAAGATCGTAGACGATTTCCCACTGGACAAGGATATTTTTCCAGTCATTGTTCTCGGTCAGAACAGCAAAGAATTCGAGGAATTGATAAACCCCCTCATAAACCCTCTCCATGTCCCACAGATTAAGTGGGAAATCTTCAGCCAATGCAAGCCCTGCACGTATTTGTCCCTGAAGATAGATTAAAGCACAGGTCTCCGGTATGATGTTGCCCCGGAAAACAATGAAGATGTAGCGTACGGTCAGAACATCGACTCTGCTTAGAGGAGCAGGCACACGTGTCTTTGGGTGAGGTTGCTCATTCGAGTTTTGGACAACCGCCGCCGGACTGTATTTTGCACGGAAGATGTGGGTGAGAATCTTGATGACCACAGCTTGAGCAGGGGAGATGATATCTTTCGGTTGCCCAAAATCTGAATAGGCATGAGACATGAGTCCGTTTTTGAGGATCGCCTCCATGATCTGAACCATCATCTTGAAGTAGAATTCGTCGTCAGGGAGGTCCCACGCGGCAATGAAGATCAACAATTCTCGCAAGACATTCCGTCCCGCTTCCTGGGCTAGCAGAATATGACAGCGAACAGCTTGCATATTCTTGGTGCCGTTGCGCTCGCTTGCCTTTGAGCCAAAGTTGTCGACTATACCGGCTTGGATGATCATGGGTAGTGCTTCGATTTCCGTCGGCCCCAGTACCAGAGGCACGTCGGTGAGCAAACCTCTCTCTTGATCTCCGGAGCCACGGTAATCATCGTCTTCTTCATCTTCGTCTTCCATACTATCTTCGACGCTATCAACCAGGTCATCATCATAGTCTTCAGGATTGCCATCCTCATCATAGGAAATGTCACCATTCTCATCGACCATCGCACCTGACTCGTGCAACCGAGCCATGAGTTCATCTTTTGCTTCTTTAAGAGTGGCAGCCGCGGACTGCGCAGTTCTGGGCATAGTCAGATCCTCCTCTTTTATAGTCTGGTCTGCATCGACGAGTCCGCCTTCGACATTCAATTTTGACAGCGTATTCCATTGGGAGGGTCGGGTATGGCCATGATTGGACTCGCCAGTCGTAGCAGCCTTTTCGCCATCCAGTCCGCTCTGGGTGTTCACAGCCTCTTTGAACGGGATCTGACGGCGTAGCTGGGCCCCAACCTTGAGCACAGCTTCTGGTGCGGACTCCAATTGCTTGACTGTCATACCTGCCATTTTAGCCATGTCGCTTTTGATTCTGTCCATGACTATTTTCATTTGTGCCTGCTTCTCCTCATCTGCGTCTGTACTTGTTCCAGGACCCATCATGTCAAACAGGGCATGGATATCATCAATGTTGTAACCGAGTTTCTCGCTTGCTTCTCGAGGGTTCATTCGGGAGATCTGTTCGGCGGCAGATCGAATCATCTCTTCCCTACCGTTCACATCCTGATCGTTTGCGACACCCTCCGTCTCTGGCCCTTGGGAGTAATTCTCATCACTGTCATGTGCTTGCGCCTGGCCAAAGAGGTCCAGCCACAACACCAACTTGCGTTGTTCATTGTGCATGATGAAGTTGTGTAGAAATTGTAGGCATGTTATGAGTAGTCTCTTGTACAGATTGACGACCTTTTGCCACCGCTCTTCATTTCGCTGGTTCTGTTCCCCATCATAGCCTCGAGCCGTCACGCGGACACAGACATCGATCAGTTTGAGAATTTGTTGGTCAAACCCTTTGTCTGCAGCGAGGTTTTGAGCCTTCTTGGTCGTTGCTAAAAGGTTCCGTGCTATCGTACATAGATCATTTAGGCGTTCGATATCCTTTACAAGAGAGAGGTAATGTGCAGCGATCAATTCTGAACTGCTGCCATTGAAACTTGCGGCAGGTGGATTCTTCCAGGCGAAAGACTGCTGTTCCAATGCAGGTATGGCGACTGTGAGAACTTTGGTCAGGCCATCCCACACCTTAGGGTTGAATCCCAACGACGACCGGACATCACTCTCTTGGTGAGACTTGTAAAGAATTTGTTTTCCCGCAACTAGCAAATGCTCGAGCCGCTCTTCATCGATTAGTCCTCTGTTTGCGTAGTGGGTTTCGGTGCCAGCGAGAACAATTTGTAGAAGAAGACCTGCACTCATACTGATGTTGACTAAGATACATAGTCAAGCACTAGAGAATGTGGTCAAACAAGATTCTGTGTGGGCAAGAAATTCAACTTTCATATCAAGATCGTAGTTGAACCGCAGGCAAGACAAAGCCTCGACAGACCTTCCTCGTTTGAATTCTGCACGAAGAATTTTGAGGTTCGCCGTATAATTTCTCCTCTAATACGGTGGCTCAAACAGGCTTTGGACGCATATTTCTATGTACACCCTCTTCAATTGTTCCTGTTAGAACAGAATGTTCGATATGCAGTGCATGTGTAACCACATACCCTAGAATGAGTCAATATGATGACATCACTAGAGATCTTTGCCGACAAAGGGATTCGCATCTGCAACAGGTGATGCCGCGTTCTGCTCAAAAACCCACTCATTGTACGGTCTACGCGATGCCGAATGACAGGAGAAGAGCATAGAGGGCCCGAGTCTATCCTACGCCAAAGACGTACCTATAGACTAGCAATACACCAAGGCTCCAAAGCATGGGATCCCTTCGATGCATGAGGTACATTCCTCGCCGTGAGAGCACATACTCCTTTTTCCCACGGCAAATACTAATGATAGCCGGCAACAAAACAACTTTGCCGGTATAACCGAATCTGTTTTGGGGAGTGTAGCCATATGCGGGGAACCAAACACGAATATCAGTGCTACGAGACCGAGGACATTCTATGGCGATGTACGGAGTACGAATCTGACATATATCTAGACGAGAGAATCTTTCAATTCTGTGTAATCGTAGACTCTGACTCGCGAGACCTTCAGTCAAGATGTCCGCGTCTACATTAGCCACCATGGCTGATGCCCTGGACAGTACCCCAGCCAAACCAGCACTCAATGGGGATTCCGTCTACCATAATGGTGTCAACGGACATCAAAACGGGAATTTGAACTCAGAGTCTATTGACATACCATTACGACAAGCCAATGCTTGGACTCCGAGAAAGAAGCTTCGAATTCTCAGCGTCGGGGCCGGATTTTCCGGGCTACTTTTTGCCCATAAATTGCAGCACCAATATCCCGAGATGCAAGACCTAGTATCTCACACGATATACGAGGCGAGAGACAAGATAGGAGGAACTTGGTATGTAAACACCTATCCTGGTGTTCAATGCGATGTACCATCTCATATCTATGTATGTTCCACGCCCAATATGAGCTCAAATTTATTGACTCCAGTCAGGCATTCCCCTTTGATCCCAACCCTAACTGGAGCCATTTCTATTCAACGGGCAAGGAGATCCACGAATATATCCTCAGTACTACCAAGAAATGGAATCTAGATCGAGATGTCAAGCTCAACCATAGAGTCCTCGAAGCACTATGGCAGGAGGACATTGGACAGTGGAAATGCACCATACAGCATGGCGACCGTCAATGGGTGGAACACACCGATGTATTGATATCGGGACAGGGTATTCTAAAGTGAGTTGTCATCGAGAATCCCTCCTTGAGGTGTACTGATACGTTCTTCCTTAGCAAATGGCAGTGGCCTAATATTGAAGGCCTGCACGATTTCAAAGGCCACAAATGCCATTCTGCGAAATGGGACAACAACTATGACTACTCGAACAAAACGATTGGCGTCATTGGAAACGGCTCGAGCGGCATTCAAATAGTTCCTTCGCTTGCAAAGCTACCAGGAACGAATGTTGTCAGCTTTCAACGAAGTCCTACCTATATCTACTATCGCATGGCTCCCAGCAAGTTACTCAACCGTGACGATATCACCGGAAACCCTAAATATACTGAGGAAGATAAGCGAAGGTTCCGCGAGGATCCCGCGCACCTTCGTCAATACCGGAAGACACTAGTTCATAAAATCAACAATGCATTCAAGATGGTAAGATCAACTTTACTATTTTCTATCTCATATTGCTACTCGATAGCTGGACTGACGATGTAAAAGTTTATCAAAGACACCCCCGCCAACAAGGAAGTGAGCGACGATGCTCGCAAGCAGATGGCCGAAAAACTCAATCACGATCCGGAACTTTGCGCGAAGCTGATTCCATCCTGGGAATTAGGCTGTCGCCGCATCACTCCTGGTGAAGGCTACCTCGAGGCTTTTCTGAAACCAAATGTTCAGCTTGTTCAGCAGGGTGTCGTTCGTGTCACCGAGGATAGTATCATTGCTGCCGACGGCTCTAGCCACAAAGTGGATGTGATTGCATGTGCTACTGGTTTCGACGTCTCCTTCACTCCACAGTGGCGGATGATAGGACGAAACGGTGTGGATCTCGCCAAAGAATGGTCTGTCGATCCTGAATCGTACCTGTCTATCTGTGCAAGGGACATGCCGAATTATTTCATGTTCATGGGTCCAAACTCTGTCATCGCCCACGGCTCGCTAATGGAAAGCCTGAACTGGACGGGCGACTACCTGATCAAATGGCTAAAGAAGATGTGCACCGAGGACATCAAATCCATCGTACCCAAGTCGAAGGTTGTGGACGAGCTGATCACGTATGGCGACAAGATCCATAAGACACTTGTGTGGTCAGGCGGGTGTAAAAGTTGGTACAAGAGGAATACCGTGGACGGTCGAATCACAGCAGCATTTGCCGGAAGCGCACTCTTGTACAAGAATCTGATTAGTGAACTGCGCCCAGAAGATTTCGAAGTCGAGTACAGCAGTCCGAACCGGTGGTATTTCCTCGGCAATGGGTTCACGGAATATGAAATGGATCCAGAGAGCGATTTGTCGTGGTATATCGAACGCTGATGGAAGTCCCCGAGGGCCGAGGCCCCACGGTGTCAGCAATCGTGGTGATTATTTTGTCGTTTTCCCTAGATCGGTTTCTATGCAAGATTTACCTAGATCGTGGAATACATCCACCTTTGAAGACCTCTAGAAGAGTCATGGTGTTGCACTTTTTGGATTGAGGCATCAGAAAACAAGCACTACAGGCTCCAGAGATATCCATCGAGCATGATCATCATGGGACAGACCACAGGCGATGACCAAATGGAGTGTGATTATCGATGATAGACCTATTCATGCATGTACGGTTCCGGGTTTAGTGCATTCTGATTCTTTGCAAATCGAGCCCAGCGCACTAAGGCTTCGAAGTTGTCCATTGGAGATTCTGGAACCACCAGTACCTGTAGATATCGCTGCGACCACCGCTCCTGCACCAGTCTCGAGATCCACGACGGAGAGATACCTCGACCTGGAGACCCGAGCGTTCTGGGCAGCTGTCACATGGGATACGTCAAGCTCGATGATGTTGAACATCCGCTCTACCATCTCTTCTGGACTAAAAGGGGCTTGTCTTGAACCTGTTTGGCGTTTGACAAGAGGATTCCTCGTTGGTTCTTTTCACAGCAGGACAGCAGAGTGGCGTGGAAAAACAAGCTTCGAGGTGACTAAACAGGCCGCGGGTCAGATCATCTCGGCCGCATCTATATGTCGGATCTACACGTGGAGGACAATTGCAAGTGGGAAGGAAGCAATTAGGGAGGGGGTCGATGAGGATGACTTACCTCTTTCTTGGAAGGCTCTCCTCGATGCTGTTGATATCTTCAACTCTACCATAAGACCTCTGTTGAACAATTGTCAACGACAGCTCCACTTTCTCAACCAAGTCAACAGGTTGACTTGGTATGAGACAATGCTGCACTACTATCTGGGTATTCTGGTCCTGACTGATGCCTTGAAATCCGCCAAGCGTTCAGACTTGCTGTCGCAAGTGACAGAATCAAGCATGGAAGCCGAGTACGAAATTGTTAACGTTTTGAAAGTCGGTCTAGAGGCTGAATATAGCATCCAGAGACCACACATTCAAAACTCCAGCACTGACTCATCACTACCACCAGCAACGGTGTCGTTTCTCGCGATTGATCCATACCCACATCATGCATTCAGCACTACCCAGAAAACTGCTATAGAAACACTTCAAGGCAGATCCCGCCCAGTCGTTGGATTACATGGTGTATCTAAAGTCTGGGTGCTTCTCGCCGAGCTTATACTGCTCTTCCTGTGGTAGTGAGCGGAGATGATCCCGTTTCCCTGCCTTGCGCATCTTGTTCTCCATGCTCAAGAAGAACCACATAGTCAAGCAAACGACGCAACCGGCGGCTGCGAAACCGACGCACACAGACCCACCAGGCACATAGTATGGTTTGTCACTGTTGGGGAAGATCAAGGCCGAAATGATACCACCGACTTGACCCAGGGAAGATGCTGCAGCAGTGAGTGTACCTCGTTTCGTTCTACCAGCAACTTGGGCGACACTGTGAGGCAAAGAATTGAAACGTTAGCAAGACGAAAAAATCGAGACTTAGAAGGGGGAGAGAGAGGGAGAACTCACCCCCATGCAATGACCAGAGGTTGTGCAATGTATATTCCAATCGCACCGAAGTACAGACCCATGTACCTCACACGGTAGTCGTGGTGCAACATTGTGAACAATAAGCCGAGAATGGCAACGCAAAACCCAATCGCCACGAAGATGCCACGCCTGTTTAGGCGATTGGAGAGAGTCGCCACGGAGACCGACACAATGCCAGAAGCGATGCGGACTGGTGAAGTGAGGAGATTGGCCTTCATGCTACTCCATCCAAAGGTGGAAAGGATCGAAGGTTGGAACACAGTAATGGAGTATGCCGAAGTGCAGACTGCCAAGTACATCTGGAAGGCGCAGTCAGAAAAGTTCGTCACCTCATACGTACACACACACACAAGAAGAGTGTGGTACATCTGGAATGTGTAACTTACAAAAGCCGTAGCGATGAGTTTCCAGTCAAGAAGAGCCTTCCAAACACCATTGAGCTTCATCTTGTCCTCTTCATAATGAGCGTTTTCGATGGCAAGTTTACGAAGCCAGAATTCCTTCTCCTCGGGAGTCAGGAATGTCGACTCCTTGGGGAACGGCAGCAAGAAGAAGAATGCAATGATGGCGGCGAAGCAGGTCATTGCGCCTTCGATGAAGAAAATCCAGGACCAGCCAGAATAGCCGTTGGTGCCGTCCAGGGAACCGAGACCAGCTCCTAGGAGACCTGAGACGGATCCGGCGATATCGTTGGCCACCAGAAACCAGGCCAGTCGTGCACCGACCTGACGGCGAGTGTACCACGACCCGATGAGGAGCAAGAAGCCCGGAAACATGCCAGACTCGAAGACACCGATAAAGAGTCTGGCGGTGAGGAAGCCGCCAAAATTGGTGCAGAGGCCACAGAGTGTAACGGTCACTGCGTTTATGTGTGTTAGGTTTTGCTTTCCTTTTTTTTCCTTCCTTTTTGGTCCTGAGGAGATTCATATCGGACTTACAGCCAAAACCGAATGTCAATCCGGAAATCCAATACCTGGGCTTGATTCTGGAGATGATCATGTTGGCGGGAATCTTGAATATTCATGTTAGCTTGATGCAAGGTCAAGCAACGCCATCGACCTAGAACGGCTAGGGGACCAACAGCGACAATCCAAAAAAAAACTCACCTCGAATAGGATGTATGGAATGTAAAAGACCAGTGTGACAATGTTGAACTGTAAGCCGTGCATGTTCAAATCCCTTTCGAGATGCCACAGTTTGGCATTGCCAATGTTCACCCGGTCCAAGAAGCACAGACAGTAGATGAAGACGCAGAGTGGCAACAGGCGCAGGTCAATTTTCCAGGTGATCCTCCTCATCATGGCAGCATCGGCTTCGTCCTCTTCGACGTTGGACTCATGGTGCTCGAAGCTGGACTTGGCCAGTTCAGCCTCGGCCAGCTCAATCGGTGGAGCAGGAGTCTTTGGTTCTGACGCCATAACAATTTTTAACGGTGTTGCTATGGTGCCCGCGGCTCTTTTTCTTTTCCTCAGCAGAGTCGAGCAGAGCAGAATTTCAGGCGAGGTGTGGCATGATATAGCCCCGATTTATATACACATGACGAAAGAAGACGCCTCAAACCCCTAGAAGAGAATAGAGAATGGAGTCGAGCTGGTAGTAGCTGAACCTTTCACTGATACAGGTATGAATAATCGGCGCGGTCCCAGATTCGTCTGGTTTCGAGTGAGACGGTCTAGTTCGAGCCAACGTTCGCCCGCAATTTTCTTCTCACACCCCATGGGTCAAAGGAAAAAAGTCACCAAAAAGGTGTCTGAAATCTGTGGGGAATTGTCAGACCCGGAAACAACGGGGCGGAGGCGGGAGTCGGAGTCTTACTTCCTTGCCCGGCTAGTCGTCAGTGGAGTCAATCTCGAGTAGTTGGACGAGCTCAACACCCAATCTTCTTCACAAGCTTCATCGCCACAGCGGCTCGTGGTACAATTTACACTTTTGTCTGTCAAGGCTCCGACAGGATGGCTTTACAGGCCGGCATTGTGTTACTGGGATTAATGGAAAGCTACGTCCCGAGGTTTCTTCACCTTTTTGTCATTCCAGGGTAGCCCAGCCCCGAGAGCAGAACTACCTCATCCTCGGAAGCATGCAAGCGACCTTGAATTCAGCAAACCTAGCTATTCTGGATCAGATCATATTGTACCCCGAACGATGAATATAGCAATTGACCCTTGGTACTAGGGGGATACTTTATGGCCCCGGGTAGAATAGAGATTTTGTGCTCGACTCACGGGCACCATTACAGTATTTACATACTGCCATTCATTTGCATCGATACCTTTACAAACAGACCGGCAAACACTTCAACCTCTGGCAAGCCCAAATCAATCAAACCTTTTCATATCAACACCGGATTCTTGAAGACACTGTACGTTCTGAGATTTTGTTTCATCATGGCTCCAGCATTGGACGTCTACGACGACACATGTGCAGACAACTATCACAACCAGGCACTCGGCAAGACCAAGAGTGGGAAAACCCTAAAGATTCGAACATATCCCAAATTCGACACTTTAGAAGAAGAACGTCTTTATCGCAAGCAACATCTCGCGGCCGCTTTCCGTATCTTCGCCGACCGCGGTTTCGATGAAGGTGTTGCAGGACATATCAGTCTCAGGGATCCAATCCTGACGGACCACTTCTGTAGGTACCCAATTATATCACAGATGTGAGCCCAGTTCTATGCTAACTTTTGCTCCGTCAGGGCTCAACCCTCTGTCGATGCACTTTTCTCAAATCTGTGTCTCGGACCTGATACTGGTCAACGAAGATGGCGAGGTCGTGGTGGGCGATGAACCCATCAACGCCGCTGCGTTTGCCATCCATTCAGAAATCCACAAGGCTCGCCCAGACGTGCACGCGGCCTGCCACGCTCATAGCGTGTACGGCAAGGCTTTCGCCGCCTTCGGACGTGAGCTCGACATGATCACGCAGGACTCGCTCAGGTTCTACAAGAGCCACTCCGTTTATGACAACTTTGGTGGTGTCGTCCTCGACCGAGAAGAGGGCAAGAAGATTGCAAAGGCGCTCGGAAACGGCAAAGCGGTCATCTTACAAAACCATGGCCTGCTCACCGTGGCTGATTCGGTCGACGCCGCCGCCTTTTGGTTCATCAGCCTCGACAAGACCTGCCATGCCCAACTTCTCGTTGACGCTGCCGAGAACGGGTCTGGGCACAGGAAGAAGATCATCAGCGACGAGGAGGCCGAGTTCACGTACAAATCCATCGCGACAGACGAGAAAGGTTGGCTCTCGTTTCAAGGGTACTACGATGAACAGTTGGCAAAGACTGGTGGCTCATTTTTGAGATAAACTACGAGCGGGAAAGGTGACAGTAGTCGTGATGTATACAAGTAGGCAGTCAAGTATGATCACTATTTTGAGATGTCAACATTTCTTCAAGGCGATGAGATGCGTCTTCAAACAATATCGGAATGATACCTAATCTGGTATTCCTTATATAGGTAGCTATTTGGAACGGGAGAAGATGATATCCTCTCATAGAAATATTGTTTCATTTCATAATCTATCTAAAAAGCATACTTCATTCCTGGCTTTACAAGACTGATGATTTTCCTCTCGGTGAACTCTTCCACTCCTGCGATTCCTCCGAATCGACCGTACCCACTCGCACCTCCTGTCCCACCATTTGGCAATGTTGCTTCAATATAGACAGTCGGACCATTTACATGACAACTTCCAGCTCTCACTCTCTTTGCCACTTCCATTGCCCTTAACACATCCCTTGAGAAGACACTCGCGCAGAGTGAAAACTCGCTGTTGTTGGCTAACTCTACAGCTTCTTCGTCTGAGGATGCCGTTGATAGACAAATAAGTGGACCAAAACTCTCTTGCTGAAAGATGCTCATGTTAGGTGTGACGTTTGTAAAGACATGAGGAGCGACAATGGTTTTGTTAGGTCCTGTGGCCTTCGAATCTCCTAGAATCAATTTGGCACCCTCTTCGACTGCACGATTGATCATTCCCAATACCCTCTCGGCAGATTGGCACGTATACAGTCCCGACATTGACACGTCGGATTGTTCCAGGTGATTTCCATACTTGACTTTCTTGACGCGCTCGAGAAGTTTTGCTTGGAAGGTTTCGGCGATCGAGTCGTGGACGATGACACGCTCGGTCGACATGCAGATTTGTCCGCTGTTGGATAGAGCCCCGAACACGACCGACTCCACGGCATCATCGACATCGGCGTCGTCAAGGACCAGAACGGGAGCTTTGCCGCCACATTCCAAAACGCACTGCTTCATGCACGTCGCCGCCCAACCAGCGATGACTTTGCCGACCCTGTCACTGCCTGTGAAGTTCACCCGGAGGACCTTCTGGTGTTTGACTGCGTACTCTGTCACTGCTGCCGCGTCTTGAGGAGCCGTCGGGAGAAAATTGAGGCACCCAGCTGGAATACCTGCTTCCGTAAACGCCCGGACGACCAGATACTGTGACTTGGGACTGAACTCTGATGGCTTGAGGACCACCGTGTTTCCACATATCAAGGGACATGCAATCGCCCTTGCTGTGAGGTTCACCTATATTGACATGTATGAGTCAGTTCGCCGTGATGCCACATAAGAGGTCATCTAGTGAGGTAGTAAGAGAGAACTTACAGGAGCGTTCCAGGGGCTAATGGCAAATACAACACCGACTGGCTCTCGTGCCACTAGGATCGTGGTCCCGGGTCTGTCGGCAGGTACAATTTCTCCTTTAATATGCGTAACTAAACCTGCCGTTTCTCTCAGAATACCTGCTGTGGCGATGAGGTTGACCCTGATCCAGCTCTTCGTCGCAGAAACTTCCGAAGATAGTGTTTCCGGTCCATCTTTGTCCATGTAACTTTCGATGATGTCGGCGGCTTTTAACATGGTCAACCGTCGTGAACTCGGGGATGTTTGTGACCATTTCTTAAAGGCACCGTGAGCACTTGCAATGGCACTTTCATAGTCCTCGACTTGAGCTGCTGAACAATCGTACAATTTTTCTCCTAGCATGGGATTGTTCACAGAGAATTTGTGTCCTCCAGATGCAGCTCTGTGTTTGCCGTCAATGTATAATTGCATCTCCTCTTGAATGCAAAGCTCTGTATGACCGTTGACACCGTTCGTTGCTGAAGGCATTGTTGACGACTGGGATTATGGTATAGCTTTTCGACACTGACTGCAATCCTCCTTTCAGGAATATCTTCCAATGTAGACGATTTCCTGACACTTAGGGTTAGGTCCATGAGCCAGTGATCTCAACCACTTCACTGTCCGGAGGCATGTTCACTCTTGCTCCGCCTGAACGACATGACAAATTACCAAGATAATGGATTCTTGTGGATCAGCACCACGAAGCTGGCCTCAACGATAAACGAAGCTACAGAAACTCCAGTATTCGAAGTCATTAGTTGGTTACTCGGAAGCATGCACCCAGGGAGGATACCCGTTGTAATAATGGCAGGGACAGTACCTATGACACAAGAGGGAGAACTCAGAGGTAGTAGAAACGAGTCAGTCGGTCCCTTTTACTTTCCAAAATCCCACCGAGATACCCATTGACCACGACCTTCCAGATATATCCATTGGATTCAAGACGTCCCTGACCAAAGAGCAATTGTGCGACAGTACATGCGATATGAACACGAGATTCGAACGCCCCATAATGCCAAACAAATCGTCCTCCGGAGCTTACAATTTGCAACTTCGTCGCCTCAAGGACCGGTATATCTAATCGCAGCACGTGAGACGTTGGAAGCTGAAGCGGCTCAAGAGGCAAAACTCAAACCTTCACAGAATCCTTCGATGAACACCGCTCTAGAGCCGACGGGATTGTCTCCAAACGCGCTCAACGAGCTATCAGAGGTTTTGCTGGGCGCTTCGCGTCCTCTCATCGTCACAAGTTACTGTGGTAGATCAGGGGAAGGCTTCCGGGCACTGAAAGACCTGGCAGAGCTGCTTACAATCCCCGTGCACGAGAACGCACCGATATACAACAATTTCTCCACAACCTCATTCTTACATCAAGGCCATCAGTGGAACGGCGGTGGGCAATTACCAGCACTGGCCGAAGCGGATGTCGTAGTCGTGATCGACTCTGACGTGCCCTGGATCACGGCTCAATCCAAACCGAATGAAAGTGCAAAGATATACCATCTCGATTGTGATCCTCTCAAAGAGGGTACGACATTGTGGACACTGCCATGCGAGAAAAGATGGAAGTGTGACTCGGGCTTCGCATTGAGGCAACTCGTCGACACCATCGTCTCAAAGAACCAAATACGGACACAAGAATTGCAGCAGCGGATCGAGGCGAGAATAGCCAGTCTGAAAGAACGATTCGAAGCTAGACGAGCAAGACTGAACAAAGCCGAATCGTCTCTCGGGCCATCTGGAAGACTCACCGTTCCTTACTTCATGGCCCACCTGCGCAGCGCATGTTCAGGCCTCCACGTGGTCGGGTTGAACGAATCCACCACCAACCTAGGCAACGTGGCAGATCATCTACGCCATTCCGAATCTCATACTCTGATAGGCAGCGGCGGCGGCGCGTTGGGTTGGTACTCTGGTGCGGCCGTCGGTGCGACCCTGGCTCTCCGTTCCGCAGGTCGCGAAGATGACTTGGTCGTCGCTTTCACGGGAGACGGGACGTGGCTGTTTGGCGTCCCGAGCTGTGCGTACTGGATGGCCAAAAAGTACGAGACACCCTACCTCACCATCATCTGGAACAATGGTGGGTGGTCGAGCCCCAAGAACGCATGTCTACGTATCCATCCTGAATTGGGACAGACGGCATCTAATGCTCGTGGCAAATCGTCGTCGACGGACGGGGTGAGTTCTCTGGCGGAACGACTCATGGTTGGAATCGATCCTTCACCTGCATTTGGTAAAATTGCAGAAGGCGCGGGAGGTGCTTGGTGGAGAATCGCCACGAGACCGGAAGAGGTGGATGAGATTTGTCGCGAGGCTATAAATGTCGTGCGCAAGGAGAAGAGGTGTGCGGTCATAGAAGTTGTCATTGATAAGATTTAAGTCGTGTTGTATAGAGACTGTGCATGAGGGAGATTTCATGATTCACGTACTGGAAAGTCAACCATCAATATTCAAAGACCCACGAATTAAGGCAATGCTTCATTGACTGTGAAAAAATTGTCCGCGATCCTCCATGGGCGTGGAGTTATTCCATCCGTGGCATTAACGTGGTGACAAGGATATTCAGAATCTAAAATCGCCTGAGTGGACGGAGGAAGTCTGGGTTGGAAAAAGGGGTCTAGATCCAACTGACAACTAGTTGCTAGTCTAGCATGTGGCATACGATCTGGAAGCTGCATAAAAGGTCCCAGATGTTTAGATTAGTATCTTGGTCGGGGTTCTGTCAGATTAGTTGTACTAAATTCCAGACGGCGTACTGTATAGGTCATAGGAAGCAAGATTCCGGGGGTGCAGTGGTACAGTAGTCCGCAGTAGGGAGGGTCCACATTGATTTATCTCCATGGCACGAATTCCGCCTCGTCTCATTCTTTGAACAGCCGACTTCACCGACGAAGCACTGTACCCACTCATTGCGAGTACTCGTATGTCGGACGGGTAGCGTATACGGAGGGGACCTTGATCTTGAATCTGAACTATCCAAATCTTGAACAACCAAGTACTGTACTGTACAAGGTGGATCAGGTGACACTGTATTCAGTTCGCTTTCACGCTCACAGAGCGCCCCCGAAGACCATCAAACCTGAAAGATAGCTTCAAAGGGTCAAAAAAAGGTAAAGCGCGCCATTATCTCGCCGCCAACCTCCATCTTCAGGAGTACACGTATGGTCCCTAGCTTGACTCAATTCAACCTCATCATTCACCACTGGCTACGTCTGTTCTCACCCCAGCCACCTCCGCCAACAAGCCCGACCAAAGTTACAGGGGACATTTCGAGACAACCATGTCGACAGCGCAGTCAAAGCCACAGATTTTGACAATCGACGACCTGGAACATCATGCCACTCTCCACCTCCCCAAGATGGTGCGAGAGTACTACAACGGAGGTAGCATGGACTCGTACACCCTACAAAGTAACGTCCATGCGTATCGACAATGGTACATCATGCCCAGGATGCTACGTGACGTTTCGAGGATAGACACTTCGGCTCAAGTTTTTGACCGCAAGGTCACTTTCCCGTGTTGTGTCGCCCCCGCGGCGATGCAAAAAATGGCCCATCCGGACGGTGAAGAAGCGACTGCTCGTGCGGCTGGAGACAAAGGTGTGGTTATGGGGCTGAGTAGTTTTTCAACCACGAGCTTAGAAGTCGTCAAGAAGGAATGTGATGAAGCTACGGCAACAGTAGAAGGAGCATGTGTGTTGCAAATGTATTTGTTTGAGAATAGAAAAGTCGGTGAAGATTTGATATCAAGAGCAGAGAGTATGTTTCATGCCCAAAAGACCCTACCCCGTCCTTTTTTCAGACTCAACCCCAAACTAAAACATTCTCAACAACAGAATCAGGATACAAAGCTATAGTCTTGACGATAGATACACCATACTTTGGTCGTCGTCTGACCGAGTTACGAAACAATTTCAAAGTTCCATCACATTTGACCATGGCCAATTTCGACGCCTCATTAGGTGTCAAGACCGGTTCTCACTTGAGGACCGAAGAGAGACAAAACAGCAGCAGCGACAACAACACAAATAGTCTACCACCACCATCCAGCAAAGAGTCCTCTCGGAAAACGACTACCAACCCACCACCGAACAAAAATGATCCTTCCTTGACGTGGGATGTGATACAGTACCTGAAATCAATCACCTCTCTCAAAATCTTCGTCAAGGGTGTCTTAGCCGCCTCGGATGCACAGCTTGCGGTCCGTCACGGGGCGGATGGGATCATAGTCTCCAATCACGGCGGAAGACAACTAGACTGTGCACCACCGACGTTGGAAGTATTGCCAGAAATTGTTGACGTTGTGGGTGGAAGGATTCCTGTTGTAAGTTTTGATCATGCCCTCCTACACTCTTTTTTTTTAAGCCGCGTACATGATTATATACTAAATGTTCTTTCCTCGTTTAGCACTTTGACGGTGGCATCCGTAGAGGATCCGACATATTCAAAGCTTTGTGTTTGGGTGCGGACATGTGCTGGGTAGGGCGACCTGTCTTGTGGGGTCTGGCGTACGACGGCGAACGAGGTGTCAAGATGGCTCTGGATATACTCGAAGAAGAGTTTCGTGCTTGCATGGCCTTGACGGGAATGAGGAGTGTCGAGGAGATTAGGCAGTATGGAAGGTCTTTGTTGAGGAGGGTATCGACGACTCCATGGGACATTCAGCTGTCGAGACAAGCCAAGGTCAAGAGTTCGTTATAGACTTGTAGTAATACTATTAATAGTAGACCTCTTCCACCTTATCCTGCTATTCTTGTCCTTCATGTCACAAAATCGAAAGTACTAGCCAACCCCTAAAAAGCCACCTCAGCGGAAGATGACATTCATGTTACTTGCCTTCTTCAGGTCAATAGGAGGCAAAAGGCGAAAATGAGAAACGGATAGAATTCATCCTTCTTTCCTAGGTATGTATATTCTCAAATTTAACAATCATACATTTATAAACTCCTAGTAGACAGTCTCTTGAGACAAGATTGACATGATCCAAAACTCTCAAAAAGAATCTCAAACTCCACGACAACCACCAAACACACAACTGCCCACTATCACGGTCTATTGTGTCACTGTTCTCTAATGAGCAGCAACGGCAGCAACCGAAACATTCACATCACTCAATTTTCCCACGTTGATCGTACCGCTTTGTTGCTGTTGCTGTTGAGCATTGGCATTCCAATTAGCCCCTTCGACGCCCACAATCTCGGCGTCATGACTGAACAACCATTTCCTTCTGTGTTCGTAGCCCCAAAACACCGGGTTCTCATCACCGTTGACGACCATCTTACCGTCACGAACCTTTTGTTCCTCCCCGTCGTCGATGTGGAGGATGTACTGATGTTCTCTCGTCTTTTCCTGTACCAACGAAGCTCGGGGCAATCTGACGCTCTCATACTTGTGGAGGGCGTCACCGAGGGTCTCGAACTCGGATGAAGCCAGACACTGTCTCAAGACGGCGGCGTCCTCGACCGCCTGGGCGGCTCCCTGTGCCAGATAAGGCAACATGGGATGGCAGGAGTCACCCAACAGGCACACTTTCCCCGAGGGGTGGACCCACCGACTCAAGATGGGCAAGTCGCACAGCCTCCACTTCATGAATTCTCCCGTCAACTTGCACAACTTTTGGACCCTGGGTTCCCAAGTGCTGAACCGGTTGTAAAGCTCCGTGGTGTCTCCCTTCACCACCCAGACCTCGTCCGTGGTCTCGTTGTAGGACGTGGCGCACACGACGATGTTGTAGAGTTCGCCGTCCCGGATCGGGTACCCGACGAGATGGGCGTCGGGGCCACACCACGACGTCGTGCAAGGGTCGGTGATAAGGGGCGCCAGCTCGGGATCTTTCAGCAGCAGTTCTCCCGGGACGAGGATCCTGTAGGCGACGTCGCCCGTGTCTCGCGGGACGTCGGGCTGACCGGTCAACAAAGGTCGGGCGAGGGACTTGATGCCGTCGGCCGCCACGATGAGGTCCGCCTTCCAAACCGTCCCGTCCGAGGTGGTGGCGCTGGGAGCGTCAAAGTCGTAACTCTCGACCCTCTGCTTGGGGTGGATGGCGACACCGGCTCTCTGGGCCGCCTCCATCAGACCGGCGTGAAGGTCGGCTCGATGGACGAGATAGTATGGTGCCCCGTGAGTTTCGACGATGTTGTCGAATGGTAACTTGACGATGGTGGATCCATCTTGCCATCTGAGGAAATGGTATCTTTTCGACACGGATTTCTTCATCTTGTTGACATCGACCCCCCATCTCAGCAACAAACGAGAACTGTTTGGTGGTAGACGAATACCAGCGCCGGCCTATCAACCAAAAAGGAAATCAGCACGGTTTTTCCCTGGAATGCCGTGGAGAGTGTATAGTGCGGTACTGTACGCCCGGAAAGGGGGTTCTTGTGTTGGTTGTTTGGTGGTTAAGAGACTCACCTCTGCAAATTCTGGAGCAGAATCGATGATGGTAACTTTATGTCCATCGGTCTGCAAGGCCAGAGCGGCGGCCAAACCACCTAAACCTGCTCCCACGATGAGGATGTTTCTTTTGATTGTCGCTTCAGGCATGTTTGTGTTTCCAAGTCCCTATCAGTGCATGCAAAGATGGGTATATATATCGACGACCAAGCCAACAAGAGAGATCTCTTTCAAGTTTGTTCAATCCAGGTATTGTTGATTTTGGAGAGGATAAACAGTAAACGAAAGATCTTTGGGGGCTTGTTGATGAGAATCGTCGTAAGGCTGGAACGGGGACTTGCTGAATATATAGGTAAGTCAACTTCAACTCAGATCTCAATACTCAACCTCTTGTCGGAGGAGGCAAAAACAATAAAACAAGAGAAAAGAGGATACACACGAAATTGACAAGAAACCACAAGATCTGTACCTTGGTAGAGTGAAAAGTAAGCGGGGCCCGAGAGGACAAACAGCAATGGGAAACATGTTACCACTTACCACTTAATACCTACCCTCCACCTTGGAGGATCGGCAAAACGGCTGGTTTTTACGGTGCAGGTCGCGAAACAGTACCGATTACTCCGTACAGCGATGCATACGGATCGTGCACTTTCATTAGCCGAATCGCAACAAACAACGTACTACGAATACTGTCATGGGCACGAGGGAAAGGTCAGGTTAGGAACCATGGATCCGGAGGTGGGTACTTGGTGTTCATGGTACATACCAAGGTCTCGACTTGTGTATAGTGAGGGTTCGCCGGATGCATACTTCCGTTGCTTACGAGTATCCGCTACTCGCGCGAATCTTTGGTAGTAGGTACCATGATTCCCCCAGATCTTCACAAGTAACTCCGTACTTCTGTGTTCAGGCTACACAGGCCCTGTCAGTATCGCCACTACAGTAGTATCGATACGGTATACTGTCCGTCAAAACCTAATGTCTAGGTACAGTACTCCATGGATGGGTACGGAGGAATTACAACAGGAGGCCAGCTGTCACATACGGAGTACTCGTAACAAGAGTACCAGTCAATGGCAAGTTGGAACTCCGGATCCAGACAAATATACCGTACAACCATCAATTAATACTAATTCACATCAACGCTATCATACCCAGTCGTCAATCTCATGTAGCCAGGAACGTCTCCAGATCAGCCCAATCTAGAATCTGTCCATCTACCAATCTTCCAAATGGATCATGCCAGAACGAATTTTGTTGCATTTGCTGTCCTTGTACTCCTGAGAAGAATGTACCATCTGGTTGCATTCCCGGTGCATTGTTGCTGAACGGTTCCAAAGATAGTGATGCTCCAGAGGAATTATGAGGATGATCAAAGCTCGACTGCATGTGATGATGAAAAGAAGAACCACCACCAACCGCTGAATGACCTTGATGACCTGCATAATGCATATGCGGCATCTGATGTTGTTGTCCAAAGTCAAAGAATTGACCATTTCCAGACGTGCTCATCTGTGAAGGGTGCTGCGGATACTCTAATTGTTGATGGCTGGCATGCAATCCACCTGGACCAGAAGATATAAAATTGTCGTGGTTGTGACTGCCTCTAGTATGTGTTGATTCGCCTGGTGAAGGCCAGAATGATCCCAAGTCTGTACTTCTCTGTTGATGTCTCCGGGTAATTTGAGGACTTGAGTCAACCCCTTCAGATGGCTGATCGAGAGCAGACACTTGGTACCTAGTTTCCGTACCATGCTGCTGACCTCGCAAACCTTCTGCCGCTGTTGTATTCCCGGTAGTGTCGTCAAGATTCAGCTCCCCTTCTCTAGGCTGATCTTCCTTGATTACCGAACTAGCGAATTTGTCCATGACGCCAGCCATCCGTTTCATCGTTGCACTCTTTTGCACCGTACTGATAGTTGACCTTAGAATGCTTATCAAGGCCTTGCTTTCATGGCTGGGTGAGTTTCGCTCTTGGACTGGAACGTCTGAAGACGGATCTTGCTTTTGTGGTCTCAATAGGCCAAGAATAAGAACAAGACCAGCCGAGTACGCGTAGAACACATCAAGAGCAGAAACACCGTTGAGGAGCTGACACCTGTCCAAAAGCACAATCAATGCGGCCAGTTGAGCAGCATGGTATTGACATGTATTGCTGATAGGTGAGGGACGATCTGAAGTCCTGATGCTTCCACTTTGAGTTGCCTCATGAACAGCGTGATAGCTCGCCGCACGGCTCGTACCACGAGAATTCATTGAAGAGATTTCCCACAGAAGCGTGGGCCGAGTGACCAAAAGTGCGATGTAATGGTACTGAATATGAAGCAACACCAAAGCCCGTAGTTGTCTTGGTGTTTGGCGAGACAAGGACGCATGAAGGTTGTGTAAAGACATGTCATCTGTGGTGTCGTGAAGAGAGCCTTTTGGCAAGAGGATTTCATCAACGCTTCCAATACTAGGAACACGCAGATGGAATGGCAGCTCCTTTTGCCAGGCTGCTAGCATGTCCAATACCTCCTTGTCTGGCGTATGAGTTGAGGCCCATGATATACCAACTTCGTCATCTCCACTCAGTTTCTCTTTGAGTTTTGCAATGGCAGCCCTTGTCTGACCTAGAACCTTTTGTAGCTTCAGCCCAGCGGTCGTGAAATCAGAACTAGTACCTGCACCGTCATCTAGGAAGCCATCACGTGGTGCTTTGACCTCGACGTCGTATTCGTTCAGACCACTCGGCCTTCCTAGACTCGATGACAAGAACTGTTCAAAGCCATATAGCGTACAGAAGACACGCTTACGCAGTTCTCTCTCAACCGGTCTGAAGGAGGTATCCAGATCTTGTCGGTGTAGGCCCAACGCGAACGAAATCCGAGCAGCAGTTCCCAATAGATTCCACGCACCGTTGCGGTGATTGTTGTTGTGCAGAAATAAAGACTGCAAAAGCAGAGCCTGCACGCTTGTCATGGTGCATCGGGTGACGAGCTGTGGCAGCAGCGATCGAGCTTCAGATAAGCACGTACGACGCATACCAAGTACATCGTAGCCAACTTTACTGGTAGATTGACCGACGGAACCGAGGAGTAGTATCATATAGAGGCTTGCAAGCCAGCCAAAGTCGGGTCCATATGTACTCAGTGGTGTCTCTTGTGCTTTCCGTGCATGCGGCATCACTTTTGACCTCCACTGGACCACATATGCTTCTAGTTCATCCTCGAAAGTTGCCCGATGAAAGAGTGGGAAGTCGCTGTGAATTTTGGTAAAGTAGACCTGGCACAAATCGTCGATGACCTCTTGTGGAGGAAGAATCTTTAAATAATGAGCCGGATCAGGCCGTACAGGACCGGAGAACTCTTTCGACAAGTCGGACAGGATTGATTGAGGCGATGGTCCATTGGCGACTTCAGCTTCGTCCTGCTCATTGCTTTCTTGAATGTCATCGGCTTCGAGGGCCTTTGCCGTGTCGTCGTTGGTAAAGGGAGATCTTGTGCCGAGAATGGTCTCTCCAGACTTCTTCTCACGCGACAGGACAAGTTGTCGCAGATCCGCGAAGAAAGACAAAGTCCCCGAAGGTCCTATGAAGTGAGCATGTCCAGAATCGTCTCTGATGAGACCACTCGATTGTCTACGCCGAAGTTCCAGGCGTGAAGCGGCATTCGAGCCAGAAAGCCTGGAGTCAGTGGAAGAAGGCTCAGGGTGTTGATCGAGGCCCCGAGAGGAAGGCTGCGAAGTGACAGAGTGTGCAACTTGAGCCTCGGATCGAGTAGTCTGATTGGGCACTTCCTTCAGCAATTCATCATTCGGGAAAGGCTCGGCCTCGGTCAGATCTGGCATTTCATAACCCAAGCGCTTTCCCAGCTGCATAAGACTGGCCACGCTTTCGGTGTCATCATTGGGAAAAGCGCCATTGACCAGTGCCTGAAGGCAACGGTACCTAAAGATTAGACAGTCAGCAACATCTAAATCTCGCGGCGGTTAAGATCTTCCACAAGGGCATCTTACCGATCGCTCAAATCATCCCAGCTTCCATAGAATCTTGTCTTTCTCGGCAAGTCAAATGAGCATTTCACCTTGTTCGCCAGGCACACCGTACAAGTGCCCTCTACTGCGTCTGATGGAATACATTTGCAACGACGCTAGGTTCAGCCCACGATGGAGCCCTGAATGTTAGTCAAAGCAGCACGCACACACAGACACCGAACTTTTGACCGCATAGGGCAAAGCAGTTCGACGATCAGGTCCAGAGCTCAGGTCTCCAAACCCACCCTACTACGGTAGTGGCAGAGTCAACTCACCTTTCGACAAAGATCGCAGCTTTGATTAGACCTTTTCCGTTGCTCTGCTGGCACTCGACGGCGTTTCTTGGGCCTCTCCGAATCGAACGACCCCGCTGATGCGTTTCTCATTATTTCTTTTCTGGATGGGTTTGCAGCTAACACTTGTGATCGGTCGTAGCTTGGTATGAGTAGGGACAATGGGACAGGAAGGGGAGGAAGAGGAGAAAGAGAAAAGGAAAGATGAATCCGAGGATCCGTGCAAGCGCAGGGCCGTTGGGGGGAGGGGGGGAGGATGGAGAGGGGGAAAGTGGAGCGGATACGAGCTTGAAGGGTTTCACGAGGCTGTCACTTCTGGGGTTCAACAAGGGGAATCCCAGCACACGCCGGGGTGAGGAAGCATGCATCCGGAGATGCTCATCCTCCCGCACAATGGGTGCTTGGGTACGAGTACACTGTACCGTGTTCTTTCATGTAGTCTTACTTCGTATTGGACCTCTATCATCTGATGCCTTCAACTTGAAGATCTCGTTGAGTACCTGCTTCGTAAAGCGGCGGTCCACTGTATGGATCGCATCTCCAATGCTCCAATGTTCAATGCTGCATCTCCAAGATTGTGTACTCGTATCATACCAAGATTATTCCGACCGTACTCATCATCATCATACACGGCTCGCTCTTGGTTGATTTCACACGGTGTGTTCGAACACCTACTCACAACACCCTATTCGATACCTTGGAAAAGGCCCGACACTCTCGGACCGTACAGAACCATCATCAACTGGGCATCATCAACCATGTCATCACAAAAGCATACCCTGGCAGACGGCCGGGTCGTGTCGTACCAATTTTCTCGAGTTCCATCGGGTCCCGTCGTTCTTTTGTCAAACTCTCTGGCGGCACCGTTTCGATCGTGGGACAAAGTTGCCTCGGTCCTCGAAAACAAAGGGTACAGCGTTTTACGTTACGACCAACCGGGTCACGGAGAAACTTCTGCCCCTTCCGACGTCGACACGACGACCTTTGAATCCATGGCCGACGACGTACTGGCCTTGGTCCAATCACTAAAAATCGACGAAATCCACGCTTGGATCGGAGTGTCCATGGGTGCCGCAAAGGGAGTCGTGTTCGCGGCCAAGAACCCGGGGCTCGTCGGCAAACTCGTCGTTTGTGACACGATATCTTCGTCTCCCGTGGTGGCCGGCACGACGGACGTCTTTGAGCCCAGGATCCAAAAGGCCCGGAGTGACGGAAGCATGGATGCCATGGTCGAAGCCACTTTGGCCAGATGGTTTTCGGAGGATTGGCGTAACAAGAACCCGTCCGAGGTTCGACGGATGAGGGAGATCATGATGACGACCCAGGTCGACGGGTTTGTGACCTGCTGTCGAGCCCTACAATCGGACACTTTTGACCTGAGCAAATCGGCACCCAAAGTCGGTACCTCAGTAAACAGCGCTCTGCTGGTGGTCGGCGAACTCGACGCGAATCTACCAGAGGATATGAAGACACTCCAAAAACAAACTCAAAAGGGATTTGACGACGACTCTGCTTCCTCCGGGAAGGGAAAGTCCGCTGCTGTCAATGTGGAACTGAAGGTCATCAAGGATGCGGGTCACGTCTCTTATGTCGATGGGTTCGACCAGTTCTGTGACATTGTCACGAAATATCTCGCCAGTTAAAATAATAACCCCCCCACCCTCCCCCGAGAGAAGGAGGGCAAAGCGATCGAAAATGTGGTAGAATCGCACGGCATGTAAAAAAGCAACATTGTCAACACCACACTTGAATGAAACTGCAAGGTGAATAGAACCTTTTAGACGACAGCCTATGAATCGCGTCGCGGATGGTGAAAAACTACGCTCGTTGACTCTCGGGGAGACCTTCGTACACCCCTTGCATGTCTAGATATTTTCAATACTTCTAACCCCAAAAAAACCCATCGGGTCTGCACGCTCGACTGCTCAGGCTAGAACTTGACTCATCAACACACGCTTTGGGCCACTGGGCCACAGATCAAGACATTCCCTTATCGTCCTCGGAGTAAGACTGATAACAATCATCGGAGCCCATCGCATCGGCGACCGAGAAGAACAAAAATCCGAAATCATCACGTGCTGACAAGAATCGCAGAATTGCTCCCGATGTCGGCACTTCTTTTTTTCAATTTATACTCAGTGTCCACAAAGGCCCTGTACTCGTAGTCCAACTGGTTATTACGAATACTATCTACCTATCAAAAGATGGCTACCTCATTGCTCCTCGACGCTGTTTTTGCAAGACATCATGCTTCGAAAGCAAAGGCAGAAATGTCTGCTACCGTCATGGAACTCCATAGAGGATGGCCACTAACGCCTGCATATGAATCCTCAGCGTACTGTGCAGCTTGGTATGGTCCTCGGACGTAACCGCAAATCCTGGAAGGCCGATCTAACCTGTGAACCTTTTGCCGTTGTGCTATGCGAAGCGAAGCGATGGGAATGACACTGTCCAGCTCTTTTCTGCCGCTCTATGTGCATCTATTCTCAAAAATCCTTCAAGATGACGAGTATATTCTCATGTTAGGAGGTCTTCGATCGCTCACTCAGGAAGTAATCAGCTTCAGATAATCGGCCACGATCAGCGTTATCATCCTATTAACCATCAGTGATGTCCCAACAAATTGGACAAACAAGTACTCACGCATGTGGTGCGATTCTGACATAATAGGTTGGAAATCCACGATAGAATCTCAACCAACCCTCATCACGGACAACCTTCTTTGCGCAGTCAAACAGTCCATTGTATGGCAACTTACCATCAGGACCTTTCTGCTGTTTCTGCAGCCGGGTCTTGATGAAGTCGAACGGGAGACTGAAGAACGAGGCAAAGAATCCAGCAATAGCGGATGCACTCAAGGTTCTGGTGCCTTCGGACCACGTTGGCGCATGCTGTTTCAGCTGAGCTTTAGACTCGGCAAAGAAGGTGAGTTGACCAAAGTTGAGAGCCATGGCACGGATCACGGTGGGATAAGCTCCCGCCCACCAGGCACCAATTCCCTCAGTTTTGGCAATGCGCATCAGCGCATCAAAGACGGAACGGTAGTTGGCTCGCTGTTCCTTGGGCTTCAAGCCATCGGATTGCATGCGAATGAGTGCCAGATCAGCCGGATTGCCGACCATGGCCGCCAGACCACCGGCCGTCAAACCTGCCGCACCTCGTTCGAGGAAACCAATCTTTGTACCATTCTTCTCTGCTCTTGCTTGCATCGTGGTCTGAAAGGTATCAAAGAAGCCTAGTCTGGCCGTGGTATACACCGCTTGCCTTAGGAGACCGGCTGAGAGACCCGTGTACAGGTCCAGCACTTTTCCCTGTGCAATGATGTCTTTCGCTATGCCAAAGGCCGTCGGCTTTGGTCCGGTTCTGATACCTTCTCCTGCCAGTTGCAGTCGCACCTTGACCATGTCTATGGGCTGAATGCAGCCCGTTGCGAACATGCCTGAAAGGCCGCCGTTGATGAAAGGTAGGGCCGCGCGCATTACGGGGGTGTGGAGGAAGTCATTCTTAGCTTGGACTGGGTTGTGGACGGCTTCTGAGGCTGCTTCTTCGACCTTGGAGGCCGCAGATCGAGCGCCATCCTTGACGCGGTTGGCGGTGCTGGACATGGTGAGGTCGGGATGGGGACGGTTGGTGGGATCGAAACTGCGCGTGTGCGAGTTAGTGATGGAATACATGACGCTGGGCTGTTGGGCTTTCCAAAGACAAAAATGCTTGTATGGCTTCCAGCTCACCTGAAGAGCGTGAGTTGTCACGCTACAAGGTAGTCTCAGGTACTAGACCGTTTGCCCTCGAGGATGTTCCGGGGTGAGACTTGGAGGCCTGCGTGAGGAGCGGTGACCGAGGGAAGCAGTTTCGTCTACTGCTATTCGGCTTCGAGGTCGGTGGTGAAGCTTTTTTCGGCGACTTTTGTGAAGCAACACGAGAGGCGGGGATGGTCGGTCGCCGAAGGTATAAAGATACAAATATATGGGCGGAAGGATACAACGACAGCAATCAGACAATACAAACGATCGATAGAGCTCGGTCGAAAGAGGGTTGTCCGCACAAGAAGGCTACTCCGCAATGGAGAGGAGAAGGAGGAGAGAAGGAGGAATGAGGAGGAGTTGTCAGTGTGAGAGCAGGTGCGTATGCGTGATGTGATGTATGTGCGAGTGTGACCGCGGCTTTTGCCTTGGACGGACTGGTCCTTGTTTATAGCAGAAGATGACCATTGGGCATGATGATCTCGAGCGGTTTTTGAAGGCCCGAGGATTGGACGAGACAATTATCTAGTGTCGGTGGCTTTCTGGCTAGTCATGGATTGAAGGAGGATGATTGTCGTGGCATCCATGCTTGGGTGAGATGGAAGATGCGGGGAAGAAGTGGCATTGGAATACGAGTACAACGCAGCCGGAGAGGAACAGGGGGCGACGAAGTACCTACGAGTAGCTAGTCCAGCATTTCTCAGGTCGGGACGTGTTGTACGAGTACGATAAACTCTAGGGTATGTAGATGGAAGACAATCAGGTATACAGGTTAGGTACTGAGTAGTACCTGGATATGAAAACTCACTACGGGGTACTTTGAACACCCCCTCTGTCGATACCTAAGGTAGGTACTGAATGATGAAGCGTCCCACAGTACGGAGTATGAGTTACTAGTACGAGGTACATCTGCCCGGAGCAACTGGTACATTAACGGATATCGACCTCCCCTATGATTCCCCCCGGCTCCGTCCCTCCCCCACCAACAAATCATCCTAGGGGATCCATCACCGAACCGCGGCATGGTGATTTTGCGGCCTTAGGGTACGGAATACTGCCCGCCAACAATTTCTAAGCCTTGCTGGCTTTAGTTCTAGCCTCGTCCCAGCACGCTTCATACAGTGTTGTCCCGCATTCCCGCCGCGGATATCTCGTACTCACCAGCCATAAAGTCAACGGTTCAATGCGGCCCAATTCGACGTTTGCTGAAGTCAGAACCACCATACTCGTAAAGTAAATTTTCTAAATTTTCACATGCTTTTCCACAGCAATTTCGTTCCCAACCGAATGGACCCCCTACTCCATACTGTGGTAGTCCCATTCCCGACAAGTCGCCGTTGGGATGGGATGCTTCCGGGTACAATCGGTTGAACTGCAGCTGAGAGCCCACCGGATAGGGCACCACCAGCTGCAACACTCTCTCGACAATTTATTGACAACTTGACGGAGGGGCTGAGCAAAGCATTGTCCAAGCAACCTGCGAGGAACTCCGTACATCAGTGGTCAAATTACTGCGAAATGGTGATTCCCATTTCATCCCACTGCTATCCGGACAAGGCTTGGGCTAACCCATCTCTGTTTCTGGTGCGCTTATGTACGGAGTACGAGGTTGATGTCACTACCCACTAGCTTTAACTGAACTATCACACCTGGGCCCTTTACGGAGTCCAGAGCATCTCCCCTACGAACCCCCACGCCTTCGGAATAACACCTCGAGATAGAGACTATAACCTACTGTAGGTACTTGCAACAACAGTAGACTATACTGATTCGCGATCCGATGACGACGACGACGAGCATTGTGGACTTTTATCTCTCCGATTACAATAATATGGCCACTGGGCAATAGTACAGAGTAGACATCATTATCACGGTGAGTAAAGGTGGTGATAATATTCGTCAATTCTTCCCCATCGTCTCCCGTGCCAGCTCACCTGGTTGCATCTTGTTCCTATTGTACTCCGTACAGAGTGTCTAGTCAAAAAGAAGAGCCGCCCACACGTCCCGTCAACACCACAAGGCTCCATGCAAATTAGGTCCACTACATCCATATCCACCTCAGCCTTGCAAATTTTGGTTCTTGTTCTCGCCCTTCTCTGATGCGCTAGCCAGCTGCTAGGAGAAAAGTCCGGTGTCGCGTCGGATCTCTCAGCAGATCTAGTCGCAGCGATCAAAAGCAATCTCGTTCTCAAGCAACAGTCCGCTCAGCCCACGTGCACCTGTTGCGATATTTTCCGAACCGTGACCGATATCCGACCATACGCCATGAACCGTCCGAGGTAGCTTCCGTACTGACAACCTCCGTACTCAATGCCAGGGCTCGACTCCGAGTGACATCCTGCGTCGAAACAGCTTCGGAGTCCGACCGCGGCAAACAGGTATTGCGTACGCCAACATGAGGTTTTTGCATCGGAAAATGTAGCAACACATAGCCCAAATGACACCAGTGGTATTCGTTCCGAAGCCTGATATTATGGTTTGGGGGCTTTGTCTTTGCGTCTCAGCAAAGACTTCACGTTGAAGGGCTTTTTGATTTCCTTGATTCTGCGCAATAAATCCCTCATCTTTTTCTCGCGCTGTTCCGGCGTCAAGGACGTTTCGCTTCCTGCCGTGGGCGAATCGATGTCGGAAGCGAAAGTGGAGCCCAGTGACTTGGACCCTCGTTTCCTGCTATTGTCTTTAAGCATGGCCTGAAAGACCAAAGACCAACCCGCCAGTTGCTGCGCCTTCGGTCTAGAGTCGTCAGTGTTCTCGCGAACACCAACAACGATCTCTGTATTCTGAGCCTCGGCCGAGCGCCAGGGGCAATACTCGAGATGATCTTCAACTGCATCAAGGCGGTCCATGGCCGGCGATTCACCGCGATACAACCAGAGTCCAAGCGAACGAAAACAGTGACGACACTCGATTATGTCTTCACCTTTTCGCTCCCATCCACAGAGTGCCAATTTCAAGGCATCGGAATGAGGCTTTCCGCCATCATTAAAGCGGAAATCGTCCAAAGTGTTTGTACCCTCGAAAACCTCAGCTGGCAATGACACATGCTCAGGTATTTCGTCGGCTTGAATCATGAGGCCATCATAGCGTGTCTGCAAGGCGGACAAAGCGATGCTGGTATTCAGTAACCCTTCGATACGCTGAATAGTAGAGTCACAGCCTCGTTGACGCCAGAGGCAACTCTCCGCGTGTGCAGTAACTATCATTTCTTGGTATCTCTTGATTAGGCCTTCGTGAATTTCTGTTCTGAAGGCAAAGCTGTCGTCTTCTTCTGTTCCATCTTCATCTCTTTCGTGATCATTATGTTCTTTTGAGTCGACATTGACCTCCAGGTCGACATGAACCCTCTCTTTGCAGGCTCCGCAATAGACAGTATCGGTGTCAACACAAGCCCAGCCTCTCTTTGCCCATTCTGCCGCATTGATGCGCTCCGAGGAGGGTATGTGCCACTGGGTAACATGTCGAAATGTCTCGAGTCGTTGCAGGAATGCAGTTCGGCTAGAAGGTAGGTAGTGTCCGCTGAGTGAGGTCACCGAAGAGGAGGTCACAATAATCTTCGAGGTGGGAGCAACACGGCGGCGTTTAGAAGAGTCGGAGGCAGAGTCTTGGGTAAGGGTCGTGGTTGAGGCATTGTTGCGAGTGTTGAGGGAAGATCGTGCGGGCGATGCAGCGCTATCAGAAAGTGCTTCAAGGATGCGATCGAACTTGCGCTTTTTGGTTTCAACTGCATAAGACATGCTGACGGTATATCTTGTCTGTTATAGAGATCAATCAGACACTAGACATCGGTGTGATGCATACACTTATTGAGATAAAACATGCACACCTCGTGCTCAACTGTGCAACCGCCGCAGCCAAAACATTGAATTGTCGACATCCACACGCATCGGGTTAGTGCATTCGGCTGAAGATGCATTATGTAATCAGCCTCGCAATGGTAGAAACCTCATGTCAAGCTGCCTGCTTCTCGACGTCTCCAGATCCCCAAGATACCAGGCATACTGAACCTCGCATGATCGATGAATACCTCAATACATGCCCAGTACATTGACTTTTACGCTACAGCATCAGCAAAAAGGTAGGAACAAGTATTCTCAATTGCTTGAGAACCATGCAAGACGAGTTTCCTAAGTCAATTGAACGCTTGTCTCCAGGCATCCATGTCAAAGACCACGGCGCCTTGCTTGACTACACTGGAAAGCTTGTGATGGCTCTGCGGATATATAGGACCCTCCACCTCTGTGGGTTTCCTCTCTGTCCACCCTCTTATCTCTGAAAGTTCCTCAGACGCGTTGAGCTGTGCTACAACTCTACTCTGCCGACTTGATGCAAGTTCTCGCATCTGTGAACTCACGTCACAAGAAAGCATCATGTACAAAGCAGAGAGCGTCAATAAAGATGGCAAGGCGCTGCTGGGAAGATAAACTCAACCAGGTGAATGCTTGTTGCGATGCTACACCGGCTTTTGTCATTTTGGGACCCTTGCCATCGCCAAATTTCGCGACTCCCGCCTCACCTGGCCTCACCGGCTTCTTCGTCGCGTTTTTGCACCCATCCCTACCTCGTTCGCTGCAGTCACTGCAGCCACTATCTACCATGTCCACTTCGCTACCAATTCTATCACAACTACCACATATCAAGACTCGCGAACTTCACATCGCAAGACAAGCAGCAGCCTATCTCATCTTTCCCTATTCGTTTTCAAAATCACTCGAACCCCTTCAAGAGCACACGATGCCCATACATAGACATGTTGTTCGAAGACGTTTGCCTTGCCACTTTCTAGGGTTCATTCTCATACTCACATACCTTGCTTCACTCCTCGTCAGCTTCCTCTACGACAAGTGTTTTGGGAAACCGTTGACTTCCCCCTTGACCGACAAAATCTTCCCAGTCATGTACGGATACGGTGGCATGCTCGTACTTGAGAACATATGCTTCACCCGACAAATTGTGTATTTCAGAAGATATGGCTGGCGAACCATGCTCAACTACTACACACAATACACTTTCGTCTGCTTTTTCATGCCTACCAGGAGGTACGAAATACCTTGCCTAGACTGCATCCACCTTGGACATACCTGTCCCAGATGTGCTCAACTCCAAGGAGATTGAACACAGTCCAATGGACACACGACGAGACGAATCTTGAAACGTCATCATCATCGCCGTCAGTTTAGTAAGCCAAACATTACCTACCTGTCCACCTCGGTTGACATTTCCGAAAACAAATCACACAAAGACTGACAAAGCCCCCGACGTGAATAGCTGAGTTGAACCTCAACGATCCTTCCACGATAACAAGCGACTGTTGTCTTCCCCTTCAGCTTCTTTGTCCGATACGGCAATTGCAGTGGAGTAGGAGGAGGTCAAAGACGAGGACAACGATCACGACGGTTCTTGTACTCCTTCATCTGCGCTTGCAAGTCCTCATGGAAGGTTCTTCTAGAATGATCGGGGTGATCAGACCAAATTGCAAACATGCACAAGGCACTCACACTTTCTAGACCTTTGCACAAAAGAGACAAACCCCAATTGTCAGAAGCCAGCAAAAGTCTGCCTGATCAGGTAGTAACTCAAAGAGCAAACTCAGAAGCAAAAACTCAAGAACTTAACTCAGAGAACCCAATTCAGAGGCAAACTCAAAAGGCTTGTTCCCGTACCATATAAAGTGATTGAATATTCCATATAAAAGTAGTGACTTTCCCAGTCGTAGGCCAGACGAAGAAGAAGAAGAAGAAGAAGAACTAGAACTACCCACATCCTCCCCCATATCACCCCAAAATCCCAGTTACGAGATCACACACCTTTTGAAAACAACCCAAATCTCAACGACAGTATGTCGTTTCCACCAGCGTCTACCGTCAATCAACAACGGCCCACGATGACAACAAACAATGTCCATCCACAACGACAACGACAACGACGTGAAGATACCATGTCACTAGATCACCGCCCCGGTGCCAACACCGCCACGGACGAAGGAGCCGGGAAACCTCACGAGAACAAAGATGACGACAACGGCGACAACCTTTTCCCCGACAGTCATGATTTGCTCTTCATTGGCCATATGCTAGCCGGGTTCAATGAGTGGCAACTATTCGACACCGACACCGACATCGACGCAGACACCGGCACGGACATGACAAACTCAATGACATCGACAACAACAACAACAACAACAACAACAACAACAACAACAACAACAACAACAACAACAACGACCACGAGACGAGTCCGAGCGCCACTTGACGTCGCCATGAGCCACCTTACCCTTCGAGACTCGGATACGATGACAACGACACCACCCGAGGCAACAACGCCTGTGGTGCCCGGATCGGCAACGATACAAGCCCGGCGACCACCGCTTGACGTGGCCATGAGCCATCTCAGTCTTGAAGAAAGATCATCCATACCTGACCCAGGCACACACCAGAACCATCCACATCGTCGACGTCGACGTCGACGACGGCATCGACGACGACGACAAGAGCGACAGCAACAAGTCGCCAACCATCACCATCATCATGCGCATCGACCTTGACAACACCACCCGTCCGAACGACTCCCCAGATGATTTGTGAGAGGAAATTGCAACGGGGATTGAAAACCGAGTGGAAACTGGTTGGAGACAGACTGGAATAGAGCAGAGACACAGAATGATAATCACACCAAAGAAGCGACAAAAATAGAGACAAAAGAAAGAGGGGAAAGGGAAAGGAACCAGTGTACAGAGGATTTTCACGCGGAGGATTTGTGCTTCAGCTACCCGATCTTGCTGGAGTCCCCAACAGGAAGGGCATTGGACTCACTGGTCTTCAGGACTTTTACTCTCCACTCTTCAGGGAACAAAGGAGAGAGCATATTTGGGTAGATACGACGGTGAACCAAGTCGACTTACTATGGATAGTGCGTCAAAACAAAGAATATTTTCGAGATCCGAAAGACTCACTCTGGACTTGTATCAAGAGTAACATTCAGATCCCTAGTGACACGCGGAGACAGACAGACAGAGACAGGGACAGATGAGCACCCAAAGATTTTCTTCCTCATCGTATAATGTGTACCTAGGCACCATCACCAATTCGAATAGAACCTGGATGGAAGTATACCTGACTGACTCAACCACCTCATCATACTCCTAACTCTTAACGGCTCAGGGCAGCTCTCCGCATCCTAATAAGCCCACACCATTCCGCCATCATCGTCATCAAGGCATCGTCGGTGGTGCACCCATAAAGGCGGCGTTGTTGTATCCGTCTTCCTGCTTGATGGTGCCATTGAGCAAGGGGCATAATCTTTTCGTAATCGAAAAACAATGTCAGTGATATTTCTCCAACAGTCAAAAACAAGCTTTTTGGTTCTTTGGCTCAAACAAGAAAAGGGCGAAAGGTGATGGGGCATTTAGGGCAAAAAAGGGAAAGCTAAGGGCAAAGCTCAATCCTTGAATGGGTTCCTTGGTTTTGGTGATATCGTCAAGCCGAAATCATTCCAGTCGAGATATGGGGAATCTCGTGGAGCTGGAGGAACTTGACTTCTCTGAATGAGAACCAGGGATGGCTCAGACAGGCGGACGGAACAGAAAACCCCAAGGTCGTCGATGGTCGATACAAATGTTGAGAGCGGCAATCCACCATGGGGGTGCAAATGGGACCTCTCTTCATCTTTCCATCGACATCAAAACTCAAAGATCGATACTCGGGGCATCCATGAGCATAGACCCAATCTTGCGATCAACGGGGAGGTTGCAATTTCGGCACTTGACTGACTTTTTGTTCGTTTTGATATGACCGACCTGTCCACAATTGGCACATTTGCGCTGAGTTGGTTGTGTATTCTTGCCACCACCGCCTCCGCCGCCTCCTCCGTCGGCATCGGGGGACATGGCCGTACCTCCGGGGGAAGTGGCACCGGCCAGGGCGGCTTTATTCTTGTACCGTTGTTTTCTGCGAGCGGCATTCTTTTCGAGTTTGGCGAGCTCTTCTTCGAGACTGTTTAATATACATGTTAGTCGTGACGACTTGACAAGAAAGTAAAAACAAAATAGCATACCGTCTGCGATGCCTGGCGTCAAGCTCAGCATCGCCCGTTGGAGCAAGTTCACCCAAACTAAAACACAAGTAAGCAATGAACATATACAAAGTCGAAAACTCCCAAACCTGATCGATTGGGCTTCCTCCGCTTCCTTGATCTTCATATACTGCTTGATAACCGCTGGGTCAGTCTCGTAGTATTCTTGGTCAATGCGTTCTCCATCTTTATCTACCACCGTTCTAACAATCTTCAAGACTCTCTGTGTTTGACTGGTGACACTTCGTCTGCTGAACGATGTTGTGGTTTCGTCATCTCTACGTCGTGGAGCGGGCGTATGTGTTCCCGACATTGGTGTTGCTCGAATGCTAGAGCGACCATCATACTTGTCTTCCTGGCCATCAACATCGCCGTCCATGTCAAGATCAGACGGTTCTATCTTTGAGCCCAGGCTCGCTTTCTGTTTGTCCCAGATACTGCGTATCGACTCTTCGTAGGACCTCTGTTGTCGGGCGACATTGTAACTGTGGCCGCCTAGTTCTTTCTTCAGTGCGATGGCATCTTGAGCGGAACCACCGATAGGTCTAAACCCGCCCTTCATGCTTGTTTTGATGAATGAGAATGCTTCACCTCGGCCGGAAGGATCACCCTCGCCATACAACTTGAGCATTGCCTTCCCTTGCGTAGCTTGGATGAAATTCTTAGTCGTGCGCCAGGGAGCTAGCTGCTGCTCGATACTATCATTGTCATTGCCCTCCTTCGTGTCATCTTCGTCGTCGTTGTCCGCATAACCAGCATCCTGAAGATATTGAGCACCGACCTGCATGGCTTCTAGCAGACATATATCTTCCGGGCGAATAAGGTTTTGGACTGCTTCTTCATCCGGGACTGCTTCGCCGGCCCTCATTTCCCATTCTTTATGTTCCTTACTAAAGACCATGAATTCTTTCATCTTCTGCCGGTTTTGCATATCCGTAGTGTCCGGAAAATGTTTCGTGACTTCCTCCACACGGATACGATGGTTCTTCTTGCGACGTGCAATTCGAAATGAGATGGCTTTAAGTCGATTTTTAGCAGCAGTGGTCACCATACGAGAATGTGTTCCCGGAACGGTGGTTGACGGCAGCTCCTGTCCCACGACGTATACGTTGTCCAGTGTCCGAATAAAGTGGTTCTGGCCGCCAGTGCCTGTGGTCTGCCGGATCACAAGGAAATCCTGTGTAGCAGATTCTTGAGGGAAGATTGGTGCTCTGTACATATGATTATACAGCGCAGTGATTGTCTCCCCTGGATCGATCTGCCCAAAGATGTGAAACGGCGATTTATCTTCTGGCAACAACACAGAGGTTTCGCCAATATCGTGTTTAGGTCTTGACGTATCGTCCTTGGTCCGTCTTCGATAATAATTCACAACTTTGTTACCCATGCCTGTTTGTGACAGCATGAGAGGATGCTCTTCTGAGTATTCTAGGAGCAGGGTAGAAGAATTGTCCGCCAGGGAGATATCCTTTGATGCGGCATATATTTCCTTGGTGGAACGTCCTCTCTGATGTTTCCTTTTGACCTTGCCCGTCTGAGAGAATGTGATTGGGTACTTGAAATGCATCTTTTTCCGATGGAAATTTCGGAGCTCCTGCAGCGGAAGGCGCACTTGATAATAGGGATACTGTAGTCTGACAGCAGGAATAGAGTGCTCGATGCTGAGATTAGTGAGTTGACCTCGTACTTTGTGTTGATGGTTCTGCTTGAGAAGATCGTATTCAGCATCATTCGAAGTTTTGAAGCGTTGCGATAGACGGTCCTTCAACGTTTTCACCGTTGTTATTTTTTCACCAGGTCGAGCCTTCGCCTTTAGCGCTTCAGTGTCGACTTCTTCAACGAGCAAATGCGAATCGTTCAGGTCAAGAACTACTCTTGCTGCAAGCTTGGATGTCAGGCGTTCCGGATCGTCGAACGAAGCTATATCGACTTGATGTACTTGCACAATATCGTGAGGGTCGAGACCCAAACGACGCTTCTTGTGCGGCTGATCGAAATCATCAAATTCGCCAAAACCAAACATCTCATCATCACTGCTGACAACGCGAGGCCTAATCTCATGGGTTTCGTCGTCCGAGGCTGCAAGGTGAGACAGTGTGTCGAACTCCGTACACATGAAGTCCAGATCGCTCATTGTAAGCCCGCCAGGAAGAGACTCATCCTCATCGGATTCATCCGTGGAGTCCTCGGCTTCGTTGACAACCGTCGGCTCTTGAGTAGCCACCAGATCAGAAGCAAGCTCAGCTTCTGTCAGCGGGAGTGCCGAGTTGAAAGCGGTCTTCTGGTCTTGCTCCAATTCCAAGTTGACCTTCGCAGGGCGGACCGGCTTGGGTGGCTTTGCTGGTGTCTTTGCCTGCCATTTCTGAGGTCTTGGTGGGAACAGCTTATTAAAGTAAGGTGCCTCATCGCGTTTAAACCCAGGGAACTCTAGCTTCAGCCACTCCTCGATGTTCTCCTGCTCAGTGGTTGGTATGTCTTTGCCGGACTGCGCAAACAAAGCCAACTGCAGACGGTATTGAGCATCCTCAACCTCATCCAGCTCTGGCTGTAACATTGATATGTCTTGGGTATCATCATCCTCGTGTTCTGACGCAAGGTCTAGATCTTGATCAGCCTCTGGGGCAGGTTTCTCGGAGGGCTTCGAAGGGGATGGCACAGGCGGAGCATCGTGGACTTCCAGGACAGGACTACTCGGTCCGAACAGATCATCGTCATCAAGATCGTCAAGGGCGCTATCCTCAATACCAGGCAGCAAATCTGTAGTCACGTCTGCGGAGACATCTTGAGTCGGCTCTTCATCTGGCAAATCATCGTCGTCAATGTCCTCATAATCAATTGCATCGTCTGCTTTCTCGCCTTGCTCCAGTTCTCTTGAATTCAACTCGTCCCAATTCAGTCCCTCGCCTCCCGCAGCTTCATTCAAAAGAGCACTCAGCTCATCGTTGGCGTCGGCCGGTACACCCAAGTTCGAATCGAAAGGCGTGGCTGCCGCCTGCTCTGTAATCTCTTCGTCGTCGCCGAAAAGACCGTCGAGGTCATCAGCCTGTTGATACGCGTCGGTCGCCATGATGTGGACACCCTAGCAAAGATTTACTTCGGGCGAAAATCGTCAAAGGATTATCGAAGGGAAAGTGTTTGCAAGGCAAACGACAGGCGCCGCGCATAGCAGTCGGAGCGCTCGAATGGTTACCACATGGCGCGATTGGCGTGATACGAGTCGTCGTGATGGGACATCGACTTACTCGTGGGGAGAGATGAGATTAACACAACACAGGCACAATTCTGAATAAACGTACGGAGTAGAAAACGAGGACGTGGTGAAGATCCGCAGGCAAGAAAGTTGGGTGGGGATAATCGGGGAATGACTCGTGGCGCTGCGAGGAACGCGACAGGCAGCCTCGTCTGTTCAGCCTCGTCGTTTAGCCTCGCCGCATTCGTATCAACATGAATGCCGTCGTTACGAGAAATTTTGCATAGGAATTAGTTTCTTTGGTAATTTGATGTTTCCATTCCAGAGTATTTCTCTACAGAGTATCGGTTCATTTTTCATTTGATCAGCTATTCAGCTTTAAAGGAGCCCAGTCCCCAAGATAAGTGCATAACGCTCGACTAGTACCGTTTGTGCAGTAATGTACGACTTGAACCGTTTTGTCCTCTTGCACCACATTCGCTACCTGTCTCAAGTCGCTCGTTCTCGGTAAATACAACACAACATTCGAGGTCACCTTTTGAAAGGATTTGTACAAGTGGCTGAATGTGTACGGCTCCATCGACTCCAGATCAAAAACCTCAGCATTGCGGTAAGAAGGTCCTAGAGCGGTGAGTTGAGTGGCATGTCGCTGGATATTCGAGAAACCTACCTCCCCACGGTGGACTGGCGAATATCAAGCCGAATTGACCGACAATGGCTTTCAGTGCATCGACAGTCTTCTCTGTCCGCCCTTCCATGGCCCCAAGTATTTCGAAGCAATCTCCATGGAACCAGGTAATCTTATCCGCGACGCCATAAATCTCAGCGTTGTGCTTAGCACATGCCAGCGTAGCAGCGTCCTTCTCTATGGCATAAACTCGCTTGAACTTGCCGGACAGTGCAAAGGCGATAGTATTCCCTCCCACTCCACAGAACGCGTCAACTATAATTGATCTGTTCGTGGCCTCGCTGACGTGCTTTGCTATCGTACTGCCTTTGTTAGATCTGGACTGGAGCTGGAGATAGGCCACATACTTTGCGACAGACTCGTGGGTGACACCAAACCATGCATCGTCTGTCATCCAAATTCCATCGTCGTATTTCGAGAAGATGGAATACCCCTGATGCCAATATCTTGTGCAGGTTAGACCGTAAATCTCGCACGACTAGCCCTTTAGATACAGGAAGGTGAGATAACGTACTTCTGCAAATCCCACGGAACTTCTTCAAGCGTTTCATAGTGATGGACGCCGTCCGGTAACGGCTCAGTAGAGGCTACCTTTTTGGTTGGAGGCTGGTTGGATTCGTCGCCATAGTTGACACTCTTTCTTTTCCTCGCCATTTTGATCAGCACTCATGCCGAATAGCACACAGATATGTTGTTCAAGACATGTTATGATGGAGCATGTTAAGGCGACGCGAGAGAATAGTCGGAGAGTCGGAAATATCGATGACCATCGGAAATAAACTAAAATAATAAAAATGTCACTTTCTCCAAATCTGTTAAACAGTCCACCTCAATCTCGCTGCCGCACCAACACCTACAATGATATATAGTCTTGACAACCTACTTAATTCAAAGCCTGCCACTGTTATAGGTTCCTACCAATCATGGACAACTCTCATTTTCGGACACTGCTCCAGAATGGAAAGCATTCCAACGACTCAGGCTCCAACTCTGCTTCCGCGGGGTTCAAGAAACCTGCACTCGGTTCGAGATCGCGTGCTTCTATTCCTATGACGCCTCGTTCGGTCGCAGGTTACAACCCCTCCAGAGAATTCTCTAAGCAAGTGGCTGAACACGAACGCGCTCGAGATGGACAACCTCCAGCGAAGAAATTCAAGTCTAGCGCCGCACCCAAAGGCACCAAACTGGCTTCGGGTTACCATGATCGCACCCTGGCTCGGCGGAGTGGCGAAGATGGCGAGGAGACTTCAGATGATAGAGAAAAGCGGCTTCAGGCGCTGGAAGAGATGTACAAATTACAGCAGATCGACGAAGCTACGTTTGAGAAATTAAAAAGTGAGATTGGCGTTGGCGGGAGTCTCAATAGTACACACTTGGTGAAAGGCCTTGACTGGAAACTGCTGGAGCGAGTGCGCAAAGGGGAGAATCTGGATCAGAATTCGGAAGAGAAGCAGGAGCCGTCGCCCCAGGCTGATAAAGTCGACATTGACGAAGAGTTAGATCAGGCGCTGGATAAAGAAGTTCAGTCCCGAGGTCCTGCGTCGCGGAATGAACAATCGGCGGAAGACAGTGGCACAACAGGTGAAGATCGACCCTTGACGCGGGACGAAATCTTGCAACGATTGAAGCAAAGTCGCTCTGGCACGACAAAGGCTTCAGCACAGGAGCCGGTTCTAAGCGATCGCTTCAAAAAGGTGGGAAGCGAGAAAAAGAACAACAAGAAGAAGTTTGTAGAGGTTGTCAACGGGCGAAGAAGAGAAGTTCTCGTTATCACCAACAAAGATGGCACAACCAAGAGGAAGACACGATGGCTCGATAAAGAGGAAGAGGGCGCCGGGCAGGGCAGTCAGCCACTGGGAATGGAGGTTCCCGCCGAACTACTTGCCAAACACAAAGCTGCCCTGGAACAAGAGGCCGCGGAAGACGATGACGACGACATCTTTCAAGGGGTTGCAGACTATGACCCACTGGCCGGACTTGAGGACGACTCTGACGAGGAAGGCAAAGCTGATGGGGCAGGCCCTTCTAAGCCAGAGGCTGCTGTCACCCATGACCAACCACGAAATTATTTCGGAACTGGTCATCAACAAGAAGAATCCGATGACAAGAGCAATCCAATTCTGAAAGATCCAACACTGCTTGCAGCTCTCAAGCGCGCTGCTGGTCTGAAAAGAAGCGAGCAGGAGGCTGGAGCAGATCAGAGCGATGGTGACCCTGAGTGTACTGCAAAACAACAACAACTACTTGCCCGATTAAAAGCACAGGATCGTGCGGATGCTGAGGATATGGACCTCGGGTTCGGCGAAAGTCGCTTTGGAGATGAAGACGATGATGAGGGTCCTGTATGGGACGATGAAGAGGGCACTAGCAAGAAGAGTGGCAGAAAAAGGGGACCGAAGAAACGCAAGGGCGACAAAGACAATGTGGGCGATGTAATGGCAGCCCTTGAAGGTCGGAAAAAGGACAAGGGACAGGCTGCATAGTCCTCAAATAGTCCTGAGGATGGGTACTGTGTAACCCGTATATCATCACACGAGAGTGTCTTTATCCGTACAGTCCTTTTCCATTCAGAGGTGGTCTTGATGGTCAACATCCCGGGCCTTTGATGATGACGAGGCAAGAGGATCTATGGGACTGCACTTCGGGCAGAGCGTTGTCACATTGACCTAGGGGCAGGCCACTTTTTGAATGATCAGACCAGATCCAAAGCCATGGCCAGGTTCATACTGTAGTCCGTACTCCGTACACTAGGGGTACGGAGTACTTCGAGGCAAATTGGCAAGGGCTAGTGGTGGATGGATGTTGGGAGGAGTTTGCCTGTGCCGATAGAACCTACTCCCTGGGTAGTGATAGGTACTGTACAGGGAGTACGTACCTGGTACTCCGTGCCGATACTCCGTAGTAAGGGAGTATTCATACAATATACTCCGTATCAGATCCCCAGAAACTGTGTCCGGTGGCTGGGAAGAGGGCCACATTCCCATCACGGAGGCACCAATGGATTGACGTCTCGCCGGTGACTGCACAAAATCAAGGCGTGATGAGTGTTTATCCTTGCAAAGACCAAGTTGTTGTGGTCGTTGTGTTTTGAATAATGCTGGCATCATCACTAACACGCCCTCCTCTTCGGATGCCCACCGGCTGACGTGTCTTTTTAGGTCTGGGTCGCTCATCACTAACCCGGCTGGAGAGGACAGTTCGCAACGCTACGGACTGACAGGCATTCGACCCCTAAAACAACGATCTTTCCCCCTCCCAACGACGATCCCCAGTCTACAGTAGTGAGTCTGTCTTGCCCCCCAAGCATCGGCAAAATTGGCACCTGGCGGTAAACAGTCAAGTTCCAGTCCAGGTTCAGGTATCTACCTAGAGAAGTACGGAGTAACGTGCATGCTTCTCCTCCAACCAACATGGAAGAAAGTCAACGAGGCAGAGGATCGACCGTATATCTACTGTGTATTTTTAACGCGTCAATCGCGGTGCAGTACTCTGTCTTGTCCGGAGTGTCATGGTACATGTTCACCATTGAGACAAGCTTTCCTTATCGTCCGGTCCGCTGATTCCAATCAAGCGAGGAAACCCATGTGTTTGTGCTACAAACACATCCCAAAATCCACTGGAATCATTTCCGAAGTCACGGTCAGGGCGCCTCAGCTCCAGCTTCGACTGGGCTCACGAAGCACGTCGTTCCCTCTCACTGGTGACTAGAGTCGTCAAGGTTCGGGTTCCTGACAGTAGCGGCCCCGGTGGACGCCAACTACGCCTATTTTGAGCCATGGCGTTGGAGCCCCTGCATGGTCGCTTCGAGGTGGACCGCGTTTCAAGCCAACATCTCAACGTTGACTGGCTGCCTCAATCCACGTCTGTGACAGGAGGCTGAACGGGCCCTCGCTGTGGTGCAAGGCACTATCCCCTTTTCTTTGGTCAGTTCACACGCCAATGCTGCCTTTCCAGCCTCCGACCGCCAGACTGACCATCGAAATGGAAACGCCAACGTATTGGCATGAGCCAAGTCCGTCAAAATGGGCCACCGACAGTCTGGATTGCACGTTATCGATTGAAAAGACGGGACGCTTTGGTGTGTTTTGTACTCAGGTCGTAGGTACCTTGTCCCAAGACCCAACAAGGATTCCCCGTCACACAATCGTCCACCATGAAACGTGCCAATCCACCTCCTGTCGAGTTTTCAACAGCCTCCTCACTCCCCTCCCAACCCACATTCCTTGCTGTCGACCCTATATCTGCTGCTCTTGTCGTTTCATTCCCGATCCCTCCTCTTTTTTTCTCTCACTCCGTTGCTTGGCCTTCGATCTCTCGACACGTTTGTGCGACACACTGCACCGCCCGTCCTTCTTTCTACACCGACAAGGCTAACCCTTCGTCTATTCTCCGTTTCACTCGCTAGAGCTACGCTCGTGGTCACTCTTTCACCAACCAGACCGTTCATTGATTGAATCCCTGGTCCAAAAAAACCACCCCAGGAGGGCATATACTATCCGAATCCATCGATTTTCCCAAAACACAACATCCACAAACGAAAAAGCGTTATCCCAACCGAACACGCAAAGTACCGTGCACCCTCAGATCTCAACATGGTTTCCCAGATCCTTTCCCTCGTGGTGCTCGCCACTACCGTCTTGGCTCACCCTCAAAGACACCATCACTGGCAATTCCATGGTACAGGCACCGGTGGGGTGGCTGCCCCTACTGGCGGTGCATTCCCCATGAACAGCACAGCTCAGACCAACAACGGCACAAACCTTCGTGGCTCTCCTGTCGAGTCTCAAGAAGTCACAGCTGTCATGACTGTCACCGTGAGTCCGATTCCCTTGGAGTCATCGACCGACGATGGCTCCGATGCTGCTTTCTCCAGCGTTCCTGTTGTTGCCAATGCTGCTGCTACGAGTCCAGCGGCAGCAAGTGCACCTGCTTTGTCCAGTATCAGTTCTGCTTGTGCTTCGGGTTTGATTTCCACCATTACCAGTACCACCGTTGAATTCGTTACTGTTACTGCGACTCCGGATGCCAGCCCTGTTACTGACAATTCTGGCAAGAACATTGCTGCTCCCTCCAGCTCCTCTACACCATCAGAGGACACAGGGCTCGAAGAAGGTTTGGCTGGGTCTTCAGCCTCCGTTAGCCTCGCCGCAGGAACTCCAACAGCAGGTGCATTCTTTGGCAGACCGTCCAATGGAGGCGGTGGTGGCGGCTTCTCGTTCTCCGCTCCTGAAGCATCGCCGTCATCTGTCGCGATGTCAGGCTTACCAACCACATTCGCAACCATGGCCAGCTCAGCACTTGGCTCTAGTGCTGCCAGCGGCACGTTTCCAACAGCATCTTCCGTCTCGAGCTCTACACCCAGCACCGGTGGAGGTTCCTCTTCCGGCGGCGGCAAGAAGGGCCTGTCGTACAACACTGCCTCTTTGACCGACGCCTTCGCAGGCAAGGCCATCTCTTGGGTGTACAACTGGGGCTCTACCCCAGATGGGACTCCTCTGTCCGGAGCCGAATACGTTCCCATGTTCTGGGGCTCTCAATCTGTGTCAGGATGGTCCAGTGCCGTCTCATCCGCCATCTCCAGCGGCTCCAAGCACGTTTTGTCTATCAACGAGCCTGACTTGGCCTCTCAAGCCAACCTCGATCCCGAAACCGCCGCCAAACTCCACATTGCAAACGTCGCACCCTTGTCCGGGCAGGTCCAAATTGGATCTCCAGCCGTCACCAACGGTGCCGGGACCAGCCCGTTGATGGGCATCGACTGGCTCAACGCCTTCTTCAAGGCGTGCGCCGGTCAGTGTAACATTGACTTTGTCGCTTTCCACTGGTACGCCGATGCCGGCCAGATCGCCAACTTCCAGCAACACGTTCAAGACGTGATCGACGCCGCCTCGTCCAACGGCGTCAACAAGGTCTGGCTGACAGAGTTCGGTGCCACAGGCTCCGACAGTGATGTGGCCAACTTCCTCTCGCAAGCCGTCGAGTACCTCGAGGGCCAGTCCGCGGTTGAGCGCTACGCGTACTTCATGTGCAGCGACGGCATCTTGGTCAATGGCAACTCCATCTCGAGCCCCATCGGCAGTGCCTACGTCTCTTAGAAAGAGATTAGTTCTGTACCTTTTGGCTCCTGGGAGATCGAGTTTGTGTTGCTCATAGCGTTCGCTTTAGCGATTGGCATCCCAAATCGGAAGGGCTTTTTTTTTGGCAGGGGTTCAATTCTTGTGTGTATATCACTTTTCGGGGACTTGAGATACAAAAACATTGGTGGCGGTGGATTTTCCTTTTCCTACACATCGGCAGAGTCGAACAGTGCTCTCTTGTGTCGAAATGAGGCTCTAAGCTGAGGATGTCTGACTGAGGGGACTATGACGCATTTTTCTTCTTTGCTCCAAGACATGGATTTGTGAACGATTTGAAATGGCATATAACGAACGACTTGAAAGAAAAAATGTATGTAGCAACATGCGGGAGTTTCATTTCGATATAAAAAAAATGGACAATCCTTTCCCATTCCCATCACACTGTAGTGTACCTCCGTATATATCCGCGTATATACGGAGTACACAAAAACATACTCCGTACAAGTGCGAACTCGATACGCCTACCGCTATTATTTAGTATCCCGAAAAATGACTGAAATGAATCAATATTCATCAGTCCACCGAGACTATTGCCGCACAGCATCGATCCCATATCTCTTGGTCCCGTCATCGCGAAGCCACCAATTCAGTCTGAACAACCAGCCATCCAACGCTCCGCTGCCCATCAATTTCTTATTGCTCATATGCACAGCGCCTTCTGGCAGGACGGGCTTATCTTCTTGACCCGCAAACGTTTCGACTGTGGTGAAAGTCTCACAAAATCGACTACCGGCCCAGAGTACCATCCCACCGGCAATGGTGCAAGGGTTATGCGGCACGACCTCCCTCGGCGGTGCGAGCCAGACGGCAAGTCCGCCACAGAGGGTCATGACACCCAATATGACCTGGAGGGCCAGTTTCGACGCGTTGTTCTGATGCACGCGCAGCACGCCCGTCAGTGCGGTGGCGTTGCCCGACAAAAGTTGCGCGTTCGCGGCGGCCGTGGGCACGCGCATGTTCACAGATATCGCCTGGGCCATGTACCGGCGGTAGAAGGCCTGGATGGCCGAGACGACCTCGTCCGGGCGCTCAGGGTCCGCGAGCCAGGCTTGGGGAATGGGCGATCTCCCGAACAGCACACCTTGAAAAAACCCGTCGATCGTCGACCGGGCAATGCTGGACGGAACGAATTGCGTCTGGTTGAACAAGGATAACTCATTGTCCATGTGAACCTCGAGGCGATAGGGGAAGCTCGTTTCTCCATTCGGCCCACTTTCGAGAACGACGTGACCGCTCCCGCTCTCGTCCAGAGTGGGTGGGAAGTCCTGCGATATAGAAAGGTCTGGGACGTTCAGCCAGAGACGTACCGGCACTTGTTGCATCTGCTGATAGCATATACGAGTCGTGATCATGTTTTGAGAACCATCGTTGACGTCGACATGGCCATAAATGAAAGCAAGTGATGGGCATCCTGGCGGGTTGTCCTTTTGGGTCGAGGGTGCCAGCTCCCCTGAGCTTGATGCAAGAACAGCGTCGAATGGCCCGACGTGGATGTCCAGCATCTTAGCCACATAGCTTGAATTTTTTGTGAATGGCAGTTGCCAGCTTTGGTCGATATCCATGCTTGTCATGTTGCCGCCGGACCCGCCGTACGGACATTCTCGTGGAAGTGAGAACGATATGCTGACACTTGCACTGGGCCCAGATGAGGGATTGTAAAATGTCGACACGTTGAATTGTGCAGTCGGCAAAGTAGTGCAATTCAGAGACGCTCGTAGAGCACTGGTCGTGAGGCTCAACGTCGCTTGACCCTGTTTAGAGGGCTTTGGCGGATCGCCTGCTGCCTGAAGTCCAGGCAGAGCAAGCTCGTCGAAGGTGAACTGTGGAAATGTCAAATTGGAGCTCTCCGTCAAGCTTGTCAATACGGCAGCTCCGCTATCGTTAAGAGCACTGTTCTGCCATGTTGTTTGAAAGGAATCGGTCCTCTGAACTAGCATTGGAGCGGTGGTCGGCACGAAATCAATCGTGTAGAGTCCAGAACTGATGATAGTCAAGACGCTGCCGACGAGTGCTGCAGTGCCTGAAAGTGCTGCACCCCAGTATCGTCGTCTAAGCGACTGCCAAACTGCATAGGGAGCAATCAGCCCGATGACGTTGGACATGATACTTGACTGAGGCGGCCGAGCTTCAGATTTCAAAGCATTGTAAGGCGCAAGAACAGCTATGTTGAAGTCCACGGAATTGAAAAGTGTTGCAGAGAGTAACATTACCAAGGCCGGAAGGTATCGAGTTGTTGTTTTGGAGGCTAGAGAGTCTTCAGAAGAAACGCTAGCGATACCATCATGGCGGTCTGACGACACTTGAAGAGCTTCAAGGGTCGCAATGATTGTGAGTGGTAGTATCAAAGTTGTTAAGACGAAAATCCACCGGGCAGCAAGAGGTTTCCACCAATTTGAGTGCGAGCCTTGGTCAGGTGTGGTCATGTCGGACAACGGGTCAGATGCAAGCAAGATTGACTCATGTTCCTGAGCGTCCATACCGGTGGCAAATGTGTGATTGTTCAGCTGTGCAAGCATGTTGCTTTCGGAGAGTGTGCCGCAACGACTCAGGATATTTCGAGCTACACGACTTGGTTGCAGAAGCAATGCGTTGAAAAAGGGTTGGTCCGGATCTCGTGCAACGATGTCTTGGGGTCGCTTCCAGAGAATGAAAGCCGCAATGATCATCATAACAATAAAGCCCGAGACCATTGACCAAAGAGACAGATCGTTCAATTCAAGCCTCTCCTCTTGGTAAACTGCTTGTCCTCGGAGAGGAGTGTCAACTTCTTGGGTAAGATACTTGCTTACAATTTGAACAGCAACAGTTTGGAAGACAGTTTCCGCAGCCTGTTTAATCTTATTCTCGTCCATCAGTGCATCATAACCACCACCCATAGTATTAGCCATTACCTTGAACATGGTGTTTGGGTACTCTTCAGCATAAGAATCGAAGTTGAGATTTCCAAACATCGAAGCTGCTGCCGTTAGAGATGCAGTAAACAGCTTGCCAAGATCAAAGCTCGAAAACCCAGGCATTGTGTGATTGACGCCTGGCGCAAGACGAGTGACTGTAATGTTCGTTGGTGTTTGCGAATAGTCGTAGGTGACATTCACTTTCTCTATGGCATAAGTAGATCGACATGCTATACCGACAGCAGCGTCAACCGACGTCGACCAAGAAGTCGCAGTAACACTGTCCCCAAATGCGACAGGGGATGAGAAGTTCTGAAGAGTCTGATTATAACGGAGATCGGCCAGGGTGAGAAGCTGCCAATTATCCGCTGTTGCTGAATCAGATTCATTGAAGCAATTCATCCTTTGCACCAAAGGACTAAGCTGACGGGGTGGACAGCTGAAGAGTTGAGGATTAAGAGCATATACCGGAGTACCATCCCCATTCTGGAGCAGCTGACATTCATCAAACTGTAATTGTAGATAGTCCGCTGGGTGCAAGTCTGTGGTATTGGCTGGCTGCAGTTTGATAGCAACTGGAGCAGACTGGCATTCGAAAGACGGGATCAGAGCATTCACGGTTGCTGTAACAGTCTGAAGTCCCACCAAAGAGCCCGCAGGAGGTCTAAATCTCTCATATACAAGGCCTTGGTTAGTCCCATCCGTATAAGGCAGACCTCTAGAGAGAATGCCGAATGCTGTATATACCAATGAAGAATCATTGAGAGTTGTTGAAGGTGCAGATGAGTTAAACAGCGATCCATTGAATATGGTGTGCTGAATCAGGCCCAAATCTGATTGCAGAATGAGCTTTGGAGCCGTCACGAACAAGCCCGTTGAAAGAAGGACGATACATTTCAACAACATGAACCCTAAAATACCGGCCGTAACGGTGTGATGCTTGCTAGAAAGAGACTTGTGAAGACTGGAGACTTGAATAGGTGAAACGTAATCCAAAAGGATGTTCGATGAGCCCTTCGATGGCTCTTGGCTAAGGACAGCCCATGGAGTAATCGCTTTGCAATGATAGTCAACCTGTCGCCAGATTGCCACCACAATGACCAACAATGCTGTAGGACCGTATGTCCATGAATAGTGATTGTTTGTGATAAGTTGGATACCTTCATTTCGGTTGATGTAGTTCCAGAGTAATACAAGTACAACAATAAAGAGGGCGAAAATGCCAGTAACCGCACTCAACACGGTAGTCGAGAGCCATATCGAATTCCACATCGAAGTTCCATAGCTCCCTTGCTGTATTTTCTCCCTGTTTCGAAACCGGTAACGTAGTGCCGAGAGATTCCAAGCCATTCCCAACGATCGGAGGTAGAGCGATGAGGCTTGTTGTGAACGAGTGTCGGCTTCCAGAGAGAACATGGCAGAGCCAGACATTTGTACAATTTCTCACGATCATCTGGCCCGCTGGCCATATTCCAGCGCCAAACGCGGCACTTGACCATGTTTGGACCATAATTGGGCGCTTAACCTGCAGTGGGCTATTCTTGAGCAAAGAGCAAGACGAGGGGTACTTACCTAGCAATAAAGTATCGGCAAGATGTGAAAAACGTCCACAAGGGTCCGTACTCGGTCATACATTCAATCAGTTGGGTCGCTCACCTTCAAAGCCGCAACAGCAGCACGGTAAGTTCAGTAAGCAAAGGTAGAAAGATGAAGTGAAGTTCCATGAAGCACATAGACTTAGATATCTCAAGTCATACCGTGGCCGAGGCAATTCTGGAGGCCTCTATTGCTAATTTGAGGCTGTGGCGGGTAATGAAACTCGGAGATCAAAGTATTCTTGTCGCTACGGCACTGCCTCATTATGCGCTTCGAAATCGTCTAAAGTATGCCATACGGACACTCGTGAGGGCAAGTAAATATGGGCGAGAAGTTTGAAGAAAGTTGGCGTTGGCTTGATCAAGAGTTCTACGCCCAAAAGTAAATCCTTCCGCGGCGCGTCTTCGGCAACAAAAAACACGTGTCGTGTTGGCCCTGAACAACCACAAAATCCTAGATATTGACTTCTATGCCAACCAGCTTTTAAGAGTGCTGAGAATATACCTAGAATTACCAAAATGTTCGGTGCTCTTAATCGTTTCATCGCTCGTCTCGACGGAGAGCCCGCGTCACGACCAGGAGAGCAAGGCTCTTCGGACAGCTCATACGGTTTCCAGGTCTTGAAGAACACGAACAAAGACCTACACCTAGAACCGTGGTTCGACTTCATCATCGGGATCAATGGACATTTTATAGTATTTTGTACTCGTCCAAGGGATGAGAGTGTGTACTGACGTCTCGCCAAAGGACTCTCCCGACCCAAACCTCTTCGCTCAGGAAATCCGCAACTGCGCCGGCGCATACTGCTCATTAGACCTGTGGAGTGCAAAGGTATGTATATACACATCTGACCCAAGGTATTTACATAGGCATATATACATGTCTGGCACTACTAACCAGATACTGCTTGCAGGGCCAAAGGACACACTCCCTCACTGTCCCTGTACCGCCTGATGGCTCGTTGGGACTCAGTCTACAACTCGCACCCCTCAACTCTACACAGAACATCTGGCACGTACTCACGATACCGTCCCCCCTCTCACCAGCTCACCAAGCCGGTCTCCTCCCTCACAGCGACTACATCCTTGGCTCCCCGAGTGGTACCCTCAAAGGAGAAGCGGCATTGGGCGAACTGGTCGAAGATCACCTCAACAGAAGTCTTGTCTTATGGGTCTACAACTCGGAATTTGACGTGGTAAGGGAAGTCGAACTGGTGCCACGAAGAGGATGGGGTGGTGAAGGTGCACTCGGTGCCGTGCTTGGATTCGGTGCGCTACATCGCCTGCCCGTGGGACTGGGCGAAGAGGTTCAAGCACCAGGAGAAAATCTATTTGACGCGGACACGAAAACCGCAGATGGACAAGGTGCAGCAGACTCTGCCAACAGCTTCCAGCCTGCCCCTGCTCAAGATCTTGCTCCACCACCGATGGTCAACCCGAATGTCCCGCCGCCCCCGATGATGAACCCTAATGCTGCACCTCCAGCTGGACCAGCTCCTGCTCGCGCACGGAAAGGGAGACATCACGGTGCGATTTCCCCAAGAGGTGGATTTGATGATATGTTTGCCGAAGGAGCCAAGAAGAGCGCAGAGCAGGACCATGTGTCATCTCGAAAGGGCACACCTGTAGCGCCTCCGCCAAAGACAGGCTCTGCTGGGGTGACACCACACTCGACAACCCAGGAAGGATCTGATCCGCTAGAGCAGGCGGGCGAAGAACTTGGCGAGCCAGGCGAGGCTGAGGAAACCTGAATATGAGTAGAGTGTCCAAGCCCCACCTCTACTTGTCATGTGGTCCGTATTGTTGTCTCTTGCAAGACTGCTGGTAAACGGGAGATGTTGCAGACCCTTCATCAAGCTCCTGTCTGCCCTACCTCATCCTTCCACCAGTCAACAAATTCACGGATCCGACGAGACCTCTCCGCGGCCAATTGTTTGCCAGCCGGTGTCTTCATCATACTCTCGAGTTTCAGCAACTTGTCGTGGAAATGCTCAATCGAATCCTCCAGAGTCCGGGCACCCTTGGCACCGCCAAAGGTGAAGCACCGACCGATCCCGATCGCTCCAATCGCGTCGAGCCTGTCAGCGTCCTGAACAATGGCGAGTTCCGGAAGGACCTCCAGCAAATCCAAGACACGCTGCGGGTTTTTGACCTCGGAGGAATACGACACGCCCTCGACCAACACACGCATCTGCTCTGCATAGTCCACGGACATGCCAGCCTCGACGATGGCTTTGATAAGAGGTGATGACGATGACGACGACGATAACAACGACGACGAGCTTTCGGTGGTGGGGGCCATGTACTTTTTGTCCTCGACGTCGTGGAGCAACGCGCCCAGGATCACATTCATGGGGTTCAAGGCGGGCATGGCTCTGCGTTTCCGGTCGTCTTCTTCCACCGTGAGGATGGAGAGAGCATTATTGACGACTCTCTTGACATGGCCAAAGTCGTGGGACGCGTCGAACCGTGGGTCCTGGAAGTACCGTTCGGTGAAGTCGTGGATCTTTCTCACCACTTCGGCTTCCTGCTCCGACAGGCTAGGGTATTCTGCCGGGTGGATATATTCGCCACCGCCTCCAGACATGTTGTGTTGAGCCTTGCGAGGACCTTTCTGGTCCCTGACACCCTGTATTCTGGTCGAAAATGTATACCTCGTTGCTCGTCACGATTAGATCTAGATCAGCCTAGGCTTTCTTTGCTATCGTCCGTAGGTAATTCGTAGTTTCCAAAACGATCTGAAGACGGTGTGCCCACTTTTTTTCCTTCGAGACCTGACCAAGGGCCCAAGTTCGTGATTCAAACGGCGCAGAAAAAGGATCAGAGAAACCACTGCTCGTACGGACGTACGTGTCAGCTCGTTCACTGTACGCCTTGCGGTGTAACGCTGTCCAGAGGGCGGCCGGTCGAAACGTACCTGGGAGATCAAAAGTGAAAATCATGCAGGGTTCAACAAATGGCAAGGCCCGAACGGCAGGTAAGCTTCCCAGGTTGAAAATCGGACACCCCGGGGTGAGCACAGAGTATCGTGGGCACCGGGTTCCAGTAAAGCGCCAAGATCGGAGTTTGCCGGAGAAACAGCCTTCACTCCGACATTGCGAAATAGGACAGCGCTGCACTTGACAAACTCGAACAGGATAACTTTAGGTATCTAGTGTACTCCGTAGAGCAGATGAACCATTCATCTGCATTCGATGTCAACATATCATTTCCTTGAGAATTAGATCCGTACGTGGAAATATACCAGTGAAGCAGAGGGCCGAGTCAGAATGATGATCGTACGACGCCATCAGATCCTACAGAGACACTGAGACTCTTCTTGCAAGTCCTACTCAACGTGACCACTGGACCAGGAGGTGTGACAATACGTACTGCCTCCAAATGGCCTGTAGTAACAATTCTGCTCGCGCCAGCGTCGATATGATATTCGCCAGAATCCTCGCTGTGTACTAGTCTCAATGATCATCCACAGATGCGAATTGAGGAACTCTAGTGCATGGACCTGGGCTTCTTGTACCCTCTGTACAGTCTTGTTATAGAGGCTAAATTAACAATATCAACATTAAATCACGGTAAGCTGGATCTTGAATTTGCAGTTTTCGTGGTTATCGAGTTGGCAAAGCCACCAAAGCACAGGAGAGCCCTGGTGTCTCTTGACAGCGGCAATGATGAAAGGTCTGAAAATGAATCCAGAGCTGCAGCCCTAGGCTATCCAGGCATTGGTGGCAATCGGGGTTTTCATAAGCCTGAGGATGTGCGAAGGTTGACTTGTCGTACTCTCTTGTCCATGTGGCGAGCATATTCGGCTTTCCTTTATGTAAACCAACAGCCACAGCAGCCAAGTTGACCGAGGCAAATGGAGCCACGGCTCAGCCAGGCGCTAAAGTATTGCAAAATCAAAATCTGCAGCACCAAAAAGCCTTGGCTGAGCACCTTGGAGTTGTACTCGTATGTTGTAGCCACAGACATCATAATGACCAGCAGACTTTTGACCTAATAATCTCTGTGGAGTAGAGGATGTTGACCGATGCCCTTGATACTCGTACTCCGTAATCATCGGGCTCCTTGTACACGCTCGGTAACGCGGTTCTAGGCAGACCCGAACATTCCGAGGAAATGGGATTCTCAGGGCTGACATAAGGAATTGCATGTCTCGGTCAATGGGAATCTCACTTGGTCCCTTTAGCTCGAGATCGAGCAGTTTAGCGAATTCCAGATTTTCCAACTTTTGTTGGGCTCTTTCGTCACCACGCAGGTGGCTGCATATGGTGGCTGAATGCTGACTGTTGTGTTAATTTGCTGTGCGTCAACACCCGGTTCACATCCGTATCTTTGGGTAGGATCAGCCTCGGGCACATTCCACCTGAATGAAGATCCCTTCAAGGCTATCCAGCAAAAGCATGCGCAGCTAACATGGTGGTGGTGGTAGCGGTGGTGGTATGTGTGATTGGACTTTCTGCCTAGTGGCCTTGTTTTGCAAGATGAAGATCTGCCGATCGACGACAACGGCTGAGTATCGTTCGTCGAGGAGTTGGAGTTTTCACCTACAGAAAAGGCCCATGTCAGTGCTGGTACGGATTCTCGTCGTGGGGACGCCCAAGATGCAGACGGCAAAGACTGAAAGGAGCCGGGGCCAGAACGTCTTGCACAGTGCCCACCCTTCCAACACCTTGGGTAGGACCGGATTGTCTGAGACAGGCAATGAGTGACTGTATGCTGCTAGGTGGGACTGTTGCTGGCGCCCGTCTCGATGGCATTTTGGCAGTTGGCAGGCTGGTCAAGGGAAAGTTGTACAAGAGACCATCCTATTTCCCGTACGTTACTCCGTATGAGTGGTCGTGTGGAGATGGGCCTAAAGACGCTTCTAACGGATGTTGGTCCTAAGCATGCTTTTAGGCGGCACGGCCTTCCGAACACACGCTGTGACTTGCTCCGTAGGCGGCTTCCTTTTACTTTCGCGGTTAGTGTACTGGCCAGGGTTCAACACCTGCGCATTTTGATCCTATGTCAGAAGATCAATGACCCATTCATCCAGAGTCCATCCACCCTCTATCCATCCCGCCTTTTGGCCACAGCATCCTCTCCTTACGCATCCATATGTCTTTTTCATTCCTTTAGTCTGCATCCTCTCTGTGACTGTATTCCTACGACACATGGGCGTTCTGCCCAGAGACTTGTCCTGCCCCCGCCTTCCGATTGCCACGACGCCTTTCCTGCCAAACCTCTGCCAGTGCCCGCTGGCCCAAGGCGATTCAGGATATGTAAAAGAGTGGAAAGTGCGTTTGAAAAGGGACTGGGGACAACCAACACGTCGCTCGATCCTACGAACTACGACAATGCGCGCACTCGAGTGATACTACACGTAATTGTTGCAAAGAGATTAGTGGCGCGCGAGAGCAGTTGTTGCTGAGGGCGGATTGATATCCGCCTCTTTGGCCACCCAAGCTGCAGCGCTGAATCCATTGCCTGCTGCACCATGCCAAAGCCGGCCTCAATCCACGAGTCGGAGACGACAGGGACGGAGTCTCAAGCGGACCCAGATGCCTCATCTCAAACACCTCAGGACCGGCAAAGTCCTCCACCAAAGTCACCCAGAAAACATCCTGGGCAGAAACCGCCAACCTGGATTCCCATAGGACCATCCCAGTCACAAGTCAGCATCTTTACCGGCAACGCTGGAGGCCCAGCGTCACCAGCAATCTCAACCCGGTCCGAGGAAACCAATTCAGCCCTCAGTCCGGGTTCGATTGACCGTGTCTTTCCTGTTCGCTCCGCCGTTACGATTGACCCAACAGCCACCCCTTTGCCCAGGGGAGAGCAGGGGTCTGGCTTTCCTGGCTTCAGACCTGTGTCTCATGCAAGAAGGCCAACCCGTACTGCCGATGTGACCGGGTCGCCACCAAGTGGACCATCAGCAAGGACAATGTCCGTCTCGGAAACGTCAGAGCCCTCTATTTCGGGACAGCAGCGCCGCCGACGACAGTCACCCGACAGCCAGATAGCCATCGACGTCGATACTCAAGTTGTCACAAATCTTTTGATTGGAGATGACCAGTCGCAAAAGTCTGAGGTTTCGAGCATATCTGGGGGTGTCGCGGTCGGTTCCTTACAAGAACCAACTCTGGTCACCGCGCGCTTTAAGCACATAGTGACGGACGGCGGCCACGCGGTCATCACTGGTAGAGACGGTGAAACATTACAGCGCTGCGAGGACGAACCTATACACATTCCGGGCGCCATTCAAAGTTTCGGGCTCCTTGTTGCCTTGCGCGAAGAAGAAGAAAAGTTTGTGGTTCGAGTTGTTAGCGAAAACTCGGCTAAGATCATTGGCTATACGCCTCAGGAGTTGTTCCAACTGACTTCGTTCTTGGACATTTTCAGCGACGAACAAGCAGACAATCTCTTGGATCATCTAGACTTTATTCGGGATGAGGGCGCCGGAGATGTCGTTGCTAACGGACCGGATGTGTTCATGCTTACCATCAGGCCTCCTCATTCCAGAAGCCGCAAGCTGTGGTGTGCCATGCATTTATCAGAGAGCGATCCTGGTATGATCATATGCGAATTCGAGATTGAAGACGACAAGGCCAATCCTCTGCGCCCCCCAGAGGAAGAGACCCCTGATATTCCGGAAGACACGCTTGGAAGCAAGCCGACAGATGAAGAGTTTATCGACAGTACGGTCAATATCAGCAGACCCCTTCGCGTTTTGCGTAGTGCACGCAAGAAACGTTCCGAAGCGGCTGCCATGGAGGTTTTCAACATTATGTCCCAAGTACAAGAGCAACTGGCCACTGCGCCGACTCTGCCAATATTTTTGAAGGTCTTGATAGGCATAGTAAAGGAGCTCACCGGCTTCCACCGAGTGATGATCTACCAATTCGACCAAGCCTGGAATGGGCGTGTTGTGGCCGAATTAGTAGACCCGAGGGCCACTCGTGACCTTTACAAAGGCCTCAACTTTCCTGCGTCAGACATTCCTAAGCAGGCGAGAGATCTATATAGGATCAACAAGGTTCGTCTACTTTACGATCGAGATCAAGAGACGGCTCGGCTGGTGTGCCGGACGATGGAAGACCTGGAAAAGCCTCTTGACATGACCCATGCCAATCTGCGAGCTATGTCGCCCATCCACCTGAAGTATCTGGTCAATATGGCCGTGCGCTCTTCCATGTCGATATCGATCAACGCATTCGATGAATTATGGGGTCTCATCGCTTGCCATACATATGGGCCAAAGGGGATGAGGGTCTCGTTCCCAATCCGTAAAATGTGTCGCCTCGTTGGTGATACTGCCTCTCGCAATGTCGAGCGCCTGTCGTATGCATCAAGGCTCCAAGCACGGAAGCTCATCAACACAACCTCCTCTTCCACCAATCCGTCAGGCTACATTGTGGCGTCGTCCGAAGATCTCTTGAAGCTATTTGATGCCGACGTTGGCGTGCTGTCAATACGCGATGAAACCAAGGTCATGGGAAGGTCGGGAGGGCATCTGCAGGAAGTCCTCGCCATGGTGGAATATCTACGAATGAGAAGAATGACCTCGGTCTTCTGTTCGCAGGACATATCAAATGACTTTCCCGATCTCCGATACGAGCCGGGATGGAAATATCTCGCCGGTGTGCTGTACGTTCCACTCTCTAGTGGCGGGGGGGATTTCATTGCGTTCTTCCGCAAAGGAGTTCTCCAAGAAGTCAAGTGGGCTGGCAATCCCTACGAAAAATTCGTCAAGGAAGGCACCGAAGGCTACCTTGAACCTCGAACCAGTTTCAAAGCGTGGAGTGAGACTATCGTTGGCCGGTGCCGTGATTGGACTGATGAGGAGATCGAAACGGCATCTGTTCTCTGTCTTGTCTACGGCAAGTTCATTGACGTGTGGCGGCAAAAGGAGGCTGCGCTCCAAAATAGTCAGCTCACTCGGCTCTTGCTTGCAAATTCTGCTCACGAAGTTCGGACCCCTCTTAATGCAATCATCAATTATCTCGAGATAGCATTAGAGGGACAGTTGGATCAGGATACACGGGAAAATCTGGCACGCTCACATTCGGCCTCGAAATCTCTGGTCTATGTCATCAATGATCTTTTGGATCTCACCAAGACAGAAGGCGGCCAGAATCTGGTCAAAGACGAAAGTTTCGATCTGCTCGCTGCACTTAAAGAAGCAACAGATCCTTTCATTGGCGATGCAAAGCGCAAAAACCTGGATTATCATGTCTCCATCGCACCTGAGCTACCCCAGAGAGTAGTGGGTGACCATCGACGAGTCCGTCAAGTTGTGTCAAATCTCATTGCCAACGCGATTCAGCACACAAATCAAGGGAGAGTGATTGTAGAAGCTTCTTTGTCAGAGATGTCGTCGCGAGAGGATAAGACAGAAGTGGAAATCGTAGTCGAAGACTCTGGCGTTGGCATGTCCCAAGCAAAGGTCGACGCTCTGTTTCGAGAGCTAGAGGAAGTCACCTACGAAGAAGATACCCCGGATATGAACCTACTGTCTGATAGTCCGTTTTCTGGACCAGAGTCTACAAATGCACAGGTGACATTGGGACTTGGGCTTGCTGTAGTGGCGAGAACAATCCGACACATGCATGGACAACTTCGCGTAAAAACTGAGGAAGGCAGAGGCTCACGTTTTGTCATTCTTCTGAGTTTTGATACTGAACACGCAAGTGAGGACAAGCCGAGCTCTGCACACCCTCCACCGTCTCCATCGGCTCGCTCCACCACGGCAACTGATACAAACACCAAGGACGGCGAGGTTACATTAGTCTACCGGAATCCAAAACAACGGATGGAAGCAAACACAATGACTCGAAAGGAAAGTGCCGAGAGCATGCACAGCGTCAATAGCCTACGCAGCGGGAAGAGCGGGAAGAGCGCAGTCAGCATGAGGAGCGACGTCAGCCAGAAGAGTGATGCGGACAGGCTCATTGATGCTATTCAAGAACCCCTGCGCCTTTTCGAAGAGAAGGCCAATACAACGGATGGGTACGTTAGGGGAAAGCGTACTTCCATCAGCTCTAGCACCATCCCACCTCCGGAACCATCGTCACCAACCAGGCTCAAAGCAGTGTCTTCCCCTCAGACACCCAGGCCCCATTCAATCATGAAACACCCTGGCGTTGAAAAAGTGGCGGACTCTGGTACTCCTCTTCGACCCGTTAGGATGCCTGACGAGTACGCGGAAAAGACTGAACCGCCTAAAACTGGAGCAAAGGTGCTCTTCGAGGAGCCGGAGTCAATAGGAGCACCATCCGACACTACGGAAACATCGCGATTTGGCGCATCCGACAATTTCTCAATCTTGGTTGCGGAAGACGATCCCATCAACAGCAAGATTATGAAGAAGCGGCTAGAAAAGCTGGGACACATACCCCATATGACAGTCAATGGTGAAGAGTGTGCCTCGGCTCACGGTGAACAGCCTGCTTCGTTTGACGCCATATTGATGGATTTGCAAATGCCGATCGTGGACGGGTTCAGTTCTACTAAAATGATCCGTTCATTTGAGAAGACGCATTCGGGCACTTGTCTGTCGAGCAGAGCTCGGGAGATTGGCAGAATTCCCATATTTGTGGTCTCGGCCTCTTTGGTTGAAAGGGAGCGTGACAAGTACATTCAGACTGGGTTCGATGGCTGGATATTGAAGCCTGTAGATTTCAAAAGAGTAAACCAGTTGCTCAAGGGCATCGTCGACCCGGAGGCACGGAATGCTTGTTTTTATGAGAAAGGCAACTGGGAAAGGGGTGGGTGGTTCAGATCCTCCAAAGATCAGCACGACCCTTTCGAAGTCGATACTCATCCTAGCCTGGAAAAGCCCGTGGCTGAAGCAGAAAAAGATCGAAAAGGATCCGACGCTTCAGCCTCGTGACCCTGTCCAGCATGAGTCCAAGAATCAACTGCTTCCGTTGTATCAGGAAGACACGGGGTCGTGTCATGACGCTACAGTACTCTTGAGAGCCTGAGACATCACCTAGAGCAGAAACGAATACAGCAAGTCCTCGATGCTAATACGCTTGCTAATCATGCCCTCTTCTCAATCCCGAAAAGCCACGACGTTACTGATGAACGTGGGCATTCCAGATTTTGTCATCGTGGGAAGTATAGATGGAAGGCATGGTGTTGGAAGAGGCCACGTTCAGACCTTTCTGCCTGCGCACCTACCCGGTAGTACTTTGGACATGGAATACAAGGCTTGGGTTTTCACGTTTACAAAGAATAGAATCTGCATCATGACAAGGACGGGAGAGGTATGACTAGGTGTGATATGAACGCGAACGTGTGTACGTTTATTGCATGACCAGAGGCAAGCAGAGAGACTTTTGTATGGCAGACAGAGCCGGTAGTTTAGACACACGGCCAACGGTACGGAGTACTGTATGCATAGTATCATTGACTGCCGATCGTCCAGAAGTGGTTTATCTACCTGCACGTAGTTGATCGATTCGAGTTACCCAGAAATCACCTAGGTAGGGCTCAGTTCTTCTTTCTGGCACTGAACGATTTCAAGGGATCGTGTTTTGGTTTCTTTCCTCCGTTCCGACCACCACCGCTGCGTACACCTCTTCGGGTCTTGCCCTTCTTCCTTCCATTCTGGTCACGCTTGTTCAGCCCGACGAAGCCAACGTCGGCACTCGACCCCGCCTTGTTGTTGCGGCCCTGCGCGGCGGCAGGCATGAGGTAGTCCGGGACGTGCTTGAGGTGGGACTGCTGGCGGACCACGGCGCCGTGTTCGCCGTCGTGCCGCAGGTGGCGGAGGTCGCCGGGGTTCTCCTCGAAGTGCCGGCGGAGCTTCTCGCTCTTGATCAGCTCCTGCTTGATCTCGCGGGCGCGGGCCTCGTGGACGGCGGCGCGGGTGACGGCGCGCAGGGCGTCGTTCATCCGGTACCGGAACGCGTCGACCTGGCCCATGTCGAAGTCGTAGGGCCGGACGGCGTTGCCCTTCTTCCCCTGGCGGGCCTCGATCTTCGCGAGGACCCGCTCGTCGTGCCGCGCCGAGGCGACGCTCGTGGCCTTGTGTTTCCCGTACAGGTCCGAGGGGACGGCGAAGGAGAGCGACATGCCCGCCTTGCCGGCGCGCGCGGTCCGGCCGATGCGGTGCGTGTACGACTTGGAGGTGCGCGGGAGGTCAAAGTTGATCACGCACGCGACGTTTTGGAAGTCGATGCCTCGCGAGACGCCGTAGTCCTTTTGGGAGTTGGAGACCTTGACCTTTTTGGTCGGACGGGATGTGGTGGTGCCTTCACCTTCGAAGTTGGCTCCACCACCGACATCGTCGTCCTCATCTTCATCTTCTTCGTCGCTGATGTCCTTCTCCTGGCCTTTTCCAGAGGTGGGAGGACGTCGTCCTTTGACAACGCCACCCAGAACTTCTTGGTCGTCTGCCGCGATGAGGATATCGTAGAGTCCCTTATTGAACTCTTGGACCACATGGAGTCGAGAGTTGACGGGCAATTCGGCGTTCAGGACGCATGACTTGATTCCGAATTGTTCCAGGTAGAGCTTCAGTCTGTAAGCCCTGTCCACGTCGGCGACGAATATGAGGCTCTTCCCCTGGACTAGGCGGAGCTTGAAGACGACAAATATGAGTAAGAACTTCTCGTCCTCGCCGCACCGCACCACGTATTGTGTCACCCCTTCGCCTTTTTCTTCCTTCTCGTCGATCTTGACGACGATGGCGTCACGACAGAACATTGACTTGATCTCGTCTACTTCCGGGGTCAGTGTCGCACTGATGAGGAACGTCTGTACGTCGCGCGGCAGTGCCGCAGAGACGGCAGCCATGTCGTCTTCGTATCCGTAGGAGAGGACAATGTCTGCCTCGTCGATGACGAGTTGACTGATGTTTTCCAGTGAGACCTCGCCTGCGTTCATGTACTGCGTGACCCTGCTCGGCGTCGAGACGATGATGTCTGGAGAATCCTGCAGGACGGCGTGAAGGACCGCATCGGAGACTCGCTGTGTCAAGTTCAAGGAATTGATCTCTTTCGCACAAAAGGCCGAGAACGTGCCGAAAGTCCTGTGGACCTGGTCTGCGAGTTCTCGTGTCGGGACTAGGACGAGGGTAGAGATCGTCTTTTGGGGAGCGGCTCTTTTGCGACGAAGGAGGGATTGGAGGACCGGGAGGACGTAGGCGGCCGTTTTACCAGAACCGGTCTTGGATTTGGCCAGTATATCTTTGCCTTCGAGGGCAAGTGCGATTACTTTGGCTTGGACGGGCGTCGGCGTAGAAAATTGGGATTTGGCAACGGCTTGCATCAATCGAGCGTCGAGCCCGAAGGCATCAAAAGATGGCCCGGGCTCGTCAACCTCTGGACTTCCGGGTACCTCGACGGTTGGTGCATCGTTGGTGTCGAGTTTGCGTTTCATTGTGTCGGCAGATCACAGAGACTTCATCAAACTCCTCTGAAGTGCAACGCTGGATGAGTGGGAGACAGATTGCTGTTGTTGTCGTGTCACATGGGAAAAAAGTTCTGATGTGTAAAAGTCGGACGGCTGCCCACATACGGAGTACAAACTAGACTACGCCGCTTTAACAGCCTCGTGCATTATTCTAGCCCAAGCACTATTCAGCCTCGTCGTTTGGCTACGAATCCTGAAGTTCTTTCTACATGCCTGGACTTTGTACGTGTACCTACCATAGATATGTAGAAGAGGTAAATTCTAGCAGTCGCTCCCCAGGCTCCCGCTCCACCAGTGTCGGGCTTAGCCATGAGTGGGTGTATAGGAAACGGTGATTTAATATTGTCATGCTCTTTCCTTGCCATCAACAAAGAAATGCTGTAGTCGTGGGAGTGACGCGGCCACTGATATACAAGGGGCAGGAGCTCGTGTAGGGGAATATAGCAAGAGCAACACAACTCTCTCTGCCCTATTTCTTGCTCTTCCTCCTCTTCAAACATTCTCTACTTTCTTCATAGTTCTCGTCTTCCACCAAGTCTTCCCTTGTTCGCCCAAGTCTTCCCTTCTCCCACCAAGTCTTTCCTCATTCTCATCAAGTCTTCCCTTCTTCCACCAAGTCTTTCCTCATTCTCATCAAGTTTCTCAAATGCCATCATGTCTTCCTTCTTCTCTTCTGACTCATATTGGTCCTTTGGGTCTCCGTATTCGACACGAGCATTCATCTAGACATGCCATGTCGATCAGAGAGGCTCTCTCAATGCTCAACAAGTCAAATTTGGCGATGTTTGGTCATCGTCCCATTTCAAAGGCAGGGTTCCCCCAGAATCCATATGAGGAAACATACTTCCCTTGAGAGTATTGCGGCTTCGGTCGCTTTACAATGAGGAGAAAGTCATCCTTCTGAGGACACTCGGGTGGTTCCGGGTTTTTTTTCGCTCTTCGGACGACTTTTTGCTATCCGCACCTGCTCAGCATTTGCTGACAAAAAAAACCTGCTTTTAGGTCTCGATCTGCATGTGTATACTCCCTCACATCGAAGCCCTCACGTCGAAGCCCTCACGTCGAAGCTCTTCCACCTCCATGAGCGGGTTCGATATTTCGTGGAAGGATCAGGTGTACACGGCAGGTCTGAGGGAGCACACATTGGAATATTAGGTGACTGCTTGAATATAGGGGCTTGAACATGGCAGGATGGGCAGCTGGAGCGAAGAGGCTAGTATCTTTGCAGCTCGTAGATTAGACCTTGGGTATCCGGTACAGAAGAATGACATATTGTGTCCAATATCTAACGTTTGCGTCTCGACGTAACGACAGTATTTCTTTGAAAGTTGATTTCGTGCTGTGCAAAACATAATCCATCCACGCATGCCTACCTGGTAGTTGCCTCACCAACCTGTGTTCGTCCGCTCGAAGTTTCTTGCAAGTCCAAAAGTAAGCAGGACTGGTGCGCGAACTGACTCGCCTACTTTGGTATCCTCAATCACAGGTTCGAGACTTCGGTTTAGAGGTCTTGCCAGTCTACGACGAGATGGTGCGTGTCCTGATACAACCTCAGCAGGCATGGGATCCCATGAAATGGTGCCTCAGGATGGCCCTCGATTTGACGCTTGCCAAGACAATCGACTGTGCCGGTGCTTGGCAATGTCTAGAGAACCAATATCATCATTGACACGTCAAATTAAAGACTACCCTTGAGAGGAGAAAGTCACCCTTGAAAAAGAAGAAAGCGGGAAAGAATGATCTTCGCTAGGCCTGGAACTTTTATACCTGCTGAGCACTCGGGAGCCTAGTCTAACTATATCAGGAATAGTGTTTCGGGGTCTCGTTCCTCGTGCGGAGAGGATGGGTAAAGGCGGCGTCACCATTTTTCCCAATTGGAAGAGAATGAGTTGGAGAAAAAAAAAGTTGGGTGGTGGTCGAGTTCCTCCGCAGACCAACGGATGTAAAAATACCAATACTCACAGGAAGGCCTTGTTGCATGGGTAGGCATTCACTCAATTAACAACAACCGTGAAACCATGGTCGCACCAACAAATGCCAAGAAGGCAGACGACAGAAGGAACCAGACTGATGCCCTTGAGAAAGATGAGGTCGAGCTGCGATTAGAGAAGGCTCTGTTTGGCGACGATGCTGGCTTTCTAAATTCTTTGGCTGGACGGAAGCCACAGCAGGTGGAGGGAGCATCAACACGTGTATATGGTAGTAGTGACCTCGAAAGTCCAAGACTCGAAGACCAACAAGACAATTTGAGCGATGTTGCAGACGAAGACGTGAGTACGGCCGCGTGAATATTCGTTCTTTTCGTATGTTGCTGTCCTCTGACGATTGTGTGTGTCCTAGCTCTTTTTCCTTGACGCAGGAACCGGAGAACGTCCAATACCGGTATCCAAGGATCTGGAACACACCGAGCCTTTGCACTCTTCTTCCCACGCCCAGCCAACATGGTACGATAGCGACGACGATCGCATCACAGTCTCACTCGCATCACACACTCGGCTACGCAAACTACGCGACACAGAGAGCGACGACGTTGTGAGTGGCAGGCAATATATTCAGCGCCTCCGCAGGCAGTATGAAAGTCTACATCCCACGCCGGACTGGGTGAAGTATGCGAGGAAAAGGAGAAAACTATCTGCACAAGATGATGGGGACAAAGACACAGATTCGGACGTATCCATGGACGAGGGGAGCGACTCTTTACCTTCTGCGCAACCACTCTCGGAACTACTGCGCTCAGCCGGGTCATTGACCTCTACAGCCAGACAACCTTCTCAAGAACAGAAGGGCCCGCGAAAACTGCGACCAGAGGTAATCGATATCCAAAGGACCAAAGACGTCGCAGCCTCGGGCCCGTCCTCCATCGACAGTCTACAATTCCACCCTTACTACCCTCTCCTCCTCGCCGCCGGGCCCAGTTCAACGGCCACAATCTACCACGTATCCCCTCACCCTCCAAATCCCAACCCGATTCTTACCTCGTTACATCTCAGAGGCACACCCATCCACACCGCTGCGTTCTGCCGCCCCTCATCCAGCACGGCTGTCACGGATGCGGAGCACGATCAAACGCACATCTTCCTCTCCTCTCGCCGACGGTACTTCCACTCGTGGTCTCTCTCCACGGGTGGGGTGAAGAAAGTCACCCGTGCACTGTACGGCGACACGCGCAAGGAGCAGAGAACCATGGAATCGTTCAAGGTCTCCCCGTGCGGACGGTACATCGGGCTGGTCGGCTCGTCGCGCAAAGGTGGCGGGAGCATCAACGTGCTCTCGACAGAAACGATGCAGTGGGTATGTAGTTGTCGGGTCGACTCGCGAGGCGGCGTGGCGGACTTTGCGTGGTGGCGCAACGGCAACGGGTTTGCGGTGGTCGGCAAGAACGGTGAAGTAAGCGAATACGACATCGACTCTCGCCGGGTCGTGGCACGCTGGATCGACGAGGGCGCCGTCGGGATCACGGTGATTGCTTTGGGCGGAGAACCCTCCCCCGGCCAGGCATGCCGTGGTGGAAGTCGTTGGGTGGCCGTTGGGTCTTCGAGTGGCGTGGTGAACCTGTACGATCGCCGAGGATGGAGCACGGAAGCAGCTGAAGGTGCAGCTACTACTAACCCCCCGGGAACGGACGAACGGCCTAGGCCGGCGCGTGTGCTGGAGCAACTGGTCACACCGATCTCGCACATCGAATTCTCCGACGACGGTCAGATGCTGGTCATGGGTTCGAGGTGGAAGAAGGGTGCCCTCAGACTGGTTCACCTGCCAAGTTGTACCGTGTACCGCAACTGGCCGACGGACAAGACGCCGCTGGGGAGAGTCAGTGCCGTTGCCTTGTCGCCCGATGGGAGGTATCTTGCCGTGGGCAACGACCAGGGGAAGATCAAGTTGTGGGAGATAAGCGAGTAGATTCTTGTCGGACTATATTGATTTGATATCATGTCATTTTGATTTTTTTTGTTCCATTCTAAAGTTAACAAGTTACTTGTGTTTTCCGTTCCAAGATGCTTGTGTGTGAATGTAGACGTCTATATTTGCAAAAGTCGCCCTTTTACCCCCTTATCCCCTTATTCCCTCTAGCCTTTCGTCGTTGGTTGGCATGTGTTGACATTGACTAACGTCTTCTCTCTCGCTCTATTTCAACCAAATGTCAAACTTGCTCGGGTCGCGCACACCGGCGGTGTTGCCCGCCTTGATTCTCTTCAACGTCAGGGCCGCGATCAGGGCCGCACCGACACCACTGCCGTCCTCGGACGGCAGGATGCTGACGGGGTCCTTCTTGCCCTTGGGCCAGTCCAGGATCTCGCGCAGCGCTTGGGCGCCTCGGGCCTTGAAGTGCGGGTACTTTGTGAAGACGGAGCCGTCGGCGCCGACGTGGCAGGACTCGATGTTCTTCTTCTTGCAGATGGCGGCCACGCCGCACGCCGAGAGGCGAGCGGCCCGGGTGCCGATCAACTCGGCCAGCCGCCGGCACAGTTCGAGCTCGGGCTTGGTGGCGTTGATGCCCAGCTTCTCCCTGAACATGTCGTGCGTCTCCTGCAAGTTCTCAAAGGGGTCCTCCTCGATGAAGGCGGGGAAAGACGCGTCCAGGGTGTAGGGTTTTCGGAGTTTCGAAATGTCCTGACCTTCAAACAAGATGTTTTTGTTCTCGTGCAGGTCGACCACGACCAAGCGGAAAATCTCGCCGAGGTAAAGGCCGGCGATCATCTTCTCAAAGGCCTGCTGACCGGGCCGCGGGGAGTTTTCGTCGATGATCGTGTCGTATTTCGTGATGGGGAGCACCTTGTGGTCGTTGTCGAACGCACCGTACTCGCAGTTGATGGCCATGGGCATGTCGTCGGGAAGGTTCATGTGCTTCAGCTTCGGTATCGAACCGCAGTTCTCCATGTAGGCCGCGTTACAGCCGGTGCCGAAGATGCAGCCAATCTTCATGGACTGGTCCGTGTATGCGGAGGCGATCATTGTCCCCGTGGTGTCGTTGATCAAGGCGGCGAGTTTGATGGGGAGTTTCTAGAACACAGACGTGGGTCAGCACAACACGACTCCTTCTTTCCGTATCCAATAAAGGTGTCAATCCTTACCCTTGCATCGAGGGCGGCTTGGAACTGAGGAACCACGTCCTCTCCCTCGACACCTGAAATGTCAAACCCTTTTGTCCACCTTTGCAGAATACCATGGTCGATGTAGTCTTGGGTAGCGGGGTAGGAAAAGGTGAAACCGAGAGGCAGGGCGGTGAGGTCACCTTCCTCGTGGTGGTACTCGATGAACTGCTGGAGACAGTCCGCAATGTACTCCCACAGCTCTTCGGCCGTGCCCGTCTTGAGCTCCTCGGGCATCCTGTACTTGCTCTGGATGATGTCGAACTCGCCCTTCTCTTCCGTGAGGGTGATCTCGCACACTCGGAGGTTCGTGCCGCCCATGTCCAAGGCGAGGAAGGTCCCCTGCTCGTCTCCGTCAGGGAAGCCCATGACCCACGTCGGGTTCATGGGGATGTTCTGCCCATCTTTCTCCAGACCGGCGGTCAATTCGCCGACGAAGTGGTCGGTGATCTGCTTGAGCTTGGCCGTGTCGACGGTGAAGAGGTTCTCGAGGTTTTCAATTTCCTGCAAGAGATTCTTTGGCACATCGGCCATGGAACCTGTGTAGCCACATTTCTTGTCAGCAATCTTTCCACTACAGCATCCCTGAAGTAAATTTCAAAGAATGCGAGTCGGTGACACATACCCTTGCGGGACGGCTGGCGTTTTGGGCCCAGACCAACCATGTCGGCGACTGAACTGGAGGTCTTTTTCTGGTTATGGTGTGAGGATGATGATATATCCGAGAATGGTTCTGTTCGTCCTGGATGAGCTTGACCGTAGCAATTCAACGAAGATTGAAAAAAGAAAAATGCTCAAACGTGGAATTGTTGATGAGATTTGGCGGGGCAGCGGGAGCTCGATTTTAAGGGACGCAGGCGAAATAATCAATAATAGCACAAGCGATGGAGGGGATGATCATCGTATTCATCAAGCAAATCGTCATTGGGGACTTTGGAATATCTTTATTATGATGCTATGCGAGCATCCTTTCCGACCTGTAGCTAGTTGAATGACTGCTGCTCTTGTCTGCCTTTTCATATTCTCATTCCATCCCATGCAGTCATCGACTTCAATCAATCTCTGTGCAGTCTGTTGTTCATTGGCCTCATTAGCCAACAGTCTCTGGGCCCGTAAAAGCAAATCTGTTCGTGTGTATCCTGACTAACCAATGCCGGCTGACTCAATGTTCCCGCCCTCGAGAACAAATCACATCGTTCCTCTGGCTACCTATTCTTTCTTCCTTGGACCATTCGAGCTTGGTTATTTCGTCGCACCTCTCAATCCTCATCGATGGGGATGATGTCGACAGGACTCTGCGCCGGGCTGTGGCCCATGATCCAATCTTGGACTCTCCATCGGTTTGGTCCTTGTGCCGGGTCTCGTCGAGGATCCGCCTGAGCGACGTCTGCAAGGGCTTTGAACAAGACGACACGAACTGGACGAGACCCGTCGGCAAGGAAGGTTTCGAACATGACGTTGATGCGCGCGAACTCGGTGAAGCCTTGAGTGGAGATTTCGAAGGCGATCTGGTCGATCAAATACTGCATCATTGGCACAGTGTGTTTCTCGGGGGATTCTGCGAGTCGGTTGACGAGCCAGATGAGATCCTCAAAGTTGACATTGTACTCTCGGTGGTAGTGTCGAAGGCAATTGATCAGGGCATCTTGCAAGTCGACGATACGATATTGCAAGGCCAGGACGTATGCGCGCAACAGTGTTTTACACTCGGATCTGATCGATGGAGGGGTAGGAGCAATGTTATAAAGCCAATTGACAACGACTTCAAACGCTCTCGGCTCATAGACATATCCTTCCAAGTGATACGCCGGCTTGGAAGGCGATGTCTGTGGAGTTGTTGGTTCAGTAGTGTCTGTGGCTGGAGCACTTCCACCATCCTCTCTCTTGATGATCTCAGGGCTCAGAGTCCTCTCGATGTCGCCACGGCGTTCTCTTTCTTCGCTGACACTGCCGCTGCCGTTGACGTGATTGTTGTCTCCATCATTCGACTTGTGGACTTCAAAGAAGGCTGTTGTCTCAAGTTGTGCGTAGTGAACGTGGAATGAATCTCTGCCACGGCCCACCGTGATGTGCAGCGTCTGCCGCGAATACTTGTTTCTGGATGACGGCGTCGTGGGTGGCATGGTGACGACAACGACTATGGTGATGCTTTGGATGGAAAAGATGGATAACGTTCGAGGAAAGAATAGAGGAATGGAAGGAAAGTTGAAGACGAAGGATGACTTTGTAGAGTTGTGAAAAGAAAACTGCCGATCTAGAGACTGAAGCACTTTCACTTGACAATGAAGTGAAGTGCTTTGTGGAAAATCCTCAGATCGATCTGAATTAGAAGTGAGGTTTGAGCGAGAGTGCCATACTTGAAGAACAAGGGCGCTGGCTACCTATGAACAACTGGCTGTCTCAAGAAGGCCTCGAGCAGGTTTATATCGATGTCGAGACTTTGATTTGCGTATAAGCATCAAAGAGGTTCTTCATACGCTTAATCTAACAGTCATCTATTCACATCGCGGCTATCACGACCATGTTCTCACAGTACTATATACGGAGTACAACGACTGTGTTGTGACGTCCTGTAAGTGAATGATTCAACGTCGTCTGCTTGCTCCGCCCTCTGCTGCGCCAGCTCGATCAGATATATTGACAATCTCGCCGATCCCAGCAGCCTCTTGCTCATCTTCCAGGTCACGGATCTCTTCTCGGCAATCCCACCATCTGTCTTCCGCTTGCTCGAACGCTGCTTTGCGAAGCTCTTTGACGGATTGATCTACTGCACCCTTTTTGCTTTCGATCACCAGTCTCTGCCACTCTTCTGACGTTCGCGCATAGAAGTCTCGCAGTGACTCAAAGGGACGAGGATACGGCCGTGAGTCCTTCGATGCATCAGATTCTGTTTCAACCTCTATTGCTGCTTCGGGTTCAGGGACCGGAACAGTGACTTCTGTTGGCGCAGTGGACGGTGCATCGACGGACATGGTCTCATCTTCATCTGTGTCCATGTCTGAATCCTCGTCCTCGTCTTCATCATCATCCATTTCATCGTCACTATCTTGGGTGGTGACGTTCCAGTTGGCTGGTTCGACGTAGTATAGTTCTTTCACTCCGTCAAGTTTACCAAGATCTATGGCGTAGAGATCGGAAAATGTGATCTCGACATCCTTCTTCTCAAAGGTGCCTCCAAAAATGTATAGAACATCATCCTGGACCGTCAATTGCGCATTGAAGCGAGGATGTGGCATTTCGAAGCGTACAGGATACTCCTTTTTGTTCGGAGGTGATTCCTCTCGGGCCTCTTCAGACTGGTTGAGATTCAGGTCCTCCATCGTAGTTATTGTGCCTTTAGTTTCAAGGGCCGCAAGGTTTCGTAGAAGTTCTTCCTCGTCGGCTTTCCCTCTGTCCCGGCCTCGAGCTGCCTGATTCTGTTTCTTGTTCCCCGCTTTCGGTCGTCTGAGTGTAAGTGGGAAGAAGCGGTTGCGGTCAATATTCCAGATGAACATTTCATTGAAGAGTTCACTGTCAATACCCTCTTCGCTTTCCTCAACATCATGAACACCCCCTAATAGTACGCCACGTCCTTTATGAAAAGACATTGTTGCTCCAGCACGAGGTGGATTAGGCGCATTGGCTGGCCGTTTTCGTCGTTCCCAACGCAACGTGGGAGCTGTACCACTGGGAGCATCCGAGGGAGGGGGTGTTATTCTGAGGAACCATGTATCTTGGTGGACGACTGGCTTCAGAACATTTCTGACAAGTTGCCCGCCTCCTTTTCCTTGCTTGCTACTTGTAGCTGTCACTTTGACTCGCGAGTAGCCTCCGTAAAGGACAGCACCCGACTCGTGAGGCAGAAAGGTAAAGGACGACCTCGCATCGGGTTTCTGTGCTGCTGGAGGAAGTTTGAATTCGTGCCAGAGATTCTCCTTGCAGTCGAAGATCCAGGTATCATTGAGGTATTTGGTCTGTTGAGACGTATCTTGGAAACCACCGAAAAGCACCACATAGTTTTTGAAATAGGTCATTCTGTGGCCACTGCGCGCTGGAGGGCTCTTGTTCTTCCCTTTCGGCTCTAGTTTCGTCCACTCCCTAGTATCGGTGTCCAAATGCCAGAAATCGTGGTAATGGTAAAACTGGTTCTGCTTGGGTGAGGAAAACTCGCCGCCGGATATGTAGATACCTCCTGTGTTTCCTCCCCGGCACGCTGCATGCCCACTACGAGGAAGAGGACTGTTGCCTGAACTCACTTGATGCCACTCACCTCTGTCAATCAAGTAGACAAAGAGGTCGTTGTAGAAAGAGGCTGTCGTGCCATCATGATACTCTCCGCCAAACAGAAATAGCTCGTTACGGCTCGACGGTGATGCAGTCAGAGTACTTGATGATCTCGGCCCTGGCGGGGCGCACTGAGACTCTGTGACTTTGAGAAACTTGGCCTGCTCTTCAGCATAGGCTGCGAGGACGGCGTCAAGGTCAACATCGTCATCGGCATCTGAGTCAACATTGAGAGCTGCTGCTTTTGCTTTATTCTTCTTCTCGCCTTTTGCAGCTTTCTTTGATTGCTTTGCCAGCTTCTGAGCTTTTTGCTCTGCTGACTTGCCCTTCTTTTTGGGCATTTGCGCTCGTCAAGGCACTGGGTTTCTTCGGATTACCAAAAACCGCAGTGAGATTTGAGCCTCTAAGCAGAACACAAGTGTCGAACTATTGCGATAATACGCTCGCCCACACTTGCAGTGTTAGAGAATCAAGCAGTATTCTCGTCATGTATCATATGTAGAATTGTATAATTGGAAGTAAGTTAGGTAGAGATCGAAGACAGCCGGCCATGAAGAAACCCACAGAAAATATGATCACGTGTTACCGCTCTACGATCAATTCTATAAGCCAGTGGTCAATCACCACCAAACGCGTGTTTATCGCACTTCACGCGTTTCGGGGACCTCGATAGGCAGCCAGGTCCATGGTTCACTACGACACCCGAGTCTACTACTTTGCATCTGCCATTACCAGCTGCCCTTCTTCTTCAAGGTTGGAAATGCAGCACGATGCGACGACCCTATGACCAAAAACAACCTTAGCCACTGTCTTGCATGGCTTCTACAGCACCCACACTCTTTTGACCATTTAGAGCATATATCTGTAGTTGCCAATACTGCCAGTGCGCAATACGATGAACCACCTGAGACATCGAACGATGAGATGGCAAGATTGCAGTTTGCTCCGCAGCCGCAGTCTCGTTCCAAGTTGATGTTACAACCAAACCAGAATACTGTCTTGCCGACTCCGAACCCCTCTCGTGCCTCTGAAGAGCGCAAACCCTCTCCGAGTCGCGTCAGACGAACATTCGAGACGCCTTCGGCCCGGCTACTCTCTTCTCGCCCACGAACACCAGTAGGGACCTTTGAAGAAACGAAAGATATCATTGACATCGACGAGATTGACCTGACCGAGGAAGCCACTGGCTCTTCCTTTGAAGAGTTCGGCCCACCCACCAGGTTATGGAAAGAAAGCTCGGCTTCGAGGGTGGAGCCACTATCTAAGAAGAAAGGGAAGAAGAGAAAGAGCGACGAATACAAGTCAGATTTGCTGTCTCCGAGTTCACTTCGGAATTCAAGTAAGCGTGTCGAGAAGGCTTTAAAACCATGCAGCGTTTCAAGAGCCGGAAGCAGCCCGCGCCGGGCCTTGAACAAGGAAAACACCTTCGAAGAAAGAAGCCCTTCCAGGCCAAACAAAACTCCCCTTGCTGCTCCTGTGGAAGAAGAGGAAGATGAAGACGAATTCCCGGATGCTGGTTTCAGCCAAGATCTTCAGTTCTACGATGCAATGGATACTGGTTTGAATGAAGCACTCGATCAACCACTTTATCCAGCAGTGCGCCATTTCGTTCCAACAATCTCTCAGCGGCATCCTGTCTTGACGGCCCTACCGATCAAAGATCAACAGGATATCAGCCACCTTTCACACACAATTGACCCAACTCAGGGAATACCGCGATCATCTCAGTCACATAGCCATCTCAAATTATCGCAGACACCTTCCCAATCATTCCCTCCAGCCAGCAAATTTGGATCTTCTCAGCAGACTAAATCAAAGCCCGAAACAGTTTTCAAAAGCAGTGGCAGCAGCCTCAGCCAGAACAAGGATCTTACTGAGGATAAGACACGAATCATCAATAGCTTTATCAAGTCCGGTGCAAGTCTTTGCCAAAGCCTACTGGAACGGCTGCAGCAGTCCCACCGTTCTGTAAAGAGAGCAATTCTGGACGAGATTTGCGACAATGGTGGACCACCATCGCGGGAAAAGCAGGAGACTCTCAAAGATATCGAGTACAAGATCTGTGCTACGGGTCAATTGCTGGACGAGCATGGGGTACTGCAGAAGGCTCTGGATCAGCAGAATTACCTCATGAAGCAACGTTACGAGCTTGAGGAGGCTAACCACATCATCGACTTCGACGATCCTACGGATGAGCTGATGCAAATCTGCAACAATATCAGACGGACAAAGCATGATGTTGATGCTCGACGACATTCGGTATTGAATCTCTTACAGAAGGCCGGTGTTTCTATGACAAGCGAAAGTCCTCTGCCCCGGATGAGCAATAATGACCATCCGTCACCTCAGAGAGCATTAGTTGGTAAAAGCGTGCTAGTAGCATCGACGCAGAAAGCATCTCGACATATATCTCCCATCAAAACCCACGAAGACGCTCAAGACCTTACTCATTTGTCCACACAATCAGTCAGGCAAACCCCAGTCTCACAGCGAGTCGTCACTGTCGATAACAGTTTGGGACTACGAAATCCAATCCGTCCACAAAGCAGGTCGCCACAACCTTCATCTTTGCGGGCCAAGTCAGCCCATCCTCCCACGACGTTAAATGCTGTCCCACGGATTCCCGAATCTCCGCGTCAGGTCCACATGACTTCGTACGAGGATGCCGAGGAGTATGACCAGGGTTACTCTAGGACCATGGCCAGCCCTGATCGCGATTATGCTGTCAACGACGATGATTTCGGCGAATTCAGTGACGAAGACTTGATGTATAAAGTTGCGGAGGAATACGACCAGACGCTGCCAATCGCGCGCAGTGTGTCACCTTCATCTCGCGGACGTACGGCTCTGAGCGAAGTAAGTGAGAACATCCGCAGAACGTCACCGCAAAAGAGCACCACCAGGATTGACAACGCTCCTCACGCGAATCTCATGCAACATTCGTGGTCAAAAGATGTAGCCTCGGCTTTGAAAAAAAGATTTCATCTCCACGGTTTCCGTCACAATCAGTTGGAAGCTATCAATGCCACTCTTAGTGGCAAAGATGCCTTCGTACTGATGCCGACGGGCGGAGGAAAATCTCTGTGTTATCAATTGCCATCAATCGTACAGAGTGGCCACACAAGAGGAGTTACAGTCGTGGTCTCTCCGTTGCTCAGTTTAATGCAAGATCAAGTCGACCACTTGAACAAGTTGCGCATCCAAGCGGTCCTCCTCAACGGCGACAGCACTAAAGAAGCTCGGAATTATCTGCTCACCACACTCAAAGGCCCTTACCCTGAGAGGTTCGTGCAGCTGCTGTACATCACACCAGAGATGTTCAACAAGAGCCAAGCCATGGTTAGAGCCCTACAAGATTTACACCAAAAGAGGAGGCTTGCTCGTATCGTGATTGACGAGGCACACTGTGTGAGCCAATGGGGCCACGATTTTCGACCTGACTACAAAGCTCTAGGTGAGATACGCAAAAAGTTCCAAAGCGTTCCTGTCATGGCTTTGACCGCAACCGCAACGGAGAACGTGAAAATCGATGTCATGCACAACCTGGGCATGGAGCATGCTGAAGTCTTTACCCAAAGTTTCAACAGACCGAATCTCACCTACGAGGTAAGGCCCAAGGGCAAAGGGCAGGCTGTGCTGGATGGTATTGCCGAGATCATCGATACGTCATATAAAGACCAGGCTGGCATAGTCTACTGCTTGTCAAGAAAGAACTGCGAAGCTGTCGCGGAGCAGTTGAGAAACAGTTATGGAATCAATGCGCAACATTATCATGCGGGTATGTCCTCAGAGGAGAGGATCGATATCCAGAAGAAGTGGCAGGCTGGCACCTTCCTTGTGATCGTTGCCACCATTGCCTTTGGAATGGGAATTGACAAGCCGGATGTCCGCTTTGTCATCCACCACACGATCCCGAAGAGCCTGGAAGGGTATTACCAGGAGACTGGCCGTGCGGGTCGAGATGGCAAAAAGTCGGGCTGTTACCTGTACTATGGCTATGGCGATACCACTTCTCTGCGGCGTATGATAGATCAGAGCGAAGGCAGCTGGGAGCAGAAGGAACGACAAAAGCAGTTGCTAAGAAACGTGGTCCAATTCTGCGAAAATCGAAGTGACTGCCGACGGAAACAGGTTCTCAACTATTTCAATGAGCACTTTGATCCCGTTGAGTGCAAGAATGGGTGTGACAACTGCACCTCAACTAGCACATTCGTGACCGAAGACTTCTCTGACCACGCTCGAGACATTATCAGCCTAGTGAACAGAGTTCACCGTGACCACGTCACGGTGTTACATTGTGTCGATGTTTATCGTGGCGCAAAGTTGAAGAAGATTACTGACCTCGGGCACGATCAGCTTGACGAATTCGGGCGGGGCTGTGATTTAATCAGAGGAGACGTTGAGCGACTTTTCAACCGCCTGATCTGGGAGGATGCTCTAGAGCCGTTTAACCAGACCAATCGCTCTGGCTTCACGACAGAATACATAAAGCCTGGTCCCAATGCTCGCGTATTTGTGGATGGCCGCAGGCCATTGAAGATTCAAGTCCTCGCCTCTCCGTGTAACAAGTCACAGGCCAAAGTTGCGAAGTCCCGCAAGAAGACAAAAGGCACTGGAGTTATGGCGGCAGCAGATGATTATCCTGCTTCTACCAATGTGTCCTCCCCAATCCAACCTCGCTCACGTGGCAAGCTTGTTCAGCGAGGCCAGATGCAAGAGTCCGATGACGATTTTATTGTTCAATCGAGTGAGGAAGATAACATTGGTGCCAGACGGAGGGCGAAGAGGAAAGCGAATGTCGACTCACGCAGTGCGCCCATCACAACTGACGAAGATATAAGTGCTCTTAATGAAATACACCAGCATATTCTCGAAGATTTCGTCGAGAGAGCCAAAACGGATGTACAACGTATCGTGATCGCCAAATCTCTGCGGAGGAAGCCAATCACTGATCGAATGCTTCGGCAGATTGCCATCAACTTTCCACAGAATGAACAACAGCTCAAAGAACTTACAGGACTCAACGCCGATATGTACAAGGTCTTCGGACCACTGTTACTTCGCCTAATCACCACCAGCTACAACAACTACGAGGCCATGATGAGGGCACAGGAAGACCGACCAGATGATCCCAACCACCAGACAGTGGTTGAGATCAGTGACGACGAGATAGAAGGAGATGATGACTTCAATGAAAGCGACTTCGACATGGAAGAGGCCGAGAGTAGTCACTACTTCAGTGTAAGTGACGAAGTCAGTCAATTCAATCAACGCAGTAAGTCATCGTACCACCACGGGGTTTTGTGGGTCTAACAATTAAGATAGTGTCACAAATGCAAACCTCAGAAATTCCGTCGAGGGCAGCGCCAAAGAAGTCTGAGTCAAGGTTGGGTTCAGGTTCTTGGGGTCGCCGCGGTGCTCGGGGGTATCGTCGAGGAGGCGGTAGTGGCAGCTCCAGAGCAAAGTCGAAAGCGTCATCGAGCACAACAAGCGTTGGTAAGAAGAAGCGGGGAGGTTCAAGTGCTCGCTCAAGTATCGGGAGTTTTGTCTACAAAGGCGGCTCTAAAGGAGGTCGAGCTGGAGGAGCCATTGGGATGATGCCTACTTGAACCTGAATTTACGATCACGAATGATTTACTTACCTATATCGTTACGAGCAGCTCACCCCAACTTCAGGTTGGTACTTTTTTTGTTATCATGTTATGCTATGATGATAATCAACATTATCAACTCGATGCTCATTGTTCCTTACCATCTTGTAACGCGCTCCTGGACACCTAATGAAGAGCGAAGTGAATGAATAATGAGATACTCAGTTGCACCTGCCCAACTCGACTTTACATTTGGTGCACTCCTTTCTGCACCTTCCTCGCTCCAGACAAGTAAGGCTGTTTCACTTTCCCTTACATCTCTGCAACTTTTCACCAACTTTCTATCTCACTTGTAGTCTCTCTAGTGTCAAAGAATCGAGGCTCGCTGCAGAGTCGTGCAATCTTTGTCTTCCTCTCATGCTGACCTGAGTAGGACAGTTCTTGTTGCCTCCTACGACCCCCGGTCAGCCTTTGATGGGCGCCGAACTCTAGACGACATGCCGCTCGAAGAGATCAGTCCAAATGTTCAGAAAAAAGCATCTCAAGATGACGGCAAACGAGACACGGCCACTCATACATCTACCGCCACCTCCCTGAGATCCAGTGCCGTGCAGTCCATGCTGAGAACCACCACAGAAATTGGTGACACTGGCCCCTTTGCTGTCCGCCCTCCTCGGATTCCTCGCTCAGGCTCTCGTTTGCAGTCATCTAGACCACGGTCCGGTTCCTTCGATACCTCTTTTGCCTCTCAGCTTCGACATCAACGATCTCCTCACCGCAGACGTTCACATCGCCGACACGGACCCCGGCAAGTGCCTTCGTCCTCGGCGCTGTCCGGCCGTGAGACCATAAATTCCGCCTCTACATCATATCATTCTGGCCTTCGATCCAAAAGAGCTGGTCATCGGCATCGTGCACATGGCCTCCAGGGGCTCGGCCCAGAAAGACATGGACTTTACACACACCGTTCGCTCATTACGCTGCGCGGTCAGCGGGATTACCAAAGTATACATGCAAATTCACCGATGACACATTCTCACCAGGGGAGGAGGCATGGCAATAGAACCTCGTCTCCAGCACTCAGCGATGTACATGGCTATCGATATGGAGGGAGACAGATGTATCCTAGGGTCCCGAGTGCCGGGACGGTTGGCTCCTCGCCCAGCATGCTCTCTGTGCGACAGGGAATGGTCGGCTATCGTCCAGAACTGAACAACTCCTACTCCTCCTACGCACGATTCCCTTCACCTGCGGTGTCCATGGGGAACGTGACTGCTCCACAGAGATATCCTGCATGCAGAACAGGTACCCCTATGTCCATGTCCTTGCAAAACGTCCGGGGAACTTGGAACAATAGTCAAAACTCACAAAAAGCTCTACCAAAATCTCCAACCGAGTCAACAGCGCCCAATTACTATGACTATTCAGAATCCTTTTTGGAGGAGGAAGATTGTTTCTCGCCAGCCGGGGAAGATTCGGGTGCAGGTCCGCCATTTACAATCGACCAGACTATTCTTGGACCAGAACGCCGTCATGCACAGTCTCCATTCGGCACTTTGCCTGGCTCTGTGTTCAAGCCTGCAGAGCTCCCTACCGAGCATAATCGAAGAGCAAGTGAGCAATCCAAGTATAGTTATGTTGGGGTCATTCCACCGCGAAAGTCGAGTCTTGGAGCCACCACAACCCCGATGAGAAACGGAAGCCTTGCTCAAAGAGTGAGTCTGTATTTAAATTTGTTTTTGAAGTGTTTTCACTGATGCGTTGTACTCGCAGCCCATACAACGATCCGCCACGACAGAGCCCATCGTTCTCCGGAGAAGTTCCAAAGAAGAGAATTATCACCCTAGAATCTCAACTGCATCGCGTCGCACCGCTACTTCAACTCATGCCAGTGCTTTCTTCAGTAATGCATGCCGGAGCCCTCGAGATCTTACAACACTTGCTGCCCGAGTTCACTCTCCTGGGTGTGATGAGAAAACTTCTACCCGTCTCATACCTAACACTTTGCAAGCCTACGAGTCCGACATTGGTCTCCAAAAGGGGTCAGCTCAACATCGTGTCCAAACATTGCCAGCATGGGAATTGCCTTCTCTCGAATTTCGACCGCTCTCATTTGAAGCCTATGCTTCTGAGGTTCGCGGACGACCTAAAACATCTGGTGATGCTCAAAAGAAATCCCCAACTCAAATTCTATCACCCATGCCGGAGCGTCCAATGTCATCTCAAAGTCGAAAGAGATTCAGCCGCATTTTCGATATAGAAGAGTCATTTATCGGAGAAGAAACCAAGGCGATATCCGAGGTCAAGACTTTTGCCAGGCTCAGTGCTGTAACTGAGCAGCCCGACCTTCAGAGTCTCGAGGTTGCGTCTGCCATTCCTCCAGCTTCGGAACGTAACTGTCAGGAGATCAATGCCAGTTTTACTGACATCACAATTCATGACAAGTCAACGGTAGAATCGCTTTTAGATCATCATATCGAGTGCTTGGGTCTGGGTGGAGAGCCGGAAAGCCCTTTGACATCCTCCGTTGAGTTGGATCAACTTGACGAAGCTTGTTCTGTCAAAACAAGCGACTGCCAGAAGACAGAGATAATCCCATCTAACTCAACTGTCAGACCAACAACATCCGGCTCCTACCAACCGTCGAGTCTTACCAGCTCCGAAAGACAAAGGCTGATGCCTCGACGACTGTTTGCAAGTATGGATGCAAGAATGAGTCACAATCCTGTATTTCTGCCGACTGCTTCGAGTTTTGATAAAGAGCCTTCTTCTGTTATGAATTCCAGGCCTGTGACCAACGAACTCTCCTTTGGCTGGCAGACTCTTCCTTCAACCAGCGCAATCGCCTCCCTGGCGTCTGCTACCAAGATTTCATTGACTTCTGGAGATCTTGCAGACGTTGACTCAGACCCTCCCTTCAACAAATTCAAGATCAGGCGGGTTTCTAATATATCAGCGAGCACAACAGAGTCGTTGAATCTCGACATTGATGCAAGTCCCACGGGGCCATCACCGAGCAGTCGAATATCAAAGAGCGACCTCGTCACAAAGCAAGACTGCCATCGTCGGCGCCGTGCTCGGATTCTGTTAAAAGCCAAAAGGAAATCAAGCTGTCTCGACCCAGTCACAGATGATGACCACATGTCTCAACCGCCACTCGACGCTAGCCCAGAGGACGAATGGGAAACTACTGAATCGCCTGAGGATATCACTTTGAAGTCTCCAGTGGCCGGATATGCTGAATTGAGTGGTGAATCGGTGATTGCTCAACCACCCACTACAGTAACCAGTGGAAGTGTTCAGATCTCATCTGCGGCCCCCAAAAGATGGAGCAATATGCTCGCTGCGATGCCGGATCCGGTGAAGAAGAGTATTGACATCGTGAGGAAGGTTTCCGTCCGGACTATGCGTTCTCATCAAAGCAACACAAGCATCGCCTATCCAGTGAACAGTACGCGTATGAGCTCGCAACTGCCACGGTCAGGATCAGTGCCTCAGTTAGCACCTCCGGAATTCGGACCTCCACTGACATCTTCCAATCTTGATCTGACACTTCGTCTACCTGAAGCACTGCCCACTACTCGACCACCATTACGTCAAGCTCAGAGCTTCTTCTCTGACGACAGCTCTGCGCAATACTCAAAGCATGTCATGAGAAAACGATTCGACCTTCACAGCATACGGAGTGGTTTGACACGATCTGCCGGGATGTTGGGCACTCGAGGTAGCACAGCTCGACATACTGAAGTGAGATTCAGCCCGTCGGTTCATGTGAATCGGAGGTCGTTTGATACTCCGCAATCATTGTTTGGCGACACCGTCCCCATGACTGATTTTGCGTTCAAGAAGCGGAAAGTCCTAGATCGATTCAAAGACTGGTTGAAAAGGCATGCATGCAAGAAACGCGGACATCGTTAGCAAACGACAAAGGGAAGAAAGGAGTATTTTTATTTTTATCAAAGTGGAAATGGATATGCGTTCGTTGCTACAGTGTGTGGCAGGAATCAAAAATGGTGATTGTTTCGGTCTCGTCAAGGAGGGAATGCAGAGTATGAGGTCAGACTTGACTGTTGATAGAGCTAGCCTCTAAAGGCACCTTTGAAAATGAGTATCGAAGGTCAGAGAAGATGTAATTGTAAAAGTAACAATAACAGTAAAATTAATGTCTTGCAAAGAATTAAAGGTTCAAAAATACGCTGAGGTTGAAGCCTGAGATTTGAATATTGAGCTCAGTGAATACGGAGGATGCGGAGTGTGAGAATGTTACCAGAGGACGGTCATGAAAGACATATGTAGAAGAGGTACGTGGTAAATTGGGCTCTACTGTAGGTAGTAAACGAGTAATCATCAGATTGAGTAAGGAGGAGATCCATCATCCATATGTTCGTATGTTCAATCTATACCAATCCTCATCCGTATACTGCCTATATACAGCACTCCGTATATGTTTGTCTACTCTATAAATATTCCTTTTTGTTTCTTTGGTAAGAATTGAAAGATTGACGCTTGGGTTCTTTTTTCTTTTCCCCCCAAATTCCTGCAACGAGGAAAAAAGAAATCGACGATGAAGAAAGAAAACACACGGTGTAAATCCTCGTCCCCATTTCCATCTCCTGTCCGAGACACCACCAACCCCAACAATTTCCATACCATACCATGCCACGACCGGCGAGTAAAGGCAAGGCACGGAATAAAGGGGCGGCCGATTGCATGGAATCGAAAGGACAAGGAAAATGACCAAAGACCGATAAAAAAAGCTTCTGACCGTGTATTTTGGTCCCGCAAACAGCAAACAAAGAAAAGGAGAATCAGGGATTGACCTGACGAGGCGGAACTGTCATGAAAAAGGAAAAGAGCCTTCGATGTTCCCACACGGACGCATCGAACCCTCTGTGGCCCTCTTGACGGTCCTCAATTCCGTTCCGAAAGGGGCGTCACTGGAAAGAACAAAAAAATCAGTCGTGAGAATGAGCCTCGCAAAGGCCCTCGAAATAAACCCACGGCGGTCCCACTGACAAATTCCCACGACCCCACAGAATTTCAAGCCACGGTATCAAACACCTAGACACGACCTCCAACCGGCGACAGAAGAACAGAACAGACCAGAAGGTTGGTATCTCGAGGAGTGAGGTTCGACGTGCAGCCATGGCGTAGCTTGCCTCGATTGTACCATTCGGGGACTCGGACGCTGTGCACCATTCTGTCTGCCGAGAATTCACCTATTCGATATCCAGTGATTCGAGAGATGGATTGATGGGTTTTTTGGCGAAGGAGACTCGTCGACTAGACAAGGTCGATGGTATCTTCTCTCCATGACGAAACGCAACATGCAATGTTGTTGAACAGGTCCAACATGCAATCGGCCCCCTTCTCATCAATTCCAAAGAATCAACTTCGCCTTCAGATTCTTTCACGCGGCATGGGCAAGGTCGAGGCGTCGCGTTTTCCCTTCTCTGTTGTTTCTCGGTGGATCATGCACCACCGGGTCATCTTTTCGAACCCTCTGGTGAATGGGTGACCACAGTGGGAAGGCATTCGTCTTCCCTTTCTCCATTCTCTGGTTTTTGCGTTTCGAGCCATCGTGGGAAAGTTTTGACCCGTTCGCAGCGAATGGCGGTCACGTCACAGAGGGAGCGTTCTCGGTCTCGGCCTACGCGTGTCGTTTTTTCCCGTGGTATCGGAATTTTTGAAAGGACGTTTAGACGACAAGCTCCTGTCTGCATCTTTCGGTTGGAAAGATAGGGCACAACCCCTGTCTCCCTTGCACTGCGAGTTGATCTTTTGGTACCATGTTCCTTTTCCAAGGGTACAACACAAGGCATCGTGACTCGAGGCGTAACGTAAACCTGACCCTGAAAACCTTTGTGGAGTATGGTGTCGCGGAAAGTGGAGGAGAGGAAACGTGGGAGGGCGAAAGTCGTTGAGGGGATAATTTGTAAGGATGAGTAAAGTAGTTTCGAACAAGATGATACGACGATGGTGGTGGTGACACAAGGAAGGTGTCAATCAACGACCCCTGAGTGGGGAGTGGGCCTTATGAACTGCAAGAATAGTGATGGGCAATGAGATGAAGACGATGAGGTACAGAGCAGAAGACAGGTCAATGTACGGAGTATGGGACCAAAAAAAAGAGTGACAGTCGAGGGATCAAACATGTTCCAGCCAGATCATTTTCCTCTGGGCTCAGTTCAAAACACGCCAATCAAATCACGTCTCTACGAGAGTGCCAGACAAGTTCACGAGTACGAGGACGGATACGAACACTATGGATACCACTCTTGTTACAAGGAGATCAACAAGATATACACATTTGCCTAGATACAAGGACAAGACCACGAGTAACAAGCAACAAAGCAATATGATCCCGTGTCAAAGACAATTACTCCGTACAGGGGTATCAAAATACAAACTAAACAACTCCGTATGTGCCCTTCCCTCTCACTGCTCACCTGCTTCTACTCCTTTTCGCCGACCCTGGAACGGAGTAATAAAGTCTGAGCCGCGTGACGGAATGTGAAATCAAAATCCATCAAGCCCAAGCCTTGTATCCGACTCAGCCACGCCAATGGAAGCATGTGATGATGAATGACCACCGACGAGGTCAATGCTTTACTCCCAATCCTCCTCGTCACTCTCGTCAATCTTGTCGGCACCAACACCTGTAGCACCCTTTGCTCCTCCCACTACATCATCCTTCGGGCTCCCTGGCGCACGACTCGTAGCTCCACTGACGAGGTCATAGCTGGCGTCGCTGTCCGCCACAGACTTCTCGTCGTGCGATCGTCGTCCTGAGCTATCTGGCTTCAATGAGCCTGGATCCTGGGCGGTGGGGGTCTGATGTAGTGTGGTTGAACTGTCATTCGTGTTCTGAGCAACGAGGACTTTCGGAGCCTTTTGCTGTGTGCCGTCTTGCTTCTCTACTTGGTCGTCATCAGAGTCTTCATCCCAGCCGACTTCTTCGGTGTCGTTCGCTGATGCTGTTGCAAAAAAAAGAGAAACAAAGTCAGCATAGGTTTGGGACCACAAAAGTGTAGAAATGCTATGGGCAGAAACCATAAACATACCTTTCAATAACTCCCTCCTCTTCTCTTCTTGTACCTCCACGACATGCCTCAGGAAGTAATACCTGGCCCAGAAATCCTTGTAGTCGACCTGTTCCGGTACCAGCTTCTCCATACTGCGTCTTAATTCAGGGTACTTATCCAAATCGGCCGCAATCCTGCTCGTCGTGTCGGCACTTGCACTGTCAAACCCACTTTTAAACTCTTCCCACTGTCCACCACTGGTACTGGGGTCTTGGGTGAAGCTGTGGAGCGTGGTGTGAATGACATGCAATTGTGCGTCGAATCGACTCGTGTGTATCACCCGACGGCCACTCTGATCCTTGCTCTCGAAGAGCACCTCGCCAGGCTGTCTGCGTCCCTCTCCACCCTCTTCTGGTGCCGTCACACTGACTGCGTCTCTCAAAAAATTGCGAATATTCGTGCCGAACCGCAGCAATGCCTCGTCTGCGGCGTCCTCGGCACGTTGCACCTCTTTCAGCCGTTTCGCCGCCTCGTGCTTGAAGCGTTCTAGAAAGGTCTCGGTCTCTTGATCGACTTTATTTTTTTCCTCAATACTCTGTTCACCTTCTGGTCTCTTGTCTCCCGTATTGTCCACATTGGCTTCCGCGGTCACTACGGAAGACGAGTCCGAAGTCCCAGACGCAGTGGACGCCTCTGACTGTCCAAAGCCAAGTCCAACCACTTTTGTTCTCAACGCCTCCACCTCAGTGGCCATCTCTGCTGCCTCTTTGCGGGCCTCCTCATACACACTTTCTCCTTGTTTTCTGACATTGCCCCAGATGCCGCCAAGTCGCGCGCCCCATGCGGAGTTGCTAAAGGCTTTGAAGGTCTCCTGGAATTCCGTTTGTAGGGTCGCTTTCGGTGTTGCAGGCTCGCCACCGCCTGATTGAGTGGTGTCGGAGGTCGATGGAGTGGGTGTCGTGGCTCTATCGCCGGTGGTGAATGCTTGTTCGGTGATGTGGTCGTAGGCGAGATCCATGGTGTCAACTTGGACAATGAGGTCGAGCAAGTTAGAGGTACGGATAAAAGGGTCGAGATGTAAAGCTCAAGCCCCTGTGATAGTTTACAATAACTTCAAATCATACCAGCACATTAGTGGGTCAACTTGAGCACACGACTGAGGTTGGTAACTTGGTGGTTATGGAATTGGAGGCGTTCAATCAAAGAGGGGCCCATGTGTACAGTATCATTATTAGGAGGATCAGGATGAGGATCAGGGGTCGGCATGTCACTCGAAGTCACGTCACGTGAAAACGCGAATCCGTTGCTGCTTTACGCCGTATTCGTACACCGAAGAACACAGCACGAGAGAAGTACGGGTATATTTGCTTAGGTATATTCTTCGTCCACCATGCTGTTCAATGACGACAAGTATGTTAAATTAACAAGACTGGTAATACGAGTACGTGTGCTACTGAAGTACTGTTTAGACCGTGTGTCAGGCCGTAAGGCAGGTCTCGATGATGGTCGAAAGGATTTCAATATTCGAAATCATCATCGACCCCCTTGCTTTTACCCTCCTTCGCGATGACTTCCTGTTTTCGATACATCTCAGCAATAGCCGACGTAGTAGTGGCATCTTCAGGCTTCTTGTCCTCTCGTTTCTGAATGAATCGAGGAAATCTTAGACTGATTCCATTCTTGCCGCCCATCTCATCGATCGCAGCACGATACCGAGGACTCAACGTAAGATCGGCAGTTTTGACTTCCCACACGAAGCGAGGCTCGAACCAAACGTCTGGTTGATCATTTTTGACGCTTGAATGAGAATAGAAGGGTTTCGGACGCTCGATGATGATCTCAGAGAGCTCTTTGTGAAACTCCTCCAAGACTGCTTCGGAAAACCCAGTCCCAATATTGCATACCGTCTCAAAGATTTGCGTTTCAGGATTCCATGATGCCAGAAGAAAGGCACCAAACCACGAAGTACGTTTTCCTCTGCCGTGATACGCTCCAAGGACAACAAGATCAAGTGAATCACCAACGCCATTGAGATAGTCCTTCTTGACTTTGAGCCAATTCCGAGAGCGTTTGCTCGGCTCATAGCCTGATTCCTCTGTGTCGAGCATCTTGACCATGAGACCTTCGCAGGACGCTTTTACCGAATCATCCAGAAGGTGTTGGATCTCGTCGATATCTTTGGCATCGCCATATTGCGCGTACCCAAATTCGCCTTCGACCGGATCAAATGCGTTGTGTAGCAACTCCCGTCTTTCGCGGAACGTCTTCTTAACAAGTGGCTCGCCATTGTAGAATAACATGTCGAATGCAAAGACGCAGACCTTGACTGTGACTTCTGAGGTCTTCACGTCCTTTCGCTTTCTAGTCATCAACTGCTGAAACGGCAAAACCTTCTTGTTCTGAGGATCCCATGCAACAGTCTCGCAGTCAAGAACAAAACTTTTGGTTGATGGCTTGATCCAGGCATTCAACTTTTCGAGGATGTCAGGGTATTTCTTTGACAGGTCTTCTGAGTTTCTTGAGAAGATAGCGGCCAGTCCTTTGAAATGTTTTGGATCCTTCGATAGAGTATTTGCAGCAGCAGGGAATTCCGACATAGCTTCGGGAGACACATAATGAATCTGTGCTCGTTCGCCGTCGTACTTGTATTCACAAGTGAAGTTCTTGCCCTCGAAACGATCAAGCACCTCGGTAATGGACTTGGTCGGCTTCGCGAGCATAGGTTTGAGTGGTACTCCAGGCTGCAACTTGCAACTTTCGTGAAGGTTGAAAATGCCATGTTCAAGCATCGCGGGGATAATGACTTCATAAGAGGGAAGTTCGCTGTACACAGTCTTCAGCTCGGCCTCCCCTTTAGCAAGTTGCTCAGTACTGGGCACCTTGCCCTTCACTGCCACCTCGTGCGTAACCACAGCCTGCGCTAGGGCAATGATGACCGTCTTTTCTGCCAGACCAAGCCTCAACTTTCCTTCTAGAAATCGAACAAGAAACTTTGCTTCCGATGGCCCACCTTTATCTTTGGTGATATCCACGGTCTTGTTCGAAGATGATACATCGGCTGCAGCCATCAGTTTGTTGATGGCCCGAACTTTTTGATCTTGCGAGCCGTGTCCTTCCATCTTAGCAATGTCGAGAAGACCCTGATGCACACCTCGGACAGAGAGTGGCTTTGGCTTGAACATTTGACCTTGTTTGGACTTGCTCTTTGCAGCGACAAGTCCCAAGTCACCAATCTTCTGATGATCCGACTTGATCACCGAGAGTGACCGACCAGAACTCTCGCCAATAGCCTTCATAATCAGGGATTCACCAATGCCGAGTTCTATACCAGCATAGTCGGCAGCAAGTTTGTTCAACATTAGCTGTATTGTTGGAAGAAGATCTTGAGGTGTTAGTCGTAGGACTTGTTGGAGGAACGCCGAGCAATAGGCTGTGATTTGTAGCCGTTTCGTCGTGAGCTCAATTAGTGAAAACGTCGTGCAAAGTGCTGCATATGGTACAGGATCACCAGCCTTCCAATCCGGGTAAGGGTCTCTGGCAGTTGATTTAATTGTGGCTTGTATCTTTTCCACCTGTTTCTTGTCCACCTTTGGATCTTCGCTTTCACTGGCAGATGAGGTCTCCTCGGGCTCGGATGCGAGGCTACCTTTGTCCGAGGCTGCTGCATCATCCTCCACGGACTCGGCATTGGCCTTTTTGGTAATGACTGTGGAAGTCTTCCCATTTAGTGTGGGTTCTCTGGTTCGACTGCGTGATTTCTTTCTTGAACCTCTGGACGTTGATCTTGATGCTGATGTTCGTCTTCTTTTTCTGACAACAGGTTCATCATCCGAGTCTTCCTCCTCTTTCTTCTCTCCGGACGCCGTTCGCTTGTGATTACCCTTTGAAATTTCAGTAGTGTTTTGGGGTGAAGTAACAGGTTCTTCATCTTTCATCTCAACGTCTGACGTAGGTGTCTTTCCATCCTCGGTAGGGGGCCCGTCATCGTCAGAAACTAATTCGCTCTTCTTCGTGGCAGGTTTCTGACCGAATGACAAGGTGGATTGAGATTTGGCCTTGGTGCCATTCTGGTTATTTCCGAGAAACTTGCTGTACTGGATTAGAGTCATTGCCATTCATGCGGGAGTAGGGGACGAACCCAAGCGTTGATTGCCTTGCCTGTGGCATATTGGAGGCCCTGTTGAGAGGCGAATGATTCGCCAAAACCTGGAATGGCCTATATTGTAGTAGGTTGTTTGGCGGATCAATGGTCAGTGAGATACGTGCAGAGGAGGCAAACCCAGGTAGAAAACATGGGCCCAACCCGAGACGTGGACGAAAGGCAGCTTGTTTCACGGTAGCACCAGCCTTGTGCATCAGTTGCATTCAGATATGGAACGATTGCTCGTGAACTCCTGTATTCATTGCATAAGGCAGGTAAGTACCCAATATTTTCAAGAGCAAAGTCGCGTTCGCGACGCCTGCGACGCGCGGGATCGTGGTGTTGAATGACGCAACCAATTAAAGCGACTGGGCTTTTGATTCGTCCATTTGGATAAGGCCTCTTATTCCATTACAGCCTTTGGACAATTAACGTGGGCCTTCGTTACTCGGGATGAATCCAGATATCTCCTGGATGTCATGGGATGAACAAGAGATCAAGGCGACCATGAAGTATTCCTACTGGTGCTGTCCTTAATACGATGCTGTACTGTAGCTTGGTACGGATCACCCAACATAGTCATCGCGATTAGCGAATGGGTCCCCCCACTCGCTTCGGCATGGTCAAGGAGCCCGAGGTGAAGCACGGATCATCAGAACAGATGAGCATTAAAAGGAACGACGATTCTTTGGACAATCGATATGATGTCTCTTATTAGCTATTCAGCCTAAGCTCAGGCCTATTAAAGCAGAAAGCTGCATGCTTTTTGCTGATGGTGAAGATGCAACTAATCCGTACATCGTAAAGCATTAATTCGCAGTTTGCACTGATCATGAATGGTCCAGCAATTGTGTCACTTTCGCCGATCTGTCCGTTATCACGTCTAAAAGCGTGAATGCAATGCTGTTCCATGCGGATCTGGGTATCAACAGTGATTTTTGCAAGCAAATTCGAAAAGGTCGTCCGACTCTCTCACTCTGGGATATCAGCTGTGTTGTTTCTTCTCTTTACAACAGCATGACAGCAGCAAGACCTGCGATTCCAGCAAGCCCATTAGCAGCCACGGTGACCATGGGCGCGGGGTTGCCTGCAGCAGACGAGGCAGCAGAACCAGCAGCTGAGGTAGCTGAGCCACCTGCGGAGCTGGCTGCAGAACCGGCTGCACCCGTGGCACTGGAGAGATGAGAAGAGACCGAGCTGGCGACCGAAGCTGCGGAGGACGAGGCAGATGCACCGGCACCTGAGGCAGCAGAGGAAGCGGATTCGGCTTTAGAGGAGAGAGACGAGGCGAGTGAAGACGCTGAAGCGCTTGCACCAGACGCAGCAGACGAGGCACCTGAAGAGGCACTGGATCCAGCGCTCGAAGCACCAGAAGCGGCCGAACCCTGAGAATGAATTAGCGGTGAGTTCATCTTTCTAGAAACAGTTTTACATACTCCTGCACCACCAATGGCACTGAAGATGGTCGAGGTTTCGATTGCGCTGGTAATTGTGCTTCCGTCGGTGGTAATGGTGGTGAATCGAGTCTCGGTAGAGATTGGAGTGGAAGAAGCGCCAGAGCCACCAGCACCACCAGCACCACCGGTGCTACCAGAGCCAGATCCAGTTGCAGTAGCGGAACCAGAACCGGAGCCGGAGCCAGAGCCAGAGCCACCAGCACCACCGCCAGACAAGGTAGAAGCACCGCTTGCGGATCCAGCGGGGCCAGTAGCCGTACCAGAGGCGGTCAGGGCAGAGGTAGCGGCGAGAGAGCCGGAGACAGTGGACGCAACTGTACCATGGTCAGAGTCTTATACCAAGGAGATTTCGAATACTTTGAACAAGAAGACTTACCCGAGGAACAGTAGCTGTTACCGAAGGCAATGATTTGATTGAGATCAGTTCCGCTTGGGCAAGCTTGAGTTGCGCAGTCGCGAATTCCATAACCGAAGTCCTTGTTCTTGCAAAGACAACCGACATCAGGGGAATTGTTGACGTTAGGGCAGCCCAAGGAACTGGCAAGTCCAAGCATGTTGTTGACACATGTTTGCTGGAGATATCGTGTCAGTCAAAGATCTGCAAGAGAGAGAGAGAGAGAGAGTTGAGCCAACGCCCAGGTGAGATTGACTTACACCGCATGCTGGAAGGTCGGAGAGAGTTTGGGCAGCGACGACGCCAACGAGGGCAGCGGCAGCGATGAAGGTCTTCATGGTTGATGGAAGGTTGCGCGTAGTAATGGTACTGTACTAAGATGCACGGTACTGGAGGTGGAATTGAGAGGCGGGATGTGAGAAGGCAGACGATCAGGGCCAAATGCTTGAGAAGAGTGATGTAAAGAAATGGTCGATGCGCAGAGTGCGGGAGAGGGTTTAAGAGGAATTTGTGACAGAGAAGATCAGGGCAGTTAAGATGCAGGTACTGAAGCCAAAGCAAGAGTGACAGGAAAGTGGGACCTCGTGTACGTGTGTGTGTGTGTGTGTGTCTAACAAAGAAAGAGACGGAGAAGTGAGAGGAAGGTGAAGTCGAAAGTGAAAAGGCTGGCAAGTGAATGCATCGTCACTGCTGTCACTACCACCAACTACGACTACAGGTACTACTAGCAATTGCTGCAAAGTACCTCGTACCAATAATGCCTGATTCATTTGACTTGCGTCAGTGTTTGCCCACTCAAGAGACCGTCTATTCCCAGTTTCTCCTCCAGTTCCAGAGCCAGGTCCAGCCGGATATGCAATAGCTTTGTCGAGCCATTGTTGGACAGGCTCAAGATCGGGGAAATCATGATGTCGGGCTGCGGCACAGCGACGCCAATCGTTCCCTCTTCCTCGACTTTTACCCCTGGTCACTTCTCCATTTTTCAGCCACATTTCTCGGTCGCCTAGGAACCACCCTGGTCTTCGTGGCAAGCTGCAGCCCCAGCAGTGGAATCCTCGCCGGAACACTGGTCCTTTCATTCCCCAGCCCGATCTATTTAGCGTAGCTCGTCGCGAGCTGAAAGACCGCCACAGCTAGCTGCATGGGTTATAGGTGTCAACAGCAAGTCCGCCTCGAGGATCTGCCCTCCATCACGTACAGTACACGACGGAATCCTGCTTCGGGCACCCGGCAGACCATGGCTCCTCCCTCCGCTGCATCGTGCAAATCATTTTTGGGTTGTACGGTTAAAGTTGATCTCGAGTGACAGCACAACGGGATGCGCACACCACATGTCCATTGTGGCTGTTTTGCAAGGACCAGACCTTCAGCCGGTAGCACCGTCTGCCAGTGCTGCCACCACATGACTTCAAGGAGTTGAACCTACAAAAGAATACAATAAACAAGTGATAAATGACGTTTGAATGTGGGAGAATGAGTGGGGTGTCTAGTCTTGGTGATTAGTGAAGCCGCCGCCTTGTACCGCTCCAAGTTGCCAGCATTCTGGCAGGCTAATCGCTTTCAGTTGGAGATCTACGTCTTAGGTGCGCTGTCCCATTCCAGGTCCGACTTCTGAGGGGAGCTAACCGAACTCGAGCCGTCCAAAGGAACATACCGCTGGAAAAGTCCGCTCATCCTGCACGCTGACGACGCTGGACGGACTCGCAGGCTGGTGCTGGTGGCGGACAAGAAGATTGGGAGGACGGACAGCTGCAGCTTGCCTTCCTAGGTCGATGTCAAGCTGCCAAATCCTTCGGCCTAGGTTGTCCTCAGTCCACTCAAGTAGCCGATTAACTGCGGTGGCCCGTGTTGTTGCCCCTGGCACGATTTCTAGCCGGGGAAGGGCGCCACACCTGAACCGAACCAGCAAGAACACTGCGTCAATAAATTAATACAGTGCTTGCAGACGAGGGCCGGCTATGTCAAGCTGGAGTCCAACCCATTATCGAATGGTGCAATCCACCAGCTGGCGCATCATCAGCTGAGATGTGTAAACTCAACTACATATAGCCTTTTTCCCTGGCCCGCACATTAGGATCATTGACAGTCGGATTTGAGGGCTCTGCTACCAGATACTCCTGCTGTCGTAATTCGCTGTTTCATGGAAAAGAGATGTGTGACGGGCCATACTCCTGTGTGCCGTCTCGATAATTAAACAGTTTGATTAAGAGCAAGCTCTCCAGCCTTGTCGTTACTGCGATCTGAGATTCACAGGGCCACCATTATCTGCTACCCGCCGCACAGTCACCTTTTGAGTCCGTGCTTAGATTCACGACACGGCACGAGGTTTTTCATTTGATTTGGTCTTCCACAAGTACTGCACGCGAGAACGGAGCCTCTAAGCTTCTCGCGGCTCCTGACATAATTTATTGGAATACGGTGTCCCAGACTTGGGACTGTGATGTGTTGGACATTCCCAACGGTGGCATTCCGTGATACGAGTAGAAATTAATTGCGCACAACTCATACGGAAGAGCACTACTTACCTTCCTACGTGAACTTGTCTGGTTGCTTTAATCCATTGTCAGATCAGTGCGGATTTCTCCTTTTGCTACATAGTGATACCAGGCTGTCGCATGCTGTCCAAAACCGTTTACAGTTGATCTCTTAACAATCACAGTCAATAAAACATCTACTTCAAGCTTTATTCGGAAAATGCTGCGGGCGTGTCTGTGAGATGCAATTAGTGATTGCTATCGTGCTCTCAATCCCCCAAGACCAAAGCATCAGACTCGGGTTTTGTAGCCGAGGCCGCAACCTTGCGTCCATACAACAATTGGTCTGTGTGTCATCATAGTCGTCTCATTATTATTCAGAGTGATTATGAGGTCTTGACTCACACCACACTTGACGTTCAAGTGGGTAGGCAAGTTACCTGGTAGGTATGGATACGAGTACGGTATTCCATCTAGGCGGAGAGGGAAGATGATTGTCAAGCTGAGGGGTCACAAGCCACATTATTCAGCCACAAATCTGGGTGTGGCTGATTGGCTCAGTTTATCCTCGCATTTTCTCAGAATTGATGCCTTTGATCAAGACCAAATGATGCTACCAGGCCATAATGCCATCTTCTGATCCCAAAGACTATGCATTGCACACTAGGCTGTACGGTCTGATCGTGCAGTCATGGGTGAGACAAGGCAGCAGGCTTTTCTACGCGTAATCCCACCCATATCTTCTCTTAATGAACTTACACTAACAGGTCGGTCTAGCTGCGTGCACCCTGCGTAGAGCTCAGTTCGACTGCGTTGAAATTTAAAGCGAATCAGGTGTCTGCCAAAGCTGTACTCCTCGCCCTCGAACCTGTTCATCATGCTTTGCAATCCTTGGGCGACGAGAATTTGCTGGACGTGAAATTGGCTGAATATGCCTTTTTTCCACTGACGCACATTTTCAACCAGTCCAAACAGTTCTCTTCCTCAGTCCTTGAACTCACCGTCAAATGTGTGCACATTCTGGTGTCTCAAGGATGGCGGGACAAGATTGCCCCAGAAATGGGCAAGCAACTACTGATTCTGATGGGATTGTTAGTCTCCCCCTCGCCTGGTCAGCGCAGCGAGCCTACTACGGATGAGCTCAAGGTTGCCTCTTTTGATTGTATATCGGACCTCGTCCTGCAACTGAGCAGGTCAGGAGCAAATGTCCTCGAAGGACCAGGTGAGAGACGCATTGTGGACCAACTCGTTTATCAACTGCTCGAGTCAATGGCAGATGCCCCATCGGATACTGTGCAAACGAGCGCAGCACAGGCCCTATTCCAAATTGTCACCTCCATCACAGACCGACCCTTGCTTGCGAGCCTGCTACCTCGTACGGTTTCCACGCTGGTTAAAGTGTTGAGACCGAGCACCGAAGCTCGTCGGACGAAAAAGGTTCTCGTGGCTTATCTGAACCTCCTCACAGTTCTTCTGAAAAATGTCCTCAATGATAGTGCTGTCTCCGGCACTACCGTTGGTAAGGCTGCTGGATCAAATGACGATGCGGTCATTCTCGATAAAGCATGGCTTGAGGCCACTGCACCGCAGATTGACATAGCCTTGGTGCAGGTGGTCAAACTCCGAACACATGACAGTCCTGATATCTCAAAAGCTCTACTCGATCTTTGCCTCATGATTATCGAAGACTGTCCCCAGACTCTGGCACTGTCACTGCCGCTGATGGTGGAGACATTAGTTGTCATTTGCCGAGCTTCAGAGTCCTCAGAGGCGAATGCGGCGCTCAGACATTTGATGATATCCAGGCAAGATATCCAGGACATCTTAAAAGCAAAGATCTACGATTGGAGCCAAGCACTCCCACGCATAATGCAAGGCAATGATGATAGGCCCAAGCAGCATATGCTTGATCAAGTTGCGACTGCTTTTCTGGCCTTGACTGACGTTTCCGAATCGACGGAGGAATTGAGTATGGCCATCGGATCTATATTGATTGACGGAGTATCTGCGGCTATTGCTTCTACATCAGCCAAATCTAAGTTGGTTAACGAGGCTCCACATGCTTCCGGTGTTGGCCTGATCCAGGATACTATGCAGATCGAGAGCAATTTTGCTCCTCTCGTGCTGAATCATCAGAGCCAGCGAGGTTCTACAAAAGCAATCAACAAGCTGGTCGATGCACTTAAAGACCATCAGTCTGCCAAAGCTATAACGCGCAACTTGATAGACCATATTCCGGATCATGACAATAACCGCAGTCTATCGGCCACGTGGCTAGCGTTGAGCTTTGTCCAAGGACCTGCTTCACAGCTCTTCGATATGGATGACTTCGTCATGGGTGAATCATCCCCTTCAGATTTATCCCTTTCCCGGCCATTCCTAATCTCCGACCTCTATGCAATGACCTTACCTTGGCTTCTGGAATCTTCAGAGTCATACAATGACGACAGCCCCGATTGGCGGCTCATCGCATTTTCTCTCGAAGCTCTCGTCTTGCAAGCAAATCAACTCGGCAAGTCGTATAGACCAGAACTGGTGGAAACATTGTTTCCTGTGTTAACTCTTCTGGGATCTCAAATTCCTATGCTTCAGCAACACGCAATGACTACCTTGAATCTTCTAGCCACAGCTTGTGGTTATCCGTCAGTATCGCAGCTGTTGATCGAAAACGTTGACTATCTCATTAACGCCCTCGCCCTCCGATTGAACTTATTCGACGTGTCGCGCGAAGGCCTTCAAGTTCTTTCCATGATGATCAGACTATGCGGCGCCAAGGTGCTGCCTTACCTCGACGACCTGATTGGCAGCATCTTTGGTGCATTAGACAACTTTCATGGGTATCCTGCTCTCGTTGAACAGTTGTTCGAGATCTTAAAGCTGGTGGTGGAGGAAAGCACGAAGCATCCCGAATTTCTTGCCATCGACTCTGGAGCTCCGTCCAAGGATCAACCAATCACCCAATACAAGACCTCTACCATTGAGGACATCATACGTGACTTACGAGCAAGAAAAGAACGAAAGAGCAAAACTGATGCTGAGCACGAGCAAGCCACATCTACACCACGTCAGCCGTGGTCGAATACACAGACAGATGTAGGTGTAGAGGACGATGGTCTACAGAATAATGGTGAGGGCGCCGAAGACGACCCTACTGGACCAGTTGATAAGAACAACGAACCTGCATTGTCAAAGTCCCATCAACTTCTTCTTAATATCGCCCAATCGACAGTACCGCATCTCTCATCTCCCTCTGATAGGGTACGACTAACTCTTCTGTCATTATTGCAAGACTTGTGTCTTCTACTTGAAAAGGACGAGAATTCGTTTCTACCACTCATCAATGCTATCTGGCCTGCAGTCATACCTCGACTAGTATCTAGCAAGGAAAATTCTATGCATGACATGCCATACACGGTCCAAGCGGCAGCCGATACAGTTGCCATGATTTGTCGGGCTGCAGGGGATTTCATGGCAAGCAGGATTGAAGAGGTATTCTCGGATATCGAGGCACTCTTTCGTCAAACTTACCACTCTGTATCAGCTTCCCAGAAAGGGCGACTTGCACACCCAAAAGGAAAGGGGCTATTGATCGACTCGATTACATCCTCTGAACAAGGCCTGGTACTGGAAGTCGGTGGCGAGCCTAGGGCCGGGGCAATCTCCAGATCTTCTGTCGAGACCACTTCAAGATCTTCCGATGCGCAAACCCTGAGTGCCTTGACTCGGCTATTTGTCTCCATCTTAACCAACGTTCGACTTTCCGAGGACAGTGCTGACAGAGTTTATAATCTACTTGCACCGTTGCTGGCTACGAGTGATGGAGAGCAGGTTAGGAAGGCGTTGTTCAGTTACAATGAAGATGCCGTGTGGCTCATTGAGCGGCACACAAAAGACTCATTTCATGAGGATAGCCATGTTTAGATTGGCATACTGCGACAACTTCGACGGCAATTATCCGGCACGTGGAATGTTGCACAGATGCGCGGCCAGCATCAGAGGCCCTTGAACAGGTATACAAAGGTGCCTAGGCTGAAAATCAAGGATACTCATGGATTTGGCGGGCCAAGCCAAGTACAGGCAGCCGCCATTTGCAACGCCGAGTAGATGAAAAGTGAGAGATTTCTCAAGTATGGGGATGGGCCGGTATTTCGGTGGTTGACGGTGGAGACGACGAGGAACTATCAAATTTCCCCATTCGGGTCTCTTTTCGGGCCTCCGGAGATAATGATTCCCACTGACGGTCATTCACGGATTTGGCATTGTCCTCAAACAGTTATTCAGCCATCTGACGCTTTGTGCACCTACACATCAAGTCAAGGCTTGGAAATCATTTCACTGTGATCGCAGGTGCCTATGTGGTGGGATATAAAATAATGGGCGCCGCCATGTACACTCGACTGGTCCGATCAATCGTTCTATTCTTGAAGACTCCAGTCAAACGGCGATTCTACCTGCCTGCTGCACACCACAATCCTCAGCCCAGGAAGATTATTTTAAGTATCTTTCATCGACATGGTCGGCTATATACAATTTCTCCGAGGCCAATTCCAGACGCCGCCTCTACCTAAGGTCGATCTAACGGGCCGCGCCATTGCGATCACTGGTGCGAATTCCGGGCTTGGACTGGAAGCCGCCAAACAATTGGTTCAGCTCAACTGTAGCACTATCGTACTGGTATGCCGCTCGCTGTCCAAAGGGGAACAGGCCAGGAAAATCATTGAAGCAACACCGAGCGGCAACGGTCAGAAGCCAAAATTCGTTCTTCTCGAGCTTGATCTCGGCTCTTTTTCCAGTGTTGTTGCCTGCGCTGAGAAATTCAAAGAACTTCCACGCTTGGATGCCGCTATTCTCAATGCTGGGGTAGAACTTCACAAGTTTTCACTGTCCGAGGGTTATGAGAGTACGATCACCGTGAATGTGATTTCGACCTTTCTCCTCGCGACCTTACTGATCCCGACATTACGACAATCAGCCACGAAATACAACATCACGCCCGTCATAGCCGTGACTGGATCAGCCGTACATTTTTGGGCCAAGACACAGGATCTTACCACTCCTCCAGACGGACAAATCCTCACAACGCTTTCCGACCCCAAGAAAACGGCCATGGGTAACGACCGATATTTCCTGAGTAAACTTCCTGTGATGCTCCTGGTGAAACGTTTTGCGAAAGTGCTCACGGCATCGGCGGAATCTGACCCTATCGGCAAGCCATTGGTCGTCATCAACAACGTCGCTCCAGGATTTTGCAATACCAATCTCTTTCAGGACGCCGGAGCAGCAGCAAAGGTCGTGGCTAAATTTGCAGCTCGATCTGGTGAACACGGGGCACGGACTCTGGTCCATGGCGGGACGGCCGGGAAGGAAACCCACGGCCAGTATCTGAGCGAATGTGAAGTCAAGCCATACAGTCCGTTTGTCAAGAGCCAGGAAGGTGATCAGACAGCAGAGAGGCTGTGGGATGAATTGAGCGTCATCTACGAGAAACTCCAGCCTGGGTGTACGAAAGAATTGTAACTTGGATGGACTGGGACATGTAAACATACGGGTAATGATCGTGGCCAATGGATAATAATCGATTTCTATTAGTGCTCAAGTTGTTCCTCTTTTTCGTTCCCCTACAATCGGTCGGATTCGACAGCAGAAGATGTTATGATAAGCATCAAGTACGTATCATCATGTTGATTCCGTACCCAAATATACTACATCCACCAAGTGTTGTTGATGTCGTTATCATGTGGAGAGTTGCGCTGTGCATGTGATGATGACTAAGTATATTTCTTGATCGCCTGAGGGTTTCGGGCAACGTTGAATCTCTGTATTTTCACGTCACCAAGCTTATTCTGTTCCTTCAATTCTTCGTCCATCGACAACCTGGATGTTGATTGTGAGATGTTAGTATCATGTATCGCATGTTACGAGTACAAGACAAATATCCATCCCAGTAATACCATCTACGCATGAAGCCTCCAATATTGGCGACAGAGACAAGAAGCCACGGGCGGCACAGGATGCCTGCTTAACACTGAACACAACCTCAATATCAATCATCTCGATTATATGAACCTGTTTGATTCTCGACACCATCAGATTAACTCGACCTTAAAATGACAACAGACTTCGCAGCCCTCACGGGCAAATTTCGCGCCAACCTCGAATCTTCGGCCAATGGAGGCAACAAAATCAATAAGCGAAACAGGCAGCCGTTATCGTGTGCGCCATGCCGATCCAAAAAGCTCAAATGTGATCGTGGCCATCCCTGTGAAACATGTATCAAAAAGGGCGACATCGAAAGCTGCACATACGGTAAAGCAACCGTCGCGCCATCAAAATCCGACTTCAGCAGCACCAACAGCACCACCAATGGCGTCAACAACAGTCGTGGAAGAGCCCAAGAAAGGCTTCGTCATCTCGAACAGCTCGTCATGCAAATGGTCGACAATAACGGCGCCGCATCTCTACTGCCATCCAACCCAAACACCATTCGCTCCGACACGACCATGAACACGGACTCGAATGCCAGCATCGCCAATGAAGGCCAATTCCACCTCGAAAACGCCACCGAGTCCCGCTACGTCGGCTCGACTCACTGGTCCGCCATCCTGCAAAACATCCAAGAACTCAAATCAGCCTTACACGTCAGCCCTGGCTCTGAAGAGACTCACGTGTCTGTAGCCAGCAGTGGCAGTGGTGGTGACGGGCCCAGTCAACCCGACGATGTTGTAGACGACACCACACTCGATAGCGACCCGCCTGAGCATGAGGAGGAAACCCTCTTCGCCGCCCCATCCGGACTGACAATTTCCCACATCCTCTCGACCTCTCTGCCATCACGCGAACAAGTGGACCGGCGTCTCTCGACCTACTTCAACAGTACGTACATGGTGATACCGTTCATCCACACGTGGGAGTTTCAACACCGGTACGAAGCCTTCTGGGCCAACCCCTTGGACACGTCGCCGTTCTGGCTGAGCATTTTGTTCTGCATATGTTGCATGTCCGCCACGCTATCAGAGGCCGTGGGCACCGAACCACCCACGCCGGACGACGGGCCCTCGCCGCGGTCGACGTTCCTCAGCGCGAGCCGTCAGTGTCTGCGGTTGGGCGGCCTGACTCGATTGAAGCGTTTCGGCATAGAAGCCTTCGCCCTGTACACGCAGTGTCTGTACATCCAGACGCTCGACCCGTCCGGCGAGACGGCACTGATCTGGGCCATGCTCGTCCGCCAGGCGTACAGGGGCGGCTACCACCGAGACAGCAGCCACTTTGCGTCCAGCTTCACCGTGTTCGAGGCCGAAATGCGGCGTCGCGTCTGGGCCATGCTGCGGCAATTCGACCTGATGATTTCGTTCCAGTTGGGTCTACCCAACCAGATCCCCCCTGGCAGCTGGGACACGCAGGATCCCCGAAATCTGTTGGATGCCGATTTCGACGAGTCTTCGACCGAGCTGCCGCCCGGCCGTCCCGAGACCGAAGCGACACAGATCCTCTACTTCATCGTCAAGTCCCGACTGATGACGAGTTTTGGCAAGGTGACGGCTCACTCTCTGTCCTTCCGCGACGTGAGCCAGGCCGACGTCATGGCGTTGGACCGCGAGGTGCGAGCCGTCCACGCCACGGTCCCCGACATCTTGCGGATCCGGCCCATGAGACAATCTTTCGCCGACCCGGCCTATCTGGTCATGGTCCGGTTGAACTGCGAGTTCTTGTTTCAAAAGTCCCTTTGCGTCCTACACAGAAAGTACATGACCATGACCGACCCCGTCACGGGCGAGTACAGTTTCCCGGAGAGCATCACCGCTTGCGTCGACGCGGCCTCGGCCATCAGCCGACACATGCTCGACCTCCACAAGGAGTTCAAGCCGGGGGGTCAGTTGTACGACGGTAGGTGGATGTTGAGCAGTTTCACAATGAACGACTTCTACCTCGCCAGCATCGTCCTGTGTCTGGCGGTCAGTACCTGGAAGAACCGTCACCCGGGGCGCAATGTAGAGGTCGACGCCGACCAGCGCACCAAGGACGTTTACGCCTTGTTGGGGTCCGCCTTCACCATCACGGTCGACTTGAGCCCGACGAGTCGAGAAGCGAGACGAGTCTCGGACGTTCTCAGGGTCGTGCTCGACGGGGTTGGTACGGCGACAACTCGAAAGATGACGAGCACGTTGCAACATCGATCCAGAAATCGATCAATTACAAGAGTTGCCGGTTCAGATGACGACGCCGCCGCCGCCGCCGGTTCGACATCGCAGAGGGTATCTGCCGATTGTCTGTTTCCTTCCACGGAATTGACAAGGAAACAATTTGGAGAGTGGCCTCAGCTTCATCAACAGCAACGACGGCAACAAGATGACAAGAATGGACAAGGTCAACAAAATGTATTTGTCGACGTTCACGAATTTAATCTCACTCCGTTGTCATTAAGTGAGAATGTGTCACAACAACAGCAGCACCAGCACCAGCACCAGCACCGGCACCGGCAGCAGACGCAACAACAAGAAACAAAACCCACAGATGATTGGACTTTGAGTCCCAATCGATTCAGTTCTACATTGCCATTTCAGCTTGCTTTCCAGACGACCCCCGGAGGAGGGATGTCACAAGGAAACGGTACGGGCGGCGTTAATACGGTGTCGTCTTCGTCAGAATACACTTCCATCGGTACCACCTCGAGTACGAGTCATACTACGAACGGACCCGATACGTTCATGACGACGACAGATACAAATACAAACACAAATACAAACCTGAACATGAATCCCATGAACATGGACATCGATTGGGCTTTCTTGGACCAGTGGATGGCGGCCCCCAACGATACGACGACCATGCCCATCTCTGGAGGGGATCAGGATTGGATGAATTCCGAGTTTAGATTTCCGAGTTGAGGACACCACCTGGCTAGGTAAATAAAGATTACGACCATTCAACGATTCAATCAATTTCAAATCATGGCCAACACGGAAATATAATATTATTCTCAACATTGGCATTCATGAAGAGAACCAAGGACGGCGAAACTATCAAGGGGTATCATGCTGGCTTTTTGCTTCGTCTTCTTCTTCTTCTTCTTCTTCTTCTTCTTCTTCTTCTTCTTCTTCTTCTTCTTCTTCTTCTTCTTCTCTGTTTGCCTACTTCCATTTCCCTTGCTTGTATTGTAGAATTCTGAGCCAAAAAAACACTCCACTCCAGTGCCATTGCCATTGCCATTGCCGTTTTCACTGCAAAATCCATCCCCCTGAATGCCACGATACTCCGTTCCAATAATCCTATACCGCCGACGCTTTGCCCATAAAACAAATCATAACTTCCACCTTTCTTTCACGCCCGGAATGCCGTCGTCTGGTTACCTTGGCCATGCTGCACTAGTGAATACCTAAATCGCCCAAAATCTGATTTGCCAAAGACAATGCTCGCACTCTCGATCCCTTCCATTTTCCGTCATCGATACTCATTCACTTCCCTCCTGGCCTAGGAGCTTGTTTCTTTTCTTGGTCCGCATTGCGCGATTTCCAAGCCGTGCGAATATCATTGGCGCTCGAAAGCAGATCATCTTCCGTGATGTGATCCTCGATAGACTCAATGACGCTTTGATAAGTGGTGACGTGGTTGGCGTCAGTCTTGTCGTCGCGAAATCGGTGAAAGCGCCAACGCCTTGTCTGGCCCGAGCCATTTGTAGCTTCATTTGCATGTGCATTGACGTTCTCACCGTTCATACCATCGGATGAGTCGGTGCTCGCCATATCTTTGGTGAGATCTTCTTGATAGCACTCGACGATAATATCTTGCAAAGGCTTCCTTCGTGCCTTCCAATCTTCCCACTCGGAGGGCATCACGTGCAGGTCGCCGACGTGCGCATAGTCTGCACCGTTGCCGTGGTAGATGTATAGACCGAACCGAACTGGGAGGGCATCGTAATCCATTTGTGGAGATCGGTCGGGGTCCTCGTTGTCAGGTTCATACGTGGCCCATTCGATGTGCATTAGAAAGTCGACCGTGTTTTCCTCCGGCGGCTTCCACTTGAGAATGTGCTCGTCCGTCCCGAACTTGTACGGTGTGTTTTTACATGTGAAGATCAGGCCGTCGTTGCCATGTAACTTCTTGACCCGGGGGATGATGTCCTTGAACATTTTTTCCAAGGCATAGCTGAACTCGGTGGCCTTGTCTTCGATGACGAAGGCTTGGTGGATTGACGGATCCTGTTTCAGCATGGCGTGGTAGGGCTTGAGCACGTATGACTTGCAGTAGGCGAGGCGCTTGTCCAGAGGTCTCTGCATCAGGCTGTTTCCATCAAGGACGAGGCAGTCGAAGATCAGGAACTTCACCACCGGCGGTTTGTCGGGGTACTGGTCTTCGACCAACTCGCCATCGAGGATGGTGTCTGTATGGAAACGTTTGAATGTCGGGTCTTCGTGGTGAGGAAAGTGTAGGCCGGGGACATAGTAGTAATCGTTCTTCCGGTCGATCAGGTAGTGGATGTCTCGTTCGCCGTCTCGAGTAAGATACATCAGGTAGCGCATGCCATCCGTCTTTTCACACACGTAGTAGTCCTCTCTTTTCAGTTCTGTGATGTGTTTGGCCGCGAACGACACTGGTTGGGCGCCAGGAAAGTTCCTGTTTCTGCGACCCAGTAGTTCTGCAACCTCTCCTTGAAACTGGCGTTGGAGGTCATGACCAGCCCATCGTCCGCCGACACGAGCAATCAGCGAACCCGGGTCCATATGAGAATCCATCTTTCAAGTCCGTGATCGAGGTGGAGACGTGTTCAAGGCATCATAAGAGGCATGAGGATGAAGTTTGGTGCGGTTCTGAGTGGCAGGAGGCAGAAGGAAATCCAAAGATGAGGAGATGTGGGACGGTGGAAATTTAGAGAAGAATGGTTCTTTGTGTAAATCGATCGTCAATTGTATTGAATTGTGTGGACTGTTGAACAAGGGATACAAACACTTTCGAGGGTGAGGCTGGCCTTGTGTCTGTGTCTTGTGTTTGCCCGCACTGCGTTTCCCACCGAAAAGTACAGGTCACGTGGATACGAGCATACTTAGTCAGCACGATGCTTGAGGAATGATGCCCCTAGGCCTTTTACTGAATCCCTACCAGATGTAGTAACCCAACTTTCCTCTTTAAGCGATTGATGAGGGTTTTGCTCAGCCAACAATGACTGAACGAATATTTAGGAAAAGAATTGGGGATTGATGCCTGGGGATAGACACGTGGGCCTACTGAAAATGGTAACCTAGCCTTCCTCTTTAAGCAATTTGAGAGCGATCTGCTCAGCCAGCAAGACATTAATGCCTAAACATCATGGCTGGGTGTATGCCTGAGGATGGATGCCCCATACCGAGTACCACCTTCTAATACTTTAGGTACGGAGTGCGTCCATTTCCCCCCTATTTTCTACCCAGAGCCTTCTCGATCTCTACCAGTGCGGCAAGGACCTTCTCATCATAGCTTCTTCTTCCAATGATCTGCAGACTGACCGGTGCGTCCAAGTACTTCTCCGGTGAGTACATCTCGTACACAAATTTATCCTCTGCGTTCTTGGGCACGTAGTCAAGATCCTTTTTGTCCTTTTCCTGGTCAACGGTGGTCACTGGGAACACGGCACCGGGGTAGTCTAATAGATTCCAGGTAGAAGTATAACCCCAGTATCGCGACTGTTCGTGAGGAGTTGCTGCGCCAAAGGAAGGTGGGCAGAGGATGACATCTACCTCTCGGCCATCGTCTTTACCTGTCTCTGTCCAAGCACGCGCGTACCGCTCTCGGTATGCGTCTCTTTCAGCAACAAGCTAGAAGAAAATATCAGCCATCCAAAGTCACGAAAGCGGGGATTATTGAGAAAAAACCGACCTTCCACAATTCATGCATGTTGTAGTTCTTCGCCGCCGGTTGTTCATGGATGATGAACTTGGTTAGAGGCAGTATTGGTTCGCCGGCCTCCTCTATCCTACCAAGAGTCTCAGCTCCTCCGTCAGGCCAGTAGAGACCTGCAGTGATTTCCCAATTTTTCTTATGGTCTAATTTCGTGCAGTCCCACTCGACCACTTCCATACCTGCAGCCTTGCACGCTTCGGATACTTCCTTCAAGGCCCGTATCATTGGTGGATGGGGCTTGACAACACCGTCCCACCACTGTACAGCAATCTTCAAAGGCTTTGTGAACTGGTAAGGAGTCCACACCTTGGCAGTGAGGCCAGGATCAAGTCTCCACGGTTTCGCGGCTAGGGCGACCTTCATGAACAGCTCCAGCGAGTCACGATTTGTAGCCATGGGTCCCAGAGTCGAGTGGATGGTTTCCTTGCCAATCATGTGAGTTCTCTGACCACTCGACGGAAGACGTTTCGTGGTTGGTCTATTGATCTGTCAGTCACGCAGTTCTCGTCCGCCGGAAGTCTTCATACTTGAAACCATATATGCCAGTATGCGCAGCTGGACATCGAATACTGCCACCGATGTCTCCCCCAACACCGAGCACGCTACCTCGAAAGCCGATCAAAGCCGACTCGCCTCCACTGCTCCCTCCCGGTGTCAAGTTCCGATTGTAAGGGTTGACCGTCCTGCCATAGATGTTGGATTCTGTCTCGAGGTGCATGATGGTTTGCGGCTGCGTCGTTCTGGCGAAGAAAACACATCCGGCGTCATACAAGATGTCATAAAGCAGGATAGACCCTTGAGGCATTCCGATCCAAGCGACGTAAGAGGCGTTGGCAACCCCATTCTTGGACTTGGAGCCATGGTGCTCTTTGGTACTGATGGGCAATCCGTGGAGTGGTCCCAGGGGTTCTGGCAAAGAGTCGAGGTATCGTGCTCGCTCGATAGCCTCATCCCAGAGAAGCTCAGTCAAACAGTTGGTTGCGTGCTGGGCCAGGGCTGCTCGTCGCAGAAAGGCCCTTGTAACTTCTTCTGATGAGAGTTCTCGACTTTGTAGCTTTGCTAGCAATTCGATCGCAGACTTTCCCGTGAGTTCGAGTTCTCGTGGGGTCAGGATGGCCTGAGCAAGTCCCTGCGAGTTTTGCGGAAGCTTATCTGGCAACCCTTGTAGAGGAGGATCAACGCGTGCAACCGAGTCGTCGCGAATCTTCCTCGGTATCTTTACCTTTTCTTCCCAAGGCTGCTTGACTCCGGTATTTGTAGCCATGGCCGCACTATCGCTCGGTCTGTTGGTCTATATCGAATTGATCGTCACTCACAGGCGTCTACGAATAAGAAATGAAAGAACACGAACAACTTGTAATCTGTCTAGGAACCGGGGTATCGAAGAAGAGTACACGTGACGGATATGGCCGCTTTGTCTCGGTTTAGTCGGTAGAACTGCCGGTAAACTGGGGTTGTTGTAGCAGCAGATATAAACCCTCTTATACCAGAGTTGCGTGTGGTAGAGCTAGAGTCAATCAGGCAGGTACAGGCTACCCGGTGCATTTGTATTGGTCTCACCAGGCCGGTCAACACGTGCCTCACTCTCCATCAGTCTTCAGAGCTTTAGGAAATAAGTTACCATTCGAATGCGAGTTCGAGAGACCCTAGTAGTTCCTTTCAACTCGGCCAATATGTCTGATGTCGCCGAAACCTGTTACTATCTCAATGAGTACTCCGTACGGTACCTCGGTAATCCTCCAAGAGAATGGCTTAGTCAGGATATATTCAGTCACGTGCGATATTCGCTAAAGTTGCCTATCTTCGAACCCGTGGGGATGTCTCCCTGCGCCTCCAGTTCTAAGGCGTGTTTGTATGGACGACCGCGAGTCACGAATCATTAATTGAATGCGCCCATCGAACTTACAGTCAAGGCAAACGGCAGGCACACTTCTGTAGTTGCCTATCATGTCGAGAACCATCAGAACCGTTTGAAACTCCATCTCGATCGCCTTTTTATCCATGAGAATCTGCACATCGTCCACGCTGTTTCGTGGTTTCCGACAAATGCGATTGGTATCATCTCCTCTATCACAATAGTGGCCGTCCTTTATCTTCTCAACACTCTCCCCCGCGAGCTCCAAGATGAGCAGTCTCATCGCCGCCTCCGGCTACAAATTCAGCAAGGCCGATAGAAAGTTGGGCAAGAAAAAGCTGAAATCACAGAAGCAGGTCAAGAAGGACAGTGAGACGAATGGCATGATTTCCTGTACAGTGGCGGCCGTGCAAACACTAACACGATACACGCAGGCATTAAAAATGGCTCTTCTCAAGCCCCTTCGCCGGTCATGCCCAAGTTCGACGAAGAAACCATGGCCAACTTTCCCAGCGGCAAACCAGAGCCTCTCGACACGCTGGTTTGTAAGCATTGCAAGAAAGCGATCTTAAAGCGTACGGCCAAGGGACATGTCGCTTTATGTCTCAAGACCAAACAAGAGAAGGCGCGCAAGAAGAAAGAGGCACGCGAGGCAGCGCAGAGAGCCAAAGAACGAGCCGAAAGAGCTGACGATGATGATGACGACGACGACGAGTCGAAAGCCGGCGATCGCAAGGCGAACGCAGAAGACGATAAAAAGGGTAAAAAGCGGAAAGCCGACGGTGATGATGACAAGGAGCCGAAAAAGAAGAAAACCAAAAAAGAAGAGGCCAAGGCCAAGGCACCCAAGCCTAAAGGCCCTGTGGATGTTGAGAAGCAGTGCGGTGTTATTTTGCCAAACGGTGCTCAGTGCGCGAGAAGTCTGACTTGCAAATCGCATAGTATGGGTGCTAAGCGGGCGGTTCCGGGCAGGAGCCTGCCTTATGATATGTTGCTGGCGGCGTATCAGAAGAAGAATCAAGCACGACAGCAGAGTAAGTGTTCGCAGCGTCTTCATGGTATATGGCGGTCGCTGACATGTTTGTGTTAAAGAAGCAGCAATTGACGCGAATGCACCGGCTCTCCTGGACGACGATATTGATCCGGCACTGGCTGGCCCAGTCGATTCTGACGAGGAAAAAGATGCGGTCATGTCAGCAATAGCAAGGAGTCTGGCAAATCCTCAACCACTGGTTACGCACTCTTTAATACCACGAAGGCGGCAATACCAAATGGTTCGATTCCGAGAGCAACTTTCCAATGCGATGAGCGGGAATAGAGGCGCAGGCTTATTCAGTGTGCCAGCCGAAGCTGCCAGGATCACGATCCCGGGATCTGCAACAAATGAGTCCTTTCCACAATCAATGAGTGCTTCATCTGCACCGACTGGAGTCGGTATGGCTCAACCGGGTCTGCGAACGCCTCGGAAGGCCTCCATCGATGTATCATGAACAGTCTTTTGACGCAAAGGAGAAGCTTACAGAGGATCATTGATGATCAAGGCAGAAACGGTCTACAGCGGTCATGACTAAGTGGTGATGGCAATGTCCAGGGTGATTCTTCAACCAAAGACCGTCCCAGACATCACCAGCACATTGTACAATTCCTAAGTATGAGATTCGATGAGGGCGTTCACTCAGACGTCAATCATCCTGATCACCGAGAAGGACATGACCGGATTGAGGGACCTATTCCAAACGCCAATCAAGACTCATGGGTGTAACAGAAGCACTTTCTGCTCACCCCATCCCCCAACAGGATATTCTCTCGTTGGCCTTTGGCGCTCACGGTGAGAGCGACATGATACTCCTTTTAGATATCAGGAGTACTTGGGTGGAATTCCAACCATTTTTGTATATGGACGTTCCCATCTGAAGGGAAAGCCATACTGCTACACTATCCGATATCGTTCAGGCGAAGCCTAGGTATATTCCTTGAAGCAAAGGCTAGCATTTGTTCCACCAAAGCCAAAACTATTGGTGAGGGCAACTTGAACATTGGCCTGTTGTGCGGTATTGGCAACATAGTTGCAATTGAAGCCTTTGTCGGGCGAGACGAGATTTATCGTCGGAGGGATGACCTTCTGAGAATAAATGTGTCTGTTAAAATGGCAATGCCCCAATGTACAACTCGTAGTTTCAAGTGTGAATGAATGATCAAGGGGGGGTTTGACATACCTCGTGTATTGTTAGTATAGTGAAGAGGGCCTCTACGGCACCGGCGGCGCCCAAAAGATGACCGATGGCGCCCTTTGTGCTGCTGAGGGTGACTTCGGACGACTTTTGCCTCCCTTGTTCCCCGAGCATGAGAGTCTCGATCGCCTTGTTTTCTGCGGCGTCCCCCAGAGGGGTCGAGGTCGCGTGGGCGTTGACGTAGTCGACGGCGGAAGGGGGGAGTTGAGCCTGCCGCAGAGCTTTCTTCATCGCGAGAAGGGGTCCCCTCCCGTCCTCTCTGGGTGCAGTGAGGTGGTGGGCGTCTGCCGAGTTGCCGTAACCCACGAGTTCGGCGTAGATCCGGGCACCTCTGGATTTGGCATGTTCGAGTTCCTGTGGGACACAGAAAGAAAAAGGAGAGGACCATGTCAGTGGACAGTGGTAGAAATGGAGTCCAGTTGCAATGGTAGGATGGTGACTAACCTCTAGCACGACGCAAGCGGCACCTTCGCCAATCACGAAGCCGTCTCGATCCTTGTCAAATGGTCTTGAGGATGCACGAGGCTCGTCGTTGAACGCGGTGGCCAGACTACGGGATCTGGCGAAACCGCCCAGGGCGAGCGGATGGACACAGGCTTCGGCTCCTCCGGCGATCATGACATCCGCTTCGCCCGACTTGATAAATCGTGAAGCGTCGCCCAGGGAATGTGCTCCCGTCGTACATGCCGTGGTCACGGCGTGGTTGGGGCCCTGTAGACCATATTTCATTGATATGTGTCCCGCTCCAAGGTTGATGAGGAGGCGTGGAACGAACAGGGGATGGATTTTGCGGTATTGTTTCTGTTCAGACAATCAAAGGAAGGATATTGTCAGTCTCGGTCTCTCTCTCTCCCTCTCCCCCACCCCAGGGATTTCCACCGAACTGAGGCGGTGATATTGGTGGTTTGCTTACTTGTTGAGCATAAGCCACTGAAGTATCGTATAGCTCTTCAAGGTTACCGATACCAGAACCAAGACATACACCAGTCATTTCAGGGTCAAGACCTTTTCCGTCCTCGAACCCGGCATCTTTGAGAGCTTCAGATGAAGCTGCCAGACCGTATTGCGCAAACTTTGCCGTCTGTCTGAGTTCCTGGACAGTCTTGTTCAGCGAGTGGCCTTGCAGCAAACGCCGGATTCTATCGAGGGACCAAGCAGGGTCTGTCTTACTGTAGGTGTGACGTGGTCTTTGGCCTGCCAGGATCCCTTTTGTGAAGTGTCGACGGGAACTAGACCTGCAACTTGACTCGGGATGGCTTTGAATTCATCACCCAGGTGTCTGGTCGTGACGATGCCACATTCACCATTGATGAGGCGTTGCCATGTTTGACGGACGCCTTTATTATCGACGATTAGTTATTTGATCAGTCGTTGTAGGTGTAAGGGCGTGTGAAATGTAGTGTGGTGTATGCATACATACCAACTCCCAAGGGCGTCACAGCTCCCAATCCAGTCACCACCACTCTGCGCATCGCATCGCATCGTCTATTCTTGACAAGAGGAAACCGAGTATGAGCCGTCAATACGATCAATCCGGTAACCGACTCCGAAGAGACCAATAGTTCTCGTTATGTCTGTTCGAACTGTCATAGTAAGCAAAAAAACAACAAATGTGACCCGGAGATTCCCGCCTCTTTTTGGAACTCGCTGACACCTTCACTTTTTATTTTTCTTGCCTCCCGCACACACCACCATCAACCACTCGCCAATTGGAAGATCCAGGTCCACGCCCTTTTTTTGTACACACCATCGAATGACATGCCAGAATTCAAGGATCAAGTAATCGATAGGGTCTCTCCTTCTGCCGATTGATACCTCGTACATACAAAAGATGGAGATATTTTTCTCGTTTTAGGTATTTACTTATCACTTGTTCCTTGTTCCTTGTTCCTCTCATCACGACGGTCATCTTTCTTTATATTCAACGCCCGACGTACTGTCCAGAGTGAGTGAGGACATCAGTCCCATCCGTCGACAAGATGAGGTTCTCATCTTTGACGCTCTCGACTTTCGCCGCTCTCCTCCAGTACAGCAGTGCATCATTTTATGATAACCCCAAGGTCGAAATTCGATCTGAGAAGGAAATTCCTCTTGACGAATTGAAGGCAAAATGGGACTTTGATGTAAGTTCTTTTCTGTCTATCTATTTGCTTGCATTGAAAAGAAATGGCCAAGAGATATGGCTTCTCGGGTGGAAAAGAAAGAACTATGCACTTCGAAGAACATGGATATTAAGTCTATCCCAATACATATAGTGGTCATTCTCCGGCATCTCGACATTCGGCCATCTTAAGCATGTCAAATGCCTCACGGCACCGTACGAGCCTTTCGACATTGGTATTCTCGGAGCTCCCTTTGACACTGCCGTGAGCTACCGACCTGGTGAGTACACACTTTCTCCTGGTCAACGATATCAGAACAGTCCGTTTCCGGTTGCTTGCTATACATCTCGAAAATTGTGACGATCTATCGCACCTCTCTACATTGCGTACGTGTCTTACTAACACCATCCATCCAAGGCGCTCGATTCGGCCCACGAGCTATCCGTGCGGCGTCCGCTCGTCAAACCTCTTTCCGAGGATTCAACCACCGCGCGGGCATGAACCCATACCAGTCGTGGGCGTCGATCCTCGATTGCGGTGACATCCCCGTCACGCCCTTCGACAACGCCCTGGCCCTGCACCAGATGACCACGGCCTACACCGAACTCATCTCCCGCCGGCCTCTGTCCTACACCAACCCGCCCTCCCACACCCACCCGAAACTCATCTCGCTCGGCGGCGACCACAGCATCGCGCTCGCGGCTCTGCGGGCCCTCGAGAAGGTGCACCGACGGCCCATCGCCGTCCTCCACTTCGACGCCCACCTCGACACGTGGCACCCGGGCGCGTACCCGTCGGTGTGGTCGACGACCCCGACGCAGGCCGACTTCACCCACGGCACCATGTTCTGGGTGGCGTCCGAGGAGGGCCTGATCGCCAACGGCTCGTCGGTGCACGCGGGCCTGCGGACCCGCCTGTCGGGCAACGAGTGGGGGGACTACGACAACGACGAGCGGCAGGGGTTCCTGCGGATCGAGGCCGACGACATCGACGCCGTGGGGGTCTCCGGGATCATCGAGCTCATCATGGAGCGCATGGGCACCGAGACGCCCGTCTACCTCAGCGTCGACATCGACGTCATCGACCCGGGCCTCGCCCCGGGCACCGGCACCCCGGAACCGGGGGGCTGGACGACGCGCGAGCTCATCGCCATCCTGAGGGGCATCGAGGGCCTCAACGTCGTCGGGGCCGACGTCGTCGAGGTCGCGCCCGCGTACGACGGCATGGGGGAGGCCACCGCCCTCGCGGGCGCCCAGGTCGCCTACGAGATCCTCACGAGCATGGTCAGGCGCGGCCTGCGCGAGCGCGGCGAGGACGTCGTCCTGGCCAAACCCGGCAACTCCAAGATCCTGGAAAAGGCGAAGCAAAAGGCCATGGCCAATGGCAAGGTCAAGCCCGACACCAAGGCCAAGGACGAACTTTGAGAGGGGGGCTCGGGGCTACGCCCTGGTAAATAGTCCTGGACGTGGCTGCACTCAATACGTAGGTGATGCATTCACGTACCACGAGTCCGCACTTCCAGTTTAAGCATTGCAAAACGCCAAAGATAAATTTCGAAACAGAATGACCTTCTTCCTTTAAGAAGAAGAAGAAAAACCTCTCGGCCATGTTACTTTTATTATCATCAGTATCCGCAACAGTATCAGCAGAGTAGCCTCCGTCAACTCCTTCCCCCCCCCCCCCCCCCCCCCCGCCACATCGTC